AAAAAAAAAAGACATTCGTGCCCATCAGTTCCATGATTTTCTTCGGTTGCGTTTGGTTACTAATGGAATTATGTCCAAGCTGGCCGTTTCCACCATGACCCCAAGAGAACACGCCGCCGTTCCTCGTCCGGCAAACTGAGTGTTCTTCACCCATGGCAACGAAGACAACTTCCTGGTGCCTGAGATTTTTCACGAGCTTTGGAAAATTTGACCCGTCTGAAGTGCCGAGGCCCAGTTGACCCCAGTTGTTTCTTCCCCAAGTGTAGAGCGTTCCACTTGGACTGAGAACTCCGCTGTGATATGCGCCCGCGCATATTTGGATTACTGGAAAAGCATTCAAGGAAGCAATTATCGTTGGCTCAAGAATTTGTTTCTCCGAAGATCCAAGCCCCAGCTGCCCCTGGTCGTTGCTTCCCCATGAAAGAATTGTTCCCTCTTCTGTTAGGGCTAGGCAATGCTCTGCCCCACAAGCGACTTGAACCACTGACCAATGCATAATTTTATCTAACAGCTTCGGCTCGTGAATTGAGTCTTGCTTGCACATCAGTTGACCAGCGTTGCTCTTGCCCCAGCCAAAGAGAACGCCAGATTCAGCGATCGCTATTGAGAAATAATCTCCCGCCGCCACGTGAAAGATTTCTTCGCTTCCGAAACCCGTGACTAAGGCTGGGCGGCACTGGCTCTTGCACTGCCCTAATTGGCCGAATTCATTACTTCCGCAAGAGTAAACCTTTCGATTAGCGGTGAGATAGACTGTGTGGCGAAGTCCAGCCGCGATGGAAATGATGCTCTGGTTCGCGTCAATCGGAGAGGGACATTTTACAAGAGTATTTTCACTGCCAAGTCCGAGCTGTCCATAATCGTTTTTACCCCAGCCGTACATATCTATTTGTTGCGTAAAACGCTGACTAAGGACGTCTGGGGTTGTTGAATCCACTGGAGTTTCAGGGCCAGAAGGTTCCGGCTGCCTTGATTCGCTCCCCTCTGCTCTAGTTTTCGAAGATGGCGTCAATGACTTTCGACTAGTATGATCTTCGCCACTGTCACTGATTCTAAAAGTAGAGATAAAAGTTCTTCAGCAAGAGCTGTTTTTTAGAATAAGTGAATCAATAAGGTGAATAACTGCAATCAAGGAGGAAAGCGAAATATTTAATCAACGGAAAGTTGGTGTCTCATTCTACTGTTTTTAAATGGCAGATAAATGTGTTATTTACTTGTTATACCTCCGATTCCAGCATGGGAGGCACGCGAAGACAGATTTCCCCATAAGTCACTCAAGCATTCTATATTTTTTGAAATGGGAAATCTCTTTTGGAACAACGAGGTAATCTCAAATGGAAATCCTCCAGCCGTAACAAGGGAAAAACACCTCTCTCCTATTTAAATATTTCCACAGCAACGCAACATAGTAAAAATTGAATAAATATTAGTTAAAACTAATACTCAAAAAGTCAGAGTTTAGGATCTCTAGGAAGAAAATGTCCGTGAATGACCAAACAAAAAATACAGTCGTGAGTTGCTTTTAGCGCTTCCTCTTACTTTTTATTGATTTCTTTCTCTTCCATTTTCCGGCTATTAGCTTGGGGATCGGACTTTAATAGCTTTAGAAGGGATCTTTTGATCTCGATGAACAAAATACATAACGGGAGTAGCATCGCCACAGCGCTTATTTCCGCCTTTCTTTTAAACTCACGGGGCTTCTAGAACATTCTAGATATATTGTAAAGTTAAATCAAGCCCTGGGGATCACGAAAGGGTGTCAAATGATAACCAATCGGTCGCGAAATCAAACTATTTGTTGAATCTTCAAATTTACGACCTTAATTTTAATGAGTACCACTAGTGAGAACTTTTTGAATCTAAATTTCTATCAGCATAGGTCTGTTTATCCAACCTTAGATGAAATAGAAAGACCGATTGATTGAAAGTCTTAGGAAGCAGCAAATTTTTATTCTTGGAACGTGTAACTTTTCAAGATAATAAAAAATTAATAAATAAGCGAAAGCACAAACAAAAATTAATGCAAAGCGTCAGCAGAAATAAAAAAGGAATAAATACAACTTTGGTTGTTATTGAAACGAAGAAACTTTCAGAAGCTTTTACTTACGGTAGTAAAACAGTAATTACAGTAAAATTGTTTTGTAGATTCAAAAAGATAACAGATTAGGTCGATAACAAAAATCATTGGTGACAAAAAATAGTACTCGTTAAGAAAATAGTGTCATAGGTATATTCACGGAACTTGGTAGGTATTCTGAAGATACAGTATGTAGAAAGAGGAGATTAGGAAGTAGAAAAGGGGAAATCGGGTTTAGGAAGAGGTCCGTCTGGATTCGTCTGAAGAGCGACGTTCGAGTGATTGCGCGCGGCGATTTTTCAACATTCGGGACATTTCTTCGTCCTGAAAACTCATCATCTTAATTCAAATTTCCTTCCGTACCGCTGATGTGAAGTTTTCGACTTTTTCCGTAGAAGGCTTGACTTGTACTTTTTGGCAGTAATAGTACTCGTAGGCAGCTGTTGACAGGCACCATCTACCAGCTCTTACTAGAGTCGAATTTAGCTCAAAAATCGTTAAGGGGAAAATCTTACCTTCAATAATTTCCAAAAGCATTCTTCTTCCCGCAGAGCTAGTATTTGGATTAATAAAACAATCTCGTATACAGGTGAATAGTTTGTCCATTTTTTCGTTGTTGGCCGTCTAAATAGGTTAAAATAGCCCAACAGAGCATGGTTCTTACTTCAAGCTGTTGACCAATTAGCTGTAGCTGGCCCATCAGACATTGAATGTCATTTTGCTCGCCAGAGAGCGTCAGTTGTTCAAGACATTGGAAAACTGGCGTGACAAGGACGCCAAGTTCTTGGCCTTTGACTCGTATTGTCTTGGAACGAAGATGTTAGAGCTTATATCTGTGGTGGATTAGTGTCACCTTGTAGAGGCCGCAAATGTAGGCAACAAAGCCTCTAAACTCCGATGGCTTCAAATTTGCCTTGTCCTTGAATGTCTTTTGCAATAATCCAAGCGTTCGAGTTCTGAAGGGTCGTTTTGGTTCATCTTTGTACTGGCCGTTTTCTTTCTCGATGATCATTGACGCTAGAAGCGCTGCATGACGGGCCCATTTTAGCTTACAAAAACGTTTTTCTCAACTTCGACTAACGAAACTACCTCTTTCTTAGCTAAATCGATCATGGTTCCGGCGGCGGTAATAACCAGCGCTTCCAACGGAGCCGACTCGCTATTCATCACTTTGGAGATAATTTCCGCCTCATTTTCGCTAAGAGGCAATCCCTGCAACATCTCCATCTAACATGACGTCAAGTTACTATATTTTTCCTCAATTATTATTCAGTGCGTATTTCATTTGGTATTTCATGTAAGTGTCACGGATTTTTGAAGTGAGAATTTGCATTAAATTAAATATATATTTTGTACATAAAATAAATAGATCGAGAAAGAAGCACAGAAGTGATGATGGCAGATTCTTCTGTTTCTTTAAGATGAATTGCGGTACCACAAGGCGACCCCTGAAAAATGACCATGATTTGAAAATTAATTCCCAACTTACCGATAGCAGCAATGGCACAGATAGTGGCACCAATGATCAGACCAGATGAAACTTCATCTTTTTCTGCAGAATTTTCTTCGGTCTTTTGATTGTCGCTTGGAGCTGATTGCGTTTCTGAACGAATTGTAAATTGAAACAATACAGATTTTGAAGATTTACTTTTTGGAGATTTCTGAACGACGGGGGATTCCGAAGCTCCACTGAACATCTTTGAGTACATTTGTTTTTGCTTTACGTCCTGCTTTTTCAGCTCTCGACGACAGCGTTCTTCGTGTTTTTCCATAGACGCGGTGTACTTTTTCTCTTCAGAGCCAGCTTCCAATACGCGGACCTTGGCAATGATCTTCAAGACCTCTTCGTAGTTTTTCTCCCGAATTTCGATGTCAGCCTAAAAGATCAAAATTTAACGCAAGAATTTCGAGCATTCAACTCACGATAAGAGCAAGTACGCTGAGATTATCTGGGTAGATGGCGAGAACTTCTCTGAAACAGCCGATTGCTCTCTTGTTTTCGCCTTTTTTGAAGAAGCATCGGCCAGCATTCTTCATGAGCTTCTCGAAAAGCTCCTTCGTCTCTTCAGTCTGCTCATTTTCTAAAAAATAGTTTTAACCCATTCATTCCGTCAAATAGCCACCCTTACGAGAAATGAATTCTTGAATTTGCTTCAAGCCATTCTGGTAGTGCTTGAGCGCGGTTTCGATGTCGCTCGCTTTCCAAGCTTCGTTACCAGACGACTTGAAGTCATTGGCCAACTTGAGATGATTCTTCTCAAGCTTTTCCACAATTTTTAAAACAAATTCCATAGGAAGAGTCTTGCGAAGACTATCATGAGATTTGACAGCAATAGAGCCGCCAACTTTCGCTTCATAGCACGCAAGCTCGATAGCTGGAATTGCGAATCCGTCCCCAAGCAGAACCTCAAGCGTTTCGTGGTGCTTTAACTCGCAATCGTTATCCACACTGGATCCGAATCGCAAGTGCTGGGCGATCACAGGGACAGAGATTTCGATTTTGACCAAATCGCCATTTTTGACGGTTTCTTCACCACCCTCTACCATGATCTTTGTGTAAAGGCGGCCTGATCCAAGGACATCTTGCCAATGATAGGGGTCCACCGGTTTCTTCGCTTCTTGAGCGGGAGAATCTTCTAGTGCCGCTTCTGGAATTTCAGCTTCGTCGACAGGGTCCGCTGTATCCTCAGAAACGACTTGGTCGTTCTCGGTTTCTCCCTTTGTGGATGGCTCTACGACTTCAGCAGATTGCTTGATCTCCTCGTTTTCGATCGGTACGAGTTCGGGAACTTATTTAAATTTGAAGAGTCCTAAGCAGTACAAAAATACCTGAATCCGCGTTACTGCTATCAGAATCAACCTCAAGCGGAACATTCTCGACTTCCTTTTGCTGATTGAAGTCGGCCGAGTTCAGAACTTCGTATGCAGACGATTTCATGTTCTCTGCAACATGCTGGAAGTCTCCACTTGGCTCTGGGGATGCGATTTCCTGCTTAGTATTATCCATTGCTTGACTCTTGGATTCTACAAATACGACGCGTTTATTTAGGAGACAAAAAATCTCTACTGTAAAAATTTGGGCAGTAAAGGCTTGATGGATGACAATGAAAACAGCACTAAGGTGAACTGGTGACGGAAAGCTACATGTAGCGGTATTTTAAAATTTCAGTAATCGTCATAATCGTTATCATAGTCATTTTCATCGTTGAACTCGTCGAAATCGCTCATATCTGACCTGGTTAGTGAATCGTATGATCTCGCTTCCTCGGAAGATTCCCTGAAATGAGAGTAATGAAAGAGAAAACAGAAAGAATGGAAGTGATCTAGACTCTAGATTCTAGAGAAAAATATACTCACTCATCCGGGTAATCGTTTCTCCAATTTTCCTCGTCGTTGGAATCAGAGTCATTTTCCCAATCTGCTTCTTCCTCTCTCACTCGCATCATGTAATCCATGTCATACGATTCAAAGACCAAATTGTCATCCTGTATTACATCATTGGTGTAGTAAATATCGTACACATACTCCTCGTTCGCGTCTTAAATCGAACATCTGTTAAAATTCTCGTCGTCTCAAGAGCTTTGATAAGAAATTTTATCATAATTGCAGATGGAAGTGTTTATTGGGTAAATACCTGATGATTTGTTTGTGTTATCAGCAAGTGAAAGATTTTCACGGATCAACTTGGCACCGTTGAGACTGATGTCGACCTGTTTCCTATTCTCGATCTCTTCATACAAAATGTCGTAGAATCGAGCTGTGTCCTCGTCTTTTCTGAAAATTTGGAATGACAATTATGCCAAGCTGTATCCTCTTGACTGAAGGGGCTTCAATGAGAATTTCTTGATGAGTTGCAAAAGATTATGAAGTACAAAATATCAGGTTATATAATTGACGATACCTTCAGTAAATTAGGCCGGAGGAACTTTGTTTCTTGGTCACTTTTGATATCTCTATTTGTTCCCCTCGCCGAATAACATCTGATATCAACAACGATAACGAGTATATCTGTTTATTTTTAGGACTTCCTAAATACGGGAAATATCAATATCGCGAAAACAAAATCCAGCATTTTAGGACAGCTCATTGTTTGCGCCCTTCAACACAATCTGGACTTTTCTTCGCGGCTAGTTGACATGGGAATGACACTTTCTCATCAAGTTCTTTATATTTTCAGAGTCAAAGAATCAAAATAGAAAACCAAACGCTTTCTAGAACAAGACTTCGACTTTATATAAGTGAAAAGAGAGCATGATAGTTGAAGGAAAGCCTGCCTATGCGGTAAAAATTGATATGAGAGGGCCCTATGGCTTTTGGGTAATCGCCAGAGACCACAGACTGAAGCAAATGTAGGTCATTTTTCCTGGAAAAGGATAGAAAATTACTAGAACTTTTGTTTTTAGAATACGAGGTATTTTCGAACATATCAGTCGAGGATGAACATGTACCACAGGAAAGATACTAAAAGTATAAAAAATAGCAAGAAAAAGATTCTCATTAATCTCAATTCAAAAATTGTATCTTGACGAAAGTTCCATGGCATCCTATGACCAAATGAGCCCGCGAGATAATATATTGGCAGAAGTAGAAGTAATCAAGGGACGGATAAATACACCTTTCTCGTATCGACTAATCTTTTGACATGAAAAATCTCTTCCTGACGGCCGTATCTTTCAGTATCGCCAGCTTCGTTTGGTGCTGGGTTACCCGGGTCTGGCAACTCTTACAAAGAAAATGGCGACTATACTTCCTGGACATGATGAAAGCCCCTTATTTACCCAATATAGAAATGGCCTTTGTCACCATAAGTAGCAAAAGCCACAGGGAAGAAGCCCCAAAACGCATTTGAATAGTCTGTGTGTAATGAGAGGTCGTGCTCCGAGCTATATCGCCAGTGCTTGAGCACACTTAGAAGGTCAATCACACACATTAGAGTAAAGCGAGAGAATTTGGACAACGGCTATCGTCCGGGCCGACGCAGGAAATTGGGTCGCAAATAATGGAAGTTTTTAAGTTTAGCATTTTCGATAGAGATAATAAAAATTATGAAAATAAACGAAAAGAATATGCTTTGCTCCTTCATGATTTTTCAAGCAAAAAAGTTTCTTTAGGGACAACTTTCTTGGCTATTTTTTTCAACAAGGGATCTTAGAGGAAATAAAGCTTTAATCTATCTATTGACCTTCAAAAAGGAACTGTGATGGGGCACAGTACACTGCGGCCACTTGGTCGACCTGGACCTCTTATTCCTCAAAATCGTAACAAACTTTAGACTATTCAAGTGGATGATCTTTTTATTAGGGCAGACGGTGAATGTTTACCTAGAACACTCCACTGTGCGTGGTGTGCCTGGTTTGCCCCCATTGGTGAGGCCCGTTCCCATTGTCCCAGGGAACGAGAACATCGCGAAAATGAAACAGCCAGCACCGGGTTCGCGTTTATCCTTTGAAAGCCACATTATGTCGACCGCTCGAAATCGACGGAAAGCCACTTCCTCCTCCAAAAGAGACAGCAACTCCAAGAACTCCGCTGCACGTCGAAAACCGCCTTTAGACCTCGAACCGGCCAACAACCCTTTGATGATCATCGATCGGCTGGTGAAAGAAACGAAAAAGTCAGTACTCTTATTAATAGGCGCAGTTAACCAAAACAATCATTTTCGCCAAATTTTTATTTTGCTAAAAATTTGGATTCTCAATTTGAAAAACAATTTGTTTAACATCGAAAAGACCCGATTCCGGCGTCGTTGATATCAACAGCCAGTTCGACCAAAGTTACAAAGTTCCTTCTAGGCCAGCGTCGAAGAACTCTTTCACTCTCCAACAGCTAAAAATCGGCTCGACCCGAATCACGCCAAAAGAAGCCGCGAGGAGCTGCGCGTGAGCACCAAGAGCGGCTCAAGTGCAAGCGGAGCTCAAGAAGATAACATTGGCCTTGCCGGATTGAAAATATCAACAAAGCCAAGATGCACGCCTGTAACAGTGTTGTCGAGCTTGAAGAAAGAAAGAATATCTTGTACGTGTTCGGCATGCGAAGATCGGAAAGAAAAGGTAGAAATACAGTATAATCAGTCCATTATCCCGCTACAATAGGGAGCTAAGCCATGCTTACATACGACTAGATGGTTTTTCAGGAAATCGGGCATCCTAAAATTCTTATTCTCATGAACAAGAGATTAAATATGATGACTACTGTAAATTTTTTATTTGCTACTTGTCGTTTTTCACGTCGCTCGGGACTGTTTGGCCCCATGTTCATGAGCTTCATAAAAAATCCTGACACTGACAGATAATCGTCGAAAGATCAATAAAAATGTCCAATGCAGTATTTTTCACGAGTTTTATACTGTAGTAAAATGTCAAAGACACGACTTTTTTGGAAGATTTCAGAGTTCCTCGTGGGAAGCGAACAATAAAGCTTCATTTTCAAGATGTTCCACTACCGAATAAATTCGATTAAAAATAGTTTTTGACGAGAAAGAGATTAAAAATTCATATTTCAGAAATCACGGCTTGGTTTCGACCGAGAAGAGCGATTGCGCCAACTCGCCGAGCAGCAAAAATACGCAGACCCATTGAAAGATGCGGATTCTGCGTTTCTAGCACGTATTCGCGAGCTCAAATCGTACGACCTGGATACGGCAAAACAAGAAGATGCTAAGAAGCGTCGCAAAAACAAAAAATAAAAACCGTCCATTTCGCCCATCTTTTTATAAATATGAATATACTGACTTTCAAAAAGAAAAAATAGGCCAATTGTAAATTCAATAAAAACTAGAATACGTACACTTTTTCCTTCACCGCGGACACTTCGTCCAAGGATGTTGGATTCTTGCGCTTTCGTGAAGGAGTTACTAAAGCAATCGCATCTTCCGCATCTTTGGAAGCCACAGTTCCAGCATATGAGAATTTCACATCGATTTTGCGCTAGAAAATGGGATTTTCTGAGCTGAAATTCTGACCTGGCCACTTACTCTTTTCAAATCGACTCTGAGTCCCTTATCCGGGTCATCCTCTTTCTTCCTCTTGACTCTGACGACAGTAAAGCCGTCCTCTGCCATCTTTTGGTCGACTTATTTCGCAAAAAATCTGCTTCGAAACAAGACAACAAAGAAGATGCGTCTGAATCTTGCAATCGAGATTAGTTTTAACGCCGCCGCTCGACTGTTAAATTTTTAATTTAATTAGCCAGTAAAACAGGAAATTTATGTCAGCGCTAATACTGTGACATATTGCGAGAGCTCATAAAGAATAAAAATAGATACAGGAGCGGAGAATTAAACATTTAGAACATCCCAAAGTTCAAAAGAAGTTGTCACTTCGGAATATAGAAAATGCAGAATTGTTGTCATGGAATTGTTATTGCACATTTTAAATAAGGTCGGTTTAGTTTTTAGCATAAGGATATAGTAGCATGTTTCAAGGATACAGAGGGCAATGCGAACTTTGAACTGCAAGGTTATTTTTCGGACTTCTGAGAAGAGTGTAACGACTGTTATTAATCCAGAGATATTTCGGGATCAGCTGGCATGGGGTACTTTGTGTCTCGAACCTCGATTCCGTCGTTTAGTTTTTCTTTCAAGACTTTTACAATGGTTTGACTTATTGAAATGCTCTGAGTTGTTCAAAAATCTTTCCTTTCATATTTTCATACTCGATGTCAATATCTTCCATCGCCAAATACGACGGTGTAAAACTTTCCATCGCCGGGAGATTCTGATAAACTCCAAGAGTCAGCGCCAGGACACCAGTAAGGAAAATCAATCTTTGAGTATATTTCCATCTTATTTCCTTCATAAAAGTAGATGCGCATGCTTTTTCGAAGCACAGCGCGGGCAAGATAAATGCTTCAAAAAAGCTTGAAAAATGGTTTGCATGGAAAAATCTTACCGATAAATGAACCCATAAGAGCACCGTTGAGTTGCAGGACAACTTCTACATCTTGGATGAAATATGCAACTGTCATAGTTAGAAAGACGATTACAGCTGTGAGGCTTCGGAAGATATTATCAGGGATGAATGTTACTGGAGATTCGGTTGATTCGCCGGCTTCAAGAGTTTAGCATGGCATTGGGCAATGTATAAATTCCTACCTAGACTTTCATAGCTCGGCTTGTTGAGAGTGGGCTCAACGAAACATGTAAATATCGACTGGCGGCAAGGGTAGATCATGAGCGGAAAACCAACAATGACCGACATCGCGAAACCCAATTTAGTGAATTGAAGCACAATGTCCCTCGGGAAATTCAACAGCATGTTTCCCTTCACTTCTTCTTGAAACAGACTGTAGCCGAAGAAGCCGACGTAGATGTAGACGAAGCCAACGATGCAGATGGTTTTGCGCATGATGCGGAGCATTTGGAAACTAGTTGCGTCGGATATACTTGCATAAATGACGAAGAATTGAGACTGACAGGTAAATGAAAGTGCGAAGATAGGTAGAACTTTGAAGACGCCGCTAGAAATTATTGATTGAGCAAAGACAGTGTTTGTTTTATATTGCACAAAGTTGGGGAGTCCTTAATCTCCGAGCCTGGACATCGTAGATTGTCCCCGAAGGGCTGAAAATGAAGCTAAGGGTCTAATCTAGTGAGTAAGGGGGTTTTAAAAATCTAATGATCACGTTATCAATGAGATATTACGTCATCAATAACGAAATCACTGATTTTTTCGATTTTTACCCATTTTGGGGAGTCCTTAATCTCCGAGCAGAGACGTGCTAGAATGTCCGCTAAGAGCTTAAAATGTAGCTAAAGGTCCAAACTAGTGAGTAAAGTGGTTTTGAAAGTCATGTGACTTACTCATCCCTATTCTAGAAACGTTCAAAAATCGCTTGTGCAATATAAAACACTGTCAAAGAATAACTTGGAACAGAAAGACCTGAAATCGAACCATTTGACTTCTTGAATCCAGTCAAATGAAGCAAAACCACCGGCGACCGAATTGAACGTAAGGACGAGAAGAAAAAAGACATAAAAGCAGGAAGAAAAATACGCAAATTTTGCTGGAAAAAATTAAATTCTGATATTCGAAAATTGAACGTACCAATTGCAGATAACTCCCGTAACACTCCGAGAGGATAAACAACGAACACTCCAAGACATAGAACGAGTCTTTTTTGAATACTGTTTTCATCGACAGGATTTTCTTCTGTTTCAAAGAAACCAACATAAACTTCGGTCAACAGACCAGAAATGACAACATAAAAGGCTGAAAAAGTCGGTTGAAATCAGCTCGAATTGGCTCTTATCGATTTACCAATGCATGTTCCTAGCATGAGGCCAATTTGCGCGAATTCGACGCCAAACTTGCCCGTCCCGCCGAAGCATGCTTTGCAGAGGTACTCGTAGTTGTGTTTGGATTTGGAGACGGCGGCGTGTAGCAACAAAGCAACGGAGCTATAAGTAGCGTAGCCGGCGAAAGCGAGGACCAGCGCGCCCAGTAACAAGCCACATTGTTTGAAACAGAAGGGAATCGCCAGTATTCCGACTCCGACGACAGAATTGATCAAATTGACAACATGTGGCGCATCCGGGTCGCCCTTCATCAAATTGACATCTAAAATGAACAGAAATAAGTATTGAAAGCAGCAATTTTCCCGTTTTCTCCATTTCAAATTGTATCAGTTTTAACTTTTTGAAACAGTCAGTAGTGACAGTAGTACCTGGTTAGCGTGTAAAAGAAGGGCGGAAACCGACCCTTATTGACAAATGAAAGCGAATCACAGCTTTTTCTGGAGTGGTGCGAAAAAAATCAAGAGATATTTCAATAAGATATTATTATCAAAGGCTATGTCCTTAATTCCAGCGATGTTAACGAAGATTCAAGGAGTCAAGGAAACCCTGTCTACACTTTGAAATCAAAAGTACTATTCTAAAAAATCATTCAGTAACACCATGCTTTAGTTTTTACAGCGTCGAATAGTCGAATGAACGAAATAAAAATGAAATTCAAACTAAAAATATAATTCTAATAAACAAATTCTCGCCACGAATGAAACAATGAGTGAAGTAATAAAAAATGCTTTTTCAGGTTTTCAGGGTTTCTTTTTAAATTCTTTTGTTTGAAAAATCAAGGCAGGAGAAACTTCAGGAACGCAAAGAGGGAGAGAGTTTTCAGGGTGGTGGAAGAATCGGTGAACTGAAGAGTACAATGGCTCAAGTACAGTTATTAGGCGCCTCCAGCTTGTTTCTTGAGCATGTGGTAGATTTTCTCCTGAACGAAAGAAGTTGGTTTTTAATTGGATTAGGGGCCGTTTATGGGTACTAGAGAAGGATTCATGTAAGCGCACTTACCTTAATCCAGTCCTTGTTCTGTGGCTCGTAGCTTTCCGTGCTCTTTCTGTAGACCAAAATGACCAAATCTGTGAGCGAGTCGATAAAGTCAAAAAGCTAGAATACGATTAATTTCCAACGGAAGAGGGATAAGATGGTACCTGTGAGATATCATAGGTGATCTGTTCGTGATGAGGATTCTGTCTCTTCAACTGTTCTTCGTAGAACTTGCAAACTCCCTCGAGAGCGTCTTCGAGATGTTCAAAATCGCCATAGGTTCTTGATTCAGGACGGCGGTTGGGCTGGACGAGCAGGATTGTGTGAACAGATGCGGGCATTCTGAAATAAACGATTCTTAGGTCAGATTATTAGATTTTTTGAACAATCATTTTAATTATTATCACGACATTACTCGAATCCGCCGCAATAGAAGGATTTCAATCATTGAAAAAATGAAAAAAAAAAATTATTTCCAATAATGGTAGTCGTTATGGCATTCATACTAACAATGCTTCAGAATTTCATTTTATATGATAGAAAGTAAGCACAAAATACAATATTTCACGGAAGTAGGTATGCTGTACATGCAAACAATGTCTTAGAATATCATTTTATCAGATCAATTTATATAAGTATGGACAATTGTTTCTTCTTTCATTATTCGTGAAAATCTCTTTTGAAATTTTCATCTCTTCATGTTCTTCTCATATTATCCGTGCTAATGCTCTCTTTATCCCACCGCATCCGGATCTTCCCAGCGCTCGAAATTCCTTCTTTCTCAATTCATTTTCTTCTTTTTCTTTTTGGAAAGACTTTCAAAAATGAGGCGGCCCACGCACGGGCCCTGGCGCAAATTTAGCGCAACGAGCGATTTAGCGCGCCGCGCTGGATCATTTTTTCAAAACCAACTTTTCGATATTTTTACAAAAGAGAATTTGTGACAGACGAGTCTTTCGAAAAAAAACTTAGAAGATGAACAGATTTGCTTTGTTGCCAAGGGATATTTTGTCCAGAAGAATGTATTCGGTGAATTTGAAACAAGCTAAAGGGAAAGTGTTGGCTGCGAATTCTCAGGCTAAAGGTAAATTTTGAATAGCAAAATTGTTGATTGCTAAACCATCTTTTTAGATGTGTTCTTCAAGGACACTGACGTCTACGATCCTAAGAATCCCTTCATTGGAAAAGAAGAAGTGGCAGACATGCACAGAATCAACCCCGATTATGTCCAGTATTTGAAAGAACAAGAAGTGCACGAAGACGACTGGTTCTACAGAAATTTCTTCAGAGTTATTTGCCCTGCGATTGTGTTCTTTATGTGGATCTGGTACAAGATTTATACGAATCCGGCTTACCGAGTTCCGGGGGCAAAAAAGATTGATGACTGGTCAATTATGGTCGACTTTCATAATATGTTTTCGTCCAAAGAAAATCAGAGGGAATATGTTCACGAGTTCAGAAGAAAGTAAGTCTTATAGAAGAAAATGGTGAAGCAAGTAATGTGACATTTATAGCCATTTCATGGCGAATGGACAAATTTATTATTCACTAATGTAATCTTTTTTTCGCTTATAAAATCAGATAGTCTGATTAATCAGAAAATCAGATAAAGACATAGATTGCAATTTTTAGAGGTGTAGCAGAACTGGCAGCTCTGGAAAGAATGGAACGAAAGGGAAAAGGACGAACCGTCACTATGTTCGAAAACAGCAACGACAAAATGACCCTCGAAGAGTACAGAAAACTTGAAGCTGAGCGAGAAGAGCTCGAGCGCGAGCAAGCCGCTAGAATTGCCGAAGAAAACAAGAAATTAATCGAGTACAGACAAGAACAAGCGCTGGATTATCAACGAAAACGTGAAGAAAAGCGGGCCAGAATCATGGGTAAGGATAAAAAATGATGATTCTAGCGCTGAATCATCGTCTAATCATCTCCTTTTTAGCCGCTGTGGAAGCAGAAAGAGCCCAGAAAAAAGATAACGAAGACTAAAAAACTGTTCCATTTCTAAAAAACTCCACAAATCCCTTTTTCTAAAGAGAATTTCTTCGCAATAGAATGTGGCGTGCCCAAGCTGGCCATAAAATTCAAGCGAACAATGATTCGGATGACGATTGGGAGACCGAGGCCGACTTTGAGAATACAGCCGATGATAGTGTTACAAAAGCACAAGCGAGAACCTTTGGGGACAAAAACAACCCTAGTGTTATAAATGTAAGGGTTCTTTTACTAGAGTTGCAGATGCAAATTGATCATTTTTTTCCTTAGGCGGTCGCGACAGAGCACGAAAATACAAAAGCCAACTTCCTTCATCATTCCCAAAAAGACCATTCTCACGGCTTCGGCGGCAAATTTGGCGTCCAGGAAGACAGAAAAGATGCTTCTGCGGTAGATTTTTCGTACGACGGAAAAACTGCCAAACATCAAAGTGCCACTGATTTTTCAAAGGGCTTCGGGGGCAAATTTGGCGTTCAAAAAGACAGGCAAGATCAAAGTGCGAAGGGGTGGAATCACATTGAAAAAGTCGAGAAGCACGAGTCTCAGACGGATTATTCGAGAGGTTTTGGAGGCAAGTACGGAGTGGAAAGTGATAAGCAAGACAAAGCAGCTGTTGGATACGATTACGAAGGAAAAGTCAAGCTTCATGAGAGTCAAAATGCAGCGGGATCAAAACCGAAGGCGCCAGCGAAAGCATCCGATTTGCGAAGCAGATTTGAGAAAATGGCGATGGAACAGGAAGAAAAGGCGAAGGTAGAACGAGAGGCAGCGCAAAAGGCGCGATTTGGCCGAGATGCTGCAGAAAGAAAAGAGCAAGAGCGAAAAGAAGCTGTGGAAAGAAATGCACCAGCTCCTGTTGCACCTGCTCCAGCGGCGAGTGTTGAAGAGGACGTTCCAAGAACTTCGGTTTCCGCAGCAAGACAAGCGTTTATGAACCAGCAAGCCCCTGCTCCAGCTCCTGTTCAACCAACTCAGAGAAGGAGGAGTAACATTTACTCGACTTCTCAAGAACCTGAGCCACCAGCGCCTCAGCCCGTTGCTCCAACTCCACCAGCTCCAGTGAGGCAACCAGAACCCGCGCCGGAGCCTTATTACGAGCCCCCAGCTCCCGTCGCCGCAGTCAGACAGCCTGAACCAGAGCCAGAGCCGTATTATGAACCGCCCGCACCTGTTCAAGAAGCAGCTCAATATCAAGAACCTCCGCAACCGACGTTTAATGATTCTGTTCCAGCGCCGGCGCCACAAAATGATTATCAAGAGGATATTTATTCGATGCCACCTGCTCCAGAAGAGGAACAGACGTATTTTGAACCCCCTGTTGACCCTGTTCCTGCGAAAAAGTCGGCTCCTCCACCACCACCTCCAGCACAACCACAATTTGTAAGTTCTTTCAATGTATTCACATTTAATTATGATAATACCTACTAGAACATATGTAACCATCACACAGTAAATTTATAGCACTGGAAATTTATTTTAGGATCAAGGAATATGTGCGGTAGCACTTTGGGATTACCAAGCTGAAGAAGAAGACGAAATCACTTTCGATCCCGGTGAAACAATCACACAAATTGAAATGATCGACGAGGTAAACATTCGCATTGACCACAGTTGCAATATTTCTTCAGGGTTGGTGGAAAGGCACTTGCCGTGGGCACACAGGCATTTTCCCCGCAAATTATGTCGAACTGAAACGATAAACGACGACTTACTTTCTGCTTATTTTCTTCCTTACTCGCTTTACCACGAAAAACACTACTCCTCTCCAATGTTCGATGTGCAAACACCTTCAATGATCAACCCAAGAACAACGTCCCTTCCCGACAATCAATTTCCTTATCTGCAATTTTAAAAATCCAAAGAAAACATGTGTATTCCCTTAAAAGTTTTTGTTGCCAAATCAACGTTCCTCTCTTTCTTTTTTCGCATGTAGCAAAATCGCCAATTTTCACAATTTTGCAACCAAATGAGCTTTATTCCCATCAAAGTGAATTTTCCACTAGAGCTCATAAATTCATCTGATTATTTTTTTTCCTTTCGCTAACTTGATCTACTTGTGCCTAACAATTTCTCTAATCAATTGTTCCTATCAGTCTTCAAAAACGTCAGTTTCATTTTGGCCTTCCTCAGAATGAGCTTGAAATACAGAGAAAAGTACAGATTTGGCCCGTTCTTCAGCGGGAAAGAACGCGGTGATTGTACTTACTGTGAGTTGACAAACAGATTGTTTTGCATTTTCGGCGATGCTGTGACTATAATTGATATGAAAACAGGGCAGAAGAAGGATGAAATTTCATTTGAAGGAGATTTAGTCAGTTGTTTACAAATATCGAAAGGTAAAAAACGGATCTTTTCTTTAGGGGTTTAATTTTTCTCAGACGGGAGTATTCTGGTGGTTGCTACAAGATCAGGACTTTTGAGACAGTACTCGACTGATGACTTCCAACTCGAAAGAACTTGGAAATCGCTGCATAATGGCCCGGTCAGAGTTTTAGCGTTTGACCCTACTTCCACTTTTCTTGCGTCTGGTGGAGCTGATGGAACCGTCAAAGTGTGGGATGTTATCCGCAAGTTTTGCACACACAATCTCAAGGTATTATTTCCATCAGAAATTCATCTCATAACAACCATAGGAGCACGAAGGACTCATTCAAACAATTCAATTCCACCCGAAAAAGCTCGAAGTGTTCATTTCCTGCAACAGTCATAAAATTAAACGATGGGATCTCCTGACATCTTCCGTTGTTTCCGTCTACGACAGTCATGTTTCAAATGTTTCCTCGATTCAGTTTATCGATAACGAGCATTTTCTCTCCTCTGGTCGAGATTCTGTAGTTTTAAAATGGTCTGTAGAAGATTCAGAAGATGCACTAGAAACGTTGCCGACTTATGAACCGATTGAAGATATGATCATGCTTGACAATGAAAAAGGATATTTGACAGTTGGCGTCAGAGGGCAAGTGCGGAAGTGGAATTTGGACGGAAAAGAAATCGCTAAAGAGCCAAATCGAAGAGATAAGACTCCAGAAGAGCCCGATCTTGAATCCTACGTAAAAATCATGAATTGCAAAAGCGGCGCGGTCATTCTCGACAACGGACAGAACTTTCACCAAATCAATGAAAGCTTAGAACGACAAATTACTCTTAATGGAAACTTTGAAGAAGTAATTGCGACTGCCTGGTTGAGCGTCGATACCTTCGCCGCGGCTACAAACTCGCCGGAAATTCATATTCGAAACTTGAGCAACGGCCACGCTAGAATTCTTTCAGGACATTCGCATGCTGTTATTTCAATCGATTCTTACGAAAACATGATCATCTCAGGCAGCAGAGACAACTCGATCAAGCTTTGGATCGAAAACGAAGAAACTGGAGTTTATGAAAACGTAGCCACTGCTGGTGGACATATGGGCGCTGTCACTGGCTTGAAATTTTACACGAACGGGGAGCACTTTGTCTCCTGCTCTGAAGACAAAACTGTCAAGTTGTGGAAAGTCGATGGCGAAAACATCTCCTGTGTGTGGACTCAATATGATCACGACAAGGCGGTGAATGGAATAGATATTGCACCGAATAATCAACTGATTGCCTCTGCTGGAGCTGGTGAATATTCTTTCAAGACCTCTTTTCTTAGATTTTTTAGATAAGAAATGCGTCTTGTATCGAGCAAAGGATGGAGCGAAAATCGGAGAGTTTGAGGGGCATCGAAAGGGAATCTGGTGCTGCTCCTTTTCTCCAGTTGATCAGGTTCTAGCCACCGGATCAGCTGATGGGGACATTAGAATTTGGCATTTGAAGGAGCAGACTTGCATCAAAGCTTTAGAAGGTAAATCATTTCATGTCTTTTGTCTTAAAATGATTGAAGGATCTGACTGTTCTGTTTTGGATCTGATCTGGTCAAAATCCGGCGACGATCTGATTTCCTGCGGCTCAGACGGAGTCATGCGCATTTGGAGCCTGCAAACCGCGCAGCAAACTGAAACGCTCGAAGCTCACACTGAACGATGCTGGGCAATCTCGGGGCAAGAAGATCTATCTTTGATAATTTCCGCCGGTGGGGATGGGCAGATTGTTTGCTGGAAAGATTGTACAGAAGCAGTGAGAGAAGAGGAGCAGAAGAATCTGATCGAGCAACATATGCAAATGCAAACGATGAATAATATGATGCAAACAAAGCAGTTCAAGAAGGCCTTGGAAATTGCCGTCAGATTGGGAAAGCCTGGAGCTGCGATGAATGCTTTGAAGGTCCCATTGTTTGCGTATTTTCACAATTTAACAATTTATTCAGGAAATGAGTAAAGAAGATATCAACGAAACAGTCCCCCTTTTGAAATCTCAGACGAAAATGAAACTCCTGGAGTTCTGCACGACCTGGAACAAGAACTCAAAGACCGCTTACATTGCTCAAATCACCATGGCCTCCATTTTCCGATCGATACCGCTTGAAGAACTCCTGAAAGACTTCAGCTTGAGGAAGAATGTCGAGGGCCTGTTGCCATTTACAGACAGATATCGAAGAAGAATTGATAACTTGAAGATTCAGTCGAGATTCGCCAGCTTTGCGATTTCGACGGTGAAGATTGCGCCGGAAATGGAAAACTGAGCACTGTCAAATAAAAAAATATATTTAAAAACTAAAACTCTTTTTCTCGAGTTTTCAGAACGGAAAGAGATTTGAGAAATACTTCATATTTTCTTGTTTAGTATGGAAAATTTGAAAAGACAGTTCGATTTCGCAGCCGATCACGTGCAAAATAACGTTTCTAGTGTAAATCAAGATGTATTGATTGAACTATATGGTTATTACAAGCAGGCGACATGTTTTGGGTAAAAACGCTTTCAAATACTTTTACATGCAATGATAAGGGAATTCGCAGACGCGCCAAAACCAGGCTTTTTGGACTTCAAAGGGAAGAAAAAATATGCATCTTGGGAGAAGGCGTCAGTTTGCAGTAAAGAGGATGCGATGGAGAGATATGTTGGTTTAGTAAAAGAAAACTTTGCTGATTTCAAGCCAGAATCGGTCCCAGCCGACTACACCAAGAAACCTTCGAATATCATGGCCAAAAGAGTCTCTCGGATGGCACCGGTGGAACAGCCAAGCTCAGATAAGGAAGATTTATCTGAAATCTTGGGAAAGGGTTAAAATCGACTTTGACAGCGTTTTTTTTAAATGTAACAGCCGGGTCATGTTACATTTAAAAAAATGCTGTCTTTGGAAAAGAGTTTTTGGTAGTTATTTAAAGGAAGTTTGTTTAACCCGGATTAGTGGCGGCGCGAGATGGCGAGGTTTCGAGGATAGAAGAGCTCTTACTGAAGGAACCGCTAAGTATCGAAAGTGTCGATGACGCGAAAAGGAATGGGTTTATACGTAATTATATATACGGAATTCATGATTAATTATTTCGTTAATAATCTCGGAAAAGAACCGCTCTTCATTGGGCCGTAGATCGCGAAAACACCGACGTCGTGGAATATTTACTAGGCAAAGCGGAGTATAACGAAACGCTTGTGAATGCGACAGATGAAGACGGCTGCACGGCGTTACACTACGCCGCGACAAGTGAAAGTGAGCAAATCCTGAGAATCCTCGTCAAATACGGTGCTGATCCGACTATTGAAGACAACTTTGGTGAAACGCCGAAGACAATCGCGCCAGGGCTTTTTTAAAAGAGCTAGATTCTGTGCTTTATCTGTTCTTCTTCATGTGATAACTTTTTCTGCAGTAACAGTAATATATATTTATCCGGTTAAAATTGTATGCTGGGGAATCGTTTCTCCATCCAAAGAAAACATTGACCTTTGACCTTTCCTTTGAAATTTGGCTTTTCTGAGTTATTCTCATGCTCCCCTAGTTTCTCAAGTCTTATTTTCATTGATACTTTCGTATTCACTCGCTAACCACGCTTCCCACACACTAGAATGACCTCCTGGCAAGCACCATTCTAGTGCCACTGATAAGGAGCGGCGCGACTTCCCCCGCGGCACCATATTGTAACGTGAAGATTTTATCCTTCAGCCTTTTTTCCTTGTGGACGAACGTAATTACGGAGATTTCCGATACATGGCCGACAAATCAAATCGCTCGGATCTTCAAGAGGGCTAAGAATAGGAAGATAATAAAGAAATAAAAAGAAAACAGTGAAAAATGAAGCTAAAGCAACGACTCGCGCTAGCCACTTTTTGTGGAATAGTATTCTTTGGTAAGTAGAAGGCGGATCTTCTACTGCCATTTCAAATTCTAGCATACAAAGCGATAGATGATCAAAGTTACATATTTGATGCTTTATTGAATACTCCTACAGCTGAAGATATTTTAAAAGAGTAGTGATTGGAAATTTTAATGTTCTTATCATTGGATTTCTGTGTAGTACTGCATATTGGGAATTTTTGGGGCGAATAGTTAACGATTCAAATCTGGCCTTACTTAGGTGAGATATTTTTTAAATGCACGATCTTATCTCACTCATAATTGACCATGATTCTCACTCTTATTTTAAATGATCCAAATCATTATATAATGTCTATAAAATCCATCTCGGAAGAATGACAAAATCTCCCCTCGTGCAAATTCTTTTCTGACGTGTGTGTTTAGTAATCAAGCCGCTGATTGAACCCGAGGAGGGCGAGTGGCATCCACGACACCGTCGCCACCACCGCCTCGTTCACCGCGCAGATTATGACAGCTTGGCTGACAGAAAATCGCAGGGTTTTGCGGGTTCGCAGCTACACGGGCCGAACTTTGAGCGACACAAGAATGCTATCAGGTAAGTTTCGACCAGTCATTTTAATCTTCTATTATTTTCTCAGAGAATACCACATGGAAAACGGAGGAGGTGAAGATCAGCTTTTAAGAAGGGAACATCCTGTCGCTCCAGCCAATCCTGTCATTCCCGCCGCTCCTGTCGCCCCTGTAGCTCAAGAACCCGTACCTTTTGTTCAGCAACAGCCGCCAAAACCCGTAGAACCGGTCGCCCCAGTCGCTCCTCAAGTTCCACTAGCTTCCGTAGCCCCGGCCGCTCCCGTTGTTCCTGCTCAAGAACAACAACCTGCAGCTATCGCTCCAGTTGTTCCTCAAATACCCCAAGAGCCAGTTGCACCGAAGCAAGAAATATCTGCAGTGTCAGTAGATAGTAGCGACAAAAATTTCCCATCACTAAAAATAGAATCCAACGTCGACCAAGACGCGATCGACTCTGAAATCAGTCGCATCGTGTTGAACTCAGAGAAGCCTGCGATGAAAACGAACGCCTGGGAAGTGGCGAGAAATTGGATTCGCCCGCGACTCATCTGTAATTATATTTATCAATCGTAAAAATACTCAAATTTGGCATGAAATTTCTATCTTTAAAAACTTTTGGTAAATTGGATTGAAGCAATTTTCTGACTTTCCCTTTCAGATCCACAGAATCACCCCCAATTGGGATGGATTCTCAACCATGCAGCAACTGTAAAAATCAAGAAAGCAGATATTCTGCCTAAGGGAACCCAGCTAAAGATGCTCGTGTATCTCGAAGGCAACCAAAAAGCTGTGTTCAAGCCAAAACGATACGAACGGGACTTTCAAGTGCCCGGAAAAGCCTGGAATGGATACGATAGACACAATGCCGAAATCGCTTCGTTTCATTTGGGTACGATTTCACTCTAGATCATGCAATATTTTATTTTAATCGGATTTTAGACCGAATCCTTAACTTCCGAAGAGCGCCACTTGTGACCGGGCGAGTTGTTGACTTTACCGAGGAAATAAAGCCCGTGGCGGCGGAAAGACTCTCCAATACTTTCAAAGAAGTCGAAGGAAAGTCCTGCTTCTACGGCGTTTGCTACTACTGCAACGAAAATGAATATGCATGCGGTACGTTTTGACCTGAAAACGGCTGAATCAATCATGAAATTTTAGCTGATGAAAACGGAAAGCTCGAAGGAAGTCTTACTCTTTGGTTCCCAGAAGACAAGAAGCTCGAGAAAATCCGCCATCCTTACCAAAGAACTTATAATGACGAGAAACAAGCGAAATGGGAAACTGATGAAGAGTATTGCAACAAATATGTGAAGAAGATCGAGCCATACAATAAGGGACCTCGTCTTTTGGACATCATGGACACGTCAGTCTTCGACTTTTTCATCGGCAATGGAGACAGGTTCTTTCTTCAGAGAAGTTCTGTGATTTAACATGAAGTGTTCAGACATCACTACGAAATATTCAAAGACACGCCCGACGCAATGCTGCTCCTTTTAGATAATGCAAAGTCCTTTGGGAACGCGACTTTAGATGACTTGTCAATTCTAGCGCCGCTCCGCCAATGCTGCCTGTAAGTGCTCCCCTCACTCATTCATTTTCAATACAGTTTTTTCATTACTGTATGAAGCAGACTGGCAATCATGATTAATTAGATTGCGACAGTCTACATTCGACCGCTTGGTGTTTTTGCGAAATGGACTTTTGACGAAGTTTCTGGTCGAGGCGATGAAAACGATCCCATTGCGCCTGTACTTCATAAGTCGCATATTGAAGCGATCAATCGACGAATGCCGATTATTTTCCAGACGATTCAATCATGTGTAAATAAGTAAGTTTCTGATAAATTCTTTACGAAACGATACTGACTGGTATTTCAGGCACGGTAAAGAAAATGTCATCATGGAAGTTTGGAAAGGGCAAGAATAAATGATGACCAGTTGCCAAATCGAACCTAATCCTGCTAGCTATCCTTCAGTTTATTCTTTTCTATTTGATTCTGTATGTACAATTATCTAGAGTACTTTCTTGAATAGCCTTATTTAAAAAAATCCACGAATACTTATACTAATTTTATATGCAATTATCCTGTAGGATCAGGCAAAGGCGAGTGAAAAGTATTGAAGAAGCCTGGGGTCGAACCAGGGACCTCCGTGTTCATGAACCGGTGTGCTACCACTGCACTACTTCTCCGGGGACTTTCGAGCCAGTTACTATGCCTAAGAGGAGAGGACCTTCTCCCACAACTCCCCCTAGTAACTGCTCTAACAACTCGTCTTACATATGCCGCCTTGGGTTTTGGTTCTTTGTCTGGTGCCACGGTCCCCAACCGTTACAAGCCTACCAACCCTCCCAACCTTCAGCTTCTCCTGAGCTACTGAGTGAACCTTTGTCAATCTCAGCTTAGGGTTTGTTTTGGCTACCTAGACAACCCACTGTCTTCACCAGTTTGTAGGATCAGGCAAAGGCGAGTGAAAAGTATTGAAGAAGCCTGGGGTCGAACCAGGGACCTCCGTGTTCATGAACCGGTGTGCTACCACTGCACTACTTCTCCGGGGACTTTCGAGCCAGTTACTATGCCTAAGAGGAGAGGACCTTCTCCCACAATCCAACCACTGCCAATTATAAAAACAACAGGGTAATTAACCGACCCCGATTCTCTTCTGTACTGTCTGTCTTCTTATAAAGCTAATCATGCTAATGTCAATATCGACACTTGTATGACCATAATATAATATATTTGCCGGCATTCGCAATAAATATTAAAGAAGCACAGGCGTCAGCACAGCGCGGACTCTGGCTTTTGCTCTCTTTCTTTTCCTTTGATAAATATTATAGAGAAAGGCCTATTTGCCGACTAAATGGAATGTTTGCAGACCGACATTGATGTTGCTGGAGTAATGCGTTTTCAGCAGTAAAGAGTCTGAGAAGAGATGGTTATTGAGCAATTACTGAAGAAAGAACTTAAGTTCAGGATGTATTGTAAAGGGGAACGACAATCGTTGATTCTAGAGCTGGCGAAACCCTTTAAAAGGAGCAGGAATAGATGAAGCTTCGCTTAGGATCATCATCTTCATTTCTTACTTCAGTTTACTTGATTAGGCCATTTATTCGACCTTTTCTAGCAAGTTCCAAGCCCGCCTAGGAATCGATGCACCTGTAGGGGTGGGTGTTTATTGTTTCTAAAAAGCGTCACCAAGTGACGGATAAAATTCTTTTGTTGAGGATTGAGGATCAGTCACGCTGTGGAGGGGCAGCAGTAGGTGCCATTCCCTTCGGGGATTCTGAAAGTCGCCCCCGCTCAGAGCCGAAACTGCGAAAGTGGCTCAGAAGGCTGCGGTCAGAGCTCCGAGATAATCCTCCCATGCCACTTGTCACTGGTGTCATCGCCGATTTCAATCGCATCCACGAATCGCATAGAGAATACTCCTACCCTTCACAGCGCACCTTTTTAACCGGAAATCAAGGAAGAGAATCGCTTGGCTGGATACTTTTGGTCAGAGAAATAACCCGAATTCAATCCGAATTACTAAAAGATCTTTTTCTCGGTTTTTAGGTTCAATTCAATTAATTTAATTTAGGAATCTTTTAATAAAATAAAAACGTAATTAGTGTTTAGTAATCACTAATTACGAATGCATATCTTCAGAAAATTTCGAGAATAAATTTCAATACTTCTAGATATGGTGGGGACCTGAAGAGAATGATGACTTTCTGATTTTTCGGCATCTTCAGAAAGTAAGTTAATTTTTAATCTTAAATAAAAATGAGTCATTGACATTTTAATCGCTAAATGTCTATGAGTCGGTCAAAGTCGCCAAATTTAATTGGCCCCAGCCACACCTACTCATTCCTGACCATAGGAAAAGCAAGAGAAACTCTGGTAGAAAATCAAAAATAGTCAAAGAAGAATTATCCAGAGAAAACTGCTGATTTATTTTAGAGATCACAAAGATAGCGAAACAACTTTCCCACGTGAAAAAGTCTTAACTTTCTTTTGAATGCCCTGGAGTTAACTTTTCGAGCTGTTAGGGTGATGGCCAAGGTCAGGGGAAGGTTGGGTTTGGGCGGGTCGTGGGTGGGTTAAGTTAACCAAAGGTGGTGTTAATAATTCCAATTCGTGGGTGCCGACCTGTTGCGCCACCAAGTGGAGAGCCGGCAGACGGTCAGATTACGCGGCTACGTGACCAAAGACGCGGCATCAGACTGCGACGCAGAAGAGAAAGAGAAAATAAGAGAGACTCACTGAATGAGTGAACCACACAGAGACTGCTCGATTCGAAAACACCACCTATTTAGACTAATTTTGATGTTTTTCTTGCGCTAGAAACAATTAAATTCCAATTTGAAGATTTCGTCGATAGTTTCTCTGACTCATTTGGCGCTAGAAATTCAATTGTTTAAAAATATCTTGGTTAATTTTGATCACTCCTACAGGAAGGCGACATAAGGAGAGTTAGCTCAACCTGTTATTTAGAATTTTACTGAAAAGATCTTCTCCAAAATTGACAAGAACTTCTGGTCCAGAAGCGCTCGAAAATTCTAGAGAGAACAAAAATCCGCACTCCGTTAGAATCTGGAGCCATCGCAGACTCGGACGCATTGTTGAAGTAATTTCTGTCAAGCTCGGGTTTATCGGTGTGCGGCGAGCGCGTCATCGACGAAAGAGATCCTCCCTGAAGACAACGAAGAGAATCGTATGAAAAAATATTGCCAGTTCTGTTTGAGGTAGTGGGTTGTATCGCTGAGGGAACTGAAACAATATTTAACCCTGGCGCTGCAACAAACTACCCCCTACGGTGCTTGGTGGTACTCGCCGAAGGTCATGATTCGTGAATCATGGTACAAATTGTATCGTTATGATCAAAATTGGAACAGATCACTTTTAATTACTTTCTTTCTTTATGAATACTCGGATGCTTTCACATCCTGTCAAGTGTCTCTGTAGTGGTTTTCCTACTGTTTTCGCTTCGAAATATGGGATTCTAGCGCGCGTGGTCAACGTAATTATGCCCAGTGAGCCGTGACGCGCCCAGCGCCAAGGCTACCATTCCATCATGCCTTGACAGCTCCCTTCTCTCTATTCCAGCGTTGGCGATATGGCCAACGCCGAGTTCGTACGACCAAGTCTAGGTCCGTGCCACCGATGGGTGGTGTCCTATACTATAAAAACGACTGTACCCCTATAATTTTATCATTCTTTTCCCTGACTTCACAGGTATAACATAAAATATTATATATATATTTTATTATTTTCTGCTCACACCTATCAGGGTTAATAAACTTATTCGAGATTGATTCCCGTGTTCCAATTACTTTCAGTATAAAACCACCATATATTTTGGTGACTGAATTAATCGGTACGCCCAACAAGAGAGATATAAAAAAGATACAAGAGATAAAACATCCGTAAATTTATCAATGACGATCCGTGAATACATACTTATTTATCATTTTTTATTCGATAAAACGGGCATTGTTTTGAATCCTTAGGCAATTTTACCCGATTTTCTCGATTAGTATGATAATAAGTTTTACTTCCGGAATAAAGTTGATATTTTTTTAATTCGAAAAACGGAATCTCATTGCTCTCAAATCCGAAAATCGAAAAAAAATCACCTCAACCGGAAATCAAACTGATGATCAAATCCCTGAAAACGACAACTTAAAATCAATGTGTTCTTCATGATAATTACCAATCAAATGATCGCTTATCTCAGAAGAAATCATAAAGGTCGTCATGTTCCAAATCCTGAAAGAAGAAATTCAAAGTTCCTTGATTTTAATTATCATTCCGGGAAGACTTTAGATTTGAATTCACATAGAAACTCATTCCAAAGAGGTGCCGAAATTCGTGTACGGTTCTGCTATGCAAATGAACCTCGGCCCATGGAACTGGTCAAACGGGAAATAATATTGCTCAATCTTCGAAATATTTCTCAGCGTGCTACAGAATGATCTATTCTCATTAACAGAATATAATAGGCGCTAATGATCAATCAAGAGTTTAAAGCTCAAAACATTCACAGCTCTGCTCGAAGCTCGAAAAATCGTCTTTATTGCATCTAATGATATAAAAAGAAGATATCAAAAATTATGAGACGAAGAATTAACCAAGAAATGATGAAGAAAAATGACGGACATTTCATCACAAGCGCAATACAAATTTGGTTTAAAACAATCTTGCTTAATGGACTCCGATATGCTGCTCATCAATTTTGGTTGCAGTAGAACAAGCATCCGCTCAGATGTTCCCACTCTTCTACTTGCACCTCTTATCAAGAACCGTCAAATGTGCCACAAAAGTGTGCAAATTTCGACTCACTCATTGAGGCCACACTTCAATCTTCATCACCAAAGTAAAGCTGAACCTGCTCGTCGTTCAGACGTCCTCACATGTCCAATAATGTTAACGATCCCTGCTCATCAGATGTAATCAGAACGGAAAAATTGAGACTCTGGTAGAAATTATTATCTTACGTATTAACGGAAAGATGATCTATGCTCCAAAAAAATGCCTTTCCAAATCTAAGATCTTTAGCTCTTTAAATAGGCAAATTAATAAGAGTTGATTTATAAGTGGATCAGAAAGAAGGCTATCTCAGCTCTAAGAAGCTCTTAGATAGAAACTGGACATACAAATTATGGCTACTGCTCGCAATGCCTGTCTACTCACGAGAAGTTTTTAACTCAAATATCACAAGCTATCTTTTCTCGTGATCAACTTGTTCTCCAATAATTGCACGTTGACGATTGAAAACGATACTTGCACATTGCTCACGCTAGAAATCATTAGCCAGTGCAACTGCTCAGAAGGTTTTTCGTCAATCATGGAAAGAGTCAGAACAATCACCTGCTCGTGTGATATACGCGTCTGATTACACCGCTCAAAGAACTTCGTCGCTCGCTCATAAGGACAGAATATTCGCTCAATTACCCTTAGAAAAAGTCTTCATTTATCAAGTCGATTATGCACAAACTGATTGCAATTAAATATCCATTCACGAAGAAAAATATCGGCGTCATATCAGTCTGATTCGACCGCTCAAACGAAAGACTGCCTTAAGAACAGAATTTATCAAGGAAGATGACGTGGCCGAATCACAAGGGAAAGTCCTAAAAGACGAAGTTAAGAACAAGTCTAAAGTTAACTCTCATAAAGATCAACCGCTCCTTGTTGATAGAGATGAGATCATTCCTGCTCAGAAGAATGAAAAGTCAAAAATTAGCTCTCATAAAGATCAACCGCTCCTTGTTGATAGAGATGAGATCATTCCTGCTCAGAAGAATGAAAAGTCAAAAATTAGCTCTCATAAAGATCAACTGCTCCTTGTTGATAGAGATGAGATCATTCCTGCTCAGAAGAATGAAAAGTCAAAAATTAGCTCTCATAAAGATCAACCGCTCCTTGTTTATAGAGATGAGATCATTCCTGCTCAGAAGAATGAAAAGTCAAAAATTAGCTCTCATAAAGATCAATCGTTCCTTGTTGATAGAGATGAGATCATTCCTGCTCAGAAGAATGAAAAGAAGTTAACGAGTCATAAAGATCATAAAGAGCCAAGTGATAGAGATGACTCAGCTCACGACAACGTTTGGAAAGATCGTCTCCGCTCACGACGATAGTGTTGTCCTGTGATTAGCTGCTCGACTAATCCTTTAATGGTCTAGAAGTTTTGCTCATAACTCGACCTGATTCACAGATAGCTGCTCGACTATCTCGCTCTCAAATCGTCACATTTTCACGACGTGGTGGTGCTCAGATATGCGTTCCCATTATCTAGCCACCGTTTACTCATAACTGGATTGCTCGCTCTCTCTGTAGTCTAAAGCCCTGCTCACACGACATCGATGTCAATTGGTAAATTGGTTCCTCACAACTTCGGCGATTCAATGCACAACTGGAAATTGGCTCATAAGAAAAATTTAACTTCCCCGATCAAGCTCAAATGGGAATCCAGCTTACTGGTAATGCTCAACCAGATCGTTATTACGAAGTTTTCATGCAGGCCTCTGTGGATTTTTGTTCTCATAACACAGGTAATGTGTTTATCAACTGCGCACACGATAAGTACCTCTTTCCTGAACCTTGGTCCAGCCTTCTGCAGATGTTTGGCAATGGGTGCAGTTGCCAAAATCACACACAGAAAGTCCTTTTATGAAAAATAAGGCATTCACGATCACAAGTTCCGCTCAAAGCTACGCTCAAACGCTTTAAATATTCTTAATAATAGGGTTCCAATGCTTAAATTCTCCGTTCACAAGCTTATTTTAATAATCGCCCTGCTCGTACGCTAATTAATCCCTATTAAAATTTTCACGAACTTTATTTCACTAAAATACTTAATGATCGCAGCAATTTCGCTCAATTGCTATAAAATCAAAAGCTCACATGCCTTAAAATTTAGTTTGAAGTTATTACGCTCGTTAGCTTCATAGTTTTCACAAGAGAGTAAAATAATTAACATCTGCTTCAAATATTCTAATCACAAGCAAATTATTTACAATCTCACAGCTCTGTTCACAGCTTTCTATCGCTCATCGTGTCACACTCTCTTCTAATTAGAACTCGCTCTTTGTTCTAAATGTTATCTTTGCTCAAAGTTCTACTAGATAACTGCTCGAATCACAGGTACACATTTAAAGATCACCTGCTCGTGATGATCAAAAGCTCAATAATTGGCGCTCATTAACGATCTCCTGCTCATGAAGATCATCCGCTCAAAAATAAAAAGGGGAAAGAAGTAAACAGAAAAATACCCATCACGATAGGCCCAACTCACGACTTTGACAACTTATCACTGGTCACGAATGTTCACAAGAAAAGACATCGGAATGACCTCACAACGTCCGGAAGATACACTCGATGGCGTATTCTAGCCTCAGAAAACTACGGTTCTGAAAGAGTACTGGTTGGTCCAATACTCATTTTTAGAAGAGAAAAAAACGCGAAAATGACCTCTCTTCAAAATGATTTCTTCCTGCTCAACGACGCTCCTCCAAAGCCGCTCATTCAACGCTTTATCATTCCTGCTCTATTTGATGTCACCATTCCAATCCACTTCTTACCGAACTCAACTTCAAAAGAAAACTTGCAATCGCTGCTCGACTTTTTGCAAGAATTGAAAAACGAAGCTTAGTCCCTTATAGATCACTTTCACTTTGATATCAACCACCTCCAGGAATTGCTTTTTGAAAATCATGACAGTTTGCTCAACTGGATAAGTGAGACAGCAATCCTCTATCAGCTTTTGGTCGATAAAAACACTCGCATCGAATTGATGAGACAATTCCAAACGATCTATGAAAAACGATATTACACCTCAAGGATCGCTTTCAAATTTCTAGAAGCCGATTCAAAATCGTTTTCCGACCAGCTCGAATACGCGAGAACTCACATCAAAATTTTCACAAATGATCTTGCTCACAATTACTCGACTTACCGAATCAATCATGCAGAAACTTCACATTCGGAATCTCTACAAGTCGTAAACTCCATCCAGCACAATTCTCTACCAGAAAATGTTTGGGACTTCATCGAAGAAAACTCAAAATTTCTACGCTCAACGGACGCTTCGCTTCAAAAATAAAAAGGGGAAAATATGTAGTGGTTTTCCTACTGTTTTCGCTTCGAAATATGGGATTCTAGCGCGCGTGGTCAACGTAATTATGCCCAGTGAGCCGTGACGCGCCCAGCGCCAAGGCTACCATTCCATCATGCCTTGACAGCTCCCTTCTCTCTATTCCAGCGTTGGCGATATGGCCAACGCCGAGTTCGTACGACCAAGTCTAGGTCCGTGCCACCGATGGGTGGTGTCCTATACTATAAAAACGACTGTACCCCTATAATTTTATCATTCTTTTCCCTGACTTCACAGGTATAACATAAAATATTATATATATATTTTATTATTTTCTGCTCACACCTATCAGGGTTAATAAACTTATTCGAGATTGATTCCCGTGTTCCAATTACTTTCAGTATAAAACCACCATATCTCGTATGATTCTTCACGTTCTTTTTCCATACGGACATCTAGCATACATATGCGAACCTTGATCATCCTGACAACCTCGTGATTCTGAACCGTTTCCAGATAAAAGCCTGCTCTGCCTGATGGTGAAATAGAGAGTCGAAGAGAGTGAGCTGAGATATTTGTTTGATATAAATTTTATTGAACTGTCGACCTAGCTATTCCTTGGCTCGCACAATAAAATAGCCAATTGAGCCAGGTGGAGACAAAGAGCGTTTAACCCCGTGGCCGGCGTTAAATAATTACGGCAGATGTATTTGAAGCTTTGAGATAAACTCACCTAAAGAAGTTCGGAAGGAAAATGATGCTCCACGCCTTAAAATCATTCTGAAAGTTTGCCGGGAACTATCTTCCGGCAACGTCGAGGGTCAACTTCCTTGAGATTAGCGCAAAATTTCCACCCGTTCATTTTTCCGGACTAACTTAGTCCGACTAAGTGAAGAAGTGTTCAAAATTGTCATGACATCATTTCAAAAAAGAAATGAAGATTTTCGCCAACCAAGAGCATCAGTTTGAAATGAAAGAGATCTTCAGGAAGCTGAGCAGAAAGAGCGACATAAAAGTCGTCGGAATCCCGAATGGATCAACCGATCCCCTACAAAAGATTCAGCGTGTGAAAGAGAGGGTAGAGAATGAGGGGTACTTGGACGTGGCTTTCGTCTACAATGGAACTCATGTGCGCCTAAGTTTCTTTCATTGTTTGGTTTAAACTTCTATGTCATTTTACTCTTAGAACAAAATTTGAAACTAGTGATAAAGGCTTGATGATTCTGAAATTTACTCGGATTTCTTTGACCTTGAAGGCTCAAGTTTGAACTTCTCAACGCCGATGATTTTCAATGGAGTTTGGTATTTCATCTAAAAGCTGAAAGTTTCAGGCTAAAATACGCTTTATAGCGTCAAATGTGTTGGAACTATCAACATGCGAACTCTTGAAGGCCAAGCGAAGTTGGAATTTTACCCGGAATACGCGAAATACGAGCTAGAAATGACACCAAAAGCTGCGCCAGACGATCAGGACTCGATGGCCCCTCATTCTAGCGGAGACGTCAACCAACAAATGGAACATATGCACACGGTACTATCCTTGATTTGCTCTGACAAGCTAAAACTCTACAATAGCCGACGGTGAAACATGAAAATCAACTTTCAAGTCCAGCTTCTTCGTTTTGAAAATGATTTTAATAAACAGTAAAAATGGTTCTTTCAATAAAAATTTTTATCATTTCCAGGCGGCGAAAAATCTCTCAGGGAACGTTTCTTGGCTTGATGAAAAGATGATCGAGATTGTTGCTCGTTTTGTTGTTGATTCCTTCCCCTTCCGTTTGAGAGTAAAGGAGCAACAGGATATTCAGCATCGTTTTGTTGTTCATGCAACACATCTCTTAGAAAGTCAAGTCTATAACGGGTTCATTTAAAAAGAATCATTATTCAAGGTCAACAAGGTCTCAAAAAAATGAAGCTAGAACCTTTCCTATTATCAAGAGAGTTGTCTTTGAAAACTTGCGTTGGAATGTCCATATGACAAGTAGTTGCTCTTTCTGATTTTCTGTCATCAAATTGTGAGGTACTTGTGTCCATTTCCGGGATTGCTGTTGAAGAAGTCGGCACTTGATGATAGTTTTCTTTGTTTTCAGTATTTCTTCGTTTTCTCAAAGGCTGTTTTACATCAAACTTTTGGTTCAATTTGTCCAGATCAGCCATCGAATTTGAATTCTGTCGTTTCATTTTGCAATTCTCTGCCTTTTTAAGCTCAAGAGTAGAAGATCGCTGTCGTATTTGACTTCTTGGTTGACTGTTGATAGATTCCCGCTTACTGAATGCAGTTTCCTGAGCTTCTAAAACTTCGTTTAGACGCTTGCTCCAAGAGTTGACTTTTCTCTCAAGGTTATTCTTCTTGTCCATTATTATTTGTTCTCGAGAACGCTTCTTTTTCGACGGGTCTCTGTTCAACGGAGTTTTATCCGTTGAACGCTCGACATTTTCCTTTTGGAACGACGATGAAAGCTGTGATTCTGCAGCTTCATTCTTAGTTTTCTTATGCACGATCGGGGGATTCGATGAAGGTGTTGATTGAGTTTGATGATATTCAGTTGGCTTCGGAATGTTTGGCCTCGATTTGCATACCTTCAAGCCTGTTTAGGTTTTTTTAGAATTTTCTTTAGTGTTAGTTTTGATACGACTTATTCTATGAAGAAGCATAATTTTAAACCTTTTCCTTTTCTTTCAAATTTCTTTTGAAGAATCTTTTTAAAAGCATTGTGAATTTTGTCAAACTCTCCTTCATATCTAAATCGGAATCCAGCCTTCGACGTGTAGTTTTGCAGATAGAGCCAGCGAGTTATAGTCGTTGTAGTCTGGTCCGATCGTGAGATCCTCTTGAAGAAGCATTCATCATCTTGTTTGATCGTAAAATTTTCATTTTCTGCATAAGGTTGCAAAATGAATTCAATCCCGTTATCGTTGAAGCTCACTCCGACAGGCTTATTTTTCGGGGCTAAAACAAAGATTTTGAATTCAAGTTTACAAAAACTGATTACCTATTCTCTCCCAAACTCCTGTAAGACGATCTTGCTTCTCCTTGACTTTCTCAAGTTTGTAGAGATTTATCACGAAGAACTTTGGTTTTCTTACTGATGACGTTTGTGGCTCCTGGATTGAATGTTTGGTTGGCTCCTAGAAATAATTTCAGAGATTTATCGTAGACATCGTCTTACCTCTTTAGAATATGGACGCTTTGGTGGAGAAGAGTTTTCATTTGAAGGTTTTTCTTTTAAGCTGTTGTCTTTAGTGCGTGAAAGGATGAAAGATGAACCAAGATTGAAGAACCTTTTCATAGCATTTGGATCGTCATGAGTATCGAACTCGAATCGCAAGAATGACCTGTCCTCGGCACTGACAAGATAAATTGATCGACCGTAAAAGGCAGCCTGGATTTCTCCGTGTAAACCAGCGAATATTTCAACTGTATCTTCCAAAAAGAACTGAACTCTTTTCACTTGTATTTGCATCTCCATCTTGATTCTTCGCCCAGGCTTGCTCAATGCCTTCCATTCTCTATCACCAGTCAATTCTTTTCGATAAAGGTTCAAGCCCCAGAATGTTCTATTTTTGATTCCATATTTTCCAAGTTGTATTTCTTCCATCTGTTTGTAGTCGATCATAAATTCCCGATACCCTTCCTTTTCCTCACTCCATTCTGTCGCGTTCAGCACGGTCTCTTCAAATTCTTGAAGAAGGACAGCTGTCGTTTCGTCAACTTTAAAATGTTCTTTTGGTGGCAACTCTCCTTCGTCTCTCTCATTCTTATTTTCTTCTTCATCCTGTTCTGCTTTCTTTTTCCTTTTTTGCGAACTCTTTCTTTCTTTTAGTTTCTTCTTGGATCGTTCCAATATCTCTTTCTGCTGTCCAATGTCGATTTGCATCGACAACATTGTAGTTTCGTTGGACTTTCTTTTCGGTCGACTAAGTATTGAGGCGATCGAGAAAGGATCCTCATCTACTTCAGGAGTTTTAGAGGGTTTTTCTTCTTGACTTGACGATTTCTTTTTCGGCTTTGTTTTTTTCTTTGTTTTCAGCGGCGGGGGTAGAGAAGAGGATGCAGGTCCTGCGTCGACGTCAATATCCAATTGCTGATCCGACAAATCAAAGCTATGTTCTTGACTTTTTACATGATTGTTGACTTCTCCTAGGGACGATTGCCGTTTCAAATCCGGACTTGATCTTTTTGGAGTCTCCAGCGTTGATGCTCTTGGTCGAATGGGCGAGTTATGTTCGTCAAAAGACATTTCAAGGCGCTCTTTTGAAATCTTCTCTTCCTCCTTTAGTTTCAGTATTCGTTCACGTCTATCTGCTGCGATCTTCCTGGCTGTAAGATCAGAATCATCAATCTTCAGAATATCTTCTTTCAGCTGCGTCAAGAAACCATAGGCATATTGTAAGAAAACACCCCTTGCGCCGAAGTCGATGAATTCGAATCGTAGGTATTTCTTTGTCGATTTTTGAACGATGTAAAGAAAATCTTCTTCGATGTAATAGTGGATCATGTCGTTCAGCTTGCAGACCAGGCACATCATCTCAGGAAGGTTCTCAAAGATGAGTAAGTAGCTTCCAGGCTTGATTCGAAGATTCACGACAAAATCTGCATCGGCTAGAAGGATATTTAAAAAATTTACACAAATCTGATCGTTTTTACCTAACGGCCACCACTGCCCTTTTCCATATTCTTTCTGGTATTGAAGATTCTTTACCGGAAAGTCAAAACCAGTCGGCGGTCGTTCGGGTCTTCCTTGAGAATTGCGCTTGCTTTTTGAAACCAACTCGTCGAATTTTTCATGAAGATTAACCTGTGGGTGATGTCGAGGAGCAGTGACATGAACGTGAGGCTGCTGGGAGTGCTGCGGCTGATGATAATTAGGCGGCGGTTGATACTGACTTGGATTTGGCGCTCTGAAATCGAAATGAAGAAAAATAACGGAGAGAAATGGATTTACCTTTGATGGAAGCCGTTTTGGTTATGATAAGGGTTGGCATGCTGCGAATGAGAATGAAAATTGGCCGCAGGTTGATGATAATTGTGCTGAGGTTGCGAATGATGTTGGTCGTAAGGACTCTTCGATTGAAAAGGCGCTTGACTAGGACTAAATAGTCTTCTCTAGCTCTCGTAAATTCTTGAATTTCTTACATGTTATATGGAGCAGGTCTTTTCTGTTGAGGAAAACTGGCCGGAAATTGCGGCTTGTGCATCCGAGGTTGATAAGCATTAGTGACATTTTGCATGGGTTGTCTTTGATTTTGAGACGGTCTAAGTTCAAAAAAATATAATAGTTATCAAACTTTCGTCTTACCCGTGAACTTGGCTGCCCGAAATTGTTGATGGATCGCTAAACTCCGAATACCCTTGTGAGTGAGGAGCTTGAGAGTTGAACCCAGGATGAGCTTGGAAGTCATTGATCTGCTGCGAACTTGGAGGATGATCGTAGCATTGTTGACTCCCATGGGCTCCTTCGTAATCAGCCCTTTGCGAGTTTTGAAAATTCATAGGTTGGCTTTGATATTGAGGTGCCCTTTAAAATAATTGAAAAAAGAATTTTATATAATAAACTTACTCTTGTGAAGCGGAATAAAACTCGAAGTACTCTCTTTCGTAATTTTTCATCTTTTCGCGTTCCATTCTCGCACTTTTTTTATCTGATCATGTGGCCTCTACTTTATCAGATAAATAACAATATTCTAGAAAATTTCTCGCTTAAAAAATCGGACGATCAATTTTTGAGAAAACTGATTTTTTCTCTTTATGATTTTTTGACAAAAACGAGTCAAAAATTAACCATAAGAGTTGAGCAATAAACTGTTGGCTCGAAATTAAAAATAAATAGGTTTTAGTTGAGCCCGGAAACTTTTAAATGATTCAGGGTCAACAAAGAATCGACAATTTGCAAGTTCAGAAAGTATATTTAGATATTTATTCGCATTTTTGAAATTTGTGAAACAGAAAAGCACAAGATCTGGAATTCTTCAGGATAACATGTGTTCTTGGAAGTCAGCTCAGGATCCAACTCAGCATAAGTATGCAGGAATAAAGTACCGCCAGCTAGAATTTTAATTATTAATCTTTACAATGTAACACTATTTTTTAAGGTAAGACGAGTTTAGTTTATTTTCCGGTATAAATTCGCTGGAGTAGCTTTTATAAAGGAAATTCTGTGAAAGAAAAAAAGAAAAATTATCAATTTTGATGGAAATTAGAGAATAAAAATAAATTTAAATTTTAAATAACGAACCCAAACCATAGATTTTTGAAAGTAATCACCGACATTCGAACTCCTTCCCGTTGAAAGCATTTTTTTTTTCTCTCTTTTACTAAAACTTTAAGCTCGGCCGCAAAGGTCTGCACTCTTTTTATTGAATTTCGAAAATCCCTCTTATGCACCGCGTTTATAGAAGGCTCGCCTAGTGCGCCCTCACCCTTAGATGAGCCGTTTTTTCTGTCCTATCAGTCAATGATTAAAATTGATTGAAATGAAAAAGTAATAATCGCAATTAAGTATCCTGAAAGGCGACTCAAGGAGATCCCCTTTCATCGGAGGAAATAGATGAACTTTCGGAGTTAGACGAAAAGAGTTCCATTGCCGAACCGGGGATCATTATTGATTCAGACCCTTGCTTGATGAATTATAATTTATACCTTTGATTATATGTCTCTCAAGATTAAAAGAAGGATGGGGAATTATGAGATGTATATATTGAAATATAAATCTTAAATTAATCTGGTCAATCACGCCTTCAGCAGTTTGTATTGAGACATCACTAAAGTGTCTCAAAGCAAGTGCCATTTTGTCTGATAGAAAATCATCACTCTAGGAAAATCATAGTGCCAGTCGGGCGTCTTCAAGATCGTCCTAGGAAATTTCCCCACAAGACGGTCAAAATCCGTCTCTTGGAACGTAATTACTATTTGAGCAAATAATGGCGGCTCAGGACTTTATTCGGGTAACAGCCAGTTGTCTTAGAGCAAATTTCATAAGCTACAGGTAGAGCTGACCTTTTTTCGTACTTTTTCATATTTATTCAGAGCTTGGTCAAAAAAGTTCAAATGGTTGGTCAGGGAAAGAGTTAATTCAGCTTCATAGCTCATTTCTAACTGAAAATATTGAAAGTAGAGCTTTTAGAATCAACTCGAAAAAAAGGTACCGGACCACTTTTTCGAAGGTGCTGAGAAGTTACTGTCGATTTGGTTTACGACGGAAGAAGGAAAAGGCGAAGAGCACGGAGATCTGAAGAAGATTCCACGAGGGAAATGGGATGAGCTTGTCAGGGGAGTTGATGCGGAAATTTTGTCGGAGATTGAGGATGAAGATGTAAGGAACGGACTTAAATAAGATACATTTGTAGTCTTTCTTACGATAATGAGTTGTGGAGATAAATAAAACAGCTGTCTTTAATCTCAAGATCAAGCTATAAATATTCAGTATGCAATTTATCCTCTGACTTAAAATTAATTAGTTCTCTTATATCCACTCATGTATGATAGCATGTTAATTCTTTCCATATTGATCTAGGTACTCTAAATTCATATCCTACTTTGAGTCTTAGTGGAAGATAAATACTGAGTTGGCAAAAAAATGTGATTTTCAAGTCTGACATCAGAGCGTTTATTTTATCCGAATCATCCCTCTTTGTGTTTGAGAACCGCATTATTGTCAAAACATGCGGTACGACGCGTTGTCTCAAAGCACTAGAATATTCAATCACGCTTGCCGCGAAGATGTGCGGCCTCACGCGTCTTCAGGAAAGTGCGCTCAATAGAAATATGTCCGGATTCGGTGTTGGGGATTACGGGACAATGAATAATTGAGTAACTGCCAAACTCGAAATGAATAACAATTTGTGACCGCGGCGCGACCTCCAACTCAAGTTCGAGTTCTAATTGATCTGAAAGCTAATCGGATGACTTGCGATGTACAGATGGGGACTACAGTTGATAAGTGACTGGCATTACTGAAATAATCGACGCCATCAGTTTTCATTGTTCTCCTGAGGCCGCCATAAATCTGTAGGACTCAATCGCTGATATATTATTTAAAGATAATTGGCATCCATAGAACGAGGATCAGGCGGGTTTAGGGGATGAGTTTTTGATTCGCCTCATTCAGATCAACTTGACTCTCGATTAACCTTGGCGCCGAAATTCAAATATTGTTGATTTATGACGATTTTCTTCATTAAAAAATATCGAACGCATAAAAGGATGTATTTTACTCCAGACGAAACTTTCTCCAGCCAAAAGCGCAGGTCGACATGCATAGTAGTTTTTCAGGAACGCGGTGAGGAGCTCATTAATTTAGATGAAAACAGTCTATAAAAATAGCAGAGTCATCATCACGAAATAGACGAAGTAGGGTACTTGGACAAATTCGTAGAAGGAGGCGCACCGTATGTTATGGGAAAAGTTAATATTGACTGTAAGTAGATGAGACAGTCTGTCCGATCGGATGACTGTCTTTAATATTCTCCTGTTGAAAGATGTCTATCAGGCTGGTTCTTTTACACAAAAGTTCAACGGAGCTCCACTGGGGTCAGTATTGGCCAGCCCGACCAGCGATTTGAACTTATTATGAGCGATCTTGACCCACAAGCGATGAAGCAATTCTACTACAGGTTTGTCTCGAGCATGAACGGTAATAATACGGACAAAGCTCGAACATGCGAACATAATTATGCCTTTTTTGCGTCAAAATCAATAATTACTAGCTCCAACCAAACTGGACACGCGGCGACCCTTTCTTCTGGCATTTCCAAGCTCATACCTGGCGCTAGAATCGACTCGCACATGTTCCAGCCCTGTGGTTACTCCTGCAATGCGATCATTCCTGGTGGATTTTACTTTACGATTCATATCACGCCGGAAACCGACTTTTCCTTTGCAAGCTTCGAGACAAACCATCCAGATGGAAATCACGCGGGATTTATGGAGAAGGTCTTGAACATTTTCAAGCCAGGGCATTTGATTGTCACGAAACTTGCGAACCAGGTAATAAAATTTTCAATACGAGTGCTTTACTTATATAAGCTGTCAAAAACAAATGTGATGTCCGACTTCCGCCTTGAAAACTACGACCTTCAAGATCTCCAAATCACGAAATACCCATGCTACGACGTTCACTACTCTTCTTACGATGTCAGAAGCTTAGCCGACCATTGTTGACGGGTTCGCTTCCAGCTTCAAGTGCTGGAAGATAGTTCAAGTGTAGATTATATTAATTCTTTCAATAAATTAAATCTATTATCTTTGATCCTTGTCGGCATTTTAAAATTGATGCGATTCATCTTAGTGATGAATTTCAAGTGGTAGTTTAATAGAGTCTAGAAGCATGTTTGAACATCAAAATGACATGGGAAAGTTGCTGTAGAAAATGTCTGTCGTCTAATTCTAGCGCAAGTGCAGTCGTTGTGCTCATTTTTTTGCGACAGGTACTGATGTTTTTTACGATGACTGTACTGAAAAATCCATCACTGTCTCTGTTCTAGAGCACAGAAAACGCCAGACTCTTCTAGAGAAAAAAATAATGGTGCTATGATATTTATGAAAAACTTGAAAATATAGTAAGCCGGTGCATCTTTTTGGGGAAATTCCCCTGGTTCTGATTCGGTGAAATACCTTTCGATTAGAGACTGACAGCGCGTATTTTTACGTCTAAAATAAAGCGATAGTCTTGATAGAGAGAGCATAAAAACGGAGGGTTTCAAGAATCTAGATCACTCGAACAACTCTTCATCAATTTGAAACAGGTACTTTTTTCAGAGGTCTGGGAAAAAGGGCCTCAAGTACAAAAGTGATGATATTCGTAACGAACAATTTATGAACCTTGCGTCATTTTATGCCTTTATTTGCTTATGGCCAGCCCGTTCGTATCTGAGATCAATGCATCGAGTGTTTGCGCAATACGTTCAGAGAAATTCAATAAAAAGTGACCTTTCCATGTTTGCTTTTTGAGGTCAAGTCACATGGGCTGATCGTAACGCAGAACTAGTTACTCGGGCGTAGCTTGATAAAGAATCATCTAGGAAAACATTGTTAGCGTAACTCGCCCTTCTGATCGAGGTTTCCCCGTGGGCGTGACCGATCTTACCTGAGGCGTTGGGGCAGAAGTGGGTGCGCACAAACTCGCCGGAATTCTCGTGCTTATCCGCTTGTTGATTCTGGATAAACAAGTTCCGACAGTCGAATCAAACTCGCCCGGTAACCATTTTTATCAGATAAAGAAACGAATCAACAGCAGTAATGCCCTTCCAGAGAAACTCGCTGAAGGAAGAAGATAGATGCAAGCTCTATAAATGGCCAAAGGTAAGTGATTTCTTCGTGCTCTCTTCTATGTCTTCCTAGGTTGAGCTTCATGTCCATTTGGAAGGAGTAGTACGGCTAGAAACCATCGTCGATCTCCAACGAGAAGCTCGAGCAAAAGGCCCAGAGTAAGAAATCAATCCGTTTTTATACCCTAATCGATTTCAGAGACTTTGCGAAAATGATGGGGCCATTTTCTGAATCCTGGGAAAATATGTCCGAGCTACGTAGCCTGGTAGTGATTGAGGAAGGAGACAAAGATCAGTCGCTGCTGCTCTTCTTGGAACGATTCAAGTTCTTCATGGGCTTGATTCAAGGTCGCAAAGATGCCATTTACAGAGTGACGTATGAGTTCATTGAGGACTTGTACCAACAACGCGTCGAATACGCCGAGCTTCGATTCTGTCCGATGCTTCTAGCGAGTTGCAAACTCGAGCCGCATTTTAAGTCATCGTATGGGTTGATATATCTGCAGATTTGAACCTTTGATTCAGTGGAAGTATGACTCCCGACGATGTCATTGTTGTTGTCAAGCAAGCAATCAACGATGCGTACGAAGATTACGGCGTCAAATGCCGGCTGATTCTAGCGAATGTTGTGGGGCTGTGGGAATATGCCCTGCCAATAATTGATCTTGCGACAAGGCATCCCGACATTGTTGTCGGAATCGATGTTGCTGGCTACGAAAATGGCCACATCTACAAAACGAAAAAGGAGAAACTCTTCATAACCGCATTCAATAAAGCTAAAGAGCTTGGAATTCACCGAACCGCTCACGCTGGAGAGGCTGGTGGCCCATCGTCCGTCAAAAACGTATGTACTCTTCCTTGATTTCCAAGGCCTGCCGTTCGTCTACGAGTCTTGAAAATTTCCTCTTTCGATAAATTTTTGATATTTCTTGGGAAATTCCACTCTCAAGGCTTCAAATATTTACATTCTCTGATGGCACCACTGGCCGTTATTGACACATTACTTAGGCATTACTGTATTTGAACGCGGAACGTATTGGACATGGCTATCACATGATTGAAGACCCTGTTCTCCTGGATTACATAAAGGTAGTTTTATTTTCAATGCAACCTAAACGCGAAATTTGAAGGACAAAAACATTCATGTTGAATGTTGCTTGACATCATGCTGTAAAATCGGCGGATTTTGGAATGAAAAATGGGACGAGCATCCGATCAAAAAGTAACGACTGATCTTTTTCTTAATCCTCAACTTTTATTGTAGGTTTTTCGACAGCGACGTTAACTGTTCACTTTCTACGGATGATCCGACGATCTTCCAGAACAATCTACAAATGGAGTATCAAAAGTGTCAGAAACGCTTCAAAGTCAGCACCAACAAGCTAATAGAATCAAACCTCAACGCAGCTAAAGCATCCTTTTTGCCCGACGACGAAAAGGAAAACTTAGTCAAGTCACTAGAGAAGCAGTACGCTCTCATTTCATTTGACTCTTTCTGAATCCATCTGCTTAAAACCTGATTCAACTATATTTTAGCTTATTGAATAAGCCGTTTGATTAAAATAGCTTACTGTATAGACATTTTAAAACTAAACGACGACGAATCTCGTAGAAAACTTAGACTGTGACTGCCTGTACATATTGTTTGATATTGATAATAAATCTTAAAAATTGACCTCAACACTGGCATAAGTCGCATATAAAATGTAAAGCAAAGTTGTCAGATGACTTAATCCGAGTTTTCTTTTGAAGATGACCTGATAGTTGGGCACACAGCCTTAGATCCAATCTCTTAAAGGTGGCGCTCTTTATCTTTAGGTCAGTTAGGGGTTACTCAACGGAGGAAAGTGCGGCGACGATTTTCGCCTCTCCATCAACTTTGCATCTTTTCCGCAGGTGGACAATATTTTTGACTTGGAAATTTTGAGAAATTAAAATGCTATGGCAGCCGCCGAAGTTTCGATAATATTCGGGCCTAAGAAGATATCGAGAAGATGGGAAATACTATCGTTTTCGTCTCCAATTCGACGAACCCAGAGGAACTCCTAGATGTATGTCTTTTTAAACTATTGTAGAGAACGAAGAATAAATGAACTTTTAGATATATTATGACACGACAGAGATTATATTTCTATATCTATCGTCGCTTTTGCTAATTTTGATCATCGGTCTCAATGTGCTCGTTGGCATTTCAGGTAGCAATATGTTACATATTATATGTAGTAATCGGAATATATCTCAGGTCAAATGCCTCGATTTAATGATAAACTTGACTGAACCGTTTATATTCTGCTCAGTAGCCAATCTCTCAAATAACACTCCTTTTTCATCGTTGCATTTGACCTCTAATGCTGTGTGTTTGAAACAGCTAGACCAGTATTAATACGGTACTCGATTGTAGTGTCTATTATGCGGAGACGAAGAGATGTCCAAAACATGTGTTTTGCTTTTACCCAAAATCTTTGCTTGGCCGATACGATGGTTGGTTTTAGCATTATTTCTGTTGCAGTTCTTAGTCCTCCGATGAAAGTGAGTGATGAAAATCTCGGCTTACAGGATAGGGTTTGAAAATACAAAGACATTCATGGCCGCACATGATTTTAATGACCCATCTGAAAGTTTCGATGCGCTGCGAGAGTCTTCGTTGTTGGCACTTGTTGTCAGGTAACGAAAATAGGTCAAAATTGAATTGAATAACTTATCCGTAGACTTCAATCTGCGCGCTTGGTACGATCGCGGCTGATCGTTACTCCACGATCAGACGTCCTTTTGATAGAGATCAGAATTTTCTCCTGACATCGAAAGGTGCTTGGATGCTCAACACGATGATTTGGACTGTTTCATTCGGTAATTTGAGTTTGCCAAGATCGGCATCTAGAAATAACTGTATAAATTAAAAATAAGACAGTCATGCACTTAGAGCAGTCTAAGATAACTGTCTTTTATCAGTGACAAATCTACTGCCTATCGCTGGCTGGAGTCTGGACCCAGATATTGATGATTTGTGCTACGATAGGTACAAACTTCTGTACATCTCCGGGACACAACTTTTTCTTAGTTTTCGGGAAAAAGCAACCTGCCGAGTTTCATGTCTCAATTTCATTCCCCGCGGTTTCGCCACGTGACTGGCTTGACATACACATTTCGATCACTTTAGATTAAAATGTTCAATCAAATTATTTTAATCAAAAATATCTGCTTTTCTTAATTAAAAAGAGTTATGTAATAAAACCATTATTTATTGGTTTGACCTTTGTTTCTCAAGCCAGGTGGAAGTGATCTTGCTATGTGGAGTTATTTTTATTCCGATGCTTTCTCTAATTGTAATTTTGTATACGAAGATTTTATTGATTTCTGTAAGTCTACAAAAATCAACAAAAATCTCAAGCTAAGCTAATTTCAGCGAGCTCATCTCAACTCAATATCAGAGTTCGATCCAAAGTCTTCTACTGTCACGAGGGCTCAGACGCCAAGGTAAAATGAGGGTCAACTGTGCCCGGCACTATTTTTAATTTAAAAATATTGGCCAAGCACATAGAAATTGATAAGCATTAGAGCGAATTAAGACCACTAATGCGACTTTTGACCGCGCCTGTTTAGCGTACTGCATCAGAGCTTATCTCAGTCAACTGCCTCCCTCTCCGGCGGCCGTAGATACTCAATCTCAAACTACTTTTCCCAGTCTTCAAGGGTTGTATATTCCTTCTGAGGAACACATATTTATATTTTACTTAGTCTGGAAGGCATCAAAGCATCATCGCAAAGCTCACGACTCGTCGCAAAGCTTCCAAAAAAGCACTTCGAACTGTCGGATTACTCCTCGGCTGTTTCTTCTTGACTTGGTGCCCTTTCGTCGGCTTTTTCTTGTTTGAAAGCTGCGTTGAAAATCTGAAGAACACGACGAGAAACCAAACACTCGATTGGCTTTTGCTACTTGGCATGTCGAACTCGCTCATGAATCCGATTATCTACGGCAGGACGAATAAAGAGTTCAAACGGTTCCTCGTCGGATTGTATCGCCAGGCGAGAAGAGGAGATAATAATGAAATGACAAGATCAAGAGCATCAAGGTATCTTTATTTTAACTGCTATTCAGAATCGTATATTCAGCGTTTCTATCGTCTGCGGGACACAACAGAGGGAGCTTATGATGAAAAACTACGAAGAAAAATGCGTCTGCCCGAGCTGCTTAGCAGAAGCTAATCGCTCCGGATTCCTTCACCCAAATTCTGACTTCAACGAAAAAGGTCCGCGAAATTATCAAAATCTCCGCGAATATATTCATCTTCCTAGACACGTCAATGTCGTGTAGTGCACTAGAACGAGCACCAGCACTTTTTATCCCTGCACGACGTGGCTCAACGATCTCACTGAACGTCGTCCGAAAATTTGCTTGGTACAAGACAAATGTCGCTACTACGCCGAGTTGCTCAGTAATGTGCAAGAAGAAAATCATTCATCCAGTTCGTAGAAAGAAGCGGAAGAATCAACGAACCTCCAAGGGCAGAAGTCGGGATAGAATTGACTCGATATCGGAATTTTCTTCGACGTCGAACAACGATGTTGAAACTGGAATCGGATCACCGTCAAGCGCTCTTGGAGGACTTGTTATGAGCCCGCCTAGGAAAGAAGAGATTACATCGGAGATAGAAGAGCGTGCCGAGGAAGCGCCCGTTGGAAATCAAGGACGAGATCTTAATTTCGACGAAAATACCATGCTCGTTTTGAAACGATTATGATCTAATATCAGCCAGTAATGGAAAACAAGCCGAAACGAAAACCGCTGTTAGTCTTAAACTTTAAAAGTTCCTTATTCTAATTTATTTCATTTAATTATTATTTTATTAAACGCTGAACATACAAAAATTCATATAATGTACAGTTTGTGCATGATAACGGGCCTGGTTAGCTCAGTCGGTAGAGCGTTGGACTCTTAATCCAACGGTCGCGGGTTCGAGCCCCGCATTAGGCTCACTTTTGTTTTTGGTGCTTGAAGAGGTTACCACTTCAGGCGTCGTTTTTGTCGTTTTAGTTCGTCCGATTCCTAAAAAAATTAAGCAAGAGGATGAATTTGTTCGTATCACCATTTCGATGACTTGTCCAGCTTCGAACCACTGATTATTCGCAGAGAACTTTAGAGAGTTGTCCCAATCTGGATAGTTTTTCTCCTTTGACTTTGCTTGAGAATACCCGATCTAATAGCAAAACCTAAAAGAAGACTCTGAAGCGTTCCTTGAATCGGCAAACGGACACAGTGACGCTATCAAGCTGCCACTTTGAGACGTTGAAAAACCTGTCCTGCTTCACGACTCGTAGTTTGATCTTTGTTGGATAGCCGATATCTCTGAAGAGAATTTCAAACTCTTTTTTTTTCGAGTTTTCTAACTTGTCTCCAATAGTGAAAATATCAGCCTGGCCTCGTTTGAAAGGAGTCTTGTTCGTTTCCGAGTAGCCGAGCTTCCAGTAATTTGTTCGTTCTCCGTGGTCGCCAAAGACTTGGATCAACACTTCACTGTTCGTACCTGCACCCATTGAGTTGCCTGTTCTGATGCAAACTTGGTATCTAAAGAGAAAATATTTGGCAATATTTACAGTAACACTAACCGCACTCCAACGGGCAAATCTTGAAAAGTACAGTCACTCCCAAACCACTGACAACTTGGAAAGATCCAATTTGAGTTTTCCGTAGATAATGTGCAACAATCCAACATCCAAGTTTTACTCGCTTTGTTGGTCGATTTCAGCCAGACTTGGATTTTCTCAGGATCACCATGATCCGGTCCGTTGAATGTTGAAGTGCTCCAGTATTTGCCAGAGCGGGGGAATTCCAGCAGCTCGGAGCGTATGCCGTTTTCGAAGGTGATTATGGCAGTCAGATTCGCATATTCAAGCACGTTATAGAAGTTGGAATGGGGCCAGATATCGACAGTGTACTTAAGAAAAGCAAAGCCGGTTTCGCTTTCCTCGCTCTTCAAAATAGCCTTGACGGCACGAGAGAGGCGACGCTGGGAGATGGGCACATCTGCATTTGATAACTTTTGACTCTTCGGGGTGTTGTAAACGGTTTTGGTGAATTCGGCAACACTTTGTTTTCTTCCGTAGAAATCTTTTCCGCGCTGGGAAGGGAGCTCGATTGCAGTTGGAAACAAGGATGCTTTTCGTTTGAACTGATCATCTAGGAAGGCATCGTTTCATTGGAGAGCACAAAAATTTAACAAACCTTTGCCAACAGCGTTAATCTGATCGACGGACTTTGAAAATTTCTTGTGAATCTGTTTTTCAGGCGCTTTTGATGGATTTTTGGCAACTTCTTTCATTCCTTTCTTCAAAGCAGTTCTATAAGAAGCGGTAGAAATAAAAATGACGGAGAGTGTTAGTGAAAAATGCAAGTTAGGTTTGTGTGATGGATAATTTTAACCTAACAATGCGCCTAGCGTACTTCTGAAGAATACGATCATCAACAGCTGGTGCTTGAGTAAGTTTTTGCGATCTTCGATGGCTCAAATCGTCAATTTCGTTTACTGAAATTATCAGGGCTCGAGTCGGTGAGTTTCAATACCTGGGACGTAGCCATTTGGAACCTGATCCGTTATTGAAATTGTTGAGTCAATGGATTGGATGGAGTCCTTAAAACTTGAGTTTCAATTACCGACAAGAAAGTCACCTTTGACAGTCTTGCTCGTGGGACCTCTTCGATAGTTTCATCAAAATTTACTTTGTGCTTCTGTTTGTGACTTTTTTGGCTCTTTGTTTGATAAATAGGCGTGGAATTATGAGGATGGGAGACTGCGTATTCATCTTCGCCTTGCTCAGAATCAGAGGAAAAGTTCTTCAGATTTGCGATGACGGAGAACTTTCGGCGATTTTTCTCTGAGAATCCGTCAGCGCCAGGATATCCCGTGCCGCGCCGCTGAAGGAGCTTGTTTCTGGACTTGGAATCCGGCTCATCGGCGTTTTTCAGCGTTGACTTTTTAAAAAGAGGATTCTTCGAACTGTAATGACTGACTTCAGCGGGTGCAGCGGATATTTCATATGGTTTTATATGAACTTTGGGTTTGAAAGTGACGTTTCTGTATGAAAAATCACTGCTATCCCCCATCTCTTTCTCTTATTAAAAATCTTATGCGAAAAGTTACTAAGCTCAAAATCATCTTTCCAGATCACTGAAGAGTGTAATCGTAGGGAGATCATAAAAACTCCTTTGCTCCAGATTTTCGCGCTCGATCATTATCCTGAATTTTGAAACTCGTCATGAGAAGGAGTCACATGGCGCAAATTATGCTCGAGAATGAATCAATAAGAACATCAAATGAGATTTTTACTTTTTGGAATTGCTCTTGCGGAGATTCCTAAGGGAGTCGTCAGGAATTACACTTATGATGACCTAGAGAAACTTGGATTCCGTCAAAAATACACGCAGCTGTTTTACGACTCGTACCTCATCAAAAAGATCACTGTAAATCTCAATGATCATTCAAACCATAACTCTTGAAAATAGCCCTTGGTTGAATCTTCATGGATGTTCCTTGGCTGCCGCGAAACCAACTCGACAACCATCAAACTCGGTCATTTTTCACCAACAGAGACATTTTTTGAGTCTCAAGATCTCCCGTCACAAGAAACTTTTACTGGACGCCTCGTGAATGGGGCCTTTACTTACTACAGCAAAGATCTTCCGTCAGAACCGCTTGGTTTTTCTGGTGCACCAGAGATTTACCTTTACAATATCGACACGTATGACTGCACTATCCAGGAAAAGCTCTCATCTATTGACGGAAACTGCTGAAAACATATTTTTTGAGCGTTAAAAAGAATGATGACAAAAACTGTACTTATGAGAACATGGACTGGCATCGAATGACCGTCCATTCAAGTAAGAACAAATAGTTGTCATCCGTCAGGGAATTATATTTAGACTACCCTTACGGAACCGGTTGGCGATGCGGAGAAGTAACACAACAAAACTACCAGTCTCCTGTTCCATTTTACGATTTTCTGTACGATTACTCGATTGAAGTCTGGTTTCTGCCTAAATAAACGACCCGGGTTCACGACCGTTCAAAAATATTTTTTCGATGAAGCAAACTGATAATGTCTATTTTTGATCTGACAATTGAACAAAACCGTTTTTACGTCTCAGCGATTGAGACATGTATAAAGAGCGATACTCAGAGATTTTAGCTGAGGAGAATAATAAAGAAAATGAGCCGCTTCTACGAGATTCGTGCGTTGGTTCAGGTGAGGAGTCACGTAATATTGTGAAACTACAATTTACATCTAGTGTTTTCCAATTTGCTCGTTTTTCTTTGCTTTTGTCAGAATATTTCTGAGGTTATAAAAAAGTTTCAGAGAGGAAACACGAAAAGCCCTTGCGTTGGACCAAGGCCAAAGAGAGTCTTTCAGATCTTCGCCAGAAGATCTGGTATCCTTTCAGAAGAACGAGAGAGAAAATGAGCAAGAGACATGAACTGGCGCTTTTAGCCTGGCTGGGATTGATGCTGGTAAGAAAATTTGACATTGCCATCATTCTAAGAAATTGTAGATCTTCATCAGCAAGCAAAATCTTTCCATAGCCGTTATTGGAATGAACTCAAATAATTCGACGGAAGTTGAAGATGAGACGAACCATTGCTCAGGGGAAACAAATTCGAATGCTACAGAATCACTACAGAGCCAAGAAACAGAGTTTCATTGGACAGAATCACAGGAAATGAAGCTCCTGGGGTGCTATTACTATGGATATGTCCTGTTTCATATGGTAGGAGGATGGATTGGATTCAAATACGGATTCAAGAAGCTACTCTTTTGGTCATCGCTTGTTGGCGCGATAATCAACCTTGCCTTTCCTTATGCAATCCGATTGAGTTACAGTCTTGGTGTAATCTTAAGAATTTTACTCGGAATTTCTCACAGTGGATCTTCAGCAGCTATGACTGAAGCATGGGCAAAATGGGCTCCGCAAAATGAAAAGTCTTTCTTGCTCAATTTGATCTTCTCGGGGATGACTTTCGGTCTCTTGCTGACAAATCTCGCGGGCGGCTGGATCATTCAATCTTATGGTTGGCCCGTAATTTTCCATATTCCAGCAATCGCTACCTTTCTATGGGTTCTTGTTTGGCAATTTCGCGTGACAGAAACGCCCGAAGAGCACAAGACAATTTCAAAGGAAGAGTTAGAACTAATCGTATCGACTCGATCTGGCCAAAATAATATGGCAAAAACGGATATTCCTTTCATGAAACTCTTTACTTATCTTCCTGTTTGGGGATTCATAATCGGATGCATTGGTAAAGATTTTGCTGCTTTTACGGCAATGCAAATGTTTCCGATGTACATGAACAGGAAGGGTTGAAAAATACATCGATAGTTTTTTCAGGATGAAAGTGATTTCAACCTCATTAAGAATTCTTGGATTCGACATCAAAGCAAGCGGTCTTTACTCAGCTCTACCAATGCTTTGCTTAACAATATCGGAAATTCTCATTGGCTATTTATCTGATATTTCAATACGATCCATCGGAATAAGTAAAACAAGGAGAGGCTCAATCATGATCGGCGCCATCGGATGTGGTGGTAGCTTTCTAGCGATGAATTTTATCGGGTGCAATGTTTCTCTTGCCTTATTGCTGCTGAATTCATCCCTTTTATGGCTTGGCCTTTACGTAAATTTATATTTACTACCAGAGTAAGAATAGATTCAGTGTGTTAATATCCAATCTAACGTCCTTGACTTCGGCGCTGAATACGCTGGAAGAATAAACTCAATCTCTAACACCTTTTCCAATTCTGCAGGATTCGCTGCACCCCAACTGGCCGGGGCAATCTTGGAAACATTTGGAAACACACGAAAAGGATGGGGTTACAGTTTTGCTCTGACGACTGCCATCTGCCTTTCTTCAGCCATATTTGGAGTCTGTTCGATCGTTTTTGAAAATATCTTTGGAAACAAAGACGAAAACGTCGCCGGTGAAAAGGAGCCTTTAAAATAAGCCTTATGTCTTTGTAAATAAATCATTACATGGAATAAATGTTTATTCAAGTTTTGGTGGAGCAGGTGCAGGCATTCTAGATGAAAATATTTTTTCAAGCATTCTTCTCTAGACGTTTTCAAAAACAAAAATAACCGTCAATCTTCCTGGTTAATAGCTGTCGAATTCGTATTACTGGAAAGATTAAAGATCAGGCGAATTAATATGAGAAACTCAAGATCAATGAGCCTAGATTCTGACTGCAAAAGAGGGAGATCTCGCAGAAGCAACTCACGCTCAGGTAACTTGCTCAAATAACATGTATTCACATGAAATTTGTTAGTAAAACGAAGTCCCTACCGACGTAGATCTCGATCCCGTAGTAGATCTCAACGTAGACGGGATTCCCGATCAAACTCAAGACGTCGTCTTAAAGACAGAGACGCTATGTACCGGGGTCGTCAGTCATTTCGAGATCATCCACGAGCCTCAAGAACTTTAGGTAAAATCGAGTAAAAATTTAGGATCTATTTTCATTTTTGGTATCTTCAATCTCGGCCGAGATATCTCACGGAATGAACTTCGAAAGGTGTTTGAACGATATGGCCGTATTTTGGTATGACACGGAATGTAATTTAAACCTAAGTAAAGCTTTATAGTCCTGTAACCTTGTTTACGATCGAGAATACAAAGAATCGAGGGGTTTTGGATTTGTGACCTTTGAGAACATTGATGACGCTATTTATGCGAAAAAGGATGCAAATGAAATCTACATCGGTTCTGGAGAAAGGTAAAAATCAAATCTTACTGTCGCGTATTACATTTTCAGTAGAATCCGAATTGACTACAGTATCACGGAGCAATCTCGCGTTGACTGCTTTAAGCGCGACGACAGGCGTAGATTTGCTGGACACAATCCACGAGGATACAATGAAAGAAGACAATCTCGATCGAGAAGCCGACAACGCTATTCTAGCTCACGAAGTCGGAGACGGTATTCACGATCTAGAAGTCGCGGACGACGCTATCGATCCCGGAGTCATGAGCGATATTCTCGTAGAAATCGTTACTCTCGATCGCGCAGTCGAGGCAGGAAAAATGGTCGAAGTCAATATTCACGAGATCGGTCAATAGCTCGTGGCCGCTCTCCATCTCCTTATCTTAGCAAACTTTCTAAAAGCGTCGAAAAAGAGGACGCATCAACTGGATGGTAGCTAGGCGTTTTAAGTTCCTTTATCTAATGAAATTGTTAAGGGGCGCGAAAAAAGAAGGTTCCTCACCTCCTGGATGGTATCTCTATCATTTTTTCCTAGCGTGACAAAATATTTTAGGGGCACGAAGAAAGAGAGCTCTCCTGCACGATGGTAGTTCAATTTTGACTGCCTTACTTTATTTATTTTGTCATGTTGAGCATGCATCACTGCCACACTCAATATTGCAATACATTCATTTATTCGACACTTGTAGATAATTAATGTGATATTAGGCAGTAAAGCAAGCGCAGATTTATTCACCACTGTTTTGTCGGTTGTTGGGGGCGAATGTTCACTCCTCCTGGTCGTTGCTGGTTCACTGGAGGTTCTTAAATTCGTGAAGAAGGAGTTTACAATGAGACCTTACGATTTCGAGCGCCCGATGTGACATTTGTGAGCCCAATTCCGTAGTAATATGTGCCGATGAGGCTATTTGTGTCGTCATCATCGTTGTATCGTCGGTTTTCAAGGTTGTGGCGTTTGTTATCGAGAGATGCTTCTATCTTGTCGACTAGTTTGTTGACCAAATCGTTTACTTGCTTAATTTTGTCGGCATCGATCGTTGAGTCTAAATGAAACTTGCATCTGACGCTGCTACAGTGTGCACTTACTGTCTTTGTTCAGTTCCTTTTGAAGCGCATCTACCGCGGGATCAGGCTTGGTTCGAAGGTAATCAGGGACTACTTCGTGGTTTACAGATGGAACGCGTTCTTCGGTCAATCTAGCGACCACTTCGTCTCGGTGCGGGTTGAGGATTACGGGGAAGCAGCTCGTATTACTAGATCAGCGGATATTCTAGCTGTATTTTTAAAGATGGAGCTTACACAAGTCGCGGAGCACTTTCACTTCTAAGATATCGCGTTAGTGTTTCAATTTGGCCTTATAAAGTGTCAAAAGCGCTCGACAATCTGTTCAGTAGTGCACTTTTCTGACCTTTCCTGTAATAAGCGCGTAGCTATCTAACAGACTCGCCCAATTTGGCTCTCGTCCTTGCGCCAACTCAGAATCAAGCTTTCCCAAAAGTCCTGAATTTGTTAAATACAAAATAGAATCTTATTTTTTACCTTCGAGGGCGATTTTCAAGTCTTTCGAGCGGCAGGGATCTAAATTTTTTCGCGAAAATCGCAATTTGCGAATATTTTGCGATTGCGATACGAAATTTCGCAGAAAATTCGCAATCGCAAATTATTTTTTGATCGAATCGCAATCGCATCGCAATCGCAACTCAGTTTTCGTCAATAATTCGCAAATTGCGATTTTTTTGCGAACTTTGGTCTTGTCAAAATGCTCCTTCGTTATTCTGACATGGGTTTTCTTTGACTCAGAGCCTATTTTCTGTGTTCTAAAGGCTTAATTGTAAGCCTGACCTCAAAAAATAGTCTTAAATCCTTTGAAAAATTACTTTTTACGCTAAAATTTCGCAAATGGCGACAAAATCGCAATTCGCGAAAAATTCGCAATTTGCGAAAAAAATCGCAATCGCATCGCAATTTCCGGACTATTTTGCGTCGCAATCGCATCGCAATAGCAATTTATTTTCGGCAAAAATTTAGATCCCTGTCGAGCGGTGATAAACGGTGGAAATTCCATTATCCAGTTGTTTCTCAATAAGGTTCGTAGACGCCTGATTAAAACTCATTCTAAAACAGGAATTTTTTTAATATTGCTAGAAGTACAGCTTTGAAACATCTGTAATCAGCAGGTTGAAAGAGCATGACAAATCGGATTAGCCTTGAGCTCTAATCGGTATTAGCGCACTACGATCAGATTAAAAAAAGTCAAACTATATCCCGGTATCCGCGGGTCCTCTTCGAGCTCTGGCTCCGAGCCCCTCCGCGGGATTAGCAACATAAACCGACCCCAAATCTTTTGGCCTCTAATTTTTGCCGCTGTCTACGGATTGTTGACATTATGGCACGTCAAAATAATATTCTTCTTTTTATATCGATTCTTGGTTTTATCTCAATATTCGACTTTTTTGAGAAATGGGCATTTGAAGAGAAAAATGAAGATTTACTCTCGTGTCCGGACTTTGGCGGGGATTTCATGTTCTCAAATGAGCCTAAATATTCATGAAGGGCTCGAAATGCGATTTTTATTCAGTCATTTTGGAAAATATTGAGCCTTAAAAAGTTAACGACAATAAATTCATGGGACATTGGCTCACTCACGGTCCGAATAATCAAATAAAAGACTTCAGAAGCGGAATATACGCTTCTATCGCAATGAAGCGAGCTGTTTTCCCGCCACTATTCTATTTCGGGATAGAAAAGAAACTTCTTTTATTAACCATCATCAATATTTATCCCGGCTCAGTTCTCATTCAAACTCTGGGTCTCACAGTAAACTTGAAATATTTCATGTTTTGGACCTAGAAGAACTATCGAAACTGATAACAATTAGCGCCCCTTCGCAAATCGCGGAGAAATGTTTCGAACTTGGTGATTCCGGGGGAACAATACCAACTGGATTCAAGCAAAATATTCCAGCCGAACGAATTGATGATTTGATAGCCTATTACGGCTTCAATCGGAAGAACTCGAATTATTTTTCAAAAAGTCTTGAAATGGATGTTCGCAAGAAAGAACATCTAAATTTCAGCTCTATCGCAACAAGATTCAACTATCCGGAATCGTGCATCCTTCAAGAACATCCCTGGAGAAACATCGATTACGACCAAAATTTGTGGAATGAGATAGTTCGAGCAACCCCAAGGCCGAAATATATCCGAAACGCGGCTGGCTGGATTAGGGATTTACTCTTTGGGGAAGATGAATATGCGGCGATGCACTGGCGATACAATAAAAACGTAAGATATCTACAACTATCGAGTCAAATAAATGTTTTAGGACTGGGGAAAACACTGTGGCTCGGCTGGAGAATGGCGATCATGTCCAATCTACGAGCTTGGAACGAAAAATCCCGCTCTCTTTGCGCAGAAACTGACCAAACTCCTCAAAGAAAAGAATATCTATAAATTATACATCGCCGCTCCTCCAGATCAGTCCCGCCTTGTTGAAACATTCAAGGACGAGATCTTGAAGATCGATGGAAAATTTGATGTTCTCGTTGGATTAGACGCGGTGAAGTTATTGCAAATACGGTACCCGAGATGCAAGTTCATGAAAGAACACATGAACAATGTATTTTCGATAACAGAGCAAGAAGTGTGCTTTCAGTCTAAATTGTTTATTAGAGCAGGTTTGTTAGTATTGAAGAAGGGGATAACGGAATTCAGATCAATCAACTTGGTCGAGTAATATTCGCGAAGAAAGAGATGCTGTCGCATCGAAGAAAAACTTATCTGAAACAATTCCTCTATCAGAAATTCTAGAGCTCGAATTGAGTTCAACTCGCTGGGCATGAAGGGATAAACTGTACAAGGTGAACAAATATTTAGACTTATTTATTATTAAACTCTGTAAGGAAACTGACAATAGTACAGTTGATTTTCGGCTTCTTCAGTAGGGCATGTCTGCAAGTTTGTATAAGCCAGCATGTTGACTGTATTTTTGAAATCGCTGACGACAGGTTTGAAGAGTTCCAATTTAGAGAATGTCAAGGACTGAAAAATTTTTATCAATTTTGAATATTTATGCGAGTTTCTTACGTTATTATTGGCACCAAGTTGTAGCCTCTTTTCAGTGCACTTTTTCTTACAGCGACTTGCACCCTCTTTATCTTTTCTCGTTTCCTTCGGGCATGATTCCGTGAATGGCTTCTCGAGTCCAGAAGAGGAGAAAATCATGGCCTCATCATACTGATATTCTTCTAATATTTCTTTATATTCTCCTTCTTTTCGGTAATAAATCAACAGGTCATTTTCTTCGCCGAGTTTGAGCGGGAATCTATGCTGGTGGCAATGTAGCTTTATGACAACACTTTTACAATCTTCGATCATGATCTTTTTAGTGTTAGAAAAAAGATTCTAGTTGAATAAAGAGCCTTCAAGAGGGCTAACATGTTTTCAACACTTTCCTGGACAGTTTCTGGTCTCTCTTCCACTATTTGATCAAAATCAGTAAAGGAATCCATTCGGTACACCTTGTCGAATTCCTGATCTTCGTCGAAAAATTTCACCACGTACTGGAGAATGTTCTGGTACTTAGGGGATTTAGCACATTCATGCACTGTGAATTGAGTCCTAAAAAGCCATAAGCCTTTGATTAAGATGATTCACTGTACCTAACACCAAGAGCTCTTGCTTTCAGGTCATTTAAGCTGTAATTAAAATGTGTGTGTCCCATCAGACCAAATCTATCTAACTCGGGCTTGAAGATTTCAGTTAGATTATCTTCTTTGTCCGGCTTGAGTTGATAGAAGACAGAGGATTCGTCGAGGTGAAGATCTAGACTTGGGATCTGCTCACAAGTGCTCGTAACATTGGAGATTCCTGCAATCAGGGCTGGATATTTTGAAATCAGCAAAAATTTCAAATCAATTTTTGTGTGAAATCTCATTTCTATCTCAAAATTTTGCACCATCTCAACAAATCTCAAATTTCAATATTATCGCAACTCCCTCGTCATAATTTTTCCATTCTTGAGATTGCTGAGATCTCGAGATCTCAAATCTCAAAATTTTGCAAACCGCGCAAGGGCCGCGGACAAACGTCGCGGGCTTAGAGCAAGACTTGTGATTGGTTCAGATGGACCTGAAATGCTTGAGATCTCAGAATTTCAAATTTCATTTCATTGCAACGCGCGTATCCAACTCACGCAGTTTTCTGAAATGCTTGAGATCTCAGCATTTCAAATATCATTTTTTTGCAAAATCGAAAATTGAGATCTCAGACAGAAAATTTTCTGAGATTGCATTTTTGAAATGGATGAGATGATGATTCATGTTTTTTTCGGGGTTTGAAATTTTTGTTGATTTCAAAATATCCAGCCCTGCCTGCAATAGTGTTGAGCGGACTGTTTAGTGTTTCAGATTTGTAATGACTAACAAACATATACACAAGCTTAATTGAAACATTTCCTGAATGGAGTGACATCAAACGTAGTGCAGTCTGCACATTCACCATTGATGATCTCGTTGATATCGCTTCTGAAGTTAAAGTTGTCGTTGGCGACAATTTTATGCTTGACAACATGTCCTTCTTGTCCATAAAACGTAAGCGCATTGCCAGCAGTTTCGATCCAGAACTGACTAGAGTCCTCTGTGAGCGGTAAACTTTTGAAGAAGCTACCGATAAGATTCTGTCCTTTGTTGTCGTTGATGAATATTCGTCCATACGCCTTGTTGCTTCCCTTTTTGCCATGATTTATTCCTCCAAAAGTGATTCCCATTTTGATATCGCAGTGCTTTCCTCGGCAAGATTCTAGGTTCTTCAGTGATTTTGCTTCTCGTTCGCCATCGCTTTTGTTGAGCACTATTTCTCCATTAGAAATCGCGAGGGTTCCGGCGGTAAAAGTAAAGATGTTGAAGTCTTTAGAAACATCGACATCGTACATTTCAGAAACAAATACGACAGCAGCGGAGTCCTCACTCTCACAGACATCGTCGTTTATGCATTTTTGAGTATCCGCAAGCGCCTTGTCGAATGAGTCGGTGAAAATGTTCAGTTGCTTTCCAAGAGCAGCAGAATCGATGGAGATTTTTCCTTCCGCGTTGTAGCGTGTACATTCTCGAGCATCACTATCTTTGTATTCTTCGGGGACGATGAAGTCGTTCTTGACGATGAAGTTGAATTTAGTATCAGCTGTTGGTTCGTACGAAGGATGAAGAGCTTCGTTATGATTGATTTTAAGTCCAACAAAGCCAACCGCACGACCTGCCAAATTTGCAGGAGGATGCAAGTAAGAAAGACCCGGAGGAGAGACTATTTTTCGCAGTTCATTTTCTTCGATGTAATCCTGACGCTCTTCGAGTTCCGGTAATTGATCGATCAGACACCAGAATATCTTTTTACAGTTCTCAAGCTCTAAGCAATCACTTTCTTTCTTGGCGTTGGTTCTGAGACGCTTCGGTCGCTCAGACATGATCATTTTTGGCTTTTGGTCGCTGAACAAAACTCTTGGACTATTTTCGCCAAGTTCCAAGGATTTAAAATCTCTGGAGCATGATTGATCCTCAGCACCATCTTCATCTCTGCATTGAACCAGCTTGTTCGTGCTCATTTCAGAATCTTTTGCAATGTTGGTACTTCGGACAAGGAGTTCGAATCTGTTCAATCGCTGGAGTAGGCGAACATTGATGAATCGACCTCCATCTTGGTCGTCCTTGATCACAGCGTTCAAAGTTAAATGATCCCCTTCTTTTGTGAATATATCGACTTTAAGCATCCAAGCATCACTGTCCTGGGCGCATTCGTCATCGTTGTGGCCTTCAAGACTGACAAAGATTCCATCACCTTTTATTTTATTCTCACGCTTTCTACGTTTTCGTCGTTTCGTGGGATCTAAGAAATTTTCTTATTTACAAAGATTAACGCGATTACCTTTTTTGAAGTCTTCTTCGTTTCCAAGGTAAAAAAGATTAGCATAATGAGGCTCAGTCTGCATTGAAAAGTGAATGTCCAACCCAATGGACGAGTCTTTGAAGGACTCAGTCACAACATTTGGCAGTTCCATGATCTTGGAAACTCCGTTTTTGACTTCTTCTGGATGAACAATTTGAGCTGGAAGACCGCTTCTTGAAAGTGATTTCAAAATTTCTTCCGCATTCGAGCTGAAGCTCTTGATTTCACTCAGAAGCTCGTCGATTTCTTCGAGCTCATCTTTGATCTTGTCAGAGACTTTTTTCTGGGACTGGATTTGATCTTCGATCTCTTTGTCAAAGTTCGTCAGGCTGCACTCGTAGTCGTCTTTATTGTCGACGAAATCAGCGAGTGTGAGGTTTTGAGGGCAAAGATCAATTTCTCTACGACCTCTTTTCTTTCCGTGAAGATGTTGACTCAGCGTGCTGATTTCTTGCTCTGCATAAGTATCGACAACATTTTCTGCTTCATTTTTGAGCTCGTCGAAGACGGATTCTTCTGGTGGAGTTTCGACATCGATGCTCATAATTGCTTCAATGATTTCTTCCTCTTTCGATTTTGGATTTTCGCCCCCATTCTCTGGCTCCAATTCTTCTTCGTTTTCTCTTTCAAGTTCAGCTTCAAGCTCCAAAAGAAAATCTTCATATTGCCGGTAAATTGTGTCGTTTTGCTCTTGGCATTCTTGAATCACATCCTGATCAGAAACACCTAATTCTCTAAGGTCATCCATCAGTTTTTTGTTCTCTGGCGGCTTGCACCACTCTCGCAGATTGTTTTGATAATCTTCCTTGAGTTCTTTTAGCTCATCATCCAGCAATGAATCCCTTTCGTTCAAAAGATTTGATTTATCGTGCACTTCTTCGAGTTCTTTACATAATTCCTCTTCTACGAAGCCCATAGAATCGCACCCAAGGGGCTCTACTCTTTCATCGAGTACTTCATCTTCTTTGTCTCCGTAGTCGTCCTCATCATCATAGTCGGAATCGCCTGATGCTTCGAAGTCAACTTCAACTTCCGTCCAGTCTACCTGTCGTCGTCTACGACCAAGGATTTCAGTAGAAATCTTCTCGTTGCATTTTTCAAGATCTGCATCACCTGTAAGATTCGCGCAAATTTCTTCAAAGACAGAAACATTCTTGTAAATAAAATAAGCGTTTTCGATAAACTCTAGACTTCGGATTCCATCGTGAACTCTTCGCTGGAATTTTGTCTTGTAGTTTTTGTAAACCTCCGATCCAGCTACATTCTTCCAGACGGGAGTTTTCCAGTTGCCATCAGTAAGCAGCGCGTCGAGGCGTTTTTCTTGAGCGAACTTTTTGATGTTCTCGCCATTCTCTGTCAGGATTTGGACACTCTTAGCGACGGCGTCTTCGTATTCTTGAAGCTTTTGGTCGAATTCTTCGAACATTTCAAAAACGCTCTTCATCGCATCGGAGTTTTCACATTGTATGTCAGCAGGGTATTTTGTCTGACAATCATTGGTGCTGTTTGAGCAGAATTCGTGAATGATTGCGCGTGGCATCTTTTTATCAGAGCGTAGCCATTGACCGGAAAAGTCGGTGATTTGCGTTTGAACTTCTGAATGATTGCAGTGAAGTTGCATGGCTCGCTCGTCAAGATTGTTGAAGTCATGCTCGAAATACTGCTCCAAGAAACGATCAATCTTATCCATTTTGTAAATGTTCTTCTTCGTCATCTTCGACACATCTCCTTCGTAAGTATCAATGCCGTTCAGGATCTCACGATCTTCCTCAAATGCTTTTAGAGCTACATCAAGCTCGTCAGCGTTGGAACAATTGAAATTCTCTGGAAGGATTTTGCTGTAGTCGGTTTTGAGGATATCGGCAAATTCAGTTTCATTGTAGAAAAAATTGACCACGTCTTCAATTTCGTAAATTCGTTTCGACCTGCAGATGATGTCGTGGCCTTGGTCCATGATCAAGCCGTAGATGGACTCGAATCGGACGATCGACAGTTCATAGAGGTCCACTAGATCTTCGTAAGTTTGATTGCTCAAGAGTAAATCGTCCTTTCGAAGCACATCCTCGAGCTGTCTCTTCAACTCTTTGAAATCAGCAATATCTTCCGATCTGGAATTGGTGTTGGAAGCGTGTATCTGGAGCTTTTCAATCTCCGGTTCAAAGTAAGTCCAAGTCTTGACCTTCTGGCACATGTTCTTATCGACGTCATCCACCATCTTTTCCAACTCGTGAAGCGTTTGGTTGAAGACTGGAACCATACCTTCTTCGTCCATCAAAAACTGACTCAAATATCTTGTCTTTTCTGCGACATGATGCTGGAGATCATCCCACATGTAAATAAGCTCAGTATGTTTGGTTTCAAGATCGGTGAGTCGTTGATCAAGGTCGTAATAATTCGGTCGGCTGCCGCGATAGCCGTAGTATTGTCGGTTTCCTCGCTTGAGATTTCTTGTGGATCGTTGAAGCACGATTTGTCCATTAGAATCTTTCTCCAAGTCTGAATTTCGAAGAGGACTGTCCTCGAACTCGCACTGCGGGAAGTTAACTCGTCCAGGAGCGCATTCGTTACAATATCTTCCTCCGTATTTTGTCGATTTACAGTGGCATCTACCATGATCTCGGCTTGGGCAAACCGACCAAGCGGTCATTGGGTGACAGAGACATTCCATGTTCTTGTTGACTGGCGTACATTTTGGAAAGTGTTCGAATCCGTCGGCGCACTTGTTGCACGTCCGCCCGGCGAAGCGTGGGAGACAGCGGCATCGCCCCCGCCGTGTACATCCGCTGAATGACGTTTCTGCTTGACATTTGCATTTGACGCACTTTTTGTTTTGACGGAAGTAGCCGTTCAAGCACATTTGACAGCTTGACCCTTTAAGAAAATTTATAAAAGATATTATACACCTACAGTACCTGTTGCTCCATCAGGACATTCAGCACACTTCATTAAGCCTAACTTATCAATCTCTTTTTTAAAACCGAGATCGCTCGTTTTCTTTTTACATTTGGCCGCATTTGCCGCGGCCAGGAGCAAAAATATGCTCCGCATTTTCGATCACTCTCTTTCGGGCGAGGTTAGTCTGCCCTTAGGCCTCTGGAATTTCAAAAGAGTATACTCTGGCGCTATCTTTTTTGAGGTTAGAGCGGCAGAATTTTTCGTAAAATGTTAATTTTTAACCGGATCGTGTTCGTTTTGGCGGCTCTACCACTTGGCAAATACTTCTCCTGACCAAATTATACACGAAAAGCACACATAAGGACAATGCAATCAAAGGACGCATTCCAAATTTAATGACTGATTTTGACATTGTGCTCAAGGATTTGTGCAAAGAACTGAGCCACAGAGAGAAGGAGCATGGGATAATCAAATATTGATTTCCGGTGCCCAAAACGCAACATCGGTACATTCAAGGATGTTTCAATTTTCATAGGAAGAAAAATACAGTTACTTTAACAAAAATAAAATGCTTTTCATATCAATCCAGAAGCTAATGGTATTAAATTGGTTATTAACAGATGTAAAAGATAGTAATAGTTTAAAAAAAAAAGATCAAAATAAAAAAGAATAGGGTCTTCTTTTACTAAAACTCTTTATCAACAAATATCTAAAACGATGATCAAGTGCAGAGGGCTAAAAAAAGTCATTCGCCCGTTGTAAAAAATATCATTGATTGGGCGCAGTTTCAGTCGATAAAATCAGGCCAAGATACTGTTGACAAATATTCAGTGCGCCACCAGCGGTCCTATGGTGTAATGGCTATCACTGTGGACTTTGAATCCACCAATCCGAGTTCGAATCTCGGTAGGACCTCACTTTTAGAAAATTATACTGATAAGAAAAAGGGGATGAAATTAGATTTTTCTCTCTTTTAATGCAAGAATATTCGATATGGACATAAAAAATAAAATCTCAATTTTTCGTATTTTTCTCTAAATTGCTGAGTCAGAGGAAATGTGAAAAAAGGATGATAAGGTTGCAAATCAAATTACTGCGAGGAAGAAGGATAGAAAGAGAGGAAGCCTAAAAAAGGAGAGAAATTCCCGGAGGCCAGGATTGGCTGGCGCGGGCGCACGGTTCATTTTTTTCTCTTGAACTTTTTGGGCTTCTTTCTTGAAGAGAAAATTTCACGAATCGCCGACTGAAAGAAGCTCGAATCGAGCTGCTCGATTTGATAAGCATTTTTTGGAAACCATAAAAATTCACAAATTTAATTTTTGTACATATAATTCTAGAACAACACTTCATCCCTGTTTTCTTACATAATCTTGGCGGCGTGATAACGATTTTTATCAATTTCAGAATTTGAAAAAAATGGACGCCGGTGAATGGTGTCTGCTCGAATCCGACCCTGGCGTTTTCTCGGCTTTGATCCGCGAGTTCGGATGCACTGGTGCTCAGGTGGACGAACTCTGGTCTTTGGACGCTGAAAATTTTGAACCGTTGGGCGAGGTCTTTGGCTTGATCTTCCTTTTCAAATGGGATGGAAAGAAAGAAACCGCCTCAAAAGTAAGTAAATAGGTATTTTATTATTCAAACAGTTATTTTTTTTCACTCGCGGTCGATAAGTTTCGTTACAGTGCCACAAACAGTATGAAGGTGCTGGAAAACGGGCTTTTTCGGAACTCGGTCGTCTTTCAGCGTCGCGTTCATTTTCTTTCGGTATTCGGAATAGCAGCCTGGTTTTTTGGCGAAAGTAGGCATCACCAAAGACGAACCTATTTTTGGAAGCTTGACTGGTTTGTCAGCACTGTGCGAGTGAGGAGGAATCGTGATAAAATTGCGACCTTGAGAATGATTTTTTGAATTATGATAAGATTCATGAATCTTGTCTTACCTAGTTTTCTAGCGATGGCGTTTTGCGCTCGCTCTTCTTTGTTCGGACAGCTTCCTACTCGGCCAGGGTAGTCGAGTCTTCGGCCTTTTTCAGCGCCAGTATAGGGGATTCCTTCCTGGACGCCGTGAGTTTTGTGACGCGCTTTCCACGAATCTCGAATCGTACCTTTTTATGAATTCAAAAGCTACCCTTTTATATGATAAACAACGTCGACATTCCTTTTATAATGGGACCTGAAACTTTCAGGCTGAAAGGGATGAACTTTTTTGAACTCATTCCTTCAGTTTTGATAGACCTGGCCCAAAAGTTGTGCCAGTAAACGTTCATGTTGATATCCCGCGCCATTTTTACGAATATCACCCTTTTTTACAACAAAATCAAAACTGACCTTCTCCCGCGTCTTTTCCTCTTACAAACAGAACCGTTCTAGAAACACATTTTTCTAGGGCAAGGTCGTCAACGACATGGAGCACGAGAACCTCTTCTGGGCGCAGCAAGTGATCAACAACGCGTGCGGCACACAAGCTTTGATCTCGATTTTGCTCAACATTCACGGCAATAAAATCACTCTCGGCGAGGAGTTGGAGAATTTCCAAAATTTTACGATTGGAATCGACGGCGAGTCCAAAGGCTTTGCCCTTTCCAACGCCGAGGGCATCAGAAAAGTGCACAACTCCTTCTCCAAACAGCAGCTTTTTGAACTTGAAGAGCCAAAGAATCAGGTACTTCATCAACAAATACGAGGATTTGACTGAAAACCGTTTCTAGGAGAAAGAACTTCCTTATCATTTCGTATCATTCGTGCCCGTCAACGGACGATTATGGGAGCTCGACGGCCTCCAAAAAGGCCCAATTGATCATGGAGAGATCTCATGCGAGAACTGGATTGACGCTGCTAGACCCGTTCTCCAAACAAGAATGGCGCAATACCAAGAAGGAGAGGTCCATTTCAACTTGATGGCCTGTTGTGAGGATAGACTAGTTAGATTGGAGAAGAAGCTTGCTGCGGAGACAATGGACTTTCCAAAAAGGTAAGATGCAAATTGTTAGATGAATCGCTAACACATGAGTCTCTTCCAGCCAAATTCAAATGGAAATCGAAACCGAGAAAGAAAAGAGACTGACTTGGGACAAGGACAACGCCAGAAGAAAGCATAATTTTATGCCTATGGTTGTTGAGATCCTAAAGCAAATGGCTGAAAAGGGAAATCTCGTTTCTCAGGTCGAAAAGGTAAACCATTATTTCTCTAGCTCATCGTTTGACTACCAGTTTGAAGGCTGAAGAACGTACTAAAGAAGCCATCGAAAGAAGGAAAAAGCTCAAGGCCGCGAAGCAATAAAAGAAAATCGCGCCATCTAAAATTTCTTCAACCTCTTTTTTTCAACCAACAAAACATGTATCGCCCCACATTTTAAGTATTATTTCGAAAAGTTCAACTCATCTTCTCTATCACTTCTTTTTGGAGAAATCTTGATCTGCCAGTTTTGACGAAAAACAAGAAAAAATGTTACAAAGTTACTCAAAGTTTTGGAAATATTCTTCTTCAAAAGAAGGAGAGAGTGAAAGAAAATGTTGTCGGTAGAGCAGTTGAGCAAGCAAATCGCGGACATTTGCCCAGAAGATCATCTGAAATCGTTTCTGCAGCGTGATGTAAGGCCAGATGGTCGAAGTCTTGACGAGCTTCGCCCTCTTGTGTTGGCTAAAAATGTCGCTCCGACTGCGGACAGCTCCGCGATGATCAGACTTGGCAATACAAAGGTCATCTGTGGAATTACAGCAGAAACGATCAAGCCTGCAGCGGCTACACCAACTGATGGATCGTTTAGTGTGAATTTTGAATTTTCACCAGGTAGGCTTGAAAATTTCGACCCCTTTTCAAAACCGTATTTCAAGTTTGTTCGCCTAATGCGAAAGCAGGACCGCCGAATGAAGTAGCACAGACGATGTCGATCTTTTTGGACGGAATTTTGAAACAAGTTTTCGACAACAACCAGTTGTGCATTGAGCCGGATGTGTTAGCTTGGACGCTTTTTATTGATGTGTACTGCCTTGAAGGTAGTTTCGTTGATTTTTTCTGTAAGCCTTTGATGAGTTACCATAAGAATTTTTCGGCCAAAAAAAATTTTTTTGAGATAGTGGCATATTCTTAAAGCCCATAAAAAACTAGCCAGAATCACAAAATTCTAGGGCAAGGTGACGTCATTATGACGTCATCCAGCTCATTTGAAAATTTTATCTTTGGAACGCTTTTTAGAGCCAAAAACGTTTTTGAATTCTTATTTTCTCAGCGGATTCGGATTCCTCATGAAAAACTACGTGGGGACCCGGGCTCAAACCATCATTACCAACCGGTTCTAGTGTCAGGTAATTTTCGAAACCGGTCGGTTAGAAAAATAAACCTCGGGTCCCCACGTAATTTTTTCTGCCTAACAACATGCTATAAGCAGAAAATTATATTTCTGACGATAACCGCCTCAAAAAGCGTTCCAAAGTTTCATGAATTTGGACCCTTTTCGGACATTTATTAATCATAAATGACGTCATAATGACGTCATTGAGCCCTAGAAAATTGGGGATCGACGTATTTTGACATGGGCTTTCAGAACATGCCATTATCTCAAAAAATTGTTTTCGGCCGAAAAATTCTTATGGTAATTCATCCTTTATTAATTTTTAAGACGATGGAAACGTAACGGACGCTGCCATGATGTCCGTTATATCCTCCCTCCGAGATCTGAAGCTACCAGAAATCACGATAGACGAAGAAACGGCGAAGCCAGTCGTAAATGTAGAGAAAAGCACTCCAGTCTCATTGAAAATGATTCCCGTTTCGACTACGTATGGAGAATTCAGTGGAATATTACTCCTCGATCCTACTGCTCGAGAAACGGAACTCGGAAGCTCGCCAATTACAGTCGTTTGCTCGGAAAAGGGCGCTCTGTTGTGCTTCAACAGATCTGGTGGTTCTCCACTTTCGCAAGAACAGGTCGCGGCGGCCATTGAGAATTCAAAAAGGTTTTAGCCTTCGTGATGACTGGAATTAATAGTGTTTTAGGAGGTCTTCGACGATCTATGATCAGTACTTTGCTTGAAATTGCGTCGCGTCAGATTCATTAAATCAGATTTTGGCCCCCACGATTTGGTCGGGTCCAAGAATGTTTGATCATCCCTCACAGATGATCTTTATCATCTCAAAAAGGATACAGTCTGTTACAAAACCAGCTGAAATTATGATTTTCAGAATGATTACATCCTAACCGAAAATCGAAGATGTCGAAAACGTTTTCTGCCTTGCTCGCACTCTCCAAGCAACTGGAGGAGAAGAGCGCCGGGCTAGCTCTTGAATGTCTTCACGCTGCTACTCTTCTTGAGAACACATCTGCCGAGGAAAAGGCATGCTCGAATTATTTGCTCGGCGAGCTGTTGCTCAAAACCGCTCAAGAGCCACTGGACTCGAAGCAGTTTTTCTTGGCTTCTATTGAGGCTTCTCAGGAAGGGTTCACCTCAAGGTCTTTCTTCTTAGCGTTTTTCGAATTTAAACCCTCAAAAAGACAATAATAAAAACAGACCTCTCCAGCCGCCAGTATCTTCTCCGCTCGCTCGAGAAATTATCCGGACTTTTACCTATTTCCGAATCGACCATCATTTTATCCGATATCCTTTCAAAACACAACGAGGACGACACATTCCTGGCGAAGCTATTTTTCAGCTTTCTCGAAATATTCGCGAATTGCGGAGCTGACAGATTGCTCCAAGTGATGACACTGTTCAAATGCGAGCCGATTGCAACTTTGCGGAGGAAATCAGAGTACATCGACATTTTGATTAATTTATCCAACGCCTTGGTAATCATCCACAAACAAGTTAAAACGAACCGTTTTTAGCTTATTTTGAAAAACTACTGCCGTGCTCATGAAAATTTATTCCACGATATTCTCGACGAAGCTGAGAATAAACTCCACTCAACAACGATTGATCAAGCGAGAAAAGCTTCTTTGAAAATTTATCTTCACTGTCTAAGAGTAAGAATCATCCTTCCTCTCCTTATTTGAGCTAAAAAATCAGATTATGAACGTCCTGACATGGGGAATTCCCGAACGCGGGGATAGAAAAACTGGCAAGAGTTTGAAGCAGTTTCACCAGGAAATCATCGCATACAGTCAGCTACAAGAAGAACCAACAACTGAATCAGATCTTAACTCGTAAGTTTCAGCCATCTTCCCAGAGATAAACTAACTCCGTTAGATTTTTCTGGCTAAAGAAAGAAGAACTAACTGCCCTTGGTTATCTCATCACTGTAATTCATTCCGTCAGATTTGGAAATATCGACAAAGCGATCAAATACAGTGAAAGAACGCTCAATCAAGTTTCCACTAATCAGAGGTAGCAATTTTTTAAGACTCTATTAATCATTTCAAGTTTCTTCAATGACAACCTGCGGATCCTGACCCTCGAGTACCTTGCACAGTGTAAATTGATAATTGGCGAGCCCCTTGAATGCGTAAAAATCATTTCTGAACTCTCGAATCTTGCTCAAAGCGGGTCGCATCCATCGAAAATTAGCCAGGTTTGTTCCTTTTGAATACTCCATCTCAAAGAGGATTTTAGATGCATTCTTTGATCGCTTTCCTTGCAATGAGTTCGAATCAGAAAGAAACTGCGCTCAAGCATTTCCAACTGGCCTTGGAAGCTAAACCTGAGAACGAATCCTTCGTCAAACTATGCATCAGCTTCGCGAAGGGCGCTCCGCTCGATCCTAGTTTTCGAATGAAGAAAGTGTTCCTTTGAATGCGATCACTCACTTGATTTCTGGATATGCGCAGTTCAGTCAAAAAGACCACGATTCTGCAAAGTATGGAGAAATCATTGACACATGTTTTCAATACTTGTTTTTAGGAGAACATTTCGAGATGGAGTGAAAGTATCCAACGCACAGGACATCAAGAGTTTGACGGCAATGTACCTCCTTCTTCTTGGAGAAATTTTCATATCGACTTCAAGTGATGTAAGTTTTTGGGTTTTTGTACGATGATCGATGTAGACAGACGAGATTGAAGTTACCGCCCATCAGGGTTGGGCCGAGGCCCATCATCAGTGAATTTGGGTCGACTGTAGATCCGGTGCCCAAAACGTAACAGGAGCGTCGGAGCAATAGCCACCGTGATGTTTTTGTGATAACGTTTAGTGGGTCAAAATAATTTTGTGTAGACATATTCAACGTGAATCTTATGGTGTCCTTCAGAGTTAGTTCAATGCCCACCCGCATTATTCCAGTAATTACGAACGAGGTTCCATTTTCAGTAATTTTGCGAAGACGCTGCCACGGTTTTATAAATAGGCAGATGAGAATTTCTATGAGATCAGTGGGATAGATTCCTCTTTCACGATGCGTTCAGAGGTTCATTTGATGTGCTTTGGGTAGTCGTCCTATCTCCACTGCCGACAGATCATGAAAAATACCACATGATCCTTAGGGTTTGCTAATTATGGTTTCAGGGCTACATGACAACTGTAAAACAGGCGCGGCAAATGGCTGCGAAAATTCAACATGAATCGTTATTAGTCTGGGCAAATCGGTTGAGCTTGTCGTCTGGGAATTCAGCCGACCCGGATTTTCAGGTTTTTCACACCATAATCCTAAATTTTCATCTAAATCATATTTAGAAAATCCAAGAGGAATTAGCCAAGCTTGAATCAAAAAGAGCATCAGATGAAGCTGCAATTAGAGAATCAGCACTCGCGAAAACTCTTTTCAACGTAAGATTTTCCCGATGATTTATCTATTATCTATCGTTCAGTGGACTTCTATCACGGAACTTCCGAAAATCCAAGTTGATGCACAAGTCAAGGAGGAAGCGAAACCAGAAATATCTCAACAAATTTCTAACGGCTCAAGTTCTGATTTGCAGCCTCAAAATGTTAAGCAAAACCATGCTCTTGTCGACCAAGAAATCGACAACATGATTTCAAAGATGGAAGGAGGGACCTCAATGATGGGCCCTCCCAGCGAGCGGCCTCCTCCGTCTCCGGCAGCGCAGTCGCCTCGTCCAGTTGCTTCTCCTCGCCCGCCTCCAGTAGTTTCCCCGAATGTTTACCAGAATCAGCCCGTCAACTCTCCCGTTCAATACAACACGCAGACACCCTCGCCGATGAGCCAACCCACCACGCCTCACTCGCCGTTCCAGCCAGTTCACTCTCCACTGAATCCAACATCACCGCATCAATCCCAGCAAGCTCAAATGGGTGCAATGATGCAACAGGGCCAGTTCAATAACCAAAACCACTCGCCGAGTATCTCACCACATCACCCTTCCCCGTCTATTTCTCCCAAAATTCCTATCAACCAACAGAATATGATGGGCCAGCAGAAATTGATGCCTCAAAATGTTGCTCCAACTCAAAGTCTCAATACAGGATTCTCCGTAAGATAGATCTTTCAACGTGTTTTTTTTAAGGGTATAGTAATCGCTCAGGCCTACTTTGAGCTCGTACTCTTCAGCACCTGTAAGTAGTAAAAATTGCCTAAATGGCTAGAAATAAAGATCTATCTAAGATCTTACTATTGACAAGAGCTTTTTTTGAAATTCCATCATTTTTACCACGTGACAACCCCTTAAAGTTGGCATCTCGGCCAAAATAGGCTATATAAACGGCCGAACTCCTCGGAAGTTTTCAATAAGGTCCAGAATCTTTTTTAGTGGATTATGTAGATCAGACCCTTATCTTAAAACTGACAAGAGCTTTTTTCGATTACTTAATTTTTTCTTACAAAATTTTTTCGAAAATCGATAGTATCCATTTTTGACCTAAACAACCACCTTAATTGCCCTGAGGGCACTGCCCAAACTCCACCGTTTTTATATCAGATTGAAGCCCTGAACATAAGCTTTCTAAAAATGTGTCATATGAAGCCCCTCGGAAGCTTCTAAAAATGGTCAAAAATTTGCTTATGGGCAAAATGCATTAAATTTCGCCAATTTCAGTCACAATTTCCAGGAAACCGGTTGAAATAGAGATACAGCTCATAAGGACCTTTTCGTTCAGAATTTCATGAGGATTCTAAAAATCGACTCAGACAAAAAATTTGAGACTTGGCAAAGAGCGATGACTATACCCTTAAGTTTATTTTCAGGGAATTAGTCCAAACCAAAACAACTTCGGGAACGGCCATTTCCAGCCCCAGCCAAACCCGATCCAGCAGCAAGTTCCGATGACACAGCATAACTACAATCCATTTTCCCACACAAATATAATCGGCAATCAACAAGCGCCGATGGCCAATGCTCAGCCGCTTGCTCCTCAACAAATGAATACAGGCAACGGTCATCTGCCGGGGCATGGTTTCCAAATGCAGCCGCAAGGAGCCCCGATGCAGCCTGGTTTTTATCCTAATATGTTCCCTAAGAATCAACCCAACGCACAAACTAACCATCCCTTCCCCAACCATTTCCAGTAAAGTTTTATTCCCTGATTTTCCTTCTTTCCATACTTCTGTTTTTGAATACTGATCTACTGCCGATCTCAAATAATCCTGATGTTATCAATTTTAGAATGCTACTACCTGTCAAAGATTATGTTGCAATACCGATAAGATATCGACAGGAAGCAGAGACAAGAGGAATTCCGGACAGAGACACAATACTAGAAGCAAAGGGATATACAGAATGCCGCATCTGCAAAGACTGTGACGAATCGGCGCCTAACGTTAGAATAGACGAGTACAACCTGCATATATTCAAACATCACCAAGTTCTTGCTAATTTATTATACTATTCGAAGTATACCCACTGGATCAACACGCCTCAGCTCAAGATTCACTGGCAGAAGGAAAACAATCAAACTTTGAAGAAGCTGAAAAGATGGTACACTCAAGTGCGAAGACCCGAATGTGGCCGAGCCCTCGACGAGATGATGCTGGAGTACGAAAAGGTCCTCAAAGAGCCGTTCATCAAGGAGAAAGAAAATCAGTACGTAGCGAGAAATGCCTTCACGAGAATGCTGATACGGGAAGAGTTTCAAATAAAGGAGGAGATTGGAGATCCTCCCGCTGTTGCCCCTGGACCACTTTCTGATAGAAACGCCAGAAGAGCGAAACTGATAGAATATTACAAGAACAAAGCGAAGAAAGCAAATGAACCAATCATTATTGATAGTAAAGAGAGCACAGATCCTGTCATCATTGTCGATGAAAAACCAGCAAAGCCGAAGAAGAGACCGAAGAAAGTTTCAGCTCCTACGGAGCCAGTTGTAATCCTTGATGACAGCGATGAAGAGCAACCTCCGTCGACAGAAATGGACACGATGGATGATGATATTCCGATTACAAAGCTGCTTGAGAAAGGAGCAAAGATGGTCAACAAGATTGAAGAGAAACTCTCAGAAGAGACCCCGAAATCAAACGGCCCGAAGATTGTTCTAAAAGATGTCAATGACAACAAAGACTTCTTTGCAGTTCAAAATAGACCACCTCTTAATTGTCCGAGCGAGTCTTCTGACTCATCATCGGAATCAGAAGTAGAAGTGGCTCCAGTTGTCCCGAAGGTACAGGAAGTCAAATATTTGAATTATAACAACTCCTTAGTTTGTATCAGCATATCCAGATAAGGCCTCACAAAGTGAAGCGCCGAAAAGAAAGCGTTTGTTCGAAGAGCCATCTCCAGTTGTTAGTAATGGTGTCTTTGATGTCAATAAACCTGGAACATCAAAACTTACTCTTCCTGTGCACGTAAATTCCGGAAGCAATAATCCAGTGAAGAAACCAGCAAAAGCCTCAAAATTGTCTCAACGATTTGCTTCGCTAAAAGAGGATTCTAATAAGAAATTCGCTGATAGAGGGCTAGACATGTCGAAGTCAAGGCTAAACGAGCTGAACCCAGAGAAGAAAATTCCATCGTTGAAGGTTTATTCAGAAACAAATCCAAGCTCAAAAGACAATTCCACAGAAAATTCTTCATACAAGCCAATGTCAATAAGTGCCGTCAAAAATCAAAAGATGAAGGAGAAACAAGGCAAAATAAGGGCAAAGAGAGAAGACGGCTTGATTAAGGTTTACTCCGAGCCGCTTGGAAAGGACCCACGTTCCATGAAAAAAGTAATGCAGCATCTGAATAATGGACACAACCTTTGGTTTCTCTGCCCTCTGTCAAACAAGAAGATAGTCACTCCAGTAAGGGGCGCAAAGTGCAAACATGGGTCGACATTCTGTTACCAACAATTCAAAAGAAAAGAACTGAACAGACCAACATGTCCACTCTGCAGTATGAAATTCGAGTAAGCTTCTTTTTCTCCTTAGCTTCTTATAAGCTTATTTTAGTAAGAATAATCCGCTGAAAATCTGTTCATTCACAATGTCGCTGATGAAGGACTATCCAAACTTTCTCCAAGTTCGCCAGATCAATGATGGAGGGTTGAAAACAAAAATCGTTGGGGCTAAACTAGCGGACTCTTAATATTGCTTCTATCAATCTTTTGTATATACTCGCAATTTTTTTCAAATAAAATGCAAAAACTGGAAAACTTATATTTGTCATTTTATTTACGATATGACAAATCGTTGTGTCTCGATCGTAAAGGGCATCTTTTCAGAGAAATAGATGTGGAATCAAGCCAGGCTTTCTATCGCATTAGACTGAGATAATGAAACATTGTTGAAAAAGCATTCGTTAGTGAAAATTATTGATGGAGGCATGGGCACGGAACTTGTGCGTTGTGGCGTTGAAGATGTTGACAAGCACAAGCTGTGGTCGGCATTGGCCAATGTTGAGTTCCCTGATTCTGTAGTGCAAGGCAAGATTCACCAAATTATGAAAACATCTATCTTTTTCTAATTTTTAACCACTATAATTAGCCCACAAGAATTTTATCAACGCTGGAGCCGATATCATCATCACAAATACTTATCAATCGAACCAGCCACTGCTCATGAGTGAGCTGAAGATATCAAGAGAGGAAGCAGACAACCTGCTTCTAAAAACTCTTGATCTTGCTCGTGAAGCAGCAGGGCCGGGCACAATCGTTGCGGGATCAATTGGACCCTATCCGGACTGCCCAGCTTCCGAATACAACCCGGAGTATTTGAAAAGGATTAGTTTCGAGGAGCTTTACGAGTGGCATCGCCCGAGATTCGAGATCTTGGCAAAGGAGAGTTTTATATTGCAGAATTCAGATCTTCTTGACCCTGAATAAAACCTTACAGAGTTCAAAAGTCGACATTCTCGCGTGTGAAACAATGCCTGGAATAAAAGCAGGGTGGCTATTTTGGACAAAATTTTGGGGTCTAGCCATCCAATTTCCATCCAATAAATTTTGAGTCGGAACTATCCATCCAAAATCCAACCCAATCCAATTATTACCCAATTCCCCAAGAATCCCCAATTCCAATAAGATCCAATTGGATTTCCAATTTTTCCAAGGCTTTTAGTACTTTGAAAAGAAGCGAAACAGTTAGTTTCTATCCGAAAGGAGGATCAACATAGCCAAAAGAATGATTTTTTATCCGAAATTTTTCATTTTTATCATGAAAATGACCCTTCTTTGCATAGTTAAGCGATACAGTGAAAACTCAAAATTTGCCCACTCGAAATTTGGCCGGTTTTGGTCGAAATTGACTGATTTAAGAATCTGAAAAAGACTCAAAAATTGGCCGCTTTTTCAATAATAGAAAATTTTGGATCAAAATTGCGCCTAAATTATGCTATTCCTGGGCATTTTTAGCTTTTTTAGACTGTTAAAATTATTTAAAATGACTAATTTCTAAAATAAATGTCTTCAAACAAGCAAAAATTTGAATTAAATTGTTCAAAAACGTGAAAATCATGCCCATTTTCGAAAATTTGGAAAATTTGCTTCTTAGAAGTGGACTCTTGGCTATCCGGTAAAAAACTCAAAATTTGGCCGCTTTTTTCTTGAATAAGGATCTAAAAACCGGCCAATTTTTGAGTTTTAACTGTATATATTTTATTGGATCCAATTCCCCAATTTCCCCCAATTGCCCAATTTTTCCCAACAAAATCCGGTACCCTGGCCATCCAAATTCCATCCAAACCTTATTGGATTGGATCAATCCAATTCCAACTAACCCCCAAATCCAAAATAGCCACCCTGATAAAAGAAGCTCAAGTTTTTCTCAAACTCCTGTCTGAAGTCAAAAAAGAAGCTTACATATCGTTTACTTGTCAGAAGGGCACAACAAATGCTGGAGAATCCTTTTCTGATATTGTGAATATGCTCAAATCTGAGAAGCCGGACAATTTGAGAGGAATTGGAATCAATTGCTCTGAGCCTGATGTTGTCGACGAATTCGGTACTGTCATGAAGGCAAACTTTCCAGAACTGACCTTGATTTGCTATCCAAATACGGGAGAGACCTGGACGAACAACGCTGGTGAATGGGAAGTTGAATCAAGCCAGTGGGGTGGAACTAGAGCTGACCTTGCCTCTTACGTACCAAAGTGGCTTGAAGTCGGATTCAAATGGATCGGTGGCTGCTGCAGAGTTGAACCTAAGGACATTTCAAAAATTGCAAACATTGTCAAGAACAACACTGAACAATAAACTAATCAAACGAACTTTTTGAATCCAATGCAAGAAATATTATAACTCGCATTTTCTTACAATGAGTAGACTCGCTCAAGCAAGCCACGTGCGAAGATCTGCGCGGGGAGTCAGTTAGTTTGACAATTTTGAAGCAATTAGCTTTAGCGACCTGTGATCTCGCCACGATGCTCTGATTCAAAACGCGCGCGTTTTACAGTTGAGCATCCAAGGTCAACGCCTTTCTTGAGCTCTTTTACGACTCTGATGCATCCAAAAACTTGATAAGAAGGAAAGAGAAAGGAAGGAAATGAGCAATCTCGTTCGAAGGAGAGGTTTTAATTGAGAATTGATGAGGATTTAAAATTTGGAACATTGAATAAAAAACCTTTTAAGCCCATCAGTCGCCAGTTTAGACATTGAATGCCCAGTAAGCTCTCGAATTGAAATCACGATGCTCAATAAGATTTTAAGATATGTACAGATACATACGACCGTCCACGATTTCTTCAATGCTATCATTCATTCTGCACAAATTGTTTAGTTCAAATGGTCGAAGCCCAGCACAACCGAAATTTAATCACGTGTCCTCTTCGCTGCGATCAACGGACCATCCTTCGAGAAGGTTTTCGTTGGTCTTTTCTTGGATTAAAATGATTGTTTAGGAGGAATATTTACACTGCCACTTGACAGATTTAAAATGAGCATAATTGAGACGCTATCCGAGGTAACTTTCAAAATCCTCGATCGAAATAAAAATATTCAAGCCGTCCATTGACGAAAATGTATGCAGAAATCACGACGAAAGAATCAAGCATTTTTGCCGCGATTGCAACGAGCTCATTTGCTCAGAGTGCGTTTTGGACAGTCATTTGGGACACAAGAGCTCGAAGTTGGAGAAAACCTTAGCAACGGATTTGGGAAGAAAGCTAAGGAAGATTGTCGAAAGTGTTTCGGACGACGATGCTGCGAATAGAATGCTTGAGGTTTGTGTCGCTGATCGTTTCTAGTTCATATCGCTCTTAGGGAGTTATATCAAGAAAGACAACAAACGTGATCAGAAAAAGTAAACTTGAGGAAGAAGGAAGGATACTGGAAGAAAAGCTTGATGCGCTTAATGAAGAGTTAGAAATTGTAGAAAATGAGCTCGAGAGAGACGAAAATTTGACGGAAACGTTATCGACGAATTTGAAAGAGTTTGTCAGGTCATCAGAAAAAGCACTGAAAGGTTAAGAACGATAATTATTCATTCTATGGAGATTTGTAGATCTTGACGAAGAAAGACTCAAAGTCGACCAATTCGTTGGGAAATATTGCAATGCTCTGAAGTCATATCAGATGTTTGAGGTACCGGAACAGTTGTGAATTCCTTATAATTATATTTGTAGGAGTTTCAACCTATTCTTAACCCTAATTCTCGAGTGAAGGGGCTTGGAAAATCAAGATCAAATTTTATTTTCACCCTTTCAAGCGTGATACTTCTGATATCGATTGCTTTATTTTATCTTTTGGAAGATAAGATATATTCCTTCTTCGACGACACTAGCGAAGACATAGAAGAAATTCCGGACGAAGAAGCAACCGAAGAAATTAGCTTTTTAAGAAAAAGGGTTTACACGGAGCTCCTACAATTCTAATTTCTATTGCATGTGGCTAACCCTAAACGTAGTTATGTCCTGCTACACTACCGTAGAATGTGGTAATGAATAAATAGACGAAATGATCGTATGCGTTTATTTGTGGAGATTAAGTGTTAGATTCTGTACTCTTTCTTCAAAATGTCGACAATATCACTCTCACTGGTCGTTTTGTCTGGCCAAATTTTCTTCGGGTGGTCTTTTACATCGCCAAATTGCATATTGTCGAGGCCGGGGTCCTCAATAAGGGATTGGTTAACATCGTTGTGGAGTTTCCAGAGCCAGATAATGAAATCATTATTGGTTTTTATACGAGTTGGATCACGTCTAGGCAAGTCGCTCTTTGTCAACCCGATTCTTTCCATAAAGTCCTTACGGCAGCCCACACACGGAAAATGAACAGTAATAAAATCTGACATCATTGACGCATACTCAGCAGGTTTTGAAAAGTCTTTTGATCGGCCAGGCCCATAAATAGTCATGACGTGCAGGAGTTTCCACATGCCACAAGGACCTCTTCGCTTAGCTCGATTTTCGCTAGAAAATGTTTGAACGAATATAGCATGAAAAAACTTACGAGTGGCAATCAACCCAGTTCACCCAGCGATTCAGCCCAGAATTTCGATAATTGAAATAGTCCTCCTCAAACCAGTCATCTGTAAATTTACTGACATCATTTGGAGACGAAAGCTCGCTGAAATCTTTAACTATTCGAAGTAGATCCGTAGAAGCAACCTCCCTCAAAACGAGCAAAGCTTCATTGAAAAACGTTTGAGCAATCTGTAAGTCTTCTTTCGATCTTGTAGTATTCGCTATTTTACTTTAAATTGTAACGTCTTTTCACTTACAGAAATAAGGTACTCACTCAAACAGCCAAAATATTGCAGAGCTTACATCTTCTACGCTTACCATTTTCTCTTTATAACCCGGAAAGGTGGGCTTTAAATGAGTTCTGAGTGTGCCAACTGAATTTTTATGAGCTTCTCATCATCATCACCAATAATTCTGAATGCCAAGTTTCTCCAAAAGTACCCAATCTATCAAACTTTCGAGCTGTTAGAACCCATAGGAATTTCCTGAAAACTTTATCTCACGTCTTAATATTTGTTGTTTATCCATTGTCACCTTGAAGCTCAGCGCTGACGTGGATTAGGCACAATCTACGGGCACAAAAAACCATAGGATACTTTTTGAAAGAGAGCATGAAGATTTCAAGCTTTCTTTTGTTCTCAAGCTCCTCTGCATCTCTCTTCGGCTGGTTTGGCGGAAAGAAGAAAGATGTGGTCATTCAAACCGAAGTTTTGAGAGAAAAAGATTGTAAGCGAAAGACGAAAAATGGCGACCAGCTTTTTGTTCATTTCTGGGGCATGAAGACTGTCGGCGGAGATGTTTTTCATACAACCTGGACAGATCGTTTCAAAGACGACAAAATAGCAGTTTACAACAAGCCATACAGATTTCAACTTGGCCTCGGCGAGGTGATCGACGGGTGGGAAATGGGGCTGAAGAATATGTGCCCGGGTGAACGTAGAAGGCTTTTTATTCCCGCTGACTTGGCTTATGGAGAGAAAGGAGGCGGTACTCCTGAAATGCCGGGAGGAGATGTCATTTACGATGTGGAGCTGGTTCATGCTGAACAGGGGCCAAGACATCCAGGAAATCGGCTCGTTATACACACAATTTTTAATCATAAGTAAGTCTATTTCAAGCCAATTGATAGAAGTGTTTGATCTAATGGACCTTGACAAAAATGGCTACCTCACTCACAAGGTAACGTAAATTGTGTCTCTTCAATTTCGAACTTTCCAAAAGGAAATATCAAAATTCATCCACGAAGAGCTCAAGAAACAAGGGGAGCTGAATCAAGTCCCTCATCACGAAGAACTGGCTATGGTGAAAGATATACTTTCGCAAGAAGACAAAGACCGAGACGGTCGAATCTCACGAGTGGAGTTTTCCGGAGAAGCTCACCGAGAGTTTTAGTCACATCATTTTTACTTGAATAAAAATAAACATGTAATAATCTTCGTATTTGAGAATTTTCTTTCATTTTCTTTCACTGAGCAATTCTAATATGCATGACGTGATGCTGCTTCTCACACATATCCAAGTTATAATTATTCCGCTAAAATATGCTACTGATGGAAAGGGGGTATAAAGTCGGCAAAAAACTTTATTTTCTCATAAAATATGATGTTGAGAGATCTTGTTAAAAACGTCAGTAGCGTCCTCTTATTTGGCCGTAAGCATATATTCATTTAATCAGATGGTTGCATAGAAATTCTAGAGGCTGCTTCATATGCCTTTGGCCCTCCACCATCAGCGCTCGACCCCTACCAACCATCAGAATACGTTGAATATGGTCCCGCTGGGCTAGAGAGTAGGTCTGCTAAGGTAATGCAAGATATGAAAATGAATGATAAGCTCGATCCGACCCAAATGACCGCGTTTTCATCCCTTATATATTCAAACGATCGTATCATGCTGATGAGGACGATAATTTGGTAATTTGGTTTGCACGAACTTTGAGTATTATTTTTAGGGCATCGACGATCCTGCAGACCTTCACGACTCTTCTGCCGATCCTCCTTCTATGGTTAGTAATAATATATTAGAAATTCTACTAGAAAATTAATTCAGTGGTCTGAGCTATTCAACCATTTCTCCTCAATGAAATCCAAGCGCGGAGCTTCACAGGTAAATTTACAGCTATCATTCCTTGTCCTTTCGGATCTTTACAGATTAACTTTTTCTCAACCTTTGCGTAGTATTATTTGCTCCACTTTGGCATGCCCGGCGTAAGCTCCCGCAGGTACAATCGCATTAGAGTTTGAACAGTAAACGCGAAGTTACTACTAAAAATTTCTAACCAAATTTAGCATCGGAAAGCCACAGCAGCGAAATTTTGACTTTGCCGTAAGTCCGGACCAAGTGTGGTCCGAAATGGTCAAGGGGCGGTTAATGCCTTCCTAAAATCAACTTTTCCTTCCTAGAAGTCTCGTCGCTTCTTCGAGTAATCGCACGATTACGAAACTTCTTCAGTTTTATTCTTTCTGATTTCTTCTTCTTTTTTTATCTCCTCTCTTCTTTTATTTTCCTGCAACTGCTCAGACTTGAATCACAGAAAAATATCATCGCGTTCGTCAAAACTTTTTGCAACGTTTTTAATGACTTTTATTCATAATTTTTTTGGTGAGGGAAGACTTTTGGATGTTTTTGGCCTTGCACGAAATGATCCAGCCGGGCTGCTAAAGCTATTTCATCTGGAAAGAGTTGTTGAAGTCGGTTACCTTGAGCATTCGGATTCAGTTAGATGCGAGCCTGGTAGATAGTTCTCGTTGTCTGCGGTCCTTGGTTCTTCATTGATTCTCACCTCTGTTGTCGAGACATAGCTTTGCTGGACATTCGAACTAGCAACAACGTATCCATCATCATCAAGAGTTATCTTGCTTATGCTGTGCCCAGAGCTGGTAGTCTCGGATGCATCTTGTTTAAATAATGTATACACGTTTATATTTTTATAACCAAACCTTGAGGATGATAAGATGCACTTATTTCAGACGGCTCGTAGTTGCTATTAGTTGCTGTTTGAAAGCGTTCTTCTTCCGGAGCGGGATTAATGTAATTGCCATTGTTGATTCCATAAACGAGATGAGGAGCCTGGCTTTCGGAGAAAAACCTCTGTCTACCATTTTCCATTCGAGTGCCAGAAAACGGATCATTTTCTTCATTAGGTTCACCACCATCGTAATTTTGATTCTCTTTTGATGTGATAGTAAAATCTTAGTCATAATTCTGCCAAGGACGGATAAAATTAGTATCGTCCTATTACATTCCTAGAGAGTCAATGAGCATTTGATTGTGGATTGACCTGGCTGAATGGCCACTGCCACTGCCACTGGAAGAGTATGAACGTCTTTCAGGGGAACTCGTACTTGGCCGGGGCCATGCTTAATAATGTCATTTAATTTGAATATTGATGTCAAAGCATTAACTAACCATATGTGCTTCCTGGCCCAATATAAATATTACCTGGTCTTTGAGAGATCGTAGGTAAAGTGGCTCTACGAGGTCCAAAAATATTAACTAGTTTCTCAATTTCTTCCTTGATTTCGCGGACTTGCTTTGTTTCAAAAATATAGAGCGTTCGGTTTGTTAGTCCCCATGATTTCAGACCAGCTTTGTATGTTGGCAGTTTGGACGGATTTCTAGCGATGAAGGAGAAGTAGTTTTCTTTTTGAATGGTCATAGATTTATTTGTACTTGTATAATTGAATTGCTTACCTTGATAATTGTATTGCCCAGTATGATTGCTTTCAACGCATAATTCGCGGCCTGTTTTTGTCTCGATGAATTTCATGCACCAGCAGCGCTGTTCTCTTGATAAAATTAAATTCGTCTTCACTTCGACGCAGAACATTTGTCCGAAGCCATCTGTCGACACATCTTCGTCATTTAGTATCTTCTCTACTTCTGTTGACAGTTCATATTCTTGGGAAGACTTCAATGCTTCCACATAGTATCTGAGCGTTGCTTTAATTTTTTTATTCACCATCGATGCTCATTCTTAAGAACTCCAATCTAAGAAAAATATTTGCGATTGAAATTTTAATGAAAAACTCTTTGGATTGCTTCGAAAAGTGCAGCGCTTCTTGGAGCTCCAAAAGCATAAATTGCTCGTGTTTCACAGGCGAAATTCGGGGGTGATATTTCTTCTGGGACTTTAGTTATTATGAGAAGAGTTGTTCCAACAATTTGTGCTTTTGAAGTATTTCGGACGAGGAAGGTTACTCGGTCATTTCTGGCAGTTTCTATACGAATTCTTGCTCGTTCAATACTGATTGAACACAGTGTTCTTTGTTGTCTTCTTACTGTCGTTCCGAAAATATCTCGAAAGTCATACCTTCGCTGCATTAATTCATGAGCTAAACAATGCAAAATAAAGGCGCATTTGAAAATGTGCTTACGAAGATCAGCTGGATTTCTTAGAAGACCAGAAGCGACTTCAAACAAATCATTGTGGTAAGGCTGGGCTATCTCACGCGTGCTGCGTCTTTCGGAGGATAGACTCTTTCACATGAATTTTTGAGGCGCTCAATAGCGATTCATGATCAGAAACAAGTGAATCTTATCCGCACCTGAGTTTAATAAAGCCATAGTAAACTACATCCTGAAATCTTCTATGAAAGTAATCTCTGTCCAAGCTCATTTGGGTCCACTAAGTCATACTACGATGTAGCTTCAGGACGTTTATTTGCCTGAAAAAAGGCAATTACGACTTCATGAAGGTGGGCGGAAGACAATAGACTCTATTTATCGTCAGACTTATGGTATTTTTTCTCTCAGTCACAATAGGATTATAGCAGAAGTGTAAAGGTCTCAATTCTGACTCAAAAGAAACTTCATAAAAAAGGGAAAGATCGTTAATACCGTAATTTAAGCCGTAGACTTTAGTTTATCATTGATAAATCATCAATTAGACTGCAGTACAGTTTGCTCTTGTTAGAAACTCATGATAATACTTTATTTTGTATGGAGGCTGTATCATACAGCACAGTCTCTTGGTAGCTTGGTCGAAAGGATGAACTTCATCATGAAGGCTGTATGAAGAAAGGTAGAAGACGCGGCGAAAACAGGGTTCCAGGTCGGGGAAAACGCGGTGGCACAATCGAAAGTCCATGCGATTGTCCGTTAGATCGCAAAATCTTCGATTGAAACTCGCCGAATATGGGCATGAACTCAACTGAACGGTGTTTCGATTTATCATAAAATCTAACTAGAGGGCGCAGACCGGTAGGTCGAAACACAAAATTGTCGAAAACAATTCAGTTTAGAGATTCAGTTCTCAGGTAAGCACGAGAATATTTTTTTATGAAATTACCGTAAAGCTAAGAAGGTTATTTCTAAAATATTCTTCCTCGATAAATGATGATTAGAAACAAGTTTTAAATACTCAGTGTTCAAGAAGTCAAGCTATTTTGAAGAAGTAAAGGTTTTTTTGGTCCACGAACTATTTTTATAATCAGTTTTCAACATCAGCATTAATTTCACACGATTGATCCACTCATGTTCACTTTTCAAAGCGATACTTTTATTCTGCTGAGAAAGGTCGGCAACAGTCGAGGACAAACGATTTTTCGCTCGAAAAAGGCAGGTGCGCGCTCATTGGTTGCATCGATGTGGTGCGCGCTCGCCCATTGGTTCGCGCCCTTTTCGCCATGCCACCGCGCCGCGCAATTACTTGATTTTCGCTCCAATTTATTTTTCGCGATTATTACACCTTCAATAGAGAACATAACCTTGGATCAGAGAAAAAACCGTACATTACTTTTCATTTTTATAAATAAGAAATCTCTTGAATAAGTATTTTTTTCTAGACTCCTTTCGAAAATCGGAAAAGTTTTGGCGATAATTGATGAAAAAGCCGCTCAAAGAATTCGCGCAGTCTTCTGAGGAGTACTGTCTCTCGCCTGCTTCCAAAAAGAAAATGACTAAAAATGACAAGGAGCAGCGAATGGAGAAAATCAAGGTAAAATATTCTTTCTTACATTTTCATAAATTTCAACTTCTAGGTCTGCGTACGATGCAGGCCGATGAACAAAAAGAGACCACGGAAAAGGCGCGAAGATGCGTCGATGTCTCGGAGAAAACTGGCGAAGTTAGGATCAATAAGAAAAGCTACACTTTCGACAAAGGTATTCCTCGATTATCTTCCTTGATTTCAACATGTTTTTTAGTATTCGGTCCTAACTCAAGCCAAGTCGCTGTCTACAAAGAGGTCGTTGTACCAATCGTCAAGGAAGTCCTCGGCGGTTATTCCTGTACCATCTTCGCTTACGGCCAGACTGGAACAGGAAAAACGTACACGATGGAGGGAGAGAAAAGCTCCGGGAGCGAGTTTTCGTGGGAAAACGATCCTCATTCTGGCATCATTCCGAGAACGATGAACCACATTTTTGACGAGCTGAACTCTGGCGACTTCTCGGAATACGCCGTTCATGTGAGGTAAGAATGAGCAGCCAAAGGAACCTTCAAAATTTATGATTCATTTTTAGTCTCATCGAAATCTACAACGAGGAAATCTTCGATCTTCTCTCTGTCCGCCAAGACATCGAGAAGCTCAAGATGTTCGACGACCCAGATACGAAAGGAGCTGTGAAGATCAAGGGCGTCGAAGAAGTTGCGGTTTCCAACAAAGATGAGATCTACGCTATCATGGAGCGCGGATCGCAGAAGAGGAAAGTCGCAGCGACGATGATGAACGCACACTCATCGCGATCACACTGCGTCTTTCAGATTCAAATGAGCATGAAGGTGAAAGGCGAGGAATCGGATGGCATCGGCGAGGAGTACATTCGACAGGGAAAACTCTACCTGGTCGACTTGGCCGGAAGCGAGAATGTTGGGCGATCAGGAGCGCAGAATCAGCGAGCCAGAGAAGCGGGTAACATCAACCAGAGCTTGCTTGCCCTTGGGCGAGTTATTACTGGCCTGGTTGAGAGATCACCGCACATCCCTTACAGGTAAATCTCTTCCACTCTCCATCGCCTCATCCTTTCTTTTAGAGAGTCGAAGCTAACTCGACTTCTGCAAGACTCGCTCGGTGGATCAACCAAAACCTGCATCATTTCTACTATCTCGCCGGCCAGCACTTCTCAGGAAGAAACCCTCTCAACCCTCGATTACTCCGCTAGGTAAACAATCCCTTCAATAGTTCCGAATCAAACTCTTTCTTCAGAGCAAAGAAGATCTCCAACAAGCCACAGATCAACCAAGTGATCACAAAGCGAGCTTTGATTGAAAAGTATGTCAATCAAATCGAAGCGCTCAAGGCAGATCTTGCCGCTTCTCAGCAGAAAAATGGCGTTTACATGGACCCATCTGAGTATGAGAAAATGAAGGAGGAGTTGGAAGCGCTGAATCTTGAGAAAGAACAGAGGCTTGTCAAAGACGCGCAAATTGAGGAAGAGATGCAAAAGTTGAGAAACGAGATCGACGAACGAATTCAGAAAAACGAAGGTGAATATTGTCTATATTTTCCAAATCATGAACGTATTTTCTAGAGCTGAAAACGAAGTACAAGTCCGTGAAGGCCGATCTGCACAAAACCGATTTCCTGAAAGGCGAGCAGCTCAAAGCCAATCTCAAGCAGTATCACCGAACAAAAGACCTCTGTACCGATCTCGACAAAAATGAGGGCGATATCGTCGAGCTCCAGCGCGCGCTTGGTTCTTCCAAACAAGTGATCGAGAAAAACGCGTCATCGATCGCGAGATTTAGAGAGGACGAGCTTCCAGAATGCAGAAAGCGATCGGATCTCGTCCAGAAGAGCAACGATGCGACTGAGTCTCTAGTGGAGAAAGTCACGGCGAATGTCGATCGAGTGCGAAATTGCGGAGCGACATTGAAGGAAGAGTTGGACACGCATGCCAGCGTTTCGCGAAAAGGATTCGAAGACCTCACCGCAGGTGTGAACGAACTCCTTGTCAGCTTCAAGTCAAATACAGAAGAACGCGTTGGCGAAGTCGAAAGCACCTCCGAGCGTCTTCTGAAAAAACTTGTCGAGAGTCTTGAGGATTTCAAGCAATCGCATGACAAGTCGATCCAAAAGGTGCAGACGCTTACGACCTCTGTCCGCAGTTCTGTTGAGTCACTAAACGGCGAGGTTCTCGAGTCACTCTCTTCCATCCAGCCAGAGATGGAAAATGCGATTTCTGCGAGCGAAGAATCAACGAAGATCCTTCGCGAAACAGAGAAAAAGATGAAGGAGACATTTGAAGCGATGATGAGCCAGATGTCCCAGTGCCTTTCTTCGAAGAGCTCTGCCGACGAAAAGCTCCAGAACGCGGCAAATTCCGTCTCCAAATCTGTCGAAAGCGCGAAAGCGACACTCGAGAGCAAGACTGGGGACATAAAGAACTCACTTTCGGAATCAAAGAAGACTTTGATCGATGTCAACCGACAAACGAGTGCTTGCGTTGAGACTTACAGCGACAAAACGCAAGAATACTCGGAATCGCTCAAGGGCACTCTTGACAAGATTACTCGAGATGCGACTTGCCACGAGAAGAATTTGAATTCGCGAGTGACAACAGCGACCGCGACATGGACCAGCAAATTGGAGAAACACCAACAAGGGCAGAAAGAAAAGCTCTCAGAAATCGACGACGAAGTTGGAAATCTCTTGTCCGAAGGAAAGTCGTTCGCGACTGCTCAAAACTCTCTTCTGGAGGTAAGCTCTTTCCCCTTTTCATCCTTAAAAAAACTTACTTTAGGAAATCGACGCTTCAAACAAATCCACTGAAGGCGCCCTCACTTCCCTCTCATTGGTAGAATACAACGAGAGCGGAGAAACTCCAGCAAAACGCGATCGACGATCTCTTCAGAAGCCTCTGACCATCATGAACGAATCGCAGATTCTTAGCGAGTACGAGCAGCCGTCCTTCAACACAACAATCGACGAAGAAGATCTTCCGGTAGCTGACTTGATCATAAAACTGATTTTTATAATTGATTTCAGCAGGAGGAAAGTCTTCAGACAGAACCAGAAGAAGAGCTTGACTCCGAAAACATCTTCGAGGACTCAATGGCCTTCGAATGCCGACAGGACGTAAATTCTGCTCCTATGTTTGGGGTAAGTCATTTTTTACCTTTTTGCATCTAAATCGAATTCAAAGGAATCGAAAAAGACGCGTTCCAAAAAGCGCAAGGTTCCCAACTCTCCTCTCGTCGAGCCTGCTGGAAAACGAGTGTCTGATGAACACATCCAGGCAAAGAAAGTCGGCCCCTCTAAGCTTCCAAGGGTAAAATAAGTCTTAATGAATACTGTAATTATCTTTCATTGTAGCCAGCGCTCAACGAGAAGAATTGAGTAACTATAGACTGCTCAACTTCCTCACATTCCTCACCAAAAATCACAGCCCAACACTTTCACATTCCCTGTATATTTCACACTATTCTAAACAAAGCTATGACTTCACCATTTCCAAATCTTACCAATGTTAAACATTTAAGAATGGCAACAACGGAGTCTATCGCTAATAAAGACTATTTCATGAAAAAGTGCCGAGTACATGCGGCGATCAAAAAAAAGCTTTCCGAAAAACACCCCGAGGTAAATCGTCAATGAAAACATAAACGATTAACTTGCCGTTCTAGTTCAATACCGATGAGATGTTCACCGACGAATCAATCGCAAAAGTAACCGAAAAGATGACCGGCGAAAACTTGAAACTCCTCGAAGCGCACAACTTTGAGGAAGAGCTTCAGAAAATTCAAGAGATCAAGCAGAACGCACCTAGTGGCTCTGGTTCTGATTGGAAGCCTTCTTTCGTCCCTGCGATCGACAACGAAGCAAAGATTGTTATTTCCAAGCAAAGCTTGTTGGAAAAGATCACAGCGGAGGTAGAGAACATTTCTACGAAGCAAGAATTAATCTTCCTCTTTTAGTACGAAGCAGTCAAGAACAAAAATAGCATCAACGAGACTCTGCTCGCGAACAAGAAGACCTCCCTCGATGCGAAAGTGAAGAAGCTCAACTCACTTTGACAGCATAAGTCACTGCCATTTATCACAGTTATCACATGTAAAATAAAATATTTAAAAAAATATACACACAAGTAGGACTTTTCGATAACGTCAGCTTTATCTAAAAGGGAAAACTAAAGTCGAAGTAGCAGGGATTTTACGACTCGTTAATTTCTCGGATAAACTCAATTTTAGCAGGTCATTCACAAGCCATCGCATGACCATGAAGTATTTTTTCCTCGGTTTCGCCATTTTGAAGATTTCGTTTTCCTCCGACAATGCTCTCTTTGACTCGTTGTTTCCTGAGAACTTTTATAATGACAATTTTCACTTGGCAACGACTGTGAAAGCAGAAAGGCTGGAAATCATTGACAAGATTGCAGAGAGCATCAGAGAAAAAATGAATAAATCTATTGACTCGAGTTCAAAATGAGCCATTTTAAAATGACTATTGAAGACGTTGGCATATTAAAAAATTTGGAACTCCTGTAAGAGGCGGTAGAGGACATAAAAGCTGCTTATATTCTTGATCATGAAGAGTACTCAAAAGCGAAAGAGAGTGAGAAGCCAAATTATGTTAAATGGATAAGCTCCTGCATCCACTCTGGCGATCAGAAAAGGTCCGAATTCGAGATAGAGTTTCCAAGAGAGTCGGATTGTGAGAACTTGGACGAAGAGTAAGTTGAATCGTTTGAGAGCAATTGTTATTACAATTAAGGGACGTGAAAAAACTCTCGAATATATTTGTCCGAGTATCGAAGGATGCTACTCGTCCTTTTGAGTACTCGACCCAATATCTGCCGGTTATCTGTCGAAATGGAAAAGTTCACTCTCATTTTTTAAACGCGCTTGAAGAATATCAGATTAAACTTGGGGATGATATAACTGCCATGTACTTTGGCCATTTAGGGACGTTGATACTGTTGAATTTTCGACCAACTTGTTGTTGGTTTTTCTATTTTAGTATCGATTTAAAAGACGGATTTCATTTCAGCTTTCCGGCTCGGACTTTTGCCGGCCCATGTGACAGCTACGACTCAAGAAAACGCCCATGGTTTAACAACGCGCAAATTTCTTTGTCTTCTAATGATCCGTATTACATACGATTTCCCGATAATTTCAGCGGCCATTCATTTTACGGGTACCGTGGATCGAAGATAATGAGCTTCTTTACTGACAGTTTTTCCCTTTATCGAAAGAATGTAAAATTGGCCGATGAAAAAGACAAGGCGAATGCGTCCTTTGAAATCGACGGAGGTAACCTTTTCCTAGCCAGTAACGAAGAGCTGGATTGGGATTTTTATAGCAGAATCGAAGAGCTACACACTCTTGGTGCAGTTGCTTTCCACTTAGCGAATTCACTTGTCTTTGATATTGGTTCAACATCGAAACCACGACTGTCTACTCAATATGTTGATGCTTCAGCATGGGGCGAACTTGTTACAGTGTCTTCTGTTGTAGAAGGAAACGGTAGGAAATATGGAGTGCTTGGAATTGATCTTACCTTTTTGACACCAATGACCAAATTGAACAATCCGCTATTTGAAAATATCTTTGGAGGCGCATTCAAATCAGAAGTCTTTTTCCTTGACCAGCTGGGACAAGTTATTTATCATCCTAGAATTGGAGGCCCGGAATTTCCTAGAACTTGGAATCGAGAAAAAGTTTCTTATAAAGAAATCCATTCAAAGTTTTACAGCGATTTATATGAAACAGAATTTATTGACGACATCGAAGAGATTCTTCTGAACTTTGAAAATAAGCCTGAAAAGACTGTGAGGAGAAAAGAAAGCTATGAAATTCATGTGCTCCTAGACAAATCACCTGGACTCATTATGATTGTTCAGTTTCTAAACGACGAGAAAGAAGAGATTCGAAATCTTACCGCTGACATCGAAGATGGATTCATAGGGGTTGAGACGGTCAAGAAACCGACTGATTGTACAATATTCCTTGGCTACGCTGTATGCTACGAAAATGTCGATTTCCCAATTATTCTTCTCGATGCCGTGAACGAAACAATCAGATTTGGTAGTAATCCGGACTTCTCTCAAAATAGGAATTCTGCAGACAGCGGCAATTTCAATATTTTAAGTGGCGGGAAAGATGCATACAATAAAAATTTGAAAACGCCTAGTTTTGCTATCGAAGATTCAAGAGAACTTCTTCTGCAGCCAACAAGGCTCACGAAGAATGCAAAGCGAGATCTGTCAATATTCAAGGACCTTCCTAGTATAATGAAAACAAAGTTTGGTAATTATTCTGAGAAAGAAAATATCCTCCGTATCTTCGCGTCGACGGCCACTGGTCTTTTCTATTCATACCCTCACTGGAACATCAACCCTGATTACTATGCTGGTGGCGAGGATTGGGTGAAGAATGCGACACTTGATTCTGTATTTACAGAAGAACTCTTCAATCGCTCCGTAAGAAGAATGTCTCGAGCGTTTTCTGGCAAAGATTCGAAAGGCGTCCGAATCGTTATTGGGATAGACGTGGTTCTTTCAATCGAGAATATTTATAAATTGTCTGAATCTGAATATGCTTCAACGACATATTTGAACAGCACCCAACAGCTTTGCTTGGGACAAACTTGCGACTGTCTAAATTACCAAAACCTTGAATTGCCACCTTTTATAACAAAATGTGGCAAAATTCAAGATCAAAATGAATGCGAGAAAAATATCTTTTGCGATTTTGCAGGAAAATGTCAAATAAAGAAGAGATTTGTTAAAAATCGTGATTTCTTCAATTCCCGATGTGAAACGGTAAGTTACGATTCCATTTAATAAGCTGAAGACTTTTTAGAGTTCATATGGAACCTGGATGGCTGGTCTTATTCCTTTGGCGATTTCAATTCTTCTTATTTGTTCAGCGAGTTTTCTGATAACCCGACATCATAAAAATGAGCGGATAAAGATGAAGCAAATGAAGGACTTGCCTATTCCTGAGAAACAACCTTTCACTGAGAGAATCAGCAAATTATTTCAAATAAAGTGAATTTCACCACTGAAAAATTAACAGAAGAATATCTTGGTATCGTATCATGTGACCAAAACTTACGGAATTATTATGTTGAATAAATTATCGTCTCTGCTCGTAAACATGATCATTAAAATGACAGATTTCTTCGTTAGAATTGTGGGAAGATCATTATTATTTTTTAAGCAAAGAAATCCCTTCTGAAAACCGCACGATTCCAAAAGATCCAACTAGAGATAAAAAATTCTGTTCCTCAAGGTCACCGATAGTTCATCTCGAGTTTTACGCTCCATTTCTGGGAATGGATTGCGATCTGACAAGATATAAAAGCTTTCTCGTTGCGAAATCGAGGCATAACTGTATTTTTAGGTTCCAAAAATGGATATTCAGCGACCTTTTCAAGATTCAACCAAGAGAATATTTTTTAGCGAAAAGATTCATAAACAAAAATTGCTCGCGCTGCCAAAAGAATACTTTTCAGATTCTTTTCGCAGTAGAGCTCGTTCTGGATTGTTTTTATATTAGAATTTTGATTTAACAGAGAACTCACTTATAGCAACTACAACGACGACTACGACAACAACTACCACAACGACAACTTCCACTACAACAACAACAACAACAACAACAACAACAACAACGACGACGACGACGACGACGACCACTACCACCACCACTACCACCACGACTACCACCACCACCACGACTACCACGACCACCACGACCAGGACAACGACGACCACAACGACGACCTCTTCGAGAACCTCCACCACAACAACTTCAGTAACATCACCAACTCCATCTTGCCTAACATCAACTGATTTCAACGATGTGTCAGTTTGGGAAATCTCAAACGATTTTGACATTCAAGTTCCAGAATCTGTCTACCAATTCGACCATTCTGGCTTTTCCGGTAATGCAGAAGACTGTCAGAGAATGTGTGCAAATACAGCTGGCTGCTACAAGGCAAGGGGAAAATTTCAACATAATTCTTGAAAAAAGAGATAAATGTTTCCCCAAAAAAGCTAAACTTTGATTCATCGAGCACAACATGCACCCTTCTTGGCAATGCTGCTACGGGATACCTTTCTTCTTCAGCTTTCGCATTGAATGGGATTGACTGCAGTGGGTCATCTTACTCTTGGACCGACTACAAAGTCTCTATCGGCGTAAGCGTTCTTTTTGGAACATCAGACTCTCCCGCCGACTTACTTGCGCGCTTGAAACAAAACAACAACTTCTCCTGGACTTCCAAGAACGGGGTCACAGATGTTCCCGATTTGATTTACTCGATGTCAGTTTTCTTCGAGCCAGTCATCACTCAGAATACAGCCGGTCTTACAACTCCTACAGCCGATCAAGTGTGGATCACGTTCGAAGGTCTTATCTACTTCCGCGAAGCTTCAACTTCTTCAAGAAAGCGCCGTCAATCATTTTCAATCAACACAATCATCGAGACTCAAGCAGTTGCCGCAGCAAATGATGTTACCGATAACGTGGACTCCGCTGGAGCGACTGTTGACGAAACATCTGAGCCTGAGACAGTGATTGAAGAGGTTGAGCCGGTAGTGGTTACAACAACAGAAGCACCAGCAACAACGACAACTGTAGCGCCAGGAGAAACGCCCTGCGATTCCGGAGACATATCTTTACAGACATCTGCAAAATGCTGCCCAGATCATTTTGGCATAGCTATCCACAGCTGTGTCTTTGAGAAGTTGAATATGGATCCTTCTGCTGCATCTCTTGTCGGACAAAATGCAGCAAGTAGCTTCAATCCTCGAACTTCATCATCTACAGCGAATACCTGCGGCGGAACATTGATCAATGGAGAGTATCACTTCGGAGAACAAGGCAAAATCACCGATTGCGGCAACGAAATAGTTTCTAATGATACCCACATTGTCATAAAAAGCTCGATTCAAGGAGTCGCTGGCGTTCAAGTTGGAAAAATCACTCGTGAAAGAAGACTAAAAGTGGATTTGGAGTGTGCGTTTCCTCGAGTGCTTAGAGTCAGTACTGGATCGAGCCCAATTATGACATCCTTGTTCCATTTTGTCGCAGATTTGGGAGAAACGATCGGCAATTTTGATGTTAGCATGGGAGTTTTCAAGGATGCTGCCTTCAGGAATGTCTTCAAAACTGAATTTCTCACGTTTTAGAGCAATTTAAAAAGACAAAATAGCACGAATTTTGCTGCTGACGAGATCGTTTCGATTCCCCAGCCTCTTTTTGTCAAATCTGCGCTTGAATCTGCTTCTGACAACTTTAAACTTCAACTCAATCGCTGCTGGGCAACTCCAAAGTAAGAATAAGCTTCGATTTTCATATGTTACAGTAATTTTAGTGATGACCCTCAAGATGAAATCTCGTATTCCTTTGTTGAAAATTTCTGCGGCAATGAGGCTGAAATCTCGGGTGATACTTTGGAGATCTTCGAAAACGGAGAAGAGAGTTTTGCGAGCTTCAGATTGACTTCTTTTGAGTTCAATGATGCCTCAACGGTTTTCCTTCATTGCGATGTTAGAATTTGCGACTCAAGGTAAGCAAAACGCCGTTGTGTCCCAGATAATAATAATTTCAGCATTGAAAATTGCGTTCCGAACTGTTCTTCAAGAAGAAAACGAAGATCAATCGATGATGAAAATTATCATACTATCACTTCTGGTCCTATTCAAGTGTTCTCCCCTTGAAAAAATCCAAATAAACATGCTATTTATAGTATAAATTTTATGCTATTGATTCAATAGTATTGAATAAAGAGAACCACGAAATCAATTTTTCTCTAGAACATAGTCTTCCTTGTTATCATTGGAATGCATTTATCGCAGATCAATCAGTTTAAAAGAGAGTTCGCTCGTGCGAAAAGAGCGAAAATGACTTTGTAAGTGATTAATGTTCAAAAATTTATTTGAATAATATAATTTTATTATTTTTTTCATAAATTAAATTCAAGAGAATGCTTCGGCTGCATCAAAAAGGAACCAGAACAAAACTCAAGAAATAAAAATCTCATCAAGAAGGACCAATCCGATATTCTAACATCTCTCAGCAAATATAAAATGATGGTAATTCAGCTCGCTTCTTTCTTGTCTGACTTATTTCTAGCACATCGTGTGTCTGATACTCGCAGTAACCTTCAAAATAACTCAGTACTTTTTCAACAATCAGCCGCTTCCTTGCAACCATGCCGATATAATAGAATCACTGACGAGCGCCGATCGTAATAATTCAAGGAAGTCGCTTTCCATTCATACATCTGCGGATGTTGAAGCTGCCATTCAATTAGGTATTTTAGCTTTCCATAGAAAGTCATCTGTAACCATTTTTAGAGCTTGAATTTGCGTGTTACTACAAAGCAAACTGTTCCGACATTCTTCCAGTGTGGAATGACGCTACAATTAACTTCAACACTCCACTGAACACGACTTTACCCGAGGAAGGGTGTGCCCCGATAGATACAGATTGTGTGACATGCTGTCCAGAAACTCTCTGCCCGCCAGACGCATTTGGATTGCCGGAAGACATTTCCATGCCTTCCTTTATCCAGCTCTACGACTCGTATCACCCACGTGCTCTTCAAGCGAATAATATCTTCGTTTTCTGGGATTTTCTCTGGATATTCTTTGGCATGCTCGTCTGGTACAGAGTGCAGTCTCTCAAAGACGTAAGTAACATTTCTTCAATTCCAAAATTGACCTCTTTTTAGATGAATCTGGTCAATGTTCCCGTAGTTATCGACGAAAAGGATATCGGCACGATTTCACTGCAGTGTCTCCTTGCTACAGTCACGATGGTTTTCTATGCAACAGATGCCGCTTGCTCCTGGCTCTGGCTGTATTTGCATGACAGGGAACGACTTCAGGTCGAGCATGCTTCGTATTTCACAGTGGAAGCAAGAAATAAGTCCCTAGGCTCGGTTTGATAAAAAATTTCTTTATCATTCATCTTTAAAAAATATCATGAAAACCGAACAAAGCTGCGTGGCACACTTGCTATGTGCTTTTGATTATGAATCCGGCAATCTTCCTTTCTGTGCAAATGAAGAAGAAGCTTTGCAAGTACGAAGAGTTGCAATTTGCAAGAGAATCGTAAGATCGTTTCTGTGCGGTTCTACTTTATTTTATTTATTTATTTATATAATATTGTATCACAAAATATACCGAATATTTTCACAGCCACCTTTTGAAATCATGGAAGAGAACGATTTGTAGTCATTCTTTGGTTGAACTGGGCAGGTTTCCCATCACTTGTTTCTAACTCGTTGACCTTGAAGAGGCGGCGATTCTTATTCGGAAATGAACGGGATAAAGAAGTGATTCGAAATGAAAACAATTTCGAATGAAGTCTCTCGAGTGACCCTTGTCGCGCTCCTCCCGTCAAAGGCCTAATCCAGTCGCTTGCTAACAGTTGTGCCCAAGTGCCCAGATTTTCTCTTTTGGGCACACAAAGGGAGGGAGAAAATAGACACTGATCCTTGTAAGGGTGCTCGAGCCAGATGCCCAGCTTGCTTTTATTTTCGTTTACTAAATTAATGACTTTGATTGAACAACATTGTTCTTATTATTTATTTTACGGACAAAATTTTTAATCCCTTATTGAAACATCTTGAGAAAATGGCTCAGGCACCTCCGGCCAGGGTCGAACTTGAGCTCGGCGGGATGCCTCCCGGAGTGATTTCGAGTAGGATTTAAAAATCTGCGAAATAATAAAATGCTCGCCGCAGGGGCGCGTGCCCTAAGCTTGATACATCTGGGCAGCATGAGCGTATGCTAATCGAATCTGGATGTTATATGTCGAAAGGCTGGGTCAGAGTTCAAAAATTTTCGGCTCCCGGGCAGGGGAGCGGCGGCCGGCCGGGCGCGGGCACGCTGCCCGCCTGCGCCCCCGGGCCTCGCGGCCTCAAGCGCCCGAGCCCGTCAGAGGCCGCGGCCAGTTTTTATGATTACACCGTGCCCGCCTGAGCCCCTGGGCCTCGCGGCCTCAGGCGCCCGAGCCCGTCAGGGGCCGCGGCCAGTTTTCGTAAGAAAAGAAGAAATTTTCGCCGAAAACTTTGAAATTTTAAATAAAAATTGAGACTTTTGTCGGAAACCCGTGAAAGAGTTCTCTTTAAAAATGACCCCTAAAATTGGCTAAAAATTTGGTCTAAATCAAGATTTTTGCAAATTTCCGAACTTTTTATACCGTTTTCGCATATTTTTTGACTGTAAACTTATTCAAGTCATCGAATTGAAGCTGAAAATACCGATTGAAATTTGGTCACTTTGTACTCGCGGGCGCGGCCGGGCGCGAGCAGGAGGGCAAGGGCCCGCGCCCGCGTGAGCCCGCGGGCACCTTCAATTTCTTGCCCGCGCCCTCGTACGCCCGCGGGCACCTTCAGTTTCGGGCCCGTGCCCACCTGAGCCCCCGAGCTTCATCAATTTTGTGCCCGCGCCCGCCTGAGCCCCCGACCATTTTTCCATTCCGAGCCCGCGCCCGCCTGTGCCCGGGCAAATCGCGGGGTTTTTGAACTCTGGGCTGGGTCGCCATGAAACCATAAATCTTCGCTCGCTGAAATTCACAGTAAAATTTTGTGAATATTAATTATTTTGTTGGCACTGGAGGTTTTTTCCCAAGTCGCAAAAAAGGTGCAGAGCGTTAACGGAGGATGTCGGCAGGGTTGTAATCCGCTGGCCACCACCTGGTGGAAGGGGCAATATATCCGCTAGAATGTTGTTCCACGTGAGTAGCTACAAGCATTTACATTTACTTTGCGCAAAAGCTGGAAAGCGCTTGTTTAGGCTTAGCCGATTTGAGCTCGCTGTGATTGAGGAAATCCCCCTTACCGAAATCAGTATATCAGTATTTTTCCGGATAAAGTCGGTTTATTTGGAGATGGAAATACAAGTCATAACGTTTTCGTGATTTGAGTATTTCAACTTTTTTCTTTTACTTGACACGAGCGGGGAGGCCGACTTTTGTGGTGACAGTGGAACATGACACGTGACATGTAGAACTTGTCAAAGGCGCACGACAAGAACATGGAGAAGGTATTCAAAGCGCGGATTTCGAAGCGGGAAATGCGCCAGATCTGATTTCGTTTCCTCCTTACTAGAAAATTTACCAGTTGTAGCGATAATTCTAAGCTACATTAAAAGTAATCGACAGAAGCTGGCGATCCTAAATCAAAAGCGTCTAAAGCTGTCAATCGTCGATTTTGATTGATTCGAAAGTATTCAAATTTACCCATAAAAATCGGCATGCAGCACGCATTTTATTATACCAGCCTCGCAACTAAAATAACAACGAGAAATGCAGCTGCTCCAATTTAACCTTCAGAAAGTGGGTGACGTTACGGCCATTATCGAAATTAGTAAATTTCTAATTGCAAGGCCTTCGATTCGCAAATCGGTGATTAGCCGGATAATTCGCGACAATAAGGAGCACCACCTCCCGCTGAGTCTTTCCTTGCCTCGGGGCGCGTGCCCAAAACCTCTCTCCACTCGAGGCAAAAACCAGATGATCCCTTCTTGATTGAATAGGCACTTGGTGCAGTACTCAGAAGCGATTTGCTCCAACTTCTTTCTGAAAAGAAATAAAAGGACTGAACACGGCTTATTCTCCATTTGTCATCCTCTTTGAAGCGGCCTGTTTTTATGAGGTCGGTAAGCGACAGATTTTTACCGGATAATGACCTTGTCCAGCGCCTTCAATATCCGACAGTTGGAAAGGGGAACGCAAGGAGACCGAAACGCAGGTACTTATCGCGGAGTAAAGGTGTTGTTCGGCGGTGGATCAAAGGGAGTATTGTGCAGGACGAAGATGATCCTACTGATCTGTGTTGGTAATACAGAACTTTGAATTTTTAAACACCATCAACTTATTTTGACGCTTTCGACTCATGGATTTCAACCCTTGTTTTCCTTTTTGTCGATAGTAAAAAGATTTCTAGATGTAAACATGGCGTTGTGTTTGAAAGTATCATGTCAATTAGAGTGCTTCTAAGCTGGATTAGCAATAGAAGAACACATTGATTAATGCTGCGATCAGTGCAAGAGAGGGACAGATAGCTCGAGTCATGTGACACTTGCGAGTTCAATAATCCGGAAAAGCCCCTACTGACCCGGTAATCAAAGGCCCGGAAATCCAACATGCCCAAGATGGCCAAGATTTCGACGCTTCTACGAATTCTCAACTCGTGAATAGAAAAAAATAGATGCCATTCGCTACAATAACTCAATTAGCCACACTCAAACAGGAAGATTTAAATTTTTAATAAGAAGGCTCTGACGCTTTATGAATAATTTTTGGCGTGCGTTTTTACGTTCGTTTGTGTTTATCGAAACCCTTGTTATGAAGCTCGCCGGAAGTGTTGCGTGAGATATTGCCCTTGATGATTTGGCCAATTTAGCATTATTAAACTTGCAAATCGGTGAAAACCAGCGCCTTAGGAATTTAGTCATGCTTCTCTATTTCTGAAGGTAAATTCTGATTTACTGGCTAATCCGCCCCGCCAAAGGCACAGTATGATAGTAATTCATACAGTTTGACGGCTGTATAATTCGCCGCCATCTTTTCTTGTCTGGTCGACGATGACCGAATCGATCCGAAAATCGTCTGATCATCGCCGCACCGCGAAAAATTCAGATACGCAAAGCCGTGCGGATTTGGCACCAACTCGGAGTTTCTTGAAAAAAAGTGCAAAATTGATTGATCAACGCTGGGAAAATCACTTGCAAGAAAGATTTCGCGAATGAAGAAATGATTTTGATTATGACAGTAGGCGCAAAATGTCGGCATCTAATTGCCCATCCGAAGCGTTTCTAGGGCACTTTTTCGATCTTCAGAAGGCTTTAGGAGCGAATTTGGGCGATAGAAAACATCTGATGGACTGTTAGATACTGACGTTTGGTGATTTCTGCATCGAAGACAAATTTCTTTTAAAAATTATTCTAGAATAAATGTCTCCAGGTACCCTCAAAATCAAAAAATCGCAATTTCCCCAGATTTGGATTACGAAAAAAGGGATTTCGTAAAACCTATCCAGAGCCCCTTTTACCGGCCTTCTGTTTCTAGAACCAGAAAATGGGGCGATCTGTTGTCACCATTTCTCCATGTTTCTCTTTCTCGTTGAACTAAAAATTCAAAGAGAAACAGAAAAAAGTACAACCAGTCTTCCTGTAGGGATCCTCAGGAAAAAAGTAACCGCATCGATCATCTGCCGCAGATTCTTTCCAAAAAGTTTCCAACAGGCAAGAATTCCTAAAACTCATTTTCAACCCTCAGTAACAATTAAAACAGTCAACCACGCGCGAAACCGGTTTCAACCAAAAATTGGCTCAATTAAAGAATTTTCCAAAATATCTGAATTTTGCGCCTGTCACGAATTACTCAATCAGATTTTCTTAGAAGCTTCAATTTTAAAACTCGAAAACAAGGTCTTCTTTTTCGAAAAACCCCGATTTAAATGTTAAAATCAAGAATTTGTAATCAATCAAAATAAGCTCTTCCTTGAAATTGTCGACTTAGACTCGAAGGGTTAAAAATCTCGGTCGAAAAACTCGGCGAAAGTTCGCACTATTTCGTCCTAAAATCCAACTAGCGAAATAAAGAACTCTAAGTTATCAAGATCCACACCTTTTAAACCCAATCTCCACTGTGCTAAAAACCCTAAAATTCGACCAGAAATGCTCGAAATCGTCACGAAATCCGCAGTGCGCGAAAAGGGTTATTTTCGCGCAGAATCCGAAAAACGCCCACTTTTCCTCTTCCTCCCCTTCCCCAATTCTTCCCCAGTAGGTTTACCTCTCCAATTTATTGTCAAAAAGTATAGGGCGATTTTGTACCTAATTCAGCCAATCACACATCCGCTAGAACTTCTTCTGATTTAGCTCACTTTTTTAAGAAAAAAATCCAAAATTCGACCATTTTAAAAAATCATTGTTTTTCTGGCCATTACCGAGAGACAGAGCCATTTTGCTAACAGTACCTTGGCTACAGTTTATGACAGGTAGAGTCAGCTAGAGAAATTAATAAATTTCGTCGGGTCACATGCGGTCGACGAATGAGCGGCCGGTGATTGGCCGGCTGCTCTGGGAGCTTCCGCAGAAGTCTATCAGACGATTTTAACAAAAATAGACCCTTCCCAGTTTCCGCGAATTTCGAATGAGCCGATGAGTCATTACGAAACTATGACGAATTCTGTGAGAGAACGAAAAAAATGAACTTTGTTCTTTTAGCAGCAGAGAGGATAATCGAAAACGTCACGATTCGAAGATCGTTACAGTAGGGGAACTCTACTGATACTACTATTGATAAGCTACTGCTAATTGTCTGCTGGAAGAGAGATTCGATTTACAGGAATTTCAGGAAGGGGGATGAATTTTTTATTTTAATTTTTATTTTATAAAATAAGGTCAATTTAGCAGTACCGCTGACATTGTTTTAAAATTAATAATTTGCTCAATATTGGAGCTTTTCATGTTGGGAAAATAGTTTTATTTTGATGTTTGATACTCATATGCTCCTTATAGTGAAGAGATTATGTAGAAATTATTCATGTTCTTTTTCATCATATTCTCAGAATGATCGCCTTCGTTTTTGTATATTCTTCCGACCTAATAACGCCCTTGAACTTGTCTACCTCTTTTTCAAAACGCGGTTATTCTCGGAAAGTGCTCAAACTCGCCACTTTGATTTTGGCGCGGCGTTTTGATTTGATGATCCTTTTTTTCAGGCGGCGCGCGCATGCACCTGCTTGCACACGCTTTCCTCCTCTTCGCGTAAAACGCTTGTAATAGCGCGGTATCATGAGCCACAATAAAGGATAAATACACAACTTTTAGCGGCCAATAAAATTTGCAACATCGCGGCTAATAAAGATCCTTATATCGGGGCGAAAACCCTCTGATCTTTGCTTGTTTTGTTGTTTCAAAAGATGGCTCCACTGAAGTTATTTGAAAATCGTTAAGGGTGTCCCTTCAATCCTTGGATTAAAAAGTCAGATTAGAAATAAGGGATACCGAGTACCGAAAGAATCTTGTATGGAGAAAGAAATACCTTCAAAATGATTTTATCCACCCAGGTCCCTTATTACTAGTATGATATTTTAATCCTACTATTGAAGGGACACCCTTATCGATTTTCAAATAGCTCTTATGAATTTTTAAATAATGTTCATTCTTGCACTTCCCATACTTTCGCCAACTAAGCTTCATTACATAAATTAACCCAGATCCAACTCTAAAATCAACACGAATCTAACATCATTTTTTTCGATTACGATCAGCTGGTGCATTCGCTGTAGATTTTCCGCTACGCATGAAAAATTAACCCCTGTCAATGGGTTGCCATCCATTCTCTTCGCCTGCACCTGAGTAACGCTTTTGTTTTCGAAATTATGAAATTTATGAAACAGCTAGATGAGTGCAATTATAGTTAGTGGGAGATGGATTAGCTCTTTGGGATTCTTTGAAAAGTGGGGATTAGGCGATTGTTCTGATCGATCAGATTATTGAAAAAATTTAAAAGGATCTTCAATTCTTTTTTTAATATAATGGCATTGAATTTCATTTGCCTTTGTAATAGAGTAAATGCTCAGGACAGAATAACTGCAAATATTGTATTTGTAATTACAAAGTTTTGGTCGCATCTGCCCACTTCCCGTGGACAGTTACGGATTAGCCAAACTTCCCTCCAGCTCCCAAATAAATCCCCAAGTCGCATTTATTCCCGTGCTTGGCCATAAATCTGCCACTTGACTGCCGTCAGCACTGTCACTTTCAGCATTGCCGAGTGCATTTAGCGCGCTTTTGCACTTTATTTCATTTTTATTATCTTCGCCGAATCATTTCATTTTATTGCGCTCTTGCATTTGTAAAAGAGGCTGTTCAACCTTTTTCGAATTGATTCCCGATTTTGGGTAATTTGAAGGCGATTCGGGATATGGGTCCAATTCGGGCAAAGGTTAACCTTTCGATTATCAGATGTTTCTTCTTTTCTGGACATAAATCAAGATTCGAGCTAATTTATTGCGATATCTTCTACTCTAAATCTACCTGTCGTTTTTTCTAATAATTGTTAACACTTGAATTCTTACTGAAAAGTTTGATAGTAAAGATATCCCCGTAAAGTAGCCTAGAATCTTGATTTTCTTCATTGAAAGAGATGTAATTTGCGGTTCAGAACCTACCAAATCTTTTGAAGCAGTGATTGTGTGCCTTTGAAGCCATAACTTTCCACGGGAAGCATTTAATTTGTCGACTTTTACTTTCTTTCCCAAAGGTGTGAATATATTTTACCAGCAAACATTCCAGGCCTCCCTTCGCGCACTTGATGAGTTGCTTACTTTTTTACATAGATTTTCCGGAGAACAGCGGGAATTAGAAGTCATAATTCACCTCCATTACAGCGAACTTATCCATTGCCAAGCTGCTCGTCACGCCAAGCCCGAGGAGAAAATTTCTCGCTCGTCGCCACGAACGCACCCGCCATCACCCGCTTCAACCGCACAGCGCCACCTCACGACGCGCTGCCACTGCGCCATACTGTACGCTGCTCTAATATAACGACGCGTCGGAGCTGATCGTCATATCAACTCTTTCTCCCTCTCTCAAAACCGCAACAAGAAAACGAAAAGCTTGAAGCCTCCAATAGAAGCTCCAGCAAAAACTCAAAACCAAAGAGATCAAAAAAGAAAACTTAGAGATTTCCCGCTAGAAAAAGAAGTATTAGGCAAACCTTCCCAAAACCTACTTGAACGAAAAGAAAAGAACGAATACAATCATGGTCCATCTGCGAACTCTTCTCGCAGCCACACTCACAGGTGCAACCTCTGCCAGTGCTGGTGAAAACTTCCGAGGCCGATTGGAGATTCAGTACGACTATTTGAGCACAGAAATGCACACCGACACCCTCAAAGTCTGCGTGCTCAACTTCAACTACCACCCCGACCCTCGCCGATGCGAAGACGCTCCAGAAGGAAAGCTAGAAAGCAAGTCAGAAATTGGAATCTTCGGAACTGGTCAAGTCGCCATCACCGGCCATGGCTCCCGCCAAGTGGATCTTCCCTTCACCGCTGTTTGGCCGGTAAGTCAAAGTGAATTTTCTTAATCGCCCCTCATTACTCGAACAAGCGCTAAAAATGAGTATTCCAATTATTTCGCGCTCATTCGCAAGGAAAAAATACATCAAAGTTTTACAGTTCTTTCTAACAGTTGCTTAGGGTCCCATAAGCGTGCACTTTTATAGCCAATAAGACATTTCTTGTTTCACTTATTGACATTTCGCACGCGATAAATATGTACTAAATTTTGTCAACACCTTTTTCGTCTGCTGAAAAGTGCAAAATTGAAACCCATTTCAAAGGGGCGGCGGACAGGAAACCAGCGGGGTAGAACACTTGTTTGGCTTAGCCTATCAATCTGTGATGTTAAACCCGCTCTATGTCTGTGTGGCTAACCTTATCAGCGTGATACCCATTTGTCCGCTCTTCGAGGTCCCCTAAATACTTTGAGCTGATTTTTATCTTTATCTAACCTTTTCATTTTCAGGGCGATCTGTCCGTCATCACCTGGACCGGCAAGGATGAGCGCGTTCATACCTTTTCCGGCGAGCTCAAGGCTGGAAAAGACTGGAAGCGAATCAACGTCCAGGATGTCCATCTTCGCGCTAGAGTCACTTGCTTAGCTAACTTCTACGGCGAGGACTGCAACACCATCTGCATTTCCCCTTCTGAGAGCAAGAAGAGAGTAGTAGGCTTCTACTCGTGCAACAAAAATGGCGAAAAAGTCTGCGATCCCGGCTTTGAAACCGATGCCAACGATGAACTTCCCTGCCAACGACGTAAGTTTACTTGCCCCGGTTTAAATTATAAATTAAAAAGTAACGCGCCCTCAGGCCCGTGCCAAGACGCAAGTATTGTGCCCAGCCCCCAGGTGCGTGTTATTCAGAAAGTCTCCAATTTCTCGAAAGTACAAAAGCGAGACTATTTTCATTACGCACTTCCGGTTGCCTCTTGTCACCATATGACTTGAGTGATTAGCGAATTAACTTTTCGCCAATATCAAAAAAGTCGGCCATCAAACCCCTTGCGCCTTTGAATCGTTAATCCGCAAATTTCCCATCAATTTTTCGCGCCGCGCTGATTTTTCAGTAGAGACAGGAACTCTCATCTTCAATCATCTAACCAATCTTTTCAGGAATCTGTCCAGCAAACTGCGCCGAATGCTCATCTAACGGACGCTGTCGAAAATGCGAGCCGGGCTACTCCAGATCTAACAGTCGAACTTGCGAGAAACTCTCCTCTCCTCGAGTCATCACTTCTCCATGCGCTTCTTCACCCTGTGGCGATAATGGCAGCTGCATCGTCAAAGGCAACTCCTTCCAATGCCTCTGCAAAACTGGCTTCATCGGTGCTCTCTGCGAAGTTACTGCGGCTCCTGAACCACTAACTGCGCCATGCACCGCCACTTGCGCCAACAACGGAGTGTGCATCGAAGGAAACAAATGTTATTGTCCCGAAGGCTTCACTGGCGAGTTCTGCGAAATCGAAGAAAAAGACACCCTTCTCCTTGGAATCGTTGCTGGAGTCTTGCTTTCCGTGCTCGGTGGCCTCGTTGTCGTTGCGGGAGTTATCATTCGAAGACGCTCTCAGATGCGCAAGAACACTTCCGATGTCGTTTTCGAGGAAGAAGGAATCATGGAAGACGGAGGACCTTCTCACTCTCGGGCCGAGGGTGACGTTCTCATCTCGTCCCAGGCTGATACCATCCACAAGGCCGCCTACTCCAAGCCCAGCTCGCCTGTCAAGCCTACTAAAAACCTCCAAGACGCCTCGTTCATCACCACCTCGTCGGATATGAGCTTATCGGCACCGCCCTCGTACAACGAAGCTCTTCAATCGTAACTCTCTTTTTTATCCTCGCCCAGTTTATAATTTACACCGCCAGCCAGCTTGACGAGCTTCTTATTGTGAGAATTACTTTTTTGTATATTTTTGATGCTCTTTTTTCTTCAGCGCGCCTCATATTTCTTGAAAAAATACAAAACCTAATCCAAAAACAATAGTCATCTCCCGGATCTTTTATTTAATTATTTTCACTAGAATCAATTTTTTACAACTTATCGAGATAGAAAACTATCCAATCGTCTGCCTGCTTTGTGCTTCCTCTTTACTCTTATTTTTACAGCTGATGTAAAAATTGCTTTTAAGGGATCCCCCCCTAATTTCCGGAACTTTGACCCGTATCTACTTTTTTCTCGCCTTACGTATGAGGCTGATTTTGGGCGCAGATTAAAGCCCGTTTTTTACTGAACAAACGCATGCATGATAAGCCCTAGGTTCTAACATTCACTTATGCATTTGATGCCTCTTAAGTGACTTAAGTTGGCAAAAATGGCCATTTTGGGCCAACTTCAAGTTGTATCTACTTTTTTTTGGCCTTTTGAATTCCCAAAATCTCTTGATTTTTATAAAGTTAAGACCCTAGGCTACATTTGCATGCATGTTCACGATGATTGAAAAAGTAGACAAAATTTTTCTCGTTGTAAAACTTTCGGCCGTAATTTTAGCCATTTTTTGGAGTCTTTTTGCTCTCTGGCACCACCAAGTGATAATTTTTTTTCTCTAAAACTAGTTTTTTCTTGATAAGGGCGTTATATGCTTTCAAATAAGCCCTTATTTGCCTCGTTATCAAGACTTACAAATTTCGAAAAAATCGAAAATTTTCTCTAAGTATAGATTATAATGCAATTTCAAAGCGCTGTCACGGGTTATCACGGGATCCAGGGCCCTTGATATTATAGTAAAAAATGACCCTCAGATCACGAGGAATCCAAATATGTACCTCTCGATACTTTTTGGGAAAATTTTTCGGATCGGGGGGGGATCCCTTAAATTAGCCTGACTGTGATATTACGAATTATTATTTTCCGCGCGCTAGAAAGCTTTTAACAAAATCCTCTCCTCCTAGAGTTCAGATATTCGCCTGTATCTATAAATATATGATCCCTACATTAGAAACAAACATACAGTGCTAGTTACTTTACTGTACTTCTGCTTAGATAGGGCTCGTTTGAGTTTATAGAGTTAAATTCAGACATCAGTGACAGATTACACTGCCAGAAAATAAATTACAAAAACAAAATTCAAGTTGCTATGAATCGAGCAAGAAGAAACGTGAAAGCGTTCAGGTGCAAGTAGGTTTACGAGGTCAGTCTGACATTAATCAACTCGTCAGAGCAGTATATTTACGGCTTGCAGAGAAAAATGAGCAAACAAGCATCTTATAAAAGAGCTGCTACCGCTTTAAACTCACTTGTCACTTTTATTTCCCGAAACGTGCGAGAAACTACTTCCGGCACTTGGGTGGTGTGCCCTCTCACCTCTGGCAGTTGTATAGCTCGTTAGTAAATTTGTGCATGTCCATTTTATGGCTCAAACAGCATCGCGGGAATCTACTTCTGAAACATCACTTCATAATTTGAGGGTAGCTACTCAACACGAGGGAATTTTTTGTGACAACTTGTGGCGGCTTGAGTTTCCGGGCACAATCACTTTTTGATTGAAAGGGATGCTATCAATTATCGTCATTTTAGAATTTTGTGTATTTCGAGGATACATTCAACAAGGTAATTGAGGGCATTAGATGAATATTCTATGATAGTCATTGTTGAGGTGTTAGTTTCTGACGAATCAAAAGTATTTCATCCAAAAATTTAGCTGCGGAGACAACAAGGAGAATTCAAATCGAGCTTTTATTCTTGGTCATTAAATTTTTTTTTTCATTTGGATCATTCATCCTTTTTCTTCTTATCCTCGAGATTCTTGAGCTAGAAGAAAACTTGAGGAAAGATTTCAGAAAGCTGTGTTACCTTCAACGCGACTTTTGAGTATTTACAAGTGGCAGCCATGACAGTATTTGAGCTTCAATCGGTTTTTCAATGATCAAATTATATTTTAATAGAGTATCACTGCGAAATCTCAGCCGACTAATCGTTAGGTAGAAAGAAAATATCGAGTGCCAGAGAATGAGCAGAGGAAGATGTACTCATTCTCACGAGGCTTGTTGCTTGGCCACAATATTTTGCGTTTTTCTAGCGCTGATTATTTTCGGCAATTTGACTGGATACAAGGCAAATAATCATTGGGTAAGAAATAATCTAAGGATTTCGATTAATTTCGACTTTAGAACGGTAGAATAGCTAGAAACGCTAGCAATCAGCATTTCATTTGGGACGGATCATCGTTAAGCGATACTGCGCATCATGAATAACCGAGTCAAGTTGGGCAAGTACTGCATTTATGCAGCTAAAAAGGTTTAACTTCAAAAGCTTCAATGTCTATTTTAGCACCTGATACATAGAAATTGCCTGTCGCCTGTCCTTGCAATTCTCCCAGTTGCTTTTAATCTCTTCTTCTTTCATCGTTGTGTTCTTCGTCTCTTCCACTGAATAAAAATACTTTATTTTCAATAAGTTTAGGTCGATGATACGCGTATATGTTTTAAAGCCGTGGTCGCTCGATGAAAATAGAATTAGCAAGAGCAGTAATGCATTTGCGTTCTTTCCGCGTTTACCGCGCGAGAGAATAAATTACTTGAAAATTTACTCTTCTATTTCGTTAAAAAATTCTTACCGATTTTTGCGTTTGACTTCGTCATTTTCTTTAAGAAGCATTTCATCCCTCTTTCTCTCGATTTTTATACAAAAGTGCAATTTGAAGAAAACAGGCTCCAAGCAACGACCTTTCTTGTAATAAGGTTATCGGAATACTCGAATAGTCGTATGCTGCAGGGATATTCAGTTGGTGGTACTGGCATTGCGTTGCCCGGCGAGATGGAAAATGTTTCAATCAGCTGAGGATCATCTCATCACGCCTGCCAGCTTATCATGGGTCAAAGAACGGGGCAAATAAAGATCGTGTGATTAAAGCTCTTCAAACCTGCTCATTTACTGTATTTTTTTTGCAAGACAGATTCTCATTTGAACCTCATTTGTCAAAATTGAATGTTTTTACGAAAATATTCAGTGTTAAAAAAGGCTTCAATGTTCAATTTGTTGAAAATTGTTCAATAGTCTTGCGACTGCTATCTGCTCATAATCCGAGCTTTCAAACACAATAGAAAAACGGCTGCTTTGAGATGTCACTTGTGTTTGTGGAAGTTGTTTCCTGCGTCGTTCATTTCTAGTAAGTCTTCGTGCAAGCAAGTACGTGGAGTATGCTTATCCGCCCGCGGCGATAACTACGGCTCCTCCACCATCACTTGCTCTCCTCATAAAAGCATTTAACCTTTTACCGGCTAAAAATCACTTATCCCCTGAAATTTTAAAAATACCAAAAATTGGTCACTCTTCTTTCACTTTCATAAGAGTAGGTGAAATGATATAATCGCGTTGGGAATATTCGAAGAAGAGAAAAAGAAAGGCTGAAGAAAACGTGAGAACCGAGATAGTAAAAAAGGTGAACGCACGATCTTGCACGTGAATGGTTCTACTACCTGTATTGCGCTTTGAAAAGTTCCAGGGAAAGCAAATAAACAAAAATTACCTAAACTTTTTTTTTGATTATTATTAATAAAAAATATTTTTTGTTCATGATTATTTTGGTAAAAAAAAAATCAAAATAATCCTCATTATATTTTAAGAAAATTAAATATAAGGTTAATTGAAAAACTCTAATTGAAATAGTCTTTTTAAACGAGACTGGTAGATACTAATTGTCTCAACTGCAAACACTCCGGAGTCCTTCTAACAAGAGTACAATCCAAGTTGAAGTTATTTCCATACCAAGTCCTTTTGACCCCATAACTGCTTGGTTCAATATATCTCGAACCAGGAGATTAGCATCAGCCTTCCGCGTTTCCAAAAATATTTTCCTTTGGTAGCTACATTCAAATTTACACGTAGCCATGTTTTGACCGAATACATCTTATGAAATAACAACGAAATTATATTATTTTAACCCGCGTCTGGTTTTGATCCCTTTTTGGGCTCACCACGAAAATGTCACAATTGACGTGTCAAATAAAGCCCCTTTAGAGGTTCATTCGGTTAGACGTGTAATTATGAATTACATGATATGAATTCCGTAATAATTTAGCGCCTTGGAGAAAGCATAATTTATTATGATATCAGCACTATTTTTCCATAAATAATAGAGGGCAACTACCAGCCACTTGGGCCAATACAAGGAAAGAGAGTTTTTTCTTTGTCAACATAAAAATGATTTTCGCAGACTTGTATAATATTGTGCTGAATATCACCGCCTTGAGCCCTTTGATTGGACAAAGACTTACATGTTACATGTATAATCCAGGATACTCTAACACGATTATCCTCAAACTGTGGGCATTTTCAATGGCTTTTGAAAGTCCTTTAACGAGCTTTTAAGAGTTTCTAGTGCGCGGGCCTAATTATAAATCATCCTGCTTCTTGAATTTAGCTCCACGTAATAGGCACTAACCGCAAAATAGCCTCAAAATACCACTGAGCGTACTTGAACGAAAGTAATTTCTTACGATCATTTTCAGAAATCGAAAATGACGGTCAATTATTACGAAGAAGAAGTCTTGCTAAACGAAGGCGGCGTTTCAACCATGGTGGAGATTAAAAACCAAGGCTACCCCGACTCGTTGAAGCCAAACTCTGTCGCAAAGTATGCGATTTACGCCGCCCCAGGTGGTCGGATCAAGGTTAGTTTTAACTCGTTTAATCTTCCAAAGCACGATGGATGTTCAAACTTATGGCTCACGATCTCCGAAGATCCTAATTTGAGGTAATTTTTATTTTAAATCAAAGCCAGTTTTCTGATAAATTTTATAGTGAAAATTCTCCTCAAGCAAAATGGTGCGGCAACAATAACCCTCATTATGCAGTTTCTCGTTCAAACAGAATCTTTGTCTACGTCTTCGCCAAATCCAACCTCTCCAACTCGTCCAAAAACTTCATCCTGAAACTTGAAGAGAGCTCGGAATCATCAAATCTAGACGCTCTCTTCAAAGGAAATCAAGAGTACTACGAGAAGGAAGGGATCGCTCAGGCTTCAGGAATGGGCTTCGGAAGCATTTTAATGTAAGCCGTTTTGCTTGGTATGGAGCGAACGTAATGCTCAAATTTGCGCGTTGATTTGCCGGAAATACCTTGAAAATTCCACTTTCAAGCCTCAAAAGAACCGATTTTTGTTGATGAGAATTTTGCCCAAAGCTACCAGCCACAATCCGCTTCTACAAGCATTTCATCATCAGCCGGAGATTCAACCCTCTTCTCATTTCCTGGCTTTGGACCTCCTATTGCCCCGCGCAATCCGACTCAATCTCAAGTTTTTATTCAAGATGGGAGCCAAGTGCCTCAGCACACATCATCGAATGATGTAGCGCAAGTTGTTGTGAATTCTGCCCGGCCGGTGTTTTCAGATTCGATGTTCATCGTCCCCGAAAGGAATTTTACTGGTGGCGATTTTAAACTTCTACCACCGCGAACAACTGCCAAGATGCGAAGGTATTTGAATTCTTTGCCGCCAATGTTATTAGACAATCGATTAGACAAGCGCTTTTTGCATCGCTTGGAGGACTGATGATTGCAATTTTTATGCTGAGCTTCATCATTTGGAGAATCGCTAAAACAACATGTATGAAGAAGAAAGAAAAGGATCAAGATCTTCCTCGAGCCCACCGTGCTAGAAATCGAAGATAGTGAGTTTTTCTATCGATTTTGAACTCTGTAAATAAATATATCAACAATCTTGAAAAGAAAAAAAGTCATTTATTGGTAAAGAGCGATAAGGCAGCAGAGAAAATGGTGAATAGAATTAAAGACCAGTGGAAGAAGCTCGCTCTCTTCCTTCTTTGATCCACGGGTGGTGGAGGATGTCTTCGAATGTTGGACGTTCCTCCTCGTTCGGATTTAATATCCATTTGATAAAATCGCGAATATGCCTTGAGAAAGATAAGATAAAATGAAAACGCTTGAATAATGGTACCTTGGAACTTGTACAGCAGCTTTGAATCTTAGATCACTTCGGATGATATCTCGTTCTTTTGGGAAGGGAACTTCTCCTTGCGTCATTGTATAGAGCTTTTTGGGTTCAAAAATTATATCTAATTCAAAAAAGAACGAAATGGTTTTGCCGCTTTTACGAAGATTTAAGAACCGTGGCAGAACACCCATCGACCATACTGAAGCTCGTTTTCCATCATATCTTCTTTCCCTGAACCATTCTGGAGGGTAGAATTCAGGAGTTCCTGCGAATTCTGTGTAGCAAGAATCCTAAAAATTTCATCATTTTTATGTTTTTTTTTTCTTCAATTTACTACCTTTAGTCGCGTTCCGCAGCCAAAATCAATCAGTTTTGCTTCAAAAGGCGATTTTGGATCGTAGTCGATTTTGCGCGAGAGAAGGATGTTCTCATCCTTGATATCTCTGTGGAGTACTCCGTTGTTGTGGCAGTGGATAATTGATTCTAGGATCTACAAAATAAATGTTAGCCAAGACAATGTCTATTTATAAATATTATGGTTGCGCCACATCTTCATCGATGCTAATTATATAGTTCAAGATTTAGACAAATTGCAATTGCCCCATTTACCTGGATAAAGATATCTCGGACGACAGGTTCTCTAATCGGACCAGCTTGGTTCAGATAGTCGAATAGATCGATGTGTCTCTCAGGGCGTTCCATGACAAGAACATAACTTGACTTCCGCTCGTACCAATCGATCATCTGTACGATTCCTAAAGCTTGTTAGATCTCGACCTCTTGATTTTCCTACCTTTATGACCGTCGGAAACTTTGTCCAAAAGCTCGAATTCGATTGGGACCATTTTTCCTTGAACGCGGCCCCATCTTTTTACTTTTTGCTTTGGGACTTGCTTGATTGCGACTTTGAGACCATCATAGCGTCTAAAAATTACTCTTACTGACCTTTTTGGTAGGCTTAAAAATTTACCTGACGCCGCCATAGACGGTGCCCCCACCGCCGACCCCAACTACACCAGTAATCTCATAGAGCTTTTTGAATTCTTGGGCTCTTTCACGCGACTCCAGCTTGATGGTTTTCCTCTCGAGTACTTTGGGACTTGTCGGCGTGCCGCTACTTTCTGATTTCTCCTTCTCCGCCGGATCATCACGGTCTAAGCACCGGTTTTGCACCGGCTGGCGAGCTGCCAGCGCGCTTCCAATGAGATTTCTTTTAGAAAAATGTTTTTCATTCACGCAGATTTCATTTTTTACAGTGACAGCTAGATTTAGATTGAGAGCAGCTTAGCTTTAATCAAAAGTAGTTTCCCGTACGAAGTTGTGATGCCCTGGTAGTTAACACTTTTAACTTTTTTTATCGCTTGCTTGTCATATGCACTGATTTTTCGCCCATAAAATGAGCAACTGTCGCCCGGAGGAGGTAGTTTTGGCATAAAAGTCCCATGAGCAGCGAGATTTCTTTAGTTTTTTGATTAAATTCGATAACTAAGGTAAGAAAAAAGAGAATAAGGGAGAGATAATTCTGTTTTTGTGAAAAAAGATTGTAAATTAATATTCTTAGAACTCGAAAATGGCACCAAAGAAGCAGGGAAAGAAGAAGGCTGGTACCTCCAACGTCTTCTCTCAGTTCGAGCAGTCCCAGATCCAGGAGTTCAAGGAAGCCTTCGGCATGATCGACGCTAACCGAGACGGTTTCATCGACAAGGACGATCTCCGAGCTACCTACGCTTCCCTCGGTGTCATGTCCATCGAAAACTCCAAGCTCGAGGAGATGATGGCTGAGGCCCCCGCCGCCATCAACTTCACCGTTTTCCTCTCCATGCTCGCTGACAAGCTCAACGGTGCCGACTCCGAGGACACCATCGTCAACGCCTTCAAGCTTTTCGATCCCGAGGGCAAGGGTACCATCCCCAAGGATTATCTCGCTGAGGTCCTTACCACCCAGGCTGACCGATTCAACGAGGAAGAGCTCAAGTCCATGATGGACGCTGCTTCCATCGATGAAGCCGGCAACCTCGACTACAAGGTAATCAATTAAATTCTCTACATATTCCAATAATTTTAGGGACTCGCTTACATCATCACCCACGGTGACGACGAGGAAGGCGAAGAAGAAGAAGGCGATGAAGAAGAAGAATAAATTTCTTCAAAAAACTCTATTCTATTCTGAAGCAAATTCTGACTGCTATTTTGTTTCTCAAAGTATCCGTAGTTGGAAATGTCCTTTCTGGCTATCTTACACTTTCTTTTCTGAATGAGATTGACCTTTGTTTGCAAACTGTGAGCAAAATGTTCTCGCTTTCAGGCGAATAAAATAGTAATCAGTTTTTAATATCTCTTCTATAAACTTTTGATTGTGAATGAAAAACGCTCTCCTGTGAAGTAAAATCTCGTTGAAAATGAAAAAGATTGTAATTATGGAATGGATGGAAGCTCAGCCATATTTTATAGTGCATAATCACGTGATGATTCGGATCCCTAACAATTGTCTCTTCGAACCGATACTCAGGGGCTGGGACATTCAGCTTCCAGCTCACTTCAGGCCGAATTAATTTCTTATTTTCTCTCTCGCGTAGATTCTCTTATGTATTCAATTGGGATTCTCTAAGATCTTTCTCGGGTGAGTGATTATTATGAGTTCGAAATTACGCTTGCAAGCCTGATCGAGTATTTTATTCTAGCACCGCTCAGACACATGCGCCCACTCGCCACTTCTGATTCCGTAATGATAAAGGTGCCATCGCTACCGGCCATGCCAAATTGCACCAGGCACCACTACCACCAATTCCAAATCATCATATTCCGGGAATAATGCGCATCTCAAAACGACCAAGATTTGATTCAATTTAACGAACTCGAGCAGATTTGGAACAGTTTTATTGACAGGGCAAAAGTGCTTTGTTATGGGAGTACATACAAGTTTTTCATAAACAAAAAGCTGCGGAGCCGAGGCCTGGATGTTATGACCCGGACAAGAGGTTACTTGTTGTCATATCAAATGATCCAGGCTGTTTTTGGACGATTGTAATCACGCCACGAGTGTCTTAATTTAACGTTTGAGATTTTTTTTAAAATTGCTATTTTCTAACGCTGGCCCAAGTCTGAGGCATTCCCTCGAAAGGAACATAAAACCTTGTCGAACATGGGCTAATGCGGTTATCGCTCTGGCTCACCTGGACCCTTTTAATATTTGCTTATCATTTTCTTGAGAGCTTAAGAACTCACTTGTGACGAGCGTAACCGGAGATTATGCAAAAAAACCAATTTCTAACCTTGAATTAATTGGAGCGCCAACTGTGCCAAAACAGTTTTGTTCTTCGCTTTTTCGCCAAAAGGTTTGTTGAAATATGTGACGCAAAGATTTTCTAGCTCTGATAAATTTCCGCGAATTCCAACGAGTGTGTGGCCCGTCTGAAATTTGTCGTAAAACACACGTAGATATGAAAATTGCCTATCTCACCTGAATACAGGCCAGTGTTCCCGGCATTTCATGGAAGTTTTCGATGGCAAAAACTTGGAGTATCTGGTGGATTACGATGGCGGTTTCTTCGAGAGACACATTCATTGCCAATCGAGCTTCAATTATTTCAGATTTTTGACCTTCAGATAACAGTTTATATAGATTTCTATATAATTTTGTTAGAATAAAATACCGTCCGCGCCAAAGTCAGAATTAGAAATATCAGAAGAGCTCCTCAGCGCCTCCGAGAGTCTTGACGAGAAATCGTCGACATATGGCAGTGCTTTGGCAATTATAGGAGTATTCAGTTCCTGGACATAACCAAGAAGGTCGATGAATTCAAGCCAATCCTTGATAATGACTTTTGCCATGGACTTGAGATTCTTCTCATCACAAGTGCGAATTTGAGACATTGAGTGGCAAACTATCGAAAGAACTTTCGTGGGTCATAAATTTGACGATCATTATCAGAGTTTAACTACAGTTATAGATGATCTGACCAGCCTGAAAAGATTTTGTTGACCAGCTGCAGAAAAGTTTGGTTTTCGTTTGGTCTTCTGCTTGAAACATCGGGACTCCCACTTTTCAACAAATCAAGCTAAAAGAAGAAAAATTCAAAGTGAAATAAAAGACACGTAAAAACTCACACCAGAAGTACTGATTTTCACGGTGTAAAGCTCGCATACCTTTTTGAAACCACGATCGAGCATATAAGTGAGCCCGAAGAGCTGCTGCTCTGGGTTATCTTCGAGCACCTCGCAGAGCTTTTCTTTCGCGCATCGGACAGCTGAATTGTTATTGTCGATGAATTGATGAAGCGTTGTTAACACTTGCCTAGCAGTTTGGCGAAAGGGCCATGATGGGTTTGCTTAGCTTGGGGATTTCCGCCAGCTTCTCTGCAACAGCTTACGAATTCAGTCAATGGATCGATATAGTTGCTTTTGAAGGGGTGTATCAAGTTGTTTTCTTCTATCAAAAACTTCATGCAACCCTTTCCTGATGGCAGTCAAGAATTTTTGCTGACGAACCTTCTTCCTTGTTTTACAGCACGCGTACATGACTTTTTCAACAATTTTTTCTACAGTTGAATTGAGCAAGAGAACATCGCTTCCAAGCTTATTTGGATTGGATGTCGAGGAAGCTGCAAGCGAATTATGCTGACTCTCCAAGTCCTGTAATAAAGCTGAAGCATCTTGAAGATGCTCTCGCAGTGAGCCCCTTGGATATTTATCGAGTATAGGCTGACCACCATCGACGTTTACAAAGGCCTGTTGAAGCTTCTGAAAGTTACCGTAAATCAGGTCCTACCTTTTGAAATTAGCGTTGTCGTCACCTGAGTGATGGATGCGAAATTTGCAAGTGCCTTATTGCACTGAGCTTGACCAGGTGCATGGAAGAGAATTGTTTCCTGGCAACTCTGCAGAGCGGAAGAAAGGGATTCTTGTGCTGCTGATGAGGGTGCATCAATTGTGACGATGAGCTTATCAAGGATGAGAATCACACTTTGTCTTTTGAAGGGGTAAATTTATGGCATTTTTTACTTGCGGACTTGAAACTCTTACTCTAAGAAATAACGCCCATTTCCTAAAGTCTTGAATAGCCAAATTTGTAGCATCTTTCTGCAGGTGTGAACAAAGAGCAGCACTTCCTAAGTGTAATCCAAGTTGGATTAGGATCTTGTCAACAGAATAAGTTTGAGCATTTAGTACCATATCGATTTCGAGCTTATCCCATATTTGTGTGGTCTACCTAGATAACTTGTGTCTTTGTTCACACTGCTCCTGTAAAGCGAGAGTATTCGTATGCGAATTCGGGACCGGTTGTAAGATCTTCAATCGAGCTGATGAGACGCATCATTGCTCCAGCTCGGCGGTGGAGTGGTGTTCGTTTTTCTGGATCACCATTCCACTCTTTCAGATCCTGAAATGTAAATTTTCGTCATTCTGATCATCTAAAACCCGCTTGTTCTGGCCACGTGTCCCAAATTGACGCACATCGGCAAATTAACTCCCGTAGCTCAGAGGTCAGAATACCGGAACAAGATGTCAAATTCCCATGGATAATACAAATTCTAAGGAGTTCTGCTCACCTTTGCCATATCATTTGCCAAGCTAGATATGTCTTCACCGGCCGAAAGTAAATATTCGCGCATGTGCTTGTTACTCCAGGAGCTGAGACGTGTGCATGTGGAGCACAACTCGTTCGATAGCTTTTGTAGTCGGAATACTTCTGTGATGAGAGTGTGCGCGCTCACTGAATTGAACATATTTATCAACATTTGATTTTTAGGGACCTTGTGTTTTGACGATATTTCTAAGCGCCAATCTGATAGAATTTATCTTCAGCTTGAAAGGTCTGTAATCAATCTCGCACTTCTTTCCAAAAGTATTTTTACTATCTGCGGTCACAATAAGCCACATGAGCGTATGTTCGGACTCGATCAGATCAAAAGCTTTCATCACCAGTTTGTTCGCGTTTTCTTCCGAAAAAGTTTCTTTCGCCAGATTATAGAGATCATCACAGATCTTTTTGATTTCCGAAGCTGCTTCGTAGTAAGTTTGACTCGATACGACGTCGCAGTTGTATTTTGAAACGCCTTTGAGTCGGACGATTCGGTGAATTGTTGATGTTCTCAGAGCTTTTTCTTTGTCGAGTATTTCTTTCAGAAGTTCTTCTTGAGCATCGTGGAAGTTTTTCACTTGTCGTAAAAGCCGATCTTGATAATTAACGCAGAGAGTACTTTCGCTTAATTTCCGTAAGCAAAGAATTATTTCAGATCCTTCAATCGCCATCGCTTTCCACTGTTTTGATGCTTTCTCTGGAATCAAAGATGATACTTTTGTCATGCTCTCCGCAAAGGATAGCGCTGAGGCGGCATATTCAATAACGTCGGTACTTGAAGAACCGAAGATATCTGACAGTAGCTCATGAGATTTTAGGAGGGAGGCGAGTAATTCTTGTTTGTCGACTGAGTTGGAGCCAGTTTCTTTCGAAGCAACGACCATTTCCTTCAACGCAGAGTCAAAAGATGCGAAGTGCGGAAGAGTAAGGACGATAGAATCACAGAGCTTCGAAATTACTGGATGCTGGGATGGAATTTCATTCCATTTTTTCTCCTCGTAAAGATGACAGACCTTCAGAAAGCATCGAATTAGCTCGTGACATTTGCCAACGAAGCTCGTATTAAGAGTCATATTGTAAATGTAGACGATTGTGTTCTCCATCTTTTCGAGGATGAGTTTCATGTCTACAGAAGGGGATTCGCAAGCTGCTTCGTCGCCAGAATGAATAGATCTAGGAACAAAATAAACGAAAAGATGACGATCTACAGCCCGCAGAAATGACCACTCGATGACGCCGTGTCATAGTTACAAGATGGTGATAACGTACCCGACCCACGAGTTGACGACCACGAGTAAATACGAGAGCGCGAAATGAAAGTTGGCTAGTTGCGTCATGTCCTCGTTTCTATCCCTCTTTTCAGGAGCTGAAACCTCGAATTTCCCAACTTGTTCGAAGTAAATGAAGCGTTCGTTGATCATTTTTATCGTTTTCCATAGAATGTCGAGTTTTGTTGGGTGGCAGAGTCGTTTGGACAGGTTCCAGTCTTGCACGAGATCTGTCAAAACAGCTGCTAAAGTAGCTGCTGGCTCAGCAACGCTCTTGTCGATATTGTAGAAAAACTCGGCGTTTGTGTGATGCTTTTCCAGCGATGCTTTGCGCTCTTTTTCCTTCTCGACCTCACGCAGAGCTCGTTTTTTCTTTGATTGCAGTCGATCAATGTGCAACTTGTCAATCAAATCCTGACGTTTCCTCTTACTTTCCTCATGTTCGTTCAGAATTGCAAAATTGTCTAGAAGCTTTGTGCAGTTCTTGATGAAAATTCCAGATTCTATAATCAAATCTTGCTGGGAAGCCGTACAATTTGGAGTTTCGACGAGTGTTCTGGTCGTTTTCACCAGCTTGGGAAATAATTGTGATAGTTGACCACCAATTTTCTATTTGAGGTTTATATCATGTTGCTAACGAAACCAAAGGTTTATTAAAAATTTAAGACTTTGGAAACCTTCCTTCCCTTCTTTCCATAAACAGCCCTCATCTTTATCAAAGTCTCGTTCGTGAACTGCAATATAAATCGACATTGCCTGTGACACGAGTTTTGCCTGAGCCGTTGTCTTCTGTACAGAGTCCGTGAATCGTAAGACAACCTTTCTCTTCACAGATGTAATAAAGCTCTGATCCAGAAATTGCACTCTAGTGGGAATTCTTCTTCTCCTCTTTGATTTCTCGTCATCGGGTGGTTTTTCGTTTGTGAAAAACCGGTGCGCTGGAAGAAAGCTAGCGCAATCAAGTTCAGTTGTTGTTGATTTAAACATTTTGAATGAAAATTTAAAAGCGATAAAATTGAAGAGAAATCGAAAATTTCTGAAAATAAAAGAATGAGTGAGGGCGCTCCTACGGCTTATCGCTTTTGATCTAACTGCACTTGAGTTTGATTTATAAGGGGTCAGTCAGATGAGGTTAATTCAACTTTCAGTATTGAAATTAAATTTTGATGGAATTTAAAACTTTGTTTTGACAATATTTGCAGCATATGCGAATCTTCCGGAAGACACACCCTAACGGTGTTAGTCAGACACATCGTGCGATTATCAGAATGCTGAGAAATTGCCTGCTGCTTTCGGTATAAAATAGAAAGTAACAGGAAACAAAATTACTCTATCGAAAAGGTAAAAAGTCGATTCATAATTCAGAGATCTAACTTTCTATCTAGATGAAGTTGTTCGCTACCCTCGCCGTCACCGCCTCTGCCCTCTCCCTCGACCACGAGAACTTCCAGGAGTTCAAGGAATGGCAGGCTACCGTTGGCAAGGCCTACCAATCTGAAGGCCATGAGATGCGAGGCTTCCAGAACTGGCTCGTCTCTCGACAGTTCGTCATCGAGCACAACATCCGAGCCTTCACCGGCCAGGAGACCTTCACCGTCGAGATGAACAAGTGGGCCGATCTCTCTGACGAGGAATGGGTTGAGTACAACCGACTTCGAAACGGCGCCAAGGCTAGCTCTGACTGCACGCCTATGCCATCCAATGCCACCCAGGCCAACCCCGACTCCGTTGACTGGCGAACCCAGGGATACGTCACCGACATCAAGGACCAGGGACAGTGCGGCTCCTGCTGGGCTTTCTCCACCACCGGCTCCACTGAAGGTGCTCACTTCAAGAAGACCGGAGACCTCGTCGCTCTTTCTGAGCAGCAGCTTGTCGACTGCTCCACCAAGGAGGGCGACCACGGTTGCAACGGTGGCCTTATGGACTTTGGCTTCACTTACATCATTGAGAACGGCGGTATCACCACCGAAGAGGCTTACCCTTACCAGTAAGTCCAATAAACAAATGCAAAATAATCAAAATATTTAGCGCCCAGAACGGTGCCTGCAAATCTGGCATGACTGCTGCTGCCACTCTTTCCGAGTGCCACGATGTCCCCCAGGGCTCTGAGGCCGACCTCGAGACCGCTGTTGCCACCGTTGGCCCAGTCTCCGTCGCCATCGATGCTCACCTTCTCTCCTTCCGACTCTACAAGCAGGGTATCTACCACGACCGACTCTGCTCCTCCACTCGACTTGACCACGGTGTCCTCGCCGTTGGATACAAGAACGCCGACTCTGGCAACTACTGGATCGTCAAGAACTCCTGGGGAACTAGCTGGGGTAACGAGGGTTACATCTGGATGGCCAAGGACAAGAAGAACGGTTGCGGTATTGCCACTGCTGCTTCTTACCCTATCGCCTAATTTGTTTGCCTATCTATATCTGTTCGTAGTAGTAAATAAATATATTCAATAAAAACCAATTCTCGTTCGCTTGCTAAAGAAAACACCTGCGAAGGAAATAAACTTATTTCGACGAAGAATGTAACTTAAATATATTTTTATTGAATAATACTAACATTCGGCTCTGAGGCCGAAATTTTCAAATTGAACCGAACTTGTGAAAGAAGTCGGGAAGAATTCTAGGCATGCGTGGATTGAGTTGAGAGCAGTTTTTGTAGATTCTAAGTGAGTGTTGCGTTTCTAGCTGAAACTAAAACTGAAGTATGGCAGGGAATGGCCGGAATTGACTATTTTTAGAGCGAAGGTTTCCTCCCGATAGAAGCGGTGGTTTGATAAGAAAGTCAAAAAGTAAAGGTACCCTAAGAGACAGAAGGGCGAAGGTTCTTGTTGAAGAATCAAACATGGTTTTGAAAAAAAACAGAATCAGAGTGTGTCTTATAAATAAGAAAGAAGAGTGTAGCTGTTAGCCGTTTGTATATTTTCAAGAACAGATAGCGTTTACTTTACTACCGACTACACAACTATTGCGTATAGAACGAGTATCGCTAGAGTCAGCAAGGATGCTTTAAATGAATTGAAGGTATGTTCAGTAGGCGCGCTTGCTGACTCAGTGAGACTGAAAAAAGTAAAAAAGCAAGGTACAGTTAATCTGTAGCCTAAGTTACAGGATATGAAGCGATAGAAAGACAGAAGCATCATTTTTTAGTTTTCGGGTGAGTTTCTCCTTATTTCGAAGCTGGTGAAGAGTCTATCCGTTCAGATTGAAGGCCTCAGGAAACTGAAAAAGAATGATTAGTCGCGTAATTAACATAATTTTTTGGACAAATCAACTGGTGAGCAATTATCGATAAAAGTCTAATTTCGAGCATTGTATTTGAATCAATTAGACAAGATCTCCAGTCGTATCAACGCTGGGCGTAATGAGATGATGGGAGTCAATTCTACTTTCGATGGAAAAATATATTTACAGAAGAGCCGCTCGCTCAGATTTTTTATTGACTGCGTTCTCCTCATCTGAACCAGGGCATCAGTGTGTTCGAGAGCTAGGTCATAACTACTGCTCAACATCCCTAACCTACTTTTGTATGGGCTCAGTATTACTGAGTCAGTAAAGCGGCATTTTTTGGTTCGTTCTAATTAGGCATATAAAAGCAGAATTTTTTCTCGTATGAGTATCAGAGTACAAATATGAAACAAAAGGGTTGATGTCTAGTAGATCATCATGTCTTCATCATGTCTACCATTCATTTTTAATGGAAAATCTCGAACATTCCTAACACCCACATTCGAAGCAGCCCTACTTGCTGCGTTACTAGCGCCGAGATCAATGTCTACATTTGAGATTTCCTGGTTAATAAAATTTGCAAGCTAAAACGAAAGAAACACATTCACGCGAGTTACAATTAGTTGATCTGGAATCCATCTCGACTTGGACAATAGCTTCTTCTTTTTCTGTCCCAATCAGAGACCTCATCGAGCGGGACAGTGCCCGGCTCAGCCGGGAGAGCCCGCTACCAGAGTCTGATGAATTCGGCAGAGCTCGATTCGCACTTTTTACTGCACAAAAACACATTTAAAACACCAACGACAGACATAAACATTGAAGTTCAATGATTGAACTAAAAATTGAATACATACCAGGTTCCATTTTGATTCCTTCCGATTTAACCTTCGAGCCTTTCATGGCCTTTTCGAGGATATCAGCAGCCTCAGATCGACCTTGTTTTCGGTAGAGGGAGGAAAGATTTCTCAGAGCAGCTAAAATATGATTGAAAATGATGAAAAGCACGGAGCTTGGGACACTTTTTGCCAGTCAGTCTGGTATAAGAAGAGATTTTATGACAAAAAATGTCCAAATTTTAGACAAAAAGCGCGTTGTTCGTCGGAAAATCGACAATTCAAAATGAACAAAATTTCACCAAGGAAGCCACCAAGTGAGCATATCACCGAAATCAAGGTATAAGACTCCCTGGTATTACATATTCCGTGTGCTGCCAACGTACAGAAAGCAGGATTGTCGGAAGGAATGCCCTCATTTGATTTTCCATCGTGACTGCCGGCTTCTGCCGCATCCGCGAGCATCCAAATTGGACGATTATTCTCCGAGATTTCGCCGAATTCGCGCTCGTGAGCTCGGGAGAGGACCTAAATTTGGATAAATCCGAGTACAAAGAAGGGTATTTACCTGTTTGTAAAGTGCTTCAGCTTCTTTCATTTTCCCTTGCTTGAGATAAGCCGATGCCAGGTTATTTTTCGTCTAAAAATCACAAATAACCAAGATTTAATAAAAAAGACAGCTAAAAGTGCCTATTAAAACTGACCTTCGCAACATTGGGATCATCATCTCCCATTTTGTCCTCATAAATCTTCAACGCCCTTCTGTAGTATTCCTCCACTTCTTGATACTAAAACACTCATCAATCAAAAATTACGAGTTTCTATCATACTTTAGCTTGGTTTTGGCAGAGCAAGGCAAGATTGTTGAGCTGTTTAGCTACATCGGGGTGGTCCATTCCAAGCACTTTTTCACGAATTTGAAGGGCTCTCAAACACAGGGGCTCGGCGTCGCGGTACTTAATTATTTATCAATCGGGGTTACAAAATGTCTTTTTTTTACTTTTCCACGCTTTCCATATAAAACAGCGAGATTGTTGAGCGTGGCAGCTACAGCAGGATGATTTGCACCAAGAGTTCGTTCGCGAATCGCCAGAGCGTCGTTGAGAAGGTTCGCAGCTTCGCGCCATTTGCTTTGATCTCGATACACTAAATTGTAACAAACGTAAATCGTTAGCTGAAGAAAAGAGTAAATACCAAGAGCGAGGATATTCAGCATAGTAGCGACGTCAGGGTGATCTCGGCCGGATGTCTTCTCCAGATCTTCCAGGGCTTGCTTACACAAAGGCACGGCAACTTCGTAACGACCAGCTGAGGCGTACTGAAACATTTTTAGATTACAGAGATAAGACTAATGTAAACCTGAATGACAAGATTGTGAAGAGTCCGTAATCTCGTTGGAATTTCGTATCCAGGGTTTCCAGGTTCTGATGGATCATCGCCAGGACTCGTAGGAGCGCCGTCAGAAAAGCCACCCTCACTTGGTTGCTCTAAAAAGAGATCAAAACCATTCTCGGAAGCAATGCGTACCAGAAGCAACAGATCCTTTGTCGTCGTTATGATCTGTTGACTGATTGAGTTCGGCCATAAACTTGTAGTGTGCGCGTTCTTCTTCTGCTTTCGTTGCTCGCATTTCCGAGTCGCACAGTTTAGATTGCGTATTTGACAGTTCTTCGCGCAGCCAACCGTTTTCAGCCACTAGTCTTCGTACCTAAAATCAAACATCAAAGAAGACGCGAGTTAGGCGCTCTTACCTGAGCTTTTAACTTTGCTCGATCGCCTTCCAAAGAGCTCAAGTGGCTGGCCAGTTGTGCCATCATTTGCGCTTCTTCAACTCCAAGTTCGACTTCGGCGAGTAATCGCTTTACAATCGTCGCTTTTTCTTCGACCAGGCTAGAGTCGGGGTCCTTTTCTTTTCTGATCGCGCTCAAAGTAGCGAGGAGGGAGGTTAAAATCGAACTCTGCTCTTGCCTGAAAATGATTATAATCAAATATTAGATTTTCGAGGAATAGAATTATTTCGCGCATGAAGTGGTTTTAATTAGATCCGCAATTAACAATTGTAGGAGGGTTATTAATCGATTACAGTTCTACTATAACAAAGGATATCACACCTAAATTTGGGGGAGATGTTCTCTATCGTAGAATGGACAAGTAAATTCACCTGAGAGCTTCGAGTCCCTGTTTGACACTCCTGCATCTCCTCAGAATCTCCAATTGATCAAGTGATTTTTCGTCGTCTGTTTTCCCAACTGGGCTGTTTTCATTCAGCTCCTCCTTCAACTCAAGTTCAGGAACAATTTCTAACAGACCGTTTTCCGTCGCTGAAGGACAACGATGAACAGATCGGCCCGATGGAATCGGAAAGATTTCCGGTGAATTCGGGGTTGATTCGCGAGTTGGCGAATCTTCGCTCATTTTCGTTTATAAATGGTTTTAAAAAGGGTAATTGAAGGAAAACTGATTCGAAAGAGACAAAATGGAAAATTCGTAAATCAAGACTTTCTAGAGAAGATTCTCAGTGGCAAGAATCGGGTGATTAATAACTGTTATCGATAAAAATTAAAGCGTTTTATGATCATCTGTCGTGACTCATGAACTGTTCCTTGACCTCAACTTCCAGCTCTCCCATTTTGCCGATGTTTTGTTTCGTTGTTTATTCTAAATTTCTTTGGTTGGTTTCTCACAATTCCATCAATTTCCGCGTTGCGTTCCGCTAGAATTTCTTCCTTGCGCAAGTTCCTTTTTTCGGTCAAAATTCTCCGCTTTTTCTCTTTTGTTTTTGGAAATCGACGGCGGCCAAAAAAGGCGAAATCGTGGCGCGAATTTTTCGTAGGTGGATTTGTTTTTAATTCTCACTGACAAGTGCAAGTGTGGTCACTTTTATGCCAGGGAGAGCGGCGGTTTTCCTAAAATTGCCCTTCCCGTCAACGCGGCGCCCCGTCGCTGATTGGATGATCTCTACTGGAGAATCGATCAGGCCTTGGTCCCCCGAGAACGCATCAAGAACCAGATGGTTCTCTAGAATGCCTGCTATTCGGGTTCAAATTAAAGTAGTTGCTCTAGAAATGTTGAAAATGAATTTTTATATGATAGAATTTTGAAAAGAAAGCTTTTTTATTGTTGAATTTCAAATAAGTCGAAGGAAGATGATCATCGTCTTGATGAGCTCATCGTACTAAAAATTATAGCCTTATCAAGCCTTTTTTGTTAAACTCACCTTGATTCTTCTGTTCTGATTGGAATATTTGTCGTCCTTTTATGTCCTTCTGTTTAGCAGTTGTAAGCCGGATTATAGGATCATTGAAATCGTCGTACGGGTCGTGCAAGTTTTCTTTCAACAAGATTCCTTCGGAGGTTTCTATGGAATGTTTTCGTCTTGTGCTTTCCGGCTTCTATAGAATAAATCTTTATGAACGACAAACTAATGAACAACCTCAGACATGGACGTTTTCTCTGTACTTGACGCGTTGCAGGAACGAAGACAGTAAGAATGAGAGCTCATTTTAAGCTTTAGAATCCCCGATTTGTGATTTTGCCAACAGAAACGCGAGTGAAACGAATTTTCGATACCATCTTTGGGTCTTCGTATTGGACCAAATGTAAATAAATTTAGTAGATTTGAATTCAGATTTTGAAACTATCATTCTCATACTGATTTTCATTTCAGGATGCATATACATTAGTCGACAAACATTAGCACAAGGTCTTCTTAGTCAAGATTGACCGAATTATTGAATGATCCTTTGAAGAAGTCTTTTCTTCGAAAGCGTTAAAATGGGAGAGAAGATGGTTGGGAAACAATAATGCCAGAAAAACTCGTCTAATCGGCGATACACCTATCTATTGCATGCATCGAGTGGGATTATCCAATCTAAATTGGCATTTGGCAAATCGTCAGAGAAATCTGCGGACATATAAAGCTCTCACAATTCTTTCAGCAGCATTTGTCGTCGATTTTGAAAAATGAGAATTTGTATTTTTGCACTGTTTTTCAGCACAATCAGTGGCTTCAACCCGTTTAATTAGTAATCAAAATCTTGAATTCTTTTGACTGAAAAAGGTTTTTAGCTTTGACGAATATGATTTTAACGAAGATAATTCTCAAGCCGATTTCAAAAAATTACTGAAGAAAGAAATTGGCGCTAACGCCGACGGTCTGAAGAGCAAGTTTTTCCATGGCTACATAAACTCGATAAAGTCGAAGTAAAACTGTCTCAATAAAGTATTCATCTGTAAAATGTAATCAAGCGAAAGACATGAACAAATATTTATGTTTACGCATTTCTGGGGGACGCTTGAAATCAAGGAAGAGTACAGCAATTATTTGATAATGAAGTCGTTGTTTTTGCTTATTTTTCTTGTTTATGGGAACGAGGATACACTAGTTTATAGAGAGTCTGATGGGAATTTCGTAGAGAAGGATGAGCTTGATGGGGATGATGTCCAGGGAGGGTTGAAGATAGATGAGAAAAATTTTGAAAACTGAGATTTTTTTGAATTTTTTGATTGAAATGTTCTTGAAAATGTTATAAAACTAGATAAACGAAAGTAAAACTCCAAGTTTTAAAAATAAAACCACCTTTCGGCGTTGCTACTATAAACACACAATTATTTCGATAAGAAAAAAAATTCTCCGAAACTCGTTCTCAGCTGAATTCTAAACGTGGAATTCATCATGATTTTGGCGATCTTGTCGGTATCAAATATGACAAGGAACGAAATACTGTAATTGATGATTGGCGAGTTTGGAATACGACGATCATTCCAGTGGTTTTGTCCTCGACGCTGAATAAGAAAGCGTTTGTGGCGATGGAAGAGATGCGGATCGAGGTAAGAAGTGAAGAGAAAAGAAAACGAGAACGATTAAGTATGGTCTTGGAACATGTATAGATTTCACTCCTTGGACAGGAGTGGAAAGGGATTACATCAAAGTCTACCCCATCAACGGCTGCTTCTCGCTAATCGGATACGCTCAGCAAGGCGGCCAAATTCTGTCCATCGACAAAGGCTGCGAAAGAACAACAACGATGAGTATGAGAATTTATTCGTCATTTCGTGATATATTTTTTCTTTGAAGTTCACGAGTTTATGCATGGACTTGGAATCAATCACGAGCAGGAGCGGAATTTAACTTTTAAACTACGCGTTGGGCAAGGGTTCTTGAGAAAATGCGGATTAGACGGAAAATATTTGGTACAAGATTTAGAGGTTTTCAGAACTGATGAATTTGCGGTTCTTGCGATTCAGTGATTTCAGCTTGCAGAAAAATGTCTCGGACCATAAGCTAATTATCGATCTGAGAATAGAAATTTGAATTTTAGATAGAAAGAAGAATCCGATTCCCCAGGTGAATCCACGGCAAATTAGACTACATCCGTTTATACCCGGATAAACTATTATTGAATTCCCAAAAAGACGCGTCCAGATCGAGATGATTATATCACCGTGAACTACGACGTTATCCAGCCTCCGGTACGTGGGTATAAAATTGCAATTTTATCGTAAATTCTTCAGTGCAATTTTCTCATCCTTACTTTCAGGCTACTCCTGGATCGCCCAGAATCCTGGATCGCCCAAATCCTGAATCGCCCGATTTCCTGGATCGCCCGGATCGGGGGATTCAGGATTCTGGGGGATCAGGGATTTTGGGGGATCAAGGATCGGGCGAATCAGGATTTTGAATTATTCAAAGTTTCAGTTAAAAATTTCTGTTTCCTCTTCAAAAATAATACCGCCGTTTCATTTCGAGTGTGTGCACATGGGGGAGGGCGCTCGGGCGCAATGCCGACGGGGAGATTCGCTTTCGGAGTTTTCGAACTCTCTCCTGGGGCGGAAAGTGGCTCCAGGATCGCGCGCTAATCCCTTCAAAGAAACCCCGAACTAACATTTACCAGCATTCGCGGCGGGAGATCATGCCCCAGTTTTACTCCAAAAGATCGATATCATTTTTTTGGTACCATAAGAATGCTGGAATCACGCTGATTAATATGATGGTATTTTTACTTTAAAAATATTCATAAAATAAGATTTTATGCTTGGGTTAAATCACGATCCGTGAAAGAGGGATTAACATTGCCGCCGGATGAAAAGGCTCGAGGTACGCGCTCGTCGCCTGGGAACTCGTGCAACGCCGACGCCGTCGATTTTCTGAGGTGACGCGGAAAGTTAAAAGAGGTGCAAGAAAAAAGAGTTCACTTTTTTTGTGACAGAAAAGGCTTGATTTTTGTTACAGAAATGAGAGTGCACACACTCAAAATTCAATTTTATTCATTAGTCCTAATAATAATTCATTCAATCCTCCTTCATTATCAACTCAAAATTTATTTTCAAAATCTTCGTGTGAAAATCCTTGATCGCCCTGAATTCCTGGATCCCCCAGAATCCTGAATCCCCCGATCCGGGCGATCCAGGAAATCGGGCGATTCAGGATTTGGGCGATCCAGGATTCTGGGCGATCCAGGAGTAGCCTTACTTTCAGCTTGGATTTAACTTTTGGCGTCTTGGATACAACCGCAATGCGAGGGGATTGTGAATCGTCATCAAGGTCGGAAGAGAAAACCACAAACCAATAATAGTATCCAATTATGGGTTTTTGATTCCGGCTCATTATCCCCTCTGAAGACGTTCGCCAGGTTCCATACGACTTCTATTCCATAATGCACTACGACCAGTACAGGCAAGTTGAGCTCAACAAAGCAAGTGATGATCGCTTATTTAGCTTCGTCACGGGTAGTACTCCTTCTATAACCACAAAAGTCGAGTACTTCAACAAGATCATTGGCCAGCGCCGAGGATTCTCTGTTGGAGATCACCAAAAAATCAACCACTTGTATAAATGCCCCCGGCCGTTGAGAAATTCGGTAACTTCTGGATTCGACAAATTCAGATTCTTCGATGGCTTCGCTTAGGGTTACCAACTTAGCAATAAATAACTGTTTGGTTAGCAAGAAAAGAGATCTGTGAACCCCTTTGAAAGCGCCAGAAGGAGATCATTTTGAGCAAGTTGAAGCGGATTTTCAAGTTCCAGGTTTGACAGAATTAATTTGAACTAAACGTTATCTCAGGGGGCGAATCTTATGTGATGGAGATGAATGGGCCAAAACGAGGTGCTCTAATTTCACCAAGGTAATTTTGATAAAGAAAAAACAAGATACTGTCGACTCTTAAATATGTGTCAAAAGTAGAGCTTCATTATTCGCTCGAATTTTTAAAACAAATTTTCATTAGTAGTTTCACTCAGAGTCGTCTGAGTTATGCTAAGTTACTTGTTCTAAGCCTACAAGGTATTTCGTTCAACATGATTAAAATCGTTAAATTCAGCCGCGTAATAGACTTATCACTCTCGTAAATTATGACATCAAAGGTTTTTAAAAAAATACACGTTTAACGGTTAAACCAATTTCAAAGGTACGAATCACGTGCGCCCCGGCAATGTTTCTCCTTTTGGTACACAGGACCAGTTTCACGATTCAAAGATGCGAATTCGTAGAACGGCCGGACCCATCAATTATTGTCAAAAAAGCTATGCGCGGCAAAAATTTTTCACGATGTCAATTTTGAAACTGGTAAAAGGGTCGTTTGGTGACTTGGCGGTGACTTTTCATCCTCAAGATGTTGATGGAAATTATTTGGAGGCAATTCATACTTGCGAAGGTTTGTTTCAATCGGGGAAACAAAATTCTAAAATAAATGTTATTTGAATTATTTGATTACCGGCTATTATCGTAATCAGACAACTCATGCTTCTATAAAGCTCAATTTTCAAGTGATCCCTGTCCCGACGGGCGAGTGGACGTACTTTCAATGTCAACTGGAATTGACCGATCCTGTCATTTACAAAATCGAAGCGGGAGTTCGCAGTGGCCAAAAATTGCAATTAGATGATGTTTCTTTAATTGATCGCGAATGCTATCAAGAGCATTTTCAGGTGACTTTATTCAGATCTTTCAAAATCCTTACACGTCGTTTAGTTGAAAAATTTCACCAGCTGGTTTGGGTCTAATCCATCTTCGGCGTATGTTTACAGCCCTGTTTTGCGCGCTCCAACTGGCCATACATATCAGGTCTAATTTCTAGCGAGCGCTCCTAATTCTAGTGCTCGAGATGAATTTCATCGTTGATCACGTTTCTTGATCATAATTTGTCGATCATTTTAGGTGAAAATTACGAGAGGTTCTTCAAGTCTCTCCACAACAGTTTACCTAACTAACGACGCAAATGACGATGCTGACGTTTTTTGGCCTTGGGCTGAGCAGTATGTAAAAATTTATCTGATCGAACATCGAAGAATTCCTGTCAAGGTTGTGGTTTTTTATTTCGGGTGGTCAAATTGACTGGGGAAGATAAGGTTTATAATCATGGTTACGATAAATTCGACGAAGCACTAGGTCAAATCAGTCATTATTTTTCCAGTTCTGGGAAGATTGAGAAATGACCTTCAAGTCGATTGACGTGCGTTTCATAAAACTAAAATAGAATCCGATCGCCCGATTGACAGCTAAACCATCTCAAGAACCAAATGAATCACAATTACGTCTGGCTGACTTCTTCCTCAGAAACATCTGCCAATCAAAAACCCACCTCAGGAGCGGGCTTCTCAAAAAATCTTCTTCAGGCCGAATCCAGAACAAGTTTTTACCTTGAGAGCACTCTCTCAATAAATCTCCTTCAAAAATAACTGAACATCTGAGCTCACTTGAACACGCTTATCCAATAATTAAATCAGCCCTCTTCCCGATTCTCCTCGATTCTGAAATGCCAAACCCCAGCTTGTGAAAAAGTCGTTATTTGAGAAGCCACGTGAACAGAACGGAACCCAAGCCACGTTCTAATCTATTTTTGATGCGCTCCGTTCAATTATTTTCAATTTTTAGGAACGTGCGATAAAGCGGATATTCGCGCACTTTTGTCTCACATTTTGAGCTTTTCGAACATTATCTTCATAGGGACACTCTGGCGCGGATTTTTAAGCTTTGATTTTTTTTTTCAAAAAATAATCCCCGTCCGCTTTTTTCTATCAGGGCGGATCTCACTCGAGTTTCAAGATCTCGATAAATACTGAGCTTCAAAATGCTGCCCAGTTTGATTTGAAAAACGCTTAACTCTGAGAAAATTAATTTCAGGACGTGAAAAATTCTCAGGTGACGGTGCCGGACTTGATTACCCAGCCCAGGTCACCAGTTAATGCGTATCTCCTAACGACTTCGGCCGAGAACTTGACGAATTTCGTTTATTTGGTTTAGATAAAATAAGCCGCACTTTACAAAACTTGAATGCTTGAATGGCAAGAGTAAAGGTGGCAATTTTCTTTTTCTAATTGGAGACCGGATCTCGAAATTCTTTAAAAATCTGCTTTGAAGTTGTTCATGGTGAACATAACAGACGTGAGGGATCTCAACATGACTTCAGAAAGGGCTGATCGATTCTAGTGGTTTATTCGGAATGTATCTTACGGTCAACCTAGAGGAAGGCTTAGACGAGTGCGGAACATGTCCAGGAATCGGCAAGGGCTGCTTGTGGACGGGTGAGTGAGCTTTATCAGCATCGGCTGTCAGATTTTCATTTTTTTAGAGGATGGCTACCGGTGCGTTTGTATTGAGCCTTTCGAGGAACAAGAAGGCGCGTTTTCAAAATAAGATATGAAGAAATTGATAAATTGAGGTGAAACCCCGTTGAACTTCTTTGGCTTTATTTTATTTGTAAACGCGCCGTCAAAGATGGAAGATGCAGATGTCCAGCTGGGTATAATTTCGTTGGCGATAGGCAGTATGCGTCTGATAGATGCGTTCATGTTTGCGACGACCCAAATGAAGAGTTCTGTGGGGAAGGAGAAATTTGTGTCCCGCTAGAAAATGGAGCAGAATGTGTTTTATCGGAGAAGAGCATTTTTGAGTTCTGAAAAAAATTGTAAAATTCACGTTGTCTTCGAGTTTCCTCTCTCCTGTCAGATTCATCATTTAGTTCAACGATTAATTTACGCATCAAAAGTTATGAATAACAAGTGTTTCTCAGGATCTTCGATCAAAGTCAACGATTATTTTGAATTTCAACAGAACAATTGTTGAGTTTATAATTTGTAATTGTACGTACGGCTAAATTGCCGAATTTCAAACGTGAGTAGTCCAAAATCTTCAAGTCGAATACACACATCTTATCAGAAAGTGACAGGGAGAAATTAATGCTCCGAAGCGGAGATTAATAACACGAAATGTATCTTAAAGATTGACATGTGCTGATGAAAATCTGAACTTTTGAAAAGCAACTGCTTTGCATAATCTAAGCTTGATCTTTGATCAAACTAATCCGACGAATTTCTGGTTAAATGTTCCATGAAGCCGAGTAAAGTACATGTTCACTACTAGCTTAAAAGTTTATCCATTCAGGAGGGTGTTTATCACGTTTTTCAAATAAGATTGGAACTTTCTTATCGTTTATACTACACTTTTGACACTTGTCTCGGAACTCCTTTTCAAGTGCCAAGTCTTTTCTGTTTACTCACAGTCAGATACTATTTTGAGTGGGACCAGGGAATTTTTAATTTCTAGCTTCAACTTGAAAGGATATCGTAGCGCAAATGCGTGTCTGTTTTTCCATGTGGCTTCTTGAGTGCCTGACAGGCGAAAAGTTTTGTTACGTCGGATCGACTGTCAGATACTGGCGGAAAGAAATCAGAGGAAAAACTGTCTCTAAAACGGATTTTACTAAGCTTAGATTTTGGGGGTCAGAAAGGTGTTAAAACAGAAGCTTGCTCTGATGAATAAATTCGAAGATCAACCCAAGATTATGATTTTAAGATTGTTTCTTCGCGCCAGGTTAATCCACTCTCTCCAAGTTTTTTAGATGAGCATTCTAACTAACTTAATTTTTGACAAATTTCACACCCTTTCTAATGTTGACCGCAGAGAACGAAGTATTTTTTCTGGTTTGAGATTGTTTGTTCGATAAAAACCCTCCTCCGCAAACGTTATTCTTTTCATGACGAGGACTTTCATGAGCGCTCATTTTTGACCCTCTAGCGCCTGTGCGCGCGGCGCATATAATGCGCCCGGCGCGATCGAAAAATCACTAAGTCTTAGAGTTCTGTAAAATACAAAAATGAAGCTCGGTTTTTTCTTCACTGCATCAGGTAATATGCAGAGATTATTAATAAAGCACTGTCTAATCTTTCCTTTCAGCATCTGCGTCTGTAACCTTCACTGCCTTTAAAGAATCCGGCTTTACTAGGCCACAAGCGAAGGCAGACTGCGAAAGTCGAGGCCTCCGACTTGCGAATATTTATTCTCAAGAAGAACAGGATCTTCTCAACCAAGTCATTACCGACGCTGACGGTTTAGAAAGAGGTTAGTTTCCATTGTACGAAAGTTTTTTAAAGAATTCTTTAGCTTTCTGGCTCGGCATGACACAAGGAAATGATACCGAGAAAAACACGATCAAAGATATCGACGGAAACGATCTGCGATTCTACGACGGCTGGCGAGAAGATCAGCCAAGCAACAAGCTCAACCATCCAAATGACAAGCACACGTCTGGAGAATATGAAGACTGCGTTCGACAGTTCGGACTTGAAGGCTGGAACGACGCTATCTGCTCTCGAACTTGGTATGTTTATCGTCAAAGATTCCTCGTTAAAAAGCCTTTCTAGGTCAGGAGCGAAGAAAAACAACATCGCGATGGGCCACATCTGCGAAGATCGTCCATCTTCTGCCGCTGTTGAAGAGTTAGACTCTCACTTTCAAATTTGGGCAAACACTTTTACCAATGCCAATATTGCCGCTAGATGGGAAGCAACTAAATTCAGTGGCTTCAGCCTGCGACTCAAGGTAAGAAAAGGATCAAGAAGCACTCCAGTCTAAATGATTTTATGTAGCCTTCGAATATGTTTAAAAAACTTGTGGAGGTACAATCTTGGCTTCGGCAATTTGATAATATGCTTTTTATAGAGAATCTTGAAGTTGAACTGCGCAGAAAGTGAAGCCTCGATCGGATCAATGCCAGCAGTTGATACAACTGGTGACGCTCAAGACGAACTTGACAAGATGATCCAGGGTTACAAGGATTTCTTCGCGACATACTTCAGCAATTGTCGAGGAGGTGTTTTGAACACAAAGCTCAACGAAAAAATTGACAGATGGGCTGCATTATTGTCGGACAAAATTCAAAACTGAATCTGTTAAAGTTCACGTTTTTTATGTATCAAGTGTAAATAAAATACAGTAAAAACCCAAAAATTGGCCGGTTTTCAGATGTAAATTCCCGAAAAAAGCGGCCAAATTTTGGGTTTTTTGCCGGGTAGCCAAGTTGCCCCTTCAAAAAGCAAAGTTTCGAAATTTTCGAAAATCGGCATGATTTTCACATTTATGATGAATTTTAGTCAATTTGAAGTCAAAATTTAATTTTTGCTTCTTTAAAGACATTCTTAGGAGAGTTAATTCATTTTAAATGATTAAAACACTCTAAAAAAGCTCAAAATGATCAGAAATAGAATCATTTGGGCCCAATTCTGATGAAATTTTTTTTATTTTTGAAAAAGCGGCCAAATTTTGGGTTGATTTCAGGTTTCAAAAAAGGCGGATTTATACAAAAAGCGGCCAAATTTTGGGTGGGCAAATTTTGGGTTTTCACTGTATACAAAAGCGTTTTAAAATTAGATTTCTATAGGAAGAAAGCTGTGTGCCACAAATTGTGGCAATAAAGAATGGCAGTGACTTTGAAAAGGCTAAGATACAAAAAGGAAAGGGAAGTAATATATTATAAAAATATAACAAAGGAAAAGCCTTTTTCGAAAAGGAAAATCGTAAAATTATCCGCGCCAGTAGATAATGTCAAGAGTCTTGACTCAAGACCTCAAATAAAAAAAAAAGAGAATTATTAACTCGCTTTTGTCGTTCAAGTATTCTGATCAAGTAAATGGACATAACATGAATGAAGAGAGATCAGTGAAAATAATCGGTGATACTACTCTTCTTCAGGCGAATTTCCATCAATCTCATATTGCAGTTCGAACAGGACATGAGAGAGTAAAGCTGACTACTTTCGATAGAGATCGACTTCCGAGATATTCGCCGACGAAGTCTGGGCTTGTAATGCTCCTGGATGAAGTTCAACTTGACTTGCAAGATGCTCATCATAATCTCAAAGCCTTTTCTCACGCTCTCAAGAATGAACATAAGTTCCTTATGTGTAATGAAGACTCTAGTAAGAGGCTGCAAAATTTGTTCGATGGATTTCGCTACGGAGCATTCATGTTTAAAAACATCACGAAGAACGAGGTCTACTGTGACGATGGCGATGCCCCTCTTATTTCGGATGTCTGCTTCAAAAAGCTTTTATAATTTAATACTGACCAAAAACTATTCCAGACCAGAACTGTTCCTGACGACTTTAACTAGTTTTAAACTGTTGTTAATACAAATCGAACAAAAAATCCTATTTCGTCCTCAATTAGCATCTCAAAAACACTCAAAAAGCTTGACCTAAAACGCTTCCAGGGCAACAAAGATGAGAGCACTACAGAAACACCCAGCTCGATATTCTCTGTGTCCGTTTTGTAAGTCTACGAAATTAACATGTCTGATCAGTGCGCAGAGTTCGAGAATCAGCTGAGAGCAGAAAACTGTCCTATAGTTATTGACACGATAAGAAACGTTCTTGAGCTCGGAATCCGTGCTGCTGGATGCCAAATTGTAAGTCGCATTTTTTGAAACAGTTTTTGTAATTTTCAAAATAAAACAAATAAAACTTTAGGAGTTCCCACTTCAGTGTTATGAAGACATAGAGGAGAATTCCACTGCTTCTAAGCCTGCACTCAATTTTATCTTGATGCTTTTATGCTGCCTCATATTCATGATCAAATAAAACCACTGAAAGACCTAGGACCTCCCGATCTTCCGATGTTCAGGAGAAATAAGGTGAAATATAATTTATTCAACTGCTGAAGATCAAAGAAAAATGTGATAGAAATATTGAAGAAAATTGAAACGAGATTTTCAGCTAGACTTTGGAGGAGGCAGAGATAATTTAGAAGGCGGAAATTTAATTTCTGAGGTACTTGGTTTTTCGTCATCGTCGTCGTCGCTCTCCAAAAGGATGCATTCGATTTCTTTGGCCGTTTTTCCTTCCAACGTTTCTTTGGTCGCGACGGGCGGAGTGTAAGCCGACGTTATAACGCAATCATCGCCACTGTCGTCATCTTCCGATTCATGATTCGGGTTTTCGTCTGAAGAATCATCAGAGCTCATAGCATCGGCTTTCTGTTTGAGTATCTCTAAAATCTTCTTCATCTTCTGCTTTTTCTCGTCCAGCACTGCACTAGTGCTTTTCTCTTCAACAATTTCAAAATCATATTCTTCATCACTAGAAATTATATTTAAGTATATATTGAAATCCGCTTGCAAACCTTTCAACAGTTACAGTATCGCCAGTGTACGTTCCGACGCCCTCATCGCTCACAAATTCTTTGTGATCCCGAGTAGCTGACCCAATCGTCCCATTGCTTTCTTCGCCGCGTGTGTCTGATGTTTCACTTGGCCTGTGATCATTTGTAACCTTCAAAGAAACGTAAGGACATAGTTCATCATCGATTTTACCTCGACTTCTCGTTCTTTTTCTTTTCTGTCTTTCTCTGTCTCTTTCTCCGTGCCCTCTCTTTTTGCGCTTGCGTTTTTATCTTCACTGGAATCATTTTTCCGATTCCCTTCATCTTCACTTGAGTCGGATGAGGAGATGACGAAGATGTTGTGCTCTGCGGGTTTTCTAGCGACTTTTCTTCGCTTTCCGAACTGGACTCCTGTGTAATTGAGTCCAAGGCTTCCTGCGTAAGTATGTTCTGAATAAAGCTACAGTTAAGTGCAAAACTATAACCCCAAAGGCTCAAACCTCGAGTTCTTCCTTATCCAGATAAAGATCGTTAACAACTTCTTGTACATCTATTCCTCCGTCAAGGCACTTTTCGAATACTAAAGAATTAGAAAAAATGGTAAAAAACCGGGACTTACATCTCTGGGCAGTTTGGATAGCAAATTTAATCTTCGGGAACGATTCAGGTTTATAAACAGCTCGAGCTGTATTCGTCCCATCAAAAGGCTCCTCTATCCTGATTTTCTTTCCAGTAAAGAGTTGGTTGTCTGGAAACATAAGTCTTTCATCTAAAGCGCTCACTGGCTTCCCAAGTCTGACAGAGATGACTTGATTGAAGTCGAATTGATTGTAGTAGTCAAAGAAACCAAAAACAAGTTGACCAACTGTAGCTGTGTTTTGGACTTCCCATTCCTATATAAAGCTTAATTCGTGGTCAATTCTCATTCTTTTACCGCTGGATGACGTCGAATACGATGAGGAAGCTCATGAAGAGAGTCGGAGATGTTGATCTCTTCATCTAAGCCTTGAAGAACTGGAAGAATTGGAGGTGTGCGCGTTTGGAGATAATTGATAAGCATGAGATTGATGCTGTAGCTTGTTAGTGTTCCTTCGGAGGCATCGTTGATTGTGAGCTTTTTACAGATTTTCTTTAAAAACATGGCGACAGGTCTGACTCTGGGATCAATTACTCGAGGACCCATTGCACTAGAATTGAGTTAAACAGATATTTTTCACGATTTCAAACCTATATGCATTCAACAACCAAGTGTTCCGCAATCCAGTTAGGTTGTTACAGTTTATGTCGATCTGAACGCCTCGAATATTGAGCCTCAATATCGGGACTTTAGCTGGAATAAGTTCGGCGAAGTCGTTGAATTTTCCGACATTTCTTATCGCTTTGCGGCAGATTTTAAGAGCCTTCATAGAATCACTTTTGCTGACTTGTTCCTTAATTTCTGTTTAGCTGATTTTGAATTGTACGACTAACAGTATCGTGGTCGATAACCAGACAGATATCGACATCGGAGTTCTTTGTTCCGAAGCCATTTGAGGTCGATCCCACAATATAACAAGAATAATCATAGCCGGACTGTTGAATACAGTCTTCAACCCAACATCGGATCTCGTCCTTTTGATTGTAATGTTCCGACATTTGCTGGTGCATTTCGTAGTTGAACTCGATGTATCCACTGAGTGGACATGTTCCAGGAGCAGGGTTGAAACGAGGCTCATTAAAATTGCGTCTCATTGATTTACCAGGATTCTGTCTACTCTTATTCTGTTGATCGTCATGGCGTGATTTACGCTTTCGATTTCCGCGACTTGGCATCATGCTCATACTTATAAATTTAAATTTTTATTGCAGCACATTTTTTTTCAATAAGTGGCGAGTGTTCAGAATGCAAGATAACTGGAAAGTTGATAAATGAATTGAACTAAAATTGAACGACATTAAAATTGAGTCAGGGTTTTTAAGCTTCCATCTTCACAGGCGCTGCTCCTTCCGCAGCTACTGGATCAGGAGTTGTTTCTTCATTGTGGACGTAGCATTGTACGGAAGGCTGAACAACGACATCGTTGATGACTTGCATTTCTTCCAAGAGCCCAGTAGAATCTTCAAGCCCGAAGACTTTTCTGCCGCCACCTTGCATCAAAATTCTAAAGATAGGCTAGAGCGAGCAATAAAAGTGATAAAATACCTGAGAAGAGACTGAGCAGCGCAGCAAATGTTATCCATTTCTAATTTCGAAAACGAGTTGTGCACCGATCGACCGTCTCGTTCTGCTGGGTCGCGAATGCCAGCCGAGCCAGGGAGGAAAAAGCCAGAAGAAAGTAGCATGAGGGAGCGTTTCAATGCGCTTGGGACAGGCAAAATACTCTAAATTAAATTGACAATAGGAAAATCGAATAAGATTCTTACCGGATTTCCAGCTTCGTCAAAAGTAGACATCGAATAATGCGCCAAAAGTTCAACAGCCCACTGAGACATGCCAAGAAAGCCATTGAAGCGCACTTTGAAATCGGAAAGGATTCGCGCCAGGAGTCGGATGTTTGGATCAACGCAATTGTCAGCAAACCACTTGGCCCGTTTGCCCATGTCGAAGTTTTTGTACATGAGACGTTTTTGAAGATGTTCCTCGGCGCTTGTCTTTATTTTGTTGCCAGAGCATGTGATGAAGCAGTTCGCACGAAAGCCAGTCAAAGATTCGACTAAGCGAAAATGAAATTAGCGCGTGACAGTTATTCAAACCTCTTATACTAGCAGCTTCCTCACTAGAAGTGATTGTATACGTGGCTAAAGCGGAAGCAAGTTTATCAGAAAACTCTCCAAATTCGTCGATTTTCATAGGATTTCTCATCGTGATTAGAATTTCAAGTTCTTTGACTCCTAAATTGTCATTTTTCGAAACATTCTATAGTTGAACGAACCATCAATAAGGGTTTCATTGGCAAAAGCTCCAACAGTTCTGATATCATCAATAGCTTGTGGTTCTTGCTCGGCTGGAGAATCTGCGTCTGCCTCGGTTTTGACTTCTAAACCGACATTCAGCTTATTATTTTATGGCCAAACACTTACCCTCTTTCTTAGCTTCGTCATTTTCGGTATAGAAAGAGCCCAAAACTTCCGTAATTTCCTCATAAACTTTGCTCATTGCCTGCTGATCATCCTCTGCCAACATAATTTTCTTGTTTCTTTCTAAAATCATCTCTCCTACTTGCGAATCAAACTAAAAGTGCTTCATCAATCCTGCGTGAGATTTCGTTAGATACCTCGTTGCTTGTAACTTTTGGAAATTGGACTGCACAATGTTCCAGGTCAAATGGCGAAAAGGGAATAAATACTGAATTGCGTAGTGGACCCTGGAAATGACCTCCTCTTCCACCTCCTCTGCCTCTATTATATGGACTGGGACGACCGGGGTTTCCTCGCATCATTCCTCGACCGCGACCTCCAGCCATAGCGAAATAAACTGAATGATTTTGAGCTATTTTATTAGAAAAAAGAAGAACAAGGGAAAAATCTGTGACAGGAATAAGGGACTAAGAATAAAGGGTACATGAACTATAACGAGCACAAAGGGTTATTTACAGGGGTATATTTACAAAATTTGTGGGAAATGTCACCGACCACTAGGTGGTTTTTTCGATGAAGGTTCCCATTAAAATGGGTCCCCTCCCGAATTAAAACACTTACTATTTTAAATGCCCCAATGGGGCAAGTGCTTAAAAGATTAAAAAGAAAAAAAAAAGTATATTGCCATAGAGATGGCATTTTTGTCCTAGAGAGGACTCCGTCCATGTCGACTCTTTCAAGAGGACTCTTTTTCAGGACGTAAAATCTTTTTCAGAATGTTTAAACATTCTCATAGTAATAAAAGAAAGAAAAAAAATATATTTATAGAAGAAAAAACTTCAGTGCCAAGCGGCGAAAAAGGGCATATTTGGGGCGATATCCTTGGACGACTCCGTCTTTGGATCCCCGCGCCCTGATGATTGTGGAATCTCGTTCATGAGCCACATGCGACGCAGACTGCGGAAAAACTATGAAATCTCGCAGATCGAAACGAAGAAAAATATCGGAATAAATCGCAGTTCGCAGTGCGAACTTCGCATCGTACTGTAGTCCGAAAGTTTTGGAAAACCCACATCCCTAGGGCCAGTGACATTTGTATTTAATATGAAATAAATATGGCGTTATACGCCATATTCCCTTATTGTTAGGGACCGATTTCAATCTAAATATATTAATAGTTATTACTGGTTGAACGTGCAAGAATGAATGGGATTCGAAGTACAGAAATTTAGATGAATATGCAAGCCACATTTAGGCATTTAATTTTTGCTGGACTAGAGCACTCTAGCGATATTTATCGAAAGAGCCCGCTTGATACCGTTATATCGGCAAATATTGGGGGATAGTCGTTGTTGTTTTTCTTCGCGTTCATCGCTGAGGATGTCGAGGATCTAATTTCAGCGCTTGAAATGTCTCCTCTAAGCGTGAGCAACGATTTGATGTGCTCAGCTGTTAAATCCGAGTATCTTCCGACCATTGAGCTCAATTCTAGCTCTATCATATCTGGACTCGATTTTAATAAATCGGCAATACTTCGGATGACATCTGTTGCAGAGGCAGCACTATCTTTTGAGTTGGAGAGCTCTTTAAAATATCTTTTTGGGGATGAAAAAGCGTCCTCACTTGGGATACTCGAGGTGTTATTTAAGAACCGAATAATATTCTCTGGGTGTCTCTGTGCTCGAGGCTATGTTAGTTTTGGAACGCGTGATGAATCACTTTTTAAACCCCTTTCCTTCCAAGATAATCTGCCTCGATCAAGAGTTGATCGGAGACCTCTCTTCTCTCTGTGTCATTTTCGTAGCCAGAAGCGCTGAATTTTATTTTCCCGTTTGCCGGTTGAATGATTGCCGCTACATATCGAACAGTGACACGTCTCTCGAGCTCCTTGATCAAACTGCAAAAGGGAAAATTAATAATTTGCCCTTCTCCATTGTGGCCGTTGAAACTGCAATTGTGGCAGGTTTGTTACCTAAACAAGTGCTCCGGGCGCAGCGATGCAAAGTCTTTCGAGTAGTCTGTCACCGTGGCGACAATGGTGTCAACTGGTCGCCCGCCAGGTGTCCCTGACGATTCAAGCCACTCTGATTTTGTCATGATTTGACCGAGGACCTCATTCAGGTCCATCATCACTTCCTCGACCAAAAATGAGCATCCTTTCTCAGCAGCGTCGTCGGCGATTTTGGAAATTGGACTATCGAAGCTGTCTGAAAAATTCTCATTTTACTACCTCTTCCTAGATTTTTGAGTTTTTTACGACCAGCGAAAGTAAGGAAACTGTCGCGACACTAATTTCAAAATTATTTTATTACCTCGTTGTATTTGGAACTTTGCCGCGACATCAGTAAAATTGTCCGCGAGCGTCTTGCAATTATTGATCGTTGCTACGGTGTAATTATGATACCACTGCGCAGCGTTACGCGTCCTCAGATGCTGGTCTTTGAATTCTGACAATGCGCCGATAAGCTTTTCGAAGAACTCTCTCATCTCCAAGACGATGTCATTAAACACCCTGTCTTTTATCTCGTCGCTGATTTGTTTGGTTACGCCGAGGATTTCCGAAACCATTTGAGCAAGAATAACCGGCAGGTCTGTAACAAAGTAGCCATCAGCATCTCCACTTGGTGGGTCTGTTTTACGCCACTCTCTCGATTCCTGCGTGACAGCGTTTGACAGCCAAGCCTTGATATTCTCCTTGGTCGAACCAATGTAAACATTTATAAGCGCATTTTGTTCCGATCCATCGAGTAGTTCTGGGATTCGCTCTTTGGAAATTCCTAGCTCCGGGTTTCCCATGTAATTTTCGCTCGCATAGTGATTGAGGAAGATTAAAAGCTCGATAATTGTCTTGCCTTCAATTCCCTCGCGAATAAGACGATTGATTTCTGTAGCAAATGCGATGTGATACCAGTTTGTGAAACGGTCAAAAATGTTCCAACTCGGCGGGAAGCACGGAGCCACGATGTGTTTTAGAAGGATGAGCTCCGTAACGGAATCGCTTCCGATCTTTCTGGGTTTGGGTAAGCAAATTGCTCAGAAAGCGTGACCTCATTTTTATGCGCTCTTTGTTTTGCGACATAAGTCTTTCATAATAAACAAAAAAGGGACGGGACATATTAATTATTGACCCACGGGATCGATCCACTAACACAGTGCTCCTAAAGATTCTTATATGTTTGCTTATCCCTTCCTAAGTTGGCTCCCGAGCCAGCCATCGCCAGCTTTCTTCTCGATTCTGAACTTTGCTTCGATCGTGCCCTTCAAGCTCTCAAGCACTTGCTCTCTCCATTCTTTAGGCCGGCCCGGGGGTGCGAAACCCGAATAGGTTTTTCTCCTACTAGTCTCTTGATCGATCGAGGTCTCTCGCTCAATAATTCGCAAAGCGCTGTGACGAGCTTTAGTGAGTCACTACCTCTCTTTATTTGAATTAAAAATCATTTGCTTTCAAAAAGGAAGTCTGACGAAAAACGCCTCTCTTGACAGTCTCTCTCTATCTCTCTTTGGCGCTAATATAAACTAAATGACGCTGTAAAGGAACGTTACATAAGAAAACTCTTTTGACAACTGCGCGAACTTTCTAAGGATAAGTTTTTAAAGCTCTGCCTGACAAGCAGCTCCGGCTTGGACTTTGCGATGGAAAAGGAGTCGGTAATAATACTCGAGATTTTTCTAAAAAGATGGAGGATAACGCAAATATGTAAAAAGTAAATATAGACTTGAGGCAATAGAGAGTCTAGCTCAAAGTTCATTCTTTACCTGTACAGTTCGTTTGATACAACATCGACATCTTGAAAGTATCGATTCAGAAGTGTGACATCTCCTTGACTTCCGTTTTCCAGTTTGTGCTGCTCGTACAAAAGCTCATCCCGTGATATCTCAAGCTCTCTTATTGTCTTGTGAGCTTCGAGCAGCTTTTCTTCTTTGAGCTGATCTCTCGCTGCTTCCACACTTTCTGGCACTGTGAAGATTTGTCGCAAGTTATCCATTGCCGAGCTTAGCTGACGATGTTCAGCAGAGATGTCTTTGATTTCTCGAATGTGCTTATCATGGAAGGCAGTGTCCATCATTTCTTCCACTGTCTTCATCGTTTTACGAACTTCTTGAACATTTTCAATGGCGGACTTTAGCTGCTCAATGCCAAATCGAACACCATCAAGTTGAGAATGAACGGCAGTTTTGAGGCGCGATTCGACACCCATCCGTTTCCGGGCGATTCCTATTATAGAAACAATAAATAATTGAGAGCAGTAACTACCTTTCTTGTATTGATCCACTTTATCCAGCTGATCGGGTCGTTGGAGCAGTTGTGCAACTTTCTTTAGCGCTCGTTTTTCAGCTTCTGCTGTATCGATTTGAAGGTCATTTTCGAATTTCATTCTCCAGTTTTTTAAATTTAGTACTTTCTAATTAAGTTTGTGTTAATTACTCTCAATAAATAATTTAATTCATAAATCACATGATGTGTTTGTGAAGATTTGGAGGCAGTAAGGTAAACAGTTTATAACTGACTTTGTCTTCAAGGTCTTTGAGGTCGATTACGCATTCGTGGATTAGATGAAGTATACTCAGTGACGCTTGAGAACGGATAGATATTTACTTTATGAGGCCAAAAAGGAAAAGTTATGGATACACTATTAAATCATTGTCAAAGATAGTCATAAAGCTATCAGGCAATTAAATTTGACGGATTAATTCAATAAGAATCCGAGCCTAAGATCGTGATGAATCCTGTACTAGACCAAAACAATTTCCTTGCTGCTGCGATAGAGTTGATGCCCAGACTCCACTGTGCCTGATAGTAAGCCATGATGCTCCCACCCATCGCAATTGCAACGAGTGGCATGTATCGAAGCCAGAATGTGGAATTCTCACTTTCCCCGCAGCTCTGGATCTTGTGATTTTTAGAAAGTTCTTCGTGAGCAAACCAGGTCAACAAAGCGAAACAGAGGATTGACCCAATTGACCAGACTTGATCCCAACGGCCCGTTATTCCAAGCATTTTATAGCCAGCGCGGTGGTACTCCGGGTTCCGCTCAACAGCGAGCCCGTAAAAATGGGGAAATTGCCAGAAGAAAAGCAAACCAGTCGGGACAATCCAGAAGTTATTTACAAACTCTCCGCCTGTATTAGTCAAGTAGCCCATAAGCGGCGGAATTGCACCGACGAATGCACCAATTTGCGTGTTTATCCAGCTTTTTCGCTAAAATTAAAGATTCTCGTTGTTGATTTCTTTTTAAAGCCGTACCTTCAAAGTAGTGTAAATCCAATAATACAGCCAGACATTGAACACTCCGAGTCCCGCTACAGTCGCATTACAACCGGCCGCTAGAACTGCACCGCCGTAGACAACATTTTTCATTCCTCTAACTTGCGCTTCATAATGAGCCAAATCATATCCGTTGTAAGATCCTCTCTTGACGAGTTCTCTCAGCCTAGTTCTTTCCATTTGACGGTCGTATGGGACTTCGTGTTTTTGGTTGAAAGTGTTAGCAGCAAGACCAAGTCGGTATATTCCGTAATACAAGCAACCAAGCTCTAGCAAATTAATACTAAAAATAAGTTCCTTCAATTTATTTTTCAAGGTACCTAAATGGATATCCAACCATCATGTACCCAATAATCCCGGCCAGTCCGTTTGACCGGGAAAGTGCATCCTTCCCGACTCCCTTATGAAAAGCCCGATCGGGGGAAAAAGAAGGTCGCAAACTGCCCCAACTTGAAAAGTTCGTTGTCAATTTTCTCAGTTCACCTTCCTCTGCATCGCCATTTTTGATGATCCCAGTGACTCGAGGATCAATGGATTTTACGCCAAGCGCTGCCTCGCACTTGGGCGACTTTTTCAAATAAACAGCGTAAGATCTACTGGCCCGAATCATCTCATTGTCTGCAGAAACTTTTTCAGCTCTGAAACAAAAGCAATCAAAGAAACATTTTTGCAGCTATTTTTATTGAAAAGCGCCCGATTATTATGACAGTAAAAGGAGGTTTTCCGCTTTTGATTTGCGGATTGAAGATAAAGGGAATGTACAAAAAGTAAGCTGGCAAGACGAAAGTTAAAGAAGAAAAGCCAGAAGAAAGATCGTCGCAACGATTATGAAAAAGGGCAGACAGCTCTTTAGAAATCCGCACATGTTCACGAAACGGCCTCGAATAAGCAGCATCTTTATTTCAAGGTTTCATTATTGTCTTATCGTTAACCAAGAATTGGAATGAAGAAAAATCTATGAAACCATGCCCAACATACACTGACCATATTCCAGTTTGATTTGCCCTTGTATTCCATCAGATTCATAGCCATCGCTACGTGGCTGTGGCAATTATCGCTAAAAATCGTTTAAAAACATAGAAGGGCGGCGTAAAAATTACCAGCAAAGATTGTGCATTCGCCCGTTATATTCATCGGAGGCTTCTTTTACAGCTGTATCCCATTGTTTTCCGCTGATATTTGTTGGGTCGAGTTGCAAATAGCGCGTGGTCTTGCCAAATGCAAGATTATCTTCAGAAACGTAATATGGACCCGCAAAATCACGAATGACGCCATTCGAGTAGGCAATCCCTAAAATTAACATTATCTTCCATGATTTCAACTGTCCTTACCAACATGCCCGATGAAAGGCAAAAACCAAGATATGCAAGGAAGAGGAGTCCAAACGATACAAAAAGGAAATCGATCTTTTTTGATATCAATTGGCTTCATGTTTTCTGATTCCTCGACCATCTACGAACTAAAGAAAAATTATATTTTAAATATAATCTAGTGGCCTATTTATGCAGTGATAAAAACATGTGTTAGGCTGGCAGGATACAGTAAAGTTCGATTGAGTGTTACAACGAAATAAACCTAATCCCAAAGTTTGATCGTCCCGTCCCACGAACAGGTAACGAGTTTCGATGGCTCCTTGGGCAGCCATGTTGTGCAAATGACAACTTCATCGTGTGCCTGTAAAATGTTTTAACGGCTATAAACTTTTGAAAATAATACTTTGAACTTTGAGTAAAGCCTCGTTGTTTTCCAGTCCCAGATGTGAACTTTTCCCTGTCCATCTCCGGAGCAAAGATAGCTCATGTCAGGACTAAATGTTGGAACGCAAGCGTAACCGGCGACGAGATGGCCTTTGAAGATCTTCTTTCTCTTTGGCCGGAACTTGCCGCCAGTACAGTCATAGGTTTGGATGGTGTTGTCAAGAGATTGGAAACAGACAAATCGATTGTCGGGAGATTTCACCGCAGCGGGCATGGAGTGCATACCTGAAAATAAATTGAAATGCTGTCGAGAATGGGATCATACCCGGATCGGCGATATATTTAAAATCGACTGGAATGTCCCATTCCCAGACACGAATAGACTTGTCATCCGAAGTCGTTACAAATCTCTTGTTATCATCAATAAACGTAATCGAGTTGATTGGATTCAAATGACGATCGTATTCTTGAACGATATTCCCAGATCTGATATCCCATGCAGAAACCTTCAACAAGTAAATGATCAGAAAAATGGATTTTTTTTTACCTTTTTGTCATTGCATCCAGCAAGGAAAATATGTTGTTTATCCGCATCAGGGTTGAATTTGACAACATAAGGAATCTTTCTATTCGTGAATTTTGAAATGCACTTGCCAGTTTCTGTGTCCCAATATTTGATGAATCTATCGTACGAGGCGCTGAGAAAATGTTCGCCTAAAAATCTTCATAAAAATCAAGAAAAGAAACAAATAAGGAACCTTTGATAGTCATATCAGATTGCCTGACACCCTTCGAGTGCCCATCATAAGTTCTCAACAGACGCCTCTTTCCATACGTCTCCCATAATTTCAATTTGCAATCCATAGAAGTAGATAACAGCAAATGACCAGTGCCCGGAAAGAGCTGAATATTCGTAACTCCTTTTTGATGTCCTTTGAAAGTGTGAATGAGTTTCTTCGGCAAATAGCATCGTTCCACAGTGTGCGTCTCTTTCCAGTTGACGCCCTGGTCCATAGGAGGGTGGAGGTAATTTCTGCCCAAGTAATCGTTGGGATCTGAAAATAAACATGTCAGAATGTCAACACATAGAAAGTCTTACCGTTGATATGAAGCTGCGTCTTTTCCATAACGACATCGTCATCATCGTCATTCGCTTTCGACCTGTTGTTTCGTTGCTGTCGCTTGCGAATTTTACCTAACACAATATTTATAACCTAACGATCCAACATTTATTTACCTAGAATATCATCGAGCTCTTCTCTAACTTCACCGCTTGGATTCGTTTCCTCCATGGTCTTCTCGTCTTTATACTTTGCCCAAGGTCCCTTCCACCCCTCGATGTCTCCAGCATCATCATTTTTCGCACGCTTTCTTTTCTTTCTTTTCACATTCATCCAGACACTGCCACCTTGTTCGACAGCTTTACCGTCGATTCCGTGATAACTTGTCACGGTTTTCATATCCTACAAAAATTTAAGGACATTTAATGAAAAGCTCAGCTTCAAACCTCATCAGCGCTATCGAAATTCTTTGATGGATCAATGGCCGTTCCATAGGAATGATAATTTCTTCGTTGCGTTTCGAAGGCAAAATCAGAAATGTGCTCCTTCTCAGCATAACCAGCCAGGGTGTTTCGCTCGGCCGCTGCTTGATTACTTTTCAATGGATTTGACGGCCCCTGTTCTGGCATATAAAGTTCTTCGACAGTTGGATTGAAGACGATCTCTCCTTTTGTTGTATCGACACTTCTGCCGTTGTGAACATCGTACTTTGTGATGACATTTGGTGCAACGACGATATCTGTTGACGTCTTGATTGGTTCTGGCTTCTTCATATTCGTCATATGAGAAATGGCATCGGCATGCTTGACGCAATTCAAGTTCTCCTCGTCCGACTCAGAGTCGGAGCCTTTGTAAGCTCCGAGCGCGGCCAGAGTCGCCATTTCAATTGCTTCACTCTGAAAGAAATATCTATTTTTGCTGATTATAGAGCAATTTACATTTATTTCAGTACACAAATATGTTCAATAAATTTACAGAATATACAGAAATTCAGAAATATGAGAAGTTACAGTATCAATTTTCTAGGCTGGGCACGCTATCTTCGGAGATCTGGAAAAGGAGAGGTTTTCCCGTCTCCTTATCATTCAACTGGTAGTAAAACTTTCCATCGAGATGAATAAATTGCCCTTCCGAAGGTATCTTCAACTTCGAATCAACTTGGGCGATAGAACTCGTTTGTGGATTGGTCTGATCAGTAATTGATGTTGCGCTGGGCTTCATATATTGGATTGCTTTTGAAGTCGAAGGTAAGGATTCAGCAAAAGGCTTTTTTGACGATTGTTCTTGCGCAGTCTCTTCGGCCTTTCGTTTCTGAGTTTTGAGCTCAACTTCCGCTTGGAGCTCGGCTGACAGATGTTGAATTCGAGTTTCCATGCTTCCGACAATTGCGAGAAATTGCGAGCCTGGTCTGATATCGCATTGTTCGATGTGCGCATCGAGAGTTTTTTTCTTACGAAACATCACCTGATTCAATTGGTTAAAAATACATAGAGATAATTTTTTACCTTGCAATGTGGGCATTCGTAAATCGTCTTTGATTTCATCCCGAAATCTTGTTGATAATCTTTTATGAACAAGTCGGTCTTCGCTGGAATCGTGTACATTTCTTTCCTTTCCAAATCCGGCATATGAATATCTTGGTAGTTTTCAGCTTGAGAACTGTTGTCGAGCATGTAAAATCCATCCGGCTGCAGCAAATATTGAAATCGATGACGTTTTGTTCCTTCCTTTGGGTCAGCAAATCGAGGATCTTCTTCTTTGTGATCTTTCCGAAAGTGCTGGGAGAGCTTGAATCCGCGAGTGAAGACTTTGTCATGACAAATGTGACATTTGTAGCCTTGGAACTGTCAGTAACTGGATATTTCCCACACCTACCTTTGACACTTTCGCCAACTTCCGTCTTTTTGTGCTGAAATCGCTCATGATATCGCAATTTTTTCAACGTCGTTGTTACAAAATCACAGCCAGCGTTCGTGCACTTGAATTCGCCAGACTTGTTGTGCGTTACAACATGCGCCTTGTAATCCTTGAGCGTTTTGAAATACTTTTCACAGAATGGACATGGGCCGAATTTCCGCTCATCAGAATGAACGTACTGCAAGTGAGTGGCAACTGCGCGAAAGTTCCGAGCCATATGCTTACAACCATCCACTGGACAGGCGAATTTTCTGTTATGATTTGTCAGGTGGTCACGAAGAAGGACTTTTGTTGGGAAAAGCTTTCCACAAACATCGCAAGAATGAGTTCCGTCTTTTGGGTATTGCCGAGCAAAGTGGTCTTCAAGCCGTTTTCCTGTGGAAAGCCGGTCGCAGCAATATGGACAAGCGATGTTTTTCAAAACAAGATGAGTACATACATGCGCTTTTAGTCTGTTCATCGTTTTGGCGCCCTTAGAATTTGTGTCGACGATGAAATCGCATCCTTCCCAGTTGCAGCCGATCATTTGATCTTTCTTCCACAGAAGCGGGCTCCAGTAACAGTCGACTTCATCATGCATATGTCGAGCCAGAAACTCCGGAACGAAAGAAAAGTACGAGCATGGTTCAACTCCTTCTCGTGGAATCACCCATTTGCAAAGTCCTCCGAATTTGTCCATACTTGCATATTGCGCCAAAGGATCCAGTTGACGAGCAAGACAAGTGGGAATGCCAGCGGTATTTGCGAACTTTTCGAGGATTTGATGTCTTTTAATAAGTCGAACGCCGCATTCTTCTATCCTGGTTTGGTGGGCGTGGAAATAGGTATGCCGGAGAAAGTCATCAACGTCCAAAGAATCAAACTCATAGCCACAGCAATCGCCAGTAACAAGAGGCAGGGATTCTCGCGCCAGAATAGTCCGTCTCCAAGTGCATGTCTTTGGAATGTATTTCAGGAAAAGTTCCTTTGTTTCTCGCAACAGTTCCTGGCGCTTCAAATTGTTTTTGTGGAAATAGTGGCAAATTAGACTAACGAGTTCTTCGGTGTATTCTTCCGTTGCCGCTCCTTCAGGAAAAAGAATACTCAACACATGCGCCTTCAAATGGTCGAGATAATCAGCATAGACAGCCAGCTGTTGATCTGACATTATGCTCCCTAATCGGAGATCCATCGGGCACTTCGGATTCTCGATAAAACTCGCGCATAGTCCACAGAAATAAGGACCGAGTTGTTCGGGCTCATTCCGTCGGTACTCTACCAGGCTTGTTAAAGTCGATTGTTTCGGTGTTTCGACTTCAACGTCTTCGTAGACAAGATTGTCGTTGTTCTGATGGTTGTTGATGTGAAAAGACTTGTCAAACGTCTCTGAAAACAATTTTAGATTGTTCATCAAACTCCGAATCTTACCGGATGTGGATGGATTATCCGGCAATTCTTCAATATAACAAGTGTTTAGCTCGCTTTCTGTTGTTTCACTCTCCTGAAACGACTCTAGGTCCATCCTAGACTTCGAACGAGTTCCGATTCGATTCTGAAAGAACACGAAGATGATCAGTTGTGAACTTGTGAACTTTTTATGTTTGAGCTTGATAAACAGGTTCTGAGAGCCAGAGCTTTGGGAAGTTCTTCGATGGCCGTCGATCTTTGAAATGACAGGATCTTTTTTGAGTCTCTAGTGGTCGAAAAACTAACAGCTGATAGAGCTCTAGAAAACCTTCCTGAGAGGCTTGTTTAGCTGCGCAATTTGAGCAATTTCTTCGTCAGAAAGAGAAAAATCGAAGAGCTTGGCATTTTCTTCGATTCTTGAAGGCGTCGCTGACTTTGGGATGACAAGAACTCCTCTTTGGAGTTGATATCGAAGAAGAACTTGTGCTGGAGTTTTTTCATGGTTCTTTGCGATTTGCTTGATTATTGTTTCGTCTACCAAAGTTTTGCCGCTTTGATCAAGGGTACGTTCGATGCGTCCGAGAGACATGAAAGAAGTGACAGAAATGTCGTTGTTGAGGAGAAACTTGACGGATTCTGGCTGATCCAGCCATGGGTGAAGTTCGATTTGGTTGTTTACAGGTTTGATGCGGCAGTTCGAAATGATTTCACGCGTTTGGTCGTCGTCGAAATTCGATAATCTAAATAAAAATATATTTTTTTCCGGGAAAGCCAATCAATTCTTACCCAATATTCCGGACAAGTCCTTCATCAACAGCTTTCTCCAACTGAGCCCAGACGTCTAACAGAGGATAATCATCGAAAACGTCCTTCCCAGTCTCGTCCTTGGCAGTTTCAAATGGAAAATCGGCGCCCGCTTCATTTTCCGCCGCTTTCATGCCCCATGGCGCGTGGATAATGTACAGATCGAAGTAATCACTCTTCATCAAATTTAACGAATGGCGAATTGCGGGGAGGATTTTCGATGGTTTATGAAAACCAGAGTGGAGTTTCGATGTCACGAAAATGTCTTCTTTAGATGGGATTGAACAATTAAATTTTTTGAAGAAAAAGAATCATGAATTTCGTTGAATTTCTTTGAATCCCAAGTCTCTACTTTTTAGGACGCCTTCTTTGATCGATTCTGCGATTGCTTCTCCTACTTCGGCTTCATTCTTGTAAATAAAGGCAGTATCTAACAATTTATATCCAGTTTTGATCGCATGCTTCATCGCATCAATTCCAACTCTTCCGTTGAGCTTGTAAGTTCCAAGTCCGACCGCAGGGATTGAGAAGCCATTTTTGCAGCGGAAGACGCTTTTAGAGAGGGTCGACAGTTCCATTCTGAATGAGAATTTAAAGATAAGAAAATTAAATAACTCGCGCTTGATAAGATTTTTTCAAGATGAACACTGTATTGCCATTACAGTTTGGAATATTTGCAGCGAATATCCGATAATATCGAGGGAATAATAACCTTTACTTCAGAGTCATTTTAAATGTGGAAAGTTTATTTTAGTATAAATCAGGTTGAAATTATGGGACTAATACTAACAACGCTTAGAGTATCAATAGATTCATTGTAGTCTCTTATGGTTTTTTTTTTAATTTTCGAATCTTCTTTATTCTTCATGTCTTCATTTTTATCTCTTTCTGCAAGAATGAAACAATGGCAGCAGTCACTACTAGTATCATATCGGTAGTAGCTCTTTTCGTATCATTTTAAAACATTTTTTTTCTCAAAGTTCTCCGTTTGGACAGCGCCTGGGGCCAATCGCCAATCGCGCAAAAAGAGAAATTAATTCCTCCAAGGAAAAAGGTGATTCCTTTACTGTCCGGTAGCTATAGTAAGAACACAGTGAGAGTATAATAAGAAGAAAGAGGATGAAAGAATGTCATTGATAAGGAAAGGCCGCGAAAATATAGAAGTGAAATCACTAACGCGAAAAAGTTTTATTTCCATATTTGTAATGAATTACGCTCAAAGCCGTATAAAGACACAGCAAACTTGTGAGCCGACGGACATTGTCCTGCGGTGTGAACAGCTGCAACGAATGTCTACTAGACAGGCGCCAGCATCTTTCGTCACCTTTCCAGAGGCGCCAAGTTCGTGAGCTGGGATTCCTCGGCGCTGTTGCTAGGACTATTCTGACCAGAGCAGCAGTTGTCGGTATTATTCATCATCCTTTGTTCACGAGGAAGAAAAGTATGAAATTAAGTGGGAGGGCTTGGAGCAACCGGATATGCGATTGACAAGAAAGTTCGAACATGGGAAGGAAAGAAGTCGTGAAATAGGATTTCCATATATTCTTTTCCGCCTGCTGTGCATTAATCTGGCGGATTTCAGAAATAGAGAGGATCGGATAATGAAGTAAGACGTCAGACTAAGCACATCCTGTCGGACGGAGCGGGCACCCCATCTCGGACAGGAACCTAGACGTCTGAAATTTTGGCAGACTTGGGATCTATAAACACTCCAGATTTTGAATTAGCAATCATATTTATATGACCAGTAAATAAACTTCAAATTTTTAATTTTTGCCTTTCAGAAGAACTTTCGGCATGAACGAAAGTAAACTCTAAGATTTCCGAATACAACTTATTTGAAGAAAGCCGCGAGCGGCTTATCTTTGAAGAAATTCTAAGCTGTCAGAAAAATAGAAGAAGCTCTTTTGATTCTTCCGAAAATATTTCGTTTCCTTTTCTTTGGAAAATATTTATCATTTTTTTCCGCGAGGATGAAAAAGATAACGCCCACTCGTTCGAATCCTCAGCTGGCTCATAACCTTGTTAGAGAAAAAAAGAGAAAACGATCGACTTCTGAAATCGATCGTGCTCTGAGGCTCGGGCGTTTTTTTCAGGTTGTTTTTGTGTGTATACCCAAGTTACGCATACATTTTATTTTACACCTTTTTCTATATTCTTTCACGACTTTTATAAAGACGAGTACTTCGGCCCAGTTGTTGAAGGATTAGATGCAATCAAAGGTAATTTTATAATTAAGGTAGTTGCTGAAATAACTGTTTATTTTAGGCGTAGCAAGGCCAGGTGCAGATTTGCTCAGAGAGTTCAAAAACGACTTCTTTTCAAAATTCAATGTGGAGAAAGAATTCAAAGACTTTGAAACCATCGTCGAGGAAAATAAGAAACAAGAAAATTCTAGCAATGATGATGACCCGCTTCCAGACGGAAAATTACCAGCTACAGTCGCTGCGGCGATTTTTCTTTCGGGGGTAAGGGAGAATAAAAATAGCAGATTTTTTTTAAGGATTTATATTTTGAATTCATGGAATTGAAGATTTATAATTTAGAAAGAAGATGAAAGTGACGCAAAGAAAGATTTCGAGGGAAAAGATTTGGCGAGTATGGCGCTCGAATTGGAAGAGCTTCGAAATGAACTTGCGGTGAGTCGATCGATCACTTATGAGAATCGAGAGGCGCTTATGAACGATCATTAGAATGCGTTACGCGAGCGGAGAATCTACGAAGAAAGACTCGCGAAATCTGACAACGATTTTGCGGAAGTTCAGAAGGAGAGACAAGAGCTGCTCAGTACTATTAGACGATTACAAGATCTTGCTAGGTGAATTTTATTTTTGTATCAATAAAGAGGTTATTTAATTAACGCTCCATGCGCTTTTTTATACCATTTTTTTGTGTTAAATGGAGATTGACTGAATTTTGTGATAAAAAGCATAAATCATTAAAAGTTTTTTTTACTGAATCATTCTTTTTATTTATGAATCATTTTGTAATTGTGATCTTTTCCAGATCCGATAGATATTTATACCCACAAACAGCTGGCACATCTGCTTACTTTCTTTGATGAAATTCTGGCCAGAAATCATCCCCATCATTTCTTTAAAAAGACAGCTGCAGAAACATCAATAGAATCTCAATAACATCTTTTTTTAGCCAGCAAGAAGTTCGCCACCACCGAAAAGTTGAAAAGCTCGAGTCCGAATGTTCCGACCTTCATCAACGGCTCGCCCTCGCCAAGAGCCAAAAGAAAACAAGCTCACAAGCACATGCCCCGAAGAGCATGGTCGAGCAGTATTCCCAAGTGTTGGACGAATTGGAGCACGCTCGATTAGTTTGCCCTAATGTGGACCCGCCAGATTTGCCCCGTGTCATCGTCGTCGGCGACCAGAGCAGCGGGAAGACGTCGGTGCTCGAAGCCGTCGCCAGGTTAGTTTATTTTTCATCACTATTGTGTGCTTACGTGAATTCGACGCATGTTTTTCATAAATAATTGAGTTAACTTACTTCAGAGCTCGTATATTCCCCGAGGTGGCGGCCAGATGATGACGCGCTCGCCAGTGAAGGTGACAATCGCAGACGGGCCGCGTCATATCGCCAGCTTCCCAGATGCACCAGATAAATACTATCGCCTCGACGATGAGGACCATCTCAAACAGCTCCGATCGGAGATCGAGCATCGTATGGCTAGGGCCTGTCATGGCGGACTCACAATTTCATCTGAAGTTGTTCCAATTAATGTTGAAGGACCTGGACTTAGGAATGGTTCAAAGCGCTTTTCCTGGTTACTGGGATCGAATTCGATAGTGAACCCTTTTAGACGAATGGTGCTGGTAGATTTGCCCGGCCTTATCTGCACAGAAACCGCTGGAATTCGCCCTGGAACTGCTCAAGAAATTTTAAACTTGGCGCGCGAGCAAATGGACTTTCCAAACGCAATCATACTGTGCGTCCAAGACGGCTCTGTAGACGCTGAAAGGTCACAAGTGACTAACTACGTCCGAGAGGCGGATCCAACTGGCGAACGGACACTTCTAGTCCTTACCAAAGTAGACAAAGCGGTGGCCGATCCAGTCAGGCTGAAACAGATTTTGGATGGGAAACTGTTCCCGCTCAGAGCGCTCGGCTACTTCGCTGTGGTGACGGGAAATGAGAATAAAGATGCATCGATCGGGGAGATTCGGAAAGGGCTTCGCTATAATCTTCGCCAAAGAAAGAAAAAAAAATCATTTCATATTTTTTATGAAGATTCTTCGAGTGAAATAAAAGCCCTAAAAAAGAACCCACGAAAATCAATTTTTCCAGCGCTCGCCCTTGCTCAATTCTGGGATTCTCCAGCCGGACCAGCTCGGCACCAATAACCTGTGCGATGCGGTTTCGAAGCTCTTTTGGCGCATTGTAAAGAATAGCCTCAGCGGGGAGCTTCAGAAGCTCAAAGAGCAGCTTTTTATCCTTGAATCTGAATGGAAGGCTCAGGTAAAACAGGAGAATCAGAGCTTTAATTCTTAGATGGATTTAGTACCGGCACAGGAGAGAGTTGGATAGAGACCAAACTTTTGGGCGAGTCAAGGAAGAATTGTTTGACCGGATGGTTCTTTTGAAGAATTTAGGAAAGGGCGACTTTCCTAAGATCGAAAATATATCGTCACAGGAAAAATGAAACAGAATAAACCTTATCAAGTGTCTAACGGACAATCCTTTACGGTAGGCGCGGTCAAGATCGGCACTGTCTTATTGTTTATCAGCACTTATCGATAGTAAGGGGATTTACCCAAGGGACTATAAAAGTGAGCCAGTCTAACTCAAATTAAAAAAATTCTGCTACTGATTACGATTTTTATACAAAAGGGATTTCAAGAGAGCTGTTTTTGTGACGTAAGAAGCTAATTCCCTCCCGACGTTTTCGAAAACATGATTAAACGAAATGATAGCCTTGAAAATAGATCCTGGGCAGTTTGAAAACGACTTGAAAGCTAAATTATGGGATACAATCGAATCTCATTTTCTCAACGAAGTATATCTCGCCGCTGAAGGATCGGTTTCCATATCTTTTTTCTTTTTTTTTTTGAAAGAAAAAAGAAACAAAAAATGAGATGTCCATAAACTTTATGAAGACTTCTTTAAGAAGTCTGCATGTTTGTTGACCTTTTAAAAAATTGAGAAAAATAGGTGCTCAGCAAATTTCTATACTTATCTCTGAAGTCGAGAATCAATCACAATTTCTGACTAGGGACAATAAGGGCGTTTATGAGACTTTTTGGTAACCGTAAAACTAAGACAGCGCTAAGTCAAAAGAAGAGTTCAAAGCTATCTCCGATTTGAGACTGAGGAAATTCTCCAACCAAGAGCTGCCAAATCAGGTACGACTGTCAAAAGAGATTCAAAGAGAGTCAAAGAGATTTTTAGTGACCGTTTTTGGCATATTCTTTTCTTCAGAGAAAGTTTCAATTGATAAAAAGCAAGATCTATTTGACTTTTTGGCACTTTTTGAATAAATTATTCAAGTAATTATTGAAATCGAAAAGTGTGCCCACATCTGCGCGCTTGTAGGATATAGCAGCAATTAGCCCTGTCAGAGGGCGAGTTTTCAACAAGAGTTTCTTTCTACCTTCATTTTAACTGCCTTTCCTACAGTCATTGAGCGTGTAATTAAGTCGCTGGCAGCAGTAAGAGATTTACTGATTGAGCGATTTGCCGAACTTGTCCTACCTGAATTGGGCGAAGATGCGAAGGCGGAGCATAAACCGCTCTATCAGAAAGTATCCGATGATGTCAAAAAAGGATTTGAGCTTTATTTCAACGAGAGTAGAGTTGCCAGAGCATCAGGTAATTCAAACTTAAATTTTTTCTATTGTCAATACGATAAATTTAAATGAGGGAGGGTTTTATGGGAGAATTGTTGGATTTTTTGAGTTTTATTTTTAGAAACTGTTTTTGATGGTAATATAAAATACATAACTTTTTGTTATTCTGATTATAAATATAATTGCTTGATGATAGAGCTTTGATTTTTGCTCATAATTGCTGAAATACTTTTGGTGCACGTTATATTAAGCATATACTATTTATATGAACAAGAGTGTGTATAGAACTGCGGGTGATCCAACAATCGACAATCGAGAACAGATTCATCAACTCAAAGATCGAGTGGCAGTCTGCCGCTGATCGACTGAAAAGAACACTTCAAGGCGACCACGAGAAGCGATGGGCGCGCGTTTGGGATAATGCCGGGCCGGTTTGGTATCAACAATATTGGAACTGGTCGGCGAGGACGAAGGATCAGCACAAGTGGGATAGGATTAAGAGAGTGCTGCAGATCTTGCCGATGAGTACGCAATCCAAATTGACAAAGGATCAACTAGCTCAAGGTACAGCAAAAATATTAGGGTTTTTTCTTGTTAGGGTTAAAATTCCGATATTTCCTTTATCAAATTTTTTCTCCAGCTCGATTTGATCTTCAAAAATTCTTCTCAATCGAAGCAACCGAAGCCGAAATCGACGATGTCTGGCGCGATCTGTACCCGACCCGTTGGATAGCAGCGCTGGAAAAGAACGCTACTCACTGCCGCGGATCGTTTCAAAAGTACAAAGACGGTAAAATCTCGTTTGAATCATCCCGGCTCCAGTGCGAAGATGTAATGCTCTGGTGGCGAATGGATCGGGCGCTAGAAATGAGTGCCGCGAATTTGAGACAGTTTATGCTAACAGAAGGCGTTGAAACCTTGGCAAACGAGTTGAAGAACTCGCTGGAGAATTTATCAGAATCGGACATTGTTCAATTAATCAAAGGAAGACAAGTTGAGCTGGCGGAAGAGCTCAAATACATCAGGAAAATCCATGGACTCTTACACGAGCTGAATCGGATGCTCAACCAAGTCTACGGACATTGAGCCTTTTTCTTTGAATTTTACCTTCATTCCCTTCTATTTATTTAAAACTTTTTCACCGTCGCAATTTTTTTTCTTATTTGTAATTTCAATCTAACCAGAATGCACCTCTTTCCAACCAATCGTTCTTCAAGACCACTCTTGTCCATCCAACCTTGCAATACTTTTATCTATGAAATCAAAGTGGATAAATTAAAGGAATAACTAATTAAGAATTGTATTTTAGAAGTAATTATATAGATAATGTGTCATGGGTGACTCTTCGAAATCGGGGACACGAGTTTTTAAGAAATCTTCGTTTCGGGGTTGAAAATGAGTATCGTAAAATCTTCGTCGAAAAATTATCTCGAAAAATATAAATTTCAAGTTGAAAATTTCAACCCTTTTTCCAGCCAAATGGAAAGATCACGGCCTATCTCGGAAAGCGAGATTTCGTTGACCACATCCACTGCATCGACCCTATCGACGGCATCGTTCTGATCGACGAGGATTACCTGAAATGGTACGTTCGCCATTCGATTGAATAACGTTAACCAAAATAGTCCTGAATTTTCTAGTGGCGCGAAAAAAGTGATGGCGACGTTGACGTGCGCCTTTCGCTACGGTCGCGAGGATCTCGACGTTTTGGGGCTGACGTTTCGGAAAGAGTTGCACACCGATTTGCAACAGGTGTGAATTCATTGATAGAATCAGAAAGAATCAAAGTCACACAGTACCAAAATCAACCTAACTTTTCAGACCGTGCATTTTCAACTAACTGCGCAAGTATGTGTTGTCACTTAAAATAGACATTTCCTAATGGTGCTGTTTTTTCTGTTAAACTGGTTCTGATGAATTTGATTCAGGTCTACCCGCCGACGAGAGAAAACGAAAGACGATTGTGCACCAGGCTACAAGAGAGGCTGCTGAGAAAGCTGGGCAAAAATGCATATCCATTCTTCTTTGAATTGCCACTCAATTCTCCTTGCTCAGTTACATTACAGGTTTTTTTTTCAAAAAGATTTATTTCAATTGCATGCCGTTAACTATCTGCTTATAATCATGATTTATGAATGAATCTGATTCAACCCTTGAACAAGTTCGTGACAGATTTTTTCATCCATCCTCCCATCTTCTTCAATTTTGACTTTTTCTTCAAGGAGACCTCTTTTCGTAAGGACACAACTTGTTCTGTCAATGCTGTGACTTGTGACATTATTGACTGGAGCATTGTATCCCGTTCAATCCCATTTGTAACAAGAGTCGTAAGGGAAGCGGTTATAGAAGGGTCAGTCGTATTGTACCTTAAATTCGTTTCATTCGAAAATTTCAAAAATAGGAAATTACCTATAATTTGGGATAAACCCTAGGTTTGGTTGGTAGTTGTCATTGTTCTCGTCCGAAAAACCTCCCGAGAAGAAGCTCTCGGACTCCTCGTTTATCACTGGGATTTCTCCAGGGTCTAAACATCTTTTTGAAGAAAATCTCAAAATACTCAAGTAAACCTTCTTGATTTCCTCTGAGCATTGTCTGGCTATCAAGTCGTGTTTGCTTCGAATTTGTATACGCAAAAGGGAAAATAAAAGTTCATGTGATGTAAAGACCCGCCCCAACGTACTTAAAGAAGGATAAATCCTGAACAAGCTTCGATATGACTAAACATATCGTGCGATATTCTTGATAAAGTATTTACGATTATTTTATTTCCTGCGGTCCAGCTAAAGGTCGTTTCAGCCTGCCCCAGGAGACACAGGAAAGCCATGTGGTGTCGACTACGAACTCAAAGCTTGCATCGTATACGAAGGCGAGGAGGTAATAAAAGCATCTATCTGCAACAACTAAGAAAGTTTAGCCCGCGCAAGCGAACAGGAAAAACTCCGTCCGCCTGGCAATTCGGAAAGTTCAATATGCTCCCGATCGACAAGCTCCTCAGCCGTGCAAGGAAATCTCCACGAAGCCAGTTCTTTCAGAAAAACCTATTAACTTAGAAGCTACATTAGACAAGGAGCTCTATTATCATGGCGAAACGATGAACGTCAATGTTCAGGTACTCTTTTATCCATCACTAAGAAGCCATACCATTTTTAGATTACAAATAATAGCTCAAGAAGTGTAAAGAAGATCAAAATATCAGTTAGACAATTTGCTGATATCTGGCTCGTTTGACAGCTCTCAATCTTAAAATTGATCAAATATAAAAGCAAGTAATCAAACCAAAAAAAGTATATACAGCTCTGCGCAGTACAAATGCCCTGTTGCAAACTTAGAACACGAAGTTTGCGTTCCTCCAAGTTCTACTCTTTGCAAGGTATTCATCAATAATTCTCTCGAGAATTAAGAAGGATTAAGGTTTTCCAAATAACTCCAAATCTGAGCGAAAATAAAGATAAACGAGGTCTCGCTCTTGATGGACAGCTAAAACATGAAGATACCAATCTTGCTTCTACGACACTTATTAAAGTAAGCTTACCTTTGAAACGACAAGGGGCTTATTTCTTTGAAGGACGGAATTTCCCGAGAAACGCTTGGAATCGTGGTGAGCTACAAAGTGAAAGTCAAACTCGTTCTCGGAGGAATCGGCTCTGATGTTTCGCTCTTCTTGCCATTCTCGTTGATGCACTCGAAGCCAGTCAATGATTCGGATAATCAGAGGAGGCAAGATGCACAGGATGCTCTTTCAATTCGTCAAGAAATCAACTCGGTAGCATTCTATTTTTCCTACATGTTTCATAACTGATGATTTTTAGACATCTTCGCGGCATAATTCTTATACTCAAGAACCAAAAGGAACAAGTGGTCAGCCAGTTCGTCCTCCGGATGCGGAGTCAGTTCATTTGATCAATTTCGACGATCCTGTCGCTACAAATAACCAACCTGGATTCGAACGTAAGCCATAAACTCCCTTCATCCAATAACGAGTGAATTTTGAAGCCATGCCTGGCCAGGGATGGGACTACGACGATGAGCTACAATTCATGGAATTCACGCGATTGCGGCTCAATGCGCAGAATCCAGAAGGACAACAAAACGGAGGTCCGGCAAGCCAGAACTAGAGGCACCAGAAAACATGAGTTTTCCGTGGAAAGAAAGTTCTTTCCAAACAACTATGAACAAAAATAGATCTTTTCTGCAGAAACCCACTTTTCTACATACATTCTTTATTTGGGAAATGATAATAAATTACCTCTTTCAATGTATAATTATGACCGCGGTGAAAATGAAATATCTTGTGTTGTACATTGCTTCTATGATACAGGAATCGTTCTATCAGGCTCGTGCATTTTGAGACACATTTTCAAGCATTTCTCTCTCTTCGAAAATCCTTTATCAGTGTTATCACTACAAGTAAATCAAAAAGAATCTATCAAGACATGTTACTACTAACAAACTACGCAGCAATACCAGTATGTCTTTCCGCCCTATCCTTATTTTGCGACTAATAATTCATTCTGAATATTCTTCTTTCGTTTATTTTCCGCTGTGATTATTTTTATAATTTTACGCTGATCTCTTTTTATTCATTTTACCAGTTATACATTTTTTAATTTATTTTATGCAACCGACAAGTTACAAAAATTCATGCTACGCTGTACCTCACCATTTTCTCTAAAACCTCTTTTCTCCCTTGACTAAAATATATCAAATTTACAGACTTGTTTTTAATGCAGTTTTGCTCGTTTTTGGGTTTTCGAAAATCCCCGGACAACAATGAAATCTTTTAACAAATAAATAAGACCACAATGAACCTTTCTACTGAACTTTTTTGATTCAGAATGTTAAAGAATATCCGCAGAGCATATTCTTACATTTCTCTGGAGCAAACTGGAGCGCTTTCGATTTTGAAATTTAACCGACCGAAGAAATACAATGCGATCAACCCTGACATGTACGATGAGATCGGAGATGCATTGAGAAAAGAAAAGGCTAATGATTCTTCGTCACTATTGGCAATTACTGGCGAAGGTTCCTATTATTCTTCCGGAAACGACCTGACTGCTTTTGCTAAATGGATGGCACAAGTAACCCATCTTTATAAAACTCAAAAAAACAATCTTTCTAGGGCAAATCGCAAGAAGAAATGGCCGAAACAGCGCATGATATCATGGTCCCTTTTGTCGATGCTTTTATCGAGTTTGACAAGCCTATGATCTCTGTTGTGAATGGACCGGCTGTTGGAATCGGAGTTTCTCATCTTGGCCTTGCTGATTTTGTTTATGCTCATGAATCAGCAACTTTCTACATGCCCTTTACGATACTTGGTCAATCCGCCGAGGCTTGCTCTTCAGTGACATTCCCGAAGATCATGGGTCCTTCAGATGGGCACGCTATGATCATGTTCAACAAGAAAATCGACGCCGAAGAAGCGAAAAACTCGAAGCTCGTTGGAGAAATCTATTCTGATGATGGACCTGTTTGGCAAAAAATCGAGGAATATTCTAAATTGCCGAAGAAGTCGTTGAAATACTCAAAACAGCTCGTTAGGTACTTCGATTAACTGTTTCAATATTTTTCTCATAATAACTTGATTGTAGGACTGCAGCAGATGTCGAATTCTTGAAACAAGTAAATCTACGGGAAGCAGCTCGACTTCGAGAGCGCTGGGCGAGTCCTGATTGCGCAGAAGCAATCATGAAGTTTTTGATGCGAAAGGGTTGAAGCCCTTACTGTACATTTATTTATTCCTTCCCCGAAAAATATGCGAGCGAATTCTTTCAAATTTAAACCTTTTCCTTTCGCAAGAATGTCGGAATCGGACTCGACAAGAACAGAAGCGACGAAAAAATGGCTCCCAAATTTGAAGCACCCGAGTTTTATCGGCCGCCCGGCCTCAATATGGCTCGATCTTGGGAAAAATAAAAGCTCGGCTGGAAAAATCATGTGCAATATCTGCCAGACATCCTCGGAAACGATGAAGGCGGCGCTTGCTCATTTGCGCAGCAAACACAAAAATCAGAAGCAATATGAATGCGATCAATGCTCAGAGAGATTCAATGTTTTCGAAAATTTACAGACTCACAAAACCTCACATGAAGCGAGACTATCGTCAGAAGGAATTGTCAAGTGCCCGATCAAAAACTGCAGCAAGGAATTTCGTAGGATGGTCGTTTTCCGCCACCATGTTCAAAAAGAACACCAAATTAACGACGATTTTCATTGCAAAACTTGCAATTTTCCGTTTCCGACTGTTTTCGAACTCGAGCAGCATCGACTTGCCCACGTTTCACGCGAAAAACGGCGGCTGGAGAGGCGCAAACGGGAGCTGAAACAAAAATTGGAGAATCCGCCCGTCCCGGATGAAATTTCAAATTCAAAGCAAAACATCCCTGAGCCGCCTGTATTTCCTGAAACAAGAGAACTCACGAGCATCCAAGATGAACTTCCAGAGACGCCTATTCTTGACCCTCCAGTGCAAGAAGTCATGGAACTCGTCAGAGAAAAGAGCAAAAACAAGCGCGGATCTGTCACCAAGAAACTTTCGACTTTCGAAGATTTCACTTTCCAAAAGCCTCAACCCTTGAATGATGCACTAACAGCGCTGGATGAAATTGTTGGAACGATAAGCGATCCCGTCGTTAATGCTACAAGAAATCAAGGAAGAGTACAAAATCATTTTTTGGTAGAAATGACTTTTTAAAGAAAATATTTTGTATCTCTTATAAGAACAACCGGCACCAAAGCCGATCCGAAAGAAAGTCCGAAAATCAACAAAGCAAAAGATCCCCGGTCCACTGGCTGGCCCGCTTCAAGTGGCGCCGCTGGACGCTATTCCGAATCCCGTCCCCGCCTTCTCTGCCCAAAACGATCTTGATTTTCCCTTCGCTTCTGGAACTTGGGGCTACGAAGCTGATTCAGCGGCTCAGTATTCCTCTCAAATTATGCCAAATTACGGATATGAGAGTGTGGCGCCCGGAGTTCAACCGCAAACGCCTCATTTTGACAATTATATGGGAAACATTTTCTACGGAAAGCCAAAGTCAAAATCGCCTGCTCACGTGTGTAATTACTGTGGGCGCGTTTTCAAAACCGCAAGGATCGGCTCATTTCGATACACGAATCAATACAGTCCATTGTAACTTCCATTTCATTAACAAGACCCGTCCCAAAATGAGCCTATTTAAGATACTTACGCCATCACTTAGTTTCGCATTCCGGGGTGAAGAAACATATGTGCACATTATGTGGCAAGACTTTCTCCCGCATTTCGACACTCACAAAGCACAAACAGTCCGTTCATTTGAAGACGATATTCTATCCATGTGGGCGCTGCGGAAAACATTTCTACCGAAAGGACACTTGGAGGAGGCACCAAATTCAACACCAGACTGCTAGAAACTGGGCATGTCCGTACTGTTATTCTAGATTCAAGACTCGACAGAATTGCTTGAAACATATCAAGACTCACCAAGCTACGACTAGAGACTATCAACTTTCAGGTTTTTCGACATAGGCAAATTGTAATCTTCATGTTCGTATTTAGAGGGTATGAGCCATGAATTCTTCAATCCAGACGGCTATTTCGAAATGAATCCTATCGGTCCCATGACTGAGCTTTTGCAAAACGCCCAGGATGAAGGCTCAAATCAGACTCAAGGCGTTCAAGATATGATTCCAGGAAAGGATGCTATTTATTCACTGATTACTTATTACAGTAAGTAAAAAGAGATTTTAAAGATTTAGCATCTTAATTGGAAGGGAATTCGTCAAGTCTTATGCCAAGCACAAGTAGTAAAAAGGGGTTGAAAGAGGGAGAATGCGTTGCATCAAGCAGCAGCTGCGCTCAGCGTCTTCAGCTCCCAACGGGCGGCGCCACTACCCCAATCGATAGCATTTTGCCAAACTTGCCTCAAACAGATCAGGATCAAGACTCGGCGAAAAATCTGATCATCGATGAAATACTCGGCGCAGAGTTATTCGGCTCCAATTCGAACACCAACTCGGCAACGCAAAGTTCAAGCTTGCCACAAACGACAAGTAGCAATCCAGTGAAGAGGGATGACCCGCAAGGCAAAAAGAAGGGCCTGAAGGAAAGAGTTTAAAAATTATTGCAATCGAGAGACGACTATAAGAGCAAGTATAAAAGTTATTGTATGCTTCGATTGCTGTCGAAACCCTTTCATTTTCATGATGTGAGAGAGTAAATAGAAGCGAAATCAGTTTTCCAATATTTTTCGACGTAGCGTGTCGGATTGCCAATTATAAACTCTATCTATTGACTTGCTCAGCTCAAGCTGTGACGGGCCAAGAATACCAACAATTGCCCCTTGATTGCGCCGAGTCAAACTTGCCTACTGATAATGCCAGGGGAGAGACAATGCCAGTTCAGTCAAGTTCGAAGCCACAAAAGCAACAGAAAGCGAAACGCGTGCGTCCGAAAAAGACTTCTCAAGCAAAACAGAAGAATAACCGACAACTTGAAATTGCAAATGAGGAAACAGATACAGATGCTAACAGAGCAATTGCACAGAGTTTCGTTACGGGGTCTCAAGATAACAATATTGTCAATGCAAAATGAAAAGAATGTTTAAAATATGTGCAACCCTTTTCTCAGACGCATATTCAATTCAAGCCGACATCGATACCGCTACTGTCAAGAAGAAAAAAGAGAAAGAAACTAACCAAATAAAAATTGCAGAAGCAGACGTTGACGAATTGGCAACGGTGGAAGAAGTCACTAACCAATGCAGAATTAAATATAATATCAGCTTATCGGAGAAGTGAGTTCCCAGTGGCATGTTTGATGGCATCATAGAGTTATCTCGCTTGAGATAATTGAATGCATAGAAATCATTATTCGTAGAGAATCTCTACTAGAGATAGAGACAAGGCCACCAGTTTTCACGATCAATATTAAGAATCTTAATTTAAGATATCTCATCGACACTTCGAAAGAGAAAATAACTGGAATACCCTCGCACTCAAGCGGTGCGCGAACGACAAAGGGCGTGTACCGATTTCACTGCGACGATCCAAGTTGTAACAAGTCCTTCACAAAGCGCTGCGATCTCAATCGGCATATTCTGACGCACACCGGCGAGAAACCCTTCAAATGCGATAAATGTGAAAAGCGCTTTAGCCTGAAATCGACGCTAGTCAAGCACGCTCGGCGGATGCATTCCGACGAGAAGCCAGACAAGTATAACTGTCATGTCTGTGAGAAACGATTCACAGATTCAGGGGGACTCAAGCGGCACATGAGAATACATACGCAAGCTAGGAATGTGTTTCATATCAATTTGGAGACATGGAAGAGTTTTTCCTTGATCTGCGTGAAAACGTATCAAATTCGCATTGGTTTTTTTTAAACACAGAAAAGACCCTTCAAATGCGAAGATTGTACAAAAGTCTTCAAACGCAGTGATCAGTTAGTACGTCATCGCAAAACGTGCGAGAAGAATCTTTCAAAAGAAAATCCGTCGACGCCTAAATCGGTCTATGTCGTCATGACGCCACTCTGCAAGGAGATGATGGAAATGTTTGAAAATGAGCAAAGTGCTAAGCCTGCATCAACGACAAATTAACTGCCATGAGAATTGTTCTCAAAAGACGGATAATGAGTAGATAAGAAATTAAAATTGAAATGAGTGTAGTTCAGAATGGCGGAATCGTACCCCAACATGCACCTCAATGGACACAAAACAGAAGGCGAGCATGAGGCACGGTCAAAAATCTCAAAATTTGTTGCGAAAGAAATTTTTGTGTTCGCAACGAAATTCTCTAGATCAATGCAAAATTTTTATGACGCCAAGACTTTGCCGGTTCAAATAAGACATACGCATCTTGTTATGTCTCCAGAGATTTATAATAAACCCTTTTCCGAGATAAATTTGCAAAAAAACTAACTGTAGCGCTTATATATTTTCGAGAAATTTCGAGTGTTTAATTTTAGAGGTCTTCCTTGATTTCAATGGATTTTGAAAATTACTTAGGCGGTAAGCCAATGTATCCGAGAGATGAGACCCCTAAGCAGGAAAAAATGATGTGGAAAAAGAGGATGGTCCAGTCCCAAACGACAACGATGGAGATCAACACCAAGTTCCTCGCCGATCTCGACTCGCGACTTGAACCTTTGAACCCACTTCCTGAACAAGTCAAGCTTATGCTCTCAATCTTGCAAGAGTCGAACAGACAGCACGAACTACAGATGAAACAGATGAGTGAACATCTTATCAAAGAGATCCACAGAAGCGAAGCCAGACAAACGGAAAACTTGAATAAAGCTACACGCGATTATAACTCTAAATTGGAGCTCATCTCTAAACAGATTTATGACATGCATGCGTAAGTTTCTATTTTTCAAATTTCTTGGTTCTCTTCCTTGATTTCAAAGCTAATCTAAGACTTCAGAGAGCTCCAGACAGTCCGAGGAAAGATTCGCGAAGATTTCATGCTTGTCGATACTGTAAGTAAAGCATACTATACATATGAGAAAAGTTTTTTAGAATACTCACGACAAAATCATCGAAGTCCAAGAAAAATGCACCAAAGCAGCTGAACGGCTTCACGATATCAACTGTGATACTCTCAGTCTCAACGAGAAACTCGCTGAGATGAGAGACAATGTAAGTTTCACCTGCTTTTCTCTACGATTACAATTGATGCTACTAGATAATTGATGACCGTCTGGCCTTTATGAAACAACATGAAGACATGGTGCGGATGAAGGAGAATCAAGAGAAAATCTTGCGCCTCATTCGAGGTCCCGAAGCTGTTCTCAAGCAAAAGGACAAAGAGAAGCGCACGAAGCATAGATCGGGAGAGAGCGATGACGAACGATCTTGCAAAGAGGAGAACGGCGTGAAGCGCGAATACCGCGACCATGATTCACACAGTTCCAGACGCAGCAGCTTTGATCGTGACTCCGAATCGCATAGCTCTCACAAACATCGTCCAAGTTCATATGATCGCAATAGAGGAACCTACAATCCCAGTTATCGCAGGCCGTTTGCGACGAAGAAGCAGAGGCGCAGCGAGTCTCCGGGCCCAAGCTACAATAATAATAATAGCAGATCGACGAGACCATCGCGATTTCCTCGGGCGCGCAGCTAGGAATGGGGCCTTTTTATTCCGTCAGTTCAATTTTAAGTTAAAAAGAGAGCCTCCAAAGAAGAGAAAAACAACCAGGAAATCCGTACTCATCTTCCTTTCAAAATTCATAAAGCAAAGCTTACGAAAAACTCAACTTGAATAAAGCTGGTTTAAACATCGTTCTAGCCATTTTATTACCTCCCTGTATTTGCTGCCATTATAAATTTTGAATGTAAACAAAGTGACTGGTTATGCGTTATTATCAACTAGCCAATTGTCTTAAAAATATCCTCGCAGAATTTAACTAAATCTGTAAATATATTAACACGTATTATTTTCTTTGACTGGACCTCGCCAACTTGCTACTTCTACCAGTACGAAGCGATCTTCTTTTTGAGCAATCTTGGTGTTGGGAGACCCCGAAGCCATGATATCTTCCTTTTTGTATTTAAACCTATTCCAGTCAGCTTAAACTTTTATGTAGCTTTTACTTTTACCAAGTGTTCAGTTCTCACATTTCAATAGTACTTCACGAGATTCATAAAAATTCACGAGCCCAATTTTTTCCTTAACCTTTTTTCGTATTTAATTCTACAGTCCTTACTTCAGCGCGCACTTTTTCTTCTTGGATCCTTATCTTCACTGTAGAAATCTTCACGAGCATTTTTATCTTCACTTTTAAATAATAATAAAAATCAGCGAAAACAAATCTCATTCGTTTTTCAATATTCAGACGACGCTAAATGTCGTGAAATACACGCGATATCGGTCCTGAAGGAGAAATGTCGCGGTGGGTTGGGGACAATGACAAATCATCTATTTCGGCGGTCGATCAGCTGTCAGAATGCTTCGAAGAGCTTCTGAAAAATGGCCAGGATCTCTCTGATATCACGTTCGTCGTGGATAACAAAGAGTTTTACCTCCACAGATGCGTTTTGGCGAGCAGAAGTTCTTACTTTCGCGCCTTGCTCTTTGGGGGAATGCGTGAGTCGCAAGAAGACAAGGTAGAATTAAGAGATACAACAGATGCAGCATTCTCAAAACTGATTTTCTTCATTTACACCGGACGCATCGAACTTCAACTACTCGACAAAGACCTTGTATTGGACATACTCCGCCTCGCCCATCGATATGGATTAGGAATCGTGTTGAAACGGTGACTTTTATTATGCATACACAGAACGGAAAAAGGCTGGAAATGCTGTGCTCTGAGTATTTGGCCCGCCGCGGATCCTAGGCAGCATTGGCATCAAGCTTCTCTTCTTGATGAAAAAGTAGTCATCATTCAAGTCTGGCGAGTCGCTATGGGTGGGAGTTTCCCCTCGATCGCGATCGAAAAGAGCTCTGAAGGCGTCCAAAGAGGTGAAGGCTTCAGTGAAGGCTTTAGTGGGGTCAAATGAAAATCCGGTAAACAAATTTCCAAAATCAAAAGAGCTGCCCGTTCCTAACATCAGGAGAAAAATTCTCATCTTTTAGAATCTTTGCGAGTAACATTCTTCATTAGTTCCCCGACCTTTTATTCGTATCGTTATGTTGCATATTTAATAGGCTCGTTAGTAGTTTTAACGCAATTTGAAACTAACGAGTGAAAAGTCTAAAATGTCAACACGAGTTAGAACAGCTTGTCAGTTTGCTGAGCAAGTTCCTGAATTCAACCTTGCGCCTTAGGGATGTTTGCAAGATCTTCAATCATGCGATTATGTTTCAGCTTGATGATTTAGGTTCGGAAAGACAGGGTCCTGGTTTTGATTAATGGAATCATTCAGTTCAGTCTACCTCTGACTTTATGGATCGTCACGCGACGGAGATCCTGGAAAGCGAGGAGCTCCTTCATTTGTCCGATGATGCATTAATTAAAGTATGAACTGACCCAAATAGTAGCTCGATAATGAGTTCTTTAGCTTATTTCTCGCAACTCTTTCTGCGCTTCTGAACTGGTTATTTTCCGCGCTGTTGCCGCCTGGTGCGAGTACCACAATGTCGTTGGGTCAGATGCAGAGCCGATTCTGGAATGCGTGAGACTGCCCTTGATTGGAATGAAGGAACTGCTTCATGAAGTTCGGCCGATGGGGATAGCCTCGCCCGACTCGATCATGGACGCGATCTCGTTGAAAGTGGAATCTCGGGATATGGAGCTACCCCACCGTGGGGTGATTTTTCCAGATCGAAATATGGCTGTAGGAACGGAAGGAGCGGAAGTTATCGATGGAGAGTTCATTCAGTTTCTGCTCGACGGAAACTCGAAGGATTATAACAACGATAAGGGATTTTCAAGGCATATTATCGGCAATAGGTAAATTCAGAATGAAGGAAAAAGCAAAACGTTCTTTTCAGCGAAACCGGCGAACCAAAAGCAATCGTGGTCAGCCTTGCCCAGCCAACCATCCTCAATCATCTGAAACTGCTCCTCTGGGACAAAGATGATCGAGCGTACAGTTATTATGTTGAAGTGTCTGTCGACGGGAAGGACTACCTGAAGGTCATCGATTATGCAAGCTATTTTTGTCGCTCGTGGCAGAATTTGTACTTTCCCCAGCGAGTTGTTCGCTTCATTCGGATTGTTGGAACTGCGAACACCGCGAATAATGTATTTCATTTGGTGACCCTGGAGGCGTATTACAGGGAGAATGTTCCTGAATTCGATCAGAAGGTAAAATAACCCGTTTTTCTTTGACCTAACTTGTTTTAGGGAATCATCAAGCCTGTCAAAAACGTAGCTTGCGTTCGAGAGGGTGCAACAGTCATCGAAGGAGTTTCAAGAACACGAGATACTCTAATTTCCGGACAGCTTGGCGAGTATGACTGGGAACAGGGCTACACCTGTCATCAGCTGGGCGTCGGAGCTATTGTTGTACAACTTGCCCAACCGTATGTTCTTGGAAGCATGCGATTACTTCTCTGGGACTGTGACGATCGACAGTATACTTTTGATATTTATGTCTCTACTGACAGGTACACAAAACCTACATTCACAAATAAAACTCTTCAAGGAAAACATGGCAGCTAGTGGTAAAGAAAGAGCAACTTTGCCGAAGCTGGCAATACATGGAATTCCCCGCACGCCCTGTTGTATTTTTCCAAGTTGTCGGAACACACAATACTGCGAATGAAGTTTTCCATGCAGTTCACTTCGAATCCCCTGCGCAAGTCGGCCAAGAAGAAACCGAGGCACGATGGAGGCCAAGCCCAAATCAGTACCAAAATCAAAATCAAGAGCAAGATGAGAATACGAACTCCGAAGAAAGTAGGTTATAAACTCTTTCTATCCCTCATTTTTTCTAGCGGAAGATGATAATTTGTCGAACCCTGAACCTACGTAGCCCAGCAACTAACCATACTAGAAGAATGTTATTTCAAAGTATCTAAATGTCCCTAAATTCGCTTTCACCAGTACTGTCTGTTTATTAACTAATAAATTATGCGCTGACTTCTCTCAGCTATTCCTCAAACCAGTCAATTATCTAATGGAAGAGATCCTCTCTTCCAAAAAAATTTATTAGTTTGCACTTTAAAAACTGCTCATTTATCGAGCAAGTTACAAGATATTGCTGTAGTTGTCCATTGGCGTTCCATATCGAGCGTCTATAATTTGATTTTTTCGCCTTCTTCAAAACCTGCTTACTTGATACAGAACTTGAAGTTGACGAGAGGGGTCCTCTAATCGGCGAGGTCGGAGATAGCGGCCGGAGATATCGAATAGATCCCGTTTCAACAAGCCAGCTTCTGTAATCATTATTCAAATCTGCAGCTGAGTTATTCAAGTAGTAGTGCTGTGGGAGACTGAGTTCGGAGCTCGCTCGGAGAATGGATGGCTTTTGTATATTTATATCAAGCACGGTATCCTTTCTTCGACCAACGTAGTTGTACGCCGCTTTGAATCCTTCGTAATAGTGGGTGAATGATTTTCGTTCGGAACGCTCGTGGCTCCATGTGAGTCGGAGAAGGTTAGCCACGTCGGAGAAGACCTGCGAAGATCAATTTTAATTGCGCATTGATAACTTACCTCGACGTGTTGATGCTGGTTTAGAATATAAGGCAGTTCATGCCTGATGTCCATGTTCTGCTTGTAACTTTTTATCAAGTCCCAAGTGTTCAAGCCCGTCACGCCATCAAGAGGGTGACCTCCTCTATTGAATACTTCCCAAATTACATATCCGAAGGAAAATATGTCAGAGTATGTGGAAAACTCGAAATTGAAAACTTCAGGTGCAAAATTTCGAAGCGGATGAGGTTTGTCATTATTCTTCATCGTATAGTAGCAGCTTCCATACTCTTCCGTTGTGTAGGACGACAGCCCGAAATCGGATATTTTTGGGACAAGGTTGTCGTCAAGGAGGATGTTTTTTGCTGAAATATCGCGATGGAGAATTTTATTTTGCGCAAGAAAATCAAAGCCAGAAGCACACTTAGAAAAGTAAATCAGCTATTGTAGCAAAGAAAAAATGTACCTGAAAGAGAATTTTCAGAGCATGCGTGAATCTAATGACGTTCGAGGATTTACTGACGTATTCGCTTATACTCCTATTTTTACTGTACAATGGCATTACGATGACAGGATGATTACCATCTTCGATTGCTGTAAAGATGGTAACTAGTTTGTTCCTGAATTGATAATAGGTAAAATTTTGTTTTTGCGTTGACCATTTCCTATGCCATAAATTTCCACAACATATTTACTCTTTGCTCGAAGCACAAAAGAAGCCTCCTTGAAATAGTCCGTGGTATTCGGACAAAAATTTTTAGGAAAGCCAGCGCAGCACTTTTCTTTCTTGAATCTTTTCACGGCAACAGGAACAAACGATGTTTTATTGCTTGATATTGAATTCTGTCCTCGGTCATAATCTCATGTTTATGAAGAAAGTAAAACTGATTAATTTGCATTTTTACAGGAGTAAATGACCCTATCCTGGTATCTCAGATGACCTTTGTATACGTTTCCAAAATAACCAGCACCGATTTCCCTGCTGTCAACCTTGAGCATTTTCTTCGAGATGTAAATCTTCTTCAGGTCAGCTTTGACTTCATCAGAGACTTCTGCTTTCTGGAAACTATTTATAGTTCTTTCGTAAAATTCTTTCCTTGTCTTCTCCAATCTTTTGTTCTTTAGCAGGAATAATTTGGTCGCTGATTGTTTTACCAAATGTCTTGATTGCGAGCCCCTTGGGAAACAGGTCAACCACACAAGATGGATCAAGAGCAGGACAATTGTTGGCAAGAACGTCATCATAATTATAGTTTCTTCTGCCTCCTCTTTTTCTGTCCCGATCGTTACTGTTATCGTTTTTGTGGTGTTACCGAACTCGAAATCCGTCCACATTCTTTTCAATGTTGAATATTGCACTTCGACAACTGGGAAGTTTTCTATCACTCGGGTTAAAAAAAGTAACGGCAACTAATTCTGAATTAGTAATTCATAACAAGCATCACTTATTTTTCAACCCGACGCTAGTATACTTGTCGGCGAATTGTCGGATAATGATTTGTCAATGATACTTTCTGAGACCACATCAATGATGAGAAGTCCAGCTGGGTTCCCTGTATCATCATTCATGTACTGTTTAGCCATCTCAATCTTGTCCTCATAGTTACAGTCGCCAGCGTTTACGAGAAAAATAATTGGCTCGTCATCGTCAGGATGAATGGTTGGCTCGTTGTGCTGGTACTGATAATCTTGACAACCGTCTTCAATACTAGCCCATGGTCCGGAATCATCAGATTCGGAAGGTTGAGAGACAATTATTAGCTTTGCGGATACCTCTTTGCAAATGTTTAAAAATATTCTGTTAGAGAATGCTTACCGTCAGAAATTCTGTACATTGTTTTGTCAATCCATTTTCCACTATACTCTTCCGTTTTAGAAGATTCATCATTTTGTCCCTTGTCCTCTAATTTGATCGTCGTGTAGTTCTTCCTCGTTAAAACGGCGATGTAGAAAATGAAGTAAATAGAAATGTAGTACACCCCTGAAAGCGCGTTAGCAAATTCTCTTGATTTTTGGTTCTACCGATAGCAATTAAAAGATAGACCCATTTTTTCTCCATGCTAGTGCTTCTTACAGATATATATTTCAACAGAATAAAAAAAGCAAATATATGCCGAGAGTAGTTTTACATTTTGCAAATTTTATTTCCGCTTCGTGACGCACTTTTCTCTCTCTTTATCATGGAATTTGCAGGGGCAGATGGCAGTCTTTTCGCCCGTCGGGATTTCTACTGGGAGTTGGACAAAATCAATTTCGATCCTGATTGCTGTGCTCACACTTGAGCCTTGACCTCTCTGAAAACCTCATTAGTGCTCGAACGGGCTTTCCGTGTTTTTAATCTTGTTATTTAAACTCATTTTTCTAAATTTAAACCTAGTCCTTTTGTTTGGTTGCTACAAATTATCTAATAGTGATCGAAACATATCACTAAATAAAATGAAAAAGATACAGTCAGCTACTTCTAAAGACAGTTAGGAAGGTCGAGTTTTGAATGGGTGACCATACCTTTGCCTACAAATTCATTTTCGACCGTCTTCTCTTTTTATTTCTTTGTTTAGATTAATGAGGCTAGTGGACAAGCAAAGAGTCAAAGTATTTGAGTACTCTGAACTTCGCTTGGTTTACTGTTGTTCACGTCGAGGCCAACTTCTCAATCTGTCCTAAGCAGATTTTATCACCACAAATTTATGAGAAAAGAAACCTCCTAAAACATGATACACGTGAAACAGTTGTTTATCAAAAATAAGAAATCACATGTTTACAATTTTCTCAACAAGAAAGCAGTAGAGTCTATTTGTATTTATATAAGTGACTTCAAAGTCAAATTCATCTTTACAAGCTTCTTTTTGCAGTTTTTTCAGGCAAAAATCAAGCTGTACAAAGAACCGCATACACAGGCCAACCAGCATGTCCCGCAAAGCATTCCATAGCAGTAATCCATGTCAACTAAAAGGAACCTAATCGACGAGTTCTACTTTAGTACTCACTTCTCTCGTTAACAATTTTCAAGCCATCATAAAGCTGTTGTTGAGTCCATCCAGTCTTAAAAACGTATTTATTGTAATTATTTCGCAAAGTAACTCACAATTTCCATGATCATCATATCTTCTCCTGTTGGGGGCATATCTTCCTTCCAACCAGGTATGACCCCGAAATATTCCACATCAACTGTATATTTGTACAATCGGTCATCGTAATCATGCTGGCAGAAACAGCAAGCTTCAGGATTACCAGGGTTTCCTGAATGCTGAAATTGTTATTCAAAAACATCATTTTCTAACCTGGTAGAGCGCGAATGAAATCAGCTATTTCGGAGGGGGAAGCCTTAGAAAAATTGTGGATCATTCGAATGACATTTCTAGGAACTTCGTGACCTTGCACAGCGGGGTCTTTGAGTTTTTCAATGAATTGAAGCAAAAGCTCTTTGCGAGAGTTTATGTCAGCGCCTTCTTCAGCTCTAAAAAAGGATTAGCTACATCTATCTTATTTGAGGGTTTTCAACGTTCCTGAACTGGTCTTCTAATCTTAAACCATTATTTGAGCTTGATAAGTTAGTTGTTTCTTTCGTGACCGGTTGTTGGGTAACCGTTGCAGGAAGTTGATCATTATTAGATCCAAAGTGAGTGTTCGGCCGATCCCCAGGCGGGTCGGGCAAAGCAGGAAGTGCCTTATCCGGAGTCCATTGGTTATTCTGAATTTCAGGAGACGTTCTCTCGGGCTCGTTCTGATGAGCTGGCTGAGAATCCAACTGAGAAGAAAATTGATAACCCCCGTTGACCAAGGATCAGTTCCGTCTCCGAATTTATAATCACCAAAAGAACTCATAACTGATCCTTTCACGATCGTCTTCTGCGAGATAATTCCCTATCTAGAGACATGACGTGCTGTATTTTTGATGAGGAAGATAACTGACGATAGAGGAATATTCTATAAACAAAGAAAAGGTTTGGTCTTCGAAGTACTGGTATTTCCAAAATAAATTCCGCGCTGCACGTTTCTTAGGTCGCGATACTTTGTTTTATCTGTTTAGTCTCTCAACGCACTCTTATGTTTTAATTTACGATTGAATTAAGGTATAAGCATGTCGAAAGTTTAGACAAAAACCCTGTCTGCTAATTGATTTACTTTGATCGATAGGTTACTTGATGAAACTTTGTAATATCACCTTAGGGTCCACAGGACATGGTACTTCATCCTACAAAGATTATTTTCCTCAAATTTCAAATGCGATTTTTACGGGTTGACTTCTAACAAGATTATCAATCGAAATTAATAGACGTAAAATGAAATCTCTTTAGTATTTATGTATGTTTTATAATCGCGATTTGGCGATATGGGCTGAGAAAAATATATGTTTGAAGCTTAGGTTCCAGCCCATGTTGGACTCTAACGTGGCTCGAAAGCTGCTTATAGCTTCTCATATAGAAAGATAACAGAGTAATCACACTAAACCATTCTTGAACTAAGTGATGCAGATTAATTCTTGCTCAGGAAGCAATTTATCCCTGGTAGCAAAGAGATGCTCTTGGATGATAAGGACTCAATAGTGTTTTCAACATCCTGTTGTTTACTTGAGCCTGGGTTCGAGGTACTGCAAACCCGAGGCATCCGAAGTTCCAAATGAGTCAAGGATCTATACGATCCGGCCGGAAGAAAATTATTTATTGTACAACGGACTGTAAAACGAAACTATTTAGAAGCGTCAAATTTTTATATGTTAATCCCTTGTTTACTTTTGAATAAAAACACGTTACTTGCATAATAGGAAGGCTTGAAATTTGAGTAAGAACTTTGGTTAACCTCACAGCTTTAATCCGCTGACAGCGGACCGCTGTCATTATCGGCTTGACATTGTTCTTTTAGAGGCCTATTTAGAAGTACTGCTAAACATGAGCTTTTTATAACAAAGTTTGACAAAAATATAGTTATCAAAATTTCAAGGTGTAGTTCCACCCGCGATTCAGCTTCCGCACAGCATGAAAATTTGACCGTTAATCATCAAGCTGGCCTCTAAAATTGCTGTCCGAATTTTAAGAAGCTAGAAGGCATTCTTTTGGAAATAACAGCCAATTGCTTGTGGTCGTTCGATTTAACTGTTCTCAGGATGTTTCCTTTGGAAGTTATTCGAATTATTGAAAGTTATTTGAGGTTTTACGGTGAAAGGTGGCTCCGGTTCCTATCGCAGGTCGATTTTCGCACGTTGCAAATACGGGCCCTTGAAAATCAACCTTGCTTCGTCGTTGTTGATTTTAGTTAGTAACAGTTAACACGTTACGAAAACGAAAATCTTGCAACGAATACTCTAATCTTTACCCAAATCTGAAAAAATAAAAGATGTGCTTTCTTAGATCTATCTTATAGAAGAAACGCAATGTTGACTACAAAATTGGTTCGTGTAAGTGTTGTGAGTCTGAATTTGAGGCTTTCAAAAATAAAATGACAAGATACAATGCAGAATTTGATACGTTTATGGAGATTTCATCGAAGACATTTACGGAAAAGTGCTCCCTATCAACAAGATAAGTTCTTGTTAAACCGGTAGCCCCTCATAAAATCCCTTTCTACACGTTTCCTGCTAGATTGCCACGATGTCCAGGAAGAATTCTTCAAAGATAAAAACTTATCGTAAAAGATCATGAGGCGCTCTTGCGTGGTACAGCGCCCGTCGCTCGGAGTATTTAAGGAAGACAACGAAGCATTTTCTTTATTCTAAGTCCGAGTTGAGTTTTTGAAAACAACAGGTAAAGATATTCAGAGGTTCTGAATTTAAATCAACATTTCTAGCTCGAAATAGAATAAGAGAGGATGAAAATTTTTCAAGGGCTTTTAGCCTACGCGCTTGGCAGAACAGTCGAAGACGTATCAGTCACGAAAGATTTGGGAAATGATATTCGAATCACCAAAGAAACAGTAAGTTTGATTTAATATCTATTATATAATTTTTCCTCTCAATTTTTCGGAGCTAAGTTCAGGGCGTAATAGAGCTTTAGAAAATCTCTAAAACGTTTATCTGAGATTAATTATCTCTAGGCCGAAGCACTCGAGTTACAGGGCATGGATATCACCGGCTGGAAAATCGTCGGCAACAAAGATCTCGATAAGAAGCTAAAGAACAGCGCCAAAGATGCTCAAACTCGAGGCTTAGGGTCTGTTTACGGTATGTGGCAGCCCATAGAAGACGGGGGAAAAGTAATGGTTCCATTCACCGTCCACAGTTCCTACTCACATCGAACCGAGCAAATCAAAGAAGCGATGGCCGAACTTCAAGATGTACTTGGCTGCTTTGAGGTTCCATACGTAGAGAATCCGCTGTCGGACGTTTATGGACAAGGAATCGTCTTTGTCGCTGATGGCTCGTGCTACTCACTTCTTGGCCGAGGACCTGGATTCCACAATGGCATGCAAGGGGCAACATCAATTTCTGACGTAAACAGAACTATCTATATCGAGTTCGTGAAGATCATAATATTTATTTTCTTACATTACTGGAAATGAAAAAAATATTAAGCTCGGTGTACCAAATGGATGGCAAGCTATTGCCCTCGATGACGGCTGCAATCTTGCTTCTAATCCATCGACAGTTCAGCACGAGGTGCTTCACGCACTTGGAGTTTTCCACGAACACTCAAGACCAGATAGAGATAGCTACATCGACTATTGGGAAGACCGAACATCAGCCCCAGGTAAGAGTATTATTTCTTATCTTTATAATTCATTATTTAGGCTCCTGGAGCAAATATCCAACAAGTAACTGGCATAGCATGGGCTCAATCTACGAGCCTCGATCTGTCATGTCCTACGGCTCGTATGCTACATCTACTACCAGTGGCGTTCCGGTCGCGCTCCTGAAGGATGGCGGCCAAATCTTTGATGGCGAAAGAATCACAACCGAAGATGCGCTCCAAGTACAATGGATGTATTGCAAAGAGCAGCCGTCGAAATTCCCTGGATACGAATATACTGAGACTGCCACATGCACATCTCAAGACGAAGTAGGAGCGACGAGAAAAGTCTTTACGTCTCGATTGTGCGATGGCATAAGTGATTGCCCGAACGGAGAGGATGAAGGAGATCTCGCAGTTTGCAAAGAAATCGCTCCAAGAACCCCAAATGGTTGCTGTGGCGCCATTGTGAGAGGCGGGCAGACCTGCACCCATAATCCCGACTACTCGTACGGCGACAGAGAAACTTTTGCTTGCGAAGATGGCACCGGAGTAATGTTTGTTCCGTGGGCATCAAACCGATGGCTGCACGTCGTTGCCGCGACATATCCTATTGAAGGATCGGTCTCCTGGATGAGCTCAATCGCTGACACTGGAATTTGCCCTCCGACGACCTGGGCTGCATGCGCTGTAAATGGATACGATGCTACAGACAATTGCGAAACAAACGATTGTGACCCTAACGCGACCTGCACAAGCGGATTTGAGAGCTATACATGCGAATGCAACGAAAATTACACCGGGGACGGAAATACCTGCACTTTCATCCCTGAGGTCAACGAATGCGCTGACGGAAGCCATCAATGTGACGAGAATGCCTCTTGTAGTGATCTTCGTGACGGATACACGTGCAGTTGCAACGCTGGCTGGAAAGATTCAGGGCTTCAACCGATCAATGGTAGAGACTGCGTTGAAGAGGCTGCCTGTTGCGATGCTGTCCAGTATGATTTAAGTTTTATAATTTGAAAACTTACTTTTGTTTCATAGATTTTCATTTCCATACGAACAGCTTTGTACAATTGACGGAACCTTCGACGGCAAAAAGAGATGGAGCTGCACTGGCGCACACAAGTTGTTTGAAGTTAAATACCACAGTGGTACTTCAACATTCTACTTGTTCGAACTAGGCACATGGACCTATCACGCAGTTTTGGCAGCTGATCCGGATTTCTGTTTTGCAGAATCTGATAGCGACTACACTTGCTTGGAGTATGAGGGCGGATCTGTAGTGACATCATCAACAACGACGACGACAACCACAACAACAAGCACAACTACTACTACAACGACCTCCACTACGACAACATCAACCACGACAACGACAACAACTACAACCACCACCACAACAACCACTACAACAATAACTTCTACAACAACAACTTCTTCAACAACCACAACCACCACTACAACATCGACTACAACAACCACAACCACCACTACAACATCGACTACAACAACAACTTCTGCGACAACTACAACCACCACTACAACATCGACTAAAACGACTTCTACGACAACAACGACAACAACAATTTCGACGACAACTACAACCACCACTACAACAACTACTTCTACAACAACTTCTACAACTACAACGTCCACTACAACAACATCCACAATAACATCAACAACTACGACTTCAACAACAACTACGACCACTACTACAACTACCACCTCTACTACCACCACGACATCAGCTACAACAACAACAACGACAACAACAACCTCAACAACGACATCGACGACATCATCAACACCTGCTGAGATATGTTCTACTAGTTCCATTCCCGCCGACCTCATAAGCCCTGGAAAATTTGAATGGGATTGTAAAGAGAAGTCTAAATATCATGAGTGCAAGGTGATATGTGAGGGACAATCTAAACCGGATAAAAAATTCGTGATCCGCTGCACTAAAAACAATAGCGTTTGGTCTGTTCATAAAGGCTCAGTTCCAAGCTGTGCTCCTCCGCCTCCAAGAGCTGGATGTGAAGAGTCGTTGATCGGTGAAGACTTAACGTCCCCTGGTGGAAACACGTGGACTTGCGTAGAAGGCAAGAAGGATAAAAAATGCACGGCAGTTTGCGATGACGGAAGCTCGAGTGAAAATTTCGAAGTCAAGTGCAAATATTCCAAAAATGGTGACTCAAAGTGGTCAAAATCCAACAAAAAATCCAGTCCACCTCTATGCGGTGCCGAAGGACCTAAAATCTGCCACGAAGATGACATCGACCCAGATTTAATTCCGGAAGGCTCAGTTGTTTGGGAATGCAAGGCAAACTCAAAACAAAATGTCTGCAAAGCAAGTTGCTCCAACGGAGCCGATGCTGATAAGACATACAGCGTAAAGTGTCAGAACAAAAAGAACACTTGGAAAGTCGAAAAGAAGAAAATGACGATTCTTAACTGTTTATAAAACGCTTGGAAGAAGTGTCTATCATTTTGATCTGGTTTATTTTTTATTCGTTTCTCAATAAATGCGTGTATTAGCGCTTTTCATAATCGTTTTTAATTTTTTAATGCAGGAAGTGTTTTGGCTCTAGCGCTTGTGACACTCAGCTTCGAGGATTTGTAGAATTATCGATCAATGCTCTTATTGAGTAGCTGAATGAACAGTAGTTTTTTGATGATTTGTTCGAGAGAATTCCATGCTAATAAATATTTATCAGAGGTTATACCGCAATAAATAAGCGCGTTTATTTTGAGCGTGATTTTTTGTATTTCTTCGTTTATTGACAATAACTTATTCTTCAAAATGTATAAAAAGAAACATGTAGAAAAATGCAGTGCAGTCTTCACTGCGGTAATCTTCATTCCTCGGAGAGTAACTCGCCTCGCTTTCTTTCAGATTTCTCCATGTATTTCCCAAAAGCTGATGAGAGTCGTTTCAAATCGTTTCTGTCGAGAATCATGTTGTGTTTCCAGCAAGTATGGACGTAGTAATCCAGTTTTTTATCAAGCAACGAAAGGAGCTTCGACCATCTTTCGGAGCAGCAAACGGAGCTAGCCAAGAGCGCTAGAATCACGAAAAAGACGTTTTGTAAAAATCTCTTGATGTTCATTTTCTGAAACTATTTCTTTTTTCAACTAAAGTGGACAGGCAACTAAGCCGATTTTATACTGCTGCCCTCTCTTTGCCAATTCTATTAAATTTAAAATGAATACAACATTTGGCGGAATTAATGCATTCCCAGATACACGGCCTCAATGGGCACGCACACGATAACATGCATGCACGATCTGGCGGTCGGTTTAGTTCGACTATTTCTTTGCGGCGAATTGGATGCAAAAGTGGAATAAAATAAATTCGAGTTTGGACTCGTCTCGTGGTTTGGAAGTGACCTTATTCGAAATTTAATGCACTCAAGTCCAGCCTTTTTCACATCATATTACTTAATTACTTTATAGCTTTTGAACAAGATAAAGAAGGGCATTACAGTTTGAAATTCTAACTTTGAATTGCAGACTGTGATCGAATGCGGCTCCGAAAGGGAGTTTTCCAGCAGAAGAAGTCCTCCGGCGAAAAGAGTCCTCCGGCTAATTTACGGCGCTCGGCAATTTTCGGGGAGTACGAGAAGCCCAAGAAAATGAAATGTAAGAAACGAAAAGAACGATCTGGGAACTAAGGATTTCGGAAAAAGAAGATGGAGGACCTAATTCAGCTTTCAAATGTATGGTAAAAATATTCTTTTCAACATCGTATCATTTTCACACTAATCGTCTTGTCTTTTTTGTTAGATTCAGCACTACTTTTTTATTGCTTCATTAAATTGCTTGATGAATTGAGCAAATGACAGTGACTCACTCATCATATCGTACTCTGAGAACAAACTGAATGATTATTTATCGGAAACGTCATCAAAATGTTCACTTTTAATTTTCCCTTGAAGGAGAATGAGCAAATATTCACGCAAGAGGATATCTTGGCCATATTCGACCCAATTTCATCCTCAGAATCGTCATCTTCGGCCGTCTCAACTCCACAGCTTTCTTCCAACAGTTCAAGGCAAAGTTCTAGTCAGCTATCCGTCTTCAATCAACCGGGTCAGCGAAATCGACCGCCTAGTGATCTAATCCTTCGACCTGCCCGAGAAGACGATATTTCTCTTCCGACACCCCCTTATGTTCCTCCAATAAATGATTTAGCCAGGGGCTTGAAATTTAGTTCTAGCAACGAAGTTATCAAGTATTTTTGATACATTATAATGAGTAAGCCCTCGCTTAGTCCCTCCTATTCCAACGCGAACGCAATCAACTTTCGTACGCCCTCAAAATGTTCCCAAGCCACCGAGACGAAGACAAAGTCTTGGCCCAGCAGTAAGGATGAGAAACACCAGTCAAACGATCGAGAGAAGAAATAGGATAAGCTCAGATAGAGCCAGTAGCGTTTATTCAAGGTAGGAGAGACAAGTTGATAATCTCTCTTGAGAAACTAATTTGAAGAGAATTCAACTTTTTTCAAGGAAATCTGAAATGCAAGAGCCCGATTCTCCCGCTTCTGCGCTCGCTTTCAAAGTCTACTGGTTACGAAACTCGGAGAAATACAGATGGACGAATTCGGAAACGAATCGTGGAATCGTTTATGCGCGGGAGAACTCAAGAATCAGCCACGCGACGGAAATCAAGATTGAACCATCGTTGATTACTGATGAAAAGCTGCAAGCATTTACGACAGATATAAGAAGATCTGTGGCTGAACTGATCTTCGACGTGAATGGGAAGCTCAGAGATGCTCAATCAGACCTGTACAATAAAAACTTCTATTTGCAAGGTGAGTTTGTTTGGGAATTTATTCAGTTGAGTTTTTGAGAGACAAATAATAATAATTTTCGGAAGCATGCAAATTTGGAAAACAAGAATTTACTGAGTTACAGGGTGTAAAAATATTCGATTTTTCGTTAATTATTCTTTCTTTTCGACAGTCTTTTCCGGCATCTTTTTCTTATCGTTTTCTTTCTCCATCGTTTTTGGAGAAGATTTCTCGGTAGCTGGTTCTTCCTCAGAGATTTCTTCCTTCTTGGCCTTTTCTTTGGCTTTTTCGGCCTTTTCTTTTTGTTCCTTCAAGAACTCCTTGATAGGTCGGAATGGTTTCCTGGGCGCTTTTTCTTTTGGCTTTTCTTGCTCTTTAGCCCGCGCTTCTTTTTCTGCCTTGAGCTGCGCTTCTGAAAAGGGTTTCAGACGGCCAAAGGGTCGTTTTGTTTACCTGTTGGAAAATTAAGCAAATGAAAATCGAAGTTCATGTAAGTTCTATCTTGCTTGTTTCTCTGCTTGTTGGTCATTTGCGCTCGATCTCTCGGCGGTTGAGGTTGCCAATCGGGATGTTTCGGGTATCCAGGCTTGGGGTAGATGCTAGCGAGGTAGAAGATCATGTTCGAATTTTTCGCTTTTTGGGAATGTATTTATTCAATATTTCTTTCGATTTTAAGTAAGTCACTAACTGTTAGTGAAAATAGATCCCCTTCCTAGCACCGCGAGTTTATGTGCCTCAAAGATCTTTTCTTTCTTCGCTGGTTCACCGACGTAATCCCGAACAGCCTTAGCGAGAGCATCCTTGTGCCAGTCCAAGTTTGTCTCATGCCAAGCTCGGACTTGCTCGCGAGAAGGTCGGAATTGCGGAAATGAGTACCAGTTATTGTTGCTCATCGTTAAAAATCGGCGATTTGCTATTTTCGAGAAATGCGATGACTTCAGAGAATAAACAGCTTATATAGTCGGCTCGGATAAGTCACGAAATTTTATGAAGGAACGAAGATTTAGTCGAATGAGAGAGAGAAATAGCGAATGGAAGTGATCATAGTTGATATTTTTTGCGTATTCAGTGGTTTCAGAAACGATTTGGGCCCCAAATTTTGGGGGGAGGGGGTAATTTTTTGTGTTTATCGGGCGCTAGAATTACTAAAAATCATTAGTCGCTGCAACGAAAGAAATTCTCCACAAAGAAAGTCGTCTAAATCGCCTTCAAGTCGTCCGTGAAATGCTCAAAGTTCAAAGTCCACTGAAGCTCAAAGTAATATCCGAATATTCCCTCGACACTTCCCTCATCCGGACTGCTGCTGACGATGCCTTCTGTGACTCCCCGCCTATTGAAATTACACACAAACTCAACACACAAAATGACCTTGCGAAAATGGCCGAAATCGAAAAGCTAGTTGCTCTTTGCATGGGCGAATGCGAGAAATTACAGAATTGTTCGATCACCAGCACAGAGCGTCATTTACATCTGATTCATGTTCAACAAGCAGTAAAAGCACTCATCATTCAACTGAACGAAGTTGAGATTTTCCCCATTTCTAACGCTTCTATTAGACTGGCCGCAGCTGTAAATAATTCTAGCGGCCCAGAAGATGTGAAGCTTTCCATAGACAAGGTTATCAAAACATCCTTCTTTAACCTTTTATCTTCAATTTCAGCTTCGAGCAGCAATAAACGATTTAGTCCACCTCTACAAAATCTCCTGGACGGATCTCGAACACAACATACCCCACCAGTGCGACCCGTCTAACGAAGTCCACGATCCCCTTTCTCTTCAAGTCATCAGTCTTCATCAAGTTCCAGAAAACTACCTTCATTCTTTAAAAATCGAATATCTTTGGATTGCAGTATCTATCATTCGGGGCGATCGTGCTTCTTGCTGTAGAAAAAGTCATACAGGTACCTTGATTTTCTCATCCTTATTTCTCACAATCTCTTTAGGAAGATCGCGTGTAAAAAGAAGCCTCTTTCCCCGAGTTCTTTGGGACCAGCAGCTCACCCTCAACTTTTCCATTTCCCAACTTCCACTTGACGCAACTCTTTTCATCGAACTTTATGGCACCGAAACTGTCAAAACGTCCAAAGAAACGCCCATCGAACGAGAACACGAACTATCATCTGCCAAAATCCCTCTTTTTGACTTCAAACGACGCCTCTTGAAGGGCGAGAGCCTATTTCGTCTAGAAAAACTCCACGAAAAATACCCCGAGCCTATAATTTACATTGAGCTTCCCTACCACTGTATTCAATTTCCGGAAATCGCAATTAGTTCGCCAGCAAGCAATCCGAAGGAATCGCCGGATTGGCCTCTTGCGTTGAAATTATTGCAGTCAACTTATGAAAAGAAGAATTTAACGGATTTAGAGAGGCAGTTGATTTGGAGAAATCGGTCAAATGCGATGCGAGATTTGCCGGAGGCTCTTCCTTTTATTCTCAGATGGTATGTAAAGAATCTTATGTAAGAAAACTGGGTTATGCATAATTTCACCTCAAAATTTATTGTGTGTTGTCAGAAAGAAGGCTATCGAATATTTGCTTGTTTATGGTTGAGCTTCATTTTATCAAAAGAATGATTTTTTCATTTTTTAAGCGTTTCCTACCCGTACCTTATTTTAACCATCTTCGGCCATCTAGTGGCAAAGAGTAACAAGAACTTCCGTTTACTTTAAATCAATAGAAGATCAATGATCGATCTGAAACTGATTTTTCAACCGATTCAATTTCAGTGTCGATAATTGGAATGCTGAGACATTATCTGAAGTTTCCGGCCTCCTCTCCAGCTGGCCAACAATCAAGCCTCTCATTGCCCTTTCCCTTCTCACGAAAGAGTTCATGTCCGTGCAGTTCGTCCGTGATTTCGCTATCAAATGTCTCAAACGTGCTAACGAAAGCGTTCTCCTGTCAGTCCTCACGCAGCTTGTTTCCCTATTGCAGTACGAAAAAACTCAAGACAGCGTTTTGGCCGTGTTTCTTCTCGAGCGCGCTTGGAACTCAATTAGAATCACTTTCCACCTCCATGCAGCGTTGATAACAGCTGCCGATCACACTGCAGCGCCGATTTTCTATGTGATGCAAGATCTTCTAGAGTGGTCCTCAGGCGCTGCGTTGAAAGCAGAATTGACGAAGACGCAGAAGATTTTGAACATTATTAACTTTAATGCATTGAGAATCAAAGACGACCGATCCAACTATCTACAGCATTTTGAGTCCCTTTGGAATTCGATCGCTGAGTTAAGCCCCTTTCGCCTCGCTGAATTTCCAACAGTAGAATTTGTCAATATTGTCATAAGCAAATCGAAGCCATTTTCATCATTTACTGCGCCCTTATTATTGACCTTAGAAGCGAAAAACGGAGAACGGTATTCGTCAATTTATAAAAATGGCGATGATCTGCGACAGGATCAACTTGTTACGTCTCTCTTTCATATGATGGAAAATTTCTGGCTTTCTCAAGGACTTGATTTGAGAATGCTCGGCTACTCTGTTTATCCAACCGCCAAGAATTGTGGATTCATTGAAATTGTTCAAAATTCTGTCACTCTCAGGTAAAAAACCTTTGTTCTTTCCGATTCTAGCGTTACTTCAGACAGGTTCAAGTTGGCAATAACCAGAAAGAAAGATGCCTGCATGACTGGCTTGCTGGTCAAAGAAACAATAAATTTGAACTCATCGACAATTTCTCCCGATCATGCGCTGCATATTCCGTCGCGACTTATATTCTCGGCCTTGGGGATCGACACAATGACAACATCATGATCACTCGCCGAGGGCACATGTTCCACATTGATTTCAACAAAGCATTCGGTCATTATCAGAAAATCGGAGGCGTGATCAACCGAGATCGAGCCCCATTTGTCCTTTCCGATGACATGGTTCTCGTTATCAACCACGGAGCGACGATGGAAACAGGTCGCAAGTTCCCTGCTTTTGTCCAGCAATGCGCAGAGGCTTACAACATCGCTAGACATCATTGGCGAGAAATCATCTCAATGATCATGGTTTCTGCGCCAATGAATATGACAGCGCTAAAAGAGGGAGGAAATGAAGTACAAGTCGTGTTCGAAAACCTCTCCCCGACAATTGGTTAGTTCACCTTAATATTTGATTGATTTATTAAACAGATATGACAGAGGATTCTACCGATTTTGCATTATGCAAAAGTTAACGCGTTTTTGAGTTCATTTTGAAAATAATTCGCGCCAAGAGTCTTTGAAAAATTTAAGTGCACGAGATAACAAGCATTTCCCTAGACGACATTGCCGCACAAGAAATGTTCTTCAACCGCGTCAAGAAATCGTACACGTCGTTTTCCACTCGTCTCAATTTCTTCATGCATACGTTCGCTCAGCTTTTCCAAACAGGTGGCTGGGATGGAGTTGAACCTCTGCCCGACCCGGTCAAATACACTGTCCAAGAAGTAGGGCGCCCGATAGACTTTGAAATTGAAGGCTTCGAGATGAAATTCCGCAATACAGACAAATTTTATTCTTATCGCCTAAGAGTGCGCTGGCCAAATCGAACAAGTTTCATTTTACGCTCCTGGATTGAATTCACTCAAATTCGATCAGTAATCGAAAAGTTTCAAATCGAACGCGGAGGAGAGCCAGTCCCGCCTCTTGGGAAGCTAGAGCTGAGTACAAGAGGTGATAAGGACTCAGTGGCGATAGCAAGAAAATCAGCAATTTTCGACTTTCTACAGTTTGCCAATGCCGAGGCACAGGTTCGAGATCATCCAGCAACGATCACCTTTTTGTACGAAGATGAAAAGCGGCCACCTCCGGTCACAAAATCCAACAGCATTCCCACTGGAAGCAGACAAGGCTACATAAATATAAACATGTTCTTCGAGAAAGATAACTACCTGAAAATTTTGGTGAAAAACTGCTTCGACCTTCCATCGAGCGAAGGAAGAGCACCGGAGAGCTATGTCAAGGTGTATATTCGCGATGAAAGTGGAAATAACATAAAAAGTACGAAGCAAAAAACGACTACGGAGTACTCGCACAATCCCGTTTTCAACAAAGTCTTTCGTAAGTCGAGAAATTTCGGCTTCGAAATATTTATCAAACATTTTAGATTACGATTTAGAAGACATCCCGTCTTTTTTGGAAAAAGATATTGAAATTTCGGTGTGGAATTACTCTGGAATTTCCGCCTCGAATTTCATGATTGGCCGCGTAATTCTTCCTCTCAAGCAGGTCAAGGAAGGATATCTTGAGCTTCTCTCGCCCTAAGAATCAAAAAATGCACTTATTTCTTTGTATATTGTTCAGTTTTCAATTCTTCTAACTTTTTTTTCTGATGCACAAAAAGCTCCATGATTCTCTCATTCTAATTGCTGCCCTATTCCCTTCTATTTATTCTAACGCTTCAAATAAAACTTATTTAAAAGAATCAAGTTTATTAATTTACAGGAAAACAAAGAAAAATACAGTTTTCAGCAGGTGCCTTCAGGAAGAGCTTCAGTTCCAGAACAGCATTGATTTTCTCGTCTTGGCTTGTTGAATGGGAAAGTGGAAGTTGTTCCGCAACACTCGACGAAAGGAACTGATGGGCCGACGGGTCGGTGACAGTGGTCTTCTCGGACAAAGCCGCCTAGAATTTGTTTCTTGGTCTGTTTGCGTGAAAATCATTTTTTTACCTTTGAACTCATGAAGTGCTGGATTCCACTCATTTTCATGCTTCGCCAAATTCTTGGCCAAAGCTTTGTCACACTCGCAAATGGCTCTTCTACAGGTTCCTGGTGGATTTGTACAGACGATGTCTCGATCGGGGTCTTCTGCAGCTCCAATGAGATCGAATCGGTAGCTAGAAAGTAATTGTTACTCTTGAATTTCGATCTGATCTTTTTACCCAAGCAATTCTCCTGAGCATTTGTCCACTTGGCCACCAGCCCAGGTTTTTTCGGGCTTCATTTCTTCGAATTCAGAAACAAGACATCTGTAACAATTTCTCAAAAAACAACTCTCGTTTAGCTGAAACTTGAGTTCGGGAAAGTGAGAGTTTTGGTAAATGTATGTTAACTATTGAGAAACTTTCCTGTAGCATTGCTTAAAATCAAAACAGGCCTTGTCAACCGAGTCCTGTGGCTTTCCATATCCTCCCGACGCGATATTGTGACTTCCTTCGGGCAAGCAGTAGCATCCATAGAAGCAGTATCTTCCAAACTTCTTCGAGTTCTGGAGCCAGAGGACAAGAATCTTCATCTGTCTGAATTTTCGCTCTTCCTCAAGATTCATGTCCATTCGAGTGTCGCCGCCCATGAGATTTCTGATCATTTCGTCGATCTCGTCGAAAGTGCCCCCAGTGATCTGGTCCAAAATTGCTGTCAGCTCATCTGGGGATTCTTCACCAGTGAAAGCATATGTGATTTCTCGAGTTGCTCTAGAATTATTTTTAACCTCTTGTGCCTGCATGAACAACAAATTTGCAAACGAGCAATCTTACCTTTGCAATCTGGAGGCACTGGCCAATGAAGCGGTCAAAAAGTTGAAGATTTTCATATTCTATCTTCTTCTTTTTATCGTTATTGGATAACTTGATGGAAAAATCTGAGATTTCATGATTTTATAAGCCGTTGCTCTGAGCGCGCCACCGCGTGTCACTTCTTCCGCGTACCCGCATTCCCCCCGCAAAGTACTTTTGATAGCAGTTATTCGCAGTCAAATCTGACTGAGAAAAAACTTGAGGCTGACGTATGATCTAACACGTAAAAAACCTTGTGAATATCAAAATCACTACCGGCTATAAATTGGTTTATGTTTCCAAGCGAACTTTTCTGATGTTTTTATGATAATGATCAACTAAAACCGCGAAAAGAAAAAAAATCCCATTTCGCTCGTATAAAGGACAAAGATTTCCATTCATCGCTTGACAAAGCGAGCGATGAAAAAGCTTTACGTTTTTGGATTTTTCGGTAATAAAAATCTTCGTTTTTGCGAGAGAAAATGCTGTTTTTAGCGTGGGTCTACTTGGGCGTTGGAAGTTGTCCCTGGAGCTTGATCGGTGACACGGCTTTTGCTGGTGAATTGAGTGTGCTGAGTAGAACGGCGATTTACACGAATATTGCGAGTTTTTTGGTCATTTTGATGACCACGATCAATGGAACTTGCACCAGCGCTGTCAAAAGTATGTTGTGTGTGAACTTGAAACGATCATTTTCTTTCTTAGCTGGGATGAAGAGGTTTTATTTCCCAATAATTTGCATCTCCTCTCAATTTGCATGCGTCTCGAGCTCAGCCATCCTCGTCGAGATCCTCAAATCGCCAGAAGCGTTTTCAAAGAATTTATGGGTCTTTGAAATTTATCGAAGCTCAATAAGTAAGGTTTTTTACCATAAAAGTAGATAAACGTTTAATAGATTGGATTGTGTCAATGTCTGTTTGTCTTGGTAGCCTGGTGAAAATAACGATGGACAGCATCGAGACTGATTTGATCAAAACTGAACGATATAGGGACGGATCAAAAGTTTTTGAAGAATAATTTATGCATTCAATTATTGATGGTACCCTATTCTGATCCGAAAACAGCGACCCTAATAACAATGATAATAAGGAAGACTTACCATATCGAGCTTCAGCTATGAACTCGATAGTTTAGCGTTTACTCTTGATTTTCGATACGTTACTGCCACCACTAGATTGAAATTTATCTATTTAATAAAGCCACAGAATTGATTTGACATGAACTAACTTCAACTTGACGTCAGAATTTATCAAGAACATCTTGGCCTTTATAAAAAAATTCTGTTTCTAAAATCAATTTCATAAATTTTCATTTTGAATTGATTTGAACGCGATAGCTACAAGACTACAGCGCGAGAGCACTTTGTAAGACACCGATAATTTTTATGAAGAAAGAAAACGCTGAGCAGTTTGAGCAGCAGGAATGCAGGTGTGTTTATAACTCATGCTCTAAGATTTCTAACGCATTTTGGAAGGGTTGAAATTTTCATGATAACGTGCTGGCCCAAACTTCAGCTGGAAATTCAATAGAAGACAGTACATATCACCCGTAACATCTGAGCTTTTCACACACTATAGTTTCAAAATAATTCACCTTTTATTCAGCTTTATGGACCTTTTTTCAAAAACAGAGCAAAATTTTCTATGACGCCTTTCAACTAAATATTATCATGCCTCCTTTCGCCGGCTGAATTTCAGGAATTCTTCGCTCTTCAAACTCTTGATATCCAGTGTCGTCTTACGTAGATTCTTCGTCCTTTGAAATAAATGAAGATTTCTAAGAGGCATAATATCAAACACAGAAAAACATGGCACTGGAAGAGAAGGTGTGTGTTTTTATGAAACGTCTACCATCATGGCCAAGTGTAAATTAAAAATGACATCACTCGGACCAAAATTAAAATTGGAGAAATTCCAGAGCCAGATTAAACTAGCCATGAGTACGAAAGTTTACGACTTCAACAACAAGTCATTTTTGCAAGAATCGATGAAGTCACCTTAGGCTTTATTGAGTTGGCATCTCTTAGCACAGAATAAACACTGAGCACCATCAGTTGTACAGGGTCAGTACAATAGAAAAGAAAAAAATAGACTGCAGTAGAAAAGAAAGGAATAAGATCAGTTATTGAACAAGTAGTGATTATCTTTTGTTTTGTTTTTGAATGTAAGCAAAATTCGACTATAAAGAATAAATAGATATTAGGCTAGTATTTTGAGCTGTCTTTCAGGAGCTCGTGCATTTTTCGCACGCAATCGGCGGGGAAGTCGGCGTTCGGGCGGAAGATGCAGGTGTCAGTGGAGATGAAGCGCGTTGCATCCGATACTGCAGGTCGAACATGAGGTAGTCTTGAGAAAATTTGAATGGCAGTTGAATTTGTTGTACTTACGAGCAAGAGCGTTGGAGCCATTCTTGACTTGTTCTCCTAAACTTGGCCGCGTCCTGCACTGCCACCACCTGGTTGTACGATTCGAACATTTTCCTCATTATCAAGTAAAAAGGAAAAAATTTGTAGTTTTGCTCAGTTCGCGCGGCAACGTACTGGAGAAATTCTCTGTGATTTTTATCACTTCGAACTTTTGAAAGAGGAAATCCAGTTTCCGGGAGTTGTTCCTAGAATAAAAAATATCCAGCTTATGAGATCATAAAAGATGTACCTGAGCGCATGAAATCTGTCTTTGAAGATTTTCACATTCTCTCCTCAGTAAGTCGATTTCTTGCTGCTTTCGCTTTTTCTCCATCTGATGGCGAATGATGGTGTCTTTTGCCTTCATCAAAAGTCCTGCTTTTGAGATTTTCGTTGGCACTGAATGACCAGGGGTGTTGTTTGCCATGGTTTCGTTGAGAAGAGCTTCAAGATGGTCAAACCCTTGTTTCATTGTGGATCTTCTTCGACGCTCGGCACTTTGTTCCTAGAGGACTTTTAGCTATCAGCAAATAGTGATATTACGAAGAATAAATTCTAATTTTCGGTTAATTTTTAAGGACATCTATAAAATAAAATATCACCATTATAAATTGAAGAATCTCGAAATTCATAAGTTTGGCCACCATATCATGACAGACACCATATTTCACCTTTCACCATTTTTATCTTACAGTTTTTACTACGATCTCTTCCTTGACCTCTTGACTTACGTCTTCCTGCGCCTGTTGATACTGTTGGACATTTATGCCGTTATCTTGACTCATTCCGTTGTCGATTTCTGTCTTCTGCTCATAATCATTGTTTCCGTATTGACTACTCTGAGCTTGAGGCTGGTAAGAGTCAGTCGCTGAGTTGGATATTCTCACTGCGTGACTATCTTTCGTTTGGCTGAAGATGACATTTTTTGAGACACTGTCTCCGCGAATCTGAGCGTAAGATCCATCTTCAAGGAGCTAAAAAATTTTCATGATCTCCGCTTTCATAAAGACAGCCATATTAAGAATTGATTTACCTGTAGTAGAACAATTTGCTTTCCATCTGGCAGTATCACGTGACTCTCACGATCAATTTGGTCAATAGGAACGGTACCAATCTCCTCAATCGGAAGATCCATTTCGGAGTTGACCCGGACCCGGGATGGTGCCATTTGTTGCTGCGTTTGCTGAGGTGGCTCGAATTGCGTTTGAGGTAAGGGCGGTCGTAATGGCGGAGGTTGTCTTTTTCATGTTTCAAATTTTGCTGTTTTGTAAAAATGTTTTTTATGAAATGATGAAATCTTTCCTGTTAGGTTGGCTGTACTCCATTGCCATGGGTTCCTGAGCTTGTTGTTGTTGATGCTGAATGTGACGTTGAGGTGCAAGGGTTTGTTGGATCGGTTGTTGGAGCGTTCGGGGTGACTCGGATTGGATATACACAGGCATATTCTTTGAAGCAGCCTGAAAGTTATGTAATAGACGCTCAACGATTTAAGGGAAAGCCTTTGCGTCTGAACAATGGTCTACTCTCTCTTTGTCAACTAATATTTTACAACAAGACCAAGTTTTTTTGAACGAAGATTCAAAAGTCTGCATGATCATCTGACGAAATTCTAACGTGCAATTTGACCTATGATCTTGGACAGGAAAGAGCGTTCAACAACTCAACTCAAATGTTTTCAAGTTTTCAGTTATTTTTTGCCGTTTATTTCGAACGTACCTGGTATCGATGGTTTTGGTTTTCGCTGTTTTTGCTGTTGAATGGTGAGTCGTATGGAGCATGCTCACTGTTTTTCGGATCTAAAGGACGTCTGAATTTGGGTGGCAGTAGGTTTACGCTTTTTTTGAAGTTTTTAGGGCTAAAGGGGGAGATTTCGTGGAGAGTGAGGTTCACCACGCTTTCGAGGTCTTTCGGGCACATGCTCTCAAGTTGGTTGGACTTGGAGTTCCAAAGTTGGGAGAATCTCAATCTCGTGCTCGTTGAAGTTCTCAAAGTTATCTCGCCTTCATCCAGCGAAACTGGAGGATAGTCAGGCGCCATCAGCAGTTATGCTGCTGCATATTGCGCAACACTGGCGCCCTTGCAAGCTGATATTATCCCCTTATCTAAAAGTTGGAAATTGGAAGAGTTTACGAAGAGTCAATCCAAGATCAACCCAAAAGAACTACAAGAGAAACTACAGCTACTGCACCGCCAGTGTTATAATACCATTAAAGATATTATACTCACATAAGAAGTCCATCGACTCCATTGGATCCATACCAATGTCGTTGAGAAAACCTTGGCCGTTATCCGAAAGAAAACCAAATGATTCCATGTTGAAGAAACTATCCGTTGGGATAGCATTAGAAATCTTTCAGTGGGTTTCTTATGAACATCGATAAAATCAAATGAAACATGGTCTTTAGCTTGTTGAAACCCTTGGCAAAGAATCGGGAATATCGTAAAAATGGCCAGAATCGATAACAAGCGCGTTGTCCAAGGGTTGCGTGTCCACAATGGGCACTGCCGGAAAAGGCTTCTGTTTCAGCCGCTTTAGAGAGCGTTCTGCTTGTTTCCAAAAGAATTTACGCCACGTTTTGTACTCGTCGATTACTGCCTAAAAATTGGTCTTACTTTAAATTTAATGACGATCTTCAAATCTGAGTCTTGGAGACAAATTAATGATGAAACTGAATATTAATTTTAATGATCTTCAAACAGCTCGGAGCTAGACTTAACGATTAGATTATGCTAAGAATACGACAAGGGAGACTTTGCTGGTTGGCTCAGCCCCTAAAGAAACAATTTAACTGTGTCTACTTCAGAGGCGATCCTCTTTTTTTCAAAAAAAAATCGATTGATTAGAATTTATACCTATCATTTCTTATATTTTTAGGAAAAAATGAGATTCTCGAAGACATTTATCTATTGAATTATAAAAACGGTCTAGCCTTCCCCTTAATTCGACGACGATGTTTGAGCCTCGGGGTCGGCCTCGGCCTCAATTCGAGTTACGCCATTCTATCGTAACACCCATATAACTATCCTTTCTTTGGCGACCACGTGTATCGCGAGAAAAGAAATGCCGGGCTTTGGAATCAAGGAAGAGTACCTGAATCTGCTGACGCCAGTAATTGCCTTCTAGCAAGTGAACGTCTGGTTTTGCAGTGTAATCAGCTGAGTCTAGTGGTGTGACGAACTCGATCAGCTTCTTTCTTTTAATTTTGGAGAGCCCATCGAGATCTTGAAAATATATTGAAACCTGGGTTTTATTAGTATTGTTAGCTAAAGTAAGTATAATAAAATCATAAGATTTCCATGGAAGCGCGAAAATTCTTCACAGGAAAGCTCACGTGAGGGTACACTTCCTTACCAACTCTGCTGTCTAACTTACATTGAATGTGCCAAGTTCGCCAGATGGCATTATTGAGGCGGATGCGATCCTTGAGGCGGATGTTCATGTTGTTGAACTTTTTCCATCTCGGAGTTGTGACACCATGTCTAAGGAAGAGTATTTTAAAGAATTAATGATTCAACTCAATGGATGATTTTTACTACTCTTAGAAGATCTATCCTAGCCCTAACCCTGACTGTTCTATTTGAACATATTCACGAAGAGGTAAATATGCGAAAATGGGGAAAACCCCGATCAATCTCAGTTAATTTACCCTTGAACCTTCTGTTAACAAGTTTCGATTGCATAATCTATTGTTACGTAAATTCTAGTTAATAATTACTTGAACGCAGTATTCATACAGTCGAACAAGTCCTGAAGATTTCGCTCGAACGTGGGCCTTCCATCGCGTCTTGGGGTCTAAATGGAGGTTGTCAGGGACTAAGAACGTCTACGAAGGGTACCATAAAACCGGTAGGATCGGCATGGGGGTCGACGACCATAAAGTTGCCACTAGAGATGACATTTTGCTTATCCATCGTGTTGTATGCTCTAATTGGCTGCACGGGGGGCTCCCGCGCGCCACCACCAGCAAAAGGGATCGAGGGGAGCTCGCCGACGATGAGTCAGTGTCACTTGCAGCGAGAAAATCGGGCGCGCGTCTCTGCTTGAAAAAAGGCGAAAAAAGTAAGTCTGGTCACTCACGCGACGGATGATATCCACGCAGGCCCCTTGTGAGCCAGAGCGCCGCAGTGCGCTAAACGCCTACGCCCACGCCAAATCCTCTCCACGCAAAGTCAACTCAAGGCGCGCCCGGATGACCCTGGAAATCTCTTCCAGCTAAAAAGTCCTCCGTCAAAATTAACTTGCCAATTTCGGAAGATTTCAGCGGTAGCTCAAGAAAGTCTCTTTTCAAGACATTTCTATTCTGTGAATCGGCGAATTAAGGGTTAGAGAGAATTTTTTTTATTAAAATAATTGAGAACCTAATTCAATTATTTAGCAATAAATATCAAAAAATCAAGAGTCCAAAAATACGATTGTTTAAAAATTTATTCAGTTTTATCTCTCTCAGACTGAATGACGAAAAAATAACTTTTCTTTCTTTCTCCCTCTCAGAAAAGTTATCATATGGAATGGCGAAGAAAGCGAAATACACAGTAAAATATAACATTTGGTTAGTAACGAAAAAGAAGCTTTACATGTCGGGAACCACTTGGGTGATTATTGTTGACTCTAAAGTTGATCAGCGAGGAACTGCTTGCCGATCTTTTCGACAAGACTTCGGAGAAGAACAACGTCGGCTTTCTTGTTTGGTCCGGGTGGACCTTGGAAGCCTTGAGGACCGGGCTTTCCATCCGGGCCCTTTCGACCTTGTGGTCCGGGTTTGCCATCAGCTCCTACGTAAATTGTATAACTTCGGGTTTACTATAATAAATTACCAGTAGCACCGCGGGGACCAGGATTTCCAACCGGGCCGTCAGGTCCAGGGGCACCGTCTTCACCATCATCACCATCTGGACCAGGTAGACCTGGGGCACCATTGGGCCCAGGAACGCCATCGCGGCCATTGACAGTTGGTCCTCGTGGACCCGCAGGTCCTTGTGGTCCATCAGGACCAGGTTTGCCAGGAGCTCCCATTGGTCCAGTAGAACCTTTTACATTTAGTCAATTTTGAAAATAAATTTGATCTTACCTTCGGGTCCTCTTGCACCATCTTTTCCGTTTGGTCCGCGCTGTCCAGGTGAACCTTGGCGACCTTGTTCTCCTTGTGCTCCAGCAGGTCCATCAGCACCTGGTGGTCCTGGAGGTCCGCATTCGCCGTCTAATCCGTCAGCACCGTCGAGGCCATTTTTACCAGGCATGCCTGGAAGACCAGGAATACCATCAGGTCCTTGAGGACCTGGACCTCCGTCGGGAGCTCGAACGTTTTCTCCAGGGATTCCGTCAGGACCAGGTCGACCTTCTTTTCCGGCTTCTCCGTCAGGACCGTCCTGACCATCACGTCCAGGATCACCGTCGCGACCGCGCTCACCATCTCTTCCGGGTTCACCTCGCTCCCCATCTCGTCCACGCGGTCCCGGTGGTCCTTCAGGTCCTTGATCACCTCGACGTCCTTGTCCTGGTTCTCCAGGGGTCCAACTGGTCCTCTTGGACCCTCAGGACCTTGTTCACCGGCTGGACCAGGTAGACCAGCATCTCCGTCGGCACCATCAATACCTGGCTGACCTCTGTTACCTTGAGGCCCTCGCTCACCGGGCTCTCCAGGTTCACCACGCCGACCAGGTCGACCTCTTTCTCCTTCTCTGCCATCTTCCCCATCTTTGCCAGGGGCACCAGGAGGACCACGAATACCAGGAAGCCCTTTGTCATGGTTTTCTGGAATATCAACTTCGAAATCACAGACATAGGTTACTGGAGGACACTCATCATCAGTTTCGCCAATCACAGGAGCTTCTTCGACCATTTCTTGAGCCATTTCTCGGAATCTTGTTCCAGAAAGGTCTTCAGGGTAGACATAAAACTCAACAGATCGATCTTGCGAGGTAAATTCTTGAAGAGCAAGTTTGTTTGGACAGTCACGGAAGGGATTTGCTCGGTCGGCGTCGTCGCAGTAGGTCAAAGGGACAAACCAGGTATCGTACTCGTCAAGGAACTCCTTACCATTTCCAAGTACTTCCTGAGAATATTTTCCGTTGGAAATGATCACAACAGTAGCCTCTTCGTCGGAATTTGAGTATGTTCGGAAGTGAGACTTCGCTTCGTTTAGTGCCAATCTCATGTCAACACCTATTGCAAAAAATAGTCAAAGTCATAAAATTGCTCGAAAACCTTGTCCAAGATAAGAAATTTCTTCGGCCACATTCTCCGCCAACAGCTCATCACTTGTGTAAACCTTGTTGTCTCCAACATACTCGAAGCTGTTGGAAAAAACGGAGATAGAGTATTTGTAGTTTGTGGCGCCTTGAGCGTCAATATTGGCGACAAGAGTTGATACGGTTCGTTTGACTAATGTAAAGTTGTAAAAGCCGTAAAATTGATGTATTTCCGGGCGTACCGTATGGAAGAAATTTATCGATGCAAATTGATGAGTCGATTACAAATAGGACATGACGCGGCTTTTGCTCGGGACGAGCGGCTTTGCAATTGCCGTTTGACTGGATAACTTCATCTTTCAAGAGTCATTTTGATATTTTTCGGTAAATTGAACCTCTTTACAGTACTCATACGGTATCTAAGATAAAAATTCATGACTCTTTCCGAATGGAACTTCGATTGCTCTCTTCGCCCTGTGTTTAGTAACAGCGTTCTTTGAACCCTTAATACTTATTAAATTCAATAAATTCAAGCCCTAAAACCCGTCCGATAATATCTCCAATGTTCCATGTCCAGGCGTCTCCCGTCGCCAGCAGCGTCGTGAAAAAAGGAGCAAGTTTCATCTCAAGTGGCGAATTTGAGTTTTTCGCCGGTACTTGAACTCTCTCTCAATTTCGCTTTTAGCGAATTGACGAGCAGATTGATTAGCCATGGAATTATTAGGATCGTAATAAACAGCGTCGATAACCAACTGATTTACGATGTATTAAATTCACGTCCAAACTGCTCTGCTTGGAATTTTTGGCTTATTTATGATTGATTTTTTCCTTTATTTGCTGATCGATGTACTAAATTAAGGGAATGACGACTAGGTTCGTGAGGACTAGGTTCGTGTGACTAGGTTCGTGGTGGGTTCTGCCAGACTATTGAAATCGGCCTATATTTTGGGGCAGTAAGGGAAATGGGTTGATGACTAGGTTCGTGTGACTAGGTTCGTGAGATTTTAAAATTTAAATAGAAAAATTTTGGGGCAGTAAGGGAAATGGGTTGATGACTAGGTTCGTGTGACTAGGTTCGTGTGACTAGGTTCGTGAAATTTGAAAAATGAAAAAATGTGGGACTATATTTGCCAAATGAGGCCTCCACGAACCTTGTCTCACGAACCTAGTCTTCACGAACCAAGTCTTCACGAACCTAGTCACACGAACCTAGTCATCAAGCCATTTCCTTTACTGCCCCAAAATTTTTTCTAATTAAAATTTCACGAACCTAGTCACACGAACCTAGTCATCAACCCATTTCCCTTACTGCCCCAAAATGGTGAAGATACAAAAAATACATATAAAAATCCAATTTTCACGAACCTATTCACACGAACAATTTTTTCCGACATGGCACCCACGAACCTAGTTACACGAACCTAGTCCTCACGAACCTGGTCATCGGTCTCCTAAATTAAATATCAAGATAAAATTCTGATTAACATTCAAAGCTTGCAGAGAGGCATCGCAAACCAAAAGATTTTATGAAATGACAATCTTTTTTAGGATAGGTATAGTAGTTTATTGCAGAAAAAATCCGTCAGTCATAAGAGCAGTTAAATCTGTCCTCAACATAAAAATATCCTTATCCGTCGTTTCGCGGCAAAAATTTCCAAAATAGAGCAGCGACGAACTATTGTGGAAACTGTCAGATGCCAGGACGCGATGAACTTTGACATTTTGCTGTTGAGTTGAAAGTAACGAGCATTCATCGTAGTACGTGAAGAGATACTCACAGCACCGTGCGCTGGAGCGATTCTCCTCCTTGATTCCCTTTTTTCGATCACCGAGACAATTCTTCAGGCCGCGATGCCACAACAAGAATTTTCTGATGCTGTGTGGGCGCGGAAAAATGTTCCTTCGCCCGGAAATAATGAAAGGTTGAAATTATGTTCTAAAAGATTCGTTTAAATTTTGGGATCCGAATTTCATATTTACCCATAATCGTTGTCAGTCCATTGCATTTAGCCGTAGAAGCAGATGTCGCTGATACTGTAGCCGTATTTCTGAAAATAATTGTTAGAAAATTCTGTTAGCGATCGCTCAAAAAATAAGTCTGCGAAATTAGTTCTGAATATCAACTTACACCAGCGTTTTCGTCATTGATCTTAAAGTCGACAATTGGAAGGATATCGACGTCTCTGGTGTTGAAGTCAACGATGACCTGACCATCGGAGCTCTTGCCCTAGATTTGAAGTTAGAAAAAGTAATCGAAATACAAGACTTACAGAGCAGGAGTCCTCTGCGATGGCGAATCGAGTTTCTTCTGGTGAATAGGTCACTTCGGTGTTGTCGTAAGACTTCATCGTCAGAGCGTTCGAGTAGTCCTGGGTAGTTTCGTCATACCATCCCACGGTGTTGTGGCAGGAAAGTGTGAACTTTTGCTCGGCCTTGGAGCTCAGTAGTCGCAAGAACTTGAACTGTGGCTCAGTGACATTGTAACCGATCTAAAATAGAAGGTTTTTGGAAGATCGGAATTGAAATCATTACCACGCCGCCGCCTTGCTTGTACTCAGAGAACCAGCTGCCTGGATTCTCTCCGGTCCATTTTCGCTTTCGGACAGAGCTCATTTCAGGGCTGATGCACGTAACACCGGCCTTTTCCATGTCACACTCGACCTTGATGGCGTCGCGGTTGCTTCCGCCGTTAGGATCGATCCAGTATTCACCTGGAATAATTTTATCGAATGATTATTCATTTTGCTTTACCTGAAGGCTTCTCTGGGTGACAAAGATGGAGATCTCTGCAAGATCGAGCAGGGTTCGTGATTGTACCCTGGGGTTCTTTCATCGTCTTAAAAGGGATTTTATCAACCAGTCGAGAATATCTATGATTACCTGGAGCTCGTCCTTGAGAGACTCAAGAGAAGAGAAGATTTCATTGAGACCAGAGTCATGAGATCCGTAGTCGAGGTAAGACAAGTCAGAGCTATCAATGATGTCCAAGTACATTGGTTCAAAGCCTTCAATGACATCTCGTCGCTTTCTTGCCTTCATTGAGTTAGGAGCGGGAGCCATGATGGGAGGGCTTGGGGGTCCGGGAGGACCAGGAGGACCAGGTCGACCAGGTTCACCCTTTGGACCAGTAGGACCTTGAGAACCCTTTGGTCCGAGAAGACCTTGAGGACCAGGGTTACCCATGAGACCAGGAGGACCAGAATCACCAGCGTTACCGCGAGGTCCAGGCTCACCAGGCTCACCAATAGGACCCAAGTAACCTTGAGCACCTCGGTTACCCTGGGGACCTTCGGGACCAGGAGGACCAGTAAGACCAGTAAGACCAGCGTGACCTTTGTCTCCTTTTGGTCCTGGCTCACCCTTCTGTCCAGCTGGACCGGGAAGACCAGCCATACCAGGAGCGCCATCGATACCAGGATCACCACGAGCACCGTCAAGACCATTCTTGCCAGGAAGACCTTGGGTTCCTTGAACACCAGCGGGACCAGCATCACCAGGTCGGCCAGTTTTTCCAGGGACACCAGGCTGTCCTTCAGGTCCGGTATCTCCCTTAGAGCCCTTCTCGCCTTCTTTGCCTTCGCGGCCCTGAGGACCAGGCTCACCACGATCACCAGGAACACCAGCTGGTCCAGGATCACCTCGATCACCCTTGACACCGAGTGGACCTCGAAGACCTTCTTGACCAGGCTCACCCTTGTTTCCATTGATACCAGGGGGACCAATTTGACCTTGGTCACCTTGATCTCCAGGTTGTCCAGGAGGACCGATTTGACCTTGCTCTCCTTGGTCACCAGGGGGACCTTGAGGACCAGCAGTACCTTGAGGGCCAGTTGCTCCGTCTTCTCCACGTGGGCCAACTTCTCCTTTTGGACCCATAGCACCGGGAATACCAGGAATACCAGCTGGGCCAGCTTCTCCTGGTTCACCCTTAGAGCCAGTTCGACCTTGAGGACCAGTGCTTCCAGGAGGACCTTGAGGTCCATCGGGACCCTTAGCACCTCTTGGACCAACTTTGCCAACAGGACCAGTAGGTCCAGCAGGACCTTGATCTCCAGGTTCACCTTTCAGTCCGCTAGCACCAGGAAGACCCTGTCCACCAGGTGGACCTTGTTCGCCTTGATAACCTCGTTGACCTTGGTTACCCTTCTCGCCAATTGGACCTTGTGGACCAGGAATACCAGGAGAACCATCACTTCCAGGAGCACCTTGCTTGCCAGGAGGGCCGACAACACCAGGGTTTCCAGATGGACCGGAGTCACCTTTGTCACCTTTGGGTCCTTGCACGCCAGGCTTTCCAGGGTCACCAGTGTCACCGGCTTCTCCGGGAGGACCTTGGGGACCAAGCTCTCCAGGCTCACCACGATCGCCAGGAAGACCATCTCGTCCAGGTGGGCCAGGGATTCCAGGGCCACCAGGAATACCCTTCGCGCCAGCAGGTCCCATATCTCCAGAATTACCTCGAGGACCGGGAGGACCAGGTTCACCTTGCGAACCAGAAGGACCGCGAGGACCAATGCCACCTTGTCTGCCTTGCTCACCAGGAGGACCTTGTTCACCCTTTGATCCAGGAACACCAGCAGCGCCAGGCAAGCCGCGATCACCAGGGTTTCCTTGAATACCAGGCGATCCCATTGGACCAGATGGACCAGGAAGACCTCGGTCGCCCTTTGCACCAGGAACACCACGATCTCCAGGGTCGCCTCGATCACCAGGCTCACCGATCTGACCAGGCTCACCAGGAATACCTTGTGGGCCCTTTTCACCAGTAGCACCAGCGGGACCGATGACACCTTGAGGACCCTGCTTTCCGATCTTTCCTTCGAAACCTTGTTCACCACGAACACCGGGATGTCCAGGGTTACCATTCTTTCCGGGAAGACCAGGGGGTCCCTTTTCTCCGTGGAAGCCTTGCTCACCAGGAGGTCCAAGTGGGCCTTGCTTTCCAGGAAGACCAGGCGGACCTTCTTTGCCGGAGGTACCCTTCTCGCCAGGTTGGCCGATTTCACCTCGACCACCTCGCTGTCCAGGCTTGCCTCGTCGACCACGTTCACCAGGTCGACCAGATTGTCCAGGGGGACCACGAGAACCATCTTTGCCAGGTTCACCAATAGCACCAGGGGGACCAACGTTACCTTTGGCCCCTCGTTCACCTTGGAGACCAACTTGACCATTGATACCCATGTTACCCTTTTCTCCAGGAGATCCGACTGGACCAGGTTCGCCACGTGGTCCATCTCGACCCTTAGCACCTTCAGGACCTTCTTGACCTCGTTGACCGATAGCACCTGGTGGGCCGGTTGATCCCTTTTGTCCAGCAGCTCCCTTTTCTCCGTCGTAACCTTGGTCACCCTTCTTACCATTGGCACCAGGATCACCAGCATCACCAACGTCACCCTTGACACCACGAGGGCCAGGATATCCAGGGGCACCAACATTACCAGGTGGACCAATGTCTCCCTTATTTCCAGGTTTTCCAATAACACCGGGATGTCCAGGAAGTCCATCGGCACCGGGTTGTCCAGGAAGACCGGGAATACCAGTGGAACCCTTTGGTCCAGGGACACCCATCATACCCTGAGGACCAGGCTGGCCCATAACGCCAGGAGGACCAGGGGGACCGTGGGGACCATGTTCACCTTGAGGACCTTGAGCACCTTTGGATCCAGGTCGGCCGTTATCACCAGGAAGACCAGGAGGACCTTGAATGCCCTGGAAACCTCGGATACCTTTAGGTCCAGCTGGGCCAGGTTCACCTTGAGGTCCGGGAAGACCAGTGTCACCTTGTTCTCCACGTTCACCAGGCTCTCCAGTTTTACCTCGATCACCGGTTGGGCCTGGAGGACCTCGATGACCCTTTTCGCCAGGGACACCGGGATATCCAGGAGTACCAGAAGTACCCTTGAGACCAGGAGGACCAGGAGCACCTCGAAGACCATTCTTTCCAGCACGACCTCGTCGACCAACCTGACCAGTTGGTCCAGGAATGCCAGGAAGGCCGGGATCTCCATATGGTCCAGGCTCGCCAGGAAGTCCTTGTTTGCCTTGCTTTCCAGGTGGACCCATTGGACCAGGGTTTCCAGTGAAACCAACTGGGCCAGGTGGACCTTGAAGCGCAAGTCGAGCTTGTTGAAGAGCCATTTGAGATTGGAGTTCTGCGCGAGCAGCAGCACCAGGTCCCTTGAGCTCATCAGGAGTAGGAAGTCGGAACGGGATCATGATATGAGTACCAGGGGCACCTTGAATACCCTGAGCACCGTCAAGACCATCACGACCATCATTACCGGGTGGACCAGCTGGGCCCATCATACCAGGGGGACCTTGTGGGCCTGGAGGTCCACGAGCGCCACCACCTGATGGACTGACAGGACTTGCTGAATCGTAGTCGGGACTGGAGTCGGGAAGGTTAACAATAAGGCTATCGGAAGTTTTGGCTCCACTATCGCCATAGTTATTGTAGTTGTTGTCATAAGTGCCATAGTTGGAATTGTAGTTGTCATCATAATCGCCATCATCATAGTCACCATCATAACTGTCATAGTCGTCAGTAGATGGGACATATGCCTCACCAGTGCCAGAGTCGTATGCAGAGTCAGAGGATGATTGATCTTGGGGGAATGATTGCGAATCGATGGGTGCAACTCGTGCAGCCATGTTGCTATCATTGTCGCACTTGGTAGTGTACGATGGGTAGTCTCGGCAGAGATTATCCGTTGCCTTGACAGCAATCATGGGGTCGTCGTACATATCGAGCTGTTGAATGTCACCCTCGAAGACGGCGTCGTTGTTGAATCCGTTGCGACCAAAGTTGACGATACCTCGGGTTGAGATCTCGCCTGGTCTGGCGTTTCGGACCAGTCGACGGACATCTACCATTTGACAATCGACAAAGAGCTCGGCGATTGACTCGTTTTCGCCAGCACCGAGGTAGACGCTCCATGCGACTTTGTGCCACTTGCCGTCGGCCAGTGACACTTGCCATTGAGGATCGTCAGCGGAGCTGCCAGAGAACTCGTTGTTGATTCCATCGCGGTAGATGAGACGTGGGTTGTCGTCCACTTCAATCGCGAATTGAGTCAATCCGGTCTCGTCCATCAAGGAGAAGAGGCTCATTGGAGAACCAGCTCGCTTCTTGTCCTTGACACGGACTGTGGCAAGGATGGAGAACTCGAGGGGAAAGCCATCGGGCCCAAAAACAGTGTCCGTCGGAACGCTGATCTGAGCCTTGCGCTTGATTTGGTAAGCAAGTCCATCAGGATTGTCGTTATTCTAAATAAAGATATCAAAATGAAAGCTTCTTGGATAGTTCTCAAGCGCGCAATGGAGAGGAAACGGTCATCCTGACGGTTTTGCCGTTATTGGACTCATTAATAATCGTAAAAGTGATGAGAGAGCCTAATGACTCTCATGTCTGAACTTGGGATTGATGGCCTAAGAAATGTTTATTTAGTCAAACGCAGCGTTTCAAACGCTACTTGATTTCAAAGTATCAATTAAATTCCTAAAGGTGCGTGAATTCTATTAAAAAGATCACACGAGGGAATTTCAAAATTTCTCGTGTAATAAAACTCTACGGAAAGAGTACCCTCTTTTCTTTTACTACCGAGCGATAAACCCTCATGAAAAGCCTTTTCAAGTCAAATTAACTCCCTCATAATCCTTTGCGCACTTGTTTAAATTTGCCCATTTGGCGTTTTGTCAGCGAAATCTCGCGTCAAATCAAAATTTGCTTTCTTACCTCGCCACAATAGTTTTCTCTTGAGGCTTTTATTCCGGTCTGATAGGGAGTTTCTTGATCGTGAACAAGTCCAGTAGATCCCATTTGACAGGGTCTCGGTATGACGAGTCATAATCGTCTGCCGAAACACCGCCTTTGAGTCCTAGATGGACCAGTGTCCAGAGGATGCCGCGTTTCCATTTTACATCCGGCATTATCGTATACACATGATCCTAGGGGTAGGCCAGCGTGGACCGAAATGGGATAGAAAATTATAATCTCAATTTGGTTCTCCTCTATGATTTCATCATTTATAAATTAAAGTTTTCTCAATATTTGTCCTTCAAACTTTTAAATTAAATATTTTGAGAATTGAATTTTCTATCCCAATCTCTCGCTTAGCCCCTTTTTACTATGGAGCAGCGGCTTACCGGTAGACTTTTGACTGGTTGAGAAGTTGAACTTTTCCCCTCTCTCTTAAAGTTGGTCTATATCCAAAAATGAGGATCGAGGTGTTGCTCTTGTTTCTCAGCCAGTTCCTGTACGGAGATCGTAGCAAACTGATCGCCGATAGCTCTACGTGGCGACTCTAGGGCGAGGGCATCCTTGATATAGCCCCATCGCGCGCATCACCTTGCGGGCACAGTCCAGCGCCCAAATACTCCAGCTTAATTATCACCAAAGCTCTAATAAGCTCGTTGACACCTTTGTACCAAAACTTTAAAAAGTTTTGAGCCTCTCGGACTTCCCAGGTTCATCTGTCGGATGTAAACACTTATCGATCATAAAATTGTCGATTCTTGTAAATCTTTCGTCTAGCAAAAATAATTCAATATTGGTAAACAAATTAAACAAGAACTCAAACCAAAAGTTCATAGACCCATCGAACCATTCGATGAAATAGCCTAACGGAAACTCTTCAAGATGTTCATCAACCAGCTAAATTCATGCGTAACTTTTCTACCTACCTACTTTCATAAGTCCTGCTAATCCAACCTTATTCTGTCTTTGCGAGAAAATTTCACCTTGTCAAAATTGCCCGGCGAGGAAAACAACTGGCGAAATATCTGTGGCGTAAAGGCTTTCTGACATTGTCACCTGGTAAAAAGTTCAACGTGTTAAAAAGCTATCAACAAATATTTATATTTTGAAATCAACAGACTCATTGTTGTCTTTGAAATTTCATAACTCGACTACAATTGATTGAGTTGTATTCAAGCGGCTCTTTCCTGGATAGCTGCAGTTGAACAATATACAGTCTCTCAAAATGCAGTGATATTGAATTGACCAGGCATTGATAGACCAAAGAGGTCTATTTCTGGGACAAGGGACAAATGAGTGAGAATGCGTTGTATCTAAACTCATTCGGGTAAAAGTGAGTGAAGTGGCATTCAAGTGCAGTTCGATCAAATGAGAAAACACGGACAACAGAAAGCTTCTTTTTCGTAGAGTCCCTCTTTCTGTTTTTAGATTATATTTCGGGAATTCAACAACAAGTAACGATTAATACTTGTCAAGCCCATTTAATTTCCTTGGAAACTCGAATCTCATACCATCAATTGTTCAAAACAAAAGTCTCCTAGCCATGCTTCAGTGGAAAGCCGGGCGAAGTAATTATCTCACTAAAGTCTGAAAGAAAGGTTGAGCAAATAAAAGTAGATCTAATTTGGTACTTATCTATCAGAATACTTTTCTTGACAACAACGGACTCTTCTTTGCCTATCATCCAAATAAAGAAATACAAATACAGAAAATAAAGAAGAATACAAAACTACTCAAAACTTTCAGAATCATGGTAAATTAACTTTGAAGATGAGGCTATTACGCTATATTTGATATTCATCCAAAGTCAATCAAGCAGTTTATGACGACAAATTTTTCCGGGAAGTCGCAAAAAAATTATTTGATGAACCAAGTTTTCAAAAAAAAAGTTCAGTTCTCAATCATTCCAGAATAAATTGAAGATGATGACGTTTCATCACTCCTCATTCGAACGAGGGTTCTTAATTTGGTCGAGTGATTGATCTCTGTGCCGGCCGGATGGCGAGATCAAATATTTGTCAACCTTGCCACGTGACACTCTAACCTTTTTCTACTTCCCGGTTCATGACCGTGCTACCCGAAAAAGATGAAATCTTCCTTGATTTCCACGTATATTTCGTGTCAATCTTCCATCTTGCATAATTGTTGATACGACCGTGGCTTATCGGCGAAAAATTATCAATGTTAATATTCCGAATTTTTCAAACGAGCAGAAGCGGACCTCGATTATTATCGAATAGTCCTACATAATGAATTATGATAGCCCGTTCTTGATTTTAACTTTACTTTTACTTTGCTTACTGAGGATCGCGAGAATAGAATTCACAGAAGAGAACATTGGAATCGCTTCTTTGATGAGTCTCAAAAAGTTAGAGAAATCAAAAACCGAGACGCTAAAATTTTACGACTTATCGAAGCCATTTTCAAAGGAAAATGAAGTCTTCGAAATTCAAGAAGCAAGACGAAAAAGAATTGAAACATTTTGCTCGGAAAAACGAAGCGACGATTTTCTACCTCAAGATTCCTTACGTTTTACAAAAGTAGGAGGCTTCTTTTGCGCTCTCCAAGATGATAAATGGTTGAATACATTCTCCTTTCGTATTTCTCAAAAGATGCCCAAGTTTGAGTCAATTTACGAATTCACTACAGAGGACGTCCAAAATCCACCAGCGTATATAATGACCGAAGACCCTATCAAGCGATTTTTGAGATATTATCACGCAAATGCTCGATCATCAACGTATTCTGAAGCTTTAAGAATAGTAATAAATATTTATTTATAGCAAAAAGCCTTCAAAATTCATCCTTTCTGCGATAAAATGGAAATACTCAATCCTCATTCCTGATGGAATAAAGGTTTCTGTTGATTTGAGCATCGATGAATTCGCGAAGTTTTTTCTTCTGACTGCAAAATCGAATCAAACTGAAATCCCTCTATCGCTCAAGAAGCAAGGTGAAAGAAATCGTTACCTTGATTTATTTACATTATTTCAGTCGACAAATGCCATATTTGCAGCACACAGCCAAAATTTCAAGCAAAAATTGAAACCGTGTCAGAAGATATGAAATTTCTGTACGATCAGTTCAATATTCCCGCTCCCCATCAAAAAGAAAAGGACGAGAAAAATTATATTGACCTGTATAAACCGAAACTGAGCACGTCTTTACTGAAAGAACTTTTAGAGTTTTACAAAGATGATTACTCTACGTTTGATTACAACGCAGATCAGTACCTAAAATAAATTTCTCCCGAATAACTCGACTTGCAAAAGAAACGGATAATTAGCATGAGAAAGAAATGAAAATTTATTCAGAGTACTGATCAAAATAGTTGAGAAAACCAAGAAATAATTTGTTGAAAGAAATTCCCAGATCCAGATGCAGGATCAACAGTTTTTCGAATCCAGTTTTTCGTAGAACGGTGGGCAGTAGAAGAATAGATTCCGGGAAATCCTTCAAAGGCACATCCATAGCCCCAAGAAACGACGCCGACGAGAGCTGCTTGTCCGTCGACATTACAAATCAAAGGCCCGCCAGAGTCACCCTGGCAAGAATCAACACCACCGTCTGTTAGCCCATCTACGTTGCTATCGAGTTTTCCAGCGCAGATCATTTCTTTTGTCAAGCTGTAGTAGGGATAGTTTGTCTTCGCTCGGCAGTAGCTCTTGTCCATAATATGAACATTAGCTTGCAAAAGTGGATCAGAAATGGAACCGCCGGCGCTTGTTGTTCCCCACCCGGCGATCCAGCAGTTTGACGCATGTTTTGGAATAGTATTGGTCAAACAGGCCATGTGAACATTTTTCTCTGGATCCAAAGCGATGATGTCTTCGGAGAATTCGATCAGGCAGACATCAAATCGTGGAGCACCAAAACTTGACTTTCGATATTTTGGATGGTTGAAGAAATTGTAGGAGCGAAGAGTATACTCGCTTGAATCTTGTGTAGTTATCACACAATCGCCGAAAGTAGCATCGATCCAGCGAGCTCCTTCGCAGCAGTGAGCAGCGCTGTGAAAAATTTTAAAAGATAAGGTCAAGGCCTGCTCAGTGAGCAGTGCTCACCTTAGAACCCATTTATTGTCAATGACAGTTCCCCCGCACAGCATTTGCTGCCCATTCTGGTTTTCGATGATGAGTCTTACGAGGTAGGGCCATTGATTTTCTCCTGCAGCGATTCCACCGACGATTTTGGTCGAGTTAGCGAACCGGCCATCGAAGTTAGACTCGTTAGTGCATGTCTGAAGGCTTGGAATACCACTTGTTTGGGCTTGAAGACCAAGTAAAAATACCAAAAAAATCATATTTTTAAATGACAGCCTCGAAAGAAAACGGGGGATATTTATGGGAGCTCAAAGACTATTTATCCGGAAAAGAATAAGAATTGGTTCTGTAGGACAAGCTGGAAAAGAAACCGGCTTTGAATGAGGTCGAAGAATCTGAATATTTGAACAGCACCGCAAAAAGCTCCTATCCTAGGATTATCTTAGTCTAGGAAAACTCAAAATTTTCCACTTAGACTCACTTTTCTTGCTCCTAACTATCTATTGTATTAAAATTCTCTTTGTCTTTTTTTCAACAAAAATTCATTAAATTATGTTCCCCATCGATATAAGCAAATAAAAGATGAGTGAATAACGCGCCCTAGGGGAAATAAAGAAGGATACATCCTAAGGCGCGAATTTATCATCTGTGTTCATTCATGCTGTCAGGCGCGTATTCCATTAGTATCACATTACTGTCAGTGCATTTCGTGTCTTTCCAATTTATTTCGGCCACAATACACCCGCTCGATTTCAATTCGCAGAACTCAGAACTCAGAGATTAGAAGCAAACCCAAAACCAATTTTTCAACTATGGAGAAGCAGACTTTCAAGAAGCATTATCTCTCGCCAGAATCATGCAAAGTTTTATTCAGGGATTCAAAATAGCTCAAAATAACTGGCTCTGAGCATGCTGATCATTTAGTGGCAGAGTCATTAATATGAAATTAATTATTCCATTCGAATTCTAATGAAGCAATAGATGAATTCATACAAATATCAGCCGGCGCTCCAAAACCAAATCCACGTGCTATATCAGCGTGAGTCTAATTTTTACAGACTTTTTCAGAATTAATTTTTTAAAAATTCATTTCATGGCAATATCTAGCTCTTCTTGCGCAGGAAAATTGAAAAAGAGAAAAAGAAATGATGAAAATTATTTCTACTAAAATATTCTTTCATCAATAAAAGATTTGCTCTCTGCTTCGGTGAAATTCGCAGATGACTCGACCAGGACGTCGAAATTTTCCAGCTACTCGGATCTCAAGATTGAAATTGAAGATCCTCCCAAGTCACCAAAGCAGCAAGAGTTCGCCTTCCCCAATTCGGTTCAGGTAGATGCGGCGCTAGATAAAAAGGGTTTATTTTTTAAGGAAATGATTTCACTGACCGACAAAAAGTTTAAATTCTACGCATCCTGCCCCTGCGATCAGTCTTTTATGCTCATCTTTGGAATGCTTTCAATTTATTTACTGTATATTTTCTGCGGCAATTATTTGAAAAATGGAAATTTACAGAAAGAGCTAGACTAATAAATTATGTCAAAGAGCCGGTCTGGCGGACATTCATGTAATTTGCACACTTCCGAGTACAATTTCACCAAATTACAAAAAAAAATGGATATTCATTCAACTCACTTGGCCTCATCCAAAATTTCACTTTTTTTATCAAAATTTGAATGTTTTCAGTAATCAGAGATCTTCTTGAGAAATTCTTCTATGTCTTCTTTTTATCCCTTTTTGCACCAATATACTGTATTTGGATGGTTTTATGGGGAGTAAAGTTAGGCTATTTGGCAATGGTGTATGTTTCAAAATTGAGAAGTTTTGGGTACAGACCGTTTTCAAAAATGGGGCTCATTTCAAGAAAACATCCGAATGTCTATGATGTGGTTTCGGTTTCTACGTGGGCAGACCTTGAATTTGTTTATCATCGGCAAGAGTTTATAACTTAAAATTGCCTATTTCTGAAATATTGATTTATCTTAAATAAACTCCTTGAAGATCAGCCTGTTATCTCAGAAGAATGGCCAGCTCCACTGCTCAGAATTTGGCGGCTCTTTTTGCTGGAAAATTGAAGCCGTCTGTGTTATCAGACAGAGAAATCATCAATTTCTTCTTGCACACTGGTGCTGCCTCGTATCTAAAATACGACAAGAGGAAGAAGGTCTTTGGATATTGCTTCGAGTACATAAAGTCGTACATTCTGCACAAAGGATACTACCTAGACGTCCGAGAAGTGAGATTCACGAAGGAAGAGGTGATAGCGATTGCTGCTGGTGGAAAAATTTATTTCAAATCGAAAGTCTCTGCGGCCGATTGGAAGCTTCTCAAGCTGCATCTTCAGACTATCATGGGTTTTATGATTCCCGCCACTCAGCACAACTGGGTCCATTTTTGCCTTCCTTCCGCCGTCGCCGTCAACTGCGAAAAGCTCCTCCCAAAGACTTCTGTGCTCAGGCAACTGGTTGAGCCACATTACAGATTCACAGAGCGCCTCAATCATCAAGCGCTCTTCGTTTGTCACTCCTCTGACAATCGGAACTCGTTCTTTGACAAATATCTCAAACCCTGGCTTGCATTTCCCATGACCAAAGAGGTGTTCATCGAGCAGCTAAGTAAGGAATGCCAGCGGTACTACAATAAGCGACCCGAAGAGTTCTGCCCCTCGCCATTTTTGCACGATGAAAATTTGATCGACATTCCGTGAGAGAGCTTTATCCATTTAATTTTCAATATTTACCTAGATACATAAAGATGTTGAGAAAGTATCACAGCGTTGTCAGAAGATTTGTCTGCCAAGTCGCTCTTTTTATCGATCCCGAAGGAAAGAATTTAAGAATATGCAGCAGTAATTTCAATACAGTATTCCTCAATTCTATAAGAATGGCAAATAATTGCTGAAAGTATTGGGATAACACTTTCTGGAATCGAAGTCCTTCCTATGGCCGATCTTCTGACCACCTTCATTTGGCAAGTTTCAGTCGTCCATTCTTTGGATCACGAAATCTATGTCAATATGCTGAGTCGAAATTATCCGTGGTCTCTTGCTATCAACGGTTTGCATACGATTTTATCAAACAACAAAATTTTTTGCAGTTCCTTTCGAACCATACTCAAATACAAAGTTTTGGGAAGATTTCTGTGAAGAGAGAGGTTTGAAGCTTGCTGAAATCATGAAGGATCCTGCTAGAAAATTAATCACTTCGGTAGAGTTTCGCAAGAAATAACCGACTAAATCCGCTTTTTTAGGGCGATTGCCTCAGATCAGCTTCGTTTGCTCAAGTTTGGGCAACTTTCATCCCTCCTCTTTTCAACGAAAAGGCTTTACAGTTGACATCTGTCGCATATCAGTTCGAAGACAGAGAGTTACAGCAAGCTGCCAAAAGCTTCAAGGCAAATTTGATTGCTGCTGAGCAAGAGCTGCGCGAAGAGTTCGAAAAAGACGGCGAATTAGAATATTTTTCTGGCTTGGATTGTATTCGACAATCCATTTGCTTTTAATAAACTTTGAAACAAAAAAAAAAATAGAACAAGAAAACTGGTAATGAATTTTTTCGAAGTTATGTGCATGTAATTGCCCTGTAAGGTGCGCTTGTGTGGTTGGATTTCTCTGCGATGGAAAACCGCAGGCGCTTTTGTCCCGGCGCGGGTGATTATGCCAAAAACAAAAATTGTCGTCGCGTACTAAGTGAGAGTGTATTTTGGGTGGTGTAAATTCATTCAATCAAAAAGAGATAGATCGGTAGGGGTGTAGGTGGAGGTGCACAGATCGGCGATATTCGACACCAGACTCAGCAGCATCAGGACTGCTCCCCACTAGCAGCACCCCTGCCTCTCGCACCCTCCGCCCACCTAAAAACCTTCGACGCTACAACTCATCAATCCTAATCATCAAAAGCTTAATAAGTCAACCAAAGCGCTAATAATCAAACACATCACTAGAAAAAAATATTTACAGAGAAGAAATTAAAGAAACTGTATTTGGAAGTTCAACTTAACAATTTCAAGTAGGTATAATTTCATATGAATTATTCAATTTACACATAATAAAAGGGGTTCTTAAAAATTCAAAAGGAAAGTTAAAATGGTTTTCTATAGTTGACTTTATTTTATCAGAACAATAATGCTCTATTCATTGAATAAAAAAAACAAGAAAATCATCATTTCCTACTCCAATTTTTGATAAATTTTCTTCATAAAAACGCATTTGTTTTCGTTCTCCCAATTAGAAGCTCTGCGCGTTCACTTTATCAGCAGTTTAAATCACCACGGGGAAAGTCCCTGCACAAGGGGCCCAATTGAAACGTGTTCATGCAAAAAGGTTTACGTTGACCAGCCCACTTGACTTTTACGAACCCCAGTAATCAAAAAACACGTAACAAGATCAGAAAATTAATAAATGATTTAGGAAGAGCGAGTCTTGCAAGCTGAAAGAATAAAAAAAAACGCGGCGGGAGATGACAACGTGATAATGCGTCAGTTGTAGTGGTCACACTTGTGATCAACTCAAGTCCCAAAGTCCAAAATTACATTCCAAAGGACTCAGAGGACTCATTATGAGGAACGGGCCTTGAACAGAAAAAGGTTGAATCAGAGAGAATAAAAAATTGTTAAAAAAGAGAGTTTGAGGACCCAAGAAATAGTCCAAAAGCCGACATGACGAAGAGAAAATTAGTTGTTGTAGGAAACAGTTTTAAAATCATTCAACTGAAGGTTACTCATGGTCAGGAAAATAGGTGGTACACTTGTGAATGAGGTTATTCTTTTTTAAAACTGTTAAAAAGGCGATGGAGCTTGTGGCAAAACCTGTCTTCTTATCGTTTTCAGCAGGGATGAGTTTCCCCGAGCGTAAGTGTTCGCCTCAATTATTCCCAATTTCCACACAGCTTTAGATACATTCCAACTGTATTTGACACGTATATTTCGCAGATGGAAGTCGGCGGCAGAGAAGTTCAACTTACACTTTGGGACACGGCCGGGCAAGAGGAATTTGACCGTCTTCGGCCGCTGAGCTATCCTGACACTGGTAAGGAAGTTTGATTCGCACGCCCCTAAATGCAAAAAAATGAGATAGACAGGAGAGTTTCAACAAGTTTTTACTGATTGATTGATTGACACGACGCTCAAACCTATTTTTAAAAATGATTCTGATGTGGTTATTTGTAATTATAAACAGTTCATCAAGAGTCTTTTCATCAAAGAGTAAAATTGGCAAAGCTCCTTCAAAATGTCAACACTTTTTTTCCTTCAATTAGATCAAAATTTTTTGCTTCGATCTGAAATAAATTTTCAGATGTTATTCTGATCTGTTTCTCCGTCGATTCCCGCGACTCACTAGAAAACGTATCAAGAATATGGGTGCCTGAAATAATGCATTTCTGCCCCAACATCCCCTTCATTCTTGTGGCGAATAAATCCGACCTGCGCGACGAAGACAAGGACCATATAACGTAAGTTTTTAAGTGGATGTTATTCATGAAAATGATTTTCTACCTGATCCCCTGCGGCCGGTAAATATTTTTGGTTGGTGGTTTTTTGGAGCTCCGAAAACCTGAAAAGACAGTCAATTAGCGCTCGTCCTCGCAGTAGATTCCCTCTAATTACATAATTACGAAAAATGTCTAAAAGCACGCCAGGCAGGTGATATAGAGCCATTTAGGTACGAGGAAGGGCTAAGTGTTGCCAACCAAATCAAGGCGCAAGGATATCTTGAATGCTCAGCCAAAACAAAAACTGGAGTGAGGGAAGTCTTCGAAGTCGCTGCAAAAGCGGCTTTACAGAAAAAGGAAAGGTTAATAATTTTGGTAGAAAGCATTGCCGATGTTTTATCGAAAAACCAAGTTGACTTCTGACTGCTGTTATTGAACAAGTATTTACCTTGTAAGCAATCGAAAAAGCCCAATTGGTGTGGCTGCAACCTAATCTAACACGAACGTGCGCCAAACAGAAAATACACAAGAACCAAACAAGCAACTCCCTTCACCACCGAAAACCCTTCGTCCTTCACCTAAACATTTATTGATACAACCTAGGAAAATATCGTAAATTCACGCTTTCTTCACCGTTCGCCAGTGCTACTCCAAACATGAAAGCAGTAGTTTAAAAATAGATCCTCAGCATCACACAACTTTGAACAATTCAAAATTTGCCAATCTGTATAAAAATGACTCAAATTTCGAACGATTACTTCTCTTCATCAATCAAGTGACTTCTTATTTTTTGAATGCTCAAGCTACTCCGCTGTGCGGCTTTATTAATAAATGCTTGCAATGTAAAACAATGTTGCTAGAAAAACGAAAATTATGTATTAAAAAGAAAGAATGCAGGATGAATGTTTTTAAAGAATTATAGGCAGTTGAATGATATTCCAAAATGGTCAGAAATGAACTTAGGTCCTACTTTTTCTGTACCGACAAGTTGAAAATCGTCAATTTGAATACTGGCAGTGGTGAAGACTCGATCGAATCTAAAGATTTCTCACTGTTAGTGAATCGCTATAGCGATTCACTAACATATGTTCCTTGGTGGAATAATCGGATGTACAAACCTGCATCTTGGCTTGAATCCACCGCCGAAACTTTTGTTGTCATTTTTCAAGAGATCCCAAGTAAACTTCTTATTCGGGTCTTTTCCGCATCTCTCCCAGGCGTCTTTGAACTTTTCCAACGTCTAACTCAAATTTTAAAACAGTCAACACAAGAGTTTTTACTGGAGCTGGAAGGCTTTTGATTTCAGCATCCCGTGCATTGAGATCGCCTCCGAAGATGACTTTATCGGCGTTTGTTTTGTTCATGAAATCGAAGCAATGATGCAGCTGCTCGATTCTCGCTTGCCCGTATTCTTTCATGCTTTCCAAGTGAGTTGTCATGAATAAGATCTCCTGACCGCATTTAGTAGTGACCCCGGAGAAGAGGACTCCGCGACCCATTTGTGAGTTACCGAATGGTTTGTAGTTAACAACTGGCTCGCTGGCGACAATGGTTTTCCGGAAGAGCATCATGACGAAGTATTCACGAATGGATTTGCCCGAGTAGTGGTAGAAGTCGAACATGTTGCTTTTTATGATCTCTTCGACTTCATCTGTAACTTCCTGGAGAAAAATAACGTCAAAGTCTGCCAAAATAGGAATTAACTCCAGCGTTCTTTCAAAAAGCCCTTCTTTGTCGAGTCCATCGACATTCCAAGTAATAAACCTCATCCCTGCCCTTTCTCAATCTAAGAGTTTTTCCCTGCTTAGTAAATTCTGCGACACAAATAATTTTCCTTGCTTTCACATGGATAGAAAAACAAGGAGAAACGAGCGACGATTATCTATGAATGTCTTTCCTGAAGAGGAAGGCTAGGTTTATTGCAAATTGAACTAAAAATGGTCCGCGTGACCAAGGATTTTCACCGGCCTCAGATTTGAATAAGAAATAAAGGTAATGGACAGAGTAACTTCTAAAGAATTTGTACCTGTTTATAAGTGTGTAAAGTAATTGTACAGTAATTTGAAGTTTTTTTTTTTGAAGTCGAGGGAATGAACACTAGGGGTCTGGTCTCATCGATATTTTCAGTGTTTGAAACATAAACAAAATTTGATAGTCAGATAACGATTTCTGTCGGAGTCAAGGAGTCAGATTGCAGCTTGTTTTGGGAGTTTTTGGAAGTGAACGAAGTTGAGTAAATTACAATTCATCCTTGGCAGGGGTAGATCGGTTCTCCTTGACCCACTTTTCGAAGTCGGCGACGGATCGGCCTCCCTGGTACTTCTTGGGGTTGGTCTTGTCGCCAGCTGGTGCCCAGTAGAGAGTTGGGTAACCAGAAGCGGAGTAAGCAGGATGTCCTAGATGAGATGTGAGAACTGAAAGAGGGGAAATTTCATACCTGGGTCGTTAGCAGTGGCGTCGAAGTCAGCAACGATGATTCCATCATCACCCTCCATTTTCTGGGCAAACTCTTCCCAGGCGGGAGCCATTGCCTTGCAGTGTCCGCACCACGGGGCGTACATCTTGATGAAAACATCAGCATCGGTCTTCATAACAATATCGTCCCAGTTCTTGCCAACAACCTGAACAAACACGTGTTAGCAAGCTAGATAGAGCGGTGATTGAGCAACCTTCTTGAGAGCGCCCTGCTCAGCTGGAACGTCTTCGGACTTGACCCAAGCTTCGACCTCTCCGGCGTTGAACTTTTCAATGAAAGCTCGAAGGCTCTTTCCATCGGTAGAGAATTCTTCCTCCATGATGTATTTCTTATCAGCATCGTCGAAGATCACGACCTTTGGCTTGTCAAAAGTCCAGGAAGCACCATTGAGTTCGGAGTTGATCATTCCCATGAATTTCTTGTTGTCAGCGACGGCAAAGAACATGTCGCTGAAGTCCTGTCCGACCTTCATCACTCGGTTTCGCCAGTACTGAGTTCCCTTGGGATCCTAAAAATGGTCAAATAGGGCGAAGGACAATGAAAAAAGAACATACAAGATTGTAGTCGACTTTGTAGAAGGCCATGACAAGAGGTCGTTTAAGATCTCGGAGGTTGTCCATGGTGGCGATTGGGCAAGCACCAAGGGAGTTTTCTTTGATCCAGGCTTTGATCAAACCAACTAAAAAAACTTTGAATTGAGATCGAAAGTATTTGATTTACCGGTGTATTTCTCGCCGGTGTAGACAACTTCTCCCGCTTCAAACTTGTTCTTCATCGCTCTTGGTCGGTAGAGGACGATTTTACCGCTCTCCTGATGTTAGAGTAAGGATAAGAAAACGACTGAGATTTATACCTGTCCAGCAGCCTTGAGAACAGCAGCATCGGTAGAATGAGCGAATCGGAAGTCATCTCGAAGAGCTCCAGCGACTTGTTGGAAGACCTTGCCATTTCCGGTCTCGTAGTCGTCAAAGAAACCAACAATGATGGTCTGCTTGTTGTCCGAGACCTTCTCCCATTTGGCAGTTGAGTCAATAGCGGTGGATGCAGGGCCAGATTGCTTGCGCATGTAGGCGGTGATGCCGTCTTTTTAATAAGGTTAGAAATGACTTGGTAAACCAAGATTGGTAAATAGTCCCGCAGCTAGACTAAATAATGAATAATTACCAGCGGATCGAGCTCCTTCGTACTTTCCGCTCTCCTCAGCGGCCTTGAACATTTTAATGGTGGGGTAACCGGAGACTCCGTATTTCTGGCAGAGTTCGCCGTTGGCAGTGCAGTCGACCTATATACACATCATGCAAAGTATCGTAAAGAACAATAAAAAATCAAATACTCAAATATTGTCCCTGTACCAAAAATTAAAAATGTCTGTACAAACCTGCGGTTCTAGGGCCAAGATAGTCTTTCTCTGGCTTACCAGCTTTGAAAAACTTCAAAGTTGGGTAGCCAGAGACAAACTGTTCTTTACAGGGAGAGGGAAATTCTTGGCAATCAATCTGATATCGATTTGAGTTGATGAAATAAAGGGAAAGGGATGTTTACTTTGGCTTGTTATTATTACCTTGGCGATTCGGATAGGAGGATCTTCTTCGATGAGAGCGTCGGCGGCAGCTTCGTACTCGGGAGCGAGCTTTTTGCAATGACCGCACCACGGGGCGAAGAACTCGACCATCAAAGTGTCGTGTTGTTCGATGGCACCTTGGAAGGTCGAGGAGGTCAAATCCAAGACATTCGAGGAGAGAACTCCACTTACTGCCGCGAGGGCAGTTCCAAAACGCATTCTAATGAAACAGTTGTTAGTGCGAAAGAATAACGATAAAATACGCATCTGGGCTTCAGTAGGCTGAAGAAAAATATCATTAAATACAAGATGATGAATAAAGTTATCGATTATTCAAACTATAATTTTTAAGTCGATCAATTTTATTGTTATTTGTGGCCACAACTGTTCGATCTTCGCTCTAAATGAATTGATGAACGCTTCTCTCGAATTTTTCTCTGCAAAAATGGGACAAACATGCGTGAAAATTTCTGGCCAAGATTTATCGGTGATAAAAAGCGCCCGCTAAAAACGCGCGTCGCCAATCCTACAGGGCCAGCGCCGTTGCTCAGCAAGAAGCAAGGCCACGTCATCCGGCTTTGGGCCAGGGAAGAAAGCAAAAAAAGAAGGAAAAGAGTTTCTGCTCTCTTGAGACAATGGCTCCCGAAAATGCCAAATTCATAAAGTGGAATAATCGGAAATCATGGAGAGAAGAGCAAATTTTAAATAAAAAAAGAATAATAAGCCTCAAGCACTCTAAGATAGATTTTTTCCTGCGATAAACAACCTGCGATCCGGATAAAAGTAATTTTAATAATAATAAGAATAAACACCGTCAATTAACAATCAACGCTTTGAACTGTCAGGGGAATTAGTACGGCTTCGATTTCATAATCATTTCTGTTTTCTTCAGTCAGGCAAATAAAGACAACACTTTCAGATATTTTACACAATTCAGGCTCGCTCGACGGATGGTCTCTTCTTATTCAAGTCTTGCTTTGGGCACACTACTTTTTCTTATTAGACAGATACCGATCTTACTAACTTCCATTCTGCTCCATAAAAAGCGCCATCAAGTGGATGAATTTTCTTTTTATTGGTTTTATTTGAGAATATATGTAAATATATAAATAGAAGCTTTTCATCATTCGTTATTGCTTTTTTTTCTTATTAATTGATAATTGATAGGGTTAGAAGGGATTTCCCGGGCAGTATAGTTTATAAAGATTTGTTAGGTCATTTGGAGAGTCAGGGGTATCATCAGAAATTACAGAACACAAAAAATGCGAAGATCTACCATCTACGATTGGAGAATACAGATATATAAATATGCAAATCATCAGAAATCAGATCAGATGAACCTTTTCGAGGTTAATCGGGGTTTTTAAGAATTAGAGCATGACGCACCATGAGCTCGAAGTCGTCTCGGGCTGAGCGATTGTGCCTTGACCTGGGACCGACGATTCAACGGTTATGACGGTCTTCTCGGTTTTCTCAGCTATCAATTGGTTGACAAATTTTTAAATTAGGAATCAAGGAGGACAAACGAGTCTCGAAGATCTTTGATTCAACGAAAATTGTCAACCTAACCAACTGGAGCTGGAGCATCACCAGCGGGAGTAATCTGTGCCACAGCTGGAGCAACTTCGGTCAGTATCGGGTACATCTTCTTCAAGATCGCCACGATCTCATCGTATGCTCGTGGCAAATCGTCATTCACTACATCATGGCCCGTTAGAATGGTTAAAATCATTTCACACCGAATCAATTTAAAAATTCAATCACCGACTTTTAAAAATTAACGATTTCACGAAGTGTTGATAACCACCAGTAATGTGTTATAGAAATGAACTGTTAGTAGATTTTCAACGTGCTAGCTAAACACTACTGATTCACCAGATTCTAACGAAAAACTTTGAAGAGCTCAACGTAGTCGAAACGCGGTTTCGAAGCTACTCTCCAAAGTTTTGTCCAACGATGAAAACCAACCTATCACGTGATCGTAAGCTCCAGAGTCGGCATAATCGATCGCGCTCTTTGCCGTGTTCATTCTAGCTTGGATCTTCTCTTCTGTTTCAGTTCCTCGGCCTCGGAGGCGTTTTTCAAGCTCCTCGATGCTCGGTGGTTTGACAAAGATGTAAATTGGCTCCAAGTCGGTGTTCTTGAGCGCTTTCACTCCTTGCTCGTCGACGTCGAGGATGCAGATCATATTCTTCGCCGCCACATCGTGGACAGCTTTTTTCGACGTTCCGTACATGTTTCCACTAATCAAATCTGATTTAAACCGCGTAACGAATCTTATATGTACCCAAAAGTCGCAGATTCAATAAACTCGCCACGCTCGACAGCGGCGGTCATATCCTCTTTTGTTGAAAAATGATAATCGACGCCGTTTACTTCTCCTTCTCTAGGTCCTCTGGAGGTGTGACTGACGGAAAAGCCAAACTTGCCAGGGAATTCGGCGAAAAGCTTTTTCAGAATCGTCGACTTTCCTACACCGGAGGGTCCTGATATAAAAATTATCATCGGGTCGTTCAAAAAGGGGTAAAATACCAGACATGACGATAGGACGGAGGGAAGACATCTTTCTTTGACGATTTGATTAGTCTAGCGTCTCTGGAACAAAATAACAATGGAACAAACGTCTAAAAAGGGTACGTTTTTTGTTATGAAGGACTGCAGAGCCCGGTGAATTCGGCCCGGGATAAACATGTCCTGCGGCGATCTGCCGAACTTCAGAAGGGTTTAAGAACCCCTAAATATAAAATAGTCAAAACACCCGAGGATGAAAGCTCATGCTTTTCAGCCTCTGTTATTTTTATCATTGGATATTACAGTGTTTGTAAAATTATATATTTTTTCAAAAAAATAAGAACCGTATAAACTTGGGAACTAATCTATCATCAACTCCCAAAAGTATATAAAAAGTATATATAATCTTGGTTGTAGCGTGAAGCTGAAGCTAGAGGGTATCAGTAACTGGCAGTTAAATAGGAATAAATGAAAGAAAATCATTCTGTTTCAATTGTGATTATGCTAGTCTCTCTGAGAGTAAGGCATCTTGAGGGAAATTAGACTATAAACTTGTGATCCTTGCCCATGTTGGCAAAGAGATTGGCGGATTTCTTGGAATCCATGAAGAGCTCCGATGCTTCTTCTACATCATCGACGTCAACCTAAAGGGAGATTGCTAGTCTTAGCCTACGGAGAGGTGGGTTTACCTGTTCTTTTGCATTCGCGTTGGCGATAATCTTGGCTGGAGTAAGAAGCTGGCAGGAATAACGCAAAGAGGTTTTCGCACCAAGCTAAATGATCAACGCTTTAGTAACTACAGCTCACTGTAAATAATAAGTACCTCCGCAACTTTGGCCAACGCATCTTGGGTGATATCAACACCTTCTGCTTTCGATCTGAGCTTGATAATTTCACGCAATTCGGACGCATTGTACATGGCAGTTTTGATGATCATCAGACGATCGAGGAGATCTACTGGCAATCCATGGGGAGCGTATATACCGTCTTTGGCGCCCATAGATGATTCGGTACCGCGGACTTGGCAAACGCCCCGGTTTGTTGCGAAAACCTACGAGTTTATATCAACGAAAAGAATCGAGGAACAATCATTTTGTTAGTCTCTTTGTACTTACGACGATAGGCGAAATTGGTGACTCAAGAGCTCTGTGAAGATAGGTAAAACACTCAATATCGAGCATGTGGACTTCGTCAATGAATAAAACTCCCGGAACCAACTCGGCTGTGCCCTGATCGATGTATCGATTGACGACCTGAAGATTTTTTTTACAAATCCACAGCGGACGAGGCTTTGCGTCACCTTATTAATCTCATTTCGCAGTTTCTCTGTAATCTCTGTTTTCTTTGGCTTGAGGAGATTTGAAAGAAGGCCCAAGCCTTCGCTGGAGCCGCCCTGTGGCTTAGCGTTGGCCATATCCAGATCATAAAGAGTAACGTCCTGGACGACGTCTTTCTTTTTATGAACATCTCCTTTAGGCACAGGGACAAACTCGTCGGCCTCCAAGTCGTACTCTATAAAAATAATCAAGTAGTGTCTTCTTTCCTACGACAATAAGAGGCAATTAAAGCCTGCACCGTCAATTTACCTGTCGCAAAAGTATCACTGCGTCCAACTCGCTTTACGGCCCCATTGTTTGCTTCAATATAAATGACATCTCCAACCTTAATTGTCCAATTAAAAATTTGAAGAAAGAAAAACACTTACCTGAATTTTCTCCTTCTGAATGTTTTCATAAATAGTCGGGTCCAATTTAAGAGATTTAGAGCCCTTGACAGTTTTCAATCCAATGACAAGCTGCGAAACTGTCTTTCCGTATCCACCGTGGGGGTTTTCTGTTTCAACCGGAGTCAATTCAGTGACTTCGCCTTCGTAAACCTCTTTCACTTCCTTGACAAACATGAACTCTACTACTAATAAATGAGATGACGCACCTTGATTCGAATTCCAATGGCTCGTCTAAAGTTTTCCATGAGCACTTCTGTCTTTTTAATTTCTGCCGAGTAGACTTCCGATCCGACGATGGGGCAGAACGGGACTTTGTCACCCAATTCCAACGAGATCGAAAGTGCGAGCGCGGTTTTACCAGTTCCAGGAGGGCCAGCAAGAAGGATACCTCGACCGGCCATTTTTTTGCTCTTGATGAGATCAACAACGAGGCCGCAAGCTTCTCGAGCTTCGCATTGGCCGACCATACCGCCGCCGATCTCCTCGGCAGCTCCATCTTGTGTCAATCCAAGACCTGATTTAGTTCAAAAACAGACTGCTATGCCTGCTTCGGGGATATTGAATTTTGAACTCTGCCTTTGACATGAGAATGCGCTGCAACACGATTATCTCGAGTAACGGATTTAACTTCCTCGATTTTCATTTTCTTTTACTTTTCTCTTTCTAAAGCAAATAAGCGATTTATTAATGGTCAAGTATGTCCCAAACGAGTATTTTTGAAGCAATGTAGGTAAAATCAAATAGCGAGGCAATCAATGGTTCTTTCAAATAGGTAAAAATAAGATGTACAAGTAAAAGGCACAAAAGGGAGGAGGATTTATTGTCCGATGCGGGAGATGGCCCAATCGGCTTGACAAAGCGGACAACGGGGATTGTTCTTCGTCCACTGCACCATGCAATTGTTGTGAAAGGAGTGCCCACAATCGCCCCAGACGATGAGAGTTCGCTCAGAATCCTAGAAAATAGAACACAAATGATTTCAAAGCCACTTACGTCTAAATCCATCAAGCTATTCCTACAGATCGCGCAAGTCTCATTCGCAACATCCCAAGTCCAGTAATACACAAGATCAAAATCTTTGAATCCAAATTCGAAGTCTTCGTCGAAGTCTGAGAACTCTTCTTCTTTTGGCAGGTCGAGTTCCTTCTTCTTCTTTTTCGACTTTCGCGGTGGTTCCAGGGCTTCTTCTGTTGACGGACTTGGAGAACGGGATTTCTCAGCAATTTTCGGAAGATCTTGAACGATAAGTTCTTCTGCTTGGGGCGGCGAATATAGTTTTTCTTCTATGATTTCAGATACTTTTTCGGCGGCTGATAAAATATCAGAATCCTGTGTTGGTGGATACGTCTTATTGATGACGACAGCGGCATTTGTATCGTCGATTTTATTATCTTTATTTTCAGGGGTAGAAACTAGGAGATTCGAATTTAAGAGAGTCTGTGGTTTCGATGGAAGGAGCTGAGAAGGGATATCATTTTCTTGAAAGGAGGGTTTTTCGTGTTTATTATCAGGTTCTTTCGGTAGTTCTTCTTTTTGTTCTTTTTCTTTGGCGATAACTTTTTCAGAGGTTAGATTTGAAGAAGGTTCAAACTCTTTCGAGTTGTTGTTCTTATCCGCTTGCTTTGCAATAACAATTTTTTCAGAAGAAATGGGCTTTGGTGACTGTTCAGGTGTTCGTCCAGCTGATGGCGAAGATTTTGGACTCGCAGGCTTTTCCTCCTTTCGAGTTGGTTCGAAGACTTTTGCAGCGACTTTTTCTGGCAAAGGTTTTGGTGTCGTATTCTTCTCTGTTGTTTTAGGAGCTAACGCTCTTGATGAATTTTCTCTAATGGTTTCATCTGCAGATGACAAAGAAGGTCTTGAACTGGATTCAGACGGTTCTAGAACCGATTTTATGGTACCAGACTGAGGCGGAAAGACAGCCGAAGAAACAACATTTTCGTCCAATAGAACTTGTTTAGCAGGTTCTTCTTTTATTACTGGTGTGGTTTCCGTAATTGGTTGCGTTTGGTCCGCCTTCAAGAGTACTTTTTTCTCTGGTATTTTTTCAATGTCGTTCTTCTTCTGAGTCTTCGGACTTGGGGTCTTTGGTTTTTCTTCTTTCAGTTCAAGCTTCGGCGATTTAATTTCTTTGTTTTTCTTTTCTAAATGCTGATCTTTGCTCCCAACTTTTATCGAGTGTTTTTCATCTTTTTGAGATATGTTCGCAGGCGTGGCAGGCTGAATATCAATCTTCTCCACTTTTGAGCTCGCCGCTTTCTCTTCTTCCTTTTCTACCGGTTTGGGCGGCTCAACTTCTTCTTCAGAACTCGTTTCGTACACAGGCACTTTGGGTCGATAGCCAGTTTGCTTACACGGTCCTTTTTTAAGGTGATCGTACATCGTGTTCATGGAGACAGGCGCAGTTTGATGCCTCTCGTCGTAACTCATCGTTCGTCTTTCTCGACGACGATCCATTTCATCTTGATCTGGCTCCACATAAACGATGCCTTTTTCTCCAGCTCGGCGGGCGCGCATTCGGGCGATTTCGTCTCTCAATTGTGTTTATAAGCGAACTCTCGAAAAATGATTTGTAAGCAGTTTTTAAACACGTGCCTAGCATCTTGGCTTATTTCCTCTTCGCTTGACTCCTCAGACTCAACAACTGGCGGCTTGAAGCTTACATAATTGTAAGGCATTTTCTGAGCAGGTGGACCTCTTTGTCGACTCAATGCTGCTGGTATTCTCGGCGGGCGATGAGTGCCTGTCATTTTGACCGGGGTTTTCGGAGGCACTCTCTTGGCGCCCGCTTGTACTGAGGTAGAAACAGCTGCCCCAGAGGTCGACCCGGGAATGGACCAGAGACCCCAGTTTCTATCCCCCATCTGAAGATAAAAGAATGATGATTGATTGAAAGGACTATGTTTTAATGAATGTGGACATCTACAGAAAAGATACAGAGGTACAAGTTTACATTAAATTTAAATTATTAATGCTAAGTCAGAAAGAGTTTGTTTTTAGCTTGAATTCCCGTGCAAATGCGCAGTTATAGATGGCTTCTCGGCTTTGTCTGACTGTTCTGGGTCTGATTTAAATTTGCTGATTTGCAGGCTGCGTGGTAAATAGTTGATGGCGTCGGCCGAATCGGCCAGGATGAAATTTACAGTCAGGAAGAGTCTGGGCGGCGATTTGTTTAGCGAGCCTTTGTACCAGTCGTAGTAGACCATTTGTTCTTGGTCGGTTTCGAGTTGATAGTATTTCCAACCCGAGTTGTAGGCGAGTTCCATGCTTTCGTCGTCTTTCTCGGCGAAAACGCGAATTTTGCTAGGCATTTCGTGAGAGTGAGGTAGAGAGTCAAGAGAACTTACCAAATAAGAGAGCGAAGTCTTTTCATGGAAACTGAAGTGCTAACTTCTTGTTTGCTACAGTTTCTATTGATGTGAAGGGATCTGCGTTTGTGATTGTACTGCATAACAAGATCAAATCCGAAGTTGTAGCCGGTCCATCGCCAGCAAAAGTCTTTAGAGCGGTCTAAGATCCTTCCACAGCGCATCGAACCTTGTATAAGCGAAGTAAGAGTACTATCTGGCGGAGAACTGCTACAAGAAGACGCGATCTTGTCATATTCTTGGAGACGGTCACAAACAAGAGATGAAGGGCCTTCGTCGCTCGCACTTTCAACTCTGAGCATTCTCAGGTATTGGTTTCTGTACTCGTTAGAGATCCAAGACTTCGGAATGACGTTATCGTTCTCAAGATTCGTGGCGCCTTTGAAATCGGTCAGGATATACGAAAAACGAAGCTTTTTGAACGGCGCTTGGTAATCGGACGAAAGCTGCGAAAGGAGACTTCCATCGTTTTTCCCGAGCTCTTTACGCAAACGCTTGAGTCGTTCATTGGTGTCTTTTACTGAGGTTGTTTCTGGGTCGAGTTGGAGAATGAGCCACTTTTTCAGAAGCTGGTAGAGGTCAGTTTCGACTTGGATGACGATTAAGTTTGGAGACCCGATGATTCTTGACATGAGAGCAGGCTCGATTCCTCGGAGCATTTCTATATTCTACGAAGAGGATTTTAAGAATTGGTGATATAAGAGAGGACTTACAGGGTCTGGACTGTTCTCGAGCATGAGGTTGTATTCAAGCCATTTTATACACGCGGTTTCGAGCTCTGGGAGTCCGTACATCTGGGCAGCGTTGTGATAAGAAATTACAGTAGAAGACCCGAGATTTGCTAGATTGTTATAATGAAAATATGGGCTAAAAGTATTCACCTTTCATCTCAGTATTCAATAAATCGCAGAGCCCTTGATGCTGCAAGAAAGTCGCAGCAGCTAAAACATTCACTGCTCGCGACGCGTCAATGTCGATCTCGTCACAGTAAAGAGATCCGAGGGCTTGATGCAACGCATCTGGGTCGACGTTTTCGTCGGGGATCTCTAGGTCAAGCTCGGTCAATTCTTTGCCGTTTCGGGTCCAACGTGAGAGCAAGGCATCTATGAATTAATTTGGAGAATCAAAGTGAGCTATTTACCGAAGTATTGCGATTGTTTTAAATAAAACTTGTGCAACTTCCAAGACTTGTTCATGAAATGAACAACAATGTCCGAATCCTCTCCGTTTTCAAAGAGATTATTGAAGATATAGTTCGAAGTCGAGAGCATTTTGCTCTTTTTTAGCGGGAGTTCTTCTTCATTATTTTCCTCATCTCGGTTGTTGGAGTGTTTTCTTTTCCGAGACGCTTTCTTTGATGGGCTGTTTCCGGAGCCTGGCACGAGGCCCCAGACTCGCCCGAGCCCATTCGACAAGTAGCCCCAAATTTTGAATCTAAAAAATATTGATTTGAAAAATGGGTTAAATTTTAACCTAAATCATCAAAAACCTTCTTCACGGTTTTGGCAGTAGGATAGGTCAGCACAAGGTTCAAACGAAAATAGCCCAGAGAAAAGAACAGATACTAATAAAAGGAGGATAATGTTCAAAATTCGTTCTAGAAGAAAGTTTTACTCAGGGGTAAATGTTGCTTTCGAGGGATGATTTCGAATGATTGCACAGATGATTTTTATGAGAAGGTATTCATTCACGAGTCTGATTTTGATTCAGAAGAGGCGGCGAAAGTGACGGGTACTTGACCATCTTCGTTTATTTGCGATTCAGCCTAAAATCATTTTGCCAATACTGGGGGAGAGGAGGTCCTTTCGCTTCATTTTATTCTCTTACTAACTAAAATTGGAAAATGTCTATCAGGAACTGGTAAGATACCGATTTTACTGTATTCTTTTTCATAGACAAGTCATAATTCAAAAATCCCTGTATCCCCATTTATCCGTTACATAACATAGAGTCAGCTGTTATTATGCAATCACCTGTTCGAGCGCCACTTTGGCCTGTTCATCTGTCATGTATCCCGTGTTGATCAGATTCTGATAGTACGCTTTCAATTGCTCCGGCGTGAAATAGTGCGTCTCTGTGCCTAAAAAAGGGTTGAATACGTATTCTTCCAATTTTAAATTTAAACTTTAATCATCGGCCCATTGTGATTGCAAGGGGTCCTCTCAAGGGATCGCTCGAGCCCTATGGGAGTTTATGAAGACACTTACCATCACCCTCTTTTTTAGGCTCGTCCTTGTCGCCTCTGATCTCTTTTTCCAACTTTTCGCAGCGCTTGTTTGCATGGTCAAGTTTGGATTTGAGCGTCATAATTTGTGCTTCACAAGAAAGAATTAACAAAAGAAAATTTAGCAAGAGGTACACCTTGTAGACCTTCGGTTTCGTCGTCGAGGCTGAGAACGAACTTTTCGGATTCGATTTGGTTCTTTTTGAGCTCGGCAATTTGCTTGTCCTGCTGTGCGATCCGCGTCTCGAGTTGCTTTGTCTCTCCCGTTGAAAGCTGGCTTCCGAGGTCTTGGTTCTCCTAAAACCCGCTTTAACGCCCTCTTATAACGAAGAGAAATTACCTGGATCAATGTTCTGCATCTGGACATGAGCTTTTTGCCGGTCTGCGAGTCTGGCGTGAATTTACAAGCGGCTAGTTCAGACTGCGCGAGGTCGAGCTTTTCTTTTGTCTCTTTGAGTTCTGTTCGCATTTTTTGATACATGTAGTTTATTGCCGGGTCAAGCATCGTTTTTCTCAGAGTTGGTGTTTGTGCCTAAGAAAAAATGAAAGAGGACGTTCCAGCACTCACCAGTTTGCAATTGCCAGAATGATTTTGATTACCTGTAGTTTTTTATAATTGACAGCGACCGCAGCTACGTCCTGAAGCTCCTGCTCTCTTGCCGATAATCTCAGGACGAGAACGTTCTCGCGTCTTTGCGCCTCTGTCAGCTGCTTTTTCATCGCTTCTTCTTTCTCATCCACGTCGTGTAAATAACTAGATCTTCCTTCAACTAGCTTCCAATGGTCACTTTACCTTTCTAATTGTTGATATGCCTGCCAAAGCTCATTTCTGGACATAGAATCAAAATCCCTTTCGGTCAATCTTGGTCTGTCCTCGCCTCGATCCGCGACCGTCATTTTATTTCCGAACTACTGAAAGACTCTTGATTACAACTTCGCTCCGTTGGTTCATTCGTGTTTTATTCGCCCTGCCCAAGATGCAATTTTAGGCCAAATACAAGTTCGAATATGCAGATCAAGTGAGTGAGTGCTCTTGTCAACGAGGGATTCAGATTTTATTGTACAAAAGTCAACCCTGACAAGGAGCTTGTAGCTCGTTTCAGAGCTGGTTATGGAAAAAGGAATACCGATTCCTTTGAAAACTGTTCGGGCAGTGAGGGTTTTATTTAAACTGTCAGGTGTACAGTTGTCCCAGAGGACGTTTGGGAAGGAATCTTTTTCTTCTGAAGCGACTACTGATTCGTGGGAGATCATTTGCAAGAAAAAGTCAGCGAGGTCTTCGGATTCAAAATAAAAGTGATCGAGCAGCTTTTGGTTTTCAAGAATGTCTTCGTTTTTCAATGGGAATGGATACAGTTTCTAACAATTAGAATTCGAAACGATTTTCATTGATCGGAAGTACCTTGAATTCAGCTTCTTCTTTTTCTATTTGAGCTGCTATAATCTTTTTGTACTTGTCTTTATCAGAAGAATTCAAAGAGTCCCAGTTCATCTCTGAATAGAAAAGTACATTATTATCTTTTGAATTATCGCTAATCAGTATTTTCGAAAATTGATTGGACAGGGACTTGGTTCAAAGAAAGACTAGAGCTTACTGAATAAATAAGAACATTTTACATGTAATAAAGCGAAGACCATTTTTGATTTTCAATTGCCGGTGCTTTAGATTGACGCTGCAAGGATTGAGAAAATTAGGCAGAAGCAGCGGAGAAACGAGAGCCAGCATCTTCCCAGTTGGCGACGTTCCAGAACTGATTGACGTAGTCTGGTCGAACGTTTTTGTACTGAAGGTAATACGCGTGCTCCCAGACGTCGATGCCAATAATAGGGATTAAACCAGTAGTAGCCTTAATCAACAGTTATTAATCAGCTAAAATGGCTCGCTGTACCTCAAGAGGATCCTGGTTAGCGCAAGTAGCGACCTGAAGTCGACCAGCTTCCTTGTTGTATCCGAGCCATCCCCAGCCAGAGCCTTGAACGGCAACAGTGGCTTGAGACATTTTAGCCTGGAAAGCGGCGAAGGAACCGAAGTCCCGCTGGATGGCCTCAGCAAGGGGCCCTTCTGGCTCGCCACCACCGTTGGGAGACATGTTCTGAAGAATGTACAGTAGTTACAATAGTCGGATAGGAAGTGGTTTGTTTGTTTGCTTACCTGCCAGAAGATAGTGTGGTTGACATGGCCGCCACCATTGAACTTGATCGCATTGGCGAGCTGAACGCACTTGGTGACATCGCCCTTGGAAGATGCTTCTTGGAGAGCTTCGTTGGCGACGTTCAAGTTGTTGACGTAGGTAGCGTGGTGCTTGGAGTGATGGAGCTCCATGATGTCAGCGGAGATGTAGGGCTCAAGAGCATGGTATTCGTATGGAAGCTCGGGGAGAGTGGCTTTGGTTCGGCGGCCGAGAACGCTAAGGACTCGAGTTCGCATCATTTTTTTTCTGAAAAAGGAATGGGATATCGGTTCAGAATCGTAAGAAGAGGTTTGATTACAGTTTGAACAGTGTCGCGAATAAGTTAAAAGAGTTTTGTTGAATTTCAGGATCGGTAGAGGCAGATCGAAGTTGAAAGATTGCGGCCCATCAGCGAGCAGTATCGCTGTATTATTTTCAGATCTTCTTCTTCAAAGTCTTCTTTGCGCACAGGAAATTTTTTAGTTTCATCTAGATATTCCTGCCATGATAGCACTTCTCGCTGATATAGCACCTTTGGACCAACGCTAAAGGAAATCTATCATTTTGAAAATGATAGAGGGCCTTACCCGTTGAGAATTAAGTTTATAGGTAAATCGAAGGAGCGGCGGTCTTTTATGTTTTCATCGGAGAGGCGAGAGTGAGAGTCTTTGTCGAGCAGATCACAGATGGATTTTGTTATGGGCATCCATTCGAATGATTTGGGACAGGCGAGATATGAGGGTCGGAAGTTTCTTTTGTAACGCATCTTTTTACAGCTAAAATTTGCTTTGAAGAAACGTTTGTTATTACACCTTTACCTTTGAATATAATATCCCATGTAATACCACTCAAAGCCATAAAAGCGAGATAAATATATTTCAACGAGGGCTGAATATGTTCCAAGATTGAGAAACTCATATTCTGTGTCGTAGTAGAAATAGACCGAGGAGATACAGTTCGTTAAGAAGTCAAGCACGCCAACAGCAATTAATTTGCCTAAAAATTGGCTTACAGGGTGTGAAGAACAAGGCTATTTACAGTCAGGAAAAATTTACGCTGATAGGAATGACTCTAAATGTTTGATAGCATAAACATAATTTTATGATTTGAGAGTCATTTTAAAGCACACATAATTAGACAACATTCACAGGAGCATTATAGCCTATAATTTATAGGTAATGCATTGAAATGAATCAGACAATAATTCACCGAAAATATTTAAAATATTCTTACCATTTAATCGATACTGACAGTGATAAAGACCAAGCGGGAGTCCAGAATGATGTCCACTTGGTTCTCCTTTTTCTCTGAAGGGGTTATCTAATAAAAATCGTTTCCATTGCTTTTTTGTTACGTCATTTGGGTCATCTTTGTGGATTGACACCTGGTACTTTTTATAAACTCCGTGGCTCTCATGTTGCGTTTCAAAATCTCGATCGCTGCCTATGTACACCAATTCAATTTCTAACGAGTTTTCAGCACCAGCAAGAGTAAAAGTCATTTCATTTTTTCGCTTCAGCACGAGCCCTTCTTCCAACCTCTGTTCTATAAGCTTCGGTGGATCTCGCAATACACCTTTATGCACGGGCAGGCCTTTCAGCATTCGCCTCAACTGGCGTTTATGTCTCGATTTTTCACTTCCTTCGAGCTCTTCTTGTTTCCGCAGCTCGTATATTTGAGAATTATTCGACTCCTCCGATTTTCCGTCTTTAGCAGCTGTCCTCGTTGATTCCATTTCTTTTTGTTTTGTTTGTTTGGACTGGCAAGTTTTGTTGAGGTGTTTTTGCATGTTAAAAAGGGCTGATTTGTGCGACTTGGAGAAATGGTAGTTTTCGACGTCGCAACGAATGGTCAATTGTGGACAGCAGGTTTTGACACTGTCCGGTTTGTAAATGTACTTGCCGGAACGGCGCCAACCGCGATCAATTAATTCCTGGTAGTCTTTAAAAGGGTTAACCACAGCCTCCTACAGTAGTTATAGGCTCGGTTTAAAGTTGAGGTTATCCCTTACTCTGACGGAGATACCAAATGACCCCAAATGCCATCGCTCAGACTTCCTTTGTTTTTACAATACCCGCATCGGTGAGGATCACCGTCCAATTTCGATACCCATTCCACTATACTCAAATATCTGGACATTCTAAAATCTCTGTTGAAATCAACAAGGACTAACTTTTTTAGCGCTCTGAATTACTGCTTGATTTTGAGCTCAAAGAAATTAAGTTGGATGGGTAATTATTACGATGTCGATGATGATGTTGGTTACTCAATTTGTTACGACAGAATTAGTACGATTTTCACTGCGAATTAAATAAAAAAAATAGTATGTAGATATGCACTTGGACAGGAGATTATGATTTTAATGATTATAAATTATAATTAACAAGTTATATTTCCTCTTTGAGAATTTTATGCGGAAACATGTATTTATATATCAGAGAAGAAATCAATTGATATGAAGAATATTTGATGCAGATTCATATGTAGGATTTGACAGGAACAAAATTAAATTAATCAAGGTGGGGACTATCAAAAGCTGATTCTTTTTGCACCCAAGGAATTCTACAAAGAATAGTCTAGTATTATTATTGCTAAGAGTGATAGATCTAAAGTGTCTTGAGGTCGCTGCTCCAACTTCTCTAACCTAGTCGTTAGCGTTATGTTGCCTCTGAAACTTCTCAAATTTCTCTTGAAACACAGACTGAACGCAGCGAAAATGGGGCAGCGCCTCCCGATCTCTATCAGATCTAACGGCGACTCACTGACAAAAGGCTACTGTAAGTGGATGATTAGAACGGCATGGATCTTCTTGGCCGTAAAAAATGCGCTTGTTGATATTTTCCTGCATAAAATGAGAGTGCTGAACTTCGGGATACTTTTTAATTTTCTTATTATTATTATTCATTTTGTATATTGAAGAGAAAGTATTCTAATAAAAATATGTTACAGAGAGAAAGAATAAGTCAGTCAGAGTCAGATATTTGCACTGGAAGAGATTATCTGGTCTGAAATCATGACTGTAACAATAGCAAAGTTGAACAATAGTAAATACTGTATGTTTGAATAAAAGGATAAGAAGGAAAATATGAAAGTAGTTCGCAGCTAGAAATAGGTTTGAATCATCTCATGATATACTGTTTTGAAAATGGCAAAATGTAATACAGTAAAACTGTATGTTCTTCTTTAGTTGTTAAATATATATTATGTGATCAATCAATGTGAAGGAGGGACGAAGCGTTTTTAGTCCTCGAGTGCGCCGTGGCCTCGCTTGTCTCCCTTGTTTCGCTCAGCATCGAGTGCCTTCTTGGTTTCGTCTTCGATTCGGCGAATGTCTTCCATTGTCATACCGTACCAGCCGGTAGTTCCTTCACCGTGTGGTCCTTGCCAGCAAAACACCTGAAGAATGATTAGTCAGACATAAAGCCGCCTTCGATTTACCTGTCGGTGGAAAAGAGTAAATATTCTACGCTGCGCCTTGTGAATATAGTTTTCAACGCGTCCTTGCAGACCGAGCCACTTGAATCTGCATGAAACCAATTTATAACAAGTCTAAAACGCAAAATTTAAAATTAATCGACGAATAAAGTGCTTTACCATATGAACTGGAACTTCAGTCTTTTCTTTTCTTCCAGCTTTAATTTCCTCGCACATTTTTCGAAGATCAGTTAGCCAAGTTTTTGTTAGTGGACCACGTCCGGATTCAGCATGGGCATATGTTCTAAAGTAGCCAGTTAAAGGCTTTTCGCTTGAGATAGACTTACAAGGGATCAAGCTTGGGATCATTGTCAGCAGAGCTGAGTGCCGGGTCCGGATTGCAAATGTCAATCTTGACGACTTCGACTTTTTTCCAGTCTGAGGCGCTGAGCTCGTGAATATTTTCCGTTGTTCCGTCGTCGTTAGCATGAATTGTTAGCAGCTCGATGAAAAAAGCGTCTTTCATGTATCCGGGATTTGTAACTAGAAAATGGGATTTAGAAAACGAAGAAGATTGGAGTAGTCTACGTACTGACAGTTTTGCAATAAGGGTATCCATTCCAAGCCTGCTCGTCAATTGTAAGGGATCCTTTCGGGGCAATCATTTTGATAAAAGCAGGAACTCGGGATTCAAGATGGAAAAGCTTGTGAGTGAATTGACCGGCACGGCCTTTTGAGTTTTTGGATTGAGGATCTTCAGCGGTGTACGGCTCATTTTTGAGGACTTCTACTCCTTCTCCTCCTCCGGTTTCGTTCTAAATGTCCATAAAGTCTTGTTAACGATAAGGGCCAATATGTAGGGGTAGGGAATATGTGGGGCCCTTACCTTTGAACTTTCAGCAACTGAGTAAAGCTGGGCGACTCTATATTCATCCAAAGTAATGGGCAGCGTAATTCTATATTCTTTTGTGATCGTCATCTCACGATTTTCTTTGCCTAGTAAGGTCGCTCAAAGACCTTTTCTCTTTTTCTGAAGTTGAGTTTTTGAATAATTTTTCAATCTTTTAGGAAATTGTAACTGACGCAAGTTAAGAAAACGGCAAGGAGATCTTACGTCTGGAAAATAGCGCCGACATGACTTGGCATGGGTGAGTCATGAGATCCGTGTGTCTTGAGACAATAAAAGCAGAATGTGCGCAGAATCATGGGGACATACCATGATTTACGGCTGAAGGGTGCGTAAGTTTACGCTCTTGCGACGAAAACGTTTCTTGTTTTATAATTATCCCGTGTCTCGAAATCTTAGGGAATTTCTTTATTGAACTGAATGTCTGTATTTAGTTTTTTTAGACATTGGTTTTGAAGACACCCAAACTTAGAGAGCTACTTGCCGTTTTAAACCTATTTTGTGAAAAAATAAAACTCATATTATTTGAATTGTTAAAAATGCAGGTTCTATGTGAATGGCAGGTTGATTGAATAACTTGTGTGAAAGAAAAAAATCCTAAATGATACAGCTTCGTGAAATATTTGTGGAAAAAGGCTCGGCCTGATGATTTTTCAGCTCTTTGAAGATTTCGTGCTGGCAAAGTAAGCGGAGATAGGCGCTGATTCTCTTGGTGATGTTTTGTTCGATCCGGAGGAAGGGGTGAAATACTTTTTGGGATTTTGAATTTGAAATTTTGAAGTGAAAAAAGTGCAGCTTCCGCTCTTTCAAGTTGCTATTGATACTAAATGTAGGTATATTTGCATAAGTAGACACACGCAGATCACGTAATTTGGAAATCGGTAGGAATATTTATTTCAATTATTGACGGATTGGGGCGTCAAAATGAGGGCGTAATGATTTCATATTTTAGAGTTTCCGATTAATAATCGGCGATTATAGAAAATAATTTTTATAAAAAAAAACCATTAAAAACTATGAAAACATTGCAATAACATATGAAACAGCTTAAACCCTTTCAATCGAATACTGATGCTCATAGCTAGAGCATAAAATACAGGTTCTGATTTTTTTAATTTTTTGAATGAAGAAATAGGCTCTCTAATTTACTTCTGTAAATGCGCTTCCTCGAGAGCTCTGAAGCTCGTTATTTACCTTTCACATTGTTATTAAATAGCGACTTGAGAAAATTTGGAAGTCAATTTGGGTGTAATTTGCGCGGCGCTGAAAAAATCGCGAAACAACGCTTCGCTCAAAATATTCGAAAATCCATTCCTTTGGGTCGATGGAAGAAGCAGTCGTCGTCCTGAAAGATCACAATGAAGAAGACGAAAATAACAACAACGATAAAGAGAAATCCAGCTCTAATGGCCCGGCGAAGGAGGTGAGAAAGAACTGTCAAAATTCAAGCGCACGGCCAACAAAATTGATTTAAATTATCATAAAAGGTGTTCAACGTGGAAATCTCTACGATGCGGATCTCAGACGGAAAGAGGCAGAAAAGAGAGAAGCAAAGACTGTGGCTAAAAAGACCAATGACTGCGCGGTTGGTTTTTCATGGAAAAAATTCGGAAAGGAAAATGGTTATTTTGGAGGGAAGAGCCCCTGCACAAGGAATCGAGGAACTCCTTATAATTATTTGCACTAGAATTAGGAACAACTTGTTCTCAATAATGACCCTTGACCTTGAGCGACGAAAGACGGGACTCGCTTGGTAAAAGTCCGTCAGTCGACAATCAGTACTCATGACATCGATTTCGTGGATGAAAAGAGGCGAGTTCAGACAATTAGTTGAGCCACCATCCGTCTGATTGCCACTGACTTTATTTACAGGGAGGTCACGTGCCCGTGTCTACTCGGTCAGGAAGCACTTTTCGAAATGGTCAACGATCAAAACGAAGATGAAGATGGGACTATCGCGCCGGGGACAAGGGTTGTCGCCAATACTTTCTCTCCAGTAGGTAAATTTTAAAGAACACAAACTGTCCCTATTTAAATGTAATCAATTAAACCAAAAAATTAAGCCTTTGGAGAGACAGCACTCGAAAGAAGTGGCGGCAGATGGGCAGGAACGTGGGGCACGCATGCGCTGCTTACTTCTGAAAGCTTTCTAGTACAAATTCCAGAAGGCCTGTCCGAATTCGCCGCTACTACGGCACATACGATGGCCTTGGCCTGGGCAGCATGCAGGTAAAAATTGACCATTAAAAGGGTAGCTTTAATTATTTAACAAAGACGCGTTCAGTTGGCTTGAAATCAATCAATAAAATGACCAAGTGAATTGAGAATTAACCTTTATCTTCTGAACAATTTTCTTTTCAGGGACATTTTGGAACGGGACGAGCCAGCTACAATCGTCGTTCAAGGTTCCCTTCTATCTCTCTGTTCAAAAGTATCACTTTGACTTATTTACTGTTAGGCGCCGGATTACTTGGCCTTTACTGTTGCGCAATACTCAGTCGCCATGCGTTCAGTGTTTTCTGCACAGGTTTGAAAAACCGTTAACATCAATCAAAAACATAATGGGGCCATTTTTAAAAGAAAAATCGTCCAAGCGGTTGCGACTTGTTACTGAATTTGGTGGGGTTCCACTACATCCTAGTTTGGCTGGACCAATTGATTCAAAAGCGAGTACTGTGATTGAATGCTGTGGGGATAGCCTAGCTCCGTCTCAGGTAAATAAGAAAGGTAGTCTTCCTTGATTTCATTTCGTATTTGAAATAACTGACCTCTTTTAACCTGCAGGCTTACAACTGGATGGGCACTGGTTCACGCTACATCATAATGGGTCTCTCTGGTTCAGCGGAGAAGATTTCACTCAGTGGCGCGCAGATAATCAAAAAAGGGATCACGCTTATGGGAGTAGACCGCTACACGTAAGTTAAATATTCCTCCAATCGATAATATCTTCATAATACTGTTTCTCTTTAGTAACGAAGATCTTGCCTCGGCGGTTGAATTTTTATCGCTGAATCAAAGTCGATACCCGTGGCATAAATTGGCAGGACCGAATTTCGACCTGCATGAGTGGGAAAGTGCATTCAGGAAATGGCAAATGACTAACTTTGACTCGAGTGAAAAGAAAAGGAAATGACAGTTAGTCAATTGTTAAAAGTACCGTACGGACGGGAGACTACTACCGATCAGTTTTTAGACCTTTAGGAAAAGTTCAAAAATAAGCCGGAGTTTGTTACTCTCAGCAATATCATTGAAACTTCAAATAAGCTGAAATCACAGAAAGAACCGCCAGTGCCACTGCCCTGGCTCTAGAAAAAGAAAACGCTCTTCAAACCTCATCTGAACATGTCACTTCCGAGTCAAAAACTCCTCTTTGACTCTTTTTGCAAATAAAACTCTTCAAAAAGTTACTTACCTTGTCTTATTCTCGCCTGGTTTTGGCAGACACAGTTGAGAAGAAACAGGACTTGGACGGAAAGGCGGTAATCCGTTGACTTCTGATAAGATAGGCGTCGATTGCAATTTAGAAAGAAGATTTCCGACGGAGAAATCGCCGGCGAGACTTGGTGCTACGGAATGTGTTGATTGAGTTGTGTGCGCGCGCTGGGCCGCAATTTGTTGAGCGTAAGGGTTCGAAGAAGGATCAGACGGTCTTTGAGCGTTGAGTTGTTTGTTCTGATCAAAAGGGTTTACTTATATGTCGATTGGAAAAGTTTTTCTTGAGGAAATATTTAATCTTACTTTTCTCGGATAATGGTCACTAGGTGGGGAAATTTGACTGCACATAAAAGCCTCTACACGAAACTCATGAAATCCGAAGTTTTATGGAATCATTAATTTTTGCTTCACTAACACCTGATGCTTCAAAGCGTATAAACCCTTGACAAGTACTGTATAACTTTATCATCCTGCGAGTTTTTATTCACCGCCGCTTCGAGCTTCTCTCTCATTGATTCTAGCTCGCCAGAGATTTCAGTCTGTTTTGCTTCCAATCTCTGTTTTACTTCACTGTCTTGTCTGAGTTTTGTCGCCAATTTCTGTTGAAAAACGATAAGAATAAATTCATGAAGAGGCGAGTACCTTGATATCTGAGTCTTTATCAGTGAGAAGCTTCTCTTGTTTTTTGATGATTTCGCTGTTTCGGCGGTATTTTTCTTTTAATGTTTTCGACTCTAGAATGAGAGAAAATGAGACACTGCTAACAACCAGTAGCGTCAGAGGACACTTGGCTTTCAAGGGCAAATAAATTGACCGTAACTCACCATCCATTTTTCTGCTGATTATTTCATTGGCCTTGGCAAGATCAGCGACCAAAACTTCGTTATCTCTCTCTAATTTGTGACATTGACCCTGTATTTGCTGCAATTTCTCATCCTTAGACGCTTGTTGGTCCTCTGCCGTACGGGTTTGGTAACTCATTCGGCTGATGTTGGTCTTTAATTCATTGATTTCTAACGTTTTGGCGGCCAGCTCGCTTTTCAGGGCAAAAAGCTGCTCTTCGCGGCTATAAATAACTTAGTATAGGTAGAAGTAACCACTTTTTTTGAAAGGGGTGAATCGAGGAAAATCGATATTTTATGATTTTAAATATGTATTATTCAGATAGGGATACTCTTCCTTGATTTCAGTCTTTGTCGGATTGACCTTGTTTAACCCTTTTTGAAAGAACCACTTCAATAATTCATTTTTCAATCGATATATTACGATGGTTCTGCATAAGAATACATAAGTGGGTTAATCACCTTTGAGCCTTTTTGTCGAGCTCGTTTTTGTACTGTTCGGATTTCTGATTCTCGTGGCTAATTCTCGACTGTTCATGCGTGAGCTGATCGATTCTAATCTTCTGCTCCCTCACCGTGTTTTCAGCGCGGATCTAAATCAGTCTCAGCATGCAATAAATCGAGATTGATGCTCTTCTGCTTTTACTGTAAGTACACTAGTTGAATACCTTTTTTTGGGAAAGCTCTTCCTTGATATTTTCCAAGTCAGAAATTTTCACTTCGAATCTTCGTCTTTCAGCTTCAAATGCGCTTTCCAGTGATCCTGTTTTCGCATCGAAATCGACCCTTTTTTATTAAATTTATCAGTCTTTATAAGAAAAGTAAATATTACCTGGCGTCCTGCTCTGCCTTGAGCGCTTTTCTCTTTTCCTCGTTGATTTTAGCTTCATACTCTAGCCGGATCTCTTCAGCTTTTCCTTCGCCCCTAATCTTGAGCGATTCCAATTCATTATTTATGTCCTCCAGTCGCTGCGTTGTCTCGCTTAGTTGCTTCTGAAGCTGGTCAATTTTCGTCTCATTTCTGTGCTTCTGAAAACGGGTTCATTCTCCTTCGAATTATTAAGAATTTTACCATTTCAGCCGACTCTGTCTGTAATTGCTTTAACGACGAGGCCAAGTAAACTTTTTGTTCGGAGTCATTAGCCGGCGTTAATTCCAAATTGAGCTCTGTTATGTTTCGTATTTTGCGAGGTTCGACGATCGCCAAGTTCGCGCGGAGAGTTTGACATGTGACTTCGATGCGTTTTGAAGGGTTTGAGTCGGTTGTTTCGTTGATCAGCTCGATTAAAATTGATGGGAATGTGTGGAAGTCTATTGACAGCTGCTGTTCTGCTTTCAGCCTGCGACAATAGAGTTAAAATGCGTCCATTTGAAAGTACATACAGGTTGTAGTCATTTTCGGCAATGGACTTTGTGTACAAAAAGAAAAAGTCCGTCGGATCTGTCAGACGTATTCTGTAGGACTTCTCGTGTACTGTGAAATTTTTCTCAATTTCAAGCTTGAGCCAATGTCGAACAACTTGCTCCCTGCTCAAGAGGACATTGACTGTCTTTGAATAAAGTATCTCTATCATCCCTTTCCGTTTATTCTGAAAAGAAGCAATTCACTATTTTTGTCATTATCAATCTGCTTGTCAGTGTAATAAGAAGAAGCAAAATAGGGTCTTGAATAAGAGGATCGTCCTCTTTTCTTGGATCATCGCCCGATCCCTGGGTTCATGCAAATCCAGCTAAAAGGGGTTGTTCTTGATTCTCATGAGAATCAAACACCTCCAAAAGGCATCATTCTAGAGCTGAATTAATGAAATTACATGCCTTTTTCATGCAAAGAAACTTTGATCATCAATAGAAAATATAGAATGGAACTCATCTCATCTCAGTTGGAAATTAAAACTGGAAGATTGATTGATTATGAAACGATTTTCAATCATGACAGAAGTTTGGACAAAGAGGACCTTCGGGCACCTTTACAGCAACTGGGAATGACAAAGACTTTTGTAGTCGAGCGTATTTTATGATAGAATCAGAAGTAAAACCGAGCAGAGAAAATTAATAGCAGCAGGGAATCAGAGAGGAAATTAAACAAACAGAAAGTTGATTTTATTTTTGTTGAATATGAATTAAGAATTAGTTTTGTATTGCTGAAGAGAAAAGAAATATGCGGATGGTAAGGACTGTTAGATTTAGTTGTCGAGTCGTAGAAGACGTTCTGCTTCATCAAGTCGGAGTTTTGCGTATTGCACGTAGTCGAAATCCAGAACGCTGGCTTCGATTTGAACCATGCTCCAAGTTCCCCAAAAGTAGTGGGAAAGCGGCATCATTTGTTTGACGGAATGAAGCCAAGAGCAGAGCTCTTCTTTAGTTGCTTCACGATTCAAGAACTCGAGAAGGTATTCCTGGAGCCACCATTTCATGAAGCTCTCGTCTGGGAGGTATTTGAGGTAATCTTCTGGGCCGAACTAAAAGAAACGTTATTCAGGACTTTCTTTGAGTCCAGCGCTTACATCATCAGTTCCAACGAATTCATTGAAATGATTGGCGATATCAAATGCCGCTGGATTCGGCGCCAGGTATTCGTAGTCGATGATTTTCATCGAAGAAGTTTCTTTATCGTACAAAAAGTTGTTGAGCAAAAGATCGTTGTGGCAAACAACAAGTGGCGTGGTTTGTTTTTCAAGGGCTTCTTTCGTTCTTTGGATGTAATTTTCGAGCTCTGGCGGGCCTGGAAGTTGGATTTTTCTGCGAGCGGCTTCTTTCTGCACCTAAAAAGTGGAAATATAAATGGGAATTTGATTGAAGGGGTTGAACAGTTTCGAGGGAAAAACTTACGTCTGAGTATTGTTCAGGAATGAGCGAAATGAACTGCCGCATTTGCCTTATCAGTTCTGGCTCAGTTTCAGTGGCCAAAAGCTTTGTTTTCTTGTGCATTTGTGCCATTGCTCTGGCGACATGGCTTGCCACTTCGTTGGTTTTGATGGTATCCCTATGCAGAGTAGATCCTTTGATGGGCCTCATAACCAAACCGTTTTTAAAAGTCGCAATCAGTTGATCAGCAATGCCAGCTGCGGATAAACGCTCAAAAGCGACGAGTTCTTTTTCGCGATCTAAAAAGCCGGCTACTCCGTTGACTCGGACAACGACGGAGTCTTCGTCTTCCCGGGACTTGATGAAGAAGTGAGAGACCGTGTTCGTCATGCTGTGGGAGTAACACTTGCTCTTTAGCTGACTGAGATCCCAATCCGGCCGCACTATGAAATGGAAATTGAGATAAAGTTAGCTGTTTGGAAAAATCTTACCTTTTTCAATGACTTTTGATGCCTCTTCATTTTCGATTCCGTTTAGCTCAATATCTAGTATCAGCATTTTAAGTCGTCGCCGCTTATCTCCGCTTTAAAATTATCGGAATCTAAAAAGGTGGTTTGAATTTCCTTTGTATAGAAAAACCTCTTTGCTGAGACTACAGTAAGACTGGTTTGGAATCTAGCTTGAGCCAGCTCAGGCTAAGCTGTATGAGACTCATACTATGAGTTTCTTACTGTAGTAAGACAAACACTGACTTTTAAATGAAGAAATACGATTTGTCGTAATATATATTTTCAGTGTATTGATTCAACTTTGATATGAAATTGTTGTGGTCGCAAAAAGAGATCACTATCCGCGCCAATGTTCGGAATTCATTGATTGACTAGAGTTAAATGTAATTGGCTCGGACCCGAGGAGAAATACGAGAAAAGGGGATGAAATAGAATTTAGGCTTGACAAGTTTCGGGGCTCAGTTGAAAATATTAAGTGTGGGTGAAATGGTACAAGAAGTGCTAAGGTGAAATTCAATTCATGTACAAGTCAAACTTGCCTTACATAAGTCAGAAGTTTATAGAAGACGTTTTTTAGCCGGATGTCAACAGATGTCACGACAGGTCAAAGGAGTCTCGAGACATTTAGAATGCATTATGAGGCTGATAAAGACATCTACTCGTAAAATTTTGCTGTTTTCTTGTATTTTAATGAACTTGAGGAATATTTCTTGTATGAACGTGGCGGGAAAATTGAACTGGGAAAGCTTAACGTTCTGTGGAGTTGGTTTTTGGTCTTTACGGAGATGAGGGAAAAAGCTGACTTGAACAGTAGTTGTGCAGTAGAATAAAAGTAGAAATATGAATTGCGCACGATTTATTTTGCACGATTGATGGCAGTGCCACAGGATACATGTCGACTGTTTGTTGAAAGAATCGATCAGAATAGAAATTAGAATAATAAAAAATATTATTTTTAACAAGCAAGCTGCTTCAAAATTCGGTCCAAATTCAGGTTGAGTTGTCATCGTTGCTTCTTTTAGTTTTTAGCGTCGAAAATGTACAAATTATTTGTCGCGGCCACAGCTAAAAACAGGTAAGGGTTTGAGTTAAGCTCAAGATTTTGGAGAGCTGGGAAACGAAAACTTGTTCTTACGGTAAGAATCTTACCAATAATATTTTCCTGCGGGTGCCACGCTGAATGAAGGACTTTTTTGTTGTAATTCAGGGAGTCGACCAAGACTTCGTCTTTCTTCTTTTTCGTTCCCTGGAAAACCTGAAAAATAATTACAATTAGACAAGTACAACAACTTGTCTTGCTCACTTTTTTGGGCTTGAGGAGTCCTCGGGGTTTGATGTTGTCCTTGGAAGCTTCCAGCGTGATGTCCTTCTTTGAGTTGCAGTCAAAGATGCGGAAAAAGTTATTGTATGAGCCGGTCATAATTTGCCTGAATCGTAAAATCAGAATTTGTTTATAAACATGATCGCTTACTGGTCATTTCCGCTCCAACAGCATTCAAACTTGTCGAAGATGCAATCGTTTTCGTACAAATTGCACAGCTTGGACGTCAGATATTGATGAACCTGAAGGATGTTTCAAAATAAACTGGGGGTTTTCGAAAAGAACGTACCGGAAAAGACATGACAGGCTTGTTCTCCATGGCAAGATCCCAAACTTTGACGGTCAAATAGTCACGTGAGAGAAGATATCTTCCGTCGTGCGAAAATTTCACATCGGATATCGTTCCAATGATTTCAGAGAAGAAACTTCGTTGATTAGGCTCTTCTGGCTCGTCGAATTCTGAATGAAAATGAATTACCGAAGATAAAAGGTGAGAGTGTTGCTTACGTTTAGCATGCTTGTCACAGAGTGCCCGATCTCGCATGTCACAGAGGCGGATAGTTCCTTTCGAAGAACTGTAAACAAGGGTACTACAGTCGGTAGGGTGGAATTCAGAGGCAGTGATCACCTCGGCCAGATCTTCCATATTAGCAGGTTTGATATCAATAATATCTAAATTGTTTTTACAGACGAGGAAAGCTGAAAGAGGCTTACTAAAGGATCGATCGGTTATTTCGAGGTTCCAGAGGTTCACGCGCAAATCGTCGGCGGATAGATACGTATCGTTATCGGAATTTACACTGAAAACGTAGGTGAAGATGGATAAAGAAGGTGTGAGCAGGAGTACCTAATAGAATTGACATGATAAGCATGGGCATTGGCATAAATCTTCTTTGGAGCTGCCTCTACGATCAGCTCACTTTGTTGATACCTATACAAATGCTTAAAAAGGGGGAACTCGGCGAGGTAGAACTTGTTAGATGCCGAACTTACTTTGGGACGGTTAACCTGGTTAAATAACTGTTGGTCCTCAGCATTGATCCATCTTCTTCTTTTAGGTTGTAGCCATTCACTGATTTTTCACGCTCGGAAACCTACAATAACCAAAATATTAGTAGGGAGAATATTTAGTGATATTTACCTTCCACAACTTTATCGTCTTGTCATTTGTCGACAGTAAAAAGTGGGCAGCATTTCGACGAGGAAGCCATCGAATTTTATTAATCTAAATTGAATAGAAATGAAGGATGTAAATTAAAGGTGGCTCTTTTACTTTTTCTTCAATTTCTAAAGACTTGAGGTAATCGAATTCGGCTTCGTGCGATTGGAATGTACTGTAGACGTTATATTCGCTCGAGCGCTTGCCCGTCGTTTGATTCTAAAGAAACTTGCTTGAAAATGTTGCGAAAAAGTGGCTTACAGTTAGATCATTTCTTTGAAAGATGACAACTCTTCCACCCTTATCTCCAGTCGCGAGGAGCTCTCCGTCGTGATTGAATTCCACAGCGGATATGATGTCGGCTACAGGAACAAACATTAAGTATTACAGTTCATCCAATTGATCAGGGGAGATTAGGGCCAATGTTTCAAAATCTATACCTTCCTGAGCCTCATCGTACAGTGCTCCTTTTACTTGACTGAAATACCATGACATGTCGCCACCTGAGGTGGCCATCCCTTATTGCCGCTTGATTCTGAAAATATATTGTTCATAAAGCCGAAAGTAACCGTATAAGGGAGTGTTTGTAATTTCAGTACATAAGCACAGTACAAGCACAAATAAAAATTGTAACTATCAGAATAGAACTTTGAGTTTGACAGTTGTTTGCAGCAAGATTCAGCGAATAACTAGTTTGAATTGCTGATAAAGGTGCAGAAGTGGTAGATAATTTTCCTAGATATGTTTTGACATTTTAAGATACCGGAACTTTGATTTGCTGAAGTTCAACAGTAACTGAAGAACAGAAGAGATTCAATCTATTTAACATGCTTCCAGTGCCATAAACCATCATTTAGGCAGTGATTCACAGCGATTCCGACACCTAAAGAATGATAAATAAACCCGAGTTTGCTTCAGCTTAAAATTCACCTTTGTTAACATCTTTAATCTCTTTGGGAGTCATTGCCATCGTGCCGACGGCGATCGCCAGCTCTTTTCCTTCACAATGGACCTACAAAATCGCCTCAATTATATGTCAAATTACAGTCGTTCTGCAAATGCTTAGCCTCGTTATTGTTTTCTACCTGAACTCCAGCTCCTTTTTCTGTTTCCATATCGAGAAAAGCTCCCTTTGAAGTGAGACCGGGACACATAATGTCGGCTCCGCTCAGAATAAATTTAATCGCACCCTGGGGAGAGGATTTTCAATTTTAAACTCAGACTGTATGATCAATTGCCAATTGGCAATCGCCTATTGAGAATCGGAGGCTAAAAGACAAACTTGAACTTGAAGCAAGCCTTTTACTCTAGAAAACTATTTTAAACCAGGATTTTCTACCCATTTTAAGATGAAATTTATAATCCTCGTTCCTCATCAACTTGCTGAATCGGCAGCAGGAATGGATACTTGTGCAGCAATCGAATATTCGGCAGCCATTGGGAATCCCGACATTTGAAGAAAATCGGCTCGTGATCGACAACTAGAACTTCCACTTTTTCGTGCGTTTTCGCCAAACGTGCTGGTTCTTTCTTCGGCCAAATTTCGGTGAAATAAGGTTCGAATGTCGGGTAGGTATCAATTATCTGAAACAAAAAATGTAAAGAATAGAAAATGATGGAATAAAAATCGATTCTGACTTAATTTGTTTTCCACGAGAAGTCGATAAAATGACAGAATTGATTGTTTTTCCTACAGATGTCTGCGAAAAACGTCGGTGAATACCAATTTGGACTGATAATTCAAGGAAAAAACGGTCAATTCTCAGTGAATGTCGGTCATTTATGAAATTATGTTTAAAAGTAAGCGTCGTTCCCGTTTTACAAACAGGAAACTTTTGGCATAATAATTCTTTTTGTTCGTTGAAAAGATTAAGTACCTGATTCCTGATATTCTTCTGCACAGAACTCTTCAACTGGGTCACCGTGGAAACCGATTCCTTCTCATCAAACTTCCGAAACATTCTGTCAAACAAATAAATCAATATAAGCAAATTAAAAAAAACAAAATACACGATGAAAGACGTCGTATCAAGCGGTCTTCTAGAGCTGAATCTCTTTGTCAGTAAAAATACTGGAATTTCCAACTTCCCACCCTGCAAACTAAAAATCTCTCCCCCTCTTGAACCAATCAGCGCTCGTTTCGCTGGAAAGAAAATCGAAGAAAATCAGTTTTTTGATGTTTATTTTATTTCGCTTTCAAATTTGGCGAGATTTGAGAAGCAGATTGGACTGTTTTTGCTTGTAGAAATTTCAGTTGGAGGATTTTGTCTTCCAAGGCGGGCGGAGGAGCTCAGGCGAAGGAAGACAGGGACGTTGAAGGAAGAATCGGGAAGTTTTACGGCGACGATTTTAAAATGTCAAAGTCTAAACTGGCGCGACGGGAGGCGGTCGTAGAATCTGAAAAGTGTCTGATAGCCAAGAAAAAATCAAAAATTGGAACGATCTTTAGAATCGCTGTGCTCTTCAGGGTTCAGTCTCATTTTACTATTTAATACTGTATCAGTGATATAGTATCAGTAATACTTTATCATTTAAGGGAATAGTAGAATACCTCGACAAAAAGTTTCAACCCATTTATATCTGAAAAATGCCATCTAGTGACTGCAACCTGAAATTCTTTGGACCATAAAATCCACAAACAGGAAATTTCTTCGCATGAAAAAACATCGTTTCAGATGAACAAACCTTTGTTGCAGTAAATAAGCGCGATGCAAATGCCAGCAAGGAACATGATTCCCATCTGAAATGTTAAATTTAGTCAAGAGCTTTACTGAAATTCGGTATTTTGCCGGAGATATGTCGCTCTTCTATGTCTTCATGATTGAGATTTGCGTTGACTTACCACTGAGAAAATGACAGTAAGACTAACGTAGCGGTGGAATTCGTCGTCGTTGAAGTTGCTGTCCTGCATCTTGCAATGAATCGCCTTTTCAGTTGAGTCCTGTTGTTTCTTCTTCGGGAAAATCTCTACAGAAAATCTTATCCTTTGACGTAGAAAGAGGTAAAACGCTTCAGTTGGGCATTATACATGCATGCAGTGCAGTCCGGCCTCATTGTTCAACTCCATCGTTTTGATTAATTCGTCGTTAACTGATCGACGAGCCGAATGAAATATATCCGCGATCGATTCCAAATACATCTTTTTGACATTCTTTTAATTAACTTCTAAGCTTGCCATGTTAACTCGTCATTTTGAAACGTTCATGTTATTGATATAATGATGCTTTTTATGATCTCGTATCCAAATTCGGTTGATCAAACTAAACTCTAAAAGCACAAGGGAGTTCTGAAGCATAAGCTCCTTCGCCTTGTTTTTTCTTGAATTCAATAAAAGGGAAAAGTCGTGTTTTTCTTGATTTATCCGGCTTCAAAATAATTAAAGCTTAATTAAGACTATTTTTGATGAAAAACTTTGAAAAAATGGCAGATTCTTGCGGAAATTGTCAACTCAAGAAAGAGAGTTACCAAAAAGAGCTGGATGAAGAAATGCGAAAGCTTGTTACATTCAGAGGACATGGATGTGGAGTGAAACCAGGAGTTAAGGCTAACATTCAGGAAAATATTGCCTGCGAAGACCCATTCACCGAAGAAGAACTTGTGACTGTCATCAAACTCATGCTGGTTGGAGCGAGAAAAGTTCATTTTACTGTTCGATCCGACATTTCTGTTACCTTCAATGGCGTCACGATTGAAACCAAAATTGAACGGAAATACTTTGCTCGAACTACAGCATCGATACTGATCTCTACTCCAGATAGAAGTGGGTAGTATGACCTCAAAATTCGGCCAAGTATAATTTGATTTTTTTATTTTTCCTAACCCTACTCCTAACCCGGGGGCTTCCCCCCCGGGACCCCGCTAGGTAAAAGTACGCAGTTCCTAGCACTAAGGCCTAACCTAGGGGGCTTCGCCCCCTTGGAACCCCCCCTAACACTAACCTAAAATGGGGGTGGCCGAATTTTGAGATCAAACTACGTAGTAGTGAGCAAGTAGTGTACATCGCGACAAGTGAGCAAGACGATCTCAAGAAAATTTCCGAGTTGGGAAACGAAGAAATGACTTTCGTTTTGCGAAAAAAGATGGAAACAATAACATGGGCTATTCACCTTCCTGATGGTTTGAGTACTTCGAACTTCTTGGAGAAAATTTGTGATCCTTGTGCGACTTGTAACACAAACAAAAACGAGATTCGAGACTGGTTCTATCTTGAAATGAAGAAAATGATCACTTTCCGTGGTCATGGCAGTCTTTACAACAGCGGAAACAACCGTTATCACAACAGTCACAATTTCAACCGCATCGGCCGTTTCAACAGTAAAATTGGTCTTGAAGATGATTCTATTGAGTGGGAAGCATTCGAAGATGATGAAATACTGACCTTGCTGAAATTGATCGGTTTTGGAATAACAAAATTCAATTTCACCATAAAAAGTGATTCGGAAATAGATGTTGAATATGAAGGATACCAATTGAAAACACAATTCATGAAACTCATGAGAGACAGGTAAGTCAAATATAAACACGATATAAGTTGCGTAAAATAATCAACACTTTCATCAAGTGGTTATGAGTTGAAGCTTACGCTCAAGTTTCCTGAAGATTCACAAAAACGAGAATTCACTGCACGTCTACTCGATTATAAGACTCACTGGCTGCTCTCTTCGATGATGGAGGAATCAACTGCAACTGTCTGGAGGATGAATGACCCACGAAAAATAACCTGGAGCTGCACCATCCATTCAGACGATTCAGACGAGGTAGGATGGTTGACACTTATTAATTTCATCTAGTTTTAAAATATTTTCAGAACGCGGAAAACATGATTATGCATTGATGACAAATTTTGTCAAGAAAAGGTACGACTTTTTACTTTAAATAACTTTAAATAACTTATTTTCAAACAAAATTTTAAGCTGTGGCTCATACGAAAATTCTGACACACTGGAATTACAATCATGTCATTTTTCATTGAAATAAAAACAAAAATTAATACAAACAACAATTTGTCGAATCATTTTTCCTCAAATCTTCTTTTGGCACGACAGTATCTTTAGTATCTGATGGCTTTTCTTTTTGCGTTGCGATTTGATTTGCTGAAATAGATTTTTCCTACTAAATCTATCTGTTTCATTTCTTACCAAAGCTCATGAAAACTTCCACAACATTTATTTTCTCCTTCGCCGACGTTTCAATAAATTCCAACTCGTGCACTTCTGCTAATTCCTTTCCTTCTTCGGCCGAGACTTGTCTCTCTTCCTCCAAATCAATTTTGTTTCCAACAAGATAAACAATGATGTCCTTGGGCGCTTTTTCTTTCAGCTCTTGAATCCATCTTTCAGCTCGGACATACGACTCTCGTTTAGTTACATCGTAGACGACAAGCGCCCCGGATGCTTGCCTAAAAATCAGTTTTGAATTTGTTCTCTCTTTCTGCGTTCAGCTGAAAGGAATTTGAAAGGTGCGAATAAGTAATTTACCTGTAATACATTGGCGCGAGGGAAGCGTATCTCTCCGCGCCCGCTGTATCCCAAATGTCCAGCCTGATTCTAGCCTCGTCTAAGTCAAGTGTTTTTGTTAAAAAAGCTGCTCCAATTGTCGCTTCATAATTTTGAAAGTCTCTTCCGCGAAATCGCTCGACAAGGGACGTTTTCCCCGTGCTCGATTCTCCTTTTTAATTAATTTTTATTTATCGATCATTTCTCTTTACCTATGAGTACCAATTTTGCCAATTTTGAAGGCTTATTAGCTGTAAAACGAATACTTGCTCTATTGTCGCTCATGTCGTGGTGAAGCGTAACTGAGCTTCATTTTTTGTTGTCCTAAGAGTGAATTACTCAGAGTAAACAAAATGCATTCATCAAAAAAGGAAAGTTGTTATTCATTGAGTTAATATTTGGAAACGCGTTAATTTTACGATGTTTAAATCGCTCGTCTTTATGTTTTTTATGCACCGTCTGAACGTTATAACTTATGCAAGTTCAAGAAAAACTTAATTGAACTTTTCTTCGAGGAAAAAGATGGAATCAAATGAGGGGATAATTTATTTTCTGATCAAGAAACGAGGAACATTCTGGTTGACTAGCAAGAAAGTCCATGTAATTACACAAGAACGCTCTGTATCGATCGTTTTCCAGCGCTAGAATGATTGATCTGATAAATAAGAATTGAAATTTTTCATTTATTTTATCTCACCTGGTACATCTTCGAATTCCCATGTTGTTGGTTGATCGACTGATCTTTTGGCATTGAATTTTCGTAGATCGGGAAAGTTATTGCTCAAAAACTAAATGACAATTTGCAGCGCTCTGAATTAATTTTCTCATACTTTTCCTAGTCTTGAATGATGAGAGGCGTCGTAATATCCATCATTTGGATATCCATCCATTTGGTACTAAAAGTTAATAGTAAGGGTGTTTATTAGTTATGTGACATATGGTCATGGTAAGAGTTCGTTCGGGTAAGGGTTAAGGAGCTAGAGTTGGCTCGAAAAATGCTTTTTTATAAAAAAGAGTACGTCCGCTATTTTTTATTCTTACCCGACCAGTCAGTCCAACTAGCGGCAATACATTACCGGTTACAATTTCCAAAATTAAAATATAAAAGAACCTCATTCTTTCACTCTAAATGAGAAAAACGCAACTTATAAGCGAGAAATGTGATGAAATGCATAAATATCTAATTGCCACTTTGACAGATTCATCAGACATGCACGTCAGGGAAATAGGAGGAATTGTCGGTTTTTCAGAATTTTTATGCTCGTAATAAATAGTTAAATTAACTGGGAATATTTGATGATTTGTTCCTTTTTTCTTCTTTATCATTTTTTATTGGAGGGGGCCCGTCAAATCAATTATTAGGAACTCTTCTTTGCTTTTTTGCAAATTAATAAACTTGAATAATCGAGACTTGAGTAATTTATTTGCATACGTCTACCACATCATGTTATCACTTTGATGGCTTGGCGTGTTCTGGTGGAGAATTCTGTAACAAATTGGATGGCCCGTTCGGAAACACCACCGCAGCACAGGAAGCGAGATATATCTCCCTAGACGCAAATTTATTCTATTTTAGAAATAACAGCTTATCTTCGAAGAAGAACGAAATTATCAAAATTTGAGAAATAAAAAATCTCATTAAACTTTTAAGGCAGATACCGTTTATATTCTTTCCTCTGTTATCCTTGGCAAGCGTCCCGAACTCTTCCTTGACGGATTTCATATCATCCGCTGCACCTTAATAAAATCGTTTAAGCCAGTACAGTTGTAGTTTGATAAGAGTTTCATCCCCGCAAAATGGATTTACACGGTTGGATTGAACGTGTAGTTTTACTCAAAAAATGCGCCACGTTCTGCAAAGTAAAACTCGGGCCCCGAAGGACCACAGTGTAATCTTGCTTGTTCATTTTAGCTTTTGCGTCGACCGCCAGTGCATAAATTTGCAAGGGCTCAGTTCCTCCGTCTCAAATACAACATTTGCATAATCGAACATACAAGTAAAAAAATCACAAGAAAACAATGCTCAGTTTTCAGCTTATCTTTACAATTTTGTTCGATCTTTAAATATTTGTTCTGAAGAAGAGATAATTCTTTTGCTGCAGTCAAAATTTGTTTTAAAATAAAAATGAGTGACGAAGTCGAGAAAATTTTGGAAAACTTAAAAATTTCTGCATATAAAAGGTAGACTAAGAATTGAAAAGAATAAAGAACCTGTCTTAGAGTTGATAAAGATTTGGCCGAGAAAAGGAAAATGCTTAATTCGATTGTCCTTGAGAAACAAAACATAACTGATGAAATAAATCAGCATAAACGGAATGTCAGTGATATCGACGGGATGATAGAATTTCACAAGGAACTGCAACTGATGTACCAACGAAAGAATGAGCTCTTTCGTAGAAACGAAAAGCTATTTCGCGGACTGTCAGATAGTCCTGCATCCGAAACTTATAATCCGGCAAGGATAGCAGTCTTAATTAATCAGAAAGTAGTGGAAAACAAATTTATCAAGGAGCTTCAGGAAAAACTCAAAACACTAGAAAATTCTTTGGTTGAACGATCAGCAAGTTTGACCGACACAATCGACGATGATCTCATTCCGAAGTGTGAAATTTGTTTAGAGCTTTATGATCAAAAACTTCATTGGCAATCCTGCATTACTGTCTGTGGACACCAGTTTGGAAAATCATGTCTCGAAAGAATTCTTCAAATAAGAAGTCGCTGCCCAAAATGCAACAAAATATTTAATGCTGAGCAAATTCTAACTCTATTCTGAGCGTACATACTGTATCTAACGAAACATGTACCTACTATCTTCCGCGTATCATATTGTATTGTATGCTGCATAATATACAGTTATCATATGTTGAAGAACGTGAATAAAAAAGGTGCAGTTTTAACATATTAACGTCTATTCGTCGTATTTGTCTCCGAGTCAAATTAAATTGAGGAGACCGCTGTGTTAATAAAATAGTAAAAAGGGAAACACAAACATGGCTGCATGGTCTTATGAGAGACCTTCTTTACCTGTCTGTATTCAAATGAAAACATCTTGAAACGTAGTAAAACTTGACTTTTAGAGCTCTTTTCTCAAAGATGAGCTGAAAGAAGAGTTTGTGAAAATATACAGTGTGGCCTAAATTCGGATTCGAAAGCACCCTCAAAAATGCTCATTTGGGAAGAAAAGCTAAACAAGGACATTCTCCTCGTGCCATGAGAAAGCACGTTGCAACCTCTTAGATACCGTTTCTGTTTTCGAACAAACAGAAGTTCAAAACAAAAGTGCTCCCGCCGGCTAGGCGACAGTGATTACCCCGACCATAAAGAAACGGTTACGGTAACGATTATGGTGATTTGGGGCCACGAAAAGTACTAATGCGCGAGTCAGCCCATAATTCTCTGTTCATAACCGATGCACCAAATCGTTGCCCAAAAACGTCGTCCTCGCATCGTTTTTTCTTGAATTATTAGCGAAGTTAAAACTTACCGAGACTGCAGATGACCGAAAAAATGTAAAAGATCTTCCAGGAAATCCTCATTTTGGTGAAACAAGTGGAACTTATTTCGCACTTTCCTCGTTTTACACTGTGCTCGATCATATGGAAAGATGCCCATTATATCGCCCGTTGACGGTTAAATCGTCTCATCCAGGATCGTTGGGGCTTGAATTCCATAATTTGCATCATGATGCAATAGGCTTGCCTAAAAACTTCCAGACAATTTAACTAAAAGCTGCTTTGTCTCAACAGTCGAGGCTTTAAGACGATTTTATTATTGAAATAATACTTTTCAAATATTATTAAAGAAAGAAGATTCGAGGATCCCAACGCGCAAAATTTAATGCGGCGCGCGATCGATGGCGCTCCTGAGCAAGAGCTCGAAAATCATGATGAGTTCTGCGCCGATTATCGACGGGATTTTAACAGGGCGATCCAAAACCCAAGATACGAATAAAATTTGAAATACAATTTTTAACGTTTTGGAAGCTTTTTCTTTGTAAATCGAGAGATATATTTGCAGATTTTGTAGCTGACTGGAAATATAATCGTGAGACTTTTGCGCGAAGAAGATTCTTGAGAAGATTTTTGGAAACACAATGAATTGGAAAAGGTAATTATGGTTTATATTTACTTTTTTATTATGCATTTGGTATTAAACTTTGTTATTAAAGAAAATGACTGTATAATTAGCAGAGTATTTTAGTTAGTATAAAGAATACACTATATTAAAAAGTTATAAATAAATTATAATTAAAATAATAACGAATTAGGCAGAATTGATGCTATTCGGCTACATTTCCTGACTTTTCATGATTGAAACTAATCATACAATTTAAATTTTTGAAAATATATAACTGTATTTAAATAAATATTCTTATGGTCGTTTCAAATTTGTTTTATTGTGCAAGTAATACTAAGTATACTTGCCAAGTATGGTTAGAAAAAAAGATTGAATTTACGAGCAAAAGTTTTAGAACACCATATTTATGTTACGGTTTTTTTGATAATCAAAAGATACACAAGAGACACAGAATCTGGTGCAAAAAATCTACTTCGGAGAATTTCGTCGAGCTAGATAAATTTCGTGTTGAGCTCTGGCTCGCGCAGCTGAAGTATTTTTTATAAATAATTTATTAAATCAATAATCCAATCTGTCTTACCGGAATACATTCCGTCAGTCCCAAGCGGTAGTGAATCTTTTGAGCAATTCATTGCACCGCTTCGTTCACCCAGGGCTTCAAAGATTTTAGGAATCATTTTCTTGTGAATTTATTTGCGACTTACAGTGACTTTTGAATTTGGTGATGGAGGCTTTTATCGGATTGTGGCTCGCTGGTCTGTCAAATTTGCTCATTGGAATCTGAATTCATTGTTTACTTAGTGATGATTTCAAAAAAAATTTCGCGGGCCTGGAAATCGTCAAAAAACTTCTTGTCTCGTTTTGAAGAGCTCGTCGAGACGAGTCGAATGATTTATAAAACTCCAGATAGTTTTAAGATTTTCCGCCAAAAAAAGTGATAAGAAGGTGTCTTATCAAAAATTTTCTGACCGGCGCCGTTTTTGTTCTAGAAAAGCTGAGGTGATGCTTGACCCCGGAAAATGATCCTCATGGTCTGGTCTATTCCGGCAAAAAATTTCAGCTCGTCCTTACATATCCTGCTGTGCTTATCAGCGAAAAATCAAAAAAATAGTGCATTTTGTTGTCGCTGCACGTTCCTAGTTTCCGGCCGATTCATAGTCCCATTTTCCTCGGAAAATGAAATTTAACGATAAACTCGGCTGGGTAAATGATGACGAGCTGAAATTTTTTGCCGGAATAGACCAGACCATGAGGATCATTTTCCGGGGTCAAGCATCACCTCAGCTTTTCTAGAACAAAAACGGCGCCGGTCAGAAAATTTTTGATAAGACACCTTCTTATCACTTTTTTTGGCGGAAAATCTTAAAACTATCTGGAGTTTTATATATCATTCGACTCGTCTCGACGAGCTCTTCAAAACTAGTCAAGAAGTTTTTTGACGATTTCCGGGCCCGCGAAAATTTTTTTTTAAATCATCAGTACTTTGCAACGGTTAAATCGCGTCTCACAAGATTTCACATTAACCGCTCGGTATATGTTTACGGAATGTTTATAGAAATTATATAGTTCCCCGTGAACGTCTCTTAGACGCTGTAATTTCTTGTTTTCGGGGGCAAACTCGTGTATCAACAGAGCAAAACCTTCATACCAGACCACAGCGTTGTGGCCACCACGTTTATACAAGGGATTTATAATTAGCGTTTTCCGTATTCAAGTTCGCTTTAAATTTTTGTGAACTTACCGCACCGTAAGAGCCATTTGACGTTCTGTAGAGAGGGTTCTGAGGTTTTTTCTGATCTTTTGGGATTGATGCGATTCCTTCGACTTTGGGAAGAACATCGTGTTTTCTGAACAAAATTAAAACTATTAGTTTTTACTAGTTAAGGGACCTGGGCGAGCAGCGCTGAGCCAAACTTCACGCGCTCGCCGTTCTTCTTAGAAATAAGATTTTTTGAAATTTCTTTTTGTAAATTATATCTCCAAATCTTCAGCTTTCTTTTCCGATTCTTAGTTTTTCTCTATCATTCTTGGTTGATGAGCTAGCGAGAAAATGAGAAGCTTAACTTCAAAAGGCATCAAGACTTGCAGACTAAATTTTTTCTTCATGAAACTAGCACCATTGAAAAGAGCGTTAAATTCTGAACAGATCCCACTCCATCAGCTAAACTAAGTCCGTACTTATTGGCGTGTAAGGCCAGATTAAGAAAATTACTTAGCGCGCGCAGCTGGTCGCGGCGCGGCTGGACGCTCCGATTTAGCTATTTTGGGCTTCCTGGACATGATTCCCGCTGCGCGGGCGCTAAGTTATCTTGTTTATCTGGCCTCTATCTCCAGTATGTACAGATTTAGTTTAGCTGATGGAGTGGGATCTGTTCAGAATTTAACGCTCTTTTCAATGGTGCTAGTTTCATGAAGAAAAAATTTAGTCTGCAAGTCTTGATGCCTTTTGAAGTTAAGCTTCTCATTTTCTCGCTAGCTCATCAACCAAGAATGATAGAGAAAAACTAAGAATCGGAAAAGAAAGCTGAAGATTTGGAGATATAATTTACAAAAAGAAATTTAATAAAATCTTATTTCTAAGAAGAACGGCGAGCGCGTGAAGTTTGGCTCAGCGCTGCTCGCCCAGGTCCCTTAAACTCAACCTATTTTTCTTGTATTTTTGAAAACTCGTTATAATCCTGGATATTGGAATACACATATTGAAAGGCATGGGTTTATTCTATCGAACAAACTAATCGATTTAAAAAATTCTGACGATAATGATAAAGCAAAACTAATGGTTTTTAGCTTCTAATATTTTTCATTGCACATTCTTTAGTTGACGTGAATCTCGAAAATTCCCGTGAACCCAAGTCGAGAAAAAATGCATGTTTTGGAGGTTAATTTTTGGGCTGGCGAATTTGAAGAATGTAGACATTTTTCACTAGAGCTCGATAAACAATTTAGTCGGAGAAAATTTTCCATCTTTATCTGACTGTACTGTACCTGTAAGGGTAGTCTGTTGATTCAAATTTATCCACGACCATTTTTATTATTATCTTCTCTCAGAAAGTTATATAGAATTTTTTTCTGAAATCGTGGCTATCGTTGAGCTACAGTCACCATAGCAACGGGATAACCATAGCTTCAAATATTTGAATTTACAAAGAAAGTGATACTACTAAATTACTTTCCATCGATTGTTTATCTGCTGATTATAGTTGGGAGGAAACGTGATTGTTGAAATGACCGGAAACTTGTTGAAATTGGCTGATAAACAAATGAGCTCCCGAGTTTATAAACATAAACTGGCCTTAGAAACACATAAGCGCAATTTTTCGCGAGTTGGACATAATTTGATTTTAATCCTGCATTTTACGCATTCCAATGGAAACTTTTCTCGTTCAAGATTCAAATTTTCCAAAACTGAAAAAATATTTATCAAATCAGTAAATTTATTGCACGAACCACCGGGTCTGAGGCTTCATTTCATCAAATTTCACAAATGGAGTAATTTCATACATGGAGGTGGCCACTAGAACAACCGTGTAATCACTAAAAAAGTGCTGTTTTTAAAGGAAAATGCTTCATCTTAAAATTCATAAAAATTGAAATTTGGGGGTGCTGCTCCCGATTGGATCTTCTATTATCGAGCCTCTTATCTACTGCAGCAGATGTCCTAAAATCATTTTTTCAGAAAACTGCTTCTTTTAACACTGAGTACAGGAATATGCACTCAGGGTGAAGCAGCCAAGGGCAAGTTCCGCTACAACATCCGGAAAGAAGCGTACCTGGATAAAAACTCCAAAAAGCAAAAAACCCTTGAAGCTCGTCTTCCAACCCTCCCACCGCCAACAGAAGCGACAAACGAAGACGATTACGACGAAGGAGAAAATCTTATTGGTCTTCGAGCTGGGCCAGCACTCAACTTTGATTTTTCAAACTTTGCCAAAAAGAGCCGCGGCGGAAACTCGTGTAAGCCCCTGACCGAGTTTTTGAACGACAACGAAGCCTACTCGTCTCTGTCGAAATACGGCATCGTCACCAGTTGCAGCAGACAACAGTACAAAAACTCCAACTGCTTTTTGAAGTGCCAAAAGGGTTTCGAGCTCGAACTTGGCTTGGCGAAAAAACCGGTGACGACCTGTCGATGCAGAAAACGACGCGCGTCTGGTGACCCGTGCAACTGGGATGGATTGAAAGAGCTTTCTTGCAAACGTGAGTTTTTCAGCTTTTCAAAGCTTCTTGAATATTTTCCTTATCGAAAGAGGAACAGTACGTACTGTATCCTTATGAACTTGAGATTCTGAAGGACCCGTTTTTGCCCGAAAACGTTGTTGACACTCTTTATCAAATCTAAAAATAGTATTTTTCGGAACTCAAGGAAATACTTATTCTTACTTATCTTAAGCGGTCATCGAAACACGGTCCTCATGCAGACCTCCCGCTGTCACTGGAACCATGAATATTCTAGGTAAGCTGCCCCTTTTAATAAATGCAGAAATTATACAAAAGATGAACTCGGACCACCCATCTTCTCGGACGATTATTTGCGGTAATTCTAGGATCAACTTAAAATTTGGCCCATCAATTTGGAGCTTTAATTTGAGTGTACTCATTTCCCTAAATACGTCGTTCTCCGAGTTCAAGTTGATGAATTTGAAGCTCCTTATTTTCTGAATGATTTTTTCCGGTTTTCAAAGTCGAAAATTCACTGCTCAATAAAAATTCTAGACCGCTGGCAAGACGGGATTATGACTTTCATCGATATCGCCACAAAAGAAAAGCAAAACCTTACCGACTGGACACTCTTGATCGAATGGAACAAGCCCGTAAAGTCGAAACGAACGTTTCTCTGGAATGCAAACGTTGAAAAAATCTCCAAGGACTTGACCCTTTGGACCGTCGCCAATAAAAAAGGAGCGCCGCCCTCGATTAACGGAGTGAAATTTGGAATGGTCGTTGATAATTTGGAGAAACGGGACTACGGAACTGACGAATTGAAGGCAAACATCTTCCTTTGGAACTTTTACAACGAAGAGGCTGCCTGTTGGTCGCTCTCAGAAGACAGTATTTTAGCACGATCAGCAGTGAAAGAGCAATCGACTGTGTCTGAATTGGAACCGGTTTCTGGGGAAAGAACTTGCTTCATGGGAAAATATGTCAACACAAATATCTGGAAACATCATCATAGGTAACTTTCAAATCATTATTCTCCAATATCAAATCATTCGTGATTCAATTTATTAAGTCAATATCGAGTGCACGCTTCATTAGAATTCGATCTTACAGACCCTCTTGGAGAATGGGAAGTGGAACTGGTCTTTGCGGAGGGAAAGAAGATGCTTGTATTAGAAACACCCCAGCTGACCAAAAAAGACAAGTCGACTGACGGGCGTTACTGGAGTTTTAAAGCAAGAGCTTTCAACGATGTCCTAGTTTCCAGGAATTTAAAGTTTTTCATGTCTGGCGCGATGTGGCGGTCTGCTCCTGCTCCCAATGCAGGTTTGAATAAAAACAGTTGATAACCGCGGAAATCTTCGCCTGAAACGCAGCTTATACTTAACTTTGTCCGAAATCCGGAAAACGTTTGATTTTTTTACTCTGAAAATTGAACGGAAACGCACCGTGTCCGGAAATAAATCTACAGACAGGGGCATTTACTGTATAAGCCACATCATTTTTGAAATAATCTTATATGGTATTTTAATGCCATCTTGTCTGTAGAACAAACCGACGCAGTTTTGCGAAAACCGATATCTGACTTAAATAAATAGGTGTGGACGAATATGAACCAGATTTGGTATCGGATCCTTCAGGAGAAGTGCGCATTTGTGGAGTTAAAGCTCCATGGGCGCATATTCAGCAGCGAAGCCAAATCTTCAGGAATTTGTTGAAACTATGTTTACATTTCTAGCTTACAAATAAGCACCCTATTTCCTTAGATAGGCATCAAGATTGGGGCTCAACTCGTTAGATTCCAGAATCAGCGTAAGGCTAATTGATTTTTAGAGCATTTCTTACCGCAATTTTGAAAATATTAATAGAGTTGTTAAATAAAATCGACCGCGGCAAATAACTAAACGTGTTTGGCTACGTCTAAACAACAAGTCAACTTTTTTGGAAGCCAGAATTTGACCATCAAAACTCGAAATTTCTATTTGAAAAAAATCAACCCCAACTGTAAATTTGCCTAATTTCGGCTAAATGAATAGAAACTTTTAAGAGATCTTCAAAAAATAGAAGCTTTCAAAGCTCTTTTTGTCTAGCTCAACCTTTTAATTCTTCGCTTGCGTTATCACTTATCTACACTATCTTTTGATCCAGAAATTGCCCGTTGCTCTGTTAGAAAAACTCACCCATCGAAGTCACTTGTAATTACAGAATGAACTGCATCTACAGTGTATATTTAAACATGTATCTAGATATAGTAATACCTGCCGCGATAAGGTCTTGGTCGTATTTTCCTAAGATGGCTTTTCTATTTGGGTTATAAAATCCTTATCAGTGGAGTTACACGTTGCCCGATCTCATCTATCCTCACTTTTAATTATTGCCTCTCGCGAACTTTGGCCGAGGAAATTTTTCTTACCGAAGAAACACTTTAAATACACCTGCCAAAGATGTCATTGGGGGCTGCCGCACCCTCACAAGTGCTTCTAGTCGAGTTCTGAACGTGTTACAAGGTAGTAAGAAAAGCTTCACCGACTGTGGTGAGCATCCTTGATCAATTAAAGTATTCGCTCACGCCCTGAACACGTTTGGCTTGATGAATTTTATACTTGAAGGCTTCAAGTTGTAATTGCCTTAGTCAAGTTTTTTTTGCTCACATAAGATTTTATCGCTTGATTTTCCCTTGAATTCTAGTTGATAATTACAGGGATTTTCTATTGTAAAGCTCAAGATTTAGTAAATTATAGACTAGAGTTTATTGTAAGCCGGATAAATAGGCTATGAACCCCTTTTTATACGAAGTAAGAAAGTGAAAGGTAGCACGAAAAAATGAGCGGTTGTGGTTTTGTTCGGACGACGGGATTACCTCAAAAAGGCTTCTGAGGTTCTATCTTGGAATTTTTGTTTATATATAAAATGGTTTATGCATGTCAGGGGCAACTATTTTCAACCAATGATAAAGTGCTCCGATTTACGAAGGAAAATGCGAAAAGAACAGTAGTGAGATGGTGGAGAGCTACGATTATTTGGAAGAAGAAAGGTGCCAGAACTGGTCGCCAGATTCAATTTTCAAGCAAGATAAAGGTCAGTAGAAGCCCTTGCGTTCTGTCTTTAAGGGTGTCCCCAACGATCGAGGCCGAGACTGTCTAACTCGGTGACTTAAATTTTTCTTCTTATTTAGGAAATTCTGATTCCGATCCTTTTTTCAGATCTTCAATATCTTATCTACTTCTCGAGATATGGCTTTTTCTATGAGCGCGCTAATGCATTAGCCTTCGATAGAAATGCACTGTGAAAATGGCAATTTTGAAATTCTCAATTAAGTGTAGCAAATTATATATCTCCTGAAAGCTTGAAAAATAATAATATTCAAATAGATTTTTCATGTAGAAACTATCCGATTAGTAGAATTATTAACTCAAAGTTGATCCTGTTTCAAAAAAATCGTTGGGGACACCCTTAAAGATGTCTTTAAAGATGTCTTTTTAGATCTGCTACGGCTCTGGAATAAGGGCAAAATGTGCGATCACCAAACTGACACCACCAGTAGATATATTTGCTACTCAATTCTTTACATGGAATCTCAAAAAGGTACTTGATCTAAAACTGCTCCCCTTTGCTCAACTAAGAATTTCTAGCTGGAAAAGAGCTCAACATGGTTCCGTGGAGAGGCCAATCCACGTTGAAAGATGGCTGTGATTTGGTCGATTCGAAGTTTAAAGCGCCGATTCCGGTTGATCTCAGTGGAGGATTCTTTGCAGATGATGGTCACGTGAAAGTGACACAGGTAAATATTCATGTTGTGAACTCTTTAGCTACGATGGTGTCTAACAACTGGAGAAGATTGGAAGAACTTGGAGTGCTAAGGGAAGTCGTAGGATACATCAAACACGCGGCGGAATTCCTCGATCAGGCGCGGTTCGCCGGTGCCAATATGGTCGTACAGGTCAGTTCAAATGCATAAGGGAAACGTGCAGTTGTCAAAATTCAGGTCCTCAGTCGGATGCGGATAAAACCCCAAAACTAGATATTTTTTCGTTTTTTTTCGGTTAACCTGCACAGATTGAGAACGCGTGGGAATATTTTTTGTTACATTTATTGATTCAAAGAACTGAATACTTTATAAGAGACTGTTTTGCACAAATATTTGGCCAGTTTCGATCCAAGAACTGGCTTTTTAGGTGAAATAACGACACTTATTTTGAAAGTAACAATGAATAGCTGTAAGTAGAATGAAAGCTGGCAGAATTTTGACAAAATCGCTAATAAAACATAAAAACACAGTTTACGAGAAAGAAGAGATATTCTGAGCCCCAGCCAGACGCTTAATTGAAAATGATAATAGGTGCGCAAAAAAACTCGATTAACTTACCTACGAGCTCATATTCTTTGGGACCAGATGATATTCTTCAGAAAAACTCCAATTACCATCATTAAGCCAAACAAGAGGACTCTCTTATCGCAGTCGTTCATGCTGAAAAATTTTGAATAGAAATAGATAATCTACTGAATAATTCAGTTACCGAAGATAGATCCTATACAAAATTTTCACTGTCGAACGGAAATTCATCTGAGGAATGCGGTCGAAAAATTGATCTACTTCGTCTTCTAGATTTTCGTTTCGTTCCCTCATGGTTAAAAAGAGTTACCCACATTCACTATCTGAAATATGAAATTTGTTATTTTTTTTCCACACTTGAAAATATAATCTATCTCTTTTTAATAATTCTGCATTTTTATTGCTCTTTATTCTCTTTGCCTTCTAGCAGTGAAATAAGTCTGCGAAATTTAGGCACAGTCGCCCTGCTCTTTTCGCCAAAGCAAAAAACTTCTAATTGGCTAATAATGCCCTCTGGCGCCACTCTTATGTGTTTGTATGGACCATACAGTGTGAGTCATACATTATGTCCCCATGCAGCATTTGAACTAGCTATTTATATTAGATATAATATGGGTCTTCAATGGTGCCTTATTTTATGTGAGGTTGTCAGACTAAAATGCTTAAAGATAAATATCGAAACTTCACTCATAAAAATTCGTTGTTTGGAATAAAAATTCTTTCAGGTTGGAGACGCACGTGTAGACGATCGCTGCTCGGAAGGATCAATCGAAGCTTCCGCGGAGAGGCGAGTGACTTTGGCTTCAGACCGAAAGTATCCAGCCACAGACGCACTCGCCGGAACCGCGGGTGCCCTTTTAGCAGCCGCCAACGCCCTGGATACTGTCGACGAGAGCGATTTTGCTGACCGTTTAAGGAGCGGATTCGAAATTTGAACAGCATATTTATATTCAACATCGCGTTAATTTCTATAATATCTAGCGATGTTCATGATATAATCCGTTAACAGACGCAAGTCCGAAAACATCATTTCATCAATGCTCAAAAGTCCTCAAGGTTTGTCAGGAGAAAATGCCAATTTCGGAGAAGGACAACTTTCGCATCTGTGGAGATCAACTTGCTTTTATGATGAACTTGCGTTTTCTGCTGCGTGGAGCTGTACTCGAGAAAATCAAAATGCGAAAGCGGTATAAAAACGAGCAAAATGGCAAATTAAATAACTACTTTTAGATTTGCTTCGAGCAAGTAGAAAAACTCCTGGAAGAAGCAGATGAAAAATGCCAAGGCAACCAAGAAGAAACGAGCATTTCAAGCTGGGATGACCTTAGACTGACGGCAAAATACGTTCTCGCACGTTATTCAGGAAGCCTAACACACGTCAAGGTAACTGTCAAGCCACGGGTTTCTACTGACTAAAAGCGGAAACAATCGGATTTACAAAGAAATCCGGCCTGCGATCAATTATTATGAAATTTCCTAATTTTTAGACCTTTGTTGAAAACCTGAATCAAATTGCAAACAATGCTCGACCATGTACAGGAGATTCTGTCGAAAGAACCTCTGCTCAAGCTGCTACTCTTGCTCTTGGACTGTCTCTGGATGAGTTCCCGCGTGCGAATGAGTTAACTTACTCGCCCGTTGGTTTCTGGAGACGAAGCCTGATCAAGATGCTCAGCTGCGTGTCGAAGAATATGATCGGGTTCGGAGCAGATGATGGTGCAGCAATTTTCCACAAAAACTCATTGGCCAATGGAGCTACTTTATGGGGAGCAATCGTAAATGAATCTGGACGAACTAAGACGACGATGAACATCGACTTCCTCCTTGCTGCCGCCAGTCTTTAACTAGCTAGAGACTCAACCTTGTAAAGACCTTTTTCTGTACATATTATTTTATAGCAATAACACATCATTTCCCGATTGCCAGGGTAATGAAAATTTTTTATGCGCTGAAAAAAAACATTGTAAAATATCTCAACAAAAAAAACTAAAGTGTCAACTTTACTCAATTTTTTGTGCATTCCAACAATAAAATAAACTTTTTTCTGTGACTTTGAGTCAACCATATTATGGATATGCAGGAGAGAAAAACGAGTTTATTAGAATAACCCGCAAAACCAGTGAGGAGAAGGCGATTCTTGGTAATACGGGGTCACTGAAAAGACGCTTTTAAAAGATACGAGGATTATTTTTAATATGATACCTAGGTAGTTTTACATAATCAATTACGCTCTTACAAGGCTTAAAATTATGACCAGTACTAATATCTTATCGAATTAACTGATGTTGCGTTGCTGTTCTGTAATGAAAATCGAACCTATGTGACCCTTGTAAGCTTAGGTAAATACGGTGAGGATTTGAGCTAACATGAGCTCGTTCTTCACTTCATATCAACAAAAATGTCGCTGAAAGGAAGAGTTGCTCTTGTTACAGGAGCAAGTAGAGGAATCGGCCGCGGCTGTGCTAAGGCTCTTGCAGATGAAGGAGCTACTGTCTATATAACAGGTCGGAAAATAGAAACTTTGTCTCAAACAGCGAGAGAGATCGGCGGAGAAGTTGTTCCAGTTGCTTGTGATCACTCTGACGATAATCAAGGTAAAGTGATGGAGTTTTCTTATCTAACAGAAATAAGTCGAGAAATTATTCAAAAGGATCGACGCAGAGAATTCTGGCCGTCTCGATTTATTGGTGAACAACTGTTATTCTGGTGTTCCGACTCTATTTGGAATGGAAGGAGAGTCATCCACACCGGTGAATAAGTTCTGGGAGCAGACGCCAAAGATTTGGGATGCAATCAATAATGTAGGGCTGAGAGCGAATTATATTGCTTCTGTTTATGCTGCTCGATTGATGGTACCGAGGTACCTTACTTTCTAAAGACATAAAATTTCATCTAAGAATGAAGAGGAGAGGGCTTAATCGTCAACATGAGCTCTCCAGGTGGACTTAGTTATACATTCAATGTTGCCTACAGTGTCGGAAAAGCAGCTCAAGATCGAATGGCTCAAGATTTCAACGTCGAACTCAAAGGAACTGGAGTCAAAGCTCTTTCTCTTTGGCCAAGAGCGACTGAAACCGAATTTATGAGAACCAACGTCGTGGAAACAGGGTTAGTTTATGAAACTAGCTGTTATTCTTGATAAAACAACTTAGCATGACCGAAAAGGCCGTCGACGTTTGGCTTCGAAATCCGTGCTCGAAGACTGATTGGCAAAGCATTCAGTGGGTGGGGAAAACTGTAGCTGCTCTTCTGAGCGATCCGAATCTCGATCAGAAAGCTGGTCGGACAATTTGGTGTGATGATGTAAGTCGTTTGTCTATCGCTGTTTTGCTAAGAACCCTAGATTGCGAACGAATTCGACATCCGGGAACTCGATGGAAGCAAGGTGACCCACATTCGCTCTATGAGACACAACATTGTCGCATACAATGAGGGGCGATTTCCTTGGTACTTGGCCCTGATTCCTGAAGGGCTTTTCATTCCTCAATGGCTTTTTAACTTTGGTCTTTGGGTCAAAGGAAATAAATTCTAATTCATGCAAAAAAGAATAAATGCGCTTTCAGAATATTGAAAAGTCAAGCATCAAGCTGATTTCGAAATCATTGAGAAAGAAGCTTGATTGAAGCGGATTACATGTCAATTTTTATGTATTTTTTAAATTACAAATCTTTTTAGTTCAGTAAGAAATTGTGTCTCGTCGAAGAAACAGGAATAATTTTTTTTTTTCAAGAAACAGTGAAAGAAATTTTGATGCTTTTTTAGATAGCTGAAGAGGAAATAGAAGGATTCTGTTGTTTTTAGGTTGTGTCTCACTGATGCAGTTAATTTTGAAAATTGTTTTGGAGGGGGTCTATTTTTGGCTAATAGTCTTTTGATTTTTTGGTAGTTTAGCTTTCGAAATCGATGGAACAGGGGTTGATGGACGCTGCTGCTGGTCGTGAATGAGTTTTGGAGGAATTTGCCGACTTCGTTTTCGGCGAAAAGCAACAATTGCACAAAGCTACAAAAGTAACGCTCGCTGGAAAAGGAGGGTTGAGCTAACCTGGACGAATGAAGATAGAGACTGAATGAAAGTTTTTTTTTATATTTTTCGTTGTATTTTAGTTTGATCCACAGCATGGTTTCTTTTGATTCGATGACTCGCCGAGATTAACATTGTTAGCTGCTCCGGACTGTGTTTCTTTCTTTGGGAGTTTTTTAGCTGAAAATATTCGTCAGTTACAGTCTTACAGTCATAAAGCTGGGCTTACCTATTTGTAAAAAGAGGTCATTGACATTAAGCGCAGTCTTGGCCGACGTTTCCATGAATAAAAGATTATTTTCTTTGGCATAAACTTCTGCATCCTAAATTAACGGTCAGGAAAGAAAGGGGGTAAGAAAAGAGGGTTCAAATAAATGAGGTTATGTAAAAAAAACGATGCGTGGAAGGATCACTTTACGGAAAATACTCTGTGTAATCGTGTAAAGCGATTTAATGGAATTATTGACTTGATAAGATCTAAATCCATTTTCAAAATCCGAAAAAATGAAACCCAAAACGCGTAAGAACGCTAAATCAACTACTTGAGGGTCGAGCCCGCTTGCTGGAGATTTACCTCTGTTTCGACCTCTCTCTTTGCGGCGAGATCAGCTTTGTTGCCAGCGAGTGCGATCACAATATCTTGATTTGCTTGTTGACGAAGTTCCTTTACCCAGGCCTGTGCGCGGCTGAATGTGTCTGGACATTGAATATCGTAAACTACCACCGCTGCTTGTGCTCCTCTAGAATTTTGATAGTTAGCAAGAGATAGAAAAAGGTGGAGACGGCCTAACACTTCGGCAAATGAGGGTGAAAATGAGCTTATCTACGTTTTTGTAAAGAAAATCAAAAGATATTGATTGAACAAACCTGTAATACATTGGCGCAAGACTGTGATATCGCTCCTGTCCGGCGGTGTCCCAGATTTCGAATTTGACAGTGACATCGTCAAGACAGACCGTCTGTGTTAAAAAGGCAGCTCCGATTGTTGATTCTTGATGATCCTGTAAAATGAGAATTGAATTAATTCAACCGTCTCTCACTTATTATTCAGCTCGAGCGTTTGTTCTGCTCTTTTGAGCTGAGATGACATTACCTTGAACTCTCCCTTGACGAATCTGAGGACAAGGGAGGATTTGCCGACGGCGGCTTCGCCCAGAAGCACGAGCTTGAACTGAATGATCTTGTTTGTAGCTGGTCGCGGGGCCGCCATTTTTGTTACTCTTTTGGAGTTTTGGTGAGCGCGTTCGAGCTACTCAACCTCAAACAATCTGAAAGAGCTTTTGTTAAAAAATGAGACGACAACAGGAGAAATCGAAAGAGTTCATTTTGGACCAAAAAAAAGTCTGATTGAGGCCACTAGATGTCGATCCATGAATAGAAATCCTCTATTAAAATCTCTGACTATTCAATCTGGGAAAATTTCGCGTTTTACGTATAAAAAATCATTTTCTTCGAGAAAGAAGTCGTAAAAATAGTGAGAAAAACAAAGGACAGAAGATCAATCTCATGACTATTTGTCATTACGTCTAAAAAACGGCCATTTTTTTGTACATTACGTCATCACTTCTATTGTTGATGATAGTTATTTCCGTGTTTTCTCTTTATTTCAGGTGAATATTCTCATGATTCAAAAAATGCTTTTGGAAGCTTAGAAAAAAGTGATTTTTGGCCGGGCAAGATTGTTTTTCACGAGTCGATGTTTGCATTTCACAGCGAAACTGAGGAAACTTCAGATTCTATTTGAAAGCAGCTTTTTACGTCGAAAAAAGCAAGAGGGTTGAAATACCCGAAATAATGATATTATATCGGAATAAAATGTTATTCTTAAATAAACAGTAAAATTTATCAATTTTGAGACGGTCGTAATCCACAAGAGTAAATTATGAGTGACCACCGTGGGTTTTACGAGAAGCTGAATCATAATTATGATTCTTTTTATTCACAAATAAGCATGTTTGATTAATGGAGTCACCAAGAGAATCTGAAACATCATCAAAACAAGATCTCTGCTAAGAGAACTAAGATTTCCTTCATAAAATATCCAGATAAAATACAGAACTTCTGAAGGCTGTTCAACTTTACTTTTTAGATAACCTTTACGAAATAATTCATATAATAAGATTCTTTTAACTATCCTAGCTCCAACAGATCTCACTGTAAATACAGTTAATCATTAATTAATGATTCTTTTCTTTCTTCAAAAGAGTCTCTAGAAATCCTCATTTTTGCCCAAAGAAAGATGCTTTTTTGCCCGCGAGCGTGTTATTTATGAACTGGCGTGTTTTCGACTCGAAAACGCGGCCAATTTCGACCCGAAAGAGCTCCCTTTTCTTCTGCCTCTTTCTTTTCTCTCGATCTGATTGGGCAGAAGGGGGCTACAAGCAGAGATACAGACAGGCCCGTCTCTTGGCTGAGACGAAGAGTTGATTGTCAGTTTTTTAGCGCTTGGGCTTTCTTGTGTGATTGGAGCGAGTCGTTATTCAGACAAATGAGTCATCAATCGCCTACGGCCAATTGGAGATCAGCAGCGCAAATCTCCGACTCTTCCCAATTCCCGGAGGTCCGAGACTGGTCGATAACGCAAACATATTTTTACTGTAGATTTTGTATTCATTACGTCATCATCACAGTGCATTTCCAGAGATCATTATTTAAAAATTCACTCGTTGATTGATTGATTGAATCGTAAATTTATTATCAATAATCATCTCAAGTAATCGGAAAACATGCTTTCTTTACTCTTTGTTGTCTTCTTTGTCTTTCTTCTTCTTTTCGTCCTAAATTTATTGTCTCGATTCGACAAGGTAAAAGAAGATGTTAATGGTACCTTCTTCGAAGATTTCTGTTCCAATAGAGAAAGTTTGATAGCCCGTTCTACGGCCTCTTCATCATAGGGATCCATTTTCATGCTTGCTGGGTCTTCCGGCCCGGAAGATTCCGGGTCGCCGTCTTCGGAGGAGGACTCGTTGTCGTCGTCTTTCTTCTTGTTGTTGTCCTAAATTAACGATCAATAAATTTGTTTTCGGATTTTTTTTCTTCGACTAAGTAACGATACCTGTTGAGAAGGCTGCTGTTCCAACAAAGAAAGTCGTATGCCACACTCGATAGCATCTTGGTCGAATTCGTCGGCATCTGTTTTCATACTAGCTGGTTCTTCCTGGAGGATAGCGAGCCTCGCGGCCCTGCTCACTCTTCGATTCAGCGATTTTCGGGCTGTTCGCTTCTTTTTCTTGAGGTTTTTCTTGGGTGCCATGGCCGACTATGCTCTTGTCACTTACCAAATATCCCGAATGAAACAAATTCCAAATTCAATCAATACAGATATAAAAATAATCTGCTCTAGAAACCTGCAAATACAAAAAAACGCGATGTGAAAGTAATAGTTTATTAAAATAAGACCTTATCAGCATCATTCTGAGGAAATTATTTTAGTCACTGCAGTTTTCTTTTTGAAAAAGATACACATTCCATCGGATTTGTATAATAATAAAACACACCATAATTTGTTAAATACGTTTTTTAACATTTTTTCTTTCCAAAAAGAATATTTTTGATTCTTCACTTGGAAACGTTCTTGTTTTGTTATCTCAATCTTAGAGCACATTTTTAAGGCATTTGTTTACCAACGAGCTTGAAACGGTCATAATTAGCTGAAAAGGGGTAAAATCGGTATTTGTTGTTTTTGAACATAAGCTTCATTAAAATGGGGGGTTGTAAGCGAAAGAAAAACATGTATGGAAGAAAGCAGGGGGTTATTGCGCTGAGAAAAAAGGGAGGAATTTTATAGGAGACATATGAACAAGAGAACATGGAATAGCGGCTCATATGCTTTGCTATTACTCGGAACGCTCATTTTAAAACCACCCTGAAATAAGGGAAAATGAGACAGTATAATGTTGAATTATTACCAAAAGACATTACAGCCTGTAATATCTTCTTGAAAATTCTCACTGATAAAAAACTATCTGTCACTTCGCTGTGCCGGCAGGGGAAACAAGTGGTTATTTGAAAACATGTTGAAATTTTTTAAAGGTTGACCACTACTTGATATACAGATAAGATGAAAATTGTTCTACAGACGTTTTCCCCCAGCGGCTTTTTGCGGATTTGACCAGGGCTGGCAAATTAGGGTCCTAACAGCTGCACTACCGAAAAATTGTTAGGGTTCTAACTGAAAATTAGTGCTAATTAGTGCGGCATCCCCGTCCTACCCGTCCTATTTTTTTTCCTTGATATTTTTTCGTCTATTAGGACTGAATCGCCGCCCTAACCGTACTAATTATGAGGCTCTTTTTCATCATCCAATCGGCGCGCGCTTCCCACCAGGCGCGGAGGACAAATTGGTGGAAGATTGAAAAAAGAATGGAGCTGATTGGATGAGAAAAACGAATGACCCGCCATGATTGGCGGACCAATAAGCGCGCGCCTCGTTTAGGACGATTTTAGTGCGGCTTTTTCCAACTCGTACTACTCGCACTAAAAATTTATAAAATGAGAGTTAGGGTTCTAAAAATAGGGTTCTAACTCAAATTAGTGCGGCTGGCGGGACCCTAATTTGCCAGCCCTGGATTTGACAGTTTTTTTTGACAAAAAGACGGGTCGGCTTTAGGATTAGAACAGGGACGATTCAGATAGGGGGGATGAAAGGATTATTCTGAATATACTTCTGTACAAAGTAGTATATAAATATATAATATTCGTCTATCAATATTGTGCAACTATCGAAATCAGATGCTGATGGTTCTGAGCCGTCGGCTTAGCAGCTTCTGTCCGGTATTTCGCGCGAGGTGGAAGATTTTGCCTGAGAAAAAATGTAAAGAAATTTTATGAATTGGCGATTCTTACTTGAACTTGAAGAGCATCGGCGTTTGCCAGTTGGCGTCAAAGAGTAGTCAATGATATCTTTGAAAAGCTTTAGGAGCTTTTCGTCTTTCTTTTCGTCGGGTTGATTTGTTTCCAGTCGGTCAATCACTGGATTCAAATTCGATTCGTAGCAGTGAACCTTTTTCCACAAAACTTCTTCGTCTTGTAGGTCGAACTAAATCAGATTTGAACAAACATTATGAACTCATGACATAAGAAAGAAAGGGACTAGATGACTTTGACATGTCTTTGTTGATGTCAAAGAAGACTCTTTTCTGTGGACATGTCAAATGTTAATGAACTTACATCGGGGGAAAAGACATCTCCATGGAACCCATAAGAGCTTGGGTGATAGAAGAAAATGTTGTCGTTTACGGCAGCACTTTCAGCTTCATCGAGGAGGTCGAATTTGGTCATGACAAGCATGATCGGGCACTCTAATAAGAATGTGAATAGAGAAAGCTTGTAAATAAAATCGTACTCATTGCTTTTTCATCCTTGGATTCTTCCTTGGCGCGGATGATCGCCTTGAAGAGATTTACATTTGGGCGCTCGTCCGCCGCCGCAACGTACAAGATCATGTCAATCTGACTGTCTTTCATCGGCGTTCGATATCTGTGAGGAGTTAGCTTGTGCGCTGGTGGAATTCGCTCTTACCGCTTCTTGCAAATCTCGTCGGGCAAAAGCAGCGCCTGGCTGAGGTTGCTCGGGTGAAGGCGTCCCTCGAGAATGTAGCGAAGCAACAGAGCTTGGTGAGCTTCGTCGTGGATCGTGTCGAATCCACGAGTATCCCACATGACTACTCGACCGCAGTGATCCTCAGCAGATCGTTTCCACTAAAAAACAACGATGTTATTACTGTGTACAGGTTACACGCTTCAGACAAATTTTAACAAGCCCCTTCCGAAAATTCTTAGGGCAAATATTTGGTCGTTTATGATTTCACCGCTCATTTATGTAAACATCTCTTGCAGTTTCTACTCTAGTTTTCTGCTGCCTTTTCAGAATACAAATACAGCTTTGCTTACCGTGGGGTCAAAGTGTCGATGGCGTGGCCGATAGCCGCCGTTATTGGCGTCCGAGACGGTTCGATGACGTCGGTGATGTTCTGGATTCTCGTAGAGTACAACGGGATTCAAGTTGTGAGCGCGCCCAGTGCCGTAAGGAGCTCGATCCACCCACTCGCCAGTTACAGACATCAACAACGAGTTGATGAGGGTCGTTTTTCCGGAGTCGTGTGGACCGATCACAAGTACATTCAAGGGGTCTAAAGTTTTTATAAAAAAATTGTCTCGTCGAAAATACAGGATAAAGAAGACACGGCGAGGATTAAAGAACATAATAAAGATGTCTGGAGTCTCCTTTTGTGGCAAGTGATAAGAGCTCAGATGGATTATTGGAGGATTAGCTTTTTAAATTACGTCGTATGGGCTCGAGAAAATGCTCGGAAAAGCGAAATAAACTACAGGAGATGATCTCGATAAGACAATCTCAAAACAAAAATTTTCTTTGAACAAAAAATTGAACAAGATTTTACGATTATTACCTGTAATGTACTGAAGAGCTTTTCGAATACAAGTGTTGTCTTTCGATCGACCTTCAGGGAGAACTCTAAGGCTCTCCCGTCGTTCGATGAGCTCCGAAACATATCCTGGAACAACAGGAGTTCGTCTGATAGATGATGAGTTGTATCTCTGTCTCGGGTGCCTCTCTAGAATTTTTATCAGCTTACAATAAATTCGCCATATAATTGCGCTGCGCTCTGATTTTCGTAATCGGGTCATTCAGTTTCAGATTTTAATAAAATATTCTCAATTGTTTGTAATAGATTTTTTCGATAGTGGAAAGTCGAAGCGGAATCGCAAGAAAAGCCCACGTGATTAGGTGGTTATATATTTACTGAGCGCAGCATGTGAAAATTGCAAAACGCCGGTTTGCTTATTGCGTGATACTACTAGTAGCCTTTGCCCCTGTTACAGACGGGATTTACAGTCGATTAAGCGAGGACGTCTACTGAAGGCGACTTACGGTGAGGGATCATCAGGGGCTTGGGAGACGTAGACGGCGAAGAGGATGAAGAATCGAAGGCTTCTTCTTCGAACACCGGCTGTTCCAGGATGTCGATCTCGGACATTTTCATGTGCCGGAAGTCGCTGAATGGACATTTTTGCTAAGCTTGATGAATAAACAAAGGCAACTTTTGAAGATTATTAGCGTGGAAAGTAAATTTATCCTTCAGACAACGCCCTAGCGAAATGTTAGTCAAACATTTCTTCGAAGTTATAAGAAGGGCAAATCCTTAAGAGTCATGTGAGCACCTCCATGGTAACCTCCTCATTTGTACAGGGGTGGCTCGGGAAAAGGTCAAGATTACGTTTATCCATCTTTAACCCATCCTTCTCAAATTGACGAAACGGGACTAGAAAATGAACTCGGAACTGTAGGTGTGATTTTGATAGCCGAATCAACATTGATTTTTTTATCATCGTCTGAGAAAAAGGGTGTGACTTAGACGGAAAGAAAGACTCCTGTGATGATATCTGGAAAGTCAGAGGAGGGGTTGAGACTCACGGGTTCGAAAATGATTGATGAGAAGTTAATCGAATTATTTGATGAAGGGCAATTTATTCAAAGAACTAGGGACTTGTGGTTTTTGTCCTGTTTTGAATAGCCTATTCACGTGACTCGCACATTATGTAAGATTTACAAGTTCTTTTTCGAAGATTTAATACCTTAGATCGTCGAAAAGGTCATCTTCTTCCCTCGACTCCTGGCTGAAGTGGTTGGGAGTTGACTGAACTCGTCGAAGCTGCTTGATATCTTTCGCCTTCGAAGAGTCGTTGTTGTTGACTTCTTTGTCGAAGCTCTCCTGCGAGTTCTCCGAGCTAGACATCTCGTCGGTCTGGTAGCCAGAACTCGGAAAACTGCTGCAGTAGCGGATCGAGGAGCCGCGTCTTAAAATTTCGTTTATTTTTTATCTCTATTTTATCAATTATCGACTTACATAAGTAGAATGTATATTGCAAAATATTTTAATTAATTTTCTCGTTTAGCTTGTTTCTCGACAAAAAAAAGAGATATTCAGATTTGACCAATGGAGATCAATCACATTTTTGATTGAAACCAGAAGGAGCTGGAGCTACTACTGAGTGTACACAAAGAAAGGAAAGAAGAAAAAAACGACGCTATTCGATTTTAGTGAGGGCGAAATTAAGTATTTATTGAGAACACATCAATTAAAGAAAACTTTTTTTTATGTGAAAGGCATGGAAAATTTTAACGGTTTGCTAAATATTCCGTTTAGGTCCTTAACTTCTCTGTTTAAAACTCCAGCTAAATTTGAATAAGGAATTATTTCTCCTAGATCCAGTGCTCACTTCCCACTGGCCGGATCAACTCTGCCCCCAGGGAAGATTCAAGATAGTAAAACGAGTGAATTAAAGAGCCCAAGAGACTTTTCCAAACATGCTTACCTTTCACTCTTCTGTTGTTTCATCGGAATGTCGACGCATTCAGAGACTTCTTCTTTCTCTTCGTAAATCACGTTCATGTTCATTGCTGGTTGATTTGTTACTGTTTGGTTATTACAGGAGTGCGGCGGTAGCTGCTTAATTGTTTGTTGGCTCTTTTGAAAATTGAAAAATTCTAGGAGGTGGTTGTCTGTTTGGAAAGTATAAAAAGGGAATGTTATGCTTTCGAACTTTTGAATGGAGGATATATATTTCGAATTAACTTTGTCCCCGATGGCGCTAATGCGGTTAGCGAAGCTCTGAACGGCTCGAGGTCGCTAAAGTGGTGCCTTGGACTTACTACTCCGGTAGTCAAGCCACTCCAGCCTGGCGTGGTCGAGCCGAAATTACAATTTTATGGCGCGTGGTTAATTTTGGTAATTTTGACTTTTTCGGCGATTATCATAATTTCTTCAATTGAAAGTAGAGTTGATTAAAATTTGAGCATCACAAACTCAAATCAAACCCTCCCCTATCCCAAGAACCCTAAACCTATCTAAAAGCATCAGCGAGAAAAGAGTAAACTTGAAGTCATAAAAAAACATATTTTCTCTGAGAAAACTTACTGATTCTTCTATTTTGATCATTTTGTGGACTGATCTTCATAAAAGAATGAAAAAGAATCGATACATAAAAAAAGCTTTTCCTTGAAAAAACACGTAGTGAGCACTAATAATCGACTCTTTTGGACCGTCAGAATCAGGGTGGCTATTTTGGATTTGGGGGTTAGTTGGAATTGGATTGGATCCAATCCAATAAGGTTTGGATGGAATTTGGATGGCCAGGGTACCGGATTTTGTTGGGAAAAATTGGGCAATTGGGGGAAATTGGGGAATTGGATCCAATAAAAAATATGTCGCTAAACTATGCAAAGAAGGGTCATTTTCATGATTAAAATGAACAATTTCGGATAAAAATCATTGTTTTGGCTATGTTGATCCTCCTTTCGGATAAAAACTAACTGTTTCGCTTCTTTTCAAAGTACTAAAAGCCTTGGAAAAATTGGAAATCCAATTGGATCTAATTGGAATTGGGGATTTTTGGGGAATTGGGTAATAATTGGATTGGGTTGGATTTTGGATGGATAGCTTGGACTCAAAATTTATTGGATGGAAATTGGATGGCCAGACCCCAAAATTTTGTCCAAAATAGCCACCCTGGTCAGAATGTGAGACATGTGATCAGGGACAATACTTTATTCATAAAAATTTACGAGGCGGGGGATTTCTCGCCATTATCACTTCTGAGCCCAAAACGTCACTTTGACGCGCTTTTTTTGCGGTTGGATTTTATAACTTTTGATAGAGTTAACCAAACCTGGAGTTTATGGGCTCAAAATGATCCTCTCGAAAAATAAAAATTTTCCAATGCATTAGTTTTTGAAAATTAGGTACCAATTTTCCGGAAGTGATTTTAGGTACCCCTAAATGTTGTTCAATCGGGACGAAACTAGTACCAAAAAGATCGCCATAAAATTTCATGAAGATTGATACTATAACCAGACTATAATCTATCTTTTTGAGCATTTTATCACAATCTCAAGATACCCAAAAGTACTGAAATACAATTACCGTCTATTTTGTAAGGACACGTTCGAAACGAAGCAAATTGAGTACCATTCTTCATGAAATTTTCTGGCGATCTTTCTGGTACTAGTTTCGTCCCGATCTAACGATATTTTAGAGTACCTAAAATCATTTCCGGAAAATTGGTACTTAATTTTCAAAATCTAATGCATTGGAAAATTATAATTTTTCGAGAGGATCATTTTGATCCCAAAAACTCCAGATTTGGTTAACTCTATCAAAAGTTATAAGAATCCAACCGTAAAAAAAGCGCGTCTTTGGAACAGAACAGTGCTAATTTACCTTTCGCCAGAAATATGATTGAAATTTACGTTTCATTCAACCTAAGGAGCTACCGTCTCTTTTTTTAACTAAATTGGATGCTTGAATCGAAATGAAGAACGGAGATTTATAAGTAGGGTCATCACTTGAGCGGGTTAATTTGTCCTGCATAATATTTTTAAAAAAGATATTATGACGGATTAATGGATGCGCGTTCTATTTTGGCACTGAAAAACTTTTGTTCACGACTGTCGTTCGCGCAATCACGTGGATGTAGCATAGGGATAATGTGTATTTTTGAAGTTGTAAATGTTTTCGGAATTACTTATTCAAAGGTCGATGATTTAAAATTAAATTATTGCCTAGACTAGTGTTAAAGTCTGAAGGTGTCTGACTGAAGTTGTCAAGTCTACTGGCTGATTTTCAACATACCGGGCTCATTTTAACGTCATACATATCAAGTTGGTACTAAAAGAATGAAAAAATTTGCGATAGGCGGTCTAATTAGGACCATTTTTTGTCAATATCGAAGGCAATTTTACATCACTGATATTTTTCAAGGGCTACTGAAAATCGTTATTCTATCAGTGACATAATGTTAAAGTCGAAAACAGAATTCCTGAGCCGTTTCGTCGAGGGTTTGTTTATGAGAACGACGAGATAAAGCCTCGGTCACAGGGCAGAATCGTCGTGTGGGAGCATTAAAAATCGTGCGATCTTCGAGATAGTAGTGACGATCTGAGTATCCCAACGACTCAAGTCGTTACATAATGGGTGGAAGGAAATTTATGACTATCCACGTGACATAACACTGCGAGTGTTGCGTGGTTTTATCTTGGGTAGAAATGATCAATCAGTTTTATGGCCACTGAATCAATAATAAAATAATAATTTTTACGAAAAGTTAATATCTTTTGCCATTGATAAATAATTTTATTGCTCAGCGAAATTTAATCACCTGGCAGACTACTTGGTAGACAATAGTCCACTAGAAGAAAACCGTTAAGAAAACCAAGAAGACAATAGAAAATAATGGTTGCGTAAGGGTTACGTACGGCAATTGAGCGTTTTTTAACCAGTAGCCCGGTTTCCTTTTGAGGAAGTTTTTTTTCTGTTGTTTCCTAAGGGGAGTGTCTTTTCAAGTTCAACACCTACTTTCTGTTCGCCTGTCTCGTGGACGGTGAAGATATCTGCAAAAGGAACATAATTGATGCCAATTACATTCAAAATAACATAAGCAGGATCGGATTTATTCAAATCAGATAAATATTTGTTCGAAGACCTCCTTTAGCATTCATTATCAAGTGCACCCAAGTTCTGAGCTCGCTAATTATGTTTGACATTGAAACTTTTTCCTCTAACCAACCTTATTCGTGTAATTGCTCAAGGAAGAATCCTTCAATGAACAACTCGAATTTATACTGTTTTCTCTTTGTTACTGTTCTGACACTCGCATTCTTTTCAGACTAGACAAAAAATAATTGTAGAGAACACGCTCTGTAACATTTCTCAGCATAAATTTCCATTTATCTATGACGCGAAATCGATTTTTTATTCTGCCCTCCCGAAGTGACAATTCATGTTAATTTCTGATTCAAGGGGAGATGACTCTTTTACGCTAATTTTATATGTTTTGATGAAAAATTTAAATGACGAAATTTCAACCCCGTCTAAATCCATCTGGTAATCTTATGGGTATCGATATAGAGTTCTTGTTGATGGGGAAGTACCTGATCACATGGTGGCGCCATCTGAAACCGCGGTGTTCTTGATTGACCCCAAAAGAAATCGTTTTCGCTGGTTTTTCTTAACGCTCTTTGGAGAATCTTCTTGATTTGAAATCTTTTTGGTTGGGTTTGCCCAACTCTAGGGATGCTTATTTCTTCTTTAGTTTTTTGGTCGTTTCCTTCAAGTTGTTTCACAACTCGAAATGACCATCACGAGAGGAGCTGCGTCCTGTACGTCCCCTGCTGCTCTGGGCATTGGCCAATTGGACTTGCCCAATTAGCAGCCTCAGCCAATCATGTGACCCGTCAGATTCCACAGAAGATGTTCCTGAAGGCAGAAAGAATGAGTTCGATTCCCTGAAAGCCGCGTGACAACAGGCGAACGCAACCCGCTGAACCTTTTTCTTACCCGCGGGCTGCGAATATGGAACATTACGTAAACCGCAATTAGATTAAATTAGTGATTACGTAAGAGGAAAAAGAGGATTGTTGTTGATGAGAGACTTGAAAAATTGCAAAAAAAGGCAGACACTTGTTTTCAGTCTCACTATATATGACTTCAGAAGGAGAACTAGGTCAATTGAGGTCACAATCAACTAACGTGAATTAAAAAAACTACAGTTACTAGTAACTTACTACATAGTAATTCTACTGTAAAATACTCGATTCCCTAATTTCAAAATCTGCTGTCCGGTGCGATCTTGTTTCCGCGAACTTGCTACCTATTCCAAAATGAGATTCTCTGGGGGTCTTTTTTGATTGATGAGTTTGGCGAATTAGGAATTCCATCCTTGATCGTTGACCTTCTTTCCTTACGTGACCAGTTTTGAATAGCCTTGGAAATTCCTGACGATTACAGTCAGAAATCAAGACAAATCGCCGACAGTCCAAACCTGTGTTTTCAGGAAGAGACCTATCCATGTCAGAAGTTCTAGACTTGTGTCGAGAACCATTTGATCTTCTGAAGAAGATCGAGTAGGGAGAAGATCATCCACACGAGGATCCATAGAAAAATCAGCGACTCATGAATTTCGCTCGACGAAAATAGACAGAAATAAAATGTATTCAGTCTCATAGAAAGGATTAGCCCCAGGAAGTGGGTTTGCGTCAGAAATCGCTGAACTTTGGAGTCGTAAAGAGACCAACAGATCATGTGAAACGCATCTGCATCTCTCGATGCGGTGATTTTCAGCACCTTTTCGGCTGATGCAATTATTGCTCTCTTCCATGATTTCAGGTGACCTGCGAACTTCCAAGTGCCGGTCTATTAGGATGCTAATTTCAGCCAAATAGAATGTTTATTGACGGAACTCATCATCATCTACAGTCGATTGGGGGCGACGAACTCTTACGTAAGAGTACTGTAAGAAATCAAATTTTCAAGAACTCATCAGATTCCAAAAAGATGACTTCCAGGGTTCGTACAAAAATGCACTCTTACATGAGAGGCAAAATGAGTAGCCAGATTTTGTCAACTGTGGGAAGTGAAAGAAAACCAAATCGACGCTTGAATTCTATCAGAGCCTCTCCCCTCATGTCAGAGGGTTTAATTTGGTTCTTTCTCAGCATGAGCCGAGGCTGAGAATTGCGATGATAGAATTTATTGTTGAATGAGTGTCGATTTTCTCAGAATAACTATAATTCCGTTGGATTCTAAGAATTCCATGCGGGGAGCATATCCTGCTAACAAAGACGTACCCCATGTGACATGGGCCATGTCATACCTTTGTGACATAAGACACGTCGATTTACGGTGAAGTTCGTTTGTAAACATACGAATTTCAAGTTGAAGTAGCGGGATAAACGTCGTCTTTCTTGAGAAGTTTGACAGGATGAACGTATTTTCTAACAATGCTAGTCAATCGCACTTGACATTTGAACATGGTAAGTTGCACACTGATACAAATCATAAAATGATATTGTGCGCTCCAGTAAGAGCGACCTCTATGAGCTGTCAAGAAAAATGCGGTATATATACTCGCGAATATTGTTAACCCTCATCAAATCAAAATAATAAATAGTTTATTATTTTGCCAAAGGCAAAAAATGAGGATGTTTTCAAAATTCTCTCTTGTACTTGTAGCTAATGCAAGTCATTTCCGATCCGGGAGTTTTCAGTTTTCACAAAAGGATGACGCCGAATTGGTTCTGACAAGAACTCTAAATTACCGAAGAGGATTTGACGGCTACGATCCCGCTTGTTTCCCCTGGCACGTGAGAGCGGGCAAAAGATCGTCGACGATGGAATACGAGCATTCTATCATCATCTCTACGAATGCGACTGTATCAATCCAGAATTCAACTTACGTCGTCACCGATATCGAAAATGAAGGAAATCAAAACTCGCAGTGGTGTTATGGCTCGATAGATGAGCCGATTCCAAAGCCAGCAGAACCGTTTGAATACTACTTCCAAAACTGCTGCTGGGTCGACTTGACGGACGACAAAGGCGAAGTGATTGAAGACGGTCCATTTAAACTCTACGCAAGATATTACGACGTGGAGAACAATTCTCCACAGGTCAAAGTTCCTGCGATTTGGCGAGTAATGACTGGCTGTCCCAATCAATCGCTAGATTTGAATCCAGAAGACAAAGACGACGACAGAATTAAATGCAGATGGAGCACTGAGGCCGAAGCAAAGAGTGCGAATTACTTCAATGGAGACTACAGTTCAATAACACTTGATGAGGAAACATGTGTCCTCAACTATGATGGAACAAGTGACACAACTACTTTCGGAGTAAAACCAATCGCGATACAGGTTCTATTGTTTGTTAAATTCACCGATTAAAAAGTCAAATTTCAGGTCGAAGATTTTGACGAGCGAGGAAACATCAAGTCATCGATTCCAGTTCAATTCCTCGCCTCAGTTTGGGAGCCACAATATTCAGGAAGCTACGTGGAAGTTACAGGACAATCATCGGGGATCCCTGCTGATGAAGAGGAACAAAAATCAGAAGCATTTTTCTGGGGCGATACTCTTCACGGTCATGGGGATAACCACGAGCCGAAAAGAGAGCGACGGGAAGTTCCGGGAATAAACCCTGACACTGGCAATTTCTACTATTGCGATGAGCCTCCACAGCTTATTCCTCCATCGCCAGAAGCAGGAGCACAGATTAATGTCACGAGCACAGTCAAGATCGACGTGCGTGCATTCTACTACCAAGATCTTGAACCAAAGTACGACCTCCGCAGGTTTCAGTTCAACTCACCACAGGGGATGAACTGCACCGATATTGACGATACTACTGGCCGCGCTTCATGTACCTGGACCCCAACACAAAAACAGCGAGAACAAAAACTTCACGGCTTCTGCTTCTTGGCAATCGATAAATTTGGTCGACAATCTGAACGAAGATGCATTACTCTGACGATGTCAGATTATGTTGAAGATGTTATTAGGTAACAAATAATTTTTGAATACTTTTTTATTATTATTTTATTAAGCATGCTAAATCTTTTCGCTCCGGAATTTGGCTCCCGAGAATTGACTGATTACGGATGTGCTGGCCGCAATCTTCTTGATCCATTCCACAGCAACATTGGCAAGCCAGTTGATCTCACTGACAAGACGCTTTCGAGATGGAAAACATGCATTAGATGCGCAAAGGAAAGGTTCAAATACTACCTACATTTCCATATTACCCGAAGGAAATGATTCATTTTATTCAATATCTTCGCGTATGAATGAACTTTCACAGGATGCCGATCTTACCAACCTTTCCGACGTTGGAGACCGTGAACTGCCAAAGTACATCTTCGACTTAGATACGAAAACCTGCGGTAAATTGACAAAGAGATATTCATTATAATTCTAACGCAAATGTAGCAAACGAAGTCGGAACATTGGAACGCTCTATTTGCGAATGCGATAAGAGACTTGCTAACACTTTGAAAACCTTAACGATTCGGCCCAAGTACCAAAATTACAAAGACACTAAGTGTGAGAAGAATAATATCACAGACCGTCCGGAAGACCCACATTGCTGCAGAGATCAGGGTGGATTATACAAGATGTATTATGCTTCGAAGAATTGTTGTGAAGAAGACGGAAAAATCAGATCTAACGGAGAGTGCACCACTGATGGAGGCATAACATATGAAGCCAAGGTATTCTTACAAAATTTTAATACGTAAATTATTCTCAGATCAAAATCTACCGGCCCGAGTTTGTCGAAGCGGACAAAAGCAATGATAAACAAACTTCTGACTCCACATCATCCGATTCATCCGATTCAACGGACAGAGGAGCTGGAATAGGACGAAGGGGTTCGAAGCCAAACAGATGGGCCAAAGAAACCAATGTATTAGAAGGCAACTTGTGAAAAAATATTTGTTTGTAAATTTTGTATATAATCTTGCTCGATTAAAGTTATTACCAAAATATCACAATACCAATTTTGTCTTGTCAAATTTTATTCATTTTCGAAGAGGTCAGAGTTGATTTGCAGAAGATCTTCGATTTTGTAGCTTATTCCAGCTAAGTCGAAAAGTCTTCTTTTGTATGTACAGTCGGTGAGATACAGAATTGTTGCCAAATAAGTGGTATTTATATTCGAATTTAGTTATCATCAAAATATCCAACAAGGACATCAGCAGCACTAAACCATCCGCCTGGGACGTAGTTCCAGCCAAACCAGAGCTCTTCAAGATAGGTTCCGTCAATTTGGCTGATCGTGAATGTGTTGCCCTAATATTGAGTAGAGAAGGCTTTGCATAAGATAACTCACCACTCCTGAAGCAGGTTCGAAAACGACTCTAGGGTCGTCAACATAGAATCCCTCAACATCGTAGATAAATTGGATAACAACTTTCTTTCCATCGAATCCATCGTAGGCACGGACATTGGTTCTTGCCTTGTCTCCATTTGTGTTTCCTGGGAAAGAGAGAAGAGATGTTGTCCATTTTTGAGTGGAATCACAGCTCAGTTCAATGGACTCAGCTCCGAAGCGGTAGTCATCGCCAATGAAATTAACGATGAAATCTTTCAGGATTATGAATTATATTTAAAAATTAGAATTAAACAAGTAGAGTCGAAAATGCTCAAAAATATTCATAATCAATTTGAAAATCCCTTCCTAAAGTAGAGACACCCTCAAACGCCTGATTAGCCGCCACAAGAGCATAAACACCCGATGACGGGTCGCTTCCAATCGGATCCACGTGAGCATTGAACACGTGAAACCAGTAGACAGCGACGGGAAGTCTGATGTAGCATGTGCCAGCATCGCCGAAAATGAAATTCATGACTTCGAAAATTGCGCCCCCGAGAGCGTTTGGATTTGATGGCCATTCTTGAGTCAGCGAAACGGGAATAGGAGTGTTGTCCTCGACCGGAGTTGGGACGTAGTTGGGATCGTAAGCGCCGTATTGGTCAATGGCAGAGTTGTAGGAACCATGACCGTAGCTGCTGCGTTCTACAGAGGTCTGGAAGGTGAAATCAGAGGAGGACGGCTTCTCGGCAGTGTAGTCTGGCTTGTACATGCTTGGCAACTCAGCCTGAAATATTTGAATAAAGATCTTTTTCTCACATTTTTACCGAAAAAGACGTTGTCCTTGGTCGGTCTTCTGAGGAATCTCCACTTCCTATCTCCTCAAAAGCGTTGTACTGAAGAGCAGTTCTACCCATGTCATCAATGAACTGAACAGGCTTTGGCTTGACCAGAGCATCTCCATCAGCTTGGAATCTAGTGATGCCGTTGTTTTTGAAAAATCCGTTTCCAGATCTTGTTGAAAACTGGTTATTCGAGGGAGACTCTTCTCTCTGAGAGACCTGCTCATTGAAAACTTGGCCTTTTGGTTGGTTCGATTTCAGTTCTCAAGAATATAAGATCTTGATAACCGTATGAGATGAATTTTGAACCTTCCCTACATCAGACAAAAGCTGTTGGAACTTCTTCTCAGGCTTCTGATTCGCCTGGAACCAAGGAATATCTTCTCCCAAAACTTGCTTCCCCTTTGCTCCTTTGAAAGAATAGCTGTTTTGATTTTCACTTTGCGCAAGTCTTGAATTGCCACTTGAAAAGCCGGAATTCCCGGTCCTCAACGATCGCTGGAAGAAGTTGTTCGAGGTTGGAGGAGCAGTTGTTGTTGCTCGCTTAGTTGTTGTGATTCCAGAGTCTTTTTGAATCCTGTCGATGAACCAGTCCCAAGAGCCATAGAATCCCTTTTCAGAAGGATTGATTCCTTGCCGACGAACCCGGGAATGCGGATTTGCTGATGAATCTAGGAAGGATCAAAATTTACGAAATTTGACATTTACGAAAGTCATAAAAATGGGCTTATGCGAAAACTCATTCAAGACTGACTCTTCTTTTTACAAGGGCCTGAAATGAAGTTTAAGAGCCTCTTTATTCCTCTTCGAAACAGTCATTTTGTTTCTGCAAATATTGCATAATTTTCATTGCTAACATGAAAATCTTTCTATTTGAATACCTTGAATAAATGACGCGAGAATTAGTCCAGTCTTCATTTTTTTTTCTTTTATTCTTTATTTCTTCCCTTATCTATATAAAAGTCTTCGTTTCGTATATTGATAATATAGGGATTTAAAAGAAAAATTAATAAAGCTGGAAAACGGCGTATCTCTCAGCCGACAGTTGGTTTACGAATTTGAATTCCGATTTCACAAATCCTAAGGAGCCAAAATCGCATGCAAAGACGCGCTGGAATACCGCGAAGTTAGCGAATGTTTGGAAATCAGGTTCCGCCTCGTTCCATTTAATGCTGTTGGCGATTTAATTAACGTGAGATATAAATTTACGTCAGAAAAGGCATCAATTCGGCGGATTCTGAAGAGACTAAACAAATAGACTCTTCGATTGAATTTTTTACATTTTTAAAAAACGCAAATTCTGTCAGTTTTATAGAATCAAAATTGATGGGTTTTAGATCAGTTTCAATCTAAAGGAGCAAAAAAAAGTCGAGAATATTTCCTGTTTACTGATGTAAGAGGTTATGTGAAACCAAATATAGACGTGTCATTTAATTTTTGGCTGCTTTTTTGTTTGAAATCACACAATTCCAAGAAAAATACGAGTTCGAAGGGTCATGAGAAAACTTGGGCAAACATAATGGAAAAAACGTGCTATTTACAATTCTCTAGTTCTTCCTTTTGCTTTTATTCATCGCCTTACCAAAAGTGAAATTACAAGCTCGAGATTTGAATTTGAGTTTTCATTTTTTGCAAAGAGAAATATCGTCTTTGAACTTTCAAGAGTACTTTCTTCGGCCAAAAAGCGATTATATTGTTTCATTAAAAGATTTCTTAGTAAAAAATCTCATTTTTTCCAATTAAAAATTTACAGTAAAAGACTTTTTTGTTCGTTATCCGATTTTATTCGCAGCTTTTCTTATCATTTCTTAATATTAAAAATAAGGTTCTTTTTTTGAGTTTTAAAAATCGTAATGAAATCCGGCTCATTGTTCGATTTTTATCGAAGCGTCGAGCAGCGAAGCGCGATTCATCCTCGAAGGCTGAAGCCGGATCGCGAGTTCAAGCGGTGAGATCGAGATTGCTAACTCGCCAACGCCAGAGTGAGACAGAGAGGAAAGCACACAAGTGAAAATGTCCAAATGTGCAAATTCGTAACTTGCCAACGTATTCGTTTTTGCTCCCTGGCGTTCAGACTTTGACAAATAATAATTTCTCTTTATTCCATTTTCTTTCCGACACATCAGAGAGATAGTCAGACAAAAAATTGTCTCCAAGCGGTGAAGTCGCGAAAAATTACTGTATTTTTTCAGAAAGTAATGAAAATGCAAAAAGCTGAATTAATCGGATTCGAATTCGACGGGGATGAAAGCACAAGAGAATGTCGCGCAGGTACTCAAACTTAAGTGTATGATAATTGTAATAATTGCAGCAATTGCAAATTGCAATATCAGCCTGTTGATCCATTCAGGCTGAAATCACTCGAGAGTATATAACTAGGCTTCATTTTTTACCTCAGTGAACACTCCGGGACACTTCAAAAGTACCCGATGATGTTCCCCCTTATTGAGCTTTTGCCGTGCTTCCGGTTCTTTTATCGGATCATTCAGAGATTGTGGGGTAAATCTTGATATATTTTCTATATGATTATAGTCGACAGGGTTTCAAATAAATATGAGGTTTCGGACAAGGATCTAACTAAGAGAAGTCTTTTCTAAACTCTACTAAGAGAGTAAGTTACTGTAAAATCAAGTGGGTGAGGCTCGATTCAAGTAGCTTGAAGGCTTAATAATCTTAAAAAAACAACCAATATTGACATGTTTTTCATTCAGTCTTCAAAGTTCGATGTCCGCACCAAGGAAAGTACGAAGCAACAGTGGAAGAAAAGGGCACGCACATCGAATCTGTGACGACACTCGTAAAGGCTGAAGAAGGCACCTGCATAATCAGTAAGTCCTTTTGAGAACGAAGTGTCGTAATCTGATAGGATATTCGAGAATCGCCCATGGCGTGTTCAAAAGACAAATAGCTGAGTCGATAAACGCGTAATATTTGCTTCGTTTTCATCCAGAGAGCCTCAGAAACAGTCTGCTAGAGTCTCGCAGTCTCAGAGACCTTGTTTGAACAACCAAAGTCCGCATAAATGGCAACGGTTATATAGACACAGTAATTTCCTCACTAACAATGGAAAATAAAACTTTGCCGACAGCTCTGTAAATTTCAACTTGATTGACCTTTGAGCCATACTTAATGAAAAAAATTCTCTTAGAAGAACTAATAGAAAGACCATCAAGAATCAACAAATATATAAGGATATTGATTAAAAATTCTCATTGTTAGGCCAATATTATATTGGCAATATATCCATCCAAGCAAAAAATAGGCATTGAACAAGGCTGAGAGTAGTCTGATCTTTTAGATAAATTGGAGCCCCAGTGCTGGCGCATCAAATCTCTGAACAGCAACGAGATTTTTCAAATCGAAGTTTCATCGTCCGCCACTCCCATAACAAGAGAAACGCTTGATGTCACCTTGATCGAAGAGACAATCACAAGAAGATTGCCTCAGACCAATCACAGCGTCAATTCGATGCTTGGAAATGTGATGATGAATGCCAATAATATTATGCAGTACGCTCAAGTCAACCCGAAGAAAATCAAGGTAGGCCCTCTTTATTTTCTGAAACCAATATTTTCTTGATAGGCTGAGCCACTAAACGGCGTGCCTGTATCCTTCGACTTCCCCCAGAACCTCGATACTCGGATTGTCCTCCAGCACATCGCTAACACCACCAACTATCCCCTCCAGCGTTTCAAATATCTCCACCAAGGAAGAGTCATCAACCAAAAAGCGGGTCCCCTCGATTCAAACGGCATTCCTCAAAATGCAACGATTGGAATCGTCCCCAATGGACCCCTGCCCCCACGTCCAGCACCGCCAGGAATCGCACAGGTCCAGATGGCGCAGAATATGCCCCACAGACAACTTGGTCAGCGATTCAAGCCGTATCAAGGAACACCGCCGTCAAGGAATCTGTTGAAAATCGAGCACAAAAATCCGAGCAATCACAAGGTCAGTAAGCTTCAGTTAGGAAGCGTGCTTACATGAAGCTTCAGGCATATCAACGATGTCAAATGATGCTGGTTTTCATGCGCAATTTCGAAGCCTGCCTCGATTTCGCGGAGAAAAACTTGGACCCAGATGAACGACCCAAGTTCAACGATTGCCTCGAGAGAGTCTCAAATATTCCTCTTGGTACGACATCCTCCCATTTTCTTTTTCTATCATTTCTTTTAGTAATTGAATTCGGCGATATTCTGATCAAACTTGCCCCACTCGTCCGACGATGGGCAATCTTGCTCTCGAAGCTCTCTGACTTTTGCATGTGCGACCCGACGGCGGAGCAAACCAACTTGGAAAAACAACGAAGACTCATTCAGTCGTGCATGGACGCATGTCGATATGCATGGCCCCTTTTTAACCACATGTCCCGGCTCATCATCCCTCTCCAACAAGAACCCACTCCTCATCGATTCCTCGTCTCTGCATAAATTTACGGTCCCTTGCCTAAATTCAACCCAGTTACTCCAAGCTTTTACTCCCTTCTTAGAATCTTGACAGGTTCAAAATCTCTGCTCCTCCTTTCTCAACCAGTATATGTGCCAAATTAACCAACTTTTATCCCCTTGTTGGGTACTTTTTGATCACGAGACAGCAGCTGCAATGGAAGTCATTGCAGTAAGAGTTTCTTCATAAAGATTTTTGTCATTTTTACTATTTTTGGTACACATCTATATCAAAACCCGTTTTTCTGTCAAATCGTTATATGGACCAAGGGTACCAAAAACAGCTGTCTCGCCTTTAAAATAACCAACAAACAAGAAAAAGCCCTTTCTGAAAGGGCTTTTCAAGAAATGGTCCAGTAAATTTTGAGCTCAAGCTAAATTTTTACTTCAAGTTGAAGGCTTGAACAACAGAAATTTCGAAGTTGAATGAAAACCAAAACCTGTTGTTTGGTACACATCTCTTTGCAGACAAGGGTACCGCTTTTTCGCTTGGCTCACCAACTTACTGGCTCGTTTTTTGTTCAACCAGAGCTGAAACGCGTTTAAATTAGTCGTTACCCCTTTTATTTGGAAGATCTCTTTTACATGCAATTATGATTTGAAATCGTAATAGCACAAGGAAAATTGATCTGCGTTTCAGCGAACTTTCTCTACTATCCGCTCAAATTTAAAACTCCTAGAATTGCCTTTCACAAGGTACTAGGCTCTGATAGACTATTTTAAAGCTTTCTATCGGACTAAGATTCCCATTCTTTAAAGCCTAAAATTCTGATACTCGAATAAACTCTTTCCAACAGACTTTCTTTCTTTCGTCTGCCAGACGCATTGATTGACGCAACGAGAAGGCGTTCTCGACTCAATTTATTACTGAAGACGTGTTTTTCAATCAAGAGGAGCGAAACAACATTCCCTGAAAAATTAATTTATTCGATGATCAGGGCGCTCCAAAAAAGGGAGAAAGCGGCGCTGATTGGCCGCGCGCAGAAAGCTGAAAGTAGAAAAGAGCTCCGAGAAGACGACGGCTGTAGAAATGGAAGATCGGAAAATAGAGAATACAAGAAAAAGAAGAATTTTGTCATGGGCACCCTAAATTTGCTCTTTTCCATCTCTTAATTACTCAGTATTTTGTTACCGTTAATAATGTTCAGCTAACTCCGAACTATTTGTTGGTAGAAAAAAGCATCAAGAATTAGTGTTGATTGTCTGCAAAGAATTCGTGCAAATCTAGGATTATCCGGAGACTATCGACCACTTTCACCGTAGAATAGAACTTGACAAATCCGCCATCTGCAAAATGAACTTTCAAATGAATTATTGATGCGTTTTCCAGTTTTTTCTTGTCGCCTAGAATGGATTCAACCCTCTTTGGCGTTTTAGGTTAAGCTAGGATCATTTGAATTTTGATTACTAAATCAATAACGGACCCATGATCAGCGCGGCATATTGAGGCTAAATACAGAGATTGAAAGCTCCGCTCTCGCCCCCGAGGAAAAATTCTGAAACAGATCGCCGTTACAGGCAGCGTTGCCGCCATAAAGCTGCAAGAGCTTGTTTCCCGTTTCCAGGAGGAGGCGGAATTTGATGTGAAAATAATAGCGACAGAGAAGGCACTTCATTTCATGAAAGGGTTGAATTAGCCTGCGATAAAGAGGGCTTGAATTGGCAGTGAGGCAGAAAATCCCTGTCCCGTGGCGAAGATTATTCTTTGCCTCCAAGGCTTTTTCGTTAGAGAATTTCACTTGAAGAAAAAATTTACACCAGTAGAAAAATAGTTTGTTTTGACGTATCGCTGAATAATGAATGGTACTTATGTCAGCTTATACCATCCTCAATATCGGTAATCGGCTTTCCTGTCAATGGGAGCACCAGTAACTCCTCATTTAACTCATAAAAAGACGCACGCAAGACTTCAAGTCTGACATTCCTGTCTTGACTGAAAAAGACGAGTGGCTGTGGTCGAAAAGAGGAGACCCCGTACTGCATATTCAAGTACAGTCTCAATCATTTACTCATTTCTCAGCGCCCTAGACTTGAGACTTGTGCTTTTAGAGAAATTGAATAACAGAAGTGTTTTGTTTTAGCTTCGAGATTGGGCTGATCTCTGTCTCGTCGCGCCACTTAGGAAATGGGGCAATCTTCTTTTCTACCCATTTTGTTATTGGCAGTTTACTGAGCTGCAAATATAATCTAGTTACTTTAGGCTCTTTAGACTAGTCCCTCGAAAGCGCGAATTCTCTCGCGAAAGCAGCAAATGGAATTTGCGATAATCTCGTTCTGTGCGTTTTACGAGGAAAAGGATTTAAAATTGACTTGCTTTATTGCCCCTTTTTTCGATTAAAAGAGTCACGTGCTTTAAAATCCTCTTTGAAGCCTGGGATTTTTGCAAACCAGTTGTCGTCGCCCCAGGGAAGGGATCACTTTCCCCAGAGCGAAAATTAAAAAAACCCTCGCTCCGCGATGGAGATTTATACATGTTCATTAATCAGTGAAAAACAGAAGTGCACTGTGACCCTTTTGAAAAGCGATGAACACTGCCATGTGGGAAAGGTGGAGACATAGAGGAAAACGCGCTGCGACAAGAATTATATTTTACAAACACGGGTTTCCGCAGCGTTTTGGTAGAAACATCCGGTTACTGAGGAACATTTGAGGAAACTGGAGAGATGGGAAAAGGGCCTCCATAAAAGATCATCAATCAAGAGACTCATAAAATTTTGCGGGCCCCTGAGAAAGAGGGAGAGAGTCTGGTCTTTTTGAAATGTAGAGAAAAAGTCTTGTTTTGCCTTATGTTTATGGAGCGTCCCAAAAAGGGTTACAAAATTATTCATCCGATTACGAAGACACTAATCTGCGGCGATGTAGGAATCGGTGCCATGGAAGGCAAAAGGCTTCAAAGTCCCCTTACTTCAATTTTCCTCGCTAAAATTATCGATTTTCAGCTTTGAACCCTTATCTCGCAGAAGTCTCCAAAATTGTGGGCGTTGTTCGCGAGTTGACAGCGCTAATGGAATAAAAAGAAAAATGATTATTTATGAGACTAAATGATTTATCGATTTTCAAAGCTTCAATTTGCAATTATATTAGTCTAATTCTTCTATTTATTTTCTGTAGGTTTAACTTTGATGATAGTCTATCCAAGCTTATCCTTCTTTTGTACTGACTCTTAGTAGCTTCTTTGCTCTCAGGCGCGTTCAATAAGAATGTATAATTAATAGGCCTTGTAAGAGCAATAAGAGAAAAGTTCAATTGTTGGTACTCCCCTAAGATTGGCTCTAAAACTATCAATTTCTATCTTTTTCAGAATGAAAAGAGGAAGTTTACTCGTGTCACTTGCCTTTGCATACCCGAAGATTTCAGAAGAGATTCTTGGTGCTAGATTTTCATCGAATGGCTTGTGGCCTGACAAATCTTGGCGATCGAAAACGGGCGAAAAAGGGTTGAACTATCTTGACGGCTACTGGGATATTCAAAAAGTCGATATAGATGATGTAAGTACCAGAATTTTGAAAGAATTCTATACTACGCGCAACAGATAGCAAATCTGCTCATTCTTCATTATGATTGGCTCGCTGCGATTTTTTGATATCCTCAGCGAATCAGAATGAAGGATGAGCAGATTCACTATTCGATAACCATGCTGTAGAATTTTTTTTGAAAAATTTAAACTTCAATTCAAACTTTAGATTCTACCTTCGCACACAACCATGATAAATGACGAAATCGAGCACATTTGCGTGAACAAAACATCCCGTTCCGCCGCTAACTTGCCTTCAAAATCAATAATGCTCTCCGACATCTGGCGATTTGACTCGCTGGACAACGTCCACATCGGTCTCGAAGCCGACATCCCAATAAAGGGGCCGGAAGAGATCGGAGAAGAGCTCTGGAATAACTACACGATCTCGGTTTATTCATCCGATTGCGCGTTGAATAGAAGGTATTGGAGTCAACAGAGCTTCACGACGCTGAAGAAACCCGACGGCTCGAGGAATATTCAATTTATTGTCAGATCTGATGGCGGCCGTTGCCAAGTAAGAACTAAAAATGAGTCTTCTTCTGTTATAACCGATTCTTCAGCTAGTGGTGCCGATGGCATCCGAAAAAGACGTTTACCTGCCGAATTCTTTGAACGCGATCACTGCTCAAATTTACTCAACCTTCGGCGTTCTCTTCATCATCCTCTGCATCTCCTCGATCATCATTTCGCTGCTCTTTTGCAAGACGAAAAAGCAGGAAGAGCGAAATCCGCACGATCCGAAAACCGAAGAGGAAACGATGGCCTTTACTCCTATGCCGACGATACCCGAGTAGTAGCTTCTATTTTTCTTTTTTTATCTATCATAAACTGCTAGAAGTTCAACTTTCTTCATTTTTTTTACAAATTTATGATCTTAAAACTTAAATATCTGGCATAAAAATCTTTAGCGAATCGCTTTCCCGGATCGATAATTTGAACCAATCAAAATTGGGCTCCTCCGTAGGCGTGGACTGACCCCTTAAAAACTCTGAAACTTTCTTCTTATAATTTCGCTCGTTACAACTTTCACAGCCCTAAAAATCACTATTTTTCGACCCATTTCTCCTTTTTTCCTGCTCTTTTCTTATTGTAAATATGTCTGATACTCAACTCTTCTATTCAAAAAGCAATAAAAATGTATATTCAAAACTCTCGAGATGAAGACTTGCTTTAGTTGTTTTGATTCGGACTGAAATGAAGGACTTGGAGTTTGAGGTGAAAGAGAAGGTTCTCTGCTATGAGCCTGACAAGGACAAAGAAAAGATTCTTTATGATGCGACAATTGTGGAGATTAGAAAGAAGTCGGATTCTCCGGGATTTCAGTAAGTCATATTTAATCAATTCACTTTGAAGAACCGCAGTAGATTTTAAATGGGGCTTTTTATGCGTGAATTTCTTTAAATTGAATAATTTCGTGGTCGCAAAGAATCCTTTCATCCCATCTTAATTTCTTTTATGAGAATTCTCATCGCAGAATAATTCATCTGTTCTCGATGCGATCATTTTCGGCCTCGCCATCATCAATTTATGACGGCTTAACCTTAAACACGACCAATACGAGAGACGAGCCCAGGGCTGAGTTTAGCCCGTTTCTGTTTTGGGCCTCAGGGGAGTACTCCTGCTCGTCTCGTAGATATACTTACTGACCCGGCGAAATAAAAAAAAAACACTTAAAAATGACGTGTTCCGAGAAAGAGAAGCAAAAGAGAAGAACTTCTTGTCTGAATTTGACGATTTTACGTTTTTCAGGTACATGATCCATTTCAAAGAATGGTCAAAATCCTTCGACAGATGGGTCGACAAGAACCTCCTTTTAAAAGTGACGCCAGAGAATAAGAAGATCCAGCGAGATTTGTTCATCAAAATTATTAAAGAAAATGGCGACAGGGACGGGTTCAAAAGTGTTTTTCTTTGAAATTTCTAAAATAAGGGCCCTTTCTTGGTCTTATACTTTGAAGAGCGTCAAGAATACCTTTCTTCCTTTGATGACATCCTAAATCTATCAATCGTTTCTCTAAAGTCTTTCTTCCTCAATTTGCTTGCGCTTCATCTTTTCTTTCATCTGAGAACTAAAAAGACGCTTCTTTAGCACTTTTTCATCCTTATCAGTTGTTTTTCTTTCCACTACCTTTTTCACAGGGATGAACTTGACTGAAGAGGAGATTCATTTTAAACCCGACGAAAAGAGCACTGAAGCACGTTCCCGGCATGAGAAAGATCAAGAAAGAACTCGAAGCTGAAGAAAAAATGCGAAATTCGTCGAACGGAAATTTGCGATCTTCCCGGAAACGAGCCCCTTCTACCAGTCAGTCAGAAATGTCATCCAATGACGATGTGAGACATCCCTTGCGTTTTCCCTAAAGAAATTCGAGTTTCACTGACATTTTAGACGCCGGAAGAAGAATTTGACAATACGGGAATTCCCGAAATCGCTCTCTCGGATCGCCTAATCTACCTGCTGGAGAATGACCACATTAAAGTAGAGAAAAAGAGGCGGCTGCTTAAATTGCCTGGTAGCATACTGGCGCTAATTATAATGTTTCGATTAAATAATCGCTTTAGCTTCCATGAACGTAGTCCAAATCCTGGAAAACTACGTTCGCCACTACGCCGCCAACCTAGAGAATACGCCTCATGTCGTCGCCGATCACAGAAGCGACACGCACCTGATCGACAGGGACCAGTACCACTTAGAGTTGGTGATGGAGATTGTCGATGATATGAGGATTTTGTTCGACCATGTTTTGGAGAGTTTGCTGCTTTACTCGGCGGAGAAGTCGCAGTGCAAGAGATTGATGGAAAATGCCACGATTGGGAATAATTCTAGCCGTAAGTTACTACCATTTTCTGCATCAACAGATGTCTGAGAATTTGTGATAGACAGTGAATATGTCTGCTAGACCGAATCAAAGAGTTTGTGTTTCAATTTTGAGTTCCAAAAAAGTAATTCTCCGGGAGGGCCTCAAAATGGACTAACCAAGGGTGGATTTTACAATTTGCGAAAAAGCTAATTGCTCAATAAACTTATTTTTTTCAGAAAATCAATCGCCCGAGCCGCCAAAATCAGAGGAGAAGGTGTTTCAGCAGCCATCAACTTCGCAAAAGAAAAGACCCAGAACTGCGGATGGTAAGTCTACTAGAATAAGTAGCTAGTTCTAGAGCCGCGTCATCAGGCCCGATGGCTTAGTTGGTTAAAGCGCCTGACTAGTAATCAGGAGATCCCGAGTTCAAATCTCGGTCGGGCCTTTTGCTTTTTGCTCAAAAAAAGTGCTTCCCGAATCAGCATTTTTAACATACACTGATGATTTTTTCCTAGCAATGGGTGATGATAACGAAGGTAAAACAGAAATCCACCTTGTTTTTCATTATTTTAATCCTCACGTTTTCATCCGTCATTTTAGATTATAATTCATTTTTAATTGCATGCTGTTTTATTTGAATTGAATTCGCCACTTGAATTTCCATTTGCTCACATCTTCACCCGTCAATTCAGCGTTGTATTTCACCTTGAATCTTAAATTTAGCTCAAACCGTCGAGTACACGAAAAAATGGCTCATCCGAGGAGAAGATTTAGGAAAAACAGGGATCATCAAGGACGACGATGGAACCAGAAGATCATCGAGAAATTACACTGTCCTTCAAGTGAGTGTTTCTTATGTCACTTCTTCGCGTCAGAAGACATGGGCAGGGGGTGATTAGATTGAGTATAATAGCCCGTCGTCAATCACTGTTTTGTTGTCAATAATTTAACCTAACATAAATCACTAGTCGAAGGGCACGCGTGGAATTCCAACTCCTCAAAAGGCTACCAAAGCTCAAGGTAACTTTTATCCAAGGAAAAAAGTTTCTCATCTGATTTTAGCAGAGAAAGAAGAAAAGCCGAAGAAAGAAGCTGAAAAGCGAGTTACTCGACGGCAACAACTCAGTACTGACTGTTGCATCGATTTGAACCCAAAGATTTTCGTTCGAAGAACTAGTATCACAACAGGAAACAAAAAGAAAGGTAGGTTCTGCTCTAAAAACTCTTTTTGTAAAGAAACTCTTCTTATTCTCTCTGTGATTATTAGGTTTAGACTCGTCCAAAGCTGGAACTCCGGACACGATCAAATCTGACCAATCTGATCGGGCAAATGATTTGGATTCCCCGCTCAATATGATAGAGCACTTGTCTCCGAACCAGTTTAGCGACGCGAACGAAATTCGCAAAACTATGTCTCTCTCGAACATCTGGAAGGTCCGTCATTTTTCTGGAATCATCTCTTTATAACTTTTTTTCTTAGTGGCGAATGCTTCCAATCGGTTACAAACCGCCAGTCGTACCGCCAAGCTTGATTTATGGAGCGCAGCATCTACTCCGCCTCTTTGTCGTTATTCCTGATCTTCTTCGAAAAATGCGCTTGAAACGAAATCGCAGGGAACTTCTTACAGACGTCCTCAATGGACTGATAAATTTTCTCGAAGCGTACGACCAGGATCTTTTCCAGGAAGTAGCATACGAACTGGTAGCAATCGATCAATAGTAGTTCCTCCCTTCTGACCCACGAACGAGCTATATTCTTACCCAATTTATGTGAAATTAATCCACTGCCCTTATCAACCTTTTTACTATTTCTCAATGTGACTGAAATGAACAAGCGCCAATTATTCTTTCGTCTGACATCTTTAACTTCTATTTATATAAATGGAGCGTTTTTTAAGCGAGGGACATATCCATAGATCTTTCAGTAACAGTTCTATCGTTTTTAGATGAATAATGACTCCAATGCGGAGAACATATTGAAATCTGAATTTTCCCTCGACGATGTACAGGTAAATCTACCACTGCCGTAAATCTACAGTCATTCACTTGCCACTTTTAAGAGTCTATCAAATGCCTATGGGTTAACTCTCGGCCGCAACCGTCGCCCTCAACATCATGTCACGACTTCTGACCATTTTTCTGGTTCCACTCCTGACATTCGCGGCCTCTCGATCGACCCACTCCGAAACAGCTCGATTCAAAGCGACATTTTAATAAGCAAACTTCGCGAAGAAAATGAACTGCTCAAGAAAGAAGCTTCGATCAAAGAGGCGAAACTTCAATCCAACATCCGCAGCATCCGAACCTTCTGGTCCCCTGAACTGAAAAAAGAACGAAACACTAGAAAAGAGCATGAAGCGCGGAGCAAGCGGCTGGAGGCCGAACTCCGTGGGCTTCAGGGAGGTGACATGTCAGAGAATATGCTGCATCGGGAGAATATGGTGCTACGGCGAGCTGTTCAAGACTTGGAAGGTAAGAAATGTTGTGATTGAGTCATTATTAATTTCAAAGATTGTGTTTGAAAGCTTGTCTACTTTTGTTTCAGCATGCCTCTACCCGGGGTATTCCCGCAATACCTTCCCGCCGAGAGCGTTTCGTTCGAGGGGTATTACCGTGTCTTTATAATGTAGCCTTTTTGTACTCTTACGTGTCTACATACTATTCAACTTTGGATATTATCAAGTAACGCACCAACTTGACGCCAAGCCCGCGGGTTGTCGAGAGAGTATGATCTTCGTTTTTTATATTATTTAAAAATATATACGCAACCAAATTATTACCTTTCATTTAGTCATGTTTATAATTGATGTGTTCAGCGCGCGTACAAACCCAGCGAGAAACCTTGGAGGCAAGAGAGATCTCGCTCAGAAGAGCGCTTCAGTTGGCCGCAGCGCATGAGCAGAACCTGTCCGGCAAGGGCATACAGTCAGAAGAAACCTACAGAGCGCTGCTGAGTATAAAAGACGATAAGATTGCAGCATTGGAGAAATGCGTCAGAGATCTTGGTAAGAAGATGAATTAAATATTTACCTATAATTGTCTTTAGTAGAATTTTTATCTATGGATAAATTTACTACCTGTTATCGACAAGAGAAGCCCATGAAGCAGACTAAAGAGTAGATTTGTCGAAAACTAGGAGTCGAGTAAGAGTATTTTGAATAGTTATTGAACTAAGTCCAGCTCTTGCGGCAGAGATCATTGAAATCAAGTAAGAGGACTTCCCTAACAAACTGTTTTAGAGGAGAATCTAAGAGCATACGAACGCCAGTTTGGATCAGCAACGGGATCACTGCTGCGCTCCAGACGAGGGTTGAATGACGCAGAAGGCGATCAAATGCTCTGCGCACAGAATAATTATCTCAAGACCAAAGCTGATGGTTTAAAATGCGAGCTGAGCATCAAAGAAGCTGAAATTTCGAACTTGAAGACGCGGCTAGAAGCGATGCAGCGCTCGGATCAGGAGACGCGCAACCACTTGGAAGGTACAAATAGGATTCGAATAGCCAGTAGCAGCGATGATCTTTTCCAAAATCGGGCTCAACCGGGATTTGAACCCGGGACCTCTCGCACCCAAAGCGAGAATCATACCCCTAGACCATTGAGCCTTGAAGGTGGCCTCCCGGATGTTATCTTTGAAGCATCCTTAGGTAAATATCAGGAGGTTTTGTGTAAATAGACATCCTGATTTTTAACAAGCACGGCTCAATGGTCTAGGGGTATGATTCTCGCTTTGGGTGCGAGAGGTCCCGGGTTCAAATCCCGGTTGAGCCCGATTTTGGATAAATAAGACCTTCATAAATTTTGTTCTTAAAATGACCGTAATAACTTATTTTATTTATTTTATGATCGTGAAGGTAAAGGTTTTTTAACCGTGAAATAAAGTATTCAAGGATAACGGAATTTATTTTTTGATGGCCAATAAGATTGTTTTTCGCGGTGCATCATTCAATTTTGCTATTTTACGACTTCTTATTGGACCAGCGACAATATAGTGTCTCGCTGATTTGATGACAAATTTTTAATGGCAATGAACTTTTTTGAGGCCAGACATTCTTTTTGGAAATTCTTATTAAAATAGAACATCCGGGAGGTAATTATCAAGGCTCAATGGTCTAGGGGTATGATTCTCGCTTTGGGTGCGAGAGGTCCCGGGTTCAAATCCCGGTTGAGACCTGTTTTGGCTAAAATCAACCTTTTTATCAATAAAAATCGACTTCAATTAATGTCACCGAGTCATAAATTCATTTTTAGCCGTTCGGGAATCTCTCAATGCCAAAACAAGCCGTTGTGTGCAGCTTCAATCTGAAAACGAACGACTACGAGCAAAGCAAACTGACTCCTACAATTATTCGTCTCCTCAACGAACCGTCGAACGACCACTCTCCCACGAACTCGAGGTGAAAGAGCATCAAATCAAGCTGCTCAAAAGTCGCTATGAAAATCTCGAACTTCAACTGGCCGATAAAGACAGACGGCTACTCGAGCTTGAGGAGAAAATAAACCATGCGAATGGAATTTCCTCTAGGGATGAAAAATCGAGTGCAGAAGCAAGGGTTGCTATGAAAGCGTTAGAAGATGCTCTTAGCGACAAGGATGAAGCTATGAAAAGGTTGGTCGACAACCGTTCTTTTGAATATTCATAAATTTTAGGGAGAGGACTCGATACGAGAAAGAGCTTAAGGAAGAACGAAACCGCCGCATCGAGCTTCAATCCCAACTCGACAACCCCGAAGAAAACGAGCGAGAAAAGATGGAGATGCGCCTCGAAATCCAAAAGCTTCAAGCGCAGTGTCAGATGGGCCAGCAAGCCCTACAAGACCAGGATCAAAGGGCGGCTAAAGCAGAAGCTCTCCACGCTCGTCTCAAGGGACAAATGGAAGAGATCTTAAATGTAAGCTCAACCTTTGAGCTGTTCCATCAACAGTTGTTTTCAGGATTTCGACCAAACCAAGAATGCTTACACAGTTCTCCAGCAAAAATTCAATCAGGTACGGCATTGCCTCAAATTTCATATCTTCATTCTTTTCAAGCTCCGACGGTCACGAGAAAAGGATGAAAAGATCCTGATGAGTGCCAAACGTGAAACTGCCACTCACTGTCTCAACGAACTTGAAATTCGAGCCGAATTGCTCGAAATAAAAGGAAAGAAAGCCGAAGCAAAGCAAGGTAATTCGCCTATCTCTTCCTTGATTTCAATGGCCAATTTTCAGTTCGAGATAAACGAGCGCAGCTTCAAGCTCAATATAAACTTTAACCGACAACTACAACGAATCTAAATCCGACAGCATACGACTGGCCGAGCTTACCTCTAAATCGCACATGACTTCAAAATTGCCTTCTCAACTTTCCACGACTCTGTTTTCCTCCATTCTTATTAACTCTATTTAAATACACTTACCTAAAAGAAAAAATAATGAATCAAACAAACCTGAAGCTTCAAAGCTTCGAAATTTCAGTTTCAACCGAATCAAGTCAAAAAATATCTCGTTTTCAGCAGTTAACCATGTCATTTATTTCAACAATATGAAGAATCCTGCATTATCTATTTTACGATTATAAACTTTGAAAATTTGCAGCACTTTCACTCAGTAATACCACCCTAGAATGAAAAAGTTCTTTGAAAAAATCAAGAAAGATTATAAATATAAGAAAGCAGGGACAGGGCGACGCCTAGACGAGGAACGACCTCAAGTTACTCCTAAATCTTCGTCCACGGTAAATTTATGATTGAACAAGGCATCTGTGACGCATGTTTGATAGTCGACTGGTTCTGCAGGTTCATCAACTCGCGAATATGGAACTTCAGCCGCTAATGCACAAGCTGCTGCCGCAGCGATAGCTCGGCTAGAGAAGAAAATGATGCCAGGAGGATCTTCTTCGAATATGAATAGAGCCACCCTCAGGGCGGCTAGGGAACAAAACGATCGGGCTAAACAGGTCTCTTGTGAATTATTTTTGCCCTCTTTTAAAAATAATTTTAGGGAGATAAAGCCCTGGTGGACTCTCTTCAAGCTCCAGAAGAAAAGAAAATCGAGGCTGCAAAGGTCTTGAGCGTTGATGGAATTTACTACACGTGTCCATTGAGTGGAGAAGTCATACCAAAAAGTGACTATATCTCGTATCTGGAGGCATTTTTAAATTCCCTCGAGCCGGTTCCCTCCATGGAAACATCGGTAGTCAAGATAATGTGTCTGAATACTCACCGAGGTAAGATCTTAACAGTATCTTTATTTGTCTAAAAGGTTTCCTTCAGAAAATCGAGAAAAAGCGATTGAAATAATCGGCAAATACCTAAACAACATCAAATCTAATCCAGACGAGGAAAAATACAAGAAAATCAAATGGAATCACAAACTCTTCCAAGAAAAAGTTCACTCTCAAAAAGGCTCCACAGATTTTCTCAAAAGCATAGGCTGGGTTGAAGAAACATTGGAGGGCATTCCATTCTTGATTTTTAAAGGAACACTGGAGAATATTGGCCAAGGACTAATTGCACTTCAAACTGATGAAATTCCAAGACCTACGTTGCACCGAATGCCAAAATTATTGACACCTACTGATGGTCAACAACGAGTTGAACTTCCCGTACGTATGACTTTTGAATTCTTTGATTATTTTTTCCACAGGATGATTTCTTCAAAATAACTGGCAATGAGTTGAAAAAGAGCCAAGCTGATAAGAATATTCAATCGCAACAGTTAGACATGCTTATGACAAAAAAGATGCGTGAGGATGCAGCATTGTTGAATAAACGGACGTATTGCTACAGTTTGATACGCATTCGCATGCCGGATTCTAACTATTTACAGGTAAATTAATCCTCAAGAATTTCCTAAATAAAAATGTAAAAAGGGAACATTCAATGTCTACGAAAAAGCATCGACCATCATCGATTTCATGAAAGAAAACATCATCGAGGACTTCAACTGGGTCCCCTTCAAACTTCGATCCGCAGATGGCACCTTTATCTTCCTTGAAAATACTGAAGTCCTCGAAAAAACTTTGGTCGAACTTTCTCTTGTTCCAAGCGCTACTTTGACGTTTTGCTTCTACGACGATGATATTCGCGAGCAGCTTCCGCGACAGCTCGTCAAGGATCTGTCTTAATTTGCATGTCAAACAATTTTTTTTTTCACTTTCTTCAACACACCACTTTTAACTGCAATAACATGTTTAATCAAGTTCCGCATGATCTCGTTTTTAACCTTTCTTCTTAGAACAAAAAAAAAAGATGCACCCGACAACGATTCTCCGAGAAATCGAGCTTGAAAATGAACCGGTAGCACTTTCGATTATGAAATTTGCCGAGGAGACATTAGTGACAATTTCCGACAATGGAACGTTCGGAGCTTTCCATGATATAGACATCGCAGAAATGCGCCCTGGAAAAGAACCTCTAATAACTATCAAACCCTTCTTCGGATACAGTGATGATTTCACCAAGGTAAAAGGAGATATTTTGGCGAGGCTAAAATGAATATTTAGGTTGTTTGTCGGAACTTGGCAACGAGTTTGCAAGTCAAGAACAAGTTGATGATCTCAATTGGGCTCAAGCAAGAGAAAGTCAACAAGCAAAACTTGGATCTTCTCAAACTTGAATTGTCGGACATGCTCTCTTAAATAAAGAGTCTCAATATTTTTCTCTGTCATTTTATCATTTTGTAAATTTACCGGGATGCCGGTGCTTTGAATTGTACCAATGCAGCAATTTATTTCAGTGTCCAGCAAAGCCTTATTTTTCCACAAATTTGATATTTAAGAAAGGCGTTGTCGAATGTCTAGCCACCGGTCCGGCTCAACGCTCACTCATACCAGACTGGGCAAGTTGGGCCAGGAGTTGCTCTCGGAGATCGTAGAGAAAATGACCGAAGGTTTTAATTTTTTCAATTTCCCATCTTTCAACGAACGTTTAGTTTGCGAAAAGTTCCGAGATGTTTCTGGCTCATCCTTTCTCGCTTCGGTTTCGCAAGTGTCTTCTACCGAGAGAGAGATGCAACGACGAAGGATTCTGGAGCACAGGAGAGTCATAAATCATCATTTCGGAGTGTTGTCGATGATTTATCGAAAGTTGAGCGACCGGATTCCATGTAAAGAAACTAGCTTGAAGGGACTCATCCCTTTGATCGTAAGTTAGGGTTTGTCATTCTTTGTTGAAAACTGTTAAAGGACGGAGAGAATGTAAAAGAGCCTCAAAGAACAAAGCAAATTGAGGAGCTCCGTGCTGAGCGAGATCGACTTCGAGTCATTGTTCAGATGAAATCTGAGCAGATGGGAGAGGCGCTCAGAATCATGCGTCTTTTGCTTCAAGACATCAACATTGATTCTGGATGCAAAGTTGAGTCTCGCCCAAAGGTCGGCATCAACCCAATGAAAAACTGAATGATAGCCATTTTTGCCCAACTTCCAAAAAAGGTCGTTTCTTCCTAATTTTGGCAGTTCGATTCTCTTTCGTCTCTTTTTTAATTTTGAAATTCAAAGTTTTTTCTGCCCATTTTCAGTATCTCAATTTCCTTCACAGCCACTTTTTCTTTCAATGTTACCTCTTTTTCCACTTCAGTTCCTACATCGTATTCTTCCTTTTACGTATGATTATTCTGCTATATTATATAGCCTATATGTCCCTAATTGAAATCTATTATTTCTTTATTTTAAGAAATGAGCGATGAAATCGCGCAGATCAAACAAAGATATTCCCAACTGAAGCTTTGCAAATTGGCCAGAGATTTTCTCCATGAGATCGTCCTAATCATGCATCAAGGTAGGGTTAAACTCGTGGTGTAAGAGGCCTCAGTTTGGAAAATCCTAGTCGCTTCGTATCATCGAAGATTTCGAGAGGACATCATCAAAAGCGATCGAAAAGGATACACTGACGTAGCGTTCAAAAATCTCAAAACTTTGCACCAACACATGCGCCAACATTTCCAGTAAGAATCATCCTCCTCATTCCTCTTATCGTACTAAATTTTCAGCAAACTTTCCCTCGTCTACTCTGCCATCGACGAAGAAAACGCAGCCGCCCTTCATAACGACCTGAAATCTTCAATATCCTTTCTTCCCAAACAACCTCAAGAGCCAGCGCTAGAATCAGAGCTCGAGAAAAAGCTGAGATCAGAGCGCGACGAGCTCCTAAAAGTCCGAGACCAGAAAAACGCCCAAATGCACGATGCAATCAAACTGATGCGCTTGCTCATGGGCGACTTGAATGAACCAGACCTGTCGCCGCAAAATACTCAAAATCCAAAGCTTTGACTAATTTTTAATTGAAAATTGTGCCTTCCAAAATAGTTCCCATCCTCAACATTCTTTCAATTTCAAAATCAATTTCCAATCGCAAAAAACTACCCTCGTTCTAAATTGGAACTTCCAATCTCTATTCAGACTCAAAAGAATGTCGCAGTCTCCTGGCTACCAAACGGCGATGGCACCAAGACCCATGCAAAATCAAGCTCCTCAGAGTCCCGCCGCCCAAACTGGCGCTCCGAATGCTCAAAACGCTCAAGCCCAAAATTCTCAGCAACAAAACCCACAGCAGCAGCAGCAACAAGGACAATCCAGGAGCTCCAGCATCACGAGTATTCAGCTATGCCAGATGGCGACCGAATTGATTTCCGAAATTGTCTCTCGAACAACTGAACGTAAAGTACTAATGATCTTACTTTTCACGCTCAAATTCTAGTGTGCACCTTTTTTCGAACTGTCCAAGTTCCGACTGGTTCAAAAATGGCCAAGCACGTGTCGATTGATCGAAGAAAACGAATGGTGGAAGGAAATAAAGCGATTCAAAACCATTTTGTGTAAGTACAGAGTTTCAGTTTACTGTTGTATCTGAATTTTTAGAACACTTAATGTTATCCACCACAGATTGCAAGAGCAACTCCAAGATGACGAAGAAATTCCTTTTGATTTGAAGTCGCTTATTCCTTACGTGGTAAGTCTAAAAATGACAGGTTGAATATTCTGTAATACTCAAATTCAGGAGAACGCGGAAGTAGTGGAAAAGAACGAAACGCAAGAAATCCTCGATCTCAAAGCCCAGCGCGATCAGCTCCTGATCATCAACGACCAGAAAAATCAACAAATGCTGGAGACCATGAAAATCATGCGCTTGATCCTGCAAGATATCAACATGGATATCAAACCCGACGTTATCCGCCCCGACGGAAGATGAAGAATAGAACTTTCTTTCAAAAGAACTAAAATTGATCTCTCACTCGCCACTCTCCCCTATTCTTAGCACTGCACAAGCGTTACCTATCCATGATCAAAGTACTACGGAATACAGTTGCGTCCTTCCAAAACATTTAGTAGAACTATTTATTGAAATTGTAGATCTCGAGTCGGACTCAAATGAGTTTTTCGGAAATTATCAACATCTCTGCGGGGGTACCCTTTATGCGTTCTCAGGCGAGAATTCTGATGAGAAACAAGTACATTTTGTTCTTGGGAGATTCTGTTCAGGGAAAAGGTTGTCTAATTTTACCTAATCAAAGGGCTCGAAAAAGATTCATTTAGATAATCCGAGATTTCGATTGGTGAAAGCTCTTTTTTGACACTTTTGATAGGTCGAAAATTATTTTTCTGTAGAAGCCTTTTTGAAGAGAGCATTTTACAAAGATTTCGTGGCGATGCTCCACAACGGAATGATGCTTACGTCCAAGGAAATCCGCGAAGCATCGGAGTACTCTTTCCGCCAAGATCGAGTTCTATTCACGACGGAGAAGCACAACGGAAAAGAATACTGCGAAATCCGCGAGTACAAGGGAATCCAGCCAAACGCCAAGGAAGAAAAAGAAAAGCAAGTCGAAGCGAGATGGAAAGACAAGTTCCTGGTTCGATTCGCTTTCATCACAAGAATTTGGGACGAGAATGAAAACGGAGCCAATCGAATCAAAGATATTCTCGACATTTTGACAAAGGATGTCTTCCCAGATGTCATCGTTGTCAATTCTCTGTTCTGGGATGTGGAAAAGTACCGCGACAGTTGGATCAGCGAGGAAAGATGCTTTGAAAAATACTCGAAGAATATGCACGAATTCTTGGGATACTTCAATGAGATCCAAATCAAGGCGATTCGGGAAGAGAGGCTGAAGAAACCGACGGTGAAGATTTGGAGGTCGTCGATGAATATTAGCAATTATGCGAGATCGGGGTTTATTGATGCTTCGACGAACACGGAGTTTTTGAAAGACAAAATTGATAAAGCCAACGCTTCAAATATCAAAATCGTAAAAGGTACAGAAAGTCAAGAAGCCTCTTAATTCGAGGAATAATTCGTAAAAGCCGCGCTTCGCGCAGATCATTTTTAACTGGAAGCCTCTTACTTTCGATAAATTTGACTTGTAGATAATGGATGGGATCTACTGGACGCTCATTATCTGATGGAACCTTCAGTGGAAATCTTCCGCGCGGCTGATGGAATTCACTGGACTCCATCCGCACACAGGTTTCTGACTTGCGCTCTTCTTTCCCACATCGCGCTGGCTACAGGAGAGGGGCTTCCCAACTTGCCGACGAATGTAAAGCTCAAGAACGGATTGACGAGAATGTCGGCCGATGAATATAATGACATGGTGAAGAATTATTCTGATGATGTTGAAGTTCCAGGAAAGGATCGAAGAATTTTCAGGTTAAAAACACATTTTTCACGGATAAATTTGCGATCCTCGAAAAAGAGTTCAACCCTGCATTCGAAGACTAAATTTCCCCGTTGATTTTCGCATCACTAAAATCGTACGCGCATTCCGCCCGTGACTGAGACGACGCGACCAATCAGCGTGCAGCTCGAGGCGCCCACTCCAATCGCCGCGTTAGTGAAAATCTTTCTCCGTTTTTTCCTCCGGGAAGCTTCTCTTCCCTTAATTTTTGACTGCAAGAGATGGCAAGAAGCAATTTTCAAAGAGAGAAAATCTCCTCTTCAGGGTTCCTATCGAAAACTTTAGCGCTAACTTGTGAATTTTGATTAGAAAACCACTGCCAATTGAAAAAACTTTGATGAAAAACCTATTCCTAAATTTTTTAGACTGAAGTCGGCATGGTCAACGTACCAAAGACTCGAAAAACGTTCAGTAAGTCGCTGAACAAGCACTCCACCTTCAAGGTAAAAAAAAGATCCCCGAATCTTATAATTAGCGAATTTCCAAGGTCACCCAGTACAAGAAGGGTAAGGACTCCATCTTCGCCCAGGGTAAGCGTCGTTACGACAGAAAGCAGTCCGGTTATGGTGGTCAGACCAAGCCCGTCTTCCACAAGAAGGCCAAGACCACCAAGAAGATCGTCCTCCGACTCGAATGCACCAAGGTACAAATTCTTACATGACGAAGATCTTACAGACGGCTCGCAAAATAAATCTCAAAATCGAATAGGGAACGAATTTTATTATCAAAATCTCTTTTATGCCTAAAAATTTCAGAAATACTTGAATCTTCGACCAATGGAGTTATTTTCGAGAAAAATTAGACAAGTCTCGCAAAGCGCGGTTATAATTTTTATTCTCGAAGTCGCAAGCGGCTACTCGATTGAACAGAGTCGTCTGTAGGAATTATTCTTCTCTCTAAAATCAGGAGATCTTCCCGGTCGTCTCTGGCTGGGCGATTCTTACTGATTCTCTGCTTTAGTCTGGCAGACAATGCTAACCCCTCAAGTGACCGGTTTCCCTTTTTAGTCGAAGAAGAGAAAGCTCCAGGTCATCAAGCGATGCAAGCACTTCGAGCTCGGCGGTGACAAGAAGAGAAAGGGACAGATGATCCAGTTCTAAACTGTTCTTGGATTGTCTCTTACTGCCCTCCGGTGGAGATACTTCTCGAATGTTCTATTTCTCTTGTGAGATAATAAACTGTCACCAGGAGAAAATATTACTTTCTGAGAACATTAAAAAATCTTCAAAAAAGCCCATTTTTGAATCTTTTTTCATTTCAGACCGTATCGGATAGTCAAATATGCCATTGAAGGTCGACCTTCTCAACCCCTCTCTCGACTCTCAGAGACGATGCCACAAGAAGAAGCGGTTAGTGCAGAGCCCCAACTCCTACTTCATGGATGTTAAATGCCCAGGCTGCTACAAGATCAAGGTATTTTAGAGGAAAAATCAGAGCTTCAGAGGCGCCCCAAATTGTTATTTTTGAGCCCTTCGGAAACGAGCTCAAATCAACTGATCCACATCAGTTCTTGCCAGGAGATCTTTCCGGTCCATTTTCCCATCATTTCTGAAAATGACGCTGGGCGATTCTTACTGCGCAATGTTCGCTCTCGAGCAATACTTCTCAACCTTTCTAGTGACTTGCATTTAGACCGTCTTCTCCCACGCTCAGGTCCCCTCCGTGTGCACCGGCTGCCACATGGTCCTCTGCCGACCAACTGGTGGTAAAGCTCGACTTACCCAGGGCTGCCAATTCCGAAAGAAGTAAATTCCAAAAGAATGAAACCCGGAGCATCGATTGGACAGAGCTCATAAACTGTAACCATGATTGTTCCACTATAATCTTTCCGGAATAAAAAAAAAACTCATAAAAACTGTCAAGATTTTCAAAAATCCTTGAAATGAAATCTTTCTTTGTTGTTTTCTTTCTAGATAGTCTTTCATTTTACGTTTATGTTGATTGCAGGCAGCGAACTGTGCTAGTTATGAGAAGTTATTTTTACAAACCGTAGTAAATAATTTAATCTGAAATACAAATTCAATCTTCTGTAAATCAAAAAGCCGCCTTGAGGAAATTTTTCAAAAAGCCGTGTTGAGCGCGGCTACTGTCTCAGTTGCTCAAAGCCGCTAGTGACTTCGCGATTTCTATAATAACAAAAACAGCTCAGCTTTCTAGTCATCAGCCAAGTTAATCCATTTTCTTGTAAATCTGCATTTGGTTCAACAAAAAAAAACTGAAAGAAAAGCTGACCATAGACTGGTATAAGCAAGTTATTGTTAGAATTCAGCGAGTCTCAGAGAGGTACTCCTGTTTTATATCCTTGATTAGTTTCAAAAAGTAGTTCAATCAAAGCCAAATGCCTCGTAAAATAATTCTCCGACAGGTCAATAAAAATTTATGCCAATTTTGAGTGTCCGGCCTGATCAGCCCATTCTTGCTTGCTCCGACAAATCTAAAAATCAATTGTTAGCCTTACTGCCAGAGAGGAATGGTTATTGTCCCGTATCCATGGCGAGACTTCCATTACACCTCACCTTGCATAAGACGCATCGATGGAAAGAATAAAAAATGATTTTTTAGAAAATTGAGAATTGGACAAATAGAGATTCGAGAATCAGCAAAAAATGAGCGGTGTGAAAAGGGACTGGTACCAATCGAACGAAAGAGTCATTCTAGCGCTCCTGACGAAGGCATGCTCAGAAGTGCAAGTTCAGTTTGAAAGGGATTCTGTCACCGTTAGCGGCATCAATAAAGGTAATTTTTGCTTAAGAATAAACGGTTTTTATTTTTTATTGAATTTCAAGAATGATTATTCATTTGAGAATTTGGTGAAATTGGTATTTACGACATAGATCTTGATTAATGAGCCTTCCATATTGTTATTCGCTTGGGTCAAATCAAGTTTAATGAGCCGGAATGAGCCCGGTATATATTCAGTTTGTTTTGAATGTAAAACTAAAAGAAATGACTAGACGTTCAGTTTTCATAACGTGAAATTCACGCACTATTGTTTTATTCAAGAGATGTTTAACTTTTTAATTCTCATTGTACTATCCAAACTTTGAAATTACTCGGCAAATAATCATCATTTACGGAAAGAGAAAACTCTAAAGGAAGCTATTTTTATGCACAATGACGTAACGATAACTTATCTGCAACATTTCAAATAGAAACAGTATCAAAATTCCTAGGATCTACAAGCTAGGACTAAAAACGGCTTATTTCTGCATATCCGGTACTACTACTGGATCCTACGCCTCACATAAATCAACATTAAATCGAGTTCAATATTAAATATTTGCGCTTTTTCACTCCCTATAACGACCTGAATTTTCGGCAAATATTGTCAACTCGACTTATTTTTTTCAAATTATTTTTTAGAGGGAAATGCATTCACAGAAGTGGTGGAACTCGCCTGCGAAATCGTCCCAAAACAGTCGACTTTTAAAACAATGTCGACGAAGATTGAGCTGCGGCTGATGAAAGCAGATCCGGGCTTGCGCTGGGAGCAATTAGAAAAACAAAGTCTTCACGAGATAAAGCAGCCAGTCAAGCATAACCAGACCAAGGATTGGGACAAGCTGGCCAAAGAAGCTGCCGAACAAGAGGATAAAGATATTGAGCAGGGTGGCGGTGATGCAGCGCTTCAGCAAATGTTCAAAGTGAGTGGTTAGAATATTTTCCCGCAAGATATTTCTGGGTTCGAACAAAATCAAGAACCCGACTGCTTCTTCGAGTAAAAGTACGAAAAAGCCAAACTTTCTTCTACTTGAAGCCGCGGCTGAGATAGTCGAACCTTCTTGACACAACCGCTGTCAATTTTTTATATTTAATCTGCAGCAAGTATTTAAATTAGCCTCTAAATATTTCAAAAGAACAATCGGGGATCTCAAAGATCAACTGAGAATTCAATTGAAAGAGACTCACCAACACCTGGTTGTTATACAAACTTCCTCGCCCGTAAACTTTTGTATTTACTACTTTGCCACTTACACTGGCCACATAAAAAGTTCGCAGAGCTAGAGAAGAAGAATGCTTTTATTATTTTTATCGCTCTTCGTTTATTAACCTCTCTCTCTTAGAAAATCTACGCTAATGCGAACGAAGACACCAAGAGAGCGATGATGAAGAGCTTCCAAGAATCCAACGGGACAGTTCTTTCCACAAACTGGAACGAAATCGGCTCCAAGAAAACAGAGACAAAACCGCCAGATAGCATGGAGTTCAAGAAATGGGACTCTTAGAGCTTCAATTTGCAAGATGGACAAAATTTAGCAATATCTCTTTTTTTCAATCACTGTATTTTTTTTAACTTTTTGCACTCAATTGGGCCAGCAAAATTGAATGACGAATGCATCCATAGAAACCTTTATTGACTATTTTATTGTATCTTCATGCTGTTTATATTTTTATGTCATCTTCCTGAGTAACACGCTCCAGCGGAAATTGATGCATTCACCGTTCTGATATTTGCGCAAAGATGAATGCTTTATTACCCGCTTCTTTATTGACGCGTTCGTAATTTTCATTCCTCAACGCCATTTTTTTCCAACTTGATTCCAACCATTTGTCATTTTAGAAATTGAGAAATCGAAATCATGGCCCAAGCGCTGAAAGATAGCCTTTTGGATTTTAACAAGGTGCGGGCGTTTCAAGAGTTTTGCGGAATTAGAGAATGCAAAGAAGATGATCCTCGGGGAGAAGACGCCATTGTCAGGTAATAGACTCTCTGTCCAGCCAGTCTAGTCATCTGACCGTAATTAGTGAATCACAGCCAGAAAGAAAAGCGAGACAGCAGAGCGCTCGATTCCGCGCCACAAAACCCTGGCTCCATGAATTCTTCATGCTCGGATCTGTCTTTGGCACCGAAATCTTTTACATTACCTACTTGCCCCTGATCTTCTGGGGATACGAAAATTGGACTGGGCGACGTCTTGTCCAGGTATGAAACTCCTTTCAATCTCTTTCTATTCTTTCGTCCCTCTTAGATCTGGGTGATTACGATGTACATCGGCCAAGTTCTCAAAGAGTTCTGCCAAATGCCTCGCCCAACCAGTCCTCCAGCTTTTCCGATGGAACCGAACTTCAAGGTAAACGCCGTGTTCAAATGTCAACCCTTTTCTAAAATCTTTTCAGGCAGAATTCGGATTTCCTTCAACTCATTCCATCGCTGGAGCTTCCCTCGCTTTCGGCACGCTCCTCTCCATCTGTGGAACTCAAGACGCAATCTTTCCCTTCGCTCTTCTCGTTGCTACTGCTTTTACTGCTTGGGTCGCTCTTTCCCGCCTCTACAAAGGTACCTATTCTTTCCTCTAGCCCCTTTCTTACCCGGTTCAGGAATGCATTCCATCCTCGACATCCTTGGCGGCCTGGCCATATCTGCGCTGTATCTCTTTTTCGGCTGGCAACACTTGGACAAAGTCGACCACTACATTCGAACTGTTCCATTTTCACCTATCATTTGCCTCGCTTCCAACTTCGTCCTCGGCTGGTTCTACCCCAACGGCGACTGTCCTTCTCGAAAAGATACGATCATCATTCTTGGAGTCGGCGCTGGAGTCAACATTGCCAACTGGCTCAACTACAAACAAGGTCAGTTATAAATAAAAAGAGGATAGGAAAATATCATATTTTAAATATGAAAATCGAAGAATTTTTTCTTAGCAAAGATTCCCTTCGCTAATCAGATTAGATTCGTTTTCCTTTTCAAATTTTGGAATTCTCAACAACATTTCAGGCCTGGACTACGACATCTACGACCAACCTGAGTGGCACATCATCTTCTTCCGCGTCATCCACGGACTGCTACTGACCGCTGGTGCTCGGGAAGTTGCTAAGACGGCCATGAAGTCCCTCCTTTCTAAGGTCTTCGGCCCGATCACCTCCGAAAACATTCGAAAACAAGCGATCGAAGTACCCCTTCAGTACTTTACTTATACTTTCGTCGGTTTCACCGCTGTCTACCTCGCTCCACTTCTGTTTCTCAACCTCGGGCTGTATCGCTAATTTCCAAAACCAATCATACTTCTTGTACTTCTTACCTCTCTTTTCCTCTTGTTGATAATTTTTATTTTCGCTCTGTATCCGATGTATTATACAATCTTTTTAAATCCCTGATTTCTCATAGTTCATGATGGCGTTGATCAAAACATTTATCCAATCTGAATGAGTTTAACAACGCTTGAAAATAATTCCAGATGCCAATATTATTATTTTATAATATAAGTATCAAAGTTTATCTATTATATACCTGAAATTAATTATTCCTTCTTCAAGAAAAAATAAAATGAAAAAATATAAATATCGCTTTACTAAAAAGTTCTGAATAAGAATTATTTGAGTCTTCTATGATTCAAGCTTCTGGCCAATAAGATTTTGATATTTGTGAACCTAGCCAATGAAATTGAAGCATTGAAAGATGGAAATTTATTCTGCTCTTTCAGTAGAATCAGCACATTGACGGATTACAAAGTCTCAGATCTCAAAAAATATTCTCTTACTTGATTTCATAGACCGTTATCCTTGATTTAGTTCAATTTTACCCTCGTCAGATTTTTTTTATCTGTTATTTTTGTTAAAGCTTTAAACCTTTTGTTATTGTCAATAACTTATTGATCAAAGTTCTGCCTAAAAACTGTCCCTACTTGTTCTATTGATTCTAGAACCCGCTTTATTTTTCCAAAAAATCAGTATCAACAGCATAACATCTCATTTTCGCCACTTTACTATCACCTTTTGCACAACTTCATCCCTCTTCTGTTTCTCATTCGTCTTCCAGTTACTTTCCTTTCTTCCAGCGCGGCGGAGGACCCACCCGTGGGAACCCCTAGCTGAATCAAAGATTGGTTCTGACCGCTCGCGAAGCGCCAAAACACAGAATTTCGCGAGTTTCTTCGCGTTTCTTGAGAAAGAAAAACTAAACCAAAGAGAACTCTTCACAAACCAACAGAGCTTTTACTAACGAAAATTATTTGCTTCAGAATGCTTTCCCGACTTGCTCGACCCGTTGCCCGAACTGCTGTCCGATTTGGATCCAGCGTAAGTTTAATTTCTTCAGAAAGAGGATGAAATTTGCTTTTCCGATTGATTTTTAAAGAACAAGTCGTAAATGATAGACTAAAAGCACTAGGCATCAGCTCTTTTTATCACAAAAACATCTGGTTTTTGTTGTAGTAAAATTTGTAGAGCCCAAATCTCTTTTCTGAAAAAAATTCAATTTCAAAGATTCAAATGACTCATATTTCTACGAGAAGAGTGAATTTTCGATTCATTTAATAAAGCGAAAGTGGTCAATTTTGCCTCCTACGCCCTCATCTCTTCAAATTACTGTATCCGTTGATAGAATTTATCATGAAAATATCGGTCAATAAGTCACATAACATTCTGACTCCGTTTTGGAGCAACGACCTTATCCCCTTTTTCAGGAAAACAAGTTCGCCATCACCAAGGAAATGAAGATCTCCATGGGCGCTTCCGTCTTCTTCGGCGCCGCCTTCTACAACTTCATCCGAGGCAACATCAACCCCGGCACCAACCCCGTCAACTACGTCCCCAAGAGCGCTCTCTAAATTCCCAAAACCCGAAAACGACGATCAAGAAATCGACGATTATTTATTTTCATGAACCGTTATTTCCCATTCCTTTTTCTTTTAAGGAATCTGTTCTAAATTGAAACATTAGCCTTGAATAAAATAACAAAAACATCCGACTATCACGTGTCTTTCTCTAGAATGTTGTCCCGCGCAGCTTTATCAGTCCCCCGCCGAGCAGCAACCAAATTCGTTCTCGCACAAGAGGTCGATGGAAAGTTGGTCAAGGCGAACATGGAGTGGGCAGATGTTCAAGCCACGAAAGTTTCAGGTTAGAGCTGGGAAGATCCTGGCCCCAGCGGTAAAAATAGTAGACTTTATATTTATGCAGAAATTTCTCGAATAATGTCGAAATGATAATGAAGAACTCTGTTCATAATTTTTACAGACTCTAGAATAAAAACCTACTATTATGGTTCCTGAAATAACGAATCCGCTTGCGGCTTCGAGAGAACAAAAGCAAAGCTGCGGCTTTACGAAACGGGGCTTTTGAACTATTTTTTCTCGAAGCTAAAGAGTCATGGGCGGCTCCGGGCAAGAGTGATCTCCCCTCCGAGAGAGGGATGAGGTGCAGGGCCGTACTCAGCAGCGCCGGGGGTCTATCCGACGCTGCGGCACTTCCCCACACTCACCCCCCTCACGAAGTGAGAAGAGCTTTATTGAAAATTTTCTTCAGTTAATAATTTGTGTAATCAGTATTTAGAACAGTCGAACAAAATACAGTTTCAATTAGGAACAGAAATTATAATAAAGTTCTTCTCAAGCAAATTTGTCGTCTCAAATTGAGACTCTCAATCGTGATTGAAATGTATAATGATGCGATGGGAAATTCACATATGACGCGTCCCATCATATCACTGTTTGACGTGACGTCGTGTGAACAGACAAAGGTTTGTCTTTTGATAATTATAATGATAAAGATTGTCTGGCTGACATCTCGTCTTTCCAACAAAATAAATTTCTTCTGACATAAAACTGCAACGATTTCAAGTGATCCTCTTCTCCACTGATCCACTTTTCTCCACTGATCGTCTCTTAGCAGCTTCCGAATCTCTTCTTGTCTTCTTTTATATTTTCAATCTTCTTCCATAAATAAATTTTCATCTTAACGAGCCAATATCTTCACACGAAGCTCCAATCGAATTGAAAACAAAATATCTTGACCATCGGAAATTATAAGCAAATTTATAATTTGAAATCCAACCAAATAAAATAATTCCAATTTGTCCGCCATAAATCTCATCAATAAAGAATAGAAAAAAACAAATTTATCCATTTCAAGGTCCCCATAATTGGCGAGGCTTCAACATTCAAGAAAAAAGATAAAATAAGTTCCACTTTTCAATATTTCTGAGTCCAACGGTGGCCAAAAAATCGTATCCATTGATAATTTAGATCCAATAATTAATCGAAAACATCCAAAAATCGTAAATGTTGACCAGATTCCAAAAATCTTACGGAAAAAAGCGGCGAGCGGTCGATTCTCTCTTACAGCAGCAAGGCAAAAAGAAATATTTTTTTTTTTTTAAAAACCCAATCATCTTCCTGAGACGTGAGATCTTTCACTTCAGTTCACCAGTAAAGAGTCATGGGCGGCTCCGGGCAAGAGTGATCTCCCCTCCGAGAGAGGGATGAGGTGCAGGGCCGTACTCAGCAGCGCCGGGGGTCTATCCGACGCTGCGGCACTTCCCCACAAAGCCACGAGCGGCTTCTCGATTTATTTTTTTCATGATTGTTAAATCCGCTGACTGTTCTGTTTAGTCAACATTTCTGGCGAAGAATTCATCGGAAAAGCTTTCCAATTCAAGAAAATCATCGCTACTGAAGTAGAAGGCACTATTGAGTGGGTCAAAACCTTCAGTCGGCAACAGATGAAAGACAACAATAAGAAGTGGTTCGGCTTGGTGCAAATAACAAAGGGCGATATTGGTGCTAAAGAAATCATTTTTCATCCGGTAGTAGCGCTTTTTCTAGGCGTAGGGGATGAGTTTTGTTTAGGAAGAAAAAGAAGAATTTGATGTCTGCAGAAAGAAGTTGGATGATCGGGACCAAGTCGTCAAGATAGTTTTTGATGTCGTTTTGCACAAGGATCGGAAGACTGTTACAAATATGAGGGTACATCCCTACTTGTCTCATTTTTTACCTAATTTTATCATTTCAGCTCTTGTAATCAACAGCTGTGGACATTTTCCTGACCTCGAAGCATGAAAGAATTCATTACTGAAAGACAAAAAAGTTGTTTTTGATTGACCGTTTATCAATATAAATAAATTAACATTGCCAGAAAATTAAAACTTTGCTCGTCTAAAATTGCTTATTTCGCGGCTATTCTAGACACCAGTCTCTTGTATTTTACAAGGCTTGTTGACCTAGAAACGACTCGCTCTTGTTCGAAGTAGAAATGAAAAACATAAGGCGAACATGCTTTTGAATAAGTCTCTGAAATTAACTCCAAAAAAAAAAACGAAAATCTAGATAAGCAGGGAAGGAGACGAGTTTGATCCTTGATGAGTTGAAGCATTCAACCTGTGAATGTTTTGATAAGAAACTGTATATAGTCACGAGAAACTAGACCCAATCCACAATGCTAATAAGCAATCCAAATTCTGGTGAAATTCTGACTTTATTCCTCACGTGTGCTAATATTTCTAGTCCCTTTTCTTGTGGCTGTCCTTGGAATTCTCGGTCGAGGGGGCATTATCTTCTTTCCTAGCAAAATTTTACAACTGGTAGCGGACGAGTCTCACGTGTTTCTTTCAGGTCTTGTTCGAAGTTCAAACTTTTTGTGTAGAGTTTTATCGTGTTCAAAAAGGTTTTTGAAACAGTGGCATTTTCTGCGAGATTATAAGTTAGCTCAGGGTCGCGCGATTTCACAAGTGTCGGGCAGCAACTAACGAGGTTCACGTGTAGTACTTGAAAACTGATCAAATGCGAAATTTTTTTCGTGAAAACGTTTTCCAGTTTCGAAGAGAGCGCTTTTCGTCAAGAGGCTCAATTTGAATAAAATAAGGATTTTTGCACTTGACGAAATTAATCGAGGCTCTTGAGGATAAATCGATGATCGGGGCTGGAAACGATAACCTGGCCGAAATGACTTAAAATTCATTTAAAATATCGTAAATAATTTTTATAAAAGCAATATTTTTATCGGAAAATTTTAAATTAAGCTCAATAAAGTTGTGAAGATACCTGATTTATCTATTATGAATTTCAGATCAAAGAAAGTGAAGCTTTTCTCTAAGAACTGTTACGATGAAAATTAATGCGTAGCACGTTTCTAATTTTGGCCCAGCTGCTCATTTCTTTTTTCAAGCGGATCAGCAATTTCAGCTGATTCAATCACAAGTCCCAGATTTGTCATAACAAGAGTAGTCTCAGATGATAAGACCGTTTGAGATCTCCCATTCTAGCGTCTGAAATGTAGACATTTTCAAATCGTTCATGCTTCACACTTAGGATAATATTTAGCCTTCTGTAAAAACGAAAGTTCATTTCGTTTTCTAGTGTTTGGCTCCACCTTGGAATGTCACGAAGCTCACCGACTAAAGTGCCAAAGATTAAGGGCAATTATCAGCTTTTAGAAATCATTTTCGGCTTATCGTTCGGATCTAAAACTTACAATTATGTAAGACGTACCTGTCAGCGTGTTTATTGGCCAGCGTCTGTAACCAAGTTTAAGTTTCGGAGGGACTCATCCTCAAAGCAATTTGTTCAAATATAATGTCAACTTCAACTTCTTCATAAGACGGTCTTAAATTTATGCATGACACGAAAATTGCTGTTTATTATATTACTAGAAATCTCATCATTTCGGTGACATCGCGGAAGAAAAGCAAGAAGAAAATTCGTATTTTTCGAGGAATATTACGATCGATGCAGTTTCTCACTTTCGCCAAAGGAAATATTATAACCAACGGAGCAGATTTGGTGTGCGCGGAGAACCACAGAAATTTCGCACAGCTTTGGGCCACGAAGTTATGGCAATTTACCACAAAGCTTCGTATCCCTAAAGTGCCAATGTTTGAAGATGACCCTGTTGTTAGTCAGAGATCAGCTGCGTAAGGGAAACTTTGAATTTTAAGTCCAAAAGAGTAATAGAAGAGAGAGGTTATTAGTTTTTCCTCGTCGCTTATTTCTCGTCCAAACAGACGGGCACTTGGATTTATAAGTTCAATTCCAGAATCCAGCAGCATCACCTTGCGGAAATTCCAATCATATTGGTCTTTTTAAGATAGTAAAACATCGACGTAGCTTATCATTGTTCTCGATATACAGTGGCTCTTTTTATTCAATCAAAGAGTTCAAGTTTCAAGCATCCATGGTCAATTTTTGCATTTCATTTTTCTAGGGAAGATCAATTCTTGGATAAACTTGAGATGAAAAAACAGCTTCTAACGGATTGCTTCGTTTTGGAACGGAAGGACGCCGGACCTTCAACCTTTCTTTGACTTATCGCGCCGTTTTTAAGCACCAGCAGTATGCAATTAGCCCTCAATCTCAGACGAGCGTTGCCACAAACGTGTTTTCAGCTACTCGTCACTGGGAAACAACTTGTTTCTTCGACTTGGTACCTCGATTGTAGTACTCTTTTTCGATTTCCGAAGAATCGTTTATAGTCTATCGTTTATATATTATAGACTTGTCTACTAGACAATGTCTGCTCAAGCATATTTATCGGCGATGAATTATCGCTTATTATTTAGAGCACATTATTCAGCCACTAGACAGTTATTTTCGCATTGCAACTAAATTCCTTGTTGAATTTTTTACGGCACTTGGCCTAGATATCATGAAAGCCTTTTCTCGATCATTTTTCGTGTTACAATTTGTTAACGGTAGACAGGTAAGCAAAACAAGCAGGCCGTCCTAGCAATTTTATACGCGTCGGCACTTCAGATTTATAGAATTTTGAAAAGAACAGCTCACCTGATAATGAAAAGTTGCTTTTTCGAGAACCGATATGACAAGTTTTGCCGTGAAAATGTCATCAGAGCGAGGCAGGGCGAAAAGAAAGCAGGAAGTGATTCCAAAACTGCGGCTGATTTATCTTACCTCTTACTGACTCGAGTCGCTGTACGGTAGTTAGAAAGTTCCCTGAATAAACTTTGAAGCGTGTCATCCAAAAACATGCCAGCTCTTCAAATCTGAAAGTTGTCTGGACTAACCTAGTCTACGTAAACTGCCAGCGGATTATTCAAAATGAGGTTTTGCTCATCCGATGAAGAAGACCAGAAACACACGCTGAGTTGTGTACCCACAGATGGGATGAGTCAGGATTTTAAGAATTAATGCTTTAGAAAATTGCTAATCTGAAGACAACGTAACATGTTTTGCGTTAAATAAAAGGGTTGAACAACGTTTATGTATCCTAAAAACACGAATTTCTAGATTAGTCCTAAAAAAACTTTTGCAAAAGTCATCGCGGAAAACATTTTAGAACGTAGAATTTGTCAAACCAAAATAATTAATTCAAACAATAAAAAGATATCGATGATATTTTTAATAAGCAAACAATAGCTAATTTTCAGAATATTATTAATATCTAATCGGCCACTCTTTAGGTCAACCTATAAATTTGTAGTGAAAATAGCAACGGTCCTTCGGGGTCCCAGAATCGAGTCATTTAACATGTAAATGGAACTGGGAATTTCAAGTTTGAGTCTAACATGAATTATCTCTATTTGTACAAATTGTACATTATGTACATATCTTGATCTTCATAAATGCGCACCTTTGAAATAATTCTTTGAAGATCGAAAAATATTTTGAAATTTTTGAACCTTGACTGACATCTTGACATTTTTGGCGATACAGCTTTTAGCGACATCCAGAAGGAGAAGAGTTGATTAAGAAAACATAGTTACGTATGGCGAAATTCCACTGAGGTAGGAAAGCGCTTAATTGAGGCTTGTCTGAGGTTTCAAATTTTATTCACGAAATGGTCTTGCCCAACCTGGAGATGGTTTAGAGCTGATGAGGTGCGTTTTTACAAAGTGATGAGGTGTTCCCTTGCTGAAGTTGAAGAGCTGCAGAGTCTGAATGCGCCTATGAACCTTTAATGTCTGATATACGAAAAGGTATGTTCCAAAGCTTCTAGAACGTATTTAGTTACGTAACTGCTGAATTGATTGGTTGTTCAGTTGAATAGTTTTTACGGAAGAGAATCTTCATCAGAACTGTACTTTATTTCCAAAAAATTATGCATTATTTATCAAATTTTGCTGCAGTTAATTTTTGTTTTCTTCTGTGAATAGGCCTGGGAATTGCATGAAAAGTTCGCCTCTTATCAAATTTGATAGAGAACGAGTGTGAGAGTTCGCGAGTTGAAAAGAGCGATATCGTGCGATTTTCCGGCGGGCTTGCACATGATGCGATACTCCGGGCGACCGTTTGTTTGATCTTTCTTTGAATCATCGTATTCGAGTTAACCTCAAGTAACTTCCACGCAGAGAGATAGAGAAAGAAAGAGACCCGCATTTTTCTACTTCTCTGAAATTTTCTGAGAACTTTTTAAACGCAAACTCTATCTTTCAGAACTAAAAAAAAACAATGACTGAGAAAGTAATCGAAACAAGATTCAAGGACCCGCCAGCGAAGGAAAGAGCCACGAGCCAGACCCCCCGTGTCAGAGCTTACACGATCCATGATATTCGCCTTCAAACCGGCCCTGTTGATAACAGGTTACTATTTTTTGGATGTTTATCCGAAAATTCTTCTCAGAATGAATATCTTTATCGCCGTTTTTAACCCGTTTTTTAAGGATTCCGATCAACCAAAAGTGCCACGAACAGATTCCCGAAGGCTCCTGTACAGAAGGCCAGTTCCGAAAACGCTCCGTTTCATTTTACGGCGGTGCGAGACCAGCAATTCGGTAAGAGAGACTGGCGCTGACCTCGAAGTAAACTCAGTAGTCGGGACGTGCCCGTGCTCGAATTACTGAGCAAGCAAGTTCAAAATTGACTCTTTTTTTCTTCTAATTTTTCTTTTCAGACGGGGGCAAACAAGCGAGAAACCAACGCCCAGAATGATTCAGAAAGCCTCTAACTTTACTGTGCGCGAAAATGCCGAATACAGTTAGATTACGTAAGCACAAAAAGTAGTCTTTTTGGAGCATCTCCAGCGCGTGTTTCTTTCCTACCACATCGGCCTTACACTGAACTAAAACCTCTGTTCGACCATAATCGCGTAGCTTTTATAGTAAGTCAAAAAGACTTACATAAAACGGGCAGTTTCTAAACTTGGCGAAAAAGTTCCATGAACATTTTCTTTTCACGAGTAATCTTTGATGCAACTTGTCGAAAATTCTGCATATCTTCATCTTTCGCGTTTTTTTTTTGCCAACATATTATCTGGCTTTTCCGCAATTTGGAGTACACACTACTTGACCGAAAAAATATCAAACTGTGCATGTAATGCCTTATTACTAATAATAAGTTATTAGTCAAGTGAGATTGTAAATATATGGTGAGCAATAGTGTAAGTGTAATTATGATTACGAAAAAGTAGGAGAGTGGACACGTTTTCAACAGAATTCGTGATGTAAAGTCTAAATTTTGGTTTGAAACATTTTTTTTTGTAGTTTTTGAGAAATAAAGTACGCAAGTCTGTTATTACTAATAACTTTTTTACTCATGTAACAGTATTTTTCCATAAACTAATCGGGGATTAGCCCTTGATTCATTTAAAACGAACTGCTTTCTCAAAGCGCAAAGTTGGATTCATCGTTAATTTTTTTATTTTCTTACATCACATCACATATTTTACTGAAAACATCAAGCTATCTCAGCGGAAATTGAAGAAAAAACCCAACGTTTCAGAAAATACCACGTCCCTAAAGAAAGCGCAAGTTTGGGACTTATACAATAGAATTAAATTCCACGGGTGTTTCGTTGTGGAACTTCCATTACTGTACACTTGTTTCGGCTCAAAAGCGGTAATGCAATTTTGCCACGGAGGGAATACACACGTAAGCTTTATCTCCTTTTCTAGGGCTTAAGGTAGACACTTAAGGTTTCAGATGAACCTGTCGGAAGATTAGGCAATATGCTAGAATTCGGTTTTATCGCGAATGTGGTCGGGAAATGAGGTTAGTGCGTGTGGGAAACCAAGAACTATCGAAGAGTTCGATTAACTTATCGATTCATTAGAAATTATGAGAAATGCGGGTTTCTTTCTCTATAGAAGCGCACTACCATCCAGTGGTGCTTCTACTAAGGGTGTCAGTCGCATAAAGATGAAACAAAATTTTTGAACTCGAAAGAACCCTCAAGTCCACCGATGATGAACAGATAATGATCTCTAAGAGTCGCCACTCACCTGGGATGTTGGAAGATCAACCCTCAGTAATTAGAGTCACTGGCAAGTGGTTCGCTACTGGTTTTTCCATCAATAGCTGTCAGCAAAGAAAAGGGATTTAAGAACGGGAAACAAGTGCCAAGTTTGAAATGAGATAATGTGTACGCAAATTGACGGTCCGGGAAAACTACGAAAACGGCGGGTCGTAACGAGCCTGACGGGGATGGAACCTCAAATTTGATTTCAGAAGCTGTTATTTCTGGTTTCTGGAGAACATTCGGCGGACAAATTTGATATGCGCGTTATGGCTTCTCGTCGAACTTGACACGTCTTGTTGCACTACAAGTCTTCTCTGCGTAGAACATCCTCTAAGTTTTTACAGGCGACTAGAAATTCGGGCTCCACGTTACAGTTTTGAACAATAACTAAAGATAAAAATGAAAAGTTCCGAAGAAAAATTGGATAAGAGAGCTTCTTTTCAAAGACCAAGGAAACCTCAAAACTAGCGATTATGAATATCTATTTCAACCATGGTCATTTTTGTCCTCAAGAATCAACAATCCATCAATTCTTTTGAATAAAAAATTCTCCCTGAAATTCAACAAATTTCAAGAGAAGACAGGCGATTGTATTTTGTCTGTCTAGATTTCGACCAGGGAGATCAAATACGAGACCAACGTCAAGCATAATTTCATGACGAGGATCCCTGATCATGAAAACCACGCGAGCGCTATGCGCGCGCACGCTCTCTTGCGCCAAAAATCGGACTTTATAAGGAATGCGCGCGCGTTCAAAGGTACTCTTAAGATCTCTTGTCACGTCTCCGTGGCTAAGGTGATTAAGAAATATAAATTTTTATAAAGAAAGTTATCTATTGAAAACAACACGAATAAGAACGAAGAAAAAAACAAAAGAAAATGAAGGCTTCAGTGATTTCACTGATCCTTTTAGGAGGAACAGACGCTAGAAAACGTAAGTATCAGAGATAAACAAGAGGACCTTAACTCCCCAGTTATAGCCGCGTTGTCACTTTGAGAATTTTCACTCACTGCTATTTTTTATCTCGCTTGAAAAGAGACTCTCTCTCGTAAGTGGATTTAAAAATTTTCCAACCGGTTGTCAGTTTACGTCATAAAATCAAATCAATTTCTCTTGATCCGGCTTAACCTTACCGTATTCCCCCGCCAGTAGTTGCCAGCCTTCGAAATTGATTTCATTATTTTAGGTCACGAGAGACGGAGCAAAAACCACAGCCGTGCGCTTGCAAATGAAGCTCAGAGAATTTCACAGCTCAGTCCTCGAGTTCTTACTTCTTGTGTTCTCGATCGGGCTTCAGACTTGGCTCTACTGGAGACCTTCCAGTTTCTTGAGCCAGAAAGTGGGAAGCGCGTCTATTTCGGAACAGCGATTGACCCGATCCGTGGAAATCCTCAAGCAGCAAAGAACTCCATCGAAGGACACTTTGGCGAAGACGTAATCATGACTAGATCGAATGGGTACTGCGATAAGGGAGCGTACAAGAGTTGGAACAAATGTAACATCAACGGAGAGTGCTTCGTCGAGTGCGAAGATGGTCTCTGTCACGATCAGCATAAAAACGGGGAGCAGCGAATCGTCATTCCCAACGGCTGCCGAGACTGGTACCGCGCCTGTGCAACCGAATGTGCCAACGATTCCGAGTGCAACGCCTTCACATTTCTCGACACAAACATTCTCGGCCATCCAGAGTACACTTGCCACTTCATGAAAAGCCTCACATGTAAACATTCTGCGCAGAATCTCAATGATCCGCGATCTTCATTCCATGTCAAAGGCGCATATATGGAAGGTCTCTTCGAAAAATATTCAGCAAATAGCTTCGCAGAACTTGATGCAAGCTTGTCGGTTGATCCGGATTTCAAATACGGTCATTGGAGCAGCTGGGGATACCATGAGTGCCGTCAAACTCCGGCTCCGGCTTGTGGAGAAGGCGTTATAAAACGATCTCGAGTGCTCGAAAGTGGCTCAACTGAACATGAAAGTCGGCCTTGCAATTACTCCAACGACGATGGAGAGCTAATCGTCTGCGAAGATATCACTAATGGTGAGGGAGACGAGGAAGATCCAGGACACGGATGGACTTCTTGGGGCGATTGGAGCACTTGCTCAAAGACTTGCGGCGGCACTGGCTTCCGATCCCGCTTCAGAGCTTGTGGACAATGCACTAACCCGGACGAAAATGGACTTTGCAGCGAAGTTTCATACGTTGATGCAATTCCTTTTGTCGGCGCATCCCTAGAATTCTGCCCAGAAGGCGGTGAAATGGAAGAAGAAACATGCCAACTTGGTCAATGCTTGCCAGGAACTCACGGCCGAACCGGATGGAAAAGAGCGGGACAACGCGAGTTCAAAATCCGAAATATGTGGAACATTGCTAAAACCGAGGGTTTCACAAGAACTCTTGAAGATTGGGAAGGTGGCTGCAGAAATATTGACGAAGCCTACAAAGTGATCAATTTGGATTCATCTGCTCAAGAGCCTTCTTTCCACAATCCAAGATTCACATTTGCTGAATGTATGAGAATCTGCCAGTTGGAAGAGAAAGATGATTGCTTGTCGGTCATGTTCTTCAAGTCTGAACGCGTTGGTGCTCCCGATGTCAAGCGATTTTACGGAAACGACGCAGAGGGAAATCCACTTGAGGGAAATTGCTATCTTTTCAACAAACGATGCCACGAAGATGGCCAGCCTCGAGATGCTGCCTACCTCCAAGCTCAGCGAGAAGAAAAAGAAGCTGCAGGTGAGACTTTTACTGGAAAAGCTGCAGCTTTCTCTTGGTACGCTTACAAGGATCTTTGCCACGCTCCTAAATCAGTCGCTCTGAATCCATGCAACATGATGGGAACTTATTTCCGAGCTACTTGCGACTCATCCGGCTCCAGAGGATTTCCAAATACAGACGTCTGCCGATGCCCAACTTCCGGTGATCGTCACACTGAAACCCGGGCTTTCGGTAACCCCTACGCTGCTGCCTGGAAATACAACCCCGAACTTGGTGAATTTCAAAAACGAACTCACAATGCTGCTTTGGGCAAGGGACCAACATTCTATTCGAAATTCAAGTACAGCAGAAGAGTTTTCGCAGGAAAGTCTTTGGAAGAATATGAAGAAATCATGAACGAGGGATCAATGGCCTGCCACAATCCTTGCGAGCATAATCGATGTGCCAGTGGCTCAGAATGCAGGCTCAACTCAGAAGCTGAGTTTGGATACGACTGCATCTGTCAGTGGCCAACGGTGCCAGATTCAAGCCGATTTGGCGAAGGTAAGCTTATTCAAATCGACCACAGGTGTGTTATCGTTGTTTAGGACTTTTACCACTCGGAAAAGCTGGTTATGGAACGAATAACGGTTGCATTGCCGTTGATCAACGTAACGTTGCGGCCGACTATAAAGATAATCTGATTTTGTACGGTGGTGGTTGGAACTCGCAACCTGTCCCAACTGGCCCTCTTCCGAAACCCCATTATCAATATTACGGGTGAGTTGATTTATATATTTCTGCTCATTTTCTTTTGGCACGCCTCTTCATCAATCATTTAGTCTTGAATCGGAGAGCCCGTACAAATTCAAAGTCATCCACGCTCCTCAAAAGATTCCGGCCCCATCTCCATCTGCTCACAAGGCCAAGTTCTACAACTGCATGATGAACATCGACGAAAACAAAGTCATGGTTGTCGGTGGACGCCCAGGTCAATTCTTCGACATTTGGGACGACAAAACATTCGTCTATGAATGGAAAAAGGGTGCCAACGGAATCGAGGATGAAGGTCAATGGATCGGCGCTGACGGTAGCTGGATGAATGATACCAAAGAAAGCTGCGAGGGACTTTCTGGTTGCATGCGACACAACGACTGGCCTGACTTCCCCTCTACTTCTGTTTTGAATTGTGAAGGACAGTGCCGAGACGGCCAAATGGGTAGAGGTCCTACCAATCCTCGATGGATCAATTCTTACTGCACGATTGATGCTGATTTCTACGACGGAAGCAACTGGGTTAACCAGAAATTCGAGCTTTGCCGACACCGACTCGTTCAAAGCGACGATGGTATTACCGTCGAAGGCCTCGAGGGACTCTGGTCAAGCGAAGAAAACACTGACTTTGAAGAACAGTGGGCACAGTATAACTTGGCTATTCGAAAGACAATCACTTTCTACAGACAGACTCAGCTCCATTCTCCCGACGTAGAAGATGCGCTCTTCCAAACACATCAGATGTTCCAGGGCGATTCGTATTTGATGACCGGAGAGCTCCGATGGAAATACCCAATGGACTCGAGCCTCTACTCACCCATCCTCGGCCCAGTTCACTATCGAGATATTATGCAGACCCAGGGCTTGCCGAATACCATCCGTCCCATCTTCAGAGAGACTGTCAAGGAGTACCATGGTCCAGGTCAACCTGCTTGTGGTATGATGGGCAACCGAGCGTACGTCGGTTCAGGAAAGTTCTCTCGTCTGATGTCACTTGATGTCACTGCCGCTACAGAGCAACTCTGGCGAGTCGAAGACGGTTCCGAGTTCCCTTACCCATACAAAAAGTCTGATGGTTCTCAATGCCTCATGTACAACGCCAATGGAGCCGACTCTTCCCAATGGACCAGAGATCAGCTTCCCAACTACAGACAAAACTTCGGAACAGTAGTCACAAGCCAAGGATTGTGGGTGATCGGAGGTCTCATGGCCCCATCCGCTGATTTGCCGGGACGAAACTTGAACAAGAAATACAACGTTGAAGGTTGCACCAAACACTCGCACTTGAAAGACGTTTGGGTTTTCAATCCAAATGGATGGACTCGAAACGACATTCTCGGAGACGCTCGATCGAAATACTCTGGTTTTACCGGAAGTGAAATTCTTCCGGAAAAAATTGGATATCCATTCGGAAACGGTATTGAATCGCGAATCTCCACTTCACTCCCTCAGACCTTTGAAGAATTCCATCTCTCGGACACACCAAGCGGTCCGTTTGATTTGTCCATTGATTCTGCTCTTGCTGAAGGATGGGGATGCACAGGTGTCCAAGGAAAGTGGTGTCGAAAGCCGTATCTGCCCCGTGAAACAAAGGGAGCTGAGAGCTTTGTCATGTGCTTTGAGCCTGGAACTGGAACCGAGGACTTTTCCTACGTCCGACGAGGCTCAAAAAAGACGATTCCTCGACGACCACGAGTTTGTTCCGTTGAAGAAACTAAAAATTCGGTAATTTTAAATGTTGTGAATTCAAGTAATCTACGAATATTTCTAGGACAACCGATGCATCTGTTACATCATGAATATTTCCGGCCAATCAGGACCAAAACAAACTCCTGGAGGAGCTGGCTTCCGGCCGGAAATCGACTATTTGGAAGTACCCAGAGCTGACGGAACTTATGGTTCTGATCATGAAAGGTACACCAAAACAACTAATCGCGTCGGTATCCATATTTTCAGTTATGCGGATGAGTTGAAAGAATACTGCCCAGGTGCTGAGCCATCCTATCCAGGGATTGATGAGCCAATCATCCACGGAAACGAAACCGCTGTTGCCGACTACTCCGAGTGCACACCAGTTTGCGACGTCGAAGGTGCTCCCGCTTGCAACCGAGTTTGGCACAAGAAAAATCTTCGATCCGCCTGGCACGAAGCCGGTCGAATCAAACATCCCAGAATGGGCTTCCTCGCCGGACAGCTCAAGGGAGAGATCATCGTCTGGGGCGGAGAGTGCTACGGCCCTTCTAACACCCGTCAGTGGAACCTGGACGGAACTCTTCGTGCGACCAGAGTCGACTTCCAGCCAAGATCGTGCAAAGTCGACGTTCAAGGCGGAAAGACTGTTAATGATGACTACATGGAGGTTTGATATCGAATGATCTAAAATCGAGAAAAAATTTATGGACACATTTTCTTATAATTCTTAGGTCTTCTCATTCTTGCGCATGAACTCAGCCGGCTACATCTTCGGTGAGCGTCGTTATGTCGAATTCGATGGCTACGTCGACGGCCGAGCTGGTCACGGAGAAGCTGCAGTCGCCCAGGCTTTCAATGCTTTCAACAAGGCATTTTAAACTCAAAGAAAAACATCGCCAAAAAAAGATTACGTTAAACGAGAATCAACAAGACGAGTTTTTATAATTATGAAAAAAATTAATGTACAGTTCTGCTTTTTCACTTGTAAATGACCACTTCAAACTTTAGTATTTGACTCTTTTTACTTGTATAAATACAACTTGCTTTCAAAAATACCCTGCCTCGCCTGATTGTTACGGCTTTTGTTTGTTCAACTATTTGATTTCGATGACGCATAATTTCAAGAAGAGTTCGATAATTTAGAGAAAGAGAGATCATGAGCTTGGAAGCAATAAAGTACGAGCGGGGAAGCTTGGAGATCTTGGATCAGCTGAAGCTCCCATTGATTTCTGAGTACATCAGAATAAGGACGATCGAGGATGGTTATGTAAGTTGATTAACAACGAAAAAAATCGGCACGTGACTTGGTTTAGCGGGCGATCAAGCAGATGAATGTCCGTGGGGCACCGGCGATCGCAATTGTTGGATGTCTAAGTGTAGCCATTGAAGGATCGTTTTTATATCGCAGCTTTTCTTGCTAGAAATCTTTGACAAACCAAAAGCAAGTTGATAGAAAAGAGTTCGAAGACGAAAATTTATTGAAAACTTTCGTTGTTGATGGGTTCAACAGACTTGTTTCAGCCCGTCCAACTGCTGTAAACATGACGTAGGAATTATAAACAGAGCTTCCTTTTGTTACGGAAAAATTCAGAGAAGCAGCTCAAAGATACTCTCAAGTTGATTCCTGGCTAGTTAGAGGAGATCTCAAAGCGTCAAAGACGAGGCTCCTTGCCAAGCTTGAATCGGAGATGGAAGCTGACATCAAGACCAACAAGCTTATCGGTGACCACGGCGCTGAAGAGATTCGAAAGATCGTTGGCGAACAAGTTACAATCCTCACTCATTGCAACACCGGCTCGCTAGCTACGGCTGGATACGGAACTGCTCTAGGCGTCATTAGAAGTCTCTATCGAGACAAAGCTCTTTACCATGTCTTCTGGTTATTATCATTGCATATTTTTAATCCACAGCTGATCCATCTTTAGTACTGAGACGCGCCCTTATAATCAAGGGTCGCGTCTGACAGCGTACGAGCTGGTTTATGAAAAAATCCCGGCAACGTTGATTGCCGATTCGATGGTCAGTGCTGCGATAAAAGAAAAAGGCATAAATTGCATTGTTGTTGGAGCTGATAGAGTTGCGAAAAATGGCGACAGTGCCAATAAAATTGGGACTTTTCAACTTGCCGTTGTTGCGAAGCATTTCAAAATCCCGTTTTACATTGCTGCTCCTTTCACTACCATTGATTTCAACTGTGAAAGTGGAGATCAAATTGTGATTGAAGAAAGATCTCCAAAAGGTAGAACTTAAAAGCGAAGACAAAAATGAGCATTTTTCAAGAGTTGACTAAAATAGGCGGGAAACGAATTGCAGCTGAAGGAATCAATGTCTGGAACCCAGCATTTGACGTGGCTCCGGCGGAATTGATCGAAGGAATCATTACTGAGAGAGGAGTTTTCAAGCCAGACGAGCTCAAAAACCAGATGAATGTTGAGTAAAAAACTTGTGTTTTATTGAGAATTGTAATAAAGAGGAAAACTATCTCTGATATGCGGCAGATCGCACATGACGTTCGTGTTGAACCAGGACGCAGCAGTAGCAACAGAGAGCCGTCAAATAGTCCCTAAAACTCCTTTGAAGTGCACTCAAAATTTTGCTCTTACTTAAAGTAATTCGTCGGAATCGATGATTTTCGCATGATTTCTTGTCGTTGTTGGCAAAGGACAAAAGCAGCAAGCTTCGAATTTATGATGAAATCCGTTCAAAATTGAATAATTGACTTACAAATGTTCCAATCCATTCAAAAACTCCAGCAGCAATGTAGCATCCATGTGAAGTTATGCAACATTCCTGAGACATCACCATTGTATAGTTAGTGATCTCCCCCAAACTGTAAAGAGCCGTTTGAGTTGTAACTTTTTGGTGTTTTTTTAAGTGAGCTTATGATTCATAAGTTATGAAAGATCTCATTTTCCCGCTGAAAACATTCCTCGGTTTTGATCGACATGCTGCTGAATCTCATAAAATGAAAGACAGGGAAGAAAAGTTGCTTTCAAGCAAAGACCAAATTCATCGAAGCAGCTGAACAGACCGTGGCTAAAGTCTGGTACACCGTGGATTATTGGCTTATTTGTGGTTCAACTGGATGAAATCCATTAAAAAGATTATTATTCTTTACAAATTGGACCCAAAAACTGTTGATCGGGCATTGGTTGGGTCAAGACTGGTTGAACTGGTGGAACATTTGAATATATTTCTGCCTGTTTTTGCTCGAGAACATGATTGTAAGCAGGAGGCGCCTCAGTAACTGCCGGCTGATCAGCTGAAACTCTATTGATAATTTCTTGCTCTCCTCGAGCCATTGCCTCTCTTGATTTTTCTTCCATTTTTTCACGCGAAAATTTCGGTGCTTCTCTGTGAATAGGCTTGGACTCAAATTTTATTTGCGAATGATGTTTGAATATTTGTTCTGTTAGTATCCACACGTCAGAAGATTGGGAGGGAGTTGTTGGCAGTTTACTGTAATTCTATCGGATCAAACTTGCAAACACCGCTAAGTTATGAATGTGGAAGATCTTTGTTTCTAGAACACCAGTTGTTGTGGAGCTTGTCCGGGCATCAGTCAGTCAGTTTGAAAGGGGCCTGATTCAGGGGAAGGTTGAGCCGGTTTTCGTTGATTTTAAATCAAACTTCGAAAGTCGAATCAACCCTCTTTAGTTCACAGAAAAGATGAGCAGTCAGGAGGAAGAACAAGCGCAGCAAAAAAGGGGCCGCCGAAAGTCAATCGATGGACACTTCATCAGCAACGACCTTCACGAAGTGATGCCTTCCCAGAATTTGTTATCAGATACGTTCATAAAACCGCCAGTACAAAAGTCGAAAAAGAGGAAAACTCTCTCAGAAATGCATGCAATAAGTAACGGGTCAATAGTAAAAATCATTATTTTAGTTTTTTTCTTATTATTATCATTAGATTTTTCAACGAGTTACTGACCCTTTTCTAAGAGATAGAAGCGATAGAGCCGTAAGAAGAGCTAGTGTTGCGCCGAATTTTAACTTTGGTAAGTCCCGACAATTCTTGTAATTAGTAGATCATATGATTTGTATCAAACTTTTCGTTATTGAATAAACTTCATCAGGATACTAAAGTAAAAAGTGAACGAAAAGAAACAGAGGAAAAGAAATACTTTTATGTTGAGAGAGCAGTGTGAAATTGCTAACTGAGGAAAACAAAATCAAAATATGGCTATTTTTTAGTTTTTAGTTTACCTTGGCGCTCGACTAAAAACAGCCATATTTTGATTTTGTTTTCCTCAGTTAGCAATTTCACACTGCTCTCTCAACATGAAAGTATTTCTTTTCCTCTGTTTCTTCTCGTTCACAGTATCCTGATGAAGTTTATTCAATAAACGAAAACGTTTGATACAAATCATATGATCTACTAACGAAGTCAACAAAAAGATAAAATTCTTGTAATTGTTTCTCACTTGTAATTTTTAGTTGTCGAAGAGGGAATTTTGGAAGATTTATGCGTAGGCATAACGCACAAAAAAATCAACTTTTTCCCTGTAATAGATACAAGTTTGAAACTTTGGGAGCAACTAAAACACCAAAAATGACTTTTCAAAAGCTTGGATGGCACGAAAAATCAATTTTTTGGCAACTTTGGGGTACTAAAAAAGTACTAAATTTTAAATTTTTGAAATTTTTTTTTTGTTGAAATGTTGTCAGAGCGCAAAGATCTATATGATAGGTGAAAATTAGCTTCCTACGACTTTCAGATAAAAAGTCGATTTTTTGTGCGTTATGCCTATTTATGCGAGATAGCTGGCGAAGAAGCTGAAATGGGCGGCGAAATCATGCTGAGCGACGATAAGACGGATCTGCTCAAGCGAATATCTAAAAATAATAATACAAAGGATATATTCAAAAACCAAGAGTCGTATCAAAGCTTCATCAACAACAAGATCATCGGAAGTGAGAGCTCAAGTTTAGAGCTCACTACGAGCATTAAAGCATCAGTCACAAGGTAAGAATTTATCAAAAGTGAACAATCGACAATTTACAGTGAACTAACAAGCGCTGCAAGCTCAACATTATGCAGCAAGTCTTCATCGATGGACCGGAAAAAGTCGCTGGCAACTGTTCCTAAAGGCAAAATCGCAACGCAAATCGCTACTCAAACGAACATAACCTCCGAAGAAGCAGCGATGGAGATCGTCGAGCAAAATGCCAAGAAAGAAAAAAGCCTCCTGTCCAAGGTCAAAAAGATTATTCTCTGCAACAAAAGCTAGACATGCATAAACACTCCTCGTTTCAATAAACGCTATATTTTATTAAAAAACTAATGTTACTATTTCATCAATCGCAGCAATAAATGGCCATCAGAGTCTAAAAAAGCTAAAAATTTTGTCGAAAATGACCCATTTACGAAGAAAAATGCGAACTGTTCGTTTATAACGAGCACTCTAAAGTCGCGACTTACGTAAATTCGGTTATTGCTACTTGAGCTTAACGCATAACTCGAGATAAGATTAAAAACACACCACAAACACGCCAAGCGCGCATTCTACATGCGGTTCTAGCGCTATAAAAGCAGAAAACGCGGCCATATTTTCACAGAGAAAAAAAAGTAATCGACCAAAAATGAAACTTTTCGCCATTTTCGCCGCTGCCGCCACTGCTCAGTCTCTCGGCAACGAGACTCGTATGTACGGAGCTGATGGTGCTGCTGCTGGAAGTGCTTCTGCAGGATGCCAGGGCCCAGTCTGCGTTGCTGCTGTTGAGGCTATCGAAGCTGCCACTGCTCAGTTGCACGCCGATCAAGATGCTACCAGAGCTGCTCACGAAGCTGTAAGTATTTTATTTCTACTAAGAGTGTAATCAAGAATAGGAATGCTTTCTGAATCTTTCCCAAGCTAAAAATCGTGACCCTTTAATTTTAGAAAATTAAACATATTTTTCAAGGAACGACAGGACAAACAACTTGAGCAACAACAGATCCAGGCTGATTTCGACGCTGCCATGGCACAATGGCAAAATGAGACTGCTGAAATGAACGAGAGACATCAGCTTGATTGGCAAGCGTTCGGTGATGAATGGGCTGCCATTAACGCCGAGTGGGCTAACGTCGACTGGTCTTACTAAACGCGGGATCTTGCAATGAAGATATTCGAAAGAAAAAGCTTCTATATCCAATAAATCTGTTAAATTGTCTCAAATACAAACACATTATAAAAAAGTTCTCTTTATTTCGAAAAAAATAAGTTTGCTAAACGATAAATTCTCAAAAGCATAAAATTTCAATTTTAAATTAGTCATGACTCATGAGTATTTTATACATTATGCCCAGTTCTAAAGAGAACTGTTAAGGGACCACCCGCTACGAGCTCGCGCGGCTTTTTTGGGCGATTTTTCAGTGGCGGCCACTGTGGCGCTAAAAACAAGAGAATCTTAGATTGTCAGATTCTCTCTTCAGGTATAAATAGATCCATCTTTGGTCTATGAACTTCCTTTTCAAGCAACATTTATGATCAAATTTCGTTATCATAAATAAATTTTATGCTTTCTTGTTTGAAGCGATTGTCGAAAATCGACAAAGCTGTTTTCAAAAGGCATCAGCTCCTAAAATACTTGTTACTTGAAGTTATAAATACCCTCATCGAACAGCGCATTCAATTTTGACCAGGGCATTGCTCGCATGGTCTTCAAATTTTGCTTATATCCGGTCTAAATCAGTGGAGTAACTCAGTGTGAAGCCGGTGTCGCGCAGCATGAAGCGCGCGTATTCAGCCCAAATAGTGCAAATTCTCCGCCGTGCGTAGGAAAAATGATAATCGTGTGCGAGTGCTCTCTGAAGTACTAATGGAAACTCATAAATATTTTTTCCTTCCGACATTGCAAATGTCCCTTTGATTTGATAAGAGATTTATCCTTGAGAAACGACTTTCGATTCTCACCTGACACATCCGCAGCTTGATCCGTCCTTCAGTTTTCGGCAGAAAATTATCACTCAATAAGCAATCGAAAGTTGTCAAAATATTGGCCCTTGAACAATTCGCCAGTTATACTTAAAATAATATATCGTATTATTGATATTGATATTGATATATTGATTGATTAAACCTTCTTCCTGTCATTGTCAGGGAGACGACGCAAGAATTGTCAACCAGACTGAAGATAAAGGGTATGGAATTTCGCGTTACTGACTTCCGAAGTCGGCCATCGTCGGCCGCCTTCGGATTTTTTACGAATCAAAGCTATTGTCTTTCGCAACACTCATAAGATAACAGACTCGCTTGGCAAATATGAACACCTGAGTTCACTTTGGTGTGACGTTCATGTACGAGTAAATATTTGCTGCTGCTGATCTATTTTAGTTCTCTAAACTTGCATTATAACCACTTAGCAAACTCATCGGTGAAACAGTTTTATTTCTTATGACCTTATCAAAAGGTCTTTGCATCTATAAAGATAGCAGTGGGAAAGTCCTGAAATAATTAAGAAAGCGATTGACAGGGGAGCAGGAAGTATTTTTACAATCGTAAAAGTCTGATGAAAGCGCGGTCGCCATCCCAGCCGCCATCGATTGCGAATTTCAGTCGAGGCTTGAGAGCTTCTTCCTTCAGCCAGAACTTGAGCAGGGCGTCGCGAGTGTAGTTCGGAATCAGGTTGAAGTCCGCAGCGCCGTAGGTTTCGGTGAGAAAGTCGCATCCGACGCCCGAGTAGATGGAGGCAGAGATGAGCGATTGAATCATGATCTCGGTGAAGCAAGAGACGCGCTCGAGGGCGAAATCGGGATGGGTCAATTTATACTTGTTCAAGCATCGTTTGTAGTCGACGATCGTTCCGATCATCCGATCGAGGATGCGGTCGAATTTGGAGGACTTCTTGTGCAAACGCTTCATTTTCTCAAGATGCTTTCTGACATCCATCAATCGTGCTACCTCGAAGAACTGAAACTGTAATTCCATCCCAGCTCGTGTTTCCATTCTGGATGAATATCAGAATCACAAAAAAATGTTTCTTCTTTGGTCAAAGAAAAAGGTTCGAAATTTTTTTTAAACTCTCAATTTTCGTTTTGATTGTTTTTACCTGAAGCGTGGGAATATAAGCACGTCCGCAACAGCGCCTGAATTTGCGTAGAGCGCCACCAAATTTATGACTTTTGATGGCATATTTAACCTTACGCTGCCCAAAAACGTTTAAAGCTAAATTCACTTTCTATTAAATTCTGACGCCTAAAGGGGGTCGCCAAAACTCTTAAGGGTACTATCTTCGATTCCCAGAAGGTGTCTTTTCAAAAGATATATAGGAATCGGTTATTAGAAATAGATTCTTCATTAGATTTTACGATTATATCATATTGACAACTATTCGAAATTATCAATGTATCTTGAGATATGGCCTCTAGAAGTTTTTTCGAAAAAAAATTTTGAACTTCGATTTTCTCGATCAAGTGCTTGTTCGAAGGCTTAGAGCAAGGGCCATATGTTGGTAGCTGTATCGATCGCGACATCAAGATATTTTCGATTCTAGAGCCAAAAATGTGTCGCAAACTTTTAAAAAATGCTCAATTTTCACAAAATCGACGAGACTCAATTTTCAAAAAATTATTTTTGGTATTTTTTGTTTTTCAATGGAAAAATCCTTCTGTAATTTTAAAGATTCATGTTCAAATTACAAATAACCTATTCAACCGTTTATATAGGCCATTTTGGCGAAGATGACCACTTCAAGCCGTAATTTAGCCGCTTTTCTGTTGAGCAATTGATAAACACCTCTGTAATAGTTAAGATCTAGGAGAGATCTATTAAATGAGCCTATATGGACTCATCTATCATTCACAAGCTCCGAGTTATTCAAGGCTCAATTTGAGGAAATCGAAGATAGTACCCTTAATCCTAAGTTATTTAAGAGTAGTTTTAAAGGTTCTGTGTCATAATCTTTGGCACACGTGGTGGGGAAGGGTTAATTGAGTGGATGTCTTCCGACCATATTGACTATCACCAAAGTTTTTCGAAAGACTATTTTTCAAAGATGCAGATTTCTGAATGTACAGTTGTTTCTTATTTTGTTCTTCTGATGTTATTTGATTATGAGTCAAAGTTTATGATCGACCATCATTAATGCTTCAACTACCGGTCCGGTAGTACCGGAACTTAATTCTGCAAGAAAATTAAAATAATTCATTATCATAATTGTTCTTCTTTTTCACCCGTTGTCAAGGAAAGAAAAGAACTTTCGTTTTTCTTTTGAGGTGGCGCTCTTCAACCAAGGGAAGTAAACTTTAAACTCTGCGAATTACTCCGCAAATAATAAAAAGTGACTTTCGCAAATAAAAAAAGACTTCAAGTGACGGACTTACTTACAGTATTCGCTCAACGACATACATCCGATCATTCACATAGAAAGAATAATCTACCATTATAAAGCTTCAAAGTTCTAAATAAAATTGATATAAATCCTTATTCCTGAGTTAATTCCGAGCTTCATCCAAAAGTCTTTCCTTATCACTAGTTTTGAAGATCATGAAATAATGTTTTTTCAAGTGTGAGCCAACGCTCTGAAACAGGATTATCGCACCATTCTCATCACGACCTGTAAGCAGCAACCTTATTTTTCTTCCAGAGAAATCGACATGGGGCGAATTCTTCAGAACGGACGTAAATTTTTCTTGTTCTTTAAATTCTATCATTATTGAATTTTTGAAGGAATTGATTTATTGGTGCTGGCATGTGAAGATGCAGGGGCTTACTTTCGAATTATCAAGGATATGTTCACCGTAGGAACGGATTTAGAGATCAGAAAAGACACTTTCGGAAAGATCTGAAAAATCTGCGAAAAGAGCTTCAGGATATTCCTCAATGGTGCAAATTTGACTTTCACGTTCGCGGCTACCCAATTGATCCTGACAATTTTCCCTTTCAGCGGCGCACCAAACGTCGAATTCGAAGGAAGCGGTCTTCCTTGATTTCGGCCTTTGTCCATTTCAATTTTCGGTAATTTCCCACTTATGAAAATCGCGCAGATAGAGCAAAAACAAAGCTGCTGTTGGTGACGGAAGAAATGCTCGAGCTAGCAGAAGATGATGAAGAATTTGTTGGAGATCTTTCGGAATTGCTCGAGCGAGGGCACTTGGTGGCGATGAACGACAATCTTCCTGTCGCTGAGTTTGAAAGATTGGTTTCTTCATTGGTCAAGTTCAAAAAAACACTCAGTGTGGAGAATCATTGTTTTTCGCAGTTTCCAGTTCGATTGTTCCCAGTTTATTCCGCTACTCAGCGCGGAATCACTCGTGCGGCTGGGAGGCGCTAGAACAATTTTTCTTCGGAAGTCATAGTTGTAAACATTATTTATTAAATCACCGTGTAATTTTAAGAAAACCGTTACGAGGCGGGTTTGGTGCTCTCCCATCTAGGTTCCTACCCCGGTGACCTTTCAATTTAGTCTAAATGTCACAAATTCAAGATATCGGGGCTGCCCACTTTCAAATTGAATGAAATCTTGAACTTTGAAATAGGGAAAGCGCGCAAAAGACATCAAGAAGCTGGAAACGAATGAAGTAAGCAAGCTTTTCGCAGGAACCATAAATCTACTTGCGAAGCCAATGTATCAAATACAAGAGTTTCTACCTTTCCCGCAGAATATTTCAGCTGCTGATCCGGGCGAAATCTGCTTGCTCGCAGAGGATGAGCTGGATCCGTATCAAGATTACATGGTCAACTTCAAACAAGGGGAGCTGGAAATTGATTCGATTGGGGACATGATCAGTAAGCAAAGTATCACTTTGCCGATTCCCCTTGGCTTGGGGCCTGGAGAAGTTGAAATCAGAATCTACCCGGTCAAATACGGAAGGCGCCTGTCTGAACTTGTCGGAAAATCGGTCATTTATCTGGAAGAGTCGGAATTGGACAAATCCACAATTGAGACATTTTTGTTCAAGAAATTTAAACGACCGCTGGATGAATTGATCAACAACACTCTCTGCTCACTTCTTTGCGAAAATGAAGATAGAAGCTTTCAAAATTTCTGCGAAGAAAAACAGTTGAAAGAAAGCTTGGAAACGATAAGATGCTTTGATTCGATCAGAAAAAGAACGTACGAGAATGAAGAACCCCCAAGAAAAAGGCTCAAGGAAGTAAAACAATCAAAAGCGCAAGAAACGCAAACACAGCTCGAGTTTCAGTCGATCGAAGTGCAAACTGACCCAATTACAGTGACTTCTGAAGAAAACGGCAAACCTAGAACTCCGGAGCCCGAAGCTAAGGTTGAAGTGCCAAAGAAAAAGGAAGAAATTGTTCAAGAAAAACCGAAAAACACGAAGCTCGAAGAACGGCTAAAGGAACAGGAGCGCAAAAGAAAGATTGAACAGTCGGTGAAAAACATTCAGGCAGAATCTGCGCCGAAAATTGCCGCAAAGAAGGTTCTAGCACCCTCGATTGGTAAAAAAAAAATAAAATATCATGATCATCATGAAGATTTTCAGACGCGAAATCTACTCTTCCGAAACCAACACCTCCAAAGCCGATAGTTGAAACAAAACCTATCGAAAAAATTGAACCAAAGAAGGATGCGAAGCAAGAGCTTTTGAATCCAAAATTCGACTTTCAGACGTTTGCTGATGAAGATGACAAGTGGATGAAAAGACAACAGCGAATAAACGAGCGGCAGAATATCGTCAAATCGGCCACTGGAAAAGTCAAAAAAGGCTCAGGTTTTGAAATGATATTTTTGTGATTCAAAACTCTTTAGGATTCCGATATGACAAGAAAAAAGGCTACGACCGGTACTTTTCCAGTTCCGAAGAAGAAACAGAAACGGAAGAAGAAGACGAAGATTACGAAAACGACGGCTGCGACGATCTTTTCAATCCTCAATTCTCTTCAACTTCCTTTAGCGTCTATTCATTTTGAAAACGAATAAAAATTAGGACTCGCTTGAACAATGGCTCTTTTCAGATAATTTTTCCTTTTTTACGCGTTTTACGAGCGTTTTCTATAATAAGAAAAATGAAAATCTGACAATTATGCTTCATCTGAAATGAAAAAACTTTTGATTATATTTTTCTTCTTTACGAATGCAGAGGAAAACGTACATGTATGCGGTGGCGAAGAAGGCCTTGATGAAAAAAGTGATTTTCGGGAAAAAATTAAAAATGAAAAGGATTCGAATCTTCAAGTAAGATTCGTTACAGATCAAGAAAATTGCTTTCGCTACGGGCAAACACAATGGATAGCAAGGTCTTGAAATAATTTAACAACAAGTAATAACGAGGGAATCTTGAGACCGATAAAGACATCAGAAAATCGCAGCTAGAAAGCTTCGACTCCTTCGAGTCTTTTTTCAATGGACTTTCTGTAGATTCGAGGGAGAAAATGATCGTAACGCAAGTGAAAAGCCTCTGCTTCTCGGAGACGAAGTTTCGCTTTCAACTCAGAAAAAATTCTTCTGGCAGTATTTCTATCATTCCGCGATGCCACGAAGAAGGGCACTTTTATTCAATCGAACAGGGAGGCATCAGTAGCTCGACGAAAGCGATCATCATCGTCTTTACCTCAATCTTTGGGATTCTATTGATCTTGATTTTGCTGATCTCGGATCGTTTCAGCCAATTTACGCCTAACGCCGCTAGAATTATTCAAGCGTTCGTTAGGGAAGGAATGTAAGTAGTTTTTTTGCCCTTTTTCGTGACTTTTTCAAGAAATGAGAGGGACAAAAACGGTCCAAAATTCTTCGACTTTCCTCGATCTGGCAAAAAAGCGGACTGGACAAAACTCGGAGATGGAAATTTTGGAGAAGTCACGCTCATCGACATGAGTAAAAAGCGAAGTCCTTATATTCTTTCTCGAGTTCAACGAATGGGCCTGTTAGAAACCGACTATGTTGGAAAGGTGGCTGCAAAAGTCTGCAAACTTGGAGATACGAGCTCAGAAAAGGCGAGACAGTATGGGAAGTTTTTGGAAGAAGCGGCTACTGTTGCCAAGTTCAATCATGAAAAAATCGTGAAACTCAGAGGTGAGATCTTTTTCAGAGATTTTTGAATGAGTTTTGAGGATTTATGCTCGACGATGACAATGTTGCAATTTACATCTGCTTCGAACTGATGAGCTGTGAGCTGATAGACTACGTTAGAAACAACCAGGACCTTCCTGAGCAAGTTTTGCTGCGATTTGCGAAGGATATTACTGAGGAATGGTTACACACAACAAATAATAGATTTATTTCCAGTTTTCTATTTTCGATTCATCGGCGAAGGACCACATGAACTTTCCCTTCAGATTTCCGGAGGAGGGAGTCAATCTCGTCTTTGGAAAGATTCCAGACGGGTCGGTCGTTGATTCGCATAATTTGGTCATTCGCCTTGAATTTTCGTAATGAAATGATGATTCTTATTAGGCATTACCTTGAGGACTAGCCATGAGGGGCTGGCAAAGTCAGTAGACTTGACAGTAGGTAGTTGATTGTCATCCTTTTGGATGTGGATTCCGAAGTTTTGGGACCCTCGGAGGGTGTAGCTGTAAGTTGTTAGCTGAAAAAGGGTTAGTCCTCGTTGATGTCAGATTTTTGTTACCATTCTTCGGGCAGCAGACATTTTCTTTGTCGATCGGAAGTTTTAACTTTTGTTTTTGAGATTCTAGCTCTGTTATGAATATTCATATCGATCAAGCGCTTATATAGCCCTTAGTTGTAATCTTTCATCATCTCCATTTACTTTCGCCTGGTGGCGCACGGTGCAAAGATGCATCTCGAAGAAGCCAGGACAAGAAAAAAATCAATGTTCTTACCATATTTGGTCAGGAACATATGATGAGTAAGCGCACGCGCCAGAGTGCAAATAAAATTTAACAATTATTGTGGCGAAATGAATCGTAACGGAAAATTTTTAAAATGATGAAAATTCGACCTTTAACACTTCATCATAGAGTGCATTACTATAAATGTGTAACTGAAGAAAGGCCTGCATCTATCTTTCCAAAATCAACTTTGTCCATCGAGACATCGCTGCCCGGAACTGCCTCGTCTCGGAGAACGATCAGATCTGCAAACTCGCAGATTTCGGAATGGCTCATCAAATGGAAATGCACCCTGAGACTGGAAAATACATCTTCGAATCTGACAACAGAGGCGAAGCCCTTCCAATGGCCTGGACTGCTCCTGAGGCGAGCTTGAGCAAACATCCGAGGATCTATAATGAGAAGACGGATGTCTGGAGCTTTGGCGTAACTCTTTGGGAAATGTTCTCGAGGGGTGCCTGTAAGTTACTCTTCGAACTTAACAATTGGAAATCGACGATTTTAAGGTCCGAGAAGTACTTATATGGACCGATACGGGTCTCAATTCATGCCAGATTTCTTCGCAGTCAATGCAGCGTACATCTCACAAATCGCTCATCACCGAGCTGCTGGAAATTTCAATCAAATGAGGGCAGTGCAGAAACAACGAATGTATCTCATAAGCGACTTTTGGACATGGCTCCTCAATACTGAATCAACAAACTTTCTTCCGCAGCGCAACATAACAAGAAACCTCCCGAATCGACCTCTACCAGCAATTACAATCGAATCCGACGAAATCTATCAAATCATGGTCAACTGCTGGTCACATGACCCTAGCCAGAGATTTTCTTTCAAAAGAATCGAGCAAGAACTTTCTTTTCAACTTTACGATCATTCTTCTTATTAAAATTTATTTCTAAAAAACTGAAAACAAGCTGATTATAGTATTGGTATATTCGTTCTTCTGTATCTAGCAGCCCATGCTATCGCTTCCACCAGCAATGGCTTGTCCGAGTCCACGGGGCCATTCGACCCCCTTTTGCATGAAATCCGTTATTTTATCACACCCTTATTCCGGTTTTTCAAAGACTTTCAGTTGAATAATTATTTATTTGATCAAAGTTCAAGCAGCAGCCTATCGGTCAATTAAAGTGCGAAATGCTTACTCGTAGTAAACAAAGTATCAGTTACGACGAAGTGCAGGTCAAATAATGAAAAATGGTAGTGATGGTGATCGGTTAATATCAAAGAAGGGATACAGTAGTTTGTCTAGAGGCCCATGCTGTCATCTCCCCCGGCAATGGCCTTGCCCAAGCCTCGAGGCCATTCCACCCCGTTTTGCATCAAGCTGGTTATCTTATCGCACCCTTAAAATCAATTCTAGCACAAAATTTCTTTGAAAAACCGAACCTGAACCGAGACAAGCAGCAAATGGAGAGACCATGATGTAGATTCCAGAGCAGAAGAAGGCGACTGGCCAGCCAACAAGGATCAAAATGAAGATGTTCACTGTCGTGGGATTTTATGTGTTTGAATATTATCGAGTTTGCTTATCTTTGGTCCACCTGTGGAATCAATAACGATAACAGTAATCTAACTTAGATACCGATTGCCTTGTTGATTCTAGGTCCGAGAGAAGGTATGACTGAATAGTAAGAAACTCTTTTTAAAACAAATATACTTCTCTAAGAAGAAAAATTTATATTCTTTAGTGTTTAATAAGCCTAAGGTAAGATAGTCTATTAAAATCCGCTCATATAGTCCAAAGAACGTTTCCCATGACTCTCTTCCTTGATTTCGGTTTTTGCGAAAACTCTCAAAAATTGTCAAGCTCTTTTTGATCTGCTCTATTTCTTGTTCGTTGCAGATATTTCTAACGGTAATGATTAACTAGCTGACTGAGCGTGCTTACTTAGCGACGGAACGAAACTAAACAATTCTCCACTTGAGTTTCCAGCTGAGCTTCAAATAGTTTCCAAGTCATCTCTCAAAAATCAGTTCTTATCTTTAATTCAGTTTTTATTAAAATTTACAATGAGCAGATTGCCTTCAGTACAAAATATACAGAATAACGATTTTTACAAAAATAAACTCTGTACATATAAATTAAGCAGCTTCAGCGATGACTTGTGACCTCATGTCGATCTGAATTATCAATTAGTTGACGATATTTTCTATGGTAATTTCTACCTGACTTAGAAGGTACTCGTTGACGGGTTTTTCTTTGGCGGATCCATTCATGCTCTGTTGCTTGAAATGGCTTCATTCGACAGTCAGCTGACCAACTAGAAAGAAAGTTTGAGAAGATAAATTATGTTGCCGTAATTTGGTCATAAATTGTAAATACAATCAATTGATTCTGCAAATCCGCACTTGTTCCTCGATTAAGATAAAAAAATAAAATTAAACATTGCGGAAGAAATCTCACATTCAGAAATATTTTTTTGCATCTTCACTCGTTAATAAATACGAAAAATAAAAATTTCCTGAGCGACAATGATACTTATGGTTAGGGGTTTTGTTGCACGAAAAACTTACGTAAAACAATTCGACAAAAAGTCGAGGAAGTCCTTGTCCTCCGTCCCCATCATGTACGCCAAACTTTTCGAATTCGGTTTCCTCTTCTTTCCTCTAGAATTTACCAGCGATCGGGGCTGGCCCTTGGAATCAAAGAAGACTTTTCTGCGAGTGGCTTTTTCAAGCAGATCTGGTGGTGGGGTCGAGAACACCTAAAAAAACAGTTACTGTAATGAGTTAGAGATGTGCACGTAGGTCATGTCACATGACAGTAAAAAGGCTTTCGGCCAAGACTGAACATACATGTTTCGATATCAATTATTAACTTTTGTACCCGCGCGAAGGCCAAAAATTGAGATGATTCAGTTTTTTAGTTCTAAAAGTATGCTCAGCTAATGCCGTACAGGCGTTTTACTGTATGTTAACAGTGTAGGAATTTCTTATGCAAGGCTATGTTTGGATTTATAATTAATAGAAGCTAACCTCCATTATGCAAGCGATTTGTTCGTGCTCGTTCTCGCCAGGGAAGATCGGCAATCCCGTGTAGAGCTCCGCTAAAATAGCGAAATTAATCCAACTCGTTCGGCACTTTACCGACCTAATATGCATCCAAGCGACCACATGTCTATACTCATCGAATACGGCAGGCCGAGGATCACTTCTGGCGCCCGATAGAAACGGCTCTGGATATACGTGTATACTAGATAGACACCAGTCAGTAAATAATTAAGAGCCTGTTTACTTACTCCTCTCATTCTCATAACAGCTCGAGCCAAAGTCGATAACCTTGATGCCATTCTGACCTTCTTTTCCTTTCGGGTAGATCAGAATGTTCTCCTGAAAAGAACAATCAGTTAGGCTAAAAATGTTCGAAGACTCCTGAGCCAGAAATTGATCAAAATTGAATCAAATTTCTCAAAAAGACAAATGACCGCATTTAATTTAACCTATCTTGACTGAAAGACAGAGAATAGAGAGTTCACGCCGGCCGAATAAACCGCGGCCCATAAATAACGAGACAAATAAGATACTTTTGCCAATTCGGCGATGCAATGGAGACTTACAGGCTTGAGGTCGCAGTGAATTATGCGTTCTTCAAATAAGGCGCGTAGACAGCGGAGGATAGCGATTGCTATTCTTCGGACGACTGACAGGCTGAAGCCTTGGAAACTGTGCTTCTTTATCAGCTCATAAAGGTTCATCCTGAAATAAATTTTAATGACCAATAAGAGAATATCTCGATAAACGTACCCTAGGAGTTCGAAGGTTATACAAAGATGATTCCTAAAGGTGAAATGCTCGATCATATGAATGACATTCAGCTTTTTGTCGCGATCTTTTTGCCTCAACGCGTCGAGAATTTTGACTTCAATCATTCCTTGTTTATGAAATCGGGCCTGAAAGCCGCGATGATTGTTAAATTATGAATTTGGCAGGATTATACCTTGTTTCTTATTATCTTGACCGCGACTAGACTGTTGGTCTTGTGGTCCATTGCCTTCACGACGGATCCAAACGATCCCTACCAATATCGTTAATAAATAATGAGAAGCTAGTAAATCTGATTTTTGCCGCCTAATACAACCGGCCTTGGTATTAATTATTATCGACTTACCTTTCCGATGACCTCAAGAACCTCATATCGGTACGCCAAATGATCGTGTAGCACCTTAAGATAGCTACCACTGTCATCGTCGTAGCCATGATTGTGCGCTAGACCCTTAACTCCTTCGAGTTTTTTCGAATCTTTTCCGAAAAAGTAGATTGAGGGATAGTCTTTGATTTCTTCTTCTTCGTATGATGTTAGGTACGTGTTATTGGTCGCCAGGACTGTTCTTGGGCTAGAAAGACTTGAAGACCCCATCAACGATGAAATACGGTACCTGAGGCGGGAGACTTTTGAGAGTTCCAGAGCATGTTCATCATTTGCCCTTCCTTCTGGACTTTTCCGCAGATCTTTGTTTTTAGAAAAATGCTCCGGTCTGGGCTTCCGTGTTGCTGTAGCTTCTAGAGGAGGTTTTTGAGGGTTGTCTGAAAAATAATTTCAGTCTTCGCAGCAAGTTTGAACACGTGACACATACAGACTGAATTGCTGGCAGTAGATTGGTTGTTCTTCGAGTGAATAGACGGTAAGTGCAAGCCGCGATTGAAGGTCTAAAAGGACGTTATTAATTTTGAATTTGCTCTTTCGCGTGAAGCGAAAGAACTGGAATCCCTTTTGCAAGATTTATGTGTTTTGTGACTTCCCTCCCCCCTGCGCTCAATTATTCAGAGGTCAACTTGCATCCGCTTTAGAGGGTTAGAACACATCGAGGCCCGTGTTAGTGTTTGTTCTATCGTGTATTTGTTGATTCTAGCGACGAAAGGAAAACTACCAGCAACTTACGGCCGGGATTTGCTCCGGCTTTTGTGAGATTTTGTTAGAAAGGGTGCTCCACATTCTTTGAAAACTGGCTCCGCATCTGGGCTACGGATATGATAAGTCATGAAATCAAGGAAGAGTGTTCATATAAAATTCCATTACCGACATAGCCAGTCGTCTTTTCAATGTCTCTTTGTGATACTTTGTCTCTGTCCCATCCCACGAGTAGTACGTACTTGGAATCAAGCTCATAAAAATCAAGAATCTCCAAAAACCTTACCAAAAGTAATTTTAGATATGAAACTTGTCCTTCCTATTTTAGGCTTAGCTTTGTTAGGATTCCAAGTGCTGATTCCAGGGCGCATTTTTATCTCTTTTTTTGAAAAGGGGCTGGCTGATGTACGCCCGGTGGACCCGTTACAGTGCCCAATTTCATGTTCAAGTTTTTTCAAAAGATTTTCCGCAAGTAAAAGGGCCTCGGCCGCCTCTATTGTCCCTCTTCAGTATACAATTTTTTCACCATGCTCATCACTTCTTTTCAGAAATAAAAAGAAATGCGCTAATGATACCCAAGTATAAATAAATTTACTCACATCAAGTTTTTTGTAGACGCCTTCTGTCGCCAAATAATCGGAAGAATCGAAAGTGTGTCTTTTCTTCTCCTGAAAGTAGCTCTATAAATACTATCACTGAAGTTCTTCACTTAAAAAATAGGCAAGAGCATTAAACATCGATCTGGGCGGTGATTTATTACCGAAAAGGATAATGATTTTAGCTTTGAAGGGTATACATGCTTGATCCGCTTTAATGAATTTACTGCCCCCTCCTGCAATATAATATTCGATCAATGCTGTATCTGGCTTGTGTAGCTGACATTTCCAAAAAATTAATAAACCACCTGTACAATCAGCAGAAAAAGATACAGGGTTAAACGAGCATGTCACTTTCGATTAAAGACTCCCAAAAGACTCTTGAGAAATCATCATGCTTGGTTGACCCAAAGAGCAAGGTTTTCTTTTTGGATTAGACGTTTACAAGTTTGACTACAGTTTTCTTAATTTTAGTCTCATATTTGACAAAATTGATCGAACAAATTATAATTGAAGCCTGAAAAATCTATATATTCCCAAGCCAACTTATTTAGTTTCAACGATAAATCAATTTTGTCCGTCTTTACTTTCTCAAATTAACGCGCCCTAATCCCTTAATCCCAACACTATATAAACTTGTCCCACTCCTTTCTTTTTTCTTTTCCTTCAAATTTAATAACTAAGCAATCTATTCCTTCTCCCTATTTCTTTTTGCGTCACGCGCATAATATCTCAACATATTTGCAGTGGATAATTAGGGCTTCAGCGCATGTATTCCCTTTCCTTCCAACTTCTAAGTGACCCTCTCCATAATCGGTTTTTGCCCGATGGTTTCTCTGAATCCGAACATATGCTGGTGCTCTCTGTTTGATGATTCTGCCCCGAAATTTTGGAAAGAGAAAGTGAACCTTATTATTTAAAGTAAGTTTATGAGTATATAATGGTAATAGATTGAGGATGACTCCAGTCGCTCTCTCTCTCTGCGGAGCGAGTTTTCGGCAATCGCCGCCGGCGCATATTGATGGCGCGCGCAAGCCCCGCTACCGCCTTTTTTGCGCCTTGGGCACAGTATGCAAAGACATGTCATTTTTTAGAAATTGCACCTTACATGCAACCTTGATCAGAAGCGCCCCAGCGACAGGTGCAATTAGCCAGTGACAAGCTGATTTTCACTTGATAGATATAACATTGCATCGAAGCATACAACCTGGTAATGATTCTACGTCATTTTTGAGATTGATGGCGGGGAAAATTTTATCAGACAGCTTTGTTTTATTATTAAAAATGCCGACATACAAGATTAATGATTTTGATACAGTTATTGTATACTGTATACAAAAATATTGATTTTTTGCGAAAACATGATGCACATTTTAAATAATGAACTAAAAAAACTGTACCTCTAGCATTTCAATGAAGCTCTTTTTCTGATATTTTGATATATTGAGTAGCATTGCGGCCGTGAAAAAGTTCCTGCTAGCTTCATGAGATTCATTTTTCAGCCGAAAATTTGCCTCGTAATTAGTTTTTCTAAATTGATCCATCTTTCTCTAATTATTAACTTGCTGAGCTTTTTTGCTTTCTTGGAAGACAGAAGGCCCTAATATTATTACTGTCAACAGAATTCTCCTTTATCGATAAAACGTCCACTTTCTCAGAAGAATCGAAAAGAAATCAACGAAGAGAACGAAAAAAATTACCTTATTTCGCGGCGCAAGACTGGGCAGAAGTTTTTCTTTTTGCGGCAAAATCTTGTTGCGGAATGTTGTTCTCTGGTTGGCCTTTTTCTGTGGTTCTCTTGAGTTCTTGAAGGTCCACCAGCTGGTTTCACTCCGATTCGCGATTTTGTTACGAGACTCTTTGAAACGTAAAGTAAAGAGTGTCTTTTATCAGGGTCATTATTTATTCTGTAGATTTGCTTTTTCTTTATCGACAGAAAAAGAGGTTTCTGTCATTTTTTGAGTAATAAAGCTGATCTCTCTACATTAGTTCTATTTCGACCCGTTATCGGTTTTTGCATAATTATACTTATTGCTATGGTTTGTCCATCTTTTTCAGAAGAGACACTGGCCACCGGTGCTCGAGTAACCCAAGACCCAACGACAACTCCCCCATTGTTGCTTGCGAATGCACGTTCTTTTCCGCGGCTAGAGACACGACCAAAGAAGAAATTGGAACACAGACGAACTTTTATCTTTAGAACTATTTTCGTTGGCAATGAAAAGTATTTATTACAGGAACTCATCAATCGAATAATTATACATAATGAAGTCAGGGTAGTAAATAGCGTAAAGTTGAAGGGCAATCTCGTTGCTGATCCCGTGTGCATTGAAGATTTCTTTGGGCGAAGCTTCGGTGTGATCGTCATAAGCTCCTGAAGAAAATGAAATAAGTTTTCAAAAGCTGGTGGATTTAAGATATTTGCGACGAGAGATTCAATACCTGGTAAATAAGTTATGTCGGTGAGATTTCTCTGGCGGAGGATGAAGGACGCATCGGCGGCTGAAGACTCTTGCTTGGTAACAAAATGATAGTTCATCGAGCATGGACTGCATGACCAATCATAGCTTGAAAATATTTTATATTCGTGGTTCTTTTGGAAGGCCTTACGATTGCCAGTGCTCATTGAAGTCTAAATCGGAGGCCACGTGAACGATGTATTTTAAAAATGCATTGAAAGAGACAAGATATCGAGTGTCTTCGACAGAATTTTCGTCCTCAAATGTTCGGATTCCAGGAACGTACTTTTTGTACGACCAAAACCCTTCGTAGTTGGAATCGAATTTTTGATGCCAAGCAGAGAAAAGTCTTTCTTTGGCTCTAAATCTAGATTACAGATTTTTCCAGCAGGTATTTGAAATACCGCCTTTCAGGGATACCCGTAACTGATCGCATCAGTAGCATGGTGGCGCCACCATTAGACAAAATTTTTGCATATGAGAATTTTCGCGGGTCTTACCACTATCAAAATTTTTATAAAATGACACTTTATTTTTGTCAATGTTTGAAATTGTGTGAAGAATAATTCAAAATCTGTGTCTAATAAACGATTCTTCGATGTAAAATCACAGTATGAATTTTGTTCTTTCTTTTTATCATCGAGCCATTCCTAGAAAAAGGATGTCGAACATTAATCCATTTGAGATAATTATCATCATTGACTCTTCTCTCCAACCCTTCAAAAATGCAGTTGTTGATGTTCGAAGGATGCTCTTTTCGTAATTTCCTGAAGACATGGACATTATAGCGTGAGTGGTATCGTGGGAGCTCTTTGAAAACATTCGCTTGTGGAATGTCATCTGCTGCAACATGAGGAACACGGTTTTCATCCACGTAATTCAAACTCGACAGGGCTTTTTGCCAGTTCGTCGTGCCGGTTTTTAGCGGGAAGCAGGGCATCATTTTGAAGTTGTCCATCAAAAACATGTAGCGGTTTCGGAATTCTCCGACGGGAATCTTTCTTTCTGGCTCTTCAGCCATCCCCTTGAATTTTTCGTATTCCGGATTTTCAGGATCTCCGACTGCTTGGTGCAGTTGATGCAATTGCCGAAGCTTGTCGGAGAATGAAAGGTTCGTTGTGGTGCGGATGGAGTTGAAAAGAGATTCAACAGAACACGCTCGACGGAGAATTAGTTTTCGGGAAGCCATTTCTTCGTACGAAGTCGGCTCTCGAGGCGGTGGAATCTCCATGTGATCAGATAAAGGTTGCTCAACGACGAGATTCGCATGGAATTCAGGGCCGATGATATCCTCTGAGAAAAGTTAAACCCCTGTTTTATCGAAAAAATTACGCCCGTTGTTGGTTTCTCGAATGCCTGGGGCGTGTTGTTGACTTTAGCAAAAAAAAAAAAATTTTTTCGAGATTCTCTAGAATTGTTGTCGTTGTCAGGCCTTTTTTTCAATTTCTAAGTCAGTTGCGCTTTCAAGCAAAACTTGAAAGTCCGCGCGTCCAATCTTTCAACGTTAGTCAAATTAACGCGTTTTTCTTTTAGAAAGAATTAACTTTTGCTTCAGCATTCCGCCGGAAGACGATTCTGGCATCGATTCCGTAATGGAATTGAATGCCATTCCCGCATTCCAGAAGGATTGGACGCGATCAATGTTCTTCCCCGAGGAACGTGGGGTGTGATCCGTATTCCAAAAGGAAACGGTGCAAGAATAAATGATGCAAGTTGCATCATGCAACTGTGCAAAACTAAATGATTGAACCTGTGCAAGAATAAATGACCTTTTTTTTACTGAAAAACTTCCAACCAACTCATCTTTTCTTCAATCGAAAGGATGAGTTTTGTCTCCATCGTTCTTTTTGCAGGCATGATCAACAAAAACCGCTCTAGAAAGGATAAATTCGTAGAGAGAGGGATTAACTTTTTCCTATAGCATGACAAATCTGTGGTAGATCGTGGTCTAATAGTGCGGAATCAAGCCGGGAGAAAACGTCATCTTCTGAGTTTTCTTCGTCCAAAGAATTCTCTGATTCCTCGCTTTTACGGGTTTTTAGCTGGTCTTTCAAAAATTTCTCGTGAATGTCCATTTCAACCCTTTCCTTGGAGTTTCCGTAGTAGCGCTTGTGGTCGATACCGTCGTTGTTTCCTCCACTCTTTCTGTCGCTTCTACTGTAGTTATCGACACACTCTCTTTTTCATCAGTAATTTCTTTTATTTCTTCCTCAACAAGTTTCTCCAACGCCAAGTTGTAATACAAAAACACGAGCAGCAAGAAAATGAGCGCTACATAAAGCTTCTTCTCGTACAAAATCATCTTCTCACTTTCTCATCGCTTTTTCTCTACAATCCGGCGGCATAAAAACCACCCGGTGACTTTTTATTTATAAAGTAAATCTAAAAAAACTTGGAAGAGAAAAAATGGACCGCTTCGCCGCGGGGCACGGACCTTCGAAGAATGAATGTGATAAACCAGTGTTTAGCGAGCTGGTTGGCATCGTCCGGTTGGTCGCGGCTAATTAATGCGCACCATCAAAGCGTAAACAACGGCGGCTCTTGACCTTGGCGTACGGACAACGCGTTTTTCTCCGGTAAAAGTTTAAACGAAATCTTTGATGATAAGTACAAATCGTTTGTCCTATCTTACGGTACTGTTTATTGTTGAGCTAAAACGCCGCAGTCCTAGTTATCTGAATCTAGCAGGAAATAAACCCTTCCATCTGCTCCTGATAAGCAAAAATAAAGCATATCAACAGAGCCTGATTTATGTAAAGGACGAATTCTCTGTTATCTAAATCTGAACGAGCCTTATATAATCCAGAGAAAAATGAACAAGGCTCATTCGAGTTTGATAAAGGTTGAAAGACACCGAAAATTTATCAAATGAAGGACTTTATTTTGCTCTTTTCTAGCGTCTCAGGTAGAGAAATGAAGAGAGATGAGAGCTAATTGATTTTATAGGAAGTGCACTTTTGGACTTTTGGGAGGACATTGATGTCTTTGCGGCGCAATGTTGCAAAAATATGCCGAGAAAGAACTCTGAGAGTTTTTCTTTGCGAATGGCGAAAATCAAGAGGTTCGCGGTTCCGCTTTATCAGGAAGAGGGAGAGTGCGAATCTGAAATAACAAATCCTACTTATGATACAGTAGAGGTAGTTCCCTACGATACAAGGTCGGATTCAAAAATTTCTAGCCGAGAGTGACCGTGAATTTTTATGAATCTCAGACAAGAAAATCCGTGGAAACAAATCTAAAAATCTTATCTACAATTCTTGATGAGTGGATGCTCTCCTACGCCTGTTTGCATGAAGACACCGCTCTAGCTTCTCGACAATTCAAAAACCCGATGAGAATCATCGAAAATTTGAATAAACTCTCTGAAAAAATAACGGCTGAAGACAGCATCGCCCAAGAATATTCCTACGAGGTTTCATCTGAAAAGATGGATCACACTGCTGCAGAAGGCTACTGCTATGAAAAAGGAATGTGGCTTGCTGAGCCAGGAGCGGATCAAGATCGACTTGATGGCGTTCTTTCAGCCTTGAATGAAGAGGAAAAATACTGGTTTAATGGAAACTCGGAGTGCTCTTCTATAAACGCTGCCGGAGTGGAAGCTGAAGAGTCCTGCGAAGCCTCTCTGCCTGTTGTTTGCGAGAGCGGCGAGTTCTTTGGAACGAGTGAGCCTCCAACCGAGCCACCGACAGAACCACCAACTGAGCCTCCGAGAGTACCGTGCTCAACAGTCAACTACGCTACTTGCTACGGTTTCGGAGACCCTCATTATATGACTTTCGACGGCGAGTATCACCATTTCCAAGGTCGCTGCGGGTACAAATTCATCGAGTCTTGGGGAAACAGTGCTTATACGAATGTGCCTGGATTTTCCGTCAATGTCGACCAGAGAGCGCTCTATTGGGGAAGTGAGGAAGGAAAAAAGACTCTTGCGTACATTCACGCTGTTGAAATCGAGTTCGCTGAAGAAGGAGCTGCCGAAGAAGATGAAGCGGCTTACTTCATGCGTCTCGAATTTGAAGGAAACTTCGGACAAGCTGCAAAATGGTCAATCGAGAATCGAGCAACAGGAGAATCCTGGGATCAAGATCATGTCGCTACGGATTTTCAAGTTTCTACTCGAGGCGGTAGAGTCACCTTATCAACTTGGTTTGGCATGGACTTATACTACGATACGACGCAACTGAAGCTCGACGTTCGCCTCCCTGATTGCTACAAAAATGTCGTCAACGGATTGTGTGGAAATTGGGATGGCAATACGTACGACAGCTTTGATTTCCTCGGAAAGAATATGGACAACTGGCGAGGCAATCAAGAAGGGTTGATGGAATGGGCCGATGATTTCATTCTCTTGGACATGGTTCGCAAGGCTGGCCCTGGTGGAATGCCGGAGATCGAGCAATGCAAGCCTGAAACAGACCTTAATTGCCCGGATTCAGCTACTGTTGAAGGACTTTGCTCAGTCCTTGATGATGAAAATGAAGATTCAACGCTTTTTGCTCCTTGTGACTCGTACATCGACCGATCAGCTTTTTACACTTCCTGCTATCTTGACACTTGTGAGGATCAATCTATGTTCTGCGGTGCAGTAGGAAACTTTGCTAATCAATGCTTGAACTCTCTCGCTGAAAATGAACGGACGGCAGAGATCTGTAACTGGGCAGATACTGTCGGCTGCAAACCAACTTGCGGGCAGAATAGCGAATATCAGGGATGCACTGATTCCTGCACGGCTAGTCGAACCTGTCAAAATCGCCATCTATCAGACCTACAGCGCTGTGGCAGCGAGGAAACAAGTGTCGTTGAAAGCTTGTGTGTCTGCCAAAAAGGGTATATTCTTGAGAACAACGTTTGTATCTTGGAAAGTGACTGTGGGTGTATCTTCGATCAGAACGGCTTGTATTTCTCTCTGGATGAATCATTTGTCTATGAAGAGCAACTTTGCACTTGCACGAAAGCTGGAATCTCATGTGATACATTCGTTCCACCAACCCCGACTCCTCCACCAGAGGGTTGTCGAAAAAGCCTCAGTTTCGTGAAATTCTCCGACGAACAAATGTCATCTCTTGCTGCCAGCGCTGTCTGTGAGGATAATGGAGGGCACTTGGCCTTCTTCAAAAACCAAGAAGAATACGATCTCTTCAAATCTTCTGTTAACATGGAAGGGAATGAGCTGCTCGGATTCTCCAGAAATCCTGAAAATCTCGAAGAATGGCTTTACGCAGATTTGTCCGTCGCTGAATTTTTTGACTGGGGAGTCGGACAGCCTGATAACATGGAAGATAAATGCGCAGAGCTGGTTTTGCCAAGCATGTTCGATGAAGAAGGAGTCATTGCAATGAACGACATAAACTGTTTGAAAAAACGCAAATTTTCTTGTCGAGTTGAGGTTCAAAAGCGAAGCAATTTAACGCTCTTAATCTGTTTCTAGGAAATGATAGCTGTTGGAGAATCATTCTCCACGGAGACTGAAAACTGCGAGTGTACCGCTGACGGCCTTTCCTGTTCTCCAATTTCTGCTTGCCCCGAGTTCCGAAGAATGGAAGGCGAAGCGACTAATCCGGAGGCAAAACTTCAATGCGAAGAGCTTGGAGGACACATTGCCTTTTTCAAAAACGAAGCAGAATATAATTATTTCATGTCTCTTGGAAATAACCGTCGTGAATGGCTCGGTAAGAGGAAATAGAATAATACGGGCTTAAAGGAGATTACTTAGGATATTTCCGAACCGGACCTGGCGTGGAAGACTGGGAAGCACAGGATGGCTCGCTTGACTTTTACCTGAACTGGGGCTGGCGGGAACCAAACAATCTACACGGCATCGAAAACTGCGCGGAAATCGACATGCAAAACGAAGGTGTTATGAATGACTTGCCATCTTCGACTGCTTGGGGAACTGTTTACAAGCGTTACTTTTCCTGTAGACTACCTTCCACCTCCAGAATAAATGAGTGCTAGAATTCTCTTCCTTCTAAAACGTGCGTCGATTAAGAGTTGTAATTGAATGAAGTGCGACAGTACTTTCGAAAGATAACACCGTTGATAAATTCCTTGTTCGGCGGATTTTCACAAGGAAGCTTCTTTTGAGTCGCTACAAGGCTAGCCTTCTTATCAACAGAGATCGGATGGGTTTGTGTGTTTTTATCAACAACTTTAAAACTTAATACTTTTAATGAAACAGAGATCGACAATTTTGTTTTCTTGTAGATACTAACAACATGAAACTTTTTATAGACTAAAGTTCGAAATGAAAACTAACTGAAAGTTCGACGAGTAAAGAGACAACTGTACATACTGTGCATAATTTACCCGTTTTTTCTTACTCTTAGCTTTATCGACAAGCTTGATCATGAAGAATCTACTGTATCACACCCTTTTTTAAAAATTTTAAGCAGAATTTCTTCAGAAAATGTGCAATCTCCGCATGTCATGAAAAACAGCTTCCCTCCTGTCTTGCTTGCAGCCCTCATACGCGCTGGGAAGTTCAAACGATGATGCCTCCGGCGTTTTTGAAGCTCTTTCGTCCCCTCTTCCATTCTAGTACCCCAACCCTAAATAAGTCTCAGCCATCGTTCACTTTTTCTCAATTCCAAGATTTCAATAGAGATAAAAAAATGTTGAAGAGTTAATGCACTGGTCATATCCTTGGGACAATTTATGCATTTTTGCTATGAGAAACAACAAACTCTTCAAATTATCAGTCAAGTTAATAAAAGAGAAATAAAAATCGAGACATGAAGAAAATAAGAAAATTGTTGGAGGTGCTCTCTTTACTGGAACGGGGACTAGAGATAACAGCTTGAGTTTTATCTGTTGTAAGCCGCGCAGAGAAAATAAATTATGACCAAGTGGAGAATTTGTAGAGCGGGATTAACGTTTTGCGGGAAGCTTTCAGCGCTTTTAAATAAAAAAAATCCTGGCATTGATTTTTTTATTCATTAGATTACAAAATACATAATTTGGAAATCCTCCAAGTTAGTTAGACCATAACATCATACTGTATTATAAATCTAGTCCCAAACAATAGATAACTGTTCATGCGAACCAAAACGACTGCCCCGACAAAATCTTTTCCGTAACCGACCAGTGGAAGGATGGATTTCGCGGTTCAATCTGTTTCAAACCTCCTGCTGATTACACGAATCCGGAGCCATGGAATATTACCATTCAGGTCACGGGATAACAACATGTTTAGCCCAAAACAGAGTTACGAATTGTAAACCCCGTTCTAAAAGTTCGACACTCCTATTGAAAATTTCAACGCGCAACAAGCGCTCTTAAAAGTCAAAAACGTTACTCAAGATAATTCCACGTTTGTTGTCGAATGTTTCCCGCAAGACTGCAAATTGGAAAATGGGAAGCCGGCGAAATTTGGCTTCATGGGCATGTTCACGGAAGATATGTACGACGAGGAAAATGAAATACAGCTTCCAAAGGGAGGGTTGAATTTTTCCGACGGAGGAGTTAGATAAGAGCCCGCATAAAAAGAATAAAAGTGACATTTTTTGAATTTCTGCTAAAGAATTGGGGGGAATTGATTTCACGGCTTATCAATTAGGAGCACTACAGAAAACGCTCATTATAAAGCCATATCAATCCTATTTTACCTGAATTTCGAACGTTTGGATGACTTTGATGACCGTGAAAATATTATGAAAATAAGCTCGTTTCGAACTCTCGCAGTTTCTGATTCGGAATTTAACCTTATTGAAGACAGAAGTAATCTGGTTGCTCGGGACAAATGTGACTCAAGTAATCCACGACTCTTCCATTACTACAACTAAAGCGCCAATAACGGCATCAACTCTCAATCCTGGTGATCCGACGGAGGTGCCGACGATTTATGACATGGATGGGGGAACAATAGAGCCGATTACTGAAGAACCAGAGTTGCCTCATGACTGGGTTCAGCCAGAGCCAGAGTGGGCCAAGTTCAAGCTGCCTTTTAGTAGCCCACATGCAAGGAAACGGTTTTTTGTTTGAATGTTTTGGTAGATCATGAAGAGTAGTAGATCATTCTTCAGCCATTTTTAATACTTTCGAATTTGCTCAAGCGGAAAAATTCCAGTATAGAAAAAACTAAACCTTACTCAGCAAAATTGCTCAACTTGAAATCAACTACCCCGATGCTTTGAAAAAATCAATTCTCTTCTACGAAGCCCAGCGCTCTGGAATTCTTCCAGAGAGCAACCGCATTCCCTGGCGGCACGACTCCTTTCTTCTCGATCTTGGCCCAATGAAAGAAAAACTTCACGGTGGCTACTTCGATGCAGGGGATCACATGAAATTCACGTTTCCAATGGCGTTTTCTATGACAATGCTTTCTTGGGGGCTTTTGCAGTACTGGGAGACGTACGAATCGATTGGAGAGCTGGAAAACGCAGTAGACCAAATCAAATGGGGCGTCGACTGGTTGGTCAAGGCAAATGCTCGCGAAAACGTGTTGTTTGTCGTCGTTGGGGATCCAAAAAAGGACCATGATTACTGGGGACGAGCAGAGAACTTCACTGACTTTCGTGCCGGACAAATGGTAACTGAAGGGTCGCCTGGGTCAGACGTCGCGGCAGAAGTGGCGGCGGCGATGGCAGCAGCTTCACTCGTGTTGACAAAGTGGGGGGATGAGTCAATTTTTCCTAAACAGTTACAAGCAAGGGCAGAAATGCTTATTGACTTTGCGGCCTCGCACAGAAGGATGTATCACCAGGTAATACAAGAAAAAACACAAGAAAAACACCATAAAATTACTTTTCAAAGGACAGGTTGCCCCATTTCTCTACAACTCTTTGCATCCACCCCTAGCTACCAAAATATAGCATCGAGAGGGCCAGCTTTTTTGCTGGACTCTTAATTTCTGGCAAGCCACCGTAAGGTGGCCCGCTTCTTATAAAAATGAAACTCCTGAAGCGGGATTATTTGAAAACCATAAATCTACTCCCAAAAGAAAAAGGCGCTAAAAAAAATCTGCTTTTAATGTGATTTTGTAAATTTATATTTATTTCACCCAATTTTTGGCAAGCCACAGGTAGGTGGCCCGTGTTGAACAACTACCTGACCATGAACAGCGATAGGCGCCGAAAAACCATAATAAAAGTGCCGCCAGGGAGTGTCGGCGACTTTCGAATCGATAAAATTCTGTCTTCCGGCGGACCGCGGTTTTTTCCCGCTTCCAGCATGTCCTCCGAGTCCGGCCTTTTTTGGTCGGACATCTAATTTTTGGCCTGCCACCGGAAGGTGGCGCTTTTATTCGAATGACTCATTTATTCAGTCGGTCCCTGTACTGGCGAAACACTACAAGAGCAGTGGATACAAGGACGAGCTGGTCTGGGGAGCCGCTTGGGTCTACCGAGCCACTGGGAAGCAAACGTATTTTGATCTGGCTAAAGACTGGTACAATGAATACGGAATGGCAAAAGCACCACTGGGAATGCGATTCAGCTGGGATGACAAAACTATCGGAGCACAAGTCATGATGGCGCAAATTACTGATGATCTAGGGCTGAAGTGAGTTCTTCAAAAATTGATTTTCAACATTTTTCAAAATGCTTTATGAAATTGTAGGGCAAAATACCAGTTGCACGCGGAGAGCTACTGCAACGACATTCAAAAGCGCTCCAAAGCTCTTTATACACCTGGCGGGCTCGTGTATCTCGACGAGTGGGGCCCAATCCGTTATGCAATGAACGCCGCTTTCGCCTGCCTACTTGTCTCCGATCAAACGGAAGATGTGTACTTAGCACGGTAAGAATTTTTATTTTGCGTTGTTTTTTTTCAGTTGAGAAAAATCTGCTGGATGTCGCGCTCGTCAGCGTAAATGTTGCATTTCGGGCAGCGTTGATTTTCTCGTAGCGCTTTGAGTAGACAGCTCCTGCCAAATACGTGTCCACAATTGATCCGTGCGGTCCAATGGTCAACCTCGTCGTAGTTACTAAAGTTAACAATCAGGGCGGAATTCGCGAGCTGAAATCTTACTCCAGGCAGATTGGACATTCTGGGGTCGTTTTGAGGTCATCCCAGGTCTTTCCTTTGCCACTGAGTTTTTGCTCAAGTTGTCTGAAAAATTTTCTAGCTACGCCCTTAACAGAAGTCATAATTAAGACTTGACAGTTTACAATGAGAGTTTAATATTATATTTTTGTTTTGATTGGCTTTCATAAACACTGTCTCTCATGTTTTTACCATCGATAACCAATCTTACTTGATTCTCATTTGTTGAGCTTGATTCCTCGATCTTTCCTTCTCCAACTCCGCTTGAAGTCGTGAAATGGTACATTTTCGTTGATGGTTGACTTCGTTCAACTCGCTAATCTTATTCTGGTACTCTTGAAGCTTCTGGCCATCAGATGCTCCTTGAGGATTATTTTGAGCATTCCCAAAGACGTTAGCGCCAATTTTGATGTTAACGTTCTGAAAGGCACCGTGAGAGTATCCACGTTTCGAAGGGCCGAACATGTCGTTTATAATTTCATCGTGTAAATCGCGTGCAAAATTCTTGTTGTATGTTTTCCAGCTTGATGCTTTTTGCTTGCCATTTTTCCGAGCCCTAAATCATCATTTTTTCTTTATTTTCTTTATCGTTACCTTGGCGTAAACTCAGGAACATTGGGAAGATCCGGAAGAGCTTCGTCCGTATCGAAAACCCCGGACTGGCGCAAATGAGGATTCCCCATCCCGGCATACTGCCCCGAATTTATGTTGATATTCCAGCTCATCTCTTTCTCGCTCTGAACTGGGACTGTAATGAGGAAATATCTCTGTAGTTACAACAAAATTTCCCATCCTATCCTACGACCAAACTTGTCAATAGAGACCCCATCAAAAACAAATAATGATAGACACTGCATTTTTGATTTTTCGAACTGACCAGTTCCTATTTCAGTACAGAAACGTAATTAATATTTTGAGCGAATAAAAAAACATAAATTATTTTTTATAGTTTTAACTTATATTTACCTATTTATCCCAGTAAGGACTTTTATTATGAAATAGCCAGGTATATATTCTTACAGACTCAGGTGCAGACAGTTCCGTACAGTATCCTAACGCCATATTTTTATGTGAAGCTTTATTCCAGATGATCATAATGTTCACGATGTCGACATCATTTCATGTTTTTATGCACTTTTTTCAAATGTCCTCTTTATATGATAAAAATCATGCAAAAGAGGGCGCTACTAGATGCAGTTAAATCTAAGCGGGAGGGCAAAAACACCTGGATCCGTCGAGTTTCTGAGGGTGATCTGTTCTGAAAAAAATGGTTTACTTTGAAACGAACCATCATCAACCTTTCAGACGTCTTCATAAATGGTCCCAATCGCAAGTCGACTACGTTCTTGGTGCAAAACTGAATGGTTTCTCCTTCATGGTCGGATTTGGAAAGAAATATCCATTGCGACCGCATCATCGAGGGTCTTCTTGTCCGACGAATATCACCGAAGTCTGCAACTACAACTTTGCGATGACGGACGAGAGAAATCCGATCATCATTTGGGGAGCAGTTGTCGGCGGCCCGGATAGACACGATGGGTACAAAGGTAAGCTTGGATTTTGTTTTTGAAAGAATGTCAACCAGTATTTCATCGATGATTTTTTCGCCTGTCAAATTGATTGAGGTTTGAAATTGAAGCTGAATTCAGATGAGCGATTGCAATTCCGTCAGTCTGAGGTCGCGCTCGACTTTAACGCTGGCTTTCAATCAGCAACCGCGGGCATACTGCATCACGTGATTATCGGCAGACCCAAGGTGAGTGCAACTGCTGAACTCAATCGTTTTGCTCAATCGAAAGGGGAGTTCGGCGGGTCTTTGCCCTTGCTCTTCTTTTGCGTCACAAGATTCGGGGGATTAATGAGTACAAAAATTATCTTACCTTTTGGACAACCCTTACAGGTCTTACAGATCTAACTAAGCCGATACTTTTAAATTTAATTCTGAGTCGTGCGTAGACGTCTCAAATTATTGAAATACATTTTCATAGAAAATAAAATTATGGTCTATTTTTTTATTATTTTATTTTTAAGGAAATCTACCGCGTGCTACCAGAAAACAGCCTCTCCGAAGAACAGTTACTCACCACAACAAATTCACCTCCAACTACCCAAAGTTCCTCCTCCGCCCTCTTTCTCAATTTTTTATGCAGTTTACTTTTACTTTTGTTCATATAGCTTCATTTTTATACCTCGCTGTTTTTTACTGTATAAATATACATAATCCAATCTGACTGTTCTTATAAATCAAGAATTCGAGCAGGTAAATCTCGACTTTATTAATTGGATCTGTTAATTGTGGTAACCGCTCTGGCGAGATAAAAAATAATCCGTCTCTTGTCAGTGCGAAATTGAAAGATATAAATTAAAAGAATTGATTAAAATAGAAATCATTTTGGGCATACTCGCTCGCCTATGTTTAGTTTCAGGATCAGCCGAATCAGGAAGATCAGATTTGAATTTTAAATTTGAAAAATCAAAAAAATCAGAGAATAAGGGTGTACCCTAAAAGCCCGAGAAGAACAACAGGTATGATTTATTAAGGGTGTCAACAACGATTTTGAGCATTTCTGGCCTTTTAATAAGGGAGCTTATTACGAATTAAATTCTAAAAAGACTTCTTGGCTGAACTTACAGAACATGTAAATCTGCTAGATAGTCGGAGATCTAGTCGGACAGCCGCTCAGATCCGGCTAATTAGGCTCAGTGTCAGTAATTTTTTGATTTCTCGCCCCCGAGCGCGTATGCCCGCGATTTCGATTGATTTTTGATTTCTAAATTAATAACCACTCTGCAACACTATTTTTTCGCAAATTCTGGGTCAGAACAAATCTGTCCAGGGTTTGGTTGAAGGAGCCACGAGGGTGTGCATGTGTGCCCAAATCACTTTTCTCACTTTTCTCATTACGGAAAATTGAAAGAAACGCGCCTGATGCGAAAAATAATTACCATCTGAGAGAATTTGAGCCAGTTGCCAAGCCAGCCGTGAAGTCGGCCTTAGGGCTGAGTAAAAAGGCCCTAAGGGGAGAGATTTGATAAAACCGGAAGTTGACGAAAAATGCCAAGAGTTGCCAGTGCCGGTGTCGCGGCAAATGTCCTCGGCACGGGGAGTAGAATTATACGCCCGCCAAGACAAATCAAGGTAGTGCTCTAGTGTTATCACTGATATTTTCATAAAATTTGTGGGAGTGAATTGCATGCGGATCAGATCTAAATGTTTATATTTTGAAATCAATCTGATTCTGTCAAAATTATTAATCAAAAATGATTACTAATAGTTTGTGGTCTTTCTGAATTATTATTCTAGAGAGAAATTCTAGTGAGAAGGAACGTTAAAATTAAAATGACCTCTCTGCGCCATATTTCCTGAGGCGAGAAAGTCGATATAATCCAAAGAGAACAGGGGATAATTGACCACTCAGCCGGTTAAATAATGCACAAGACTGCACAAACGCCTACTCAAAGCACAACTGTGTGCCTTAGTTGTGCCCTTGAACCGGTAAAAATTGTCTTTATCACCAAGAGAAACGGTCATCTACTCCAGAGAATTACCAAGTTTCGAGCAAACTATCAAGTTTATTGGATCAATAATTGAAGCAAAACGAACTTGTCACTAGAATTTTCTTATCCTTTTTCGAAGCCTTTTTACAAATTTTCTTCCATGATTTCAATATCAATTTTTACAGACGGCTTTATGATTAGGTCCCCATGTTGCTTTTCTTTTCGTAGTCATCGCGTCAATTTCTCATTCCTGGACAGGTAGTCCTGTCGTTAGACGGTTGGGGCGGCGCAGATGCAGCAAGGAAACGTTTGGGGTTGATATTCAAGGGCCTTGGCACGTGTCCTTGCCGATAGCGCGTGACTATCAAAAACTCGAAAAATCATGCATTTTTGTTCTTTAGAGCTTGCTCAGGCCGACGCTGCCCAAGAATCCGGAAGATGAACAGAGAGAGCTGCTCAAGGAGAGAAATAGATTAGAGAGGCTTACGGAGAGTATGATAAGAAGTCAAAAATATAATTTTTTTTTTACAAAAATGACAAGTTCGAATTAATTGAAAAACTTCAATTTTGATCCATTGCGGAAGCAATAAAAACCTTCGTGCGGCGATCATTACCATTTCGAAGGGACGAATTAATCCCATGGCAATTTCGTGAAAAAAACCCGCCCTTGAGATAAATAGTTTTTGACTTTTGTGAACCCGGCTGTATCGGCGGCGAGAGTTGCTCGCAGAAATGCGACGAAGAAACAACCACCTGATAGGTATGAAAATATTTGCGCTAGAATGTAGTGCCACTTAGTTATTCAGAAGGAATAGATTTCACTACAGATTTATAGCAACATTTTTTTCCAGCAGATTCTTTCCGAATAATCGTGGATTAACGAGTTTTGCACAATTTCCATTGAAAATTTGTTATGAAGATCGTCATTTTAATCAAAAATTAAGGCGCAACGCAATGAGCCAAATGAGTCACCGAAAGAGTCTTGTCCGTGGGATGATCTCCGTCGCCTGTGGCGAGGTAAGAAGCCGTCTTTGAACGCGAAAACGAACCCAAACCAGATTTTAACCTCAAATGACTCTTTTATTCAGAGGAATTTATTACATATTCGAAAATGTTTCTCATAATAGACCTTATATCATATAAAATCGATGCAGCCTTAAAAAAGTTGATTGATGTCTCAATTAATGAACGCTTACAGTAAGAGCTTTAGCCCCTTAGAAAACGACACGCTAAATGGCATTTCGGGAATTCATCATTCTTGTCGGCGCATGTTTAATTTTTGATTTTGGCGAATTCGCGCGCCTTAGGCGCTTTTCATACTTCGTGATCTCATAATGCGCTTCTCGCTTGACTCAAATTTACCCTTTTTTCTGAAAGAAGTATGACGTCCAAAAGGATAAATTTTGTTCACCAACATTTTTATTCTAGGGAAAGACACCCACGGCAGAGCTAAAAGAAGGGAAGAAGCTACCGAGATATCTTCAAGAGAGGCCAGAATACTCAGCAGATGATAGGATCAACAGACCTCTTCCAGATCCAGACTCGTATTATGACCAGAATACCTACATTGTTCTCAACAGACAGAATATTATTTTCAGATTTAATAGATCAAAGGAAGAGTTTTCAGTTCAATTTCTGGCAAATCGCCTAAGTAACATTCTTTTCGCAAAACTCAATCCAAGAGCCTCGGAATATTTTCGATGGGAAGCACAGTCCGCCAATTCTGTATATCAATGTTCATCCATCCACTCTTCTCTCGCTTTATGATGCTTACTGTGATTATCAACTGTGGATTTATGACGCTTTCGAAGCCTCCGGAATTTGTCGAAGACATTTTGGAACATGTATTTATGACGATTTATACTCTTGAATGTATTGTTAAAATAATTGCCAGAGGATTTTTCGTCGATCAATTAAGGACCGGAGCAGAAATTTTTAAGTTTGAAGACTGTGAATTGTGACGATTTCAAATAACTCGTTCAAAAATTTTTTCTAACACCCCCTTTTTTTGTGCTCATTTGAAAGAGCGTGAAAAACTGGTCGAGAAAATGCTGGTCTTATCATCGGTGACGTCACGAGTGGCGCGCGGGCGCCCCCTAAAGGTCTTATTAGGTCAATTTCGGGCTACGCGATTTCTCCGGTCATGCATATCGCACATGCATGGTTAGCATCTAGAATTGATCGTCGTGAGCAGGGCTACATGTCCCGGCCAAAATCGTCAAAATCGGACCACGTCTTCACCAGCTGGTTGACCGGCAAATATCTCAAAATGACAAAATCACTTACTTTTGATAAAGGCAACCTACCGATGGAAGTAGGGGGTTGCCCTGGACTCGAGCCCGAATAACTGCCGTATTCGGCCACTTAGTGCCGGAGGAACTCCCGGAGGACTCCTCTGCTGGAAGAAAAGCTGCTGGAAGACTAATATTAAAAAATATAAATACAAATAAAATTTAAAGCCATGATTGGCTAGTAATTGCCGTATTCAGCCACTTAATGCCGGAAGACCTCCCGGAGGAACCCTCTGCTGGAAGAAAGGCTGCTGGAAGACCAATTTTTAAAAATAAAAATACAAAGATAAAGCCTGGATTGGCTAAATATTATCTAGTAAGCCGCATTCAGCCACTTTTTGCCGAATGACCTCCCGGAGGACCCGCCTACAGAAAAACCGACTGCTGCGTTCATTTTTTTAAATCAGAGTTAGGGCGAAGCCGACCCAAAGGGGAGGCCGCACTCGTTCATTCTATTCAATCAGAGTCAGGGCAAAGCATCATTTATGATCCCGAATATTTCGAGATACTCCTAACTTAAATGTTGAAAAATCCGGGAGGTTTTCAAGAGATCTAACATTCGGGATTTACAAAAATCTGAAAGCGAACCAGAGAAGACTTCTTCAATCCAATTCGTATTGACTCTTATTGAATAAAATGATTAGACGTTGCCATCCCAACGGGTCGGCTTCGGCCTGACTCTGATTGAAAGGAATGAACGAGCGCGGCCTCCCCTTCGGGTCGGCTTCGCCCTTACTCTGATTGAAAAGAATGAATGGGATTGGCCTCTCCTTCGGGTCCGCTTCGCCCTTACTCTGATTGAAAAGAATGAACGGGATTGGCCTCCCCTTCGGGTCGGTTTCGCCCTTAATCTGATTTAAAAGAATGAACGGGCGTGGCCTCCCCTTCGGGTCGGCTTCGCCCTGACTCTGATTGAATAGAATGAACGGTTGTGGCCTTGCCTTCGGGTCGGCTTCGCTCTGACTCTGATTGAAAAGAATGAACGGTTGTGGCCTTCCTTTCGGGTCGGCTTCGCCCTGACTCTGATTGAAAAGAATGAACGGTTGTGGCCTTCCCTTGGATTAGAAATCCCAAACTCGATACTTTTGAGACTCTGGGTTTGTAAACCCAGGTGACAGCCTACAACCCTTCCCTTCGGGTCGGCTTCGCCCTGACTCTGATTGAAAATAATGAACGGGCGTGGCCTTCCCTTCCGGTCGGCTTCGCCCTGACTCTGATTGAAAAGAATGAACGGTATTGGCATCCCCTTCGGGTCGGTTTTGCCCTTAATCTGATTCAAAAGAATGATCGGGCGTGGCCATCCATTCGGGTCGGCTTCGCCCTGACTCTGATCTAAAAGGATGAACGGGCTTGCTGCGGCTTATTAGATAATATTTAGCCAATCCAGGCTTTATCTTTGTATTTTTATTTTTAAAAATTGGTCTTCCAGCAGCCTTTCTTCCAGCAGAGGGTTCCTCCGGGAGGTCTTCCGGCATTAAGTGGCTGAATACGGCAATTACTAGCCAATCATGGCTTTAAATTTTATTTGTATTTATATTTTTTAATATTAGTCTTCCAGCAGCTTTTCTTCCAGCAGAGGAGTCCTCCGGGAGTTCCTCCGGCACTAAGTGGCCGAATACGGCAGTTATTCGGGCTCGAGTCCAGGGCAACCCCCTACTTCCATCGGTAGGTTGCCTTTATCAAAAGTAAGTGATTTTGTCATTTTGAGATATTTGCCGGTCAACCAGCTGGTGAAGACGTGGTCCGATTTTGACGATTTTGGCCGGGACATGTAGCCCTGCTCACGACGATCAATTCTAGATGCTAACCATGCATGTGCGATATGCATGACCGGAGAAATCGCGTAGCCCGAAATTGACCTAATAAGACCTTTAGGGGGCGCCCGCGCGCCACTCGTGACGTCACCGATGATAAGACCAGCATTTTCTGGACCAGTTTTTCACGCTCTTTCAAATGAGCATAAAAAAAGGGGGTGTTAGAAAAAATTTTTGACCGAGTTATTTGAAATCGTCTGTCTCGTGGGAGACTTCTATTTCTGATCCCGTGATAAGTTATGTTCGCGACCCATGGAACCTGGTTGACCTGTTTGTCGTTGGACTCGGCTACATCATGCAAATCATCGACTTGATTAGTCCGTACATCAGAATGGGAAAGGGTTAATTATGCTCCACAGTTTCTTTCTCATACCGGTACTATCAAGAGTTTCTCGATGTTTGGCGTCAGTCTGCCAGAATATTCCCGATTTTAATTAACCCACCAAAGCGACGAGTGCGACAACTGACATTGATCAAGCCTTTGCTTCGTCACACAGTGGCCCTCAAGGTGGATCTTCTGGTCTCACAGCCCTGCGGGCTTTCAGAGTTCTGAGGGTTCTCAAAACAATGTCGATAGTTCCTGGTTTGCGCTCGATTGTCCAAGCGCTCCTGCATTCGATTCAAGCTCTAAAAGATGCCGTAGTTCTGACATTGTTCTGCCTGTCTGTATTTGCCTTGATTGGGTACCAGCTTTTCCATGGAATGCTGAGGAGCAAATGTGTCCGGAAACCAGACTTAGGTAAAATAAAAAGCGCTTATTCTTAATTTTAACTTTACAAAAGACTCAAGTCAATATTTGAAGAGCTTCTTTTCTGAAGATATATTTAAGAATAATCAGTCTAAAACTTGGCTTCACCAAATTTGCCGATTGATTATTTGTAGTCACAATATTTTGCCCCTAAGTGCATGATCTTGTTTAGAGCTCGTCGGCCAATTCCCCTTGGAATTCACAATTTGGAACATCGACACCAGCGAATATGTTTTTGAAGATTCGAAGGAAAAAATAAGGGACTTTTTGAACACTTTCCGTAAGTTCCTCATTTTCTTCCGTTATCAAAGCTGTTTTCAGGGAACGATCTTTTTCCACATGATCATCATTCAGTATCAGAAGATAGTCTCTACGGAAGGACCATTCTTCCCTGTGGAAAAGATGCTTCAAATGTCACATTTTTCGAACGAATATTTCTCAACAAAGACTTTCTCTCTAGTGGACCTAATTCTCCGAATTCACACATTCCGACATTCGATGAGCCACATTTCAATCTAGGCCCGGTTAACCAAACATGGTGTTACGATCGTTCTTCTTCCGATTGCATTTCGTGGACATTATCAGAAAAAATATTGAAAAAACAACCTGGGTCGATGAGAGAAATCATCAAGAAAAACCTAATCGGGAGGCAAAATCACCAACCAGTTTTTCGCCAGTCAGAAGCCTTGGACCAAGTTGCTTATTCACTCGGACTCGGGAATGTCCAAAAATGCTCGCACAAATTGAGCATCAATGTCACCCGAGAGGTCAACGAGACCGCTTGGAACGAAGACATGGATCACTATCTCATGAACCGAAAAGAAAACACGCTCTTTTACCACAAGGACTCAGTTGAAATTCCGAAACAAGAGCCCTTCCTCTGCCAGGACGACGATTCTTGCATCGACAATATCAAATTGGCCAAAACAAGATGCCTGACGAACGAGTCTTACGGCCCGATGGAGATTCGAAAAGACTTTTGCGAAGAAAAACTGAACCACACTTTCGAATGCAAAGAAACGCTGACAAATCCGGATTACGGATATACAAGCTTTGACAGTTTTCATATGGCGTTTTTGACATCGTTTCGATTGGTGGCGCTTGATGCCTGGAATAGGCTGTATTATTTAACGCTGCATACATCTGGTCAAGGATATGTTTTCTTCTACATCGGATTGGTGTTTCTCGGGTCTTATTATCTTATCAACTTGATCTTGGCGGTCGTTTACATGGCTTACGAAGAAGAAGTCGCAGCAGTTGAGGAAGAGATTCAGCAAATGGAGGCGGAAGAGGCAGAAAGACGCGTTCGACAATCGGTGATGCAGAGAACTTCTGATATGTCAGCAGATTCGAGGAGCGATGCAGACAAAAAGGACTCTTTTCTCAACCCTATTCCTGAGCTGAAAATTGACACGTGCGCCGATGCAACCCCTAAATCTCTCCACAAACTTCCACTTGTAAAAACGCTCTCAAACAATTCCAACGCTTCTGGATTCTCCGGTCTCTCGGGCCGCTTTAATCTGAGAACTCCGAAGCTCTCCCCTGGCAATCGACTCGATGTTTCTAACAATTCCTCTATCAGGCTCAAGCTGAATTCCAGCTCTGGCTCCAGTACGAGGGAAGTGAACTCGATCGTTTCTGATTGCGATTTAAATGAAACTGGATCAGAAGTAAAAACGCTGGATAGATGGAATTTGCTTCGATTGAAAACGCCCGATCTTGGTAAATTAGATCATTTTTAAGTGTCTTTTATAAAATGTCATTTTACTATATGTCACATGTTTGCCGCTTTTTAAAACTCTTTGTGCTTTGGAGCGGGAAATCCATCCAAGTTTCTCTTGAACTCAATGATTTCATCAGTCTAATTTCAGTTCGTAAAGCAATAGAAGAAACAGGGGATGATCCCAGCTCAGGGGTTTCCCGCTCACGCTCATTTCGAGCACGACAGCTCTATCGCAGTCAAAAACCTCGAATGCTAGTTAGCGGTCACACTCGTAATATTCGCACGATATTTAATTGCATCCATATCACTTTTTATATTGTTCATTTTTTATTCGATAAACGTTTGATGCTTTCACAGTCACTTGCACGTAAAAAGTTGTTTGCGACCCGTGATAAGCTGTTGTTGAAGAGGCTCAGCGACAGCGAAAACTTGAGGAGCTTCAAGTGGCTAATGGGAGGAGCAGAAGGAATTCAGGAAATTCGCAGAATAGCTTTATGTCAAGTAAGATCCTCCCAATTCCATCTTTTCAAAATAATAATTCAGATCGTTCAAAGACCCGCTCAAGAAGAACTTCAGGGGGCTTACCCGAGGATCAAGATCAAGACCAGACGAAAACCCCGCTGCTAAATGGCTCAACTCCTTCTGGAGAGTATATTCAGCGCAAGCCACGAGCGCCCACTCGACTTACCTCGACCAGTGACCTCTATAAAACCGAGTCCGAATTCGATGTCTTCCACAATTCGGAAATATCAAAACTGCCAAGACGGTCTAGGACTGGCACGCTTCCATTTATTTATCGACCAGATAGGCACGGTTTCTTATCTTACAGTAGTCGCCTTCTTTTCCAATTTCAGAAATTGAATCTTGAAACTGTAAAAGACACAAAACAACAGACGAAGGAACAATGTCATACATCAGAAGGCTGATTTATCGTTCATCTCACTGTTTTTGCTGCCCTCCAGGGTGGCTTCCAATTCAGGTCTGGTTGCATTTCATTCTGTATCAAATTTGATCTTGAAAGAATTGTTATTGCTATAAATTTTAATTGAAATCAGCCAAAATAAAGAAATTTATGAAGAAAATCGTGACGGATCCCTTTTTCGAAGTCGTTATTACGTTTTGCATCCTGGCGAATACCTTCTTCATGACTCTGGAAAAATATCCGAAGGAAAACTATCCTGAGCGTGAGCCGCTTCTCGACAAAGCGAACAAAGTCTTCACGATTATCTTTATCGTAGAAATGGTGTTGAAGATCATTGGACTGACGCCACATCTGTACTTCAAAGAACAGTGGAATATTTTCGATTCCGTCGTCATCATGTTTTCAATTCTTGAGCTGGCCTTGAGCACGTTAGCGACAAATCTGGCTGTGCTCCGAGCCTTCCGGTTGTTGAGAATTCTCAAGCTGGCGAAATCATGGCCGACGCTGAACAAACTGATCAGGATCATTGGGCGGTCTTTAGGCAACCTCGGTCATTTATCCTTCGTCCTGTTTATTGTGCTCTTCATCTTCGCCGTCATTGGAATGCAGCTCTTCCGTGCCGACTACCTCAAACACTTCAACGACGGAATGGAAGTCAACGAGACGACAAAGATCCATCTTCCACGATGGCACTTTATCGATTTCCCTCACGCTTTTTTAATCGTTTTTCGAATTCAATGCGGAGAATGGGTGGAAAGCATGTTCGAATGCATGAAGGTCTCGAAGCCAAAAATCTGCATTCCAATCTTCATCACCGTTTTCGTCATCGGCAACCTCGTTATTCTCAATCTTTTCTTAGCTTTGCTACTGAACTCGTTCAGTGGAGATGTTCTCCAGCAAACAGAAGCTAGCAGTAATGCTTTCGCCTTAGCTGGAGAGAGAATTCAAAGATGCATCGTCCACGTCGCCAAGAAAATCCCAGTTTGTCTCGGAAGCTGTCAGCAATTTGCCCTTGCTCAGTGGAAGAAACACTTCGCGGTAACAACAATAAAAGAGCCGACAAATCCCTGGGATGATGAATTTATCCCAATTAAAGCAGGCGTGTGCGGCGTCTCAGACGCGTTTTCTAGAAGCCCCAGTCTGTCAAAAGCTTATATTCACACGCTTGTTCTGCCTAATGAAGCCTCAAATGGAACCTCGCCAAACAAATCACTGAATAATCTCTCTAATCCCGACGCTCAATATCTCCAGCAGCAACAAGAAATTCAATCGACGGAAAACGCGGCTTTGCTGGAAGGAAAGCAATACAACCCAGAAGAATGCCTCCCAAAACTCACGCCATATTTGAACAAGTACATCGACCCAGAGTCGCACTTTTCTCAGCAGTGCATGAAGATCCGAATCAATTGCTACAAAATCGTTGAGCATCGTATTTACGAAACCATTCTCATCTTCACCATTTTGCTCTCTTCGATCGCTCTGGTCTTCGAAGACATAAAACTCAACGACCAACGAAGCTCATTGAAAGTCGTGCTTTACTGGGCAGATGTCTTTTTCTGCATATTTTTCAGCATTGAAATGATAATGAAGGTGATTGCTTATGGTCTGCGAAAATACTTCACGAACTGGTGGTGCTGCTTAGATTTCTTCATCGTGACCGTCTCGGTCATTTCGATCTACTATTCTCCCCTTCCTCATTCAAAAGTGACGAATTCAACTACAAGCTCGCTGTCAGTTCTTCGAGTTCTAAGAACGATGCGTGCTCTGAGACCCCTGAGAGCTCTCTCGAGATTCCAGGGAATGAGAGTCGTTGTTGATGCCCTTATGAAAGCGATCCCTTCGATTATGAATGTCTTCCTTGTTTGCGTTATTTTCTGGCTTATCTTTTCAATCCTTGGCGTGAACCTTTTTGGTGGGAAATTTTCGCGATGCGTGGATTTGAAAACTTCACAGATTCTTCCTGCTAAATGCCCGCTGCTCAGAGGTATCAATGGATCAGTGTCGGAAGCAGATAAATTGAGATGCAAAGACAGAAAAGATCCCATGTTCGCCGAGTGGGCTGCGGACAAACATCATTGCTTGTACATAAAAGAATGGTTTAATGACACTGAGAAGAATGAATCAAAGTATGATTGGGAAACACCACCGGTGAATTTTGATGATGTTTGGAATGGATATTTGGCTCTTTTACAAGGAAAGGCTTAATAACCTTTGATGAGGACTTAATTTTTTGATACAGAGATCTCCCAAATAATAGAAAGCTCCTCGAATTGAGTGTCTTTCGGGAGAATTATTTGAGGTTCATAACTAAAGATTTCTAAGTCACCTTTTTGAACAACGTTCCTCTCAACTTGGCTTGTAAGTTGTAGCTTCCCGTTATATCTATAATTAAAATCAAGTTCCAAATCTTTTGGGGTATCAATATGTAGGGCAACAATAATATAGTTGCCAACAGTGACAGAAAAGTATGCTTCATAATCGTTAAAAACCACATTTCCAGATTGTGGTAAACTGTAACGCGTCCCTTCATTATAAGTAGATACTCGATAAAATCCATCACTAAGTAAAGGGTATTTTATATGAATCTTGAAAAAATTAATGTCCTTGCCAAGTGCCCATAATATTTCACGGATATGATCGGGAGAATTATAACGATCAAAATCAAAAGGGGATCTTCCTGGGTCTGATCGAGACTTAATCAAATTGTATTTGTCGTCAAACTAAGTATTTCTCTTCGTGTTAGGTTCCTGTTTCTTTCTTCACTCACTTTTCTCATTACGCGATTTTCCGTACTCAGCTTTCATCTTTTCACGTTTTCATTGGTTTTCTGCGTAATGGAGGGCACATGTCTATTATTTTTAGAATTGTCTTCTCTCATTCTGTTGAACATGCCTTCAAAGAAACTTTTTAATCCCGATGATTGACTTTCCATTTCGACCTCGAGTTGACTCCTTAGAAGCTCAATCTGTTCCTTCAAATTTTTTATTTCATCTTTTGCGGCGTCTTGAGACTCTCGGAGATTTCTAATCTCTATAAATTTTTCTCGTTATAATTCAAGAACACCAAAGAATGTTTGTTACCAGATTCAAGAGTTGGATTACTGAGATTTTCATTTCCCGAAATCGAGGATTTTTCTCTGTCGCTCATATGGACTCGTTATGCAAATTTTTGCACTTTTTTGAATGAAAAGTTTTCATTGAAAACTTTGATTCGCTTTTTCGCACATCAACTTTGCTTGCACGTGTGATTTTTCAATAAGAGCAACAAATAACGAAATTTGAGCCAAATATAAGTCGCTACATTTATGGGATGGCTTGAAATTATGCAGAATGCCGTAGATATCCGAGGGGAAGGTCTTCAACCTGAGTACGAGTCATCAATGTGGAGCTATGTCTATTTCATTATCTTCATCGTCGCTGGTAGCTTCTTCTGCCTCAATCTGTTCATTGGTGTGATCATCGACAATTTTAATCAGCAAAAAGTCAAAAAGAAATCAAACGGTTTCGACGACGGCGTTTTCCTTACAGACGAGCAAAGACAGTACTACGACGCAATGCGAAAGATGGCAGCAAAAACGCCGAAAAAACCAATTCCACGGCCGAAGAATAAATTCGCAGCGGCAATTTACAATTTAGTAACCGATCGAAGATTCGAACTCGCGATCATGGTGGCAATTTTGTTGAACATGGTTGTGATGGCTATTGAAAGTCATGACGCCTCGGATAAGGTAAAGTTCAAAAAACAAGCTCTTTTATACGAAATTTTAGACGATATTTGTGCTGGAGCAGCTAAACAACATCTTCGTCGGCGTCTTCGGTGCTGAGGTCATTCTGAAGCTCATCGGCCTAAGACAGCACTACTTTACTGTTCCTTGGAATGTTTTTGACTTGGTTGTTGTGGTGGTTTCCGTCATCGCATCTGCTCTGTCCGACCTCATCTCGCATCTCATTCAGCCAACAATTTTCAGGATTGTCAGACTCTTCAGAATTTCTAGAGTCTTGAGGCTTATCAGGGAGGCAAAAGGAATAAGAACGCTACTGTTTGCGCTCATGATGTCGTTACCAGGTATGGCATTATTAAAAATAATTAAAAACGCGACATTCAAGCTCTCCTCAACATCGGAATGTTACTCTTCCTGGTCATGTTCATGTTTGCGATTCTCGGAATGAGTCAATTTGCTTACGTCCAGAAAAAGGGAGGAATCGATGACATGCTCAACTTCGAGACTTTCCCAAACGCCTTCTTGCTACTCTTTCAAGCGTCGACGTCAGAAGGATGGAATACTTTTCTTGAGCCAATTATGCTCGACACAGAACCTTATTGCTAGAGTTCGAAATTCTAAAATATTTTCCAAGAAAATCGTAAATTTTCTCCTAATCGATTTTAAACTCAATACAAGCGACCCTCACAAAGAAGGTATCAATAACCCTGTCAAGGGAAAAGGCAACTGTGGAAACTCGACAATAGGCATCACCTACTTTATCGTCTTTGTCTTCATTACCTTCCTCATCGTCGTCAACATGTACATCGCCGTCATTCTCGAAAACTTTGACGTAGCAACGAGAGAAAATGCAGAGCCTCTAACGGCTGATGATTTCGAACAGTTCTTCGAAGTTTGGCAAAAGTTTGACGACAAGTTGACCCAGTTGATCTCGTACGACCAGCTTCAACTGCTGCTGCATCAGCTTGACATGCCATTGAAGGTAAATTTGAGAAATTTAAGGGTGTGTTTATGATATTAAAGGTGCCATTCCCGAATCGCCCATTCATAACACACTATGAAATGCAAATGACATCCGACGGTCAAATCCACTGTCTTGAAGTCATCATTGCTCTCATCAAAAAAGTGCTTGGTGATTCCCCAGCTCTCAATGCCATGAAGGTAATCTTCCTCTGAAAACCCGATATAAAACTATTCAGGCGGCGATGGTTCAAACATTCCAAATGAAGTGCAAGTCCACAGTGCAGTATGAGCCGGTGATGACGACGATGGAATACGCTAGAATGGATAGAGCCGCGAAGACCATTCAAAACGCCTGGAGAGAGTGGTACTATGAACAGGTAAGAATTTCACTATCAAACTGCTTCGACACTTGTTCAGGGAGGAAGAGAGCTGAGGGGACCAGTAACAACGAGAAATCAAATTGCTCAAAAATTTGAAAGTCTTCTGCGGCTCAGTTCTGATACCAAGCCTTGCATAAGATCTGCTATTTCTCTTCCAAACATGGTTAGCTTTCGAATCTTATAATTGACCATATCATTTGTTTTTCAGCAAGTTCTTCGTAGAGAAGAGCACAAATTGAAAATCAACCCTCTGGAAAAACGATCGTTAGATTCTCTTATCAAAGGTCTAAAAAGCATAAGAGGTAATAAATACGTCTTTGAAATGATTTCAACCCTGAATTTTCAGATGAAGAAGACGACTTCCAGTACACAGAATCCAATCACCACAATGCCCAGCAAAATCGCTCAAGTAAAAGAAAAGTCAATTTTACAAAAATAATCTTGCTTTAGTTCTTTCCCTAGATTCAACGACCTCGTCTACGGTTTTCTTCAACGAGTGATGAAGCGCTCAAAACATGTATATTTTATTATTGCATTTACCTCCAAAAACAAACTACAACACTGCTAAAACCAATAAAATCTATAATATTGAATAACAAAAATTTAAAGATGATATGCTTGTGCATTTTTATAGCAATAAGCTTGCATATATTCATGGGAATCAAGCGTTTCTTATCAGAAAAGGGAAAATGATATTGTGGTTATAATGCGCCCGGTCGGTGAGTCTCGTTCAATCTCATTCACTTTTGCTATAGATTCTATAGTATAGAATCTTTTCCAATATGGCTGAAAGAGTTCAAGATGATCTTGAGAGAAAAGAGAATTTTGCCAATCGAGTAATTGTTAAAGAGCCGCAGCGCAGAATTGAACCATCACAAAGTTACCAAGCTCCTCCTACGTTCCCAGGTTTGATATTGATATCAACCAAATTCTCTCAAAAAATAACAGAGACAGCAACGCTATTGACTCCAACTGCTCCACCTGAAAATGATGTGATTTCAACCCAACCTGCGGCACACCAGGCTCAATTAATCGCTTCCTTTCCGGTCTTGTTTGATTGCTGCGCTCAGATGGACAAATGCTGCATAACCTTCTTGTTTCCGTGCATCACATTCTACAATGTTGAAGAAAAGCTCGGCAAAGGACCGTCTTGACTATTTTTTGTTTTTCGACGCGTTTTTATGCGATTATAGACATGATGCTTGAAACATTGTTTGTCAAAATAATTGAAAGTAAATTGGAAGACAGGCTATTTTTGTTTGTTCACGACATTTTTAACAACTGTCAATTTATTGAGGGAATTTGCTCCTGACGTTATTCTTGGATTATGTCCACTTCATACGTCAGTCCCAGCATATTGGTCCTGCTTCAGCTTACTACTTTTTTCGCGTTGTGTAAGGAGTTTTTTATATAAAACTTAATAAAATTTCAGATAGATCATCTAAAATTATTCGAAATTTAGTTCAAAACACTTCTACTGTGTGACCAACGACAACGAATTTTCGGAAGACAGAAATTGACTTCACGTCGACAAAAATGTTCAAGTGCTGCTGGGTAATCAAAGTACCTAGAATAACATTGCTCACGTTGTATTTTAGAGACTTTTTCACTGTTCTTCTTTGCAGCTGCTGTGCTCTGATTCAACATGAACGACTCCTCAAAAAAGGCCTTGCATCATCGCCTGTTCATAATGTTTAGCTCAATAAATGTGAACGTAGTGCGCGAATTGAACAAGTTCTCTTCCTTGATTCCACAATCCCCACAATCTTCGGATTTTGATATCTCCTCAACAGCTCTCCTCAACATCGGAATGTTACTCTTTCTGGTCATTTTTATGTTTGCGATTCTCGGAATGAGTCAATTCGATTACGTTCAGAAAAAAGGAGTAATCGATGACATGCTCAACTTTGAGACTTTTCCAAACGCATTTACCTCCAAAAACAAACTAAAACACTGCTGAAGCCAATAAAAATAAACAATTTTTGTTAATAAAAATTGAGATACCTTATGAGAATCTTGTCGTGCAAGATTTGTACAATTTACATTTTCATAATAGTAAGCTTGCATATATTCATGAGAATCGAGCCTATCTTATCAAAAAAGGGAAAATGATATTGTGGTTATAATACGGCCGGTCGGTGAGTCTCCTTCAGTCTCATTCAGTTTTGCTATAGTCTCAAGATGGCTGAAAGGGTCCAAGACCATCCGGAGAGTAAAGAGAACTTTTCCAATAGAGTAATTGTGAAAGAGCCGCAGCGTAGAGTTATATCCTCTGAATGTAACGAAGCTCCTCCAACGCTCTCAGGTTTGACATAGATTAGCACCAAATTCTCTTTAAAAACAACAGAGATAACACCGCTTGTGACTCCAACTACTCCTCCAGCAAATGATGTGATTGCAACCCAGCCTAACCCGCAGCAGACTAACCCTGAGCATCCAGTTCCTGACTTGTTCGATTGCTGCGCTGATACGGACATTTGCTGCCTTACCACGTTCTTTCCATGCTTCACATTCTCGATGGTAGAAAACAAACTCGACAAAGGATCGTTTTGAATAATCATTCATATGCCGCATATGATATGCCATTATAGTCTATAATTTATAGAAAATTATCAATTATAGTGAAATTCTTGTTTATTTTTTGTAGATCAAGACCATCAAAAGCCCACTGGAAAACATACTGTTTTTCTTGTTTTGCCAGTTTGCCACGGGCATGTTCCCTCTCCTTTTTACTCTGTCCTAAGGCCATCATCTCGGTTATCGACTTCTGTCCATTGTTGGGTCCTTCGTTTGGTTTATGCTGCTTCGAGTACCTTCCTTGTCTCGTAAGTTACTTTTATTTAAAATATATAAATCTTTGATTGAAAATAAAATATTTACTTCTTAATTCAGATCACAACATGGCTTGTGTATAAACAACGAGAACGAGTTTTCAAAAGAAGCCCTAGTGGGGATCAGTCCTTTGAGTAATCAAAACTCCTAAAAGAACTCCACTCATAGTTCCATTTAGTGATTTCTGTACCGTGTTATGGTGCTCTTGCTGTGCGATGATTCAGCATCACAAATTCGTCAAAAATCGCCCTGCAAAACCTTCTGTTCAAAGTGTTTAACTCAATAAACATGATCACAACGCGCAAAAAATACAAAAGGTGTCTTCCTTGATTTCATCATTTCTACAATTCTCAAATTTTGACATCTCGTTTCTTACTTCTGCACTAACATACTAGCTCATTGATATATGAGGTCATTTTCTAAACACGGATTGCGTTCTCTTCGTACGGAACACTCGTTGCCCTGGTGATTCCTCTACCTCCACTTTCTCTTATACAAAAAGCCCTTCAGTGGAAGAAGAGAAATTTCCTCCTTCGATATGTCTTTGAAAAGGTTCAAAAAGAGTCTTTTACTATTTTATTAGTTAAGTTCTATTAATTTTAATGAATAATTTTTGACAAATAATAAGAAAACAATGCGAAATGAGCCTCAAAATAGCCTTTTCTCCCAGGCAACACCGGTTTCGGCAATGATTTGCGAAAGAAAACGTTCAACAAACCCCATCACTTCGACAAGGCAAATGACGTCCTGATGTGGGTTGGAGAGAAAAAGCCTGGAATTGGCTACGAGCCACTTCCTGGCCAGAAAAAGGAACACTACTCGCAGTTTCCTCCAGGAGCCGGAGAAGTCCAACCAGCATGGATTGCCTACGACAAGAGAGTACTTTCCTTTGATGGTTTTTTCGTAGAGGTTGTGATTAATAACAACAGCGAGTCTTTCCGAATCCGCCCGGTGAAGGTTTACTTTTATTTGGAAGACGACACGGTGCAAGTGAACGAACCACTCGTCGAAAACTCTGGGCTCACCCAAGGTAACACTCTCTTCATCTATTCAAGAGCTTATCGGGCGGCTCTATCTTCTGGTCTAACGTGTTTTCTCGAGAGGAACACGTATACACTCCGCGGCCGGAGATTAACGACTCTTCGATCTTCGCCGTTGATTTTGAGTTGAACTTGCGAGTTTCCGGTCGAGCAGATTTAAAATAATAAATTAAAATGGATCATCAAAGAAAACATCACATCGCGCTAGCTTTTTAGAATCTTCAATCCAAATTTCTAATGATAGCCATTTTCCAAGTCATAAATCTTCAGCGGTCATTAGTTTTCAGAAATATCTTTTAGGATGCTTCATCCGTCGCCACCGCATCCCTCTTCCCGGGAATTCCGAAAAATTCTTCACTTGCGAGCAGTTCAACGTCGGCGCCACTTTGCCCCTTTACGGCAAATCGATCCATCTCTGCTCTTGCGATAAGTTTACTCATGATTTTTTGACATCCATGGGCGTTACTGTCGGCCAGTCGACGGAAATCCCTGTTGATGGAAACACCATTAAAAGGATGGAAGAAATGAGTCTTCAGAAACCCCTGAGACCGTATGAGAAAATCGACACTTTTGGACAGTTCCTGGAGCGAGACAGAATGGTGCTTAGATTTTATGGACAATGGGATGATAGAGACGCTGCTTTTGGTGATGTTAAGGGTTCAAACTACCTAGTCATATTTTTTTATTAAAAAGATAATTGTTAATTACCTATACTATTCCTCCCAACCTTTTCGATCTATGAGATGCTGCTGTAAACATAAAGTTCAGGGGCTAATAACTTAGTAACTAAGTCTTAGTTCTTACAGAAGATGCACCTAAACGTGCCCAATTTGACATTTCGGCCTTTTAGGGTTAAATATTTAATGTTTTTTTCTTTTGATTTGTTTCTTTTTGAGAAGACCTAGATTTCGAATTTTTCGTTGAGAATGCTACGTCAGTTATTTACGCTGATGCGGGATAATCTACTCGTTTTTCGTACAATGGGCGGTTTATAAATTTGATAATATTTGGCTGAACCTTCGAGAGTCCACGACCTGGTGCTCCACTACTACTTGGCCGACGACACCGTGGAAGTGTTGGAGAAAATCAAGGCGAATTCGGGGCGAGACAACGTGCCCGTTTTCCTTCACCGTGGAAAGCTGCTTAGAAATGCTCCGGTTCCGGTTTATTTACCAGGTGCGAATTTTTAACCCCTCTCCGCGCAACGAAAAATGTATTTATTATTCAAGTTTGTTCCTTTTTTAATTCTTCGTTTCCGAGTTTCTTATCTTTCTAGTGCTAGTTCTCGTGAAAAGACTTTTTACTTATCTTTAAGAAAGTGTTTTTGGAAGCTATTTTTTATCGAATAAAAATCGCTACTTATTGAAGACTTCAAGTGATCCCGAAAGAAAATACTCCTGTTTTGAAGATATGCTCATAAAATCACATAGGATTAGATGTTTGACTCCGAAAAGCGTAAAATTTTGACCGCAGTATAATTCTACGGCGCGGGATGAACTTTGAAGAAGGCTGTTTACTTACACTCTTGCCGAGCGCTTCATAAACGGCGCTTCTGCTAAAATCAGCTTCAGGTGCTAAAACTCCTCGAACCGTACTCAACGTTTGCAATACTCACCACATTCTCGATGGGCGCAAAACTGGCCAGCTTGTTGAAGAGTTTTACACCGAAAAGGTGAGAGTGCGGAAAACTTGATCGAGTAGTTTGGTAAACCCGGCAGACTGCTAGAATTATCCGTTGAATAAGCCAACATCTTCCAATTAAGGATCTGCAAGTCGGTCATGTCATCAATGTCCACGGTAGACCCTTAAGACTTCACAGCTGTGACGAATTTACCAAGAAGTTCTATGAAACAAATTATGGCGTTTCCGACTTTGGACCTTTAGGAATCAAGCTCAACTCAAAACAATCCCTTTCAAATGAATTATCGTAAGCTTCATGAAAGAACCAATTCCGGAGAAAAAATCAGCATACTCCGATGAACGAGTTTTACCACCCTACAACGGATTCGGAATCTACGAAGATACAGTCCAAAACTGCAAAAGCCTCCTTCCACAGCCGCCGAAAAAGGATTTCGTCAAATTCATGAAGCTCGACAGGTAATAGCGCGTGATTAAAAAGAAAATCTGACTCGTTTTGCAACAAGGGATGGTCTGAACTCGCACGTCCTCCGATTTGTGGCGCGGATCCGGACAAATGACAAAACTCAGCAGTCACGGAAGTTCGTAATTTCCTACTTTTTGTGTTGGGATCCAAAATCACGAATAGAAAGCCGAAAATTTTGATGATCTTTTTTTATCAAATTACGCTAATGTTAATTTGCGATCCCAAAACTAAAGGCAGATGACACGATTCAAGTCTTTGAGCCTCCACAACGCAACTCTGGCATTTCTGGTGGTAAATTTTGCGAAAGGATGCGAATGGAAACACCTGGCCAGGACAAATTCTCCGGCGCCTCCCGGAATTTCTATGGCTTGGAAGACTTCTACGTCGGTGCCGAAATATGCGTCAAAGGAACCACATTCCAACTCGTTGGCGCTGATGCATATGGTCAGTCGTGAAATCATCTTGAAAATCAACTTTCGTCAACCCTTTTCTTTCAGCTCTTGACTGGATGGCAAGCAATGGTCATCCATGTTCTTGTATACCAAAAATAGAGGCGAAAATACAATCAGCTCTTGTTGGGGAACGCGCTGCGGAAATCAAATCAAAACTTGCATCCCTTGCAAACAGGTTAGCACCCGCGAAAGTAATGTGTTTATCCAACACCTTCAGTTTTCTGTTGCCAAAAGCTGTTCAAAGCTTGTATTTTTATGAAATTAGGGTTTAATTAAAAGGCAGTCCGAAAAAGACACACTTTTTAGAAGCTCTGGGAAAGAGGCCGAGAAAGAGGCTCTTTGATGTTTTTGAACGGAAGGGATGAAATTTCGAATAACTTTGATTAAGTGATGGAACGATCAATTTCGAATGCGTCAGAGCTATTTTAGAAGAACTTGGACTTAATCAACAGGAAATATTAACGCTAGGAAAGTGTTTCAAAAAATACTGTCCTGAATTGACGAAAACAAATTATTTATTCTTTGGAAGGAAAAAAGGGAGATTTCGCGAAAGTGCTCGCAATATTGAAAAGAAAGAAATGACCGCAAACATCATTTTTTGAAACAACACTGATAAGGCCGGCATTTTTCGAGCTCCACGGGGGATGACGGCACCGTGACTCGAGTGGCTCGAGTTGTCAAGGACAAGTTAAGAAGGAGGAGATTCGATGAGTTCAGGAAACGGCTACTGGTTATTTCGTGTACGCGTACTTCTATTCGTTGCTTTACAAGGAGATGTTTATGTTCATTTTTTGAACAGTCACGTTTGTATTTCAAATATAGCTCACATTCCCTTAACCGCAAGTACCACATATGTAAGTCTGTTTTTATAGAATTGTATTCTCAACTTAATAAGTACACCTATATTTTCCAGTCACTAAGTAGCCGAAAAACAGGCAGCTTGAGTCGACACTATCTTACCACGACCGAGATTGTTCTGGTCGCCTCCCGCGGCACCTGGTCGAACGAGTGATCAAATCTTTCAAACTGCCAATTCAGGCTGATGAGATGAACGTATGCGCCCTGTCTTCTTAGCACGTTGAGTTTGAGGGTTAAACCTTTTCAGGTGCTGTTGAAAACAGATGAAGCTCAGTTGGTTGATTATAAAGACTTTCTTCAATGCATTGATTACAGCAAATCCCACGAAGCACCGCCGAGTGACGATGATTTGGCTCCTCCAGGAATTGATCTCAAAAATTTTTTATCAAAAAAAAATTGAGAAACAATAGAATCGCTTGCTTTTCACTCGATTGCCCTTTTCAGCCAATAAGAAAATTTCATTTTCCGAGACCAAAAAACAGCGCCTCTCGTGGTCGACCTTCCGCCAATCGGCGCCGTCAATTATACCGAGCTCTTCTCAAAACTGTCAGTTTGAAACCTGGAAGCTTCGGCCATCAAAATCTCTGTTAGATATTTTCCATACACTGCACGCATAATCTATACATAAATATATTTCAATCATACAATCCTAATTCCAAAAACTGCCCTCTGTGAGGCTCGAACTCACGACCTTCAGATTATGAGACTGACGCGCTAACCAACTGCGCCAAGAAGGCTGGGTACTGCGCCTTATCACTTCTTTTAGAATTCGACCAATAGATGAATGAAAATGACATTCTCGGGACCAAATCCTGACCCCCATGTTTTTTGTGCTCATCTGAAAGTCCGTGATCTGGGGAGTCGAATGGTATATAATTCTCGGACTGAGTCATCGGTAATGACGTCATTATGGATAATTGAAGGGCCGTATGGGGTTAACCTATAGCTACCGCTAATTTTTAATTGAATATAGGAACCTATATCGATTTTGGGCTCATTCGAAAGCGCAGTAATTCAATCTCGCTCAGCGGGGAGAAAACCGAAGAACTAACTGGTTAACTTCTAGTCGCGAAATAATTTCGCAGATTTCACACCAATCTGAACTCGATATTTTTCTGCTCAACTTGCGTAATGTTTTCACGAGCAACTTTTTTTTCAGACTTGAAAATTAAAATTATTTCTTCAAGAAAGATGCCACCTGAAAACTAAAACAACGGTTATGCATCTGGATTCCTTGGCGGTAACACAAAAAGACGCAAATGGCGTTGCTTGAGAGCTCATCAACGACGATTGCTAATTGACGGTTGACGTTGCCCGGTCGACCGCAGGGACCCTGGTTCCCCTCCCACTAGTACGGTCACATGATCAGACCCCGTTCACATGTTTTTCAAACCGTTGTTTCATGTTTGGACATATCGAAATTGCTGGTTTTTACTGATTTTCTAAACACCATTTTCTAGCTAAAAACTCGGGTCGATGGCAATCAAAATATGGAATCAATCCATTTTTTCGTCGCCAAATTAAAAATCTATACAGTAATTTTGTGCGAAAAATAACATTTTGCGGCTCAATAATGTAAATAAATAAGGTTCAATTAGAGCTGCTGTTTGCTTGGAATCGACTCATTCTTATTATGTTTCGCGACATCGGTGTTTTTAAATATTAATCACCTCTCGTTGAAAATATTTAAAAACTTGGATTGATACAAAGCATCAATCGAGTTGTCAAAAGAACTATCTCAAGTTTGATTTTTTTTCTTTTTTGACAGTGGACACTTCTACTTGCATAAAATATTAAACCAGAAGGCTCCTTTATTCGGCGAAAAAAGCACGCTAGAATCAAACGAAAGAATGGAAAGAAGAGACAGCAAAAGAAGTATTTTCAAGGCGCTTTTTACAGGTTGGTTTTTCTTTCTATTTTCGTTGTTTTTGACTCGCGCAAGGAATGAAAATGATCCGATGATCCGACCCTCTTTCGCATTTTCTTTCTTTGGCGCTATTCGAGAAATTCTAACGGCTATTTTAGATCCTCTTGCGAAGGGAAATCCGCCTAGAGAATACGTCAGGCTCGTGGTTACATTATACCGGAACGTGATAAAAATAAGCAGCTATGAAGAAAAAATGTGCTGCGCTATTTTCTTTTATTCAGATTGTTATGAAAATATGCTTATGTTGCTTGCGAATAACAATGAAGAAATATGTTTTGGTGCCGTTAGGTGTAAATAAAAGGCCACTTTGTTTTTGCGACTAAGAAACGAGTTTTATACTGAATGACCTTTTTCATGCTACTTTTGTAATGATGACCCAGAAATTAACCTGGCCTTTTCTATTTTTTCCAACCACGTGTCAAGAATCAGCACACCCGAATGGATGGCCATTCATGGGTTCAATATGATGGCCGCTCTTCATCTCCCCCACGATGATGTGGACCAAAACAGGTGCGTCTCTTATCACCCTCTTAAATTGAATGTCTATATTTTCCTTTCTTCCCTGATAAAACCGTTGGCGTATTTCTGCATTACTTCTGTAATTATGAGTCGGTTATTCTATTATCCAGTGGAAGCGCTAAAAGCAGCAGAGTGGTTAAAGTTTTAAAATCTGGAATTTTTAAGGTTCATGCGCGGTGTAAGTTGCGAAACTGCGGAGACTTCAGGCAGCGATACCGCGGATTCGGATGAAGGAAGTGCATCAGAAGGAGAAGTTGATGTGGCGGGGTTGAATTTGGCGGCAAATGATGAGGAATTGGAGGAAGAAGAAGATGATGGAGAAGAGGCCGAAGCTGAAGAAGCTGATGCGATGGAAGGTAACTGGCAAAAAATGTTTACAAAAAGAATTTTACTCATAATTTAAGCCGAAATCATTGAGCTGGCGGAAATAGAAGACGATGAAAAGGGCCGAATAGGCGCTGGCGCTGATGGGAAATGGTTGAAAGGACTCGATTGAAGAGCCCCCGCAAAGGAACTTCCGTTACCTCTCGCAAATTTCAAGGGCGTCAAGCCACGTTTAAATTGCTGCCGATAGACGACTATCTATAAGATTCAACCCTTCTAAAAAGACCGGAGCACTACGACCATCACCCTGTCTATCACGATATCATGGCAAAAGTTCAAACTAAAATCTTTAATCATCATAAAAATTGAATCGACAACGGGACGAAAAAAAAATATTGAACTTGTCTGATAGCGGAGACGCTGGAACATATCATGGATGATATCGATATGGATCACCTTTCAAATCTTATGGCTTTCATCGATATTACCTCAGTCTCCAGGCAGATTTAGCACATAATCCACAGATTTATTTTCAACGGATTTCTTCGGGGAAAGTTTTGATCCTGCAAACAGGGGTTAATGATTTACACGAAATTGTGGTTATGAAACAAGTCTTGAGAATTCTAGTCTTGGTTCCCTCCTTCCCGTTTCCCCCCGAAAAAACTCCTTTTATATTATTAAATATTATTTTTAATATTTATTTTAATATTATTTTATAAAATAATTGTTTTAGTCTCTGTTGACTTTGGTCATCAATTCTCACGTTTAGCAGCCCCTAATCTTCAACCCAAAAAGACAGACGTTCCCCTAACCAGAACATATCTTCATTGGCCAAAATTGTGGACAGATAACTTTTGTAAAAAAACATTGAAGGACTGACCGCTGAAAACGTGGCTGTTAAACTTAATGTTACACGGAAAAAAGCTTCAAAAGCTGGTTTTCTAAATCAAAAAGATTAAATCAAAAAAGCGGAGGAAATACACTTACTTACTATCCGTCTACAATCACAGAAGGGAGGGTTCATTTCCGCTTTCAAAAGTGGATTAGAAATTTTATCTTCAAAGAAAATTGAATATTAGTTTTTAAGATAACGAAAATACGAGTTATTTCTTTAATTGAACCCTTTTTTTCAGCTCCAGATGGAGCGCCAAATGATTGTGGTGGATCTTGCTTAGGAATGGTTTTGTAATAAGTCTTATTACAATTTCGTCGATCTGACTGTTCAAAACTCTTTAAAAAAGACGATGACGACGAGACCGAATCCTGTGAAAGCGAATTCGATTAGTTAAAATATACCTCAAGCCGTTTTTCCTTGTCTTATTTCTTTCTTGTTATCAAATAACGCAAGTTTCTTATGGAAATCCCTTCGAATCGGAATTATGGTCGGCGGTGGTGACAAGGAGGGCTCTTTCCCGGGCCACGAGTTTCTAACCCGATCAGGGTGAAAACTGCGACACGTAATTATCCAGGAGAAAGCCTTCCGATGCTCTTCACTTACATCCTTTCTGCCACCTAATCGTTTTATATTTCTTCGATTAGAAAATCCTTCTACGAAGGCCCCAACGCCATAATGATTGGGCATTAATGACGGATATGAACTTTATTTTTTCGAATGAAAATTCAAGATTCTATGTTTTATGCTCATGCTGTAACTAAAACAAAGAGAATGAGTATGTCCAAGACGCTTTTAAAATTTTAGCTCTTTTGTCAATTAGTAATTGACAATTACCCTCTTTTATGGAAGCAAATACTTTTTAAATGCTGGGAAATTCGTTAGTTCATCTGAAAATGCGTTCTTTTCCCCCTCTTTTATACCCGTTTTGCAACGGGTTGCCAATTCTACAGAAGACATTAGAAACGAATCCTGCTTTTACACAAGTTCCCGAGTATGAAATCAGTACTGATAATGATACAATTTTGGCCCGAAACGATCCCGACAACTACCAAGAAATTAACTACGAGGAAGAGACTACTATCAACATCTATTACGTCACTTTCGGCTGTCTGGGTAACATCATAAAACTAATACTGTAAGATGAGGATAACAGGCTAAATTTCAGCTGGTCTTTTCCTGATCGGTGCTCTTCTTGGTCGTGACAGATTGGTGGCTTGCGTAAGATTTGGATGTTTTCGATGAATTTTAATTTTTTTAGCTGCTCTTCATATGGTGTTGCTGTTGAATGAAAGGTTCCAAAATTTTTCTGATTAAACTGGTTCTACTTTTCGATGAAAATATATTTTATATAAGAAAAGACCCTTTCTATGATAATTAATGATAAGAAGAAGCACGCGACTAAAGTTATTTTCTTAAAAAAGCTGAACATTTTGCAACAAAGTGCGGCCAAAGTGGCATTCGTTTTTCTAAAGAAATCCGCCATGGGAAGCATTTTCGTCCAAATCAACATTTGATTTCTTTAAATTCCTCGCTAGAAGAAATCTCACGCGCCAGCGTTCATTAAAACTCCGCTTCGTATATCTTCTAATTAAACAAGTTCTAGTATCTTGCTGCTCTAAGAAAAAGCTAAAATATCATCTTATTTTTTATTCAACAAGAGCTTTTCGACAGCAGAAGATTCTATTTGCCCAGTGAGAAACATACATAAATTTCGTTACGAAAAAGAACACTATAAAAAGCATTGAAGTCAAAGTTACTTTCAAAATTTACCTCCGTGAACATCTGCGAATGGATAGGCCATTATTCGATCGGACCAGAGCTTGACCTTATCATGTGTTCCCTTAAAAATGATATAATCCTCGGATCGTTTTTTTTTTACCTTTCGTGTAAGTGGGTAAATATCCATCTGCAATAAACCACTGAAAACAAGGAGATCTACCCACGTCGGTCCTTTCGTCCCAAAAAGAAAGTCATTATTCCCAAGAATAGTGTTGAAGTACTCGTATCCCTGAACTCTCACAGCTTCAAGATCTCTATCTGAAACTGGCTTTTTCGCGAAGAAAGGACTCAAAATCTTCATAGCGCTTGGGAAAAGCGTTCCATAGTAGTAATCGACGATTTTCTGCATTTTCTCGCCTGTTTCTCCGGAAGGGTTCATTTCTTGAAGAAAAAATAAAAGAGAGAGCCGAAGAAAAGAAGATTTCGTTACCTTTATGAATGCCGTAGTTGTCGATTAGGTACTTGCAAATGTCGACAGTTTCGGTGAGAACAGTATCATCGTCGACAAGCACGGGAACGGTGTGTTTCGGGTTGAGTTTCAAAAACCAGTCTTCATGCTGCTCATTTTTCATCAAATTGATCTCGACATAGTTCACCTTCACATCGCAGGTACGGGAAACCATCTGCGCCGTCCTGGCGAAGGGAGATACGGGGTTGAAGTAAAGAGTCACTTCTTTTGCATTTGTAACTTTCGAAGAGTTGCTACCCATGTTATAAGTAATCTCTTATTGTGAATTTTGAGATTGAATGCTCGTCATGGTCAATTTATATTTTAAATGGCGTTTCTTTCTTCTCGAAGCTTCCGAAACACTATTTGCCAGAGGAGTTCTTTTGTAAGAAACTCTATTTACGACTTTCGATTGATAAGACCGGATGGAATGATTCGAACATTCTGGACCTTGCTGCTTTACAAAAAATGAGAAATCATCATCTTTCGCGCCATCTTTATGATTCTTCACGTGTTTTGTCATTGGTAGTTACAAGTACATGTTTTGCCACATTTTTCTCCGAGTAATTGCGGTATTTATATGTTCGTTTATCATTCCTCTTCTGTCATTGACAGCTTACGTCATGAATTCCAGTTCGCCACGAGTTTTCACGATTTCTAATTCAATCAAAAACAGATGGGAAAATGCGTTCATTTAAAACATTGTTCCCCTTTTTTATTTTAAAATTGCGTGTCCCGGATTGCCGCAGTTATTACGCAACAAGTCGTCGAGGGCCTTGAATTATGTTTCAATTTTGCACCTGGATGCTTTTTAAGCTGCGGCTGAATTTTTTAGCGAATCCTTTTTGGAGAAGTTTTGCTTTTCTTCAATTAAACGCGATAAGCGAGCTTTAATGCTTACAATCTGCTGGTGAACGAGGCGCTTATCGCCGGGAATTGGGCTCCTTCAAATGCTCTAATGTGTTTGTTTTTGTTGTTGCAGAATTTATGGAAGGTGAGGCGACAATAACGCAGATACGTGAAGTGGAAAAGATATCTGAAAAGGGCCTTGCGTCAAGACTTCCTTCTTGAAATTTCAAAGTGCTGGATTTTTTCTTGGATACAACAAAACTGGACGATCGATAACATGCCCTTTTAATAAATCAAATGACTCAAAAAAAGGATGAACACTTCAATAAGCCTTCCATTAAATTACTGAGCCCTTAAACTCGCCGAAAAGTTCGCACTGATCCCCGTCCAGATCCACTATCATTAATCAAAACACGTTTGTGCACTTTTTTTCTTCTAGCAAAATCGCAAACGTGAACAAAAAAGGAGTAAAGGTTGATAAATGCAATTATCTTGATTTTCACTTATTTAAAAACTGGGTGCCGGACGATGTCAGCTTTGATACAGCTAATTAAATAAACGTTATCATCAGCTGCTCACGCATGTCAAATAAAATCCAACATTTTGAACAGCTAAAATTTTTGTTCTGAAAAGATGACGATAGATTTGCTTCCGAGAAAATTCTAAAAAGTAAAAAAACCAAGATTGATATTATTTATTTATTTCAGAGAAAATAATAAAGATTATTTCATGTGATTATAAGGCAGGCGTAAAAACTTTTAGGCTGATTTCTGGACTGACAAGATATTGTTGAGGTTAAATCCATCGATCGGGTTTTGGCCATTTTCTCGACCGATTGCGTTATTCATCAGAAGAATGAGATCATATGTATTCGCAGCTATCTTTTCAGGGTCCAAGAAATTCTCTGGTTCCTTTGTGACGATATCAGCCAGAATTGTTGTCATCAAAGTCGACATCATCAAAGTGCTCAGCTTGTCGAAAGATCCTGGTTTTGCGGGAAGAAAATGACAAAAGGAATCGCATGGGCTCGTTTTGTCAAGACTGGAGAGAGTCATTTTGATATTTAGCGCTCTTTCCTTTAGAAAATCAGAGCTACGTTTGTAAAATTCATTCTGCAGTTTTCGGCCTATGTAGAGAATAAATAAAAAGACTTCAAGAGATGAACTTACTTTTGAAAAGAACACCCAAGCCAGAAAGTGGTTTTCTCACTTGGCAAGAAGTCTGTGCGTTCTTCGACGAAGTTGCAGATTCGTCTGGCTCAACGTTGACCGCAGGATTGTTGACACTGACAGACAATTCGGTCTTCTTCCTTTTGATTGCTCTTTTCTTGGGTAATTTTATGTTCGCTCTTTTGAGAAGATTATTGAGCTGAAAATTTGTCATCTTCAACGAATCGATTCGAAAGCATTCGTCTTCATTGAAGATAATGTCAAAACAGATTGTCTTCGATTCTTCTTCGCCAACTCTCTCGGCAAGTTTCTTGAAACAGCTTGACATTAAATTTTCAATCGTCAGACTCGACGGCTCATCGATTTTCCAGATTTTCACCCACTCATCTTCATCGTCGTCGTCGCACTCCATCTCTTCCACAGTCATCTGAGTATTCGCACGATTTAATTGTTCTCTCGCAGCTTCCAAAAATACGTCTGAGTGCAACTGCTCTAAGAAAAGATAAGCGAAATTTTATTTATCCAACCTTACTTCTAAATAACAGTCCCATCGACGACAATGATTCTTGATCATCCTCAGAGTCTTTTCGACCTAAACTGGAGCCAGATTTTCGAGCAGTTTTCATTTTATTGTATCAGAATTATCTCTTTCGTAAATGAATAACAATGCAATAAACAAAAAATGCATTTCACCCAGTTATCTAGAATGATTGCAGAGTAATCGAAACCGTCAAATACGGTTTCAATAAGACTTTTATTCCAGAGTTCGGAATTTATTATACAACACCTTTATTTTTCTAAAAGATAAAAAAGCGGACACTCGAAGATTAAAGTCACAGCATATTTTAAAGTGATTCAAATAGAGGAGAATTAGTTCTATTATTTTTTGGAACTAGATGCTCTTGAATTCAATTTTCGGTTTCAAACCTTAAATCTAATCAATACTTATTGTTTACCCTGAAAGCCGACTCCAGAGGCTCATTTCTGAGTACACTAAGTACCTCGAAGGGAAAAAAGCGGAAGTTTTTTTTGTGTTTCGTTCTTTGTAAATTTAGTTTATATCAAGGCAAAACATGACCAACTGTCAATTAGGAATAATGCTTTTCCATTGAAAACATGCTAATCAAATCCATTCAATGTCAATTTAAAAAACAACGCCGAATCATTTAGAGTTTACTTTGAAAACTTGATGTTATTGTGACACCCTTATTGCCAATTATTTACCAATAATTACCGATTATCAATTATCAATTATTATCAAGTGTATAGCATCTTCATCTTCAATGTTTTCTTTTTTTTCTTAATCTGAGTAATAATTATGCTATCAAAAGCAACGCGTGGTACAGCTTTGTAATGGTGCCATTTGACATCGTATTTTGGTTTTAGGGATTTCTGCTTTTGATCCTTTTTTCGCGTTGATGATTTTTTAAACTTCCATTTTCTCAGGGGCGGGCGAAAACGATGGTCACTTAATCGAGCACTTAATCCAACGTTTTAAGGATTTCCAAAAAAGGGCTGGACAGCGGAAATCCACCTGGACGAAAGAACCGGAATTTTAGTTTCCCCGGATAAAGAAATTAAGAATGAAGAAAATCTTTCAAAGGCGGCAGCTTTTAGAAAACAAGATCGCTTGATGGCGCGTTTTTCGATGCTCGACCAATCAACACTTGTATTTTCCTTTCTCATGATTGGTCAAAAACAAAACAAAGACGCCACCAAGCGATCTTTTCTTTCGAAAACCCATCTTTCGGAATTTTTTTATTTTATACTTGAAAGATAGTGAGTTTCTCCTGTAATCAGTTTTCAAGGGTGTCAACCTGTTTTCTAAAAAAATCTTTAGAGGAGTCTTACCTTCCACGGCGCATGAGATAAATTTCTTAAGCCGTAAAATCTCCACGTTTCGCGCAAAGTGAACAATTTCACCTCTAAAGCACCGTGAAAATTCCCTCCTGGGCGGGAGCGCTCTTTTTATACAGGATCGAAAGCTTGGGAGGACTTTTTTCGAAATTAAATTTCAGTTAGATCGCCCCTGTCCAAAGATGAGCCCTTCAGATTGTTACGAGAGCGGGTTCTTTCTTGAGGCTCTATTTCGTCAACGATTTATCGTGTGATGCGAATACAAGATAAATCTAATCGGTGAGGTTGAGTTTCGGGCTTTTAGAGCGCGAATTATGCCATTTTGACATCCCGAATTCGCTCCTGCGTCTTAAATTTTGACGCTAATGCAAATCTTCTAGGAAAAATCGACCACAAGAAGTCTTCATCTTTTCTTTAAAAAAAGGTTCTGTTTTGAAATGAAACTTGCATTTAGAAATAACATTCTCTGGGCAAGCTGCAACTGCATAATGCTTATATTTTGCTCTCTAAAAAGCATCTTACGGAACTTGAGATGATCCGAGCGCGAGTCGAGCAGCTGCGGACAAGTGCCTGAAATCCCCGCCGCCGAGCTAACGACTATTTTGCACCGCCCGTTAACACCGCTGAAATTAGCCCCTTAGCCCTGAGAAAGCACAAATTCTAGGCCGAGTCCTTAGATTTAGGGCCCCAGAATAGAATAAACAACCATCTGTTCAAAGTAAATATTACTGAAAAAATGCTCTTTAGGCCGTTTTCTTCTCTAAATATTTTTTGACAACTTTCTTGTCGTATATCTAAAGCTTAATGAATGATTGATAAGAAAGGTCAACTCCGAAACCTCGATAAGAATATATTTTTGTTTGCGTACTCGTAGAGCTCTGGATAAGCAGCTTATTCTGAAGATAATGGTACGTGTTATCTTGGGTCTAGAGTCTAGACCAAAATCCTCAAGTTTCTTTTTCTTGGCCTGAAAGAAATGCTAAAAGAGGCAAGGAAAATTTAGAATAATCAAAGCTTTAATTATTCCTGCGAAAAATGAGCGGATTAAAGATTGTGATAAGAAGCGTGGCTTTGACGCTTTAATCACTCAATTAGACTAACGCGCACTCGCTCGATGTTTTTTCTACAGCTGCTCGAGAGCTTCGTGAGCTCTTCATAAGGAGCGATTCTAAATCCACCTAGCTTTAAATCGCTTATCCATTCCCACTATTGAACTTGCTCTAAAAAGCCAAATTTAGCAGAAAAAGTTCGAACCGTTCTAAATTCGATCGATCTGGTTTCTAGTGAATGCCACATCAATAAAGCGCAGTTCCTTCAAATCAGCGTGCTTTAGTTTCCGGAACTTTGTTTTTATACATGACAATCCGGCATGTATCTATCAACTCTCAAACTACTGATTTCTGTGATGGTAACATTCTTTTTCTTCAGAAGTCAGTTTTGAAAATTGCTTCTAAAATTGAAATGAGTCTCAAGTTTTTTTTTTCAGTTTTTTGATTCTTCAGAAATTCTGAAGACAGGTGACAATCCTTCAAATTTATAAGACAGTAACTTGTCAAGTCGACTCTGTTTCTTCTGGAAGTGATGCAAAGGTCGCCCCATATTGTGTTGAACAAACGCAACGGTCCTCCAAATAAATAAACCCAAACAAACTCGCACTATTTAAACTCCTCCCATTTCCCTAAAAAGACCAAAAAAGAGAGAAAATGTTTTGGTTTCTTGGCTTTCTCTCAAGTGAGTAGCGTCTAATTTGTTTTTTCCGAAAAGAGGGCCTACCCCCTTAATAAATCGAATTCTGATCCTTTGGGGTGTTTTCGTGTTCGTGTTGTTGAGGGTTGAGTACCACTCTTTCGCGTCCACTTTCGCCTGAGCTGGAGATTATCCACGAGGCTTAGTTCTCCTGGAACAGGGCTGGTAGAGACTCTCCTGATCATTTACACTTACAGGTGCGCTTGGGTCGAGATTTTACGGCTACGAGGCGCTGACCATCGATCATGAAAAGATTTCAATGAGCAACTATCGAGGCAATGTCACTATCGTTGTGAATGTAGCGACCAACTGAGGATTGGCCAATGATCACTATCCGCAGCTCCAGGTAACAAAAAGTCTTTTAGTACTTTTTCTCTGTCCTCCAGCATCTTGTTCTTGAGTTGTCTGAGAAGGATAATTCTACGTAGCAATTGATTCGATTAATTATGAATAACTAGAACTTCTACGAAGAAATGGGTGATCAAGGACTCTCAATTATCGCATTCCCGTGTAATCAATTTCTGTGGCAGGTAAATATACACCCACTATTCGGCTATTTTGGAGCGTTTTATTTTTAGGAGCCTGGCACAGATGAGGAAATCAAAGAACGTATTCACGATAAATATGGCATCACATTTCAGATGATGCACAAAATCAAGGTCAATGGAAGGGACGCCATTGATATTTACAAATGGCTCAAAAGTACTCCCGTCGGAGGCGACAGGTATCAAATAAAATACATCAGAATTTGATCAAAATACTCAGATAAATGAAATTTCGGCAGGATTATTTTTGGACAAGTCGCGTTTTTTTTATCAACACGAAATTTTTCGACAGAAAGGCAATTTTCACCCTGATTTTTTAACATTTTTGATAGAGGAAATTTTGGTGAGTCAGCTCAGTTTTCCTGTGAGCACTAAAAGTCAACGATCGACATACTGATAAGGGTGTGACGCGTAAAAATGTCAAAAGCGTCGGATGTAATAAGATCGTTTAGAAAGAGCAGTAATTAGCATTTACTTTTCGGGCTCAACAGATTCTCTTATCGGAAAAACTTATACAGGGAAAATAAGAACAAGGCCATTTTAGAGTATTCTTTCTCTAATTTTCAGCATTCATGTATGAGTAAGAAACTGAGGATTTACAAGCTCGAGAGTTTCAAAAACACAAAAGTCTTATCATTCTGTTTAGAAAAATCAAGTGGAACTTTACAAACTTTCTCCTCGACCGGTGTGGAAACGTCCGTTACCGGCATGAACCTTCTGAACGACCGAACGAGTGGAAACAAGATGTAATAGAACTCCTCAGCGAATCTGCTCAAGACTGTCAGTAGAAAGGTTGAAGCCTTTCTTGGTCCTCGACGTGGATAATTCAAATCGAATTCGAATTCAAATTTTTAATCCCTGCTGCCGGCAAAAATCCACAAGTCCAACTGGAAAAACAAAACCACAATGAAGACCAAAGCACATGTTCAACCCCAGAACGCTGCGGAAACTGGGGCTGAACTTCTCGCGGTTTTTTCGGTAATTGGTCAAATTCAACAACTCGGAAGCGAACTGAATGATCTGGCAGGGACAAACTGTCAAGTACAGCGCCCGCTTAGTGAGAAGATTTCGACTTTTGAAGTTTTTGATTTTGACCAACCATTTGGACTTTTCTGATTCAATAAAAATTACGATTCAAAAGTTCAAAAGTTGTTTCTTAGAGCTGAACTTTTTTCCTGTAAAACGGTCAAAAGGGTCATGCAATAAACGGTCTTGAAATAATCCGTCCATGATCCTTAGGTTCCTGCGGTTAATCCAATGACGAAATTTTTCTGAAAAAGCGAAATTAAAAGGAAAATAATCTTCGATCTTGAAGTCGTATTTTTTCTAGGACTTAGTTGAGCCGCAAAAAATCGAGTGACTCCAAGTGCCTGTGGTAGATTTCAACCTTGTATTTTTTAAAAAGAAGTTCACAAGAATGAAGAAAGAAGAACTCCAGTTTCTTTTGAATTGTTGAAATTATTGCTAAAAACATGTAAAATTAAGCCTCCGTTTATTATTTTAACGGTCACGTTTTTTTCAAAAGAACTCTCTTAGTTCCCCTCTTTTGCGATCTTCTGATCCAAAACCGGGTTCAGCATGTCTTCAAGTGGACTAAGGAAGGAACTAGAGTAATGACTAAGGTGCTCTAAAAGCGTAAGACCCACTTTTATTCTCGCTGATAAAATTGCGAGCGTGAGAAGGGATATTTCCTCCGATCTTCTTTCGCGTTTGAGAGCGCAGTTGTCAACTTTTTGAACGTCGAAATGACGAATCAAGGATACGGTCAAATGTTCCACATCTTTAATCTCAAGTCGGAGAATGCTAATTTCAAGAGGGACACAGTCTGATATACACGCCGAGGAAACCACAAAACGCTTGCTTCTCAAAATTAATTACCAAAAAAGGTGAGTCAGCTTTGGCAGAAATTTCAACGTGGATACATTTTATTATCGATCTTGTTGCTAAGAGAACATGGTACTTATTAATCATCATAATTAATTTGAGTGGAAACGGTTACTAGCGGATACGATCAGCTCCATTTATACTTGTTGCGGAAAGAGCATAGCTTGAAGCTCACGTGGGGAATGATGATGGAAAAGATGTGTAATAACTTGTTAGTACCAGAAGTTTAGTATTTTGATGATAAATTGATACGTGAGTTTTTGCTACCCTGAATTACTACCCAAAACCACGGTACACAAACATTTTAGACGCTTCTTTTTGCATATCGTAAATTCTTGAATTCTCTCGCGTTTTTTCAGAATATCTACTGCATTTTAGAGAATATTACAAGCCCAACAGGAGAAGCCGCAGTCAGCCTTTACAAGTAGCATGTTCAGGAGCGATTTTAATGTTGCTAGCAATAAACATTCAATTCGCCCGCCTCGGACTTGTTCTGAAAACAGTTTTAAACATTCAGACGGGGTTTATTGAAAAAGATTTTGTTTGCCACGTTTCAGCGCTATTTTTAAATGACCTCTATTTGTTATGAAAATCGCAGCTTCAGTTTTTTTCGGTCCGGCTCAGCCACAGATCATTCGCGCCTTCAGCTGGAGTTATTTTCTAGCCAAGCTCAAAAAAGTCAAGCAAAGATGAATGAAAAAGCCACAAACCTGGAATATCCATAATCCAAGATCGCGGACACTCTATTCCGTAGCCGCGCGCACGGGTCATAAATCCCGCACTCACGGATAATAAACTCGCGCTTAGAAAGATTCTAGCACTTGATAAGCCGACCCGTTAGCGGGCTATATTGTTGGAACTCGAACGATTTCTGACCGCAGCAACGTCAGTCGGGGAAAATTAACATTATTCAGCCCGTGTGTAATTATAATAACATTGCAGATTAGGCAGGTCGGCAATTTAGCACCTTACAATCACCTTATAATTCACATCAAAAAGGTTTTTAAAATATTTGAGCGAGAAATGTTTTGCAACATAATTCTTGCTAAAAAGTAATTCAGAATAGGTATTTACCTAGCTCTTTTCTAACTAACATTTTTCATCAAACATCTCGCTATTTTCAAGCATAACATCTATGAGCGGCTCACAAAACCGCTGAGCCTACTTGATTCTTAGTTTAGTTTCTTCTCATGAGTCATGACTCAACCCTTTGGATACTGTAAGTGGAGATGACGTGGTTGAGTTTGATTTTCTACGGTTATACGGAGAAACAAAGGTTAATTTAATTGATGATTCATTTTTGAAATTCTATTCTTGATTCTATCATGTCAGATTATGCATTTTGACCTTTTAGAATCGGGATTGGAAAGCTTTGTTGGGAGAAATTGAGTCACTTCGGAACTTTTTACTACAGTAACTACAACAGCTAAATAGCATATACTTTATGGCTTGCATAGATTTAACAACGGTAACTTCTTCGAACGGATGCGTTTGTATAATTGAGAAATTCGTGAAAATCGAGAATAGAAAATTTTTGTTCTCTTCCATGATATCAACAGTTACGGTTTCCCTTTCCAAAAACTATTCTAAAATGAAAAAATGCCAAGGTTATTTCCTCGTCTTGTCTGAAAAATGTTCCTTCCAATCAGTCCAATTTCCAAAATAGCGCTCGCTTTAGCTCCCCTCCTCGAAATTAATTCTAGCGGTGGTCACTAGTCACTTTGAGTTTTTGGCGAAAAAGAAAGTGTTCTCCACTTCTAGGTTGGGATTCTTACGTCACGTGCTCGGAGTACGCACGACCGCGAAGATATCCATTTGTCTTGGCTCGTGACACCTCCGCCACGTTCTTGAGGCTCGCTAGCGCCAGCGCGCATAACTTGAGCGCGCGTAGTAGTCTTCGATGCTCCCGGGCGCCCTCGAAATATCTGCAAACTTGTGGGAAGTAGTGGCAGCGCGATCGACCGAAATCGAGATTTCAGGAAACAACAATTGAACCTAACTAGAAACCGAAAAAACCGTTAACAAGAGAAAACAAATATAAATAGAGATTTACCGAAGATGTTTGACGAAGACACGCTGAATACAGGAACGTGATAGAATTTGAATAAATGGTAATTTATTATTCTAAAAGTATTTGCTTTCATTATCAAAATGAATAATCAGAAAATGCTTGTGTTGCATCACGAGTTTTAAATAATCATTTCTTCGGTGATAATTAATTTTAGCGTAACTATAGACAAGGGCGTGTTCTGATTCCGCGTCCTGAAATGTTACTATATCAATCATCCCTTTCATCGTCACGTGCAATTTAATTATCGATCATTTGTTGAGTAAAGAGCCATTTATTTCGATACGTTCTTTCGATTTTTTTAGTATCTTCTTCGATTACCTGAAATATCGGAAATCAACATGTAGATTTCGGAGAGATTTCTTATGGTTTCTTTTTAAGAACCCTATTGGGTTAATATCATATTCAGAATATTAGCTATATTGAATGAAAAAGTATGAAATTATTAAAAATAGATAGAAAATACTCTTAAAAAGAGGACTTTTGTCAGATCACGTGACAGGCCTTGGGCTGTTCCCCTCGCCCGACAATTTACAAAAAGTGAACATCGTCATGGTCGGTGACCAAGGAGCTGGCAAGACCAACATGCTCGTTTCCTACTGTAATAACGAGTATCCGGCCGAATACAAGCCGACCGTGCACGACTACTACACAGGTACTTGATCATCACATAACGCCGTGACATCAACAGGACATGCAGACACAGATTTGCAGTAAAATAAAAACCGTTTTCTAAAAGGATAAAATTGATAAAAAAGAGAAGGAGATCGCTGTATATTTTATTATATTCTGTAAGAAACGACAATGAAACATTGTACAATCAGAATTACACAAAAAACAAGCAGGCTGCAGAAAAAGCTGGTGATACTTATGTCAGCCTGACAGACAGCAGAGCTTGTAAGACCCCCTGTAAGTTCTTTGTTGGTTAGGGTCGCGAAAAGTTGTCGTAAAACCGATATGAAATCTTTCATTCATGCTTTTTTCTGCCAATTTATCGCCAAAAATCGCCTGAAATGAAACTCAATGTGTTAGTTAAGCTATTGAATCAAAACCTTCCGCCACCAACAAATAGACCTTTATCTTTCCCCAGCTCAAATATCTGAGCCTCTAAACGCCCATTCTTGACAAGCAAAATTGACAGTCATAAAACTGTCATTTCAACTTCTAGGAATTGGGCCAAGGGTTGCTGCTTTTGGACATGAATTATAAATTTGAGAGGAACAGGCCGCTTTCTTACGAGCTCGTAAAAAAGACATTAAACATGCACTATTGACTAGCTTTAGAAAAAATCCACGAATTCTCTCCCCTTTCTGATAATCCTCGTTCTAGGCCTCTAAAGTTTTTACATTATCTACTGGCCGCAAAATCAGATCGCAAACACGCTCTATATTCTCTTCTGAAATGCTCGAAACGAATGTTGAACGTGGTGGAAAATACCACTTTGAGGACGCGTCACAACATTTTTTAACATATAATAGGTTCAAAGATTTTCCCAGGGCCGTATTTTCCGGGTTTCATTAGAAACTCTAAAATCGAAATTGAGACAAAAATTCATCGATTAAAAAATATCGAAATATTATCTTCAAATACTCATTGCGCGAATAAGAGGGAAAAGAAGGATTGATCATAAATCAACGCAATATTTTATGAGATAAAATCAACGGTAGCTGTTTAATTCCTTCTAAAATCTTTGTCCACCTGTTCCTTTTTGGAATAATCTTTTTGAGTTCTTCCTTTTTTCTGCGTCGAAAAGTTTACTTTATAACTAAACCAGTCTATAAATATCACTACACCGTTTTCTCACCATCTTTCCAATGCAAGAAAAGATTCATTATGTCACTTCTTTTCTTCAATTTTTCCAAAAAACATGCCTTATTGAACTTTTCTTTCTATTTAATTATTAAGAATTAAATTGTCAGCAAACCTGGATCTGACGTTTTTGGACGCAATAAGTCGGCTTTTTTGGAAAGCTGCGGCTTGTTGTTGAAATCCAACAAGTGCTTTTGGTCGGAACCGGAGGAAATTCCGAAGCTTTTGAATAAATAGCTTATTTTGCATCTTTTAGGCGTAGAAGAGGGAGATACATTTGTTGACTCAGAGTCTGCCACTGGTATTTTCCATTTCTAAATCAAATATTTTGAGCAGCTTTTCTGGCACTCATGATATGAGCTGGTGAGCGTGGTAATAACATATCAATAACGCGCGGTGCAAGTAGGGTTCTCAAAACTTTGGTCGCCGCGAAGGGCATTATCATTTCATAATTACGGCACCGTAAACTAGCTACCGTAAAGTAGCCTCAGTTTGAAAATGAAGTTGCGTAGATAAACTTGCGAGGAGATTATTATGACATCATGTGGAAATTACTAACTTCGGTTCACAGCTTTGAAGCTGATAGATGCTCAAGCTCTAGAATTTTCAAAAAACCTGCATTTTCGCGTGAATAATGCTCTTGAACATCAACCACTAAATATTCTTCCACGGAAAGTGGCTTTATCCGATCCCTTCCACCGTGCCATCCATTTTATGCGCTACTATCAAAAACGCTAAAATTTCCACGGCAGGGCATTATCTGTCTCCTGTCACTTATTCACCTGGCGCTCACCACGTGACCTGTTCAACAGAATAGTACTAGAATAGAGCTGACAGAGCTTCTTTTTTTCCTGACACTGTCAGTCTGACAGGCATGGAATTTCCGATGTCTGCGTTTCGTTGAAACACAACTCAAGTCGGCTTTTCCGGCCCCCGCGGCGAGAATGGGTTAAAAAAATTTAACCTCTCAAAAGTCATTTTTCAGGAAAATGTTTGCCGGATCATATTTGAATGATGGTTCGATTCAAAATAAGCTTTTGGATATTTTTAAATAATTTTGAATCACGTCTGTTCCTAAAAATAGCGCTTTCGCTCACTGTTTTCGAATAACGCCGTGTTTAAACCAAATGAGTAACATTACGCCAAATTACCGGATTTACTTCAATGGCGGCTCTCGACGCGTTAACGTGCTCTTCTTCAATTTCCACGAAGCTTTGGCCCCTTCCCTAATCCCACACAGCCGGCGTGAACCCTCTTTCCATTCTCGAGATCGAGAGGCCTGACGTAAGCGGCCTTCAAAAAGCCCTCGTAAGAAATTGTCGCACCTGGGATCGTCCTCAAAAGCTCGAGCCTTGATCGTCTAAATATTTGACGCGGACAGGGTTCAATTTTCAGTAAAGAACGCAGACAATGAGATTTTGGTTTTGAAAATTTTCGAAGAAAAAAATTTTCGTCAACTTTTCTGAAAATTTTCATCACGAAAGTACAGAGGGTGCTCATTTTCGACCGGTTTTTATATGAAGCAAAATTCTTGAAATCGTTATCTTCTGAGTCTTAAAATTTGTACCTTCAGCGACTGTTATTTTCTTTGACAAAAAAAAACAGCTTTGTTTTCACCTAACAGTTTCGCTTGTGCCTTGACCCTTATCCTGACCCTTACCATCATCCTTATGTTCTTAGTTATCTCGTAACCAAATCAATCTCTTGAATTCGGGAAACCTTTCTCCGCAGTATGTAACGACATATTATTTGCTCTTTATCCGGAAGTCTACTTATCCCTTCTCTTTTAAGGATATAAGCTATGAATTTGAACTTTCGTAGCGCCTAAATGCGACGTAGGATCATTTTCATTTCAAAAGCAGTCCTACCTGAATTGGACGTAGAACTCAAATCTGGAATTTTTGAAAAAAATCTTATGGAAAATTTTCTCTCTAGAGCGATTTCAAATCTTACGCTCTCGATTGCTCGAATTTTTTCCATTGAATCGCTAAAACTAAACCGTGTCTTTTATTTTGATGATGTTAAGCTAGAAAATTGACGGGCTCTTATTTCCAAACTCTCTCAAATTATCATTCTAGCGTTTTCCTCTTTCTTGATCGAGTTTTTCTCCTTTTTGTGCTTTTTTGCGTGCAACCAATCAAAGCGCTCCGCTCAACCGCGCCACTCTCACGGAAAAGAGGAGTTGAGAGAGCGAGCGCCCAGCGCGTCGCTTTTTACACTATTCACGCGCTGGGTAAGCCTCATGGAAATGGCTCTAAAATCGGTTTCGGTCGGAATTAGGCAAAACTGATCCGTCAATTTTATAGATAAGGGTTAAGAGAAGTTATTTATCGAAAAAACTCGACCGATTTAGTGTAAAAATTTCGAGCAATCGAGATCGTAAGATTTGAAATCGCTCTAGAGAGAAAATTTTCCATAAGATTTTTTTCAAAAATTCCAGATTTGAGTTCTACGTGCAATTTTAGGTAGGACTGCTTTTGAAATGAAAATGATCCTACGTCGCATTTAGGCGCTACGAAAGTTCAAATTCATAGCTTATATCCCTAAATTCATAGCTCATGCCCCTACAAGTGTCTACAGGGAAAGATAAGGGTTCAGCAATTGTGAATTGAGTGTATACACAACTGATAGACAAAAAAGAAACAGAAAACTCGTCCCTGCTTTTTCTCAAATTGCGGTGTGTACTTTTTGGATAAACGAAACCCCCGACGCTTTCTAAAACCGCGAATGAGCTCAACCCCCTTAACCGCTGGACGCTAAACTAAGCCACCGAAATCCCTGAACTTTTATTCAAATTCGTAATGATTCGACTGGCCAAACAGCGGCATGAGAGAAATTGAACATGCGATAATGTAATCTAACCATGTTCAGCTCAGCTGGAAAACTCTGGAGGCAGTTAGACTTTCTCAAGATGAGGCTATCTAGATGTTTGGAAAGAGGGTTCCGATTCTGATAACTGTCTGATTTGGCGCAACAGCAATTAAACCCTTGCAAAAACTCTTGTTCAAAGAACGTGTACAGCTGTGTTTTTGTCCATGTCCTTTCTGCTAAATTAAAAGTGCAAAGTAGCAATGTCGCATATTTTTACTCCCCACAAGATTCCTTGAGGGTTAATTTTGCGTCATCAAAGAGTTGTTCCACGGAAAAGAAGAGTTCTTCTCCGTACGTGTTAAGATTTTTTTCGAATAAACGAAGAGCGTGTTTATACTACAGACTGGAACGAAAGGGTTTCTAATGCTCTGTTGAGTATACAGACAGAATTTGGCGCAGAAAGCGCGGTACTTTGCTCAACAATGAATTTTAGAGACTAAGAATGACTTCGCTTTTTTAAGGTATAAATTCTTGAGCCACCAAATCTTGGCTGATTTCTCTTCAGAGAACTCCCTCTTTTTCCTTGTTGGCCACCGTCTTATCTGTGTGACTATTCCGTGATATGAGCCTGAGTCGCCAAAATTGCACCCTGGTTTATTGCCGGAAAGATAGCTCGATAAGCTGCTACTTCTCGGAAGTGATAGACGCTTGACCAGGGGTTCGCGCCGCCCTTAACACCAACCCCTAATCAACTCTTCTACTAATCTCGAGTCTAAACAATCTCCAACCTCCGCTTGGTTGTTTTCGTTCAATCTAATGAAGAAGATGCGGTTTTGTGCGGTCAGTGGTCAGCTCAGATTTTCTAGCTCCCGCTTCTCCTTCTGTTCCGCAGAAAACGTAGTGAACGCAGCACGTGACAGCTCCGCAAAATTGAGATTTGTTCATAAGAAAAACGAAAAGAAAGCGGAAGCAACGTAGAGAACATCATGCATAATTATGGAAAGGGCGAAAGCGACGATTACATGCTTTGAAAAA